CCCAAGTGCATAAATGCTGAGAAAATGCATACCGAGGGCGACGAATCACAATGGCGGCTGCCTGAGGGCCAAAAATCAGGCAAGGAGTCAGGCATCCGCGATAAAACACTGCTCAATGTCATCAACCACATTCCTGATGCAGAAGACGCTCGTCAGCATCCCTGGCAATGCCAATTCCCACGGATATGCGGTGAGCTACCGCTCGTCACGACACGGGAATTTGGATTTTGGGCATATCCTTATTCGCACATTTGACCTGTTTTGGGAACGAATACCACACTTTGGCGAGCCGGGAAAGGGGGCTTTTGGTGTGCACCCAGATCGTGGGTTACAGCACTACGCGTGTGAACCTTATGACGGCTTGGCTTCCCACTAGGTCTGCTGCTAGAAGCCACTAGTGTTCCAGTTAGTGGCTTGTGCCCTCGGGCACAGCGTCCGGTTGCCCAATGCGGCAACCTTCTCGAAGGACGGGCTGATCTGTTATGGTGGCTGTGTCGCCGTCGATCGTTTGTCCTTTTGCTGGTAACCAATAAGCTGCCACGCACCGAGGCGGGCTGTGCGTATTCTTAGAAGCCGAAGCGAAGAGTGACCCTCGTTGATACACGTTCTCATTCCAATTCCCTACCGAAACAGACGATTGTGTATGGCCTGACGCGCTGCTACCCTGCTCCCCCGCAAATCTTTCAATCGCCTACCTAATTCTGTTGCCTGATGGCTGTGCTGGACCCTGCATGGAGATGAGATGTGAGTGTCCCCGCCACCAATCTGCCTTACACATCACGATAGACGATCACACAACGGACGTAGAGGCGTCGTGCGCCCTTGCGACAACAAGAACAACAGAAAATGAATCTGACAACATCTACACACAATGGTCACATCGATCCCGCATCTTAGTGAGTCACAAAAGAGTATTCCGTTTCGCCTCAGCATCTCGAACGATCGTTGGCGCCTTCGCAGGGAAATGGGTGCGGTACCCGCGATATAATCAGCCCGTCAACAGGGCCCTTTGCTCGAGTAGTCAATACTACTTACCAAGCACCTCAGCGCACACACACACACACAAATAATATGCGATTCGCCGCACCATGTGGAAAATTTTCTATATCTCCACTGCTGAGTATGCCAAAAGGACAAGCAGGTATGAGTCTCACCGAAGTTTAATCGAACAATTCCTCGACTGGCTATCGCCATTGGCCAAGAAATGGGAGTAATAAAGATCAAAAGAGGCAGTTCTCCTGCTGACTCAACTCTTGGATCGGGAGGCCCCGTGTTGCATGGGAAACCGTTGTGGTGAGATTGATGACTCCCTTTTCTCGAAGCACAGCAACAAGAGGTTCACAGTGCTCGTATTTCCGAGACGGCTCAAAGTCCGTCCGGCCACTGTTGCTTGGGGTCTTGTCTTCGCTCAGCCCTAAGACGGTTTCGTTCCACATCCCCAAACTCAATGTCGGGCCTGAAATCACGACAAGTGCTGTCGGTATACCGTCTTAACTCCGCCACCGTCTATTGCCTGTGCGCCTGCTACTGGTCACCCACTGGTCCAGATGCTGACATGATCAGTCATCCTTTATCTCTGGGACAACCGACATTCGCTGCTTTTGCGACCGCCTCTATACCCGACTCCTGTTCGGCTGTGTCTGACTTACCACACACAATCCCATCTTTCCAATTGTGCCGGCAACCCGTTACGGACGGAGCTGACGGGCGAACTTTGTCTGTCCAGGACGACTACTGCATGTATGGTTGATCTCCTCGGTCGAGCCCTACCTATGGGACAACGCGCCGAAATTGCCATCCCGTCTCCACCACACTTCGTATACGACAAGTTCCACTGACCAACTGCGTGCTTATCAAACCCAGGAGGTATTCTTAGCCCCCTCCCCCCCTCCCCAGAGCCTCACAGCCCTACCGTCCGGAAAGAGGGTGTGCAGACAGCTTGACCGTCAGCACACGCGGAGGGCTAGTCCACACAGCCAAGTCCCAGATAGTACCCTATTTGGAACAGGTGCTGACCACGAAAGGGTCAAAAACACCCCTCCTCCACCCGTTCAGGACAGCTCACGATATCTGAGGCCCGGAAAATATTGGGTGGGGACACGTACCTCGTGTTCGTTCAAAGCTACACCAGGTGGACAGGTCATCCTCCACATACCTTTCACTCTCTATGCGCACGGCCACACCAGGCACCGATTCTTTTGGTCAGCGACAGAGTGTCGTTGTCGACAGTTCCGAACCAATCGACCGCGGGTGGAAGTTGCGGCTATGGTGATCCTCCTCCTCACTTCCAAAAAGTCAAACTCAAACACTCCTGACTGGTGCCACCTCGACGGTGAGCACCTACAGTACCTATCAGCAGCCACACCACCTCACTGCCTGACCGAGCTCATCGCTGCCGGGGTCCATCCCATCTGACACTTGTACCGAAAGCGCGGGATACTGAGAAGATCAGTCGGTGTGATTACTCCATCCCAACCCCCCTGGGCGGGTGGGGGGTTGTGCTGGCACGTTCTCCTCCTCTCCTCCTACTCTTCGTCTAATGCCGGTTGCGCGAACCGAAGATCAGTTGGTCCATCAAGGTTCGAGACCTGAAGATCAGGCTGACCTTCGTTCCCTTCCTTGGGAACCAACTTGCCGGGTTCGGGAAACGCGCTCGGCATCACCCCCCTGGGGGACAGGATAAGACAGGAAAGGACCGGGGGACATGAACGACGCTCTGTCAGGAAAACAGAAAAAGGTACGGCCGTTGGACCCGACTTTCCCAAGTCTCACTCAGGTCCTTTTGGCATACGAACGGGTCATCCATCCCAAAGACCCAAGCCGAACCAAACCACCTGTGTGATATCCCCACGCACACACCAAGCGAGCAGGTTTGCCTTCTCTTCTGGTTCTCTCTCCACCAGCCAGCCAAGCCCTGTCGCTGACCGAGTTTCCCGAGAGAGCTTTCCCCCTTCGACACGGTGGTCCAATGACGAGGCCTCGTGCCCGAACGACTTCCTTTGTCGTTATAATATTTGGTTTTCGTTGTGGAACGGGACGATGGTTTTGGAAAACCAGCCGCCCCCCCCCCCCTCCACTCAAAAAGAAACTGTCTTCTCAGTCCCAGTCAGTCCCCAGTTTTGCGGACCGATCGTTCTTGTGCACAGACACACCGCCGGTACGGTCTTCTGCGCGATCATCGACACATATGGGATTCGTTTCGTCCATGAGACGGATATCCACGATGACCGTGACCGGATTGTCCCGTGGCAGGGGCAGAGGCAGAAGCAGAGGAGAGTGGCATGTGCTGCTGATGGTGGTGCCGGTGGCGGCCGCCGCTTGGGGAGGAGGACACTTGTTGTCCCTCTCTCATGAACGACTGAGTAAGAGCCTCGGTCGTAACTCTCCTGCCCAGCGGAAGGTGGTCCGGCTGCCTTTGGCTGGCTCTTGGGGGAACATCGATTTCCCGGGGCCCTCCCTCTACCCATCCGTCTGAACACGGTGTCGGACATCGACGATGGGGTGGTTGGTCTGACCTTGCTGCCCCGGCCGGCCAGCCACTTACTCGCTGATTCACCTAGGCTGGTAGGTAGGGAAGACAGACGGCTGAAGGGATGAGTGCGTGGCAAGACCCAACAACGGAATGATCCGATACCTCACGTTGAGCAGACTGACTCCAAGGTAAGCAAGCCGATCGAGTACCTCTTGATGCCCACGAGACGAAACAAGCAGTCACTGGGTCCTCTTCAGCCCGGCTTGAGATCTGACAGACCTGGGCCGCATCAAGTCTTGCCGGACCTGTTTGGGTCTATCTGTCTGTCTCCCTGCTTCCTCGTCCCTCTCTATGCCTGTGACCGTCTTTCAGTCCCCGAGTCTTTCTTTCTTTCTTCACCCACGCAATGAACCCCCTTCCACACATACACACTCAAGGGGGGAGAACCGGAGGAAATCGCGCAAGAGAACCCTCCCCAACCGCCCCAGCCAGCATCCCTCTCTAGCATTCATTCACCCATCTATCCATTCATCCCCTTCTCCCCTTCTACCTCTAACGAAGCCGAACGACAACAGACGGACCATGCATGGGCTTGGGGGTATGCGAGCCATCATCAATCCGAGAGAGAGAGAGGGGAGGGAGAGAGAGGGAGAGAGCGAAGGGGGAAGCAACAGAAAAGAACAAATGGGCCAAAAAGGTTCCTCAGGTTTCTATCTTTCTATCTATCTACCTTCACAGTACCACCTCGTCTCAGATACATCTGGAAGAGGAGACCTCCCTCCCTCCTCCTGGGGGACATATTCTTCTCCCGCTGACGAGTTGCAGCTGCAATTCGCTGCTCAAGAATTATCCTGTAGTGGACTGGGAAATCCCCAAAAGCAAACTACTGTAGGTAGGTAGGGCTCTAGCCGGAGCATCAAGGTGGGTTTTGTTGGTTGTCGCATATCATATCCTCATCCTTGTCTTCCTTACACCGGCAAAATAGTCCAGGTCAAAGAGAAAGAGGAGAGGTGCAAACACCTCGCCGATCAGGAACGAAAGGATGAAAGGATGACTCTTTCATTTTCTGTCGAAGGCAGAGTGGTCTCCTGGATGGAAATGCAGGAACCCAAGAATCCTCAAAAAACAAAACAAAAACAACAACACAATTCGTCTTCTTCTGAGTGGAGAGATTGGCATATCATTTTTCAGTTCAGGGAAAGGGTTGGGCCGTCTTCCTTTCCCCCAGCGTCTGTCTGTCTGTCTAATCGAACATGTTCCCTCCACGCTATGCCAATGCAAAGTAGTGACAGTTTTTGTTTTTTCTCTCCTCTTTCTCCCTTGTTGGAAGTCAATCGTCCATGCAGAGAGAGAGAGAGAGAGAGAGAGAGAGAGAGAGAGCGCTACCCATATGCCTATTTACAATGTGTGTGTTTTGGTGCGTCCTCACGTTGATTGATGCGTACATGTCTTTTCTTGTCTATCCACCGCCATTACTTTTGGTACCAATTGAGAGTCCCAATTGCTGACTCTGAGGCGCCATTCGGTCTCAGTACTGCCTCGCCGCCTGCTGACACGCCTTCAGCTGCTCCAAGTACCAGCCGCAGATGGTCATGTTGCCCTGGTTTTGGTTCATGCAGTCGGTGAAGCTCTTGATGTCCGCGGCACAGGGACCCGAGGCTTCGGCGGCGGCCGAGTTCGATTGGCTATACAGGGCGTTGGGCATGGCGTCGCCGGTGCGGGCGTAGGCGTCGGTGGGTTGTTGCTGTTGCTCCACGGGCGCCGAGGAAGAGCCGCCACCGCTGAAGAAGCCGCCGATGGCGTGGCCGATCGAGGATCCAACTGCGACGCCACTAGATTTTCACGCATAGGTCAGCGGTCAGTTAGTTGGTTGGTAGGTTGGTTGGAAAGTGCATGAGGTAAAAAAGAAAAAGAATAATTCTCTCTTCCCATTCTTCTGCTCCTTCAAGGGTCTTCCTTGAAATATACGCATCTCCACCACCACAATGCATAACTTGGGGGCAAACTCCAGAGGGGTTTTTTTATCACTCACGCTGCCGTGCTGGCCATCTGGCCAAAGAGGCCGGGACCTTGCGATGCTTGCACAGGAGGGGCGTGTTGATGAGCGGATGCAGTCGGGGGAGCAGCAGTGGTAGTCATCGGACGTTGTTGCTGCTGTGGCGCCGATCGAGGAGCAGGAGCCGGAGCTGTCGGTCGCGACGGGGCCGGTCGGGCAGCACCTCCACGGGAACGAGGCATTTTGGCGGGCTTTTCTGGAGGAAGGTAAGGTCGAGTGTTGAGTTGTATATCTCGGAATCTGGGGGAGGGGGACGAGAGATCGATGGGAGAAGTGGAAGAAAGCAGTTGGTGAGGAAAGGAGTTGCGGGTAGATGAATGAATGAACTTGAGGGAACTTTGACGGCCATTCAATGCCAAGACCGCGGCTGGGGCCATGCCTATTTCCTGTACCGCGATTGGCCCGTTTCCAACGAACGCGATCGAATCCTCGCTGCAGCCTGTTAGTGGCCAAAACCATGGTCAGCGAAGTACCGAGTACAGAAGGACAATGTCTGGATAATCTCAAGCATTGTTTGTTAATAGATACGAATAGTACTTGTTACAAACAGCAACAACCTCGCCTTAGCTGGGTTGCCACAAAGAAGCAATTTGCAATTTGCAATTTCACCGCATCCTTTCAATCCAAGTGTTGATCAGGCTGTCCTCCACCCATGATCCTGCTCCAATCCTTGACATTCTCACACTCTCCCCGCAATCAATCTGCACTGATCCCATGGATCATCCAGGACTTTACACCGAAGGCGGCGGTGGAGGATAGTAGTCACGCATACCCGGGGGTGGCGGCGGTTGATCTGGAGGCGGAGGAGGAGCCTGGGTGCTGTCGGGAGGCGGAGGGGGAGCAGCACCGCCGCCATACTGCTGTAAGAAGGAGCTGAGTCCAGGAGGAGGCGCCCCGTATGCGGATTGAGCATCGTAACCGTGATATCCACCATACCCATAGTTCTGGGCTGGAGCTGGCTGTTGGTGTTGGGGTTGTTGCCAGGGAGCGGCTCCTTGCTGGGGAGCGGCACCGTATCCTCCTTGTGTGTCTCCTCGACTCTGGGCCGCCCATGGAGGAACCGACGAGTCGCCGTCCCGGTGGCCATGGTCTCGGTTGTCGTAACCCCGGTGGCCATAATCTCTCTGGCCGTAGTCTCGTTCCTGTCGTTCCTGTCGGTCTCGCTGCCAAGGGGCAACACCCCCCGTCGGCTGGCGTGCCCAGGGGCGAGAATCTCCACCGGAAGCGTACGAGTCGCCCTGATCATAGCCGCCAGGTGCAGCTTCGATGCGACCCGCCGGACCATTGCCAGATCCGTTCCCGGAAAGCTCTTGCATCAGATTCTGCGAGGTGTGAGAGGGTGGTCATACAAAAGGTTAGGGGACAACATACCTCCATCTCTCGGTCGACGGCATCTCCGCCAGCGCCCAGACGTCGTTGCGGTCCACCATATCCTCCAGGGATGTTGTTGCGCATGTCGCTGCCACGTTGTCGATCTGGGCAGTCCCTCGCCATGTGGCCAGCATTACCACAGACTCGGCAAATGATGTTGGCGGTAAAGTTGCGCTGCTCGGGGCAGTCGTACTTGCGGTGACCGATTTGCCCGCCTAATTGTGTCAGTCAGAGTTGGTCTCCGGCCAGGGGGGAGGAGAGGGCCCAACTTACAGTTTGCACACGCTTGATTCTCATCGTCGCGCAGAGTACCATTGAGCGCCGCCAGTTCGCGCAACTGATTTCGCTTGAGTTCATTTTGCCCTTCGGGAATGGACGCGGCGGTTTCGATGACGTTGTGGATCAGGGCTTTGGCCTTGTTGACTTTCTCTTCCGTGTCTGCCATAATCAGGCAGTGGAGGTCTTCTTCCTGGTTGCTAGTATGAGCTGCGTCAGATCGTCCTTTGCCCTCCTTGACGGAGCCTTTGCCTCGAATGGCGATCTTGGCCCCGGACTCGGATTCCATTTTCTTGAGAGTGTTGCCACGAGGGCCAATAAGTAGTCCGACTTTGCAGAAAAGAAGCTTTGTGTTAGTGTGGAATTCTCGAAAGCGAAAATGGTCTCAGGGCAATGGATTTGACAATGGTTAGTGCAGGATGCGACGTCTACCGCCTAGATCTCGAAGAGCAGAGCAGACGACAGCACGTGGAACAGCGAGCAAAAGCAGAGGGGGGTTTGTAGCAGAGTTATAGGGTTAGTAAGCATACTGAAGTTGATCTCGGGATAGTCGTTGACCGGCACATAGACCTTTTCCTGTGTCTTGGTCGGCCGCCTGTAGTCAGAGGGCGGATGGTAGTTGGGAATGGTCTTCATGGCCTTTTCAATCAATTTGTGTCGCTCTTCTTCCAGTCGTTTGCGGTAGCGGAACTCGCGCGTGTTCACCCGACGGCCGAAGTTATCGTACTGAGGGGCTGGCGACGGGGACCTGACAATTGTTAGTACTTGCAGAGACAAGATATGTGGGGAGGTTCTCACCTATCTGCTTCCGCAGGGACGACATCATTGATGCGCAGCTTCTGGCTGATCTCTTCGATACGGAGATGGAGGGCGTAAGCCTCGAGTTGTTCTGCTGTCATGTTCGCCTGGATCATGGTCGGAAGGCCCATGAGCCCTGCCGCCTTGTTCTCGCCGGCTTCACCCCAGCGATTGCGCTTTCTACGTCTCTTGACACCGTCGGCCGCAGGTTCAGCTGTTAGGGAGTTAGTCAGATGCCGGTGCACATGGGTGATCCACGAACCTCTGGGAGGACTGCGCCCACGCTTGCCCGAGTCACCCCAGGCGGGGGAGCTTGCAGAGCTATCATTTCGCGAGTCGCCTTCGCCTTCACCTCCAAACCGACGGCGCGTTCCGAGGGGGATGTTGTTAGAACCTGTGATGCCTTGACTGCGCCACGACATCTTGAGCGGCGGATCGCGAGTAAGAGGACTGGAAGTGCGCACGACAACTGATGAGGGTCGTTGGCGATGCAGCTCAACAGATTCGCAAAGAGTTGAGTTGTGAGCGGCAACTGGGAGACAAAGAAGGGGCGAAAGACCTTGCGCCGCGCCAAGACCGCGCTAGCCCCTTTACAGGTTGGGGCTAAGCCTAAAGAATGCAACGAGGACCTCGTAAATTATTACTGCGTTTCGGTCACTACTGTTACCCCCCTACAGTATGTATTCTACACTCAAAGACCGAGTGATGGTTGGTTCCTTTGTGAGTCATTCATCCCTTTCGATCATCGTATGGACAGCCTCATTCTAGCACAGCAGCTTCCCATGGCACTCTTCTTCACCTCGATGCAGACCACTTCCACCACACCGTCGCTCCCAGGGCAATGGGTACCGTCACCGTCAAGGCCAGCTTCATCATAGCATTTCTCACCAATGGCACGATCAACTTGTCTTTGACCTCCGTATGCTCCACCCCTTTGGGGTATGTGACCCCCTTCGGGACAGGCTTGCCTAGGAACGGACAGATCTGTTCCCAGCCGAGCCCGTCCTCAAGTTTCACCACGAGCATCCGGTCCGGCGGGATCAACCTCTTCACCCGGCTGATGTACTGCTCATAGTTCCTCCCCAGGTTCCCCTCGTTGCGTGGGTCGCCAGGACGCGTGCCGTCGCTCCAATAGTCGTACACGTCGATGTTCAAGAGGCAGAAATAGTTCAGCGTCCGGTTGAAGTGGCGCAGGATGTTCATCGGTGGGGACTCGATGTTGGTCACCAGATCCCCGATGAAGCCGTTGAACGATCTCGCCCAGCTCTCCGGTGTGCGCTCGGTAAGGATGAATTTCACGTTGGGGTCCAGCAGGTATGATTCCAGCATCGCCGTGTCGAAGTACGAAGGCACTTCGACCAGGGCGTCGTAGCCCGCGAACCACTTGTCGAACTCGCGCTTGGTGTACCGCTGGACGCCCGACCAACGGTCCCCTTGGGCGCGGAAGCCTTGCATCATGATCTCCCAGTGAGTGTCTCCACCAGACATGGCCATTTCGTACATGTGGTACGGTTTGTAGCCCAGAATCTTGAGGGCTTGGTAGACGCCCAGCGTCGCTGTCCTGGAGAAGGAAAAAGCGTCAGTGGATTGGTCGGGCTTGACAAGAGCATTTTCTTGTCCAGACGTTGGTGTTGGGTTGATCTGGAAGTAGACCTTACCGACTACAGCTGGCGACCACGAGTTTGACCGTCGGAGAGGCATCATTTTCGGGTAGTTTATCAATCGTGCGTGACATGGTGGCCGGGCTCAGTTGGTCCTCTTTCCTGTTTACACGCCGTGAACACTTTCTTGAATTGAATCGCACCTGGATCAATAACACAGAATGTGTAGTGTCATTCTTTATATATTGGTGTGTCGGATGACATCTTGAGGCGGAGGAGATACGAGTCCAAGATCAGGATACCACCTCGTCGTCAGACTAAAGACTCCAGGAGGTGACGACGGCATCGTGTCTCCCAGGCCTAGACAATAAGCACTGGCCACGATTAGCTGCGTTTATAGGCGCCCCAATTTCTTACTGCGGAAACAGGGTGGAGACAGCGGGGAACGTGTATAGATGTGGAAAGAGTTGAGGCAATATGTTTGGCTGTTATGTATATCAGGTCTAGGGCTGAGATACCGCCTAATGGAAAGATTTGCTGCTGCCAGGACGAGGTCCTGACCCGTCCATCCTACTCCAGGAACAGGGTATCGCCTCGGGTCTAGACAGAGACGGTGTTGGCGTCGGATGAATGTTACCTGATGAATGATCAGGCTGGCAGTCCGACTCCCGCCCCGATGCCCGGCTTTCGGGCCTCCAACACTTTCATGGTCTGCTCGAACACCTTGGACTGTGCCTTCTTTCCCAGGTCCGAATATATCCAGCCCTCAACTTCTTGATTCTTGCCGTCCGACATGAACGCCCCGTGCGAGTCTGGACCGACACATGCGCCGTAGACCAGCGTCCGAGAGCCAACCTCTGTTGATCTTCCGAGAAACATGCGCATGAAATACATCAAGACTCGCCCCGGAAGGATCATGTTTCTATCTAGGGCAGAAACACATAGGCCCGGATTGACCAAAGTAATCGTGACAGGCGGCGCTGGCACGGCGCTGGATTTGTCGCGCTCTTGCAGTCGCAGAACGAGCTCGCGGACAAAGAGCACACCGATGAGTTTGCTCAGCGGGTATCTGTACGTTCTCGTGTGAGCCTGATGCAGAAGAGAAAAGGGCCACGAGCTCGTGCCTGAGGAGATACTGACCTGCCCATCATATCGGCGCTCTTCTCGTTATTCAGAGTCGCATAGATGTCTGGGGCATTGACTTCTTTGAAACTGGTAAAGTGGTGGGCTTCAGAATTGACAATCTCCAAGTGAGGGCTGGACTCGGGAAATTGGCGCTTAGTTTCTCTCAATTTGGGCAGCAGTGATAGACCGAGCAGCAGGGTGTTGACGACATTGACCTGGATGATCTGCTCGAATCCCTCAGAAACCGCCCAGCTCATATTGTTGATGCCGGCATTCTCCACGACAGCGTCGACCCGCGGTAGCTCTTTCTTCACGCGCTCAGCGAACGCCAAGGTGCTCTCCGTGCTGGAAAGGTCCAAAGGCCAGACCTCGATGGCCTCTGCGCCATCAGAGCGGTGTCTCACACTCCGTACAATGTCCTCTTTGGCGGTCTCACCTTTGGAGACTGTACGTACAGCGAGGATCAGTTTCGCGCAGTCAAGGCGGTAGAAATGTCGGGCAGCTTCGAATCCCAGACCGACATTGGAGCCAGTGACGATAATGACCTGGCTGGAGAAAGACTGTGTTGGATAGGGCGGTGTCCCGAAGAACTGAGAATGAAGGAAGGTCCGTAAGGCGAGGCCAATATCAAGTTTGAAGTTGAACTCTCCCTCCATGGCTGAGGCCTGTAGGCGAAGGCAACAGGGAAGACCAGGGCGAAGTGGTCTGTATGGACTATTCGATCTCCGAGATCTCGAACGCTCTTCAACCTGCCGACGGTGATTTGACCGCACAACTATTGGTAATGCTAGCAGTGCTCATATAGCATGCTTGCTCCAGTTAGATGAGGGACTGTACATTCTGCAGCCGACCAGAGGCGAGTGACGGGGTCTCCTGATAAATTAGCTGCGGACTTGATGGCTTGCGGTCGGTTGAAATTTGGACCGTCTTCACCAGCCACCTTAGTCCGTGGAAGGGACGAGTCAAGACAATTGCGCAGGAAACCTTGCAGCCTGGAGCTGGGCCTTTTCCCTTTTGATATCTGCCAAGGGTATACCAAACGAGTCCGATCTCGATGGTGGAGATAATATTGGGTTGGCAGCTTTGGTCACACGTGCCACCTGAAGGCTAGCCGAGCAACCTGGTCGTGCATGTCGTGTACTAAACAACATATGGGTTCAGTTGTTTTATTCGCAGGAGCGGCACCACTTCAGCAACAAATGACCATTCGGGGAGATGGCCACCGAATTGTGAGTGGAAGTATTGCCTACTTTGCTGCAAGTCAAAGACGGTGGCTCTCCCTCCCACCATAGATGCTGACAGCGTCGGTGAGGCACGTTCAGTATCAAACATAAGTAACATGTTCATCCAAAGAATCACAGGTGCTGGTTTGCTGTTGGGTCTTGGCAGCAAAAGCGGCGGGAAATTGAGTGGAAGTTGCTCGTGGCCCAAAGTGCGGAGAAGCCAAAATAATTTTCAATTTGCTTCATTTTCTAGCCCGGCGTAGCTATTGTTCGCAACGCCTCGAATATCTTATTAGCTATACTGCTTCTGGGAAACCCCTGAACCGTCGTTCTTTGCTGGCCCAATCCTTCACGAATACTTTACTCCTCAGAACCAAAGCTCGTCGCCCATTAACTCACCATCCGCACGCGCATCAAACCGCCAGTGTCACAAAAGAAGCAAGATGGCGAAAGACAAGTCCGCCAAAGCTGAGCTCAAGGCCGAGCGAAAAGCTGAGAAAAAGGCCGCCAAAGCCGAAAAGATCGCAAAGAAGCAGGCCGCTGCGACCGCAAAAGTCGGTGGAGCGGCGCCCACCGGTGTGACAAAATCCAAGGGAGAGAACAAGGAGAAAAAGGCGGCGAGGAAGGTGCTGGCGGAGAAGGCCTTGAATGAGCTCGAGGGTAAAAGCAACAACAACAAGAAGAAGGCCAAGGCGGAGGACGAGGACGAGGAAAGCAGCGCGGACGAAGACGACGATATGGATGAGCCGAGTGGTGTGAAACTCGACGAAGAGGAAGAGGAAGGCGAGGATGAGGAGCCCAAAAAGACCAAGGCAGACGCGGACAAGAAGACCATCCTTGCTACACGACCTGTGGGAGCTTTGGTGCCCTTCGCGAACCCATTGGCCGACGACAAGGTTGCTAAGAAGGTGTTTAAATGCGTCAAAAAAGGTGATTTGCCCTCATCTCCACGTTTCCCATTCCTCCGCTCCGTGTCCATGGTCGTGCTAACTCGATGGTGTCTTCGCAGCCGCCGCACAACGTACCCTAAGACGGGGCGTCAAGGAAGTCGTCAAGGCGCTCCGGAAATCCCCCACATCCACGACCGACAAGCTCCCACTCGGCGTCGTCATTCTCGCTGCGGACATCTCGCCCATGGACGTAATCTCCCACATCCCCGTCCTGGCCGAAGACCACAGCGTGCCCTACATCTACGTGACGAGCCGTGCGGAGCTGGGCACGGCAGGCCAGACGAAGCGGCCGACCAGCGTGGTGATGGTCAGCCGAGACGCCGGGAAGAAAGCCGGGAAGGACGGCAAGGACAAGGAGAAAAAGACCGACGAGGACGGCGACGACAAGGAGAGTTGGGAAGACACGTACAAGAGCCTGGTCAAGGTTGTCGAGCGAGAGGGGAGGCACGTCAAGATCTAACAGATTGGCGTTGCAAAACTCGGATCATCTGTTTCCGACAGAGTGAGCTGTGCAGATTTCCCGATAAAGGGGCACTGTTTTGTCACGATCCGGATCGCCTGGCTGGAGAGCACGGATCAAGCATAACCTGTGCGGTAGTGGGCCGCCCAAGTCGTACTTCAAGCGGCGTCGAGGTGCAGGATGACGTTCTGGACCACACCTCCCACTCATGAGACGGGAGAGTTCTCCCTGTGTTTGACATCGAGGCCGAATGCAAAATCTCCTACACGAGGGATACGGGTCCAAAGAGCCAATCACCTCATCTAACGACAGCAAAACCACTTGAGCAGAAAACCGGGCGATTCGAATTTCACACTACGGACGAACGATGGATGGCACCTCGTTGACGACGACGATGACTGGGGACTCCAACCAATCTCTGCAATCGAGCAAGAATTGTCGTTCGGGAGTTTTGGCGCAGCAAAGAAAGCATGTCAATCTTCCTCCAATTGCTCTCCTTTTCGTTCATTCGGATCGTCTCTTTCCCTCTTCACGTTTTTTTGGGCCTGGCTGTCTTCCCTCTTTGTCGAACAGGTCGGTTCCGGACTGGCTGGCTGGCTTTTGTGCTTTGGTGCTCGTTTGACTTCCGCGCCGGGGGAAGGGTGGGGGGGATATTGCATTGATACACACACATTATGATTTGGGGCGCATTGCGGCATCATCTGTTAGAGATGAAAAGCGAACAGTTCCCTCCAATGGGGCGGCGCACGAATGGGAACGAAACGCATCCAGTCCGTGAAAAAGCGTGGGGGAGACATGGACTCATACCGAGATACATAGATGGGTAGTTAGGTACAGTGTATGAATGAATGTTACGTACACAGCCAATGCCCTTGATATTGTCCGGGTTGCATGCATATAATATGTCGGGGTACTCAGATGTACATACATACGTACGTGTATGAATGGACAAGACTCCCACAGACAAACACACGCTGTGCCATCAGCTGCATCTTTGATGGTGATGTCTCCAGCTTCAATCTCCAATCGTGGCGTGTCCGCTTCCTGCTCCGCCCGTGAGGAGCCCATCCGTATGGACCGGCGGGACGAGACGGTGGGTGATAGATCAGATCTGAAGGCTGGCTGCCTGGCTGGCTTATGCACATTCATTCATTCCTCCCGAGTTTCATATAGCATTTCCTTCCCCCTTTCCCGTGCCTTCCTTTTATGGCCCACCCGGCCGACCGAGCCGTTCGCTGCTTTGCGACTGATTGATTGTTTTGTTTTTCCACGGTTCCCCAACCCCCTGTCGAGTTCGATGAGGGTGGGATTTTCTCGTCGCATCGGTCGTGGTGAGATGGTATGCTATGTAGGATATGGTTGATGCGCTGGATGGTCCGAGCGACCGTGCGACCGTACACCTGTGGCCATATCTGCGGCTTCTTTTTGCTCCTGATTCTGATGATGACGATGGCGATGATGATGCCGCGAGGCTGCTCCTTGTAAACTTTTCATTTTTTTTTTCAACAAAAACGAGGGGGCAAATGCTTTTCCCTGCTCTCGAAACACGGCCCCTTCCTTGCCGCTTTTTCTCAAAGGCGGTTTGGTCGAATTTGCATTCGTCTCATTAGTGGAAAGGGACCACCCTAATTCCATCAGCTCTGTACATCGTGAGATCATTTTCATTTCACTGCGTCACTCGTAAAGATGCGTCTGCCCTTCGCACTTTCTGTAACATTATCCAGTCTTCCGATCTGTGATGGATGTTGACGTTGAAAGCTGGTGCGTCTGTTCTCTTTACATCCCCCTTCCGGCTTCTCCGGGGCACATACATGTAGGATGTGACCGTCGTGGCAATAGCCCGCGATGCCTGCACGGGGTAATGCGTCCCACAGTGGCCAATCCGTCCTAGACAGGCTCCATGGGACTCCCTGGCTCAGACGATCTCGGCGACGGCAGCGCGGATGACAATCGACTACTGAGTCTCCCGAATAGAGACCTGCTGTCTCTGGGCCCGCTCCGGGGGCTAACGCTCCTTTCTCTTCGCCATTCCGGAGGCCTCAGCCTGGCCCTCGAGGGAGACAGCAGGGGTGATCCGTTGGGCGTCTGGACGATCACGGCGGGCATCGGCGGAGTCTCCGTTGGGGATATGCCTGAAAGATTCGAGAATGACTTCTCAAAGTCCTGGACGGTGGCCCGTGGCGGTTCTAGTGCCTGCCACTTGGTCGAGCTCGAGAAAGGTTCATCGAACTTGATGGTGCTGGATCTCCGAGGTAGTCGGGGTTCCTCCGGAAACGTGGAAAGCCTGGGTATTGACTGACCTGGGAGCTGCGAAGCGTGTCTTGTCGCTATGCCAGGGAGATAGTTGCCAATCGAGTGGGACATACGACGGGTCGCTTGCGTGAAACCGTGAGAGCCCCGTAACGAAGGTTCCTGGCCCAGGTCTTGGGACAGTCTGGCCTCGAGGCTCGCAAACGTCGCAACCTTCTGCATTGTCTGTTGCTGTTCGCCCTTGCGGGCAATTTTGCTCTCTAAGATCTTTTCCCTGAGCTTCTCAGACTTCTCCGGGGCTGGAATTGAGGTGACTTTGGTGAAAAAGAGGCCGGCATTGGTCAGAAGTCGTCTGACGACATTGGGGTTGTTCACGATCACAATCAGGAGGTAAGTCGGTATGCAGATCCCCACCGTTGTCATGGCGAAGGGAATATAGGAGTCGTTCGGTGGCATGTTCGTCACTATGGCAAGGCAAGGTTAGCATCGGACATCACACGATGACCACACATTGATATCAAGGAGACCGCCAGGTGAGATAGACACCACATACTCCCGTAAATTCCCGTAACGTAGCTCAACGGCAGGTAGAACAATGTGACCAACGTCAACAGCCGGATGTTGTAGCCTTGTTCGACGGTGATCTTCGCCATACTCACGGCCTCGCGACTTTCCAGGACCGATGTTCCGCTGAACAGCCACTCCCGCAGGTTTTTGATCTGCTTTTGCTGCTCTTGAAATATTCTCAAAACCTCCTCAAGCTGAGAAATTTCCTTTTCAAATTGTCTTCGAGTATATACAAGTTTCTTCCGCCAGTTGTTGTACCGCGGCGACTGGTCCTTGGTGCCTGGGAACAACGTTTTGTGCTCCCCCGACCAGAACTCATCGGTGAAGGTGTCCCGGTAGGCGGAAATCATGTCCTTGATCTCGTTGCTCAAGAGACCCAGGGTCTGCGAGGCCCAGAAATAGCGGCGCGAGTAGGTGAATTTGTTGTTCTCGAAGAGAAGTTCGTCTCGCAGGGCGCTGTCGAAGATCGACTTGTTCGGCGGGGTGGCCAGTTCTTGGATGGCCTTATGTATCACCTTGAACCGTTTGATTGCATCTTTGTATTCCGAGAGCACGCCCGTCAGAAAAGCATCGGGACCATTGCAATAATGGTGGTTATGTTCGTGGGTATCGACGCTGGAATTCCAGTCGGGAAAACACTGGATGGAGAGGACGTGCCACGGCGCGAACGGGTCGTAAACATGCCCAATGACGGATTTGTTCTTTCTAGAATTACGTCGGAGGGTGTAACTGGGCTTGCCGGCGAGGGAGAGGGCAACAACGGAAGAACACGTCGTCAGCGGTATATGGCCATCCTCGGTTTCCGGATCTTCGTCATGATTCTGCCAATGCAGAGGCGCACGCCCTTCCCCCACGATGGTGTGATACTTGAAGACAAAGACCACGGATCGTTGCCGCCGGTGGTCCCCCTTCAAGTATCCCTTTGTTATCGCTTTGGTCGGGGTGTGGTCGTCGATCATGATGCGAAAAATGGAATCCATGTCGAAGTACTCACTCATGGTGAGGTGCAAGGCGGCGAACAGGCTCGATGCAGGCTCTCGGACGACGACGATCCGTCCAACGGCTTGCTTCCGTGACTTGTCATTGTTGGTGTTTTTCAACGCTTCCCAAGCCGCCAACGGGCCTTCGTCTGAATCACCCCGAGAGTGCCGCAGAGGCGAGCCGTCCGTCCCCACGTGGTAGATATCTGCGTGCTGATGATTGGCATCCGTTTGGTGGTGCCTGTCCTTGAGGAAAATGCCATTCGAAAGCAAGTCAATGTTTCGGAGAAGATCCTGAAGAATGTATTTGCTGTAGATATCCCACGAGTAGGTCTTCAAATGTTCAATCAGATCACTCTCCGAGAAATCCCTCGGAGGGAGCAGCTCCTGTGCAAAGAATGATTCATCGTCCTCGCTGTCTGAACTGTCGTCACCAGTGTATATGGATTCCTTCGGCTGGCGGACCGTGTTGTGTTGCTCGAGAACATGGCTGCTGGGATTGGAGTGGTGACTGACTAGGCTGGGCCGCCTTTTCGACACGGCCGCCGCTTGGCCAACCTCGGAAGACGGCAGAGACGTGGGCGACGACGCCAACGGGATCGATGGGATGATCTGCCGGGGACTGGCTATGAACCTGGATGGCTGTGGATGGAGAGCCTGAGTCAACGTCTCATGGACCCTCTCGAAAGTGGACAGGTAGGCTTCCCGGTCGGCCTGGAGTTGCTGGATCAACCTGAGGATTGTATCGTTGTCGACGGCCATTTCTGGAGGAGGTTGGGGAGGAAAGTAGCCATCGACGAAACGTGGCGACGGAGGGAGTGAAGGATCAGAGGGTTCCGGCGTCATCTTATGTAGTGAGGATTCGTCTGCACAGCAAGGCTGCAGGAATCGACCCCATCATGTAGCCAAGCAGGCGGACCGGCGCAGCAACCGTATCAGCGGATCAATTGAAGGCGTAACATGCGGTCCCAGAGGGGAATCAATGCCTTTCTCGCCGGATTCAGTGGAGGCAGAGCAGTCACCGAGGTCTCCATGGAAGCGGTCTACTGCCTAGGCCGCCCCGTCCTCTAGGTAAACAAGTGGGTCGACTTTGCAACGTGGGGCGAACAGAGGAATCAGGCGGTGTCCAGAAGAATAGAGAGAGAATGTGGTCAGCCTGGGGGAAACTGCCAAACCAAAACCATGGAACAAAAAGGGCGTTGTGGATGATGCTCACTTGACCTGGCTTGCTGGGGGGGAATTCGCTATGACGCTGGTGTGGGAGAAGGGCGAATATCCCGATCACGTGTCCAAAGTCAATCACAGCCTCTTGAGAACAAGGGGTGGCGAGAGTCGGTATATGCGATTGGACAAGAGCCTCTGGCTCGGGGCCACTAGCCCGACATTTAGACGATCAAATAGTGATGGGACAAGCCATGTATCACCCGAAGGAATAGAGTAAAGCCCGATTCAATAACCACGACGTTCTAGACAGCCTCTTCCGCTTGTCTATACGTCTTCTTGCGAGTCTATCATATCTATCAGAAACACCAGTCTTTAACCCGTCAACCCCGCAACCGTTCATGCGCCTTCATATTTCTTTTGCTGATGGAGACTGATGTTGGCAGTCACAGGTTCATCATCGTCTCCATCGCCTTTCCCAAAGACATCATCGTCGTCGTCGGTTTCATCGTGATACCGTGGTCGCTCATTAGGCGATTCGTCAAAGTAGTCCATTGTGTCGTCAGCAACTGTCTCCGCGGCCACCTGTGCCTCGGGGTCGTCATTGAACTCGGGCGGCGGGAGGCCAGTCCGTCGTGCTGCATCTCGGACTGAGTTGGTTTCTTCGGCCTCCAGCTGCTTGGCTCGAGCCATGGTCTGTCGATAGATGTATAATCCTGTGAGGCTGCCCACCACAGCACCCAGTGCGATACTTCCATAGTTGATGGCACGATCTCCCATGGTCATCTTCTCCCGTGTCCGGGCGATGACGGCCAGGCGACTTCCAATGAAGACGTGCACCAAAAGCTTGGGCGTGACTATCGCCGTGGCGAGAGCGTACGAGAGGGGGCTGACGGTAGGAAACGTGGACATGGCCCCGTTCGACAAGGAATAAGGCAAGGGACAAAGCCGGATCATGGCCAGCAACTTCAACCCGTCATGCTTCAGGATGAGGCTGAACGCAGCGAACCTCTTGTCGTGGGCGACCATGCGCTCCACCCACTTCCGCAGGATGCTTCGCGAGACGATAAAAGCGCAGAACGATCCGACCACGGTCGCGGAGGCAAGAATAAGCCAGCCTTCGACGACGCCATAGACGAAACCGGCGGTGGTGCCGGCAGTAGAATATCCAATAACGGGAGGGAAGGCACAGCAAAAGACAATCGCCCACAAAATTGTCCAGCCCCCAGTCGTGTGTTTCCAGCGTTCAGCAAGAGGTTCGAGCCAGCCGAAGATCCGTTCGTTGAAGGTAAGGAACAGGACGCCCACAGTGGCCAACACCACCAGACCAATGCAGGCGAGGATTTTTTGTAACAGAGTCATGCCACTCCACACTCTCAGCACACGGCGACTCATTTTCTCGGCGTTATTGATCAGCTCGTCTCGCCATGCCGTTGATCGGTTTCGAGCGAACGGAGAACTTCTGCCCGTGGAGATGGATCGTCGAGGGGGTCTCCAAGGACTGAGGAGCCCGGCGGGAGGAGAGTCGTCGTCGGAATCGGGTAGTGATAGAGGGGTCGGAGCCATGATGTAGGAGGAGAACAGAGGAGGGTGATGTAAATAGGGACGCCGAGATGATCGAGAGTGAGCCCAGCACAGTGCAGGCCGTTTAAGAGGCAAACGGGGATGCGTTGGTGGCACGAGCTCAACGGATGCGATCGTCGGCCATGTTGTAAGAAGGACAGATGGATTTCGAGCAGCACTAAGAGGTATACGAGGAATTGAGATGAGAGGTGTAGGTATTGTAGACGTGGGCCGCAGAGAAGATGATGGTGATGGCAAACTGCGGCCTGGAGGTTGGCGGGCAGGTGAGTTTCGGATCGAGCTACGACGCCAATTCCGGCTTGTGGATCATGCATATTAATTGTTATTATCTTAAATATTATCCATGTGCTCAGCGAACGAGTATTATTGGTAGTGGTGCTTGTGCCTTTCATTAATCCAGTGCTGGGGTTTGCATACGGCAAATGTCTATACAGAGTACTCGGGATTCAATACCTCAATGATGTGACATCTTTTCAACCCTTTCTGGTGTAATATGAGAACGGGCACCAGTTGTCGTCCCTTCGGCCCTTTCTGGTGCCCAGCACGCCACTGTTTCACAACCAATGTTGAGACTTTATTGTTACAACAACTGTGACTGTACCGAGTACCTCGTACCGTGTCCTTCCCTGAGTATGTCTGCTCCGTGCACGATGTACTTGTCCTGAGTAGAGACGTCTCTCCTCAGCCGCTCTTCTGAACTTTGTATTCCGTGTATGAGGTATATATGTATAGTACACCAATCTTGGGCTCTTTCACTGGATGCCGAGTGGAGGTGGTGGCCATGTGTGAGTGCCCAAGCTGAGTAGGGGGGCCTGTAAGTTCCTAGGTGATACGAGGAATTTGGTGCATCCCGCCCGAGCTCTCTGACTGGTCGAGGGCTCAGCGCCTGGAAAGCTGGCACTGGACAGAGGTCAGTAGGCGGCGGACAGCCTAAGTTAGCGGCTAGTGGGCCCCTTCCTCCCCCGCCCTGCCTCCAAAACCACCGTGAACGACGTAGCCAAAGCCTGGAAAGGAGATGGTGCTCGTGGTGACACTTCCCACCCCCATCAACCTCCTCATCACCGTCCCACGCCCCTGGTCTCGGTTTCGCAACGAACCCATCTCTCTATCCTGGCCACCCCGGACTCGGACTCGAACTCACTTGCCCTGACAGTGTTCCTCTCCCAAGCATCCTATTCCTCCCTCCCTCGCTCCCTCACTCACCCGCACTCACTAAGCGTCTCGCTTCGCCCGCATGCCCGCGCAACCTGGAGCGGCTGAGGACCTTGATCGACTCCACTCCACCGCGCCGTCACCTTTCAGCTGGCGATGAACTTCGCATTGCCTCTATATTTGCTTGATGAACTTGTCCACGTTTGACCCTTTGGTGAACGTGTCGGCTGTCCCTGACGAGGATCCCGTCGAAGCACCCCCCCTGTCCGAACCCCCGCAGCCCCTGCTGTCGGACACTCCAGTGCTTGCTCACTGAAGCATGTCTCATATACCCTGAAGCGACCGGCACCATCACCTCAGGTATCCCTCATCTACACCTCAGCATTCGTATTCACAGGCGCACACTTGCATGTTCATGTCGGGCACTAGCCGGACCCTCTGAAAATCCCCCCGTTTCTGCCATACTACACACATACAGTTAGACTGCAATCACGACCGAAATGATTTCTGACGAACATTACGACCTTTGTCGTCCTATTCTCGACGATCCGGCTATAGAAGAGGAGGATAAAACAGAGCGGTTGGAGGAGTTACTGAGCAAAGTGGGTGGTTTGAAGGGTGCAGCTTTGGAAAATGCCGTCCTTGACGCCCTGTGGAAACATCGAAACGCTCAACGCGGTGAGACCGCTGAGACTCCCTTGCGACACAATGTCATTCGCAAGTCGTCCCCCGCTCCCTGGCAAGCTCGCGCTCCTACGCCCCTCGGGTCACCGCCGCCGCTCTCCTCGAGCCCCGCCCTCTCGGCAGGATTCCCAGCCTCGCGGCCGAGCTTCTCTCGCCAGAAGTCCAATATCCCTTCCCCCTTTGTGTCTCCTCGTCCTTCACCACGCCTTGCTCTGGCCCAGCCTATCCCTCACAGTCCGAGCTTGAATGCCTATGAATTTTCCGATGCGAGTCCTGCCCCGGATACTTATGGCGACTATGGACACGAGAACGTGGACTGGCTACTGGCTGACGAGTCCACCAGTAATGCTTCTTCCACGGCCACCGGCGGCTTGAGCGCTGCTGCACCAGAATGGGTCCCTCAGCCAGATATGAGTCCCTATGATATCTTGCGTTCCGTCCTGGGCGACCGGAAGACCGACGAAGAGATCGAGGAAGCCTCAATAAGAACTCGTACGACTTGGGGGCCACCATTGCCTCCTTGCTTGGAACCGACACTGCCGATACGCAATACACGGGAGTTCCGTCGGCTGAGAACAACGTTCTGGTCGGCAAGTCCATGGCAGTCAACCCGGCCCGACCTTCCACCCCCAGCTCGCAAAAGAATCCGATCGTCTGCAAATACTGGCTGACATCGGGTTCCTGTCTTCGTGCCGACTGTCGTTTTGCTCACGACACTAGTGGCTATCTGTGCAAGTGGGACTATTTTCCGTTATTGCTCTTCTTTGTTCTTGTACTGATGAATGCTATAGATACTGGATGAATGGTAATTGTCTTGCGGGAGATGCATGCCAGTTCTCCCACGACCCCGCGCTTCTCATCAATCATCTCACAGTTGGCGAAGGCCCTGTTGCTCCCCAACCATTTCAACTGCAGGATCACTATGAACAATTTCCCTCGCTCAGCAACCTCAGCAACCAAACCGTCAGGAACACTCTCCAAGCTGGCTTGGCCGCGGGAAACGTTTTTGTCCCTGCTAATCAAAAGAATCGTGGTGCTTTGAGCAACTTGGCCGCTGGCCCTCGCTCCCATTCTCGACCCAATTCGCGCCATCAAAATCGACCGGAGACACCTTCGTCTTTGTCCATGGACGATCCTGAGGCGTTTCCAACTCTGGGCTCTGCCAAAAGGGGATCTAAGCATCATGGCCACCGGTCAAGACATGGTCATGGAAGTGCAGAGAAGGAGACACCTTCTTCACTCGCAGACGTTGTTCGCATGTCTCCATCCCCTGCTACCGCCCAACAGCGCAAAGTTGATGCGGGCCGGAAGATCAGAACGTATGGCGGCTCTGAGAGTGCCGCAGCACGAAAGATTCCCGAGCCTCAGCATATCCCGTGGCTGGAGACCGGGGGACGTGCCAATCAGCAGTATTTGAAATACAGACAGGAAGCGATCAAGCACGGAAGTATACGAAATAAATTCCTGCAGAGGTAAGTCCACAGCAATACTATCAGGATTTTCATGAATACATGCTGAAAGAGCCCAAAGCGCGGCTCAAGCTTGGAACCGGAACGATGCCCGAGCTGCCAAAGCCCTCTCTCTCCGGGGCCAGGCTGAAAATGATGCGATGCGCAAAGCACACCGCGAGGCTGCCAAGGCCCTCTACGAGGAACGAAACAAGCATCTCTCCACCTCCCCTGTTGACGACGACGAAGAATTGTACATTGACCTACACGGCCTGCATCCGGAGGAAGCTATCGAGTACCTTGAGAACATCCTCCTCACCCATTCCAAGAGAGGCAGAAGAATCATCTATGCGATCACCGGGACCGGTCATCACTCCAAAAACGGTAAGGACAAGGTGGGAAAGGGGGTGCGGAACTGGCTGAATGAATGGGGCTACACCTTCCGCGAGTTTAGTGTACCCGGCGAAAGGGGTGGATATATCGGTGGTGTGCTGGGCATTGATATCACCAGCCACAGGCGCCAGCCTCTCTCCGCTGATGAGAAGGGGGATGGAACCGAACAGGAGACCTCACCGACGCCAGCCGTCGTGACCGCCGTGGGGAGTGGAAGGATCCAGGTCCTCAAGCGCGAGGAAGTGCCTGCGTGAAGCTTGGAGCCAGCTGGGGGCTTGAGTTGGATCTAGAGTACGAGACTTATGGTCAACCAACTTTGGTGCTGTAAATCCTTGGATTGGGTAAAAGGATGGAAGGCCACGCGTGATAGCGCCTTCTAGGGCCCTATACGTGCTTGGGGGGAGGAGTCTATCTGAAGCCCTATCCAGCAGCAGCAGACTGGGCTGGATACCTACCATCCTTTTTTGGGGCTGGGGGCAGATCTATGAGCTCACACAACAATCGACATGCACTGTGTGTGGATTCATCCACATTGGCTCGCTCTTCCACAGCAACACAGTATAAACTCGTGTGTCCACACAGCCTGCAGGGCAATATATGTGCAACTCGTTGTACATCCCCTCTCCTCTCGTCCAATCACGTGTAATATCTCCTGCCCTTGCGATGTTTTACCGCCACTGCACCCCGAACATCTTGGCGGCCTTGCCCTTGATCCCCCTCTCGGCCTCCTTGTTCTCGAGGTACACGGTCTCGTGGCCGCGGACGGTCAGGCTGAGCATCTCGTACTCCAGCCGGTCGCCGTCGCGGGGCCGGGTCATGTGCACGGTGACGACGCCGCGCACGCCGGTCTCGGCGCCCTCGACGTTGAAGTGCATGCGGAAGTGCGTGGTGCCGAAGCGGTCGACCTCGGTGGAGTGGGCCAGCGGGCGGGCGCGCGCCCATTTGTTCGACGTCGGCTCGCCGTACGCGGTGATCTGCGACGCCGGGCCGAGCAGGGCGCGGCATTCGGGCGAGGACTTGACGCGCGACACCGCGGCGTTGAATTGGATCGTGTACGACTCCGGGGCGAAGAGGTCGGTGTACAGGAAGTAGGCGATAGTGATCTGTTTGATTGGGGTTTTCGCTCCGCGTCAGTCAGTGTGTTTCAACGGAGCTTTAGGGGAAGGAACGAAAGAGGAAGAAAGGAAGAACTCAACTGTTCCGACCAGACCCAGCGAGACGAGCAGGAAGTTGAACGTCTGCTGGGTGCCCCGCGCGGCCTTTTCGCCCGTGCTCAGCTCGTTCCAATTATACCGGCCGTCGTCCGAGGTGACGGTGACGGCGCGTCGACCCGAACTCGAGCTGGAGCTCGTGCTTGCATGGCGCGATTGTGGTCGTCGAGTCGCAGGGGGGAGCGGTGTGTGGTGATGGTGACGATGGGCAGAGAGGTCCTGACGGGACGAGGAGAACGACGACGACGAAGACGCGGACCGAACGGGAGGGATGTTCAGACAACATAGATAGTTTCCTTCAGGCACGCGAAGACCCGACCGCGGTGCTGCAAAGTCCAGCAACAAGCCGCCAGCCGTGGAGCTGGGAAGGGCAAGACTGCCCATACCTATGCCCATGCCGCCGCCGCCGCCGCCACCACCGCCATGTGCCCTGCGCAGACGGAGCCGACACGTCCGCTGGAAGGCGCGAGCTTTGCTGGCCATTGTTCTGTGCCCTATCCTATCCTGAGCTAACCCGACCTGATCGGCTTTGTATATATGTTTTCCTCTTCCACTTCTTCCGCCTTCCAGGCCGGTTCTCGCGAGATTGCTTCGGTTTTGGTGATGCACGTTGAGTTGAGTCGGAGCGGGGGAGCCGAGGCGCTCCGGAGGACAAAGAAAAAAAAGAAGCAATGGTTGAAAGTAATTGACTGTAGTTGTGTATGGACGTCGACTCTCCTCTTGAAATTTGCGGGGACCCCAAATGGGCTCCCGAGGGTGGGAATTGGAAGGTCTGCCGCAACACGTGACGCAATACCACGTTTTTGTTCAGAGCAATACACGACAGAGCGAAACGCCACTCCGTTCCTGATATGGAGCGGATACGATAGCATGTAACTACTTGGCTTGCCCAAGCACCTCATCCGTGTCCTCACCCCGTCACCACCAAAAACCTTACAGAGGAGGTGTGCTTACCGTTAAGGAGCCAAGGAAGTGCCTAAGCCCATGGAATCCGCTTCTGGTAGAGAGAGACTAAACCACCGGTGACCTTGGCGACGTGGTGAAAAGAGGAGCTAAAGACTCCTTGCTGAGCGCCATATCCGCGTCGCACGGTCGATGGCCTGGTTGGGAGCAGAGTGGGAGGACGGCTTCACCTCCAAGCCAGTGCCGACCAAGTCATCTTGTGTGAACGGGTGGTCTTTTCTTCTGGTCAGTCATCCATGAACGGATGTGCAGAAACTCTAACATGTCAATAGCAGTGGTGTTGACGCTACCGATATGGCAATGGCGCCTTATCATGATATTCCCGATTCGTTTTATTATCCCAGGTGCCCAGTACACCCCCATTGCCCGCTCGCTCCTGGTCATGACCCTGCTTTTCTCCTTCGCCTGCGCGCTGTTCTCGCTTGTGACATCTTATCCAAGGTAATGTGGTACTTTCTTTCGTCGCTGCCAGGTATCCAAGTGAATAACTCTTCAGACCATTCCCCGCTCTGCCGACCCGAGTCCCAGTCCAGTCCGACAGTCCGCCCATATCGAACCCAAAAGTTGATTCCGCCATAGCCAGGAACGCAAACACCCCCCCAGGGATGCATCTGCTAGCCTTTATCCCCGTCCTGGATCCATTGATACTTTCCTCCCTTGAGCTTGCCCTTCCGCGCTCGGTCTTTCGGTCACGCTCGACAGAACTTCGTCACGTGGTCTGTCAAATGATCTTCCTCGCTGCGCCAAATGCTCCTGGGCGAATGCTGTCAGACTACTCCGAGAAGAGCCTTGCTCGTTCCGAGGAGGACTCTTTGCCCGCTCTTTCTCGGCCAGCCTTTCGTCTCGGTTCTGTGAGATCTTGGCTTTCCATTTCCCGAACAAGCCCTTCTTCTCTGTCTCCGCATTCGCATCCTTTTGCACATCGTTGGATTCCTGACTGGATTGGCCAACAAGGGGCTGCTGTCCACTTCCACCGATTGGATCGATATACGAAGATTGCGTCGCTTGGGAGTCCCCGGTAAAGCTCTTCCGAGGTCGATTGGAACTCCCGATTGAACTGTTGCTCCCTCTTGCCCCGGCGTTCTGGCCGACGGGCGGTGGTGGTGCAAGCGGCGACTGCTCCCCTTTCTTTGCCGAAGAAGAGAACCTCCATCGATGACGGCGCTTTTCCTTCTCAGGTTGCTGCAGCGCATCGTCCACGACATCGGCATCCGAGGGGTCGGTAAAAGAAGAGCGGGAGTGCGTCGACCCCGGCGGAGACGTACGAGGTTTGAGCCCGGGTGCATGGTTCTGCACGTTGTTCCCAGTCGGCGGCGTCGAGAACGGCTTCGAATTGGGTGTTTCATTGACAGGTGTTGCTGCAGTGTTGGTCAGAACGGGACCTTGAGGTGCAGCCAGTGGATCGTGTCGCCCGACGCTATTGATATCAGGTGATACCAGAGGCGTCTGGAAGGTGGCCCCGTCATCGCCATGGAGCGAGTTCAGCGAGCTCTGAGCACTGTCGTTGGTACTTCCAGGCAGCTTTGGTTTCTTTTGCAACTTCCTTGGTTGCCTCCCATTAGGATCGGATGGACCAAATATCGGGGACTTGGGGAAAAGATTAGATATCTTTCGTTCTCGAGTCGTGATGGGTGATGGAGCCGCCGCCGCCGCCGCAGCAGCAGCCGTTACCGGTGCCTGGCCGGTCGAGTTTTGAGTTGTTCCGCCCTGTGCTGCTGGTGGAGGTTGGGTCAGTTGGTGCGGAGATTGACCGGGTGCCTGGGCGGCTTGTGCAGGAACCAACGTTCCTCTGCCGTCAGCATCATCTGGTTGGATTGACCCAGATCTGGATGGCCTCGACTCCGTCGTCTCCTGGTTCAAGGCTGAACCTGCAACAGGCGCGGCTTGCGGTCCCACGGCTTGGACTGTCGAGTCTGTGTTGTCATTAGTTCTCTGAAAGCGATTCCCGGTAATCGCTGGAGATCGCTTCGATGGCACGGTATTGCTCCGTGCAATTCCAGCACCTCCCGCGAACGAAGTTACCCCAGATGGAGTACCGGGGCTCGAAACCCCAGGGCTCCCGCGTTCTCTGGAACCGCGTGACGAGACGGAAACATTGCGTCGGACCCCATATTTGCGCAGACTGTCAGCACCAGCACTGGCATTGGATGCAGACCGTACCACCGCCTTGGGAGACCGTATGGACGGTGCGCCGCTCTCAACATCCTTCTGAGTCTTCTCATCAACGGCGGTGCCGGACATTCCAATGAGGAAATTATCCTGATTCTCGATCAAGAAGATCAAGACCTCTTGACTGAGTCGATATTCAGCCGGCGACATATCGTGTGAAGGATGAGAGATTATGCCCGGCTGGAAGATGGCAGCGAGGTTGCCAGCAGTCATGCGGTTGAGGTCCGACTTGGACGCAAAGACGGCCAGTAAATCGAGGATATAGAGGAGCAATTGGCGATTCAAAGGCGGCAGCTCCGTGATGAGTTTCTGATACGCGGAGACGGCGGCGCTGTGCTCGCTGACACTCATGTCTCGAGACTGCATTTCTCCATCCGGCCCTGTCGGGACCTGAACCTGGCGAAGTGGCTCGCGGAATCTTTCGTAGAAATCGAGGGGAACAATGGGCTCCGGGAGCTGGTTGAGGTAGCGGCGGAGGATGTTGGCCGCGTCGTGGACAGTATAGCCAGTCCAATCTAGCCCCTTTCCGTACCTGTCAGGCGAGTTGAAAATGGTCTGCAAGTCCTTGATTCGTTTCGCGGACCCGCTCAGCCGGAAGATGCCCTCGACATCAGTGGCTGCCGACCTGTCAGTTGCTTGTACAGTGTTTTTTTCCAGAAGCATGTCCCTACCTTTCTCTTTGAGAAACACTCCGCATTTCGCAACCACGATCGGAACGTAGCCGTAGATGAAACTCTCGCCGTATTCGTTCTGCAGGGAGATGGCGACATTTGCATATCTGATGCTGTCGGCCAGAGGAACGCCGAAAATACCAGTAGGAGCTTCGACTAGAAGAGGAGTTAGCTGACAAGCCGCTCACGGTGGACGGACAAACAACGTGAAAGGAGGTCGGCTGTCTGAGCGACAGCGCCCCCCAGAGACACCCAGGTGTTTTGGTTCTCTTACCCTTCTCACCCGCCTTTTCGGTGGTCTTCCTGAACTTTTTCCACCATGATGCTAGTTCTCGCTTAGACGGAGGAGAGGCAGCGGTGGTGGCCGTGGTATTCAACGGTGCTGGCGCAGGTGCACCACCACGAGGTGTTTGTGATTTTGGGGCGAAGGGTCGTGGAGGGCTCGGAGTGCCTGCGCCTCCCGTTGCCATAATGAGGCTAGAGGCGCAGATGCGCTCTTCGCCACGGTTTGGAGGGAGGGAGACCGGTTGCCTATGATGCCTGATGCGCCTTTTAGTGGTGAATGAGTGATTTTAGTTGATATCACACAGTATCGCACAGTGCGCGACTCTCCTTCAATCGACGCAGTTGACCAGCTTCACGCGTTGTTTGACCAGCCCGCCGAATGCAATGGAAGCGGTGACCGTGGCAGAGACGGACAAAGGGGACGGGTGAAGATATCTGAGGAGATGCCTTTTCTTAATTTGTACTCAAAAGGTCGGTTTGTGAGGGCGACCAGCTGAAGTGACTGGCAGGCCAAGCGCGCAGCAAGGGTGCCGACGCCGATCGAGGGAGTTTCTGGACGATCGAGAAGGCAGTCAGTCAGACTGATGGTGTCCGTATGATGGCAAGTGGAAGGATGCTGGGAAAAGTGAAAAGGACAGTAATGGGTATGAAACGCGACCCTTCGGACCAGACAGGCTGCCAGGGGGGTGATGGGCGAGGGGGTGCAATTCTTGTTGTAAGATGGAGAAAGTGTTTTGGGATGTGTTGGTAGACTGGCTGGCGACTGCGGTTGGAAGACCACACAGGTCGCAGCTGAGTAGAGTTTGGGCAACAGCAGGTTCAGGTGGGTTGCTGCGGATGGTCTACGAGTAGCTGGGGGCTCACGGCCTCTAGCGGGAGGGTGGCCGGTGCCACCTATTATGTGTTAGGCAGTCAGCGATGGGCTGCTACTGGCCCTGCTACTGGGCTGCTGGGCTACCGGGGCCTAGCGGTGGTGGCAGGTGAGTGAGTACGAGGTACTCAAAAGCCACTTGCTCCCTAACCCTGCACGCCATAGGCAGATGCATTCTCTATTTGGACCGCCCCCCAAGCATCCACCCTTAAAGTCCACGCCCAAGACCATCAATTGCTTATTATTTCCCTGCGCATTTTCCTTCTCAGACATTCGCTTACCATGTCATTTGTGAGTCTAGTGCTCATTGTCGACACTGGTTCACTTGCTGCCTTGGGACGAGCACTGCACATTAGCTTGGTGCCTAGCACAGCTGTCGAGCATACCAGAATCTCTCTTGCATGTATGTCTCTGTTGTTGTCATCTGATAGAAGCCACGTCCGGAGCTACATGGCACCACAGTGATCTGCAAGGTCCGTCGACGCCCCCTCTTTGCTTGAACTATCGAAGGGCCTATATTTAACCGCGGCTACAAGCGAAGACGAGCAAACGGATCTTCTTGTCCCCCGGCCGGTTGTTCCATTTACTAAACCTGACTTTGTTGAGGCTCAGTCTCAGGTCTCGGAAACTCACACGGCCCCCAATCTTAGCCGATGGCCCCCAATATTGAATCACTTATACATCACGGAGAACGGGTCTGGAGTAACGTGCACTTGATCATGAAAACTTTTACAGCGTCATCCATTGTTGGTGGCCTCGAAAAAACAGCCGGACTCTACATAGTACACCGTAGAATAACCCGACAGCAAACGCCGTCGCCTTAGCCAACCCACAACTCCTCCTATGTCCTGCACAAACATCTATTTGGGTATATTGAGTTTGAAAAATAAAAAATGTGAAGAAGAACCTCGTGGCGGCACTGTGCAATCGTAGTGGTTGGGTGCCACCGTGGCGGCTTCTACCGTTCATCCTCGTCCTCGGCGATGGCGTTGGCCAGCTGAGGCGCTGCACCGCCTATCGTCAGGTCTTTGAGCGCCTTGTCGAATTCTCTGCTCATCCCGTGCTTGACTGCTTCCAGAACGTTGTCCACGGTCATTTTGGGCATGTACCGGGGCCGCGTGCCTTCTTTAAAGACACCGGTGCGGACCAGGATGGAGTACCACGTCGCCTCGGAGTCGCCTGATTCGTCGAATTCGTTGGTGCCTCGAATGTCTGATTCCGGGGTGTCGCCAACGAAATAGACTGTCTCCGGAGGTCGATCGATCCCGTGGGTATCTTTCCGCCATTGCTGAAGCAGCCTGGTGGCGAACTGGAACGTGCCTACCTGAGGCTTACCGAAGGCGATGGTCTTCAACTCCTTCCCCGTGATGGCCTTGAACATGGCTTCGAGAGACGCGCGTAATGCCCCCATGCCAATGCGAGAGTAGGCGTGAGAAGTCGCCCAGACCACATCGTTGTGGGAGAAAATGACCGGTGGACCTTCATCGAAGGTTTCAGACCTGGTACCCAACCGTCCATTCTTGCTCATGCACAAGTCGAGGATGATCTGGGAGTCCCCAGCCCAGTCTCTACTGTCAGCAAACACGAAGACGGCCTCGATCTCGATTTCTCCATAGTTTCGAACGTTGGAGTTTCGGTGCTCTTCGTCCGTCAGTTTTCTAAAGGGCGTGGTATCTGCGTTGTCTTTGATAATGTCCCCAGGTGTGATGACGTCTTTGAAGCCGTAGCCCTTGGCCACGTCGCGACACTTTTCGCCTTCACCGCCAACGACAAGGACCGTGTGATACTTCTCAGCCATTTCCCTCATGGGCGTGTGCCCGCAGATGAACTGGCCGGGTGACACTTCCATCTGGAGTTGGTTGCTGAGCTGGATGCATCGTTCCTCTTCGGTCTTTCCGCCACCGTTGGTGACGAAGATGTAAGGACTGTTGGACAGGGTTAGACGCTCACAACTCAGTAAGGTGGGACAATAGAGACACGTACACTTTGACTCCATATTCATTTTGGCCATTGAGGACTTTCATGGCTTCTACGGCCTCGGGGATGACCTCGCCACCCTTGATGAGGACTCCATCTATATCAAAAGCGAAAGCATACTTGTCGGTTGTGCTCAGGCCGCTGTCGTCAGGCGTAGTTGGTCCCGAATCAGGGGGTGTGACTGTTGGTGATGATTCAGCCAAGTGATGCTTCGCCATTTCCATAGCACGGGCCGTCTCGTTGGCATGGCTGTGGTTTTCCAGATGTTGTGGCGGAGCAACAACGGTCGGTCCTCCAAATAGATCCGCCCTTTGGGCACTTTGACTGGATAACCTGCGCATGGTTCGCGAGGATGCCTTGCTGGAGGTGGGATACAATGTGTTGTTGTCCACATCTGCGGACTGCCCGTCGGTTGACATGATGGGCAACCTATTTGAGCGCTTCTCCGTCTCAATGTAGAGCAGAATCACCAAAGTATCGCGTTCGTGGAACACCAAGATGAAATGAGGACAAGTTCACGTCGCCTATAGCTCGTTTGGAGAGTATGGGGTCAGTGACAGGAGCACTTCACGCTCCAGGCCTGGGGGAGGGGGGAATTATATATCAGCCTTCCACAGGGGCACGGCCGCCTTCAGTGAGCACGCCCTCGAGGCAAATCGGAAAGACACGTGGAGCAAAAGTGGAAGATATCAGACACTTGGAACAAAAACAGTGGATATCACGAAAACTGAGGCAAGACGGTCTCTCGGTGAAGGGATGGAGCACTGCTCGGCAGGTCCATAGCCACAGCACAAGGACGATGGTAACGATGGGGATGTCAATGACGTCGCTGTGGAAGGGTTTATATCCGGTGGGCGAATAGAGACTGATTCTCGTAAAGACGGTGCATTTAAAACCTCAGACAGACCCCTGTTGACGCTGGGGCAGCCAACGCGCTTGAAAAGCCGCATCCACGATGGATTCTCTAATACACCACTGGGTGAGGGAACGACAGGTACCAGCCGCCGTGGCTGGATATCGCCGAGACGTCGAGTTACAGAGTTACAGATTTTTCTGCAGCGGTCCACATGTCTTTGTTGCCATATGAGCCCTACAAACGAATCGGCTGCTCGCCGTCTCCAGTTTTCAGCCTTCTCCTTCACCATAGCTCGACCATTGTTTTTTTGGAGCTGACGATCATCCAACGCCACTGCTGTCATCAATCTCCATATTTCCTTCCATATTTCGTCTTGTTGGCTGTGACCCGGCTTCCCTAGTCAGGAGTACCCGGCTCACCGGCTTCGAAATCTGATGAGTCGGGTTCTCATTCGTCTTCGTTGTACTGACTCGGAAGCCTCGTTCACGTGGAGCCTTGAGGTTCCAAGGTACCTACACGTTGCATTCACATGTGCCATGCTGATACGTTCCCGCCTGCAGGAGGCGCGGGAAGAGGCCCCAGATAAAAGCGGCGTTATCCCCTTCGAGACAATGACCCTGCCGGTGGGACTTGAGAGCATCCTGCTGGCTGCCGATTGCATATCCTGGTGTTGACCGTCTGATAGTAGAACAAGCCGGATCAGGTGCAGATGGATTCGTGGTCTTGCATACAGGCGGGTTGCCCGAGGCCTATCAAAAGAGACAACCGTTCTCGTTCTACCCACTCAGCTCCTCCTCAAGATAACGTGAGAACGCAAGAACGAAAGAATACATGCCGAGTGATAAGATCAACGCTGAACAATGATGTTGACTGCTGAGACATCCCGCCCAAAACATGTGCCTCTGGGGTTCCCACGGTCGATGTGAAGGACCTGGTGTGGGACAACACTGGTGGTGACACTGGACAATACCTAGATGTGGAACTCGTTGTCCAACCAGTGCTTGACCACCAATTTGCCCTCTTCAAACGCAGGTTTTGGAGCACGCACAATGATCGCGGCATGACTGTGGCTGCTTTTCTGGATGTATACGGGAAACTTGCGAAATCCCACATCATCCAGCGCTTTGATCATGGCAAATTGGGCCGTGGTCAGTGCTAAGGTCGGGAAACCGAACGGCCTTTCAGATAGCAAAGGCTCACCGATGTCTGACTTCTCAGACAATAAGGATTCAGACGAGGTCTTCGCAAAGGCCATTGTAGACGAGCCGGGATCCTCTACTATTGCATCTGCTATCTCCTCCGAACCATCCGGTAGATACTCCTGTTCCTGAGAAGCATTCACGTTCTCAAAAGCATCCTCAAGGCCCACACGCATGTCCTGGACCATCCAGGGGATCCTGTACAGTCCAAATCCTTCGCCGTGACGATCGGCCTCATGAAGCATAATTCTCCGCCGACTGCGCAGTGTCTGGATGCCAGAATTCACCACAAACGCCACCAAGATGACAGGGAGAAGGACCACCAGTGCAAGCAGGATGGGTGCGCGTCGCAAATAGTGGTGCCTATGCATGTGCAGTCTCTGGTAAAACGACGGCACCTCATCCTGCGGCATCAGGTCGCATGGATGGTCTGGGTCCAGTATCACGGGTTCGTAGCCTTTGACATAATGGAGGTTGACCTTGGTTAAATCGACGAATGGATCATGCTTGGAGATTCCGGTCGTATAATAGACGGCGGACCTATCATTGATTATGTTTGTGTACAGCGTGCGATGTTGAAAGCGAGCAAGAGCATGAATGAAGATGCTGTCGGGGTCTGCGAGAACGCTGAGGAGTGGCCTCCCTGTATCCCCAAACTTATCGATGGTGAACAACTGTCGGCCCGAAGTAGAGAGCATCCTCGCACCCAGCACATTCCAGAGGTGATTCTATAGCACGTCAGTGAAAAACCGATGAGAATGGTGGAGATTTGCCCAATACCTGAAAACCCGTCAACGGCGTACGGACACCCAGATGGGGGCTGACAAAAGTCGTAAAGTTGACCGGGGTCATCTTCTCAAAATAACCCTTGTGATACAGCAGTCCAATGGCGTAGCGGGCAACCAGCCCTCCCAGGGAATAGCCAACAATCGAAAATCGAGTAATTTTGTGTCCTTGACGCTCTAATTCTTCCACAGCCTCTTCGATCTCTTTCGCGACCCTTTCTCCGCCCACATTGACGCCGTCATAAGTAAGACTGCCTAGATTTCTGCGACAGGCTAGGATGACGAGCTCCTCCTCGCTGTAACGGTCGCGCAGGGCGTCAGCGATGTAGTTGAGATGGCCAGGATTTCCCCAGAGGCCATGGACAAGGACCACCAGGTGCTGAGCTTTCTGAGGGGTAGATTGGCCTGATTTCCTCAGGGTCGGAGCCATTTGCCAGTTGGGGAAGAGGATCTGGCCGTCGATGCTGCGAAGGTCGAAGGGTAATGGCAATGATGGCATCGACATGGTTTTTGTACGCGTCAGGGAAGGGCCAGTCGGCAGCCAAGCCCGTGGCTCGCAAACGCTGGTGCCTGGGCCCGGTCGCCTGCAGGCCACACTAAAGTAGTAAGTCAGTCAACTAAGGAGACTCCTTTGGGCACCCCGGTACTTGTGGAATTTGGGCACCGCCTTGCTTATCCGATCCCAACGCCCCTCCGAGAGGCCCCCCAAAACCGCCGGGAAAGTGATCCAGGCGGAATTCTTATTTGCAGCCCGATAAGTGACGCAGCTTTGACCTCATCGGCTCTCAGTTCCTCCCTCGCCTGTGCTTTTCTCAAGTTTCCAACCCCTGTACGGAGTACAAGTGACAGCCGACTCCCTGGTACAGGACACACAACAGGTCTTATTGAGACAATCCCAGCGAGGCTGGCAGCCCAGATTCCCACTCCTTGTACACACGTAGATGATACGGGGTACAATTGGACAAAACAAATCGAGGAACGTTGGGGATTCTCCTTGCAAAGAGTAGAGGTGCGTTCTGCAGTGCTGGGAAAGTGGATGGGAATCAATCCCTTGCTTTCAGGGAAGCCTTCGTCGTCTTATTATGACTGCTGAGCATCTTCTCCCCACGCGTCATCTGGTGGTACCTTCGAAACCTTCGTCTAGTTCCTTTGCAGGCGTTATCTCAGCCATTCTTGGACGGGCGATAAGGCGGCTCTCCCACGCTTGAGTCCCCTCGCTGCTGTGGACGGACCCTCGCCACTGGGCCTGAAGTAGTAGGCTTATCACCCAGTACACCAACTGCAAGGCTTGGGATTAGTTGATAGGAAACTAAGGTTCCAATCTGTAGGTTCATCGAGCCTGCCTGAAACTCGGCTCTAGAGGTCGGATCGAGGCGTATCACTGGCTGTAAGAGGGAACGGCAAGGATAAGGGGTGTTCTGCGAACAGGCGATATGTGCCCAACCAAACCTTGCTGGGGCTGCGACAACCCTCCAATCGTGGTGTTGTGAGGCTAGTGAGGCTAACAAATGGATGTCGATGTTGATGTCAAGGGGGGTAATAGGTGTAGGGTCATAATGTGGCTGTCCGACTACCGAGAACCTCGTACAGTACCTCGTAGCTGATGTCTAATGTGTCTAGGTAGCTGCTTGCTGCGGCTTATTAACAGTGTTTGCGGCTGGTCACAGCCCGGGCGGGTGGCTCATTTGACCGCAGCGCCAACCAGGATTCACAACATCAACGACATCACTATCATCTATCATCATCACCACCGCATTACATTATCCACTTATCCTCTATCAGTCCTGTACCAAGAACTCTGACACTGTTCTCCTAATATGTTCTCTGCTCTTGGTCTTTTTCGCAGTGTTCCTTGTCCACGGCAGGATAACTGCGGCCTGCAGACCTGTATCTTCTTACACAGCTGCAGAGTATCTTCTCCTGAGGCAGATCCCGTGCTCAACTCTGCAAAAGAATATGACCCCTTAAGCGCTGGAGACGTATCGTCTCCGCCCTCAAAGAGAAGAAGGCTAGAATCTCCTCCCGAGCCACCAAAGAACCTTGATGCTGTGCAATCTGAGACAAGATGCTTAGATGCTTTTCCACCATCACCAACGGAAAAACAGGTGCTTCCATTGTCCATGGCAGTGAGCCGTACTACACAACAAAACCCAAGTTCGGGTCAGCTTCCACACAGTGTGGTGCAAGAACATGCCAAAGCAAAGCCAGCTTCGATGGCAAGACCTGTGTCACCCCCGCCCACAAAGATTCGCAAAGAGTCCTCGCTCCCGGTCAAAAAGCAGCCCGTGAAAGTCGAGTCACTGACGCCTCGGAACGTGGCCAGCGCCCCAGCGCTCCTGAAAACGAGGTTGACAGTGCTGCAGAAGTTGCACCAGGAGATGCAGACCCAGAACAGCAAGCTTGCGAATTCAGACAGCAAATCCAAGTCGCTCGTGCTAGATGAACAGGAATTGATCAAGTTCGCCCTCGACGAAGAGGAAGAAGCTGCCAAATTGAGTGGCGAGATCTACAAGAATACCATGGCTCAAAATATTCTACGAACCAGAAAGATGACCGTGGAGGAATGGGTCAAAAGAGTCTCCCAGTGGACTGGAGCATCAGCTACGGCGAAACCCGATACCAAGCAACCTGGTAAGGGCGATGAGCTTCTTGGTGTTGGCTTGTCATCTCTTCAGGAACAGGTCGCGGTTCTCAAGCACCTCCGGACGCCTCTGGAAGGCCTCGAGCAATACGGTTATGTGACCAGGCAACCATCCGACTCAGAACTTGCCTCTGCGAAAGCGGGATTGGTAGCAGGCAGGGGTTTCGAAAGCTGCGATCGATGTGGTACGAGGTTTCAAGTCTTTCCAGGTCGAGATGAGATGGGTCGCTTGACAAGCCAGGGACGTTGTCGTTACCACTGGGCTCGACCAAATCGCACGATTCCTCTGAAAAGAGATAGAATTCAAGGCCAATCAGAAGCAACCTACCCCTGCTGCAATAAGCCACAAGGCAGTGAAGGTTGTTCAGAAGCCGACTCACATGTATTCGTCGTCAAAGACCCCAAGCGTCTCGCAACAATCCTGCAATTTGAAGAGACTCCCGAAAAGTCCGGCGTTCGGCTCAGACAACCTGTTTCCTTCGATTGCGAAATGGGCTACACAACATATGGCATGGAGGTTATTCGAGTGACTGCCGTGTCATGGCCTGACGGGAGACTACTGCTTGATGTCCTGGTGCGACCTTACGGGGAAATCCTCGATCTGAATACCAGGTTCTCTGGGGTGACGAAAGAAGCCTATGCATCCGCGCTGCCGTATGAGGCCGCACTGTCTGACCAAGCCCAAGAAGCGCATCTCGACAACCGCCAGCTACGTAAAGTGGACTCGACGGCTGCAGCCAGGCAACTGCTGTTCGATCATATCAGCCGAGAGACTCCCCTAATTGGCCATGCAATCGAGAACGATCTGAATGTGGTGAGGATCATACACCCCTGCGTCGTCGACACAGTCCTGTTGTACCCTCATCCGCGAGGATTGCCGATCAGGTACGGGCTGAAGATGCTCAGTCAAAAGTACCTGTCTCGAGGCATTCAAACAGCGGGCGATGCTGGGCATGATTCCAAAGAGGATGCCATCGCCACGGGAGACTTGGTCACTAAGAAGGTGGCAGAGAAATGGAAGCTGATGAGATCTGAAGGGTGGGCGTTTATTGACGGAATACTCACGGCACCGGACGAGGCGAAGGCGGTGGAAGTTTAGAACACGTGCATATTAGCCTTCGTCCTCGTCCTCGTCCTCGTGCTTGGGACCTTTCCACTATTCCGTCTTGAGTCTAGTGGCAAGCAGTGCCAGTTTCTCCTTTAATCCACGATTCCACTTTGACTTGCAGCACGCGCCCCTTTCCGAACTTGGAGTCTGTGAACCGCGCCTGCAGTAGTAGCCAGGGTACAATTTCATCCACTCAATCGACGGGATTGTCCCCTGAAATTCTTTGAAGAGTGGGAGCCTGTTTTTGAGGCTGTATGAAATTGCTTGAGATTCCCAGACTCCGCCCTCGTCCTCGTCGTCCGAGTCCTGCGTAGGCGAAACTCACTTGCTGGGTCGAGTCGGTGACCCGCAACCAACCTGATCTCTACGGCTGCCTCCCACTGCGCCCAAACCACTGATCCCCAGCAGCGCCGCACCTCCTGAGCGATAGGCTGCGCACTGCAGCAAACTCACACAAGATGGGCAACCAAATATCCAAGATGATGGGGAAGATCTTCGGGTCGAGAGAAATGCGACTGTTGATGCTGGGCCTTGATGCGGCTGGCAAAACAAGTGAGTCCAAACAGGGCGACGGCGCAGTCCAATGCACCGTCTGGTTTCGCAGAAATGCATGGGTACTGACGTGTTTGCAGCAATCCTCTACAAGCTGAAACTGAATCAAGATGTCACCACGATCCCTACGGTCGGTTTCAACGTCGAGACCGTCACCTACAAGAACGTTAAGTTCAACGTCTGGGATGTGGGAGGGCAGGACAAGATTCGGCCGCTATGGCGACACTACTTCTCGGGCACCCAAGGGCTGATATTTGTGATTGACTCCAACGACCGAGCACGCATCGACGAGGCCAGGCAGGAACTGCACAGGATCATTCTGGACCGGGAAATGAAAGAGGCGCTCTTACTGGTGTTTGCCAACAAACAAGACATCCCAGGCTCCATGACCCCTACGGAGGTGACTGAGAAGCTACGACTGGGGCAATTAAAGGACCGAACTTGGTACGTGGTGCCTAGCTGTGCGACTACAGGAGAAGGACTGCTCGAAGGATTGGTGAGTTTGAACTACATCTTAAGATTATATTACCCGTATTGACTGGCCCTCGCAGAGCTGGCTCTCGACGAATGTCAAGGCCCAACCAAGGCCCGCACCCGCTAAATAACACACCTCAACTGATGAAGATAGTCTTGGCTTGCATGAAAGTATTCAGATTGGCCCGGTGGAAGGGACATGTGGCGACGATCTGGACAACAGCAACCACGATACCTACACGGGGGTGGATCGCATTCGAGAAGCATTAGATCAATGGAGTTCAGGGCATTGAGGTTTCCCAGCGTCACGACAGGGCGGGGAAGCTGTAAGAGCAGGGGACAGATCGATACTCTTGAGAGTGGGAAGGAAACTCGTGCATAACCACCATGACCTTTTTTTTGCTGTTGTTCGATTGCCCAACCTCATACCATGTTCGCGATGGGCAACTAGAGGGGGAACGGGAGGGGATGGATGGGCAGATCGCAGACATTCGACACTCTTTGAATTAGGGGAGACGCGAAACAAGTCGGCGAGTCAGGCATTGGCCGGGGGGAGGGGGTATGTTGGTGCAACCACCATGGATTGTCCTAGTGTGTACCTTTTTATGTCTGTACAAGTATGTACTATTCGTACGCCGGCACCAACCACTTTGGTAATGGGGAGAGGGCGCTTTCAAGGGAATAATAGACCAGAGTGAACGTTGTGATGGTGTCGATCCGAAGCCATGGAGGTCGTTCTGTGCAAACCATGCCGTTGTGACCGATCACCATCAACACGATCGTTAATAGCTCTTCATCCATTATGGAGAAAATAAACCCTCGGACGGTCTTGGAATGCTGCAGCTACTACACAAGGTGGGCAGCCGATACTTGTTCGGGGCACTGGCCGTCTGGTGCCCCCCACCCACTACTCGGGGCGAGCCATGCTGTTTACGAGCTGGATCATCTGCTCCCCATCGTCAAGATGGCCCCCTGGGCCCTTGTGACCCTCCAATGCATCGGATATGCACCTCGATGCCTTGGGTTGTACCAGTGACAACAGTGTCTTTATCGCCAGCTCCGGCTGCCCAACCCCTTAACGATCGCAACGGCGGACCTGCATGAACCCCTGAACCTCAAAAGGTAAAAGCCTAGCGGGCAGCAGATCGCAAATGCAAGGCTAACGGGTTCGTGTGGCCATGTTGCGGGATGGCACACTTTGCGAACAAAACAATTAAAAATCCTCGAGTTTCATCGTCTTCAGACATCCCGTCCATCCCATCCCATCCGCCTCGTGGCTGCCCTCCCTCCCCCCTCCTCTTCCTCCTCTTTCCGTCCTCGTCCACGAGAAGAGTCCATCATCTGACTCTATTTAAATCTCGACTATTGCTCCTCCTAATTACGCCATCCAACGCCATCTCCAGCTTTTTACGTCCTGCCGAGACCCGAACCATCCATCCCCCGCCCTCAGCCTGCTGCCACCTGCCACCTGCCTTCTGGCTCTGACGGCCCGAGCCTGCCCAAACCCCCGTCAAGGTCTCAAGCTTCCCGTCCCTCAGTGGCTTCACCTCCTCCTCCTCGTGTGGCATTGTTTTGAAGCTTTGGGAGCCACTTTTCTCTTCCCCTCATCCTCATCCACAAGGTCCCATCGGTGCACCCCGTGCCCGCTGGTTCCGGTGTCGTCAAAAAGCAGAGGGCTATCGTTGGGATCTAATTTGGTCCCAGGTCAACAGGGACCCTCCTTCCTCCGGGCACCTGCCAGTTTCATCCTCCATCTGAGCAGGAGCTGGGCCCTTAAGAAGCCCATTGCTCCATCTTTCGGCGTTGTCTCCCGGCTCTCTCTGGCGTTTAGTATTCTCTGATTCTCCGTCTTGTTGCATCCTGTCATCTGTTCATTTATCCTCTTACGGCCATGTCCGACCTGAACGGTACACCCAAGGGCACCTCCAAGCCCTCAGTGTTGATAGTGGGGGGTCTCGGTATATATGCACGCCCTCGAAGATGCATCCCCATGCGCATGCGCTAACAAGGTTCTGGCAGGCTACATTGGTCGCTTTTTGGCAAAATATATCCATTCGTATGACCTAGCCTCCTCGGTTCGCCTGGTTGACAAAGTCCTCCCCCAGCTCGCCCATCTTGCTCCAGAGTTCACCGAAGCATGCTCCTCGGACAAGTTTATCCAGGCAGATGCCTCTCGCGAGACCTCGATGGCTCGTATCTTCGAGCACCCGGATGGTCCCGGCAGAACGTGGGACTTTGTCTTCAACTGCGCTGGCGAGACGGCTTGGTCGCAGACTTCAGAAATATACAAACTGCGCTCGTGGCAGCTGAGTGTCACGCTGGCGAACGAGGCTGCTAAGCGCGGCGTCAAGTCCTTTGTCGAGGTCAGCACGGGCATGGTGTATGCGCCGAATCGTACGCCACGGAACGAGCAAGACAAGTTGAAGCCGTGGCTGAAATTGGCCAAGGTGAAGCTCGAAGCGGAACAAGAGCTGTCGAGGATCCCGGGGCTGAACCTGGTCATCCTACGTCTGGCGCATGTCTACGGACAGTATGACTCGAAGTTCATTGCCAAAGGATTGTGCCTGGCTCGAGTCTACCAGGAACAGAAAAAGGAGCTGAAATGGCTGTGGACCGAGGACTTGAGGATTAACACCGTCCATGTGGAAGACGTGGCGCGAGCGTTGTGGGCAGCGGCTGTGTGGAGATCACAGAATTCGACGATCCCTTCATCATCTTCTCCTACCATCACTCGGAGACCGACATTGACTAAGGGAGAGGACGCCCCGAGCGGCAACGTGCCTATTTTCAACATTGTGGACCACGGAGAGACGAGCCAGGGCAAATTCGCCGACATTGTTTCCAAAGTTTTCGACATAAGGACCGGCTTCCAGGGAACAATCATCTCCTCGTTTGCAAAGATGAACCTCGAGCACGTCGTCGATGATCTCAACGAGGACATTCTTCAGCCGTGGGCCGATATGCTCGAGCGAAAGGGCATCACGAAACCTGGGCCTCTCAGTCCTTTCTTGGAAAAGGAATTGCTCAAAGACACAGATCTGAGTCTCGACGGCAGTCTATTCGAACGCGTTGTGGGTTTTACCTACGAGCGACCTGAAGGCCTGACGGTAGAAGGCGTCAGAGAGATGATCTCAAGTTATGAAAAGATGGAATGGTGGCCGTGATGCGTGCTTTTTCTTTTTCGAGGGCTTTTTGTTCACGTTCCAGCGTCATACTCGAAACCTAGCCACAGGTGCGACTGTTCGGGGGGAGGGGTTGTCTTTTTGTTTGGTCTTTGGGTTCATTTCACCGAAATATTTGTTTGTGGGACACCAGTTACCACCTAGGCCTTTCTCTCATTCACCTTCTCCATCAAAGCATACGACCATGGCGTTCAGCCCTTCCATTCCAGCCAGGACTGAAACCAGGAATCGAAAAACGAAACAAACTCTACACCGAGGATCACGCTGTACATAACGAACGAGAAGAGTGCTGCACGACAAACGAAGTGAGCGTTTCTTGCCGACAGTTTTTTAATTGTGGGATTGAGGGGACAGGAGCACGAGGATTGGTATCACCGGGTAGGATAGGATAAGGTAGACCTTGTGCTGTATGAATGGAGACCAGCTGTTTCCTGCAATGCAACAAACACCTCTTGATTTGGAGGTCAAGGAACTCGTCGCACGTTGACATCTTGCTGTGACCGCCACCGTGCCACTGTTTGCTTCCCTTGATCCCGCTTCGAGTCCCTGTCAAGGAATAGCGCCGGTTATTGGGCCATCTAGCTCAGGCGAGTTCTCTTCTTTCAAGCCTCCTCCTTGCTGCTGCTGTTGATAATGCTATACAGAGGTAAGTTGATCTTGACGCCGTGTGGGTGAACACTGAGTTCGTGAGGAAACGGGGGGAGACGTTATACATCATGAGAAGGAATGCTGAAGAACAACACGTGTGTGTGGTGGGGGGGGGGAGGGGGGGAAAGGGCACAATTCGATATTTGATATTTGATATTAGATATTAATTAGATCACAATGGATAGACGAATGAATGAATGAATGAATGAACGGAAAGATCCATAACCCTGCATGACAACCCGAACTGAACTATCTCCGTTCTGGTCTGTCTCATTTGTATGTCTGTCTGAGTATCTGAGTATCTGGCTTGCTGCTTGCTTGCTCGCTCTTTGTCAGTCCATGATACTCGGTACCTACATACATCATCCTCGTCACCTTCGCCCTTGCCCGCGCTCCCTCCAAAAACCAGCAGAAAGTCTCGAAGCCCGACCAGAGAGACCTCAAGGTTTTCTTCTCGTTGGGGAGATGGAGCAGTCAGTCAGCCAACCAGCCAGCCAGCACATTCCCCGTATCCTCAGAGAACGAGGCGCACACAAACGACACAGCACAGAGCACGCAGCACAGAGCACACAGCACACAGCAGTGACTGATTGATTGACGATGTATGCATGCATGCATTCAGATCTGCCCGGATCCTCAAGAGCCCGCGGTGACGACGCACACTTTCATCCTCCAAACCCGCGTGCCCATACGAGCTGCGTGGCGGAGGTCGTTCTGAAAGTCGAGCCAGCCGGGAGCGATGGCCCGCCACTCGTTCTTCGTGAAGCTGTCTTCTGGATCGTGGCCCGACGTTGAGCTTGGCGCCCCTGCTGCTACTGCAGGAGCAACAGAAGAAGAAGAAGAGTAAGCCGCGAATGTTCGCTTGAGGGAAGAAGAAGATTCCGTCGCCGGTTTGGGGAGGTGCACGCTCGCCGTGGTGTCTATCATCTCGCAGTCTAAGCTGTCGCCGCTAGCTGGAGTCCTACTGGTTGGGGACTGGTTTGACCAGCCGAGACGATGATGAGCATCGCCGCCGCTCCTGTCCTCTTCGGGGAGAATGGAACTTCTATCCGCAAGCTGGCGGGTGGGGTGCTGGGTGCCTTGGTTCTCGAAGCGGCCAGCCGACACGAATCGACAGATGTCGTTCCATCCGTAACTGAGCACCTAACCCAGAACAGCGGACCGGGAGACGTTGGCGCGGTAGCAGATGCCGGTGAAAAAGGGTGCGAGACTGTGCTCCTCGACGGGTGCCGAGGACCAGTGGTACGCTTGTGCGAGGGACGGGGCCGCCGTGTGCGAAATGGAGTTGAAATGGCCTCGCGCAGGTAGACGAGAGACGCTGATATAGACCGACATGAGTGACGGAAGAGACGGCCGAATAACGCCCTGGGAGACCAGTGAGCGTGGCAAGACTGGGATACCCTCCGTCATGAATGGCACGTTCGATGGCGATACCCGCTGCTCGTGACGGTCGTCGTGGATGCGAGCAACACCAGAATGGCTCTCGTTCGCGGTGGTAAGGCTCGTGGTGTTGATCTTGATCTTCTTCGACTCGGGCTCCGCCTCGTCATCCAGTTCTTGCCCATCATCCAGCTCCTCAACTCGCATGATATGCATCTGCCACAGTTCCTGAAACGTGCGTGGGTCACTGTGGGCGCGGATCTCGGCGAGACGACCAATAAGGTCAACGATTGCCTCCTCTGTACGTTCGGCACTCATGTTCGGCTGGGGGTGAGGAACTAGTCGCGCAATCTGGGCGGCCAGGTTGTCCAGCTTCGTAGTAGCTCGACCTCGGACGCGAGCATGGCTCAAGGCCACGGGTGAAGAGGAACGCGTGTCGATCTCGGCCAGGTACAAGTCTTCCGCGTCAGCTGCTGCGACACTGCCCGCTCTGCCATGAGGCTTTGAGCCGCGTCCACGACGGGTGAACATCATACTGCGCATTTGGCGCCAGAGATCCTCGAGGATGGGATAGAATCTTTTTGGTTTCTTATTAGCAACGATCGTAAGTTGTGTTTTGCCCCCAGTGGTCGGCGTCCAACTGGGCATAACTCATGCATCATACCTTGGGTCTGTAAGGTGATCCTTGCCTCTCACGTAGACCAATCTGTCTTCCCCCTGGTCGAGCTCTGGCCCGCTCAAGAGCCACTCCGAGTCGGCTTTCCAGACGATGTACCCGAAAGCTCGGAGTAGGAGTTCGGTCATGTTCCTCAGACTGGCATCAGAGGCTCGTTGGATGAGCTTGTGGTGTCGATTTCGAATGACACGGACGACGCCACTGTGGAAAATCTGGTACTTCTCCGGTCGGATCTGTAGCCGACGGAAGATAGGAGCATAGAGCTCGCCGTTGGACTCGGCGGCGACGATCACGGCGTCGGTGAGTTTGCGTAGTTCACTGCCTGGGACGCTGCTCAGATTTGGGGCAGGAAACAGGTGAGATTGCGATCCTTGCGCGTCTGTACCGGGTGGTGGGTGAAGGTCATCCATGGCTCCCGGTGACACCATGTTGAGTCTGTTGAGATGTGTGTAGAAAGAGAAGATGCTCCAGAGAGGAAGAAGATTGAGCAGCGGCTGGGGGACGAGCATGGTCAGTCAAGGCAGAGATGAGGTGAATAGAAGGCAAGGCATTTAGGGCCAAAGCCTTCCATGAATTCAATAATGAATCGTGAATTCGACGGTTGAGGATGAGTTTTCATTGTCAGGATGCATTTGAAGCGCGTTTCTTTCAAACCTGGCTCACCCATGCTCACGGCCGTCTGTACTCTGCTGCCGGTGTATACTCACATAACCCCATCATTAGCCTTAGCTGGGCTTCCGTGCAAGCGAGAGTTCTGCAGACATTCGAGAAAAGGGAACAGGCAGCCCGAATTTACCGAAGGAAGAATATCATTTGACGTTAGAATTGGGCCAATCTCGCTACAAGCCACGTTGGTCAGATCGACGGGGGGATCAAGGGCCTGGATCTACACCCCAGCACAGGCGCTGGGAGCGTTTAGGCCGTTGAGCCCTGTCCTTCCCGGCGCTCTCGGGCTGTTGTCGGCAAGCGGACGCCCCTGGTTGGCAGCTGCACCAGCCTAGTGAGCCTAACAGCATCGTTCCAGCAGCCCCGGGAAACTATCACCGTCAGCCAGAGCTTGGACCCGTCATCCGCAATCCCGCCGTCTCCTCCTGACTTTTCCCTGCTCTGGTCTGTTTGCCTGCGTCTGGTGTCGGGTGCTTCATCCACCATCCACCATCCACCATCATCGTCGTCGTCCACATCATTCCCACCGCAACGCGCTTTTACATTCTCCTGCCTCATGTTCTCCTAGCCACGTTTGTACCGTTTCAGCTCCCTCTTCTTGCTCCTCTCTTACGCCCACACATCCGCCGACAATGTCATGGAAGCTCTAATCTATAATGACTCGCCCATAGCAGAATATTTGGAAGGAGACGCCATTCCCTTCGAAGCCACCGAACCCTCCTCACCTCCTCCCTCTTGCGCTCGACAAACCTACGCCCCTCGAGGCCTGCCCAAACTCCGCGAGCAATTACGCAGCATCCGTCAAACTGCCGTCTCTGTGACCGATGTCGCAAACGAACAGTTTCTCGAGCGGTTTCGTTACGTGATAGTCGCCTCCCAACTTCTGGCGGACGAACCGAAGCCGAGACGACACCTTCTCCAGAATGATCAACCTTTCACTCCGCGTACTCTCTCGGTCCGGGGTGCTTGTATAACAGCCGCAATTTCCTTTTTAATCGCATGGTCTCTACATCTGTTCCAGCGGGGGTTCAGCACGTCTCGGTCATATCATTCAACTTGGTCAGAAATATGCATATACTTGTCGGTAATTTTGGGGGGAGTTCTGGTTCTTTTCTACTTCGCTCGGCGCCAATATCTTGAATTTGTGCGGCAGACGGCAGGGTCGACGTTGGGAAATGTCGTGGCGAACTCACATAATTACGATAGTATTGCAGCTGAGGCGCTTCGTTTCATTCAAGAGGTCGAGGTGGTCTCTCGTGGTTATGAAATGTAGGTCCTTGGGTTGAGGCGATATCCTAATTCGCTTTATTTTGCTGACACACATATGCAGAAGCCACCCGTTGCCCCCAGTCAGTCGACTGGAAGACAAAAACTCACCCAGTCGCTGTCGGGATCTACGGGCCACTCTCGGAGTCACCTTGACGGCCAGTGTCGTACGATGCGTCGAAGCCCACAATGCCGTCCAACCATTTGTGAGGGACCTCGACCTGAAGAGGTACCATGACATATACGAGGTCTCGATGCAGGATTACACCGACGCCGTGGCGTTGGCGAACGACTCCCCCCTCGAAACCCGGGACTCTCTGAAAGAACTTCGCTTCCTTTTCCGACTCCATCTCATTGCAAGAAAAGTCTTCCTTTGTGATCTGTTGGCCCTTCACTCTGGATCCACCTGGTACAATGTCCGCCAGTGGCGGCTGATCTGTCACGTGTTGGAAGGTCTAGACGGTGCACTGACCCACGCAAGCCAACAACTCCACACTGCTGTCGTGCACGAAGAGTATGGCGAGGACGGGCCGGACACCGTGTCGGACGAGGCCGACTCAGCAGCTGAACGGAGCATGGACGCCATTACGCCGCAAAAACGACACACTAAGGCCCAGATACGCCGATTCGAGGCGGTGGCCAACGCTATCCGATCCTTGAATGCCAAAGTCCATCTTTTGAGGGAAGAGATCAACGCCCTAAAGTCAAAGGATGATTCCTCCCTCAGCATGGCCATCACTGGACACTACGAACACCTCGGGGCTGAGATTCGAAACGCCCTAGTCGAATGGGAAAAGGGGCGAAACACCATGTTCCTCAACGTTGGGACCGAATCTGATCATCGTTTCTCCAGAGCGTCCAGCGGCATGCGATCACCGGCGTCGCCATCTCCTAGCAGCCTGGGTGGGCTGACGGTGGTGGATGGAGGGCCGGCCGAAGCGCTAAGGCTGCTGAGTGGCGACGAACGTAGCTCGTCTGATGGAGTGGGATTGGACGAAGAAGTGTTTGAAGCGGTGGCCTTGCCACGCAAGCGAATGTCTTGGGCGCCAATGAGCCGCGAAGAGAAGCTCAACAAACTTCAAGAGGACCGGAGGAAGCGGGCGACCTTTCAGGAGCACGCCGAAAACACGACCAATATGCTGCGCGAACTGCAGATGGTCATCAAACACCGCCCTCTGGCCAGGTCCGATACGCGCATCACTTCGATATAACCCACCCCGGGGCGGGCTCGTCCGCCTGCACGTCGGTTTCCCCTGGTCCGGGGTCGGGGTGATTTGGAATCGAGACTTGCCTTGTTTCACAGTTGACGAAAAATATTTCATGAAGCACATGCAGGGAGTTTTGGGCGATGTTTCTCGGCCACGCGCCAGGTGTGGCTGGATTGCTTTCACTGGAGAAAAATCGGGCGTTTGCAAACAACCAAAAGGGGGTTCAGGCTCATCTACCGAGGCAACAAGGTCACATTTCGGTTGGAGATATTGTGTGTTTTTGGCAGTTAGACGCACGTTCCCAGATGATAGATGTCGAATGAGAGAGCCGGCGACTTGGGGGGGAGATGGTCTCAGGATCAGCTAGCTCCACGGAGAGCTGGGAGCGCGGTGTGTGACCATGAGGAAGGTCGAACAAGAAGGAAGGAATTGATGGTGAGACCAGAAGATTTACACATGTTTCTCCTTTGTAAAGTAGTGGTGGTGGTGGCCGGCCTGTGATGGTTGATAGTGTATGTATGAGGCCATATTCAAGGAGGGCGGTGGTACCTGATATTTAAAAAAAAACACTCGTACCAAAACGAACTCGGTACAAAGTACAATGCTGCGTCCTGACGATGCTTCGAGAACTGCATGACGTTTAGTAATTGCTGCAGAGCCCTCGCTAGAATCCCTCGGCCGGGAGGGAATATGGAACCCCCCAGTGACGATGCGGGAAAGCGAACTCGGATCTGCGAAGATGCCGGAGGGGCCACGAGGGACACAATGTCGTTCCCTTTCTGACTGGTTCATTGCCCCCTGTTGTTGCCGCGCCTTGCGTGGAGAGAGCGAGCAGCGAGCAGCGCCTGGACCTATGGGTAGCTTGGAGGCTTCTGGTTGGGTCTGAGCGCCTGAGCCACAGGGAGCGGGAACTGACTGTGTCCGGCACCGACGCCAGCCCAGTTGCGGCCAAGAAGCCAGTCATGCTTTGTTGCGTTATTTCCTGATCTTATCCTGGCAGCCACAATGAAATACCGTATGTAGGGAGGAGGGGTGGTGACAGCGACCTGTTTAGGTTGAGAGAGTCCACGTAACTAACTCCTTGCATTGTACAAGAGTCTTTGTATCTTATCGATATGGCCAGTATTTGAGTATAGACCAGGATAATTCTGGTCCGCCGTCGTGGTGGAGGTGGAGGTGGAGGTGGTGGTGGCGAGTTGGCACCAGAGAGTTGTTCGTGTATTATTGTACATTGATGCAGTGTCTTCTGTACGAGTGAGTATAGCCTCATCAGCGTCGTGGCTGCGTTGTTTTTCTCTTCCTCGTCTTTCGGGTCTCGTCACTTTTCGAATCGAATCTCGGAGATGGACTTGGAGATGCGGTAAACGGGCTCAGGAACGACGGGATGATGTATTGTGTTTGTGTTGTGTGGGTGTGGGTGCGATATTGGCGCATTGCGATTCCTTCCTCGCTTCCCGCACGATGCCTTGGCGCAGTCAGCCTAGTATACTAGCCTTTCCTACTTCCACCGAAATACCCTCCAGTCTCCCTCACATCTCTTCCAACAACCGCACTCGTTCGTCATCTCCTCACAGCCTGTCCTCAAAGATGAATCAAAAGGCCTCATATTGGCGCTCTCCGTCGCAAACCTCGTCCCTCCGAATGAATAAACCCAAACCCTCGCTCTGCCACCCCCCGGTGTCCTTTTCAAATCCGGTCAGCCGGCCCCCACCGAGCCCTGTCCATTCCCGTGCTCCAATACCTCGTTCTCTCTCAATTTCAGGCTTTGCGACCTGTAGCAGTCCTGGACGAACGTCTTCGATGGCAACGGCGAAATTACGGCCTCCTTGTCGACAAGTCGCCGTGCTATGCAATCCTCGGGCACCGCTCACGGTTCTCAAAACAGCAATAGGACATCTAGGAGAAGTGATACTGTAATCGATCCCGTCGCCATGCGTTGCTCGCTAGACCCATGTCCAACCCGCCCTGGTCCTTTGCCACAGATGTTAGGCAAAGTTCTTTTGGAGAATGTCGCATTGTGGCTGCAGGCAAGTCCGAGCCTCTCTTTCCCTCCCGAGGAAGACTTACCTCTTTCTGGATCTCTGTGACGATCGTCCTAATGGACCGTCTCGTTCCCACCCCCCGTCAGCCCTGGGTGTTTGGGGATATATCTCCAGTCCGACGTTGCCCCCCCTTGGGCCCTTGGTTGGAAGAGAGCGCCTTTGCCACACGCCAACGTGCAGGGTTTTGACCTCGTGGTCCTATAGAATTGTTATTATAGCCTGGCGGTGGCTCGAAACGCATCAAGATTCCCTTCTGCACATGTAAGTATCGTCTAAGAACTTGCAAATACGGTTGTGATTCGTCTACTGGTCACGCCCTTCCTCTCTCCATTCATCACTTTCGCCTGCAAATGTCTACAGCCACATCTCATCGCAACTGCCCTCTCGGTATATAGTGGCCTCGAGGTGCTGTGTGGCTGGGGGTCTATTTCAACATCTCACATTCCAGGAGTTTTCGGAAGCTTTCCTCCCCCCTTTTTTAAAACCCTTCTGGAAGGGCTTGATATGCCGAAGCGTGACAACATTTATACCTACCCCTCGCAGCATTTTCGAAACGGAGGGTAGAGACCTTGTCTAACCAGTCCGACAATCTCTTTTGCCGGGTTCCCGGTCGACATCGGAAACATGTCACGCCAGCCGTTCGGGCTGGATGGACTCAATATGGCTGAGGAAGCGCGAATCGAAGGAGCCATCCGGGAGGTCAGGCGCATTGCAGACACGAATCCTTCAGCCCCAGAATCCTGGGAGCAACGGCTACACATTGCGCGCACGGCCATCGCAACGCTGGAGTCGACAGGGTTCGTGCAGATGCCTAACAGGAATACAGACCGCACATTCGTCATTGCGTCGTTGCAAAGCCTGGCTTATCATGACGCAGAAGGGGCTGGGGTCCCCGATATCGCGGAGTGGTGTGTGAACCAGTGGTTGTTGTTGCTGCAGAGAAACGCCGAAGATCTTTCTGCGCTCAGGGGTTAGTCAACAGGCACAGCTTACCAATCTCTCCCGTCTCTCAAACGTCGACTTACCTAATTCCAGGACTGGGTCAAGCGTGGCTAGCTCGATCTCAGAGCGTTCTCGCACGAATCCATCGCACCGAAGGAAGCTCCTCCAGTGGCAGCAGCGGCCGGCCTCAGAGCCTAAGCGAGAGACTGTCGTATACCACGGCTGAAGAGTCCAGGGATGCAGAACGGGCAACTGCCGAAGCCGACGCACGAGCACACACGGCTGATTATGTGGAAGCACGCGGAATGCTCATTCCGGCGGTCGACTATTTCTCTAGGGCTGTCGACGTGGCCGAAAGGGATGGACAGCTCGCAGGGGAGCTGCTCTCAGAGGTCAGGACGATTTCCTCCTTGGTCCATATATCCGACCGGTCTCCACATGCCAAATTGGACCTTGAACGACTGACTTGAAGTTATTGCAGGCCGCCGAAGCGAACATGAGTCTTGGCAACGTTTCATATTCGCATCAGAACGAGCAGTACTTTCACAGAGCCATACGGTACCTGCGGCGAGCAACACAGATCCCCGGGTTTCGCTTATCGGCTTACCTACAGAGGTACGTGGGAGTTGTGTCATGTGTGACGTTCTCCGACTAACTGCTACATAGCTACCTCGATGATTTTGGTCGGTTGGTGGATTGACCTTGCAGTTGCGGCTTGAAGCCTTTCTGACGCGACGATGACATGAAGGGGAACACGGGACCAAGGTTGCAGGCAACCCAAGCGCTAGCGCACATGATATTCGTTTGAATTTTTTTTTTCTTTCTTCTTCTTTTTCTCACACCTTCTGCTGTACGTGTGTACCTTGTAACCAGAAAGCCACAGCCATTGGCCGATTGCCTCATCGGTTGTTTGGATGCTACGGGAAAAATTTCCCTACCTTTCCTCAGGTTCTCCTTGACCAATCAGGCTAAACGACCTGCAAGGCTCCAGGGACACCCTTGCCTTGCATCTCTGCCCGTGCTGACCTCGAATCTCTGGCGCTTTCACTGGTTTCGCACCCCTCGGCGCAGGCTCTGTCACAGACCTCCCTCGCTGCTCGACAGGGCCACGCAATTGCAGATCGTGCTTTAGGCCACGTCGTGTCAGAGATGAAACCCCGGGATCCGGGTCGCATGTCGCCACGCATTAGGCTCCATCGTGCTTGGGCCATCAGTAAAGCCTAGAGAAAAGTGCTTCTCCCTAGCATGCGGTTCCGTGGGACATGGCTGAGAAGTTTCCGCACATCTAGTGTAACGGTGGCGGTAATGAACTACTCCCTATGGGGATAACAAGCCGGAGCATCTCGAGTAGTTAGGGAATTGACACTTGGGTACCGGGCATGGCATCAGCACCTGGCGGGGGGATGGACTATCCCAACGGACGATAACTTTTTGCTGAAAAGGGAAAAAATACTGTAAAGAGGAGTGGGATATATTTGGGTCCTCGGTTCTCTGATGTTGAATGTTGAAGCCCGCGTTCAGATCGGCCGGGTGCTGGGTGGCAAACTTGCGAGGTCTAAGTTCGGTCTTAGCTCACGAGGCTGAGCCTGGCACGGGGCCGGCTTTGCTGCCTTTCTTACCTTTGTATGGATAGCAGGGCGTCACCACCACGTGACAGGTAATGTGGAGGACTTGGTCGGATGTGTAATGAGGATGAGAAGACCGGATGGGTCCTAATGTCAGTGGCTGTCTGTGAGAGCTTCGGACGTCATAGACGAGCCCCAGTTGAGATTTTCACCGATTTTCAATGCCCACAAGCGATCTGCATCCGAAGCGTCATGCGCATCTTGTCTGCACAGGGTTGGACTCGGTCACAGAATGTAGAGAGGAAGACTGGTTTCCCTTCTTCTCGAGGGGAGGGACCCGCAGCACTCGATAATCAGGGCGACAATCAAAATGCCTCTCACCTGCCGTCGAGTGCTCACGATGACGCAGTACAGTGAGCAGTAGGACACAAGCTCGGCGGCTACGGCTTTTCCTTCGGGGTTTGAAAAAAAAAGAGAATTAAAAAATAGTGAGAGAAGCATTCGGTGCGTGATCCCAAAGGGGGTTACTTCGGCAGGGCGGGATATCACGTGCCTGTAGCGCCAAGAGCCCTGCGTAAAGTGGATTTCCCAAGGAGGTTAGCGTCAAACGCGCTGCGCGACCCGTGTCTTTGCCAATATCGAAATTCAGATTGACCACCCCGTCCATTGCGGCCATGTTATCGTCTGTGTCCTTCTGCCTTCCTGCCCAACATTCCACATTCTAGATATCTGAAAGACTCTATTTCCCACGAGAAGGGTAAAGGATAAAAACAATTGCAAAGAGTGAGAACCAGGAATATGACTGGCTTGCAAAGAGAGAACATGGGCTAATGGCGGTCGCAGTGTTGGAAGCACGTCTTGAACAGGCAGCGATGCTAAAGAAGGTACTGCTCCTCCCCCCGATCTCTACTTCAAGACCGGTTTCTAAAAGGCTGCACAGGTCGTGGATGCTATCAAAGACCTCGTCCAAGACTGCAACTTTGACTGCAATGACTCCGGCATCGCCCTCCAGGCCATGGACAACTCCCACGTCGCCCTCGTCTCCATGATGCTCAAAGCAGAGATGTTCTCCCCCTACCGATGCGACCGCAACATCGCCCTCGGTATCAACCTCAACTCCTTGACGAAAGTCATCCGTGCCGCCCAGAACGAAGACATCCTCACCATCAAGGCTGAAGACTCGCCGGACGTTGTGAATCTCGTGTTCGAGAGCAGCGACACGGACCGTATCAGCGAATACGATATCAAGCTGATGGACATTGACCAAGAGCATCTGGGAATCCCCGACACAGAGTACTCAGCGACGATCGAGATGCCGAGTGCTGAATTCCAGCGCATTTGCCGCGATCTGATTGCCATGTCAGAGTCAGGTACGTTGGGATCATGAGAAGAGAAAAGCCAATCCCAGGCTGACGTTGCTGCAGTATCGATCGAAGCCAGCAAGGATGGCGTCCGCTTCTCGTGTCAAGGCGACATCGGCAGCGGCAGCGTCACCATCCGCCAGAACTCCTCGGTGGACAAGCCGGATCAAGAAGTCAAGATCGCGCTGAGTGAACCCGTCTCGCTGACATTTTCGCTCAAATACCTGGTCAACTTCTGCAAAGCAAGCAGTCTCTCGACAAAGGTCAAACTCTGCCTCTCGCAGGAGGTACCACTTTTGGTGGAATACACCCTGTCCGGGAGTAGCTATTTGCGGTTCTATCTCGCGCCCAAGGTACGTTCTCTTCCGGCACGAATCCCGTACGCGACAGGCCCCCGGTATATTGACTCGTGCGATGACAGATTGGTGATGATGAGTGAACGAGGTATGATGGCTTCGGACGACCGACCGACGACGGCAAATGCTTTTGTATGGAGCCCACAGATTTACGATGACGTGATGCGGTCAATGGCGGCAGCGGTGGCGGCGATGCGAGGTGGTAGGGGTGGCTGTTGCGGATTCCCACACATGATCAACGACACAATGCCCGGCTGGCTGGTGTTTCGAGTCTTATTTAGGTACGAGCAGGATGCATGATGAGTTGGCCCGCCTCCCACTTGCATACAAAACACAACACGCACAACTTTGGGGAATCCTCCCAATTCTCATCAAAACTCGTCTTCTCGTGTGATCACTTTTTCGTGGGTTTTAGACCGGCGTCTGGCCCTACGGTCTTTGGAAAAGGGCATCGTCTCCCACTCAGACACCGAAGGAACTATGGCTCTGGCCCATCCCCAAAGCTTCCTGACATCCTGGTCAGATCATCGACTCGTAATCTATCTTTCCGTGGCCCGGGGTGTATTTCGGCTTTGAGCAATGTGCAACAAAGTCCCCCAAGGATAATAATACCTGGTCACTGGGCTGGTGGCTTTTTTGATGTTCTACAGGCCCATACAACATCGACAAGTTATGTACGGAGTACTGCGATCGCTCTATGGAAATGCAACCAATTGCTCCAGCCAACGGGACGATGAAGGGCAGTTGGAAGACGAAGTAGGTCTTTTTCCTCTCTGAACTGATCATGTACTTGAGTACCGACCGAGTTATTGATGGGTAATTGTGTCGTCGCCAGGTACAGTCATATTGTGTTAGTATTACTAGTTAACTCATTTTCTTATCAGGTCCCTTGTCCTTATCGGGGTCTCATCCATTGGATTGGAGGACGTGTGTGTGTGTCGTCATATTTCCTTCACCTTCTCATAATAATACACATACATACATACATACCTACGTCCTCGACGACGACAACAACTACCTATGCCTCGTGGTCTCTTTGTACACTAACCAGTGGTTTCACCATTTCGACTTACCCAATAGACTCCACGGGAACAACAAGACTTCCTCCCTCGTGTTCTCTCTCCCTCTCTCTTTCTGCGCTCTGGCGCCGTCCTCACCCGAACTACAGGTCGTCCCGTCCGTCCGTCCCGTTGATTGACGGTCTTCTTCGAAACACTCTTCCCCAGGTACTCACACCCTACTACCGCGACAGCCTCACGCCTCACGCGAGTAAGATGCAACAATGACGTCCCGGGAAATGTCGATGCCAGAAACAAAAGTTCTGGCGATCGCCAGCCATGTATGTGAACCGCTGCCTTGAGATTTTATCCTCGCCTTTCTTCCGCATTGGGAATCTTTCTTGAAGAGATATATCTGCCTGGCTAGCTAGGTTCTTCCCAGAATTCGGACTTGATGGGGTGCATTGAGCTGACTCGACAATCCCGCCAAGGTCGTCTATGGGTGAGTCTGGAGTCGGTGCGAAGAACTTCTTCTCTGTTTCCGGCCCTCTCTTCCTTCTTTCTTTACTGTGAAGGGACCACCTCGGGTGTCGGAGTCATGATCACGGCCGCCGGGATGGTGACCAGACCACGAGGATGAAGAGGGTGATGCTCTAGTGGAAGCTGGCGACTGACGGTTTCTCGGTTGTCCGTTCTATTCAGGTATGTCGGTAACACGATGGCCACCTTTGTGCTGCAAGTGCTTGGATGTGACGTCGGAGCCATCAATACCGTGCATTTCAGTGAGTTCATGTTCCGTTCGCTCCTGTTGCTCCTGTCCGCGCCTCTACACCTGCAATAGATTATCCTAGCTATGCGAAACAACACCCGCCTCACCCGTCCGAAATATGATATTATGCACACCCCTCTCTATTCGCTCCCTTGTGATATGACCCGTGGCCTGACCAGAATCTTTTTTTCCTGCCCCTTCGAAGGCAACCACACAGGTTATCGTCAGTTCAAGGGCCGGAGGACGCCCGCCGCCGAGATTCGCGAGTTGTACGATGGTCTTCGCCAATCTTACCTGACGGACTTTGACGTCCTGCTGTCGGGCTATTCGCCCTCGGCCGAAGTTGTCGACACCATTGGCACCATCGCCCGCGACCTCCGGTACCGCTCGGCCGTTCATCCCGGGGGATTTTTCTGGGTTCTGGACCCGGTGATGGGCGACCAGGGCCATTTGTACGTCAGCGAGGATATCGTCCCGGCGTACAAGCAGCTCATCAAAGAAGCGGACCTGATCCTGCCGAACCAGTTCGAGGCGGAACTTCTCAGCGGGGCGTCCATTTCGAGCTTGAGCGGGGTGGCCAACGCGGTGAGGACGCTGCATGCTGTGTACGGCACGCGGCACGTGGTGGTGACGAGCGTGAGGGTCCCTGACGGAGGGAATGCCGAGGGTACCGAGGGTACCGAGGGAGATGCGTCGCTGGCCGTCGTGGGCAGCACGAGGAGGCAAGACGGCAGTGCAAGGCTCTTCAAGGTCGAGGTGCCCGTGCTGGATTGCTACTTCAGCGGGACAGGGGACATGTTCGCGGCGCTGATGGTGGCGAGGTTGCGCGAGGCCTGCGCGGAGATGAACCTGCTGGACCGACCTTCGTGGATGCCCAACGACGACGTACCGCCGGTCGACCTCCCGCTCGCCAAGGCTACGGAGAAGGTGCTGGACAGCATGCACATGATCCTGGAGAAGACGATGGTGGCGCGGGACGAGGAGATGAGCAAGTTCGGGAGAAGTCCCGGCGCCAGCGTGGGCGGCGTCGAGGGCGAGGGCGAGACCGTGAGCGAGAGCAAGAGGAAGTTTCTGGCCGAGAACAAGGCGGCCGAGGTGCGGGTGGTGAGGAACGCACAGGATCTGATCCGTCCGGAAGGCCGGTACAAGGCCCAGGCGTTGCAGGTGTAAGTGAATGGACAAACCGGCCTGAAACGCAGAAAAGGGAAGAGAGAGGGAGGGGGAGAGAGATCTGATACATCTAGAGACGATCGTCGTGTTGCTGCTGCCCGGACGTTGGCCATTGTGTGTCTGCCACCGGGTCTATCCCTTTTTCCTTGCATCCATCAGGCAGATAGCTACCGATTGCACATAACACCACGTGAACCCCTTTTTTCGTCTGCTCTATTGCCTTGCCTTGCCTTGCCTTGCCTTGCCTTGCCTTGCCTGTGCCATGGTCCCCCAGAAGTGATTAATCAACCCATTCCCGCGCTATCAAACAAGAGGTTGAGCCAGCCCGTGGGAACAAGCTCAGCCGGTACTTCCAAAGCCGCCTGCGCCGCGCACGCTCTCCTCGAGATCCTCGACCTCGACGATTTCCGGCGTGTATATGCGCTCCAAGACCAGCTGAGCGATGCGGTCGCCCTTGTTGACAGGGAAGTCGGCCTCGCCGTGGTTGAACAGCAGCACCTTGACCTCGCCGCGGTAGTCGGCGTCGATGACGCCCGCGCCCGTGTCGATGAAGTGCTTCGCGGCCAGGCCCGAGCGCGGCGCGATGCGGCCGTACGTGCCCTCGGGCGTGGCGATCGAGAGGTCCGTCGAGACGAGCGCCTTGCCCCGCGCCGGGATCGTCGTGGGTTTCGCGGCGTAAAGGTCGTATCCGGCGGCAAAGGCCGAGCCGCGTGTCGGAGTGGAAGCGTCGGCGGACAGCTTCTTGATCAGGAGGGGCGGCTGGGACGTGGACGAGAGCTTGGGCACGGCGGTGGTGCCGTTTGCGGTTGTTGAAGACATCGTGGACGTAGTGTCAGACTTGAGACGTTTGGGGAGCGGAGAGTTGGGCAGGGAAGGAGGCAAGTGGTCTGGGTTGTTGGTTTCGGTGGGTGGAGGAGGAGGAGGAGTTGATGTCCTGGTCATTGTTTGACTATTGAGAGATTGTTCGATGAGGTTCAATTAATATCATGTATCGCAGACAATTTAGGGGCGGTGAAGCCCCTCGACGCGTGAACGGGCGCGTTTTGCGCTTCGGAAAAACTGGCTCGCTGCGCCGCCGTAGTAATTCCGCTACGTCAGACTACAAACACCCCCCAATGGATAGGCCAAATCCGGCGGCTTCTCCCCAAAGAAACCGAGGTTAACAATCGCCTCGGCCGGGACTGCGCACGACGCACGACATTGAGCAAAACCCGCCGACTTTCCTGCGGGTGTGTGATGGTCTGAGATATGAGCTCTGGTGTACCTCTTGTCTGTCGGTCCCCTTGTGACAACCACAGCAGCTAGACAGACGACCGCCATGGCAGGGCCAGTACGGCAGCCGATCGACCTGGCCTCTCTGGAGCGCTACATCGACAGCAATGTCCCTGAGATCAAGACGCCGCTCGAGCTGAAGCAGGTACGTCCCCCCCGAGGGGTCCCCCCTCCTCTTTCTCTCTCTCTGTGTGTGTGTCGGTGTTAACACCCTATGCGAAGTTCGGCTTTGGTCAATCGAACCCTACATACCAGATCACCGACTCGAAGGGCACCAAATATGTCATGCGCAAGCGGCCGCCCGGTCAATTGCTCTCCAAAACCGCCCACCAGGTCGACCGAGAGTACAAGATCATCAACGCCCTGGGTCAAACGGACGTGCCCGTGCCCAAAGTATACTGTCTGTGTCAAGACGACAATGTCATCGGGACAGCGTTTTACATCATGGAGTTCTTGGACGGCCGCATGGTGACGGAGCCGCACTTCCCGGGGTTCAGTCCTGAAGAACGAAGAGAAATGTAAGTGGATGCCAGACAGATACCTGGGAGATGTCGGTCATTGCTAATATTCTGTGTAGGTGGCACGATGCCATTCGGACACTTGCAAAGTTTCATCGGGTCGATTTCAAGAAGGTTGGACTCTCCGACTTTGGCCGCCACGGGAACTTCTACGACCGCCAACTGAAGACATTCGGGACACTGTCCAAGGTGCAGGCGGAATCGGTGGACGTCGACACCAAGAAGCCGGTGGGGGACATACCACATTTCGACGACATGGTGGCGTTCTTCAAGCAAAAGTCGACCCAGCCCAAAGACCGCGTCACGCTGATCCACGGCGACTACAAGATTGACAATCTGGTGTTCCACAAGACCGAGCCTCGAGTCATTGGCATCCTGGACTGGGAGATGGCCACCATTGGTCACCCGCTGTCGGATCTCGTCAATCTGACGGCGCCGTGGAGCTGGGTCGGGCGAAATCTAGGAACGGCGCACGCCCAGGAGGGCGAGACCGAAGCCTTCAAGGATGGGGTGACTCCAGGACTTCCCACGTTAGATCAGGTGGTGCGATGGTACGCAGAGGCGTCAGGATATGACCCCGCCAACGAGCTGGCTTGGGGCACTGCCTTTGGAGGATTCCGAGGGGCTATCATCATGCAGGGTATCGCAGCCAGGTACGCCCGCCGGCAGGCCAGCGGCATGACTGCGAAAAACTATGGGGCGCAGATGCCCCTGTACGGAGAGTGGGCTTACAGCTTGGTGAAGAAGCTGCAAGAGAACTCAGCAGGGAAGAAGGCGAAGCTATAGAGAGAGAGAGAGGGAGGGAGAGACGGATGGTCAGATTCGTGCCCTGGAGAGGCAGGTCCCATAGATGCCATGGTGGTCGATATTGAACAAGGGTGGGAAAATTGTACAGCTTGCCTTCCTTGATCATCGTAAACATCAAACACCGTGAACAACCACCAGCGGCCGCAAAAAGATGACGAGGATTTTCCTCGTTCCAGGATGACTCGAGCGCCTTTCCTTTGTCGTCTTGCCCTCTTCCATCTCAAGTAATGCTGTGTGACCGAGAGTTTGCATCTTCCTCCCTGATTACTTAGCCGTCCGGGGTATTTTTCACAAGCCAGAAAAGCCGCAACCCAAAAAGATCCATTCTTTGTATTACTGCTGACACGGTTGTCTCCCTTTCCTCTCTCCTTCGCTCTTCTTGTTCCAGCCAGCGAGTCGGGCCCCACAACCCACCGGGCTTTACGCCCCCTGCTCACTCGAACTCGGTCGGGATCTCGCGTTGCAGGGAACGATAAAAACAGGAACCTGCATGCGGTAAGCGAGGATGATTGATGCAGCCGAAGGAAGAGCCGCGTGCTGGGAAAAGCATAAGCCTATGTCAGGCTCAGGCAGGCATCTCGAAAGGAGAAGGTGGAGGGAAAGAAAGAGAGAGGGAGAGACGAAACAAAAAAAAAAAAGAATAGCCGTCGGGCCCCCGATGGCGCCTGGATGGATTCCCAGCGAATACCAGGCCGTCGACGTTGTCCCAATTCATCGTCGTCAGCGTGTTCGGCCACGGCTCTCCCTTGTCCCCGTCCCCGTCGCCGTGGTCTCGGTAGCCTGTTAAAGTCTCGCACACACGCACCCACGCACCCACTCCCCACCAACTCGGTAACATAAGCAAGCGAAACATGCGAGCGAGCGAAAAGGGCCATGGAATCTTCCCGTTCATCATTTTCTATTATTCATAACTGGCGACGAGCAGGTTGCCTTCCCTAGCCACACCCACCGTCGGCAGTGTCATCAGGAGAGGAGGAGAGGAGAGGTGGAGGAGGAGTTTCTCCTACTCCGTATTCCGGACACGCAGGTAATAGTGCTCACCGGCAAGCTGGCGTTCCCCTGACTAGAAAAGCACCACACCGTCGGTAAATTCCAGCTGAACCGGCGAATTGATCACCATTCTTGCAGTGGCTGGACTCATCTAATCACACAAATCAACAACAGCATCAGCGTCGAAGGGGTTCCAGAGCCTCCTCGGGGATGACTTCGCACTCGAAGGCATGAATCCATCAATTCTCCATAGGGCTGGGCTGCTTAGCCTTGCGACGGCGAGCGCAGTGTGTCCGCTCGCAGTGTCCTCTCTCCAGTCCGCTGAGCGCGTATGTACACTCTGATGTGTGAGATTCTGTCGTCGGTCTCTGGCCACTTTTATGTCATGACTCGGTCGGATCCTCAAGCAGACTGAGCCACTTCATGGGAGCTTGAGGTGGGCAGACGTTAGAGTCGACCCTACCAGGCAAAGAGGTTATGAGTATGCGGTACATACGCTACGCCGTATGCCAGGGGAGCCCATCGTCCGGCTCCAGCTCGGCATCGGTCTCAGCAAATCTTGCCGCGCTTTCGTATTCGAGTTGCTGCTAGCGCAGTCTTCTCCGTGAGATAGGCTCTGGAGACCTGACCACGCCACCATGCGGGCTCAACCTCTGGGTGGACAAGCATTTACGACCGAGACCGTTGGGGGCCGGAAGCCTTCATCTCTTTCTCCGAGCCGACAGCCCACAGCACCCAGCGCTAATCTGCGGTCAAATCATGGACGACGAGGCCGGTACCCAAAACGGCTGGTATGCAAACTGTGGCGCCGTGATGAAACTGGGCCCGGGAAGCTTACGATCCAATTTTTTTTATTTTGATTTGGGTGTTTGCAAAAGCCCATCTACGCTAGCTGACTGGCTAGCTCTGTAGCTAGTAGCTACTTGGTCACCATGGCGGTGGTGGGCACGAAGGGGAAAATACCATGTTGGATGTGTTGCTGTTACTGAGAGTTTGAGTTCCAGAGCAGAAATTTCCCTTCCGCCACAAGCTCTCCTCCTCACCTCAGAGAGGGCCCCTGGTCAGAAAACGATCAGCCCGATGATTTGTCGAAGGTTCTGACGAGCAACGCCGACTGTGGGAAACAACAAACTCGTCCTGACCGGGACCGAATTCGACCGAATTGGACTGGGCAGCTGCTACTCATGGTGCCTCGTGGCCAAGCTGCTAGGGCACAAGGACATGTCCAGTCGAGTTTTGTCCTTTTGGATGCCCAAGCTCCCCATGATGGCAGATGGCGATAGCGATGTAACGTCACCCCCTTATCCCCGCCTTATCCATCTCTGGTATCTCACGCCGTCACCGTCGTTCAAGCGTTTGTCAGACAATGATTGCGTGGAGAGTCGTCGTCGGTTGCAGGCAGCTTGCGTCAAACCTGGCACACCGGTTGCACGCGGTTAGGGGGGCGTCTGGAGCTCGATGAGGAATGAATTCCGCCGGCCCTGGCATTTATTCGTCGTCCTGGTATTTATTTTCTTGTGTGGTCAGACGAATCGCTCGGAAGAAGGACCCCAGAACGTCTATCTCCGCCAAACATGGCGGTGGACGATCGTGCTGACTGGCTTAGTCAGGAACCCAACCGGCTCAAGACTGGGAACTATGCCCTCTTTCAAGAGCCTCCGCACAGGGCTGACGGATGAATGCCTAGGAGTAGTAGCACTGGAGAGGAGGGGGTGTTGCCTACAGACGCAGTAGTGCAGACGTTGCACAACCGTGTACAGAAACTCCCCGTCCCAGTTGCCAATGAGGGGCTTCCTGCAATGTGCTGGTCGGGTCGATCGTATTCGCAGCTTTCGTCAAGTTACGGTCAAGAGCCAGGCGTCGTCACCGCGGTTGAGGTTCTCCCGAGACAGGGACCTATCATTCGTGCCGCGTTGGAGTGGATCTCGGCGTACCCAGACAGAGGGTTAGCCTTCGAGCCGTTTCAACCCTGACCCTGGTCCTGGTGTGGAGGTGTGTGGGTTGGCCCACCGCTGCTCGCAGTCTACGTCTCATCGGGCTAGATGTGTACGGTCTACCGCAACTCCCTGCTTATGAAAGCTTCCGCCTTCCGATGGAACTTGGCCCCCATCCTCGCCAACGCGTGCCCAGCTAGGCCGGGCCCGTTTCAACCCATTCGTTGGGGGTGGACGTAAGGACGAGTATGGTACGGAATCGTTCAATGGCGCAGCATATTGCCCAATACACATTGCCAGGCTGGCAGGCGGATGAGGGTCTCTCGGTTTGAGACTTTTGTTCCAATCTCTGGACACGAAGCATGGGACTTTTGTTTCAAATTTCCAGGATACCCATGGAGCTACCCTGTTACCTTGTAGCTCGCTAACCAAACATGTGGAGCCCTGCCTGCAGCTGAACAAGACATCTACCTCTCTGCTCTGCTGCTTGTGTCCTTCTGTCCCGTCTCGCCCAAGAAAAGCCACTATTACTACACATACAGTACTCAGTCAGGGTTATCATCACTTCTGTCCGACAGGGGGGTCCTGCTACTCGTGCCTTGCAGCAGGGCTGAAGGCAAGACTCCAATGAAAAGCACCAATTGAGCGCATCAAAAGACCCCCAAAGGTTGGGTGGTGGTGTGTCTGTATCTCTAATAGTAACCGGTGTGTGTGTACGCGCGCGCGTGTGTGTGAATATGTGTGTGCGCGTGCGTGCGTGCGTGCGTGCGTGTGGGTGTGTGTGTGTGTGTGTGTGGACGCCATCTGCATGTGGTCATCCCTTCGAACAAAAGTTCTTTCCTTCCTTCCTTCCTTCCTTCGTTTACTTGCTTGCTTGCTTGGCTGGGAACGAGCATGTTGCTTTTTAACAGACAGCGAGCGACATATGTCCAGTCAGTACATAAGGAGTATAGTTATCACAGTACAGAACAGCACAAAAGCATGCGATCGAGGGAGAGTAATAGCCCCCTCCCCCCGGCTCATGCGCCCCGTAATCTTTTTTGGGAAGTTGCGCGGTGGCTTGTCCTGGGAACTAGATCATGATGATGATGATGATGCTGACTGCCGCTGCTGCAAGCTGTACGCAAGCTACATATACATGTAAAGCAGCAACGCATGGTCCGAGGCTATGCTTGCTTGCGGACCGGAAGCGCTTTGCTTTGCTTTGCTCTGCTTTGCGTTGCCTGTCTCCTCCTCACCACTGATACTGTATTTTGTTACATCCCATGCGGCGATTGTTATTGGGGGAGGCATCACTTGTCTCGTCTCGTCTCGTCTCCTCGTGTCAGACAGACGGACACTGTTACTTACTATCATGTGCTATGTGCTATATCTGTACGTTCTATGTCTGTCTGTCCAGCCCACGCGATAACAGGCACCCATCCCCAGTTCCTAGGCCCTGGACCCCGCCCATTCCTTCCTTCCTTCCTTTCTCCCCTGCTGCTCGTGTCCGTCTGTTATTCGTTTTATGGTTCTAGAACAGGAGGAAGTCGACGACGAAAACCCACGTCCATGGCCACCCCAACCTCCCAACCCCCTGTCTGCCGCTTCTTCCTCTTTCTTTTTCTCCTCTTCTATTCCCTCTTTCCGACCTCCTGATTGATTGTTTCTCCGATGTATGTACCTTACGTTAAAATATTGTAGCCACTGTTCCCCCTGCCGTCTCGTCTCGTCTCATGCAGGGGGAAGAGATGGACAGACGGAGCGCGATGCAAGCAAGGTCCCACTACCGGGCTATGACGACTACTTCGTACGTAGGTACCTGCTGTGCCTGCCCTACCAGATCTGGTATGGAACTCGCGAGGTCGTAATTATTATCTCATGCCCGTATCCGTGTCGTCGTCGTGTTAGCAGCTAGAAAGGGCCCCGGCTAAAATGAACAAATGCGCTAGTTAAGCACAATAAGCACAATGAGTAATAATGGGCAGTGAGCAATGGCCTACCAGAAGCCAGCAGCGCCGGTGTCGCCGCCTCTGGACATTGAACACTGCCACTGCCATGCTCCTATGCCCAGGAGAGCAGGTGCAACGTGTTTGGGTGTGGAATGGGAATGGGCATGGGGGATGGGTTTTGGCGCAGGAGTTGTTCTGTCTGTCTAGCACTCAGTGTCCCTGTCACTCTCGTCCAATCCGGTCCTCCAATCGTATCTTATCCTAACTTACCCCCTTCCTGATTTGATCGGTCTCCGTCGTTCAAATGTCGGTTTGGGAATACGATATCGGAACTCGTGGAGTCCCTTCGTTGTAAAGTGAAAGGGGAAAGGAAGCAGGACGACCGTGATCGAACATCGTTGATGGCCCGACCCTGTTTGCGATTATCAGATGATCCATCATCATTTTCTGCCCAGCGGGTCCGAAAGATGTCTCTCGCTTGTTTGGATTGCCATTGTCATAGCCCATTGCGCATTGCCTCGTATGCTCAAGACTCGAGCCACAGACATCTATTCACTAATCCGTCCTCCCAAGGGACCCATCTGTTTATACGTACGTATAGTTTCTATATCCAAATAATCAACATGTCGATCGCATCGTGTCTGCTTACCCATCCGTGCGCTCGCCCGGCCGGCCGACCGTCCGACCGATCTCTGGCCCCCAATTCGCACGCATCTCCCGCACCATCACCACGCGTCCAGAGAGAAGAGAGTGAGGAAGAGCGGAGGGGAGGAGAAAAAGCATATTCCGGTGTGGGCCGTGGTTTTGGGGCGTTGCTGGTGTCAGGTCAGGTTCAGGGTTATAGGATTGGTAAGGAAATACGCAGGTACACACACAAAACCCCCCTCTTGGTAGGTAGGTGGGCTTGTAGGTACAACCAACAACTGTCACCGCGTACTAGAACCAAGTGAGCATGTATGTAAGCAACCAAGCCAAGCCGGTTGGGTGCCAGTCGATCGGTCAAAACCCAAAAAAACAAGAAGGTAAGCAGAGACTAAGGACTCAATGGAGCCCCATTCAGGATGAGGTAAAAGCCGACCAACAAGCCCTGGGCATCTTGCCCCATTCAATCAATGATATGAGGCTGAGGCTTTGCTGGGTCTGCAGGCGTGAGCATTCGGACTTGGCTGTGGTATTCAGTTTGGTAATGAGTCGTATGTACCGAACTCGGACGTTGCTGTGGCGGCGGGTCTGGTCATCTCATCTCCTCTATTAGTCTAGTCCCTGTTCTAGATACATGCCGGCGTTTGGAAGGGGTTCGATCGAGGTGGGAAGGTGGTCTGTGGGAGCGTATGTGTCTGGACACGAGTACGAGAGTGATGAGAGCGTCGAGGCACAGAGGGGGAGATGGAAAGGTGAATGGATGGATCGATGGAAATGCGCGTGTTAGGATCTCTCCAAGGTCATGGTATGCATGGTTTGTTTGTAGGTATCTCTCTCATGCACCTGAGTTATGAAGTATTGGATTATGCCAATGTCGCCACACACCATCGACGGACAAAAGTCATGCTACTGTCTTCGAGTCATTTATTACTGATGCGACCAGCTGGCCCGCCACGTGCACGTGCAAGTGTCAGTGCCACTGTAGGTGTAGGTGCAGGCGAATGCAGCCCATCTGAGATGTGTGATACAAGATTCGAGATACAACACGCAATATGCAACCATGCAACGTGTGTGGGATTCCGGAGGGAGGATGGAGGATGGATGCAGGAGGCTGTGAAATTGGCCATTTGTGATGATATGTAATGGTGTAATGTGTAATGCGTAATGCGTAATGCAGGCAGGCAGCAAACGCAGCCTGTCTGTCTGTCTCTCTTTGTATCTCATGCAGTCTATGCATAACCCTACCAGCAGAGTCTCTCTGGAAAGCTTCTCGCATCTTTCTTCTGTTTCCCGTCACTACGTACACCTTTTCCTTTTAATTTTTTTTGGGTGTGGTCGCAGCTGGGGGGGGGACCATGGGGCAGGGAGCACGAAGGATCCTCGGATCTCGGATTCGATTCGTTGATGGATGATACCTTCCTTCATGCATGCATTCATTCATTCCTTGTTGCCTCATATTCCTTCGTGTTGATCTACTCTATGCATGTATGTGGCATGCCTTTCTCCGTCCATTCCTTCTGTCACGGTTTCATTGGCAGCAAACAAAGACGTGAGGGAACCGATAGAAGGATGAGGGAGCCTTGCACCAAGAGACAGGAAAGGAGGAAAGAAAGAACAAGAGATAGGGGGAGAGGGAGGGATCGACAGACAGACAGACGGCTTTGCAGAGATACACTCTTCCTCTGCACGAAAGAGCGAGAAATTGAAAAAGAAAGCACGTATCGAGCGAACCCATTTCTTTCTTTCTTTTTTTTTTCTTTGAAAGGAAAGGCCACAAAACCATAACGCATTATATGAGACACTCAGTGAGGCCTTGTCCAGCCCAAAGAAAGAATAGTTTCCATTCAACCAACTTCCTTTTGCCTCCCATCCCAGCCCGTCATTTCAAATTTCAACCCGAACCAAGGAAGGTTATACACACACGTAAATCGAGCACCAGAGCCCCGTATAGTAGGCCAACGTAATAACGACGAAGCGAGCGCTTCTCCTCCTCCTCCTTGTCCTTTTCACTGCCGGTGTAGATTCCCAGGAGAAAAACAAACAAGAGGTTCTTTCAAAATGGAGGACATGAGAAAATGAGAGAAGAAAAAAAGACTCGTCAAGACCTTTTTCGAGAGAGACAGACCGAGGAATGCGAAGAAAAATTTCAGGTTCTCTGAGGAGAAAACATCAATGATCCATTTAGTAGTAGTAGCAGCAGCATCTGCAGCAGCAGGAGGAGGGGGGATTTTTCCCGATCCCTCGATTCACGGAGGCAGCAAGTTTTTTCCTTTCTTGCCCTTCTCCTTTTTCCCCGTCCCTCTCTCTTCTTTTCCTCCTTGCGTCCGTTTTGGTGAGCCTCTTCCTGCCCAATTCTCTCCTGGAGAAAGAGACGACAAGCAGTGGTGGTGGTTTCTTTGCAGCCGACAATCAATAGCCTCAAGTGTAGGTACTGCATGCCCTGGCGACCTGAGCGTCGCACTGAGGTCATGGTGAAGATCCCCAGGGGACCATCAGCCCGTTTTTCAGCGCAGATCAACAGATCAATGCCCTCTCATTTCCGACTTGATCTTTGGGCTGCCAGTGTGCTGTTGTTGTTGTTGACCTTTATTGTGAATCCGTCGGACGTGGTCCTTCATGTTGTCCATGCGAGAGAAAACCCGACCGCACTCCTCACCTTCGGGTCCGCGCCATTCGCACTTGATGCCCGGGTTGTGCTTGGCCTCGTGGCGGGCGCGGTCCTTCTTGCTGGAAAAGCCGCCGGTGAGCGGCTGGTCGGCTGACTTGGCGCGCGCCGCGGCGGCAGCCTCGCTCTGAGGGCAGCCATCGACCCGGCAGAAGAGATGCTTACTGTGTCGGTTGTAGTGTTTCCGGAGATCGCAGCCGCGAGTGAAGGTGGCACGCGACGTGCAGCCGGGGTAAGCACAGCGCCACGATTGAGCGACGCCACCACTGAGTCCGGATGGCGACGAAGGGTGCAGGGATGTCACCATGACCGACGTTGGTGGTTCGGTAACCGGGATGCCATAGGCGTGAAGAGAGGTGTTGGACGAGGTGGAGTTGGAGCGGAGGGCTGGGCGAAGTGAGTCGGAGTGGTGGCCTCCTCTGCTCAGCGACGAAATAGGGCTACACGACCGTGACATGGATGAGACGCTGCCCCGATGACTTTGAGAACTCGGGTGGGAGACTTGTGAGAAGACGGGTGAGGCCGCCAGGTGGTGAGTCGACGGGATGCCCCGTGAGCTGGGAACTTGGTTGAAGTCGAAATGTGACGAAGGTTGGATGTCCTGAGGTGTAGGAGGAATTACATGTGCAGAAGGGGGGTGGTGGTGATGGTGACTGAAGGTAGGGAAGTGTGTCGACGAGGTCGGGTCGTAAGGCAGCAGCGGGGTGGGCTGGGGATAGTTGGAGTACGGAAACCACTGGTTCTGTTCATACATGGTGTAGGAGTTGGGTGTGAGTGACGACGAGGAAGTAGCAGCAGCAGATGTAGAAGAGGTATTGAAGTCGGCGACAGGCGGTACAGGAAAGAAAGAGGTGGTAGAGTCTGACGAGGTGTCGTCGAAAGATATCTGATGTAGATCGTGACCTTGGGAGTCGGACATTGACATGCCTGGAAGCATGTATATAGACTCTGATGACACGGACGGATTATGCCCTCGACTCGAAGGAGCCGGCGAAGGGTAGCAGAGGCCGGGGAGGGAAGGTGAGCAAGTCAGCAAGGCGCTTTTGTCGAATTCGTCGAATTCGCTGGGCGGGGGGGTCATGGAGAAGATGGCGTCCTGGGTCTCAACGGCCATGGCGTGCAGCAAGCACTATCTTCCTCTTGCTGATTTTTGGTGTTAATTTGGGAACCCGGGCGGCGGCTGGTTCGGTCGGAGCAGCAGTAGTGGTGGTGGTAGTGGTAGTGGTGGTGGTGATCGTAGTAGGAGTATTCGTAATGGTGCTGGCGGTTTGCATATATATCTTGGGAGTGAGCTTCTTCTGCGAGATGCCACATTCCCATGGGGTCATAGAGTTTGTCAGGGCCGTTCGAGCTGCTGGCAAGTTTCAAAACATAGAAAGCTCAACCTCCCAAACCCATGGGGCGAACATGCACATATGAATAGTAGGACCAAGCAGGGCCGAGCACAAGCTGCCTTTCGCTCGACCATCACGGGCTTAGGGCAAAAAGGCAAATCCTCGTAGGGCTAGAATCGACCCCGGTCTCTCATTGCTGACAGCATCCCCCATCCCAGGACCCAGCACCCAGGGACCCAGGGGAGGGGGGGAGGTAGATCGTCGACGCGGTCGTAGTTGCATGGGATGATGGGAGATAATGCTTGAGAGGCTTGGGAAAAGGCGGGTCCCAGCGGCCGAAGCGGCCAGGGATTGAGCCACACTCTGATCTCCAGCCCATCAAGTGGGTGTAAGGCGGAAAAAGACGAAAGGGAAATTGAAACGAAGGGTGGAGAGGCGCGACGAACTCGTACCGGTAGGCCGTTACGCATGCAGACGCTGATACCGGCGGAGGCGCCAGCTGCTTTGCTGATCATCTCACCGCACACCCGTATTGAAGCATACCAATACCTGGGCGACACCCGGTGGAGCCCCCTCGTTTGCTAGTCTCTGACTCTTTTGGTGCCTCTTTTTCTCGTCTTTGTTGCCCGTTCCTCCAGGCCACGGTGCCAAAAGGACCCCCTCGCTCGCTGCCCTGTTCCCCCCTCCCAAGTCAAGTCACCGCCCCCCTGGGTGGTTTAGGGGTGGCCACTAAGGGCTTTCTTGGAGGTGAGACTTGATGACCGCCTTGGGGGGGACCTGCACCCAAAGGGTGAAAAACCACTGGGTAGGGTCAGACACAAAACAGACCACCAATGATTACTGCCGCTTTTTGTTCAGTTTTGGCCCGTTCACCGTTGCTTTGTTGTTGTTGTTGATCAGGAGAGATACGGGAATAACAAACAAAGAAACGCCCTGGCCACAGGTTACAGTGGCGTGGCCGGGAAGGCGACCAGGTACCAACCGTACCTATTAGCTGTCTGTCGACTCGGGCACTTTTGGGCTGGCCTGTATTGCCATGCCAGTCTGGACTGGGGGCATTGGCCGCTGTGCACCCCGACTACAGAGCTTTGCTGCTCGTTTACTTTTTTGCGACGTTCGTCCGGCGGGTATTCCTTTGTTGCCCATGTTTTGTCGTACGCCGGCATGGCTAGGGTTGCATGCTACCCGTGGAGTGTTCTAACTTGGGGTTCCCGAGCCCCCTTTCCAAGCCTGGCAGATCGACGAGCTGAGCAAGTAGTTGGAGAAATAAAAAGTACGAGTCATTTTTCCCTTGACCGACCGAACGGGTATGAGCGTCACTCGGACTTAGTTGTGCCGTGCCGTGTACAGATGCGCAGCTCGGAGACATCTGTGCGTGTTCCTTTGTCTCCGCCCGTGATCGTCCTTTGTCGGCGTGCCCACACCCTTCATCCGGTCAGCTCTCGCCAGATGGTCTCTCAACGTGGGTTTCTGACTCACTGGCTCGAGAGTTAAATGCCAACAGTTTGTCAGCGGAGACCCGGTGATAGTGCCCCAGAGATTGCAAATCGACACCCGCCCGCGAATCCAATCAGATTGGCGACCTATACCAGTCGTGGGGCCCCTGGACCATATTTGCAACTGTGGTGCTTAGCGACGGGCTGCGTGGTCCGTCAACGTGGGTGATCAGCACGGGCTGATATGTCAACAGGGGCTCTGCCGCACAGTAGCTGAGGCGGAGTAGTATTCGATGGTAGCAAGCCCGACTCTTGTGTTGCCTGGACTGACAGATGGTGCTCCCGGTGGCAAGTTCCAGTATATCGCATCTATGATCCGGGGTAAGACTTTCTTGTGGTGGTATTCCCCCCTTTAGTTCAGGCCAGCCACAACCGCCATATAAAGCATATACTTCCTTGTTCGAGCAATGCACACTGTGATCACAACTGGGGACAGATGTGACCGGTTATGTGTGGTCGAGTGTCTCCTGCTATGACGAACGACTTTCTGAGACTCACAGTAATACCCCAAACAGGTATCTCAGGGAGACGGTCCCGGTGTAGATCTCCAAAAGTCTACGCTCGGGTCCGAGGCTCGTTGTCCGAGCGTTGCTCGCATACTCTGTTTGGCCCTCGCGAACCTAGACGGTTTGAGGATAGCTCTGAACATTGATGCTTCTTGCGACAATCTGCGACCGCCGATCCTTCGACGTATACCCGTTTCAGGGTGGCATCGTATAGTAGAAGAGGCGCTAAGGTGAGGAGATGGCGCGACTGGTCGCTTCCGATCCAGGCTGAATCTTTGTCTCTCTGTCCAAGTTATCCGTGCTTGATTGCAGTGAGTCTGAACGAGCTGGAGCACGATGCTCGACGTTTTTAAACTTCTGGGCTGATTTTCATGATGCTCGTCGCCATGTCACAACATGATTGAACCTGACGTAAGCTAGGCTGTCGCCATCTCCACGAGCATCCATGATCAACGCCCCTTGTGTACGAATATCCAAGAAGGGAATATTATTGGCCCCTTTTCTGCCATACAGTGCCCTTTTGCATTCTTTTATGTCGCCGAGCATGAGGCAGGACTTAGCGGTGATTCAGGTGACTACGAACATCAAACAACGCATGTGGTCTGAAGCCGGTACTGCGCCATCTGCCTTGGACGAGCCCCTGCAGGACCGAGATACAGACCGTTCAAGAGCGCCATCCAAAAGCCCTAACACCATGGATATTTGACGTCACCACACAGCAACAGTACCTAGAAACCTGTGAATCAAGGATGGACACTGCCAACAACAGCATGAAGATTTGCGGACACGGCTCGCATAGAGAGTATGGATTAGGAAGAACTCATTTCTTTCCAAACCTGGACTTGTTGAGAGGAATTCAAGTTGCGCAAACTTGCTTCGGGCTCAACAGCTGGCTCTCAGTGATCGGACACAGATCCCACGTGGATATGCAGGTGTTCGACCGGGGAGCACGGCAATGGAGGGCCTCCCTCCTCCTTCCAAATCCTGGGTGCGAGTATACCTGAATCCTGGCGAGACGGGATACTGGCTCACCTCTAGCCTCTAGCCTTCACCCAACGGGGCGGAGACTTTAGGGCACCCCGATTCGTGGAGACAGCGGCGATGTGCGACTCACCAACCAATAGATGGAAGTTGAGCTGTGACATTCTCTCTATGCTTACGCCAACAGGGAAAAGGAGTTAGTGCCAGGACATTGTCAGGATAGCGGGAGTACACGCTGCATTGTGTTTGCACGATGTTGATGGTGACGGAGGAGGTGAAGGCGTTATTATTAGAGGAAAAGGGGGACAATATCAGTTTGTGATTGTGCGCTGCTTGAGACTGAAGATTGTGTACTAGCCTTTTATAGATTAGCATGGAGCAGCTCTTGGCACTCATCTATGAATAAATAACGACGCTCGCATCACATGACCGTCTCCGTAGCCAACTGCGACATGTGATTTGGCGCTGTTTGCGTTTGGCCACCTCCTCAAGTCACTACTCTCTGTGGCTCACTCGCTTTCATCAGGTGTCCTTTTGCTGTTGAAAAGAAAACCAAAAAACCGATCATCCTCTCGATGTAACACCTTCTTTTATTTTGGAAACAGTTGCTGCGCACCTTGGAGTGTCCACAGGCATGTTGCCCCCAGCCCCGTCAGTTGCGGTGGACCCTGAAGACCGCAAAATCATCGAGAAACTCGCGAAATTGCAAAACATGTACACCCAAGTCAGTCTCTTACATTTTTCCTTGTCGAACCAATCACGCTGTCAAAACCGCTGCTGACCGTCTTGGAGATTGGTGACCTTCGGACTTTACTGCCCGAGAAGCTGATCAACCCAGCCCGAGTGGCTCTGGACAACCCTGGTGAATACGAGCCTGCGAAGCTCGCTGCCTATTTGCAGACTGCCGCACAGGCAGGGAGTCGGGACGTCGAAAGATTCAAGAAGGACTGGCACAGTGACGACGTCCGCGAGCTCTGGCAGACTGTCCACGCCAATGACTTGCCCCAGGGTGGAGACGCATGGGCGTTCGACTATGCGAGTCTCCTGCGGGACGCTGCTGCAAACGAGCAGACCTCCATCACGGTCAGGGACGCTAGTCACGACTTTGAAACCCCATCTGATGCCGAAGTTGCAAAGGCCGTGAACGACTTTCGCGCAAGGCATCCAGAGTTCACGATACACGTGTCGAATGAAGCATCACTCTTGCCAGTCGACATCAGCGTCTCCCGTTTTGACTTTCGAGTCGAGAAAAGTCAGACTGCTGGCAGGGCACCATACAACGTCATTGACAAGTCTAGTTCAGAAGCGGCTGGTGTATACGACCTGCGTGCTGACGTCGTTGAAAGCATTCGAGAGTCGAAAGAGACACGCCGGCTTGGGGACCTCCTTGTATGCCCAGACACCAACGTCATCGCTCTGTATGACTTTTGCTAACGGTCCGATCCAGGAGATGATTTATTCGTACCACGATATGATGACCAGACCGTGCGACAAGTGCGGAAAGCTTCTCGACACCAAGATGCTGAAACTGCCAGTGATTCGGCAGGCGAAACCCCCAACACAAGGCGAGCCGCAGCCTCGGTTTTTGGCCCTCCATCGAGTATGCCGGTGATCCTTTCGAGGCCGTACATACGCAAGTGGCTCCTTGCATGCCGGCTGCTTCATCCAATTATCATCGAGGATCTCGGTGGTGCATTAAGGCGCCACCCTTTGATTTACAGCGCTATCATTTTTGGTGGGAATAGTCCGTCGCTGCTATCAGTCGCAGCACAATACTACGACATTGATGTTTTGGTTGCAGTTGGCCACAGTCTTTTGCTGAGAAGTTCTGCCGTTTGGAGAGGGGTTTTAAGGCGTTTCGGTCGTGGCTGGTAATGTACCTGCGAGTGTGGGCTCTCAATAGCCATATGAATATCAAAGAAATTGGGATTGAATGCAGAAACCATCGTCCAGCAAGTTTGTCACGTATCCGCCCGCACTGATATGTAGGTTTCCCCGTGAACTCGTTCCTTTCCCTCCGAGAAGGGCCCCAGGCGCAATGTTCCGGTACGTGACTTATATTAGTGAATGACCTCGACGCCACCCCTGATTCCACGACTACGGAGATGACGCGTTCAACGCCGATGCCGCTTTCTTCTCCCATGCTGTAGACACTGCAACCCTTTATCCAGGCGATGACAAGTGCCAGCAGTTCCAGTGATTCAGAATTTCTTCTACCGGGGCGACTGCCATAATCAATCCCCTTCCAAGGTCGCAGTCAAAGAGATCCTCGGGGACCAATGTCTGGATATGGGCTCGCGGAAGGGGGATCAAATTGGCTGAAGGATATTCACCTCTCGAAGTGGGAAAAAGGCGCAATGGATGTTGAGAATGCAAACGAGTCTGCGGACAAGCGACAATCGCCTCGGAAAACTCTGACAGGGAGGTTTGGTAACCTCAAAATTACAAACCACCCAGATAATATGCCAACCACGGTCACATTAAGACCAGACAATTTCCTCAGACAGCGTGCCATCGGCAGCCAGGGTGAAGCTGGACGATCGCACCGGACAGAATGCTATATCCCAAGACAGATGCCACCGCAGAGAAAACGGACAGCAGATGGAGCGATCAAGCCCCAACCAGCGTCGGCCCTAATTGACCTCAGGAATGACTTTCTGCCGCACGACAACTACCGAAGAGCCCCCGATGTGAGGTGGAAAATGGATTTGGACATCTTACAGCGCCGTATCGCAGTGATCGAGGCACAGAAGCAGGCCAGCTCTCACCACCGATCGAGTCCGCTCCGAGCGCGAGGAAGGGAGCAGCGAGTGGGACCGGGTCAAGGGTGGCAACGGACGAGATACAGACAAGATCCCGAGACAGAAGACAACCTGATGGACTGGAAGGAGGTGGCCATTCGATAAGATCTCTGGATTACCGTGAGCATGATGACAAGTACGAGATACAGTCGCTGGGGAGAGATAGCGACTGTCTGACAGGGCAGCCTCCTCCCAGATGCAGCATTTCCGTGGTACTCAAGATCTCTGGAAGCTTCTGACTCCGAATGCCTGGCTCTCATATGTTCGATTAGCCTTTGTGCCAGGAGTTCATGCTGGCGGTATTTCGGTTCACAACTCTCCTCTGCCGCAGATACCAGGTACAGGGAGGTTGCTGTCCGAGTCAGCGGGTATTATGCTTAGTAGCAACTGGCCTCGGGGGAAATCCAAAACCTTCATGTTCTTGTTGTCCTGACATAGATGTGAGGTCTCATGGCAGTGGGTGTGTAGTGATGACCAGCGTGAATATGTCGAACGCGGCGGTAACGTGATATCAGACATGCGGCTCGTGATCCAAGTGGCTGGGACATTTGTGTGTGTGTACCGAGTATTATGTGAACGAGCCAAATTAAGAAACAATACCAAAGGTGCCCAAACCCGACTTGGTTAAGACGTCTCCGGGCGGAGAGTGGCTTAGGCGGTAGAAGGGGACCCTAGGTGCCAATTGCTGTTGGCTGCGTGGTCGCGTCTGGGCCGCTGCTAGGCCTTGTTGGGGTGTTTCTGTTTGTGCGGGTTCCGGATGCCGTCGTCCAGGGTGAGACAACGCTCTCCTGTCTCTTTTTTCGTTGCCCTGCGCTCCTTTCTGCACCTCCGACAGACACATCGTCGTCCGTTTCTCATCATACTCTCGCTATCGTCAATCGTTTTCATTCAATCGTTACCTTTCCATTTTCTACGCTATACCTCGCACTATAGCCCAGCTTGCAACAAAGTCTTTCCCAGAAGGACGAACTGCACTTCCTCCATTGACTGCAAGCGTTTCGAACGCCATACGAATCCGCCTCCTTCGACGTCCGAAATGAAGGGCTCCGGCCTCTTCTCCATCCTCTCCTCTCTCCTCCTCTTCTTTGCAGCTTGTTCATCGGCCTGGCCGTGGCCGGAATTTCTCAACGGCAAGGCCGACGTTCTGATTGTCCCCCGCCAGAACCAGAACCAGAATCAGAACAACAACGACAATAACGATAATGCCTCCTCCAGTTCATCTGCGAGCCAGCCCGCATCCTCGTCGGGCTCTTCATCAGGCACTCAGTCTGGGTCAACGATAACTCCAGCTCCGTCTGCATCGGGGTCAGGGGCAGGGGCATCAGGATCTCGGAACGGGACCACAACAAAGAGCACCAAAACCACTCCAATCGACCCTCGCCTCCCACCTGGCGGTATCTCTCTCATCACACCCGCTCTGATTGATGGCCCTCAATACTACAAGGTCGGGGATTTTGTGACCTTTGCGTGGAACTATACCTCTCTGTCGGTGACCCCGTCCGCGATCGACGTGCTGGCGTCCTGCGCTTTGAATCAAGCCACCTACACAATCTCTTCCAACATGTCGGTGCAGGAGACGGGTGCTATCACCTGGGACACGGGAGAGATGTTCGCCACGGCCACCAATCCCTTCCCAGTTGCTAGCTATACTCTGATCATCCACGATTCGTCACAAGATATCACCGACATCCCCAGTGCTGGATTTTTGGCGGCCTATGAGCAGTATATCTTTGGGATGTATACAGGGTAAGTCTATCTCCTCACTCGGTAAGGCATTGAACCGCTAAGAAGGTGCAGACAACCATATACTCCGTTGAACGAATTCAAGTGTGCAACCTGCAATGGTGCATTCTCCATCCATGAAAAGCAAGCGCTGGGCGTGATCCTGACAGCATCAGCCATCACCATTTTGTCCTTCACATGGTTCGCCAGGGGCTTCGGCGTGTTTTGAGATGGAGCGCTCCCCATGATCAATCTGACGGCTAGAATTTGCCATATATATTTATAGTATCTAACGACCCATAATCGGATGACAAAATTGTTTTCTAACGAGGCCAAAAAGACATTCCAGTATAGCGGCGTTTTGAGCGGAATCTTGGATCAGTTTGCGAGTGCATTACATCGGGGGCAATCTAGGGGATCATCGGCAACCTACATGACGGGGGAACGGAGAATGGCATCCGGGGTGTCCAACGATTTGGAAACACAGGAAAGGAAAATTCTGAGGCTAATGAAAGAGAACTTCCAAAAGTGGAAAATATTGTTCCCTTGCCCGATTCTCATGCTGTCCGTTGGGAAATGTTTACTCTTATCAATCGACCAGCAGACCTGCGAAGCTGATCCACCCCAGCTCTCAAACCGACCAGGAACCAGGTGAAGATGTGAACAACCAACAATTGCAATGGCGGAAGATCCCAAGATCGGAACCGCGCAGCACGGTACCTTTCATACCACGATTGGCGAGTTCTGTACTGTTCCTCGTATTTGTCAAGTTGGAAGGAAGCCTTCCGGACGGATACAAATCAAAATCACCTTGTCTAGACCGGGACGATTTGGAGCTCGACCCGTCTGCCTGCCGGCAAAGAGCCTCAGGGGTTGACGACGAAGAACAAAAAGATCGGAAGCTCGTCCTTGCATCCGGATTTGACATCTCGTCGAGAATGAATGGTTGCGCGGCATCTTTCTGTCCACCGGTATTTTTTTTTGTCAAGAGTTGCTTTGTCTCGTACCTTCTTCCGCCTTCCCCGTCACATATAGCGTGGTCGCAAACACCACGTCTTCTACCACTCCTGGGGCGATCAGAGGGGGACTGACTGACTGACCGATGTTTTTGAGATATTGAAGAAGTACAAAAGCCCTGCCCTTCCGTGTTGTGCTTCCCCCTCCTTGCCTCACCCATGCGAAATCGACCATTACCAACATCATCACAGTCGTCATCGTCACCTCTCTATTCTTCATTCCATTGCGGTGGTGTCTCCTCCCTCTGTGTCTCTCTCTGTGTGTCTATGAGAGAGAGAGCATTCATTCCCTGATTGACCACTGGGGTCGATATCCTCTTGCCAGCGTCAAGCTTGGACTGGCTTCGCTTTCCAACCAACATTCGACGGAATTGGGGCCCTTGGAACAACAGCAACATACGTTTCTCCTATCTGCCTGTCACTTTCTAGTTGCTGCTACTGCTGCTGCTCCTGCTGCTGCGCGCCGTGGAACATCCATCCATCCATCCATCCAATCCAGTCCTTGCTCCCAAGGTGCTTGGGAGAGTGGGCGGCAAGTTTGAGCCCGGCACAAACACGAAGTTGGGTACAGTCAGTCCAGGCCTTTTTACCAAGCATTTTTAAAACCGCTCCTCGACCAAAGAAAGCCCTACGGCGAACAGTCTGTCCATCCATCCATCCATCCAGCCAGCCAGCCAACCAATCACTCTCAAGTTCACCCTTGGAAGGCCTTTTCTTCCAGCATTCCATCCCATCCATTCATTCATTGATCCAAAGATGCCTTCCCCAACGACCTCATCTTCCTCCTATAAGGATTCCAGAACAACACCCACGACCACCACAACAACCTCCTTCTCAGCCCGCACCACCACCACCACCACCACCAGCAACAATAACAAGTATCCATCTTCGACTTCGTCTCCCTCATCCACGTCCTTTTCTTATTCCCCTTCTCGCCAACTACCGCATCATCACCAACCCTCGACGGTGCCAAAACGCCCCGCGACCTGGACCGCCCAGCATGACGCCTTCGTCCGCGAACAGGCCCGCAACGGCGAGGACGCCGAGAGCATCCGCATCCTGTTCGAGGTCGAGTTCCCCGCCGTGGTCGGGGTGAGTAAGGCGTGGGTCAGGGAGAGGATGGGGAGCGTTGTGGTGGCGAGATAGAGAGGAGGGGGGGGAAGGGAGGGAGAAAAAAAAGGGACGAAGAACGGGAGAAGCGAGATGTTGTGGGTTCTGGCTGAATGGAGAGAGGAAAGAAAAGAAAAAATGGAAAGGGAGAGGAAAAGGACGGGCTTGATCAGTGGGCTCAACTGGGCTTAGGAGAGGGGGATGTTTTCGTGGAGGTTGGTGGTGGGTACGAAAGGGGCGTAGGGATGGGGAAGGGGAAGGAAGAGAGCAAGGAACCTGTTCTGGTAAGAGTGACGATGACCTAAGACAATTATCATTTTGGATCTACAATACAATCCATGCGAGGAATCTCGAAGGTCAGGGAAGGGAAATGCTCAGAAGAAGATTGGATTTGGTCGTCAGGCTGCTCCGGTCAGTCGGCCTAGTCTTGTCGTGGACTGTACTGTGCTCTGCTGTGCTGTGCTGTGCTGGACTGGACTGGACTGGCGTGCTCAATGGACTGGGAGAAATGGGACGGGATAGGATCGGATGGTATCGAACGAGTGATGTGGTGGAGAGGGAGAAGATGTGTGTGTGTGTGTGTGTGTGTGGGAGGGTGAGTGGTATGTATTCGGCGTCGAGGGCGCTGTTAAACGGATATTATCCCTTCATAACGATCCAGGGCCATTGTCGTTATTTTCCCATAAGAACAAGCACTCTTGAAGTTGATTCTCAGGAGAGGCACCCGTCACAAGGGTTGAGGACGGGGCCGAAGAACTAGGAACCTCAACCCCATTTTGGATGGTGTGCAACACAGACTATATATTCGTGAGATATATATGCGATACTCAGTGTATGTAAAATGTCTGTGTGGAAATAGAGCCGGGAAGTGAAAGAACACATTCATGGTACATTCCCTGAAAACAAGCATGTCCCAGTCCCCAACGGCGCCCGGTCCAAAGTGATTTCCCATTCCGCGAGGGAGATGATCTTTGTCCAACTCCGACGCTGTAACGACAGATGTAGGAGGGTTTCATGTGTCTGGTAGTGTGCAGTATTCCAACTTTGCCCCAAAGGTCATGAGATCCAAACCTCCATCTTGCCCATCTCATTCCTCTCTTTCCTGGCTTGACTGCGCACGCTCGACAACAACATCTCGAGATCGTCTTGATCACCCATGGTGATCATGTCGCCATCATCTTGCATCTTGATCTTCAATTGATCTTTGATTCCAAATTTCTCCCGGATCTTGCTCTCCAGGTCGCCAAAATCTACCACAGCGCCAATCATTAGATATCTCGTATCGTCGTTAAAGTGGCATTTGACACGGATCTTGCGCATTTCGGGCCGTTTGCTCCCGCGCCCCGATCGCGACACCGCGCGCCGCACGGGCTCGAAACCGCTCATGTCTTCCGCACTCATTTCTTCTTCGTCTATATATTCGTCTTCTTCGTTCAGGTAAAGGTCTTGGTCCTGGCGTCGCTGGCGCCTGCGGGGGCTGGAGTACATGCGATAGACGTCCTCCACCGTGTCCGTGGGATCATCGTATCGAGATTGGGTAGTCTCCCGGAACAGTGGGGCGGGGGCCCTCTGTGAGGCCGAGCGGCCGAGCATCTGCTGTCGAGAAGAAGGACCTCGGGGTTCGGAGGCGGTCCTTTGGGTGCCATAGCGTGACCTTTCCATCTGTGGTGGTCGCTCCATCATGGAGGGTTCCTCCGGCCAAGAGTTCTCCCGTTGAGGCGGCATCATCCTGCCCATGCCGGGGGGTTGGTTGGCGCTGACGTCGAATGTTGCCGCTCGACTCATCATACCGGGTCTAGGTGCATCCATTTCTGGTCTGGAGGAGTACGCATTGCGGGGTTGACGCATGGAGGTGGTCCGCAGAGGCAATGTGGACGTTCCGCCTCCGCCGCTGAGCCTGGGTTTCTCGTTCTCCGGGGGCGGTGTCGGCGGGAACACGTTTCGATTCATGACCGGAGGAGCGCTCTGATCTCGGACCACTCTACTGGACAAATTGCGCTGTACCAGGTTTGTTGCTGCGTAGCTGATGTTTTCCGGAGGACGGTCGTCTTTGCCTGACATCTCAGCAGCCACAGCTTGTTTTCTTTCCACCCCCTGGAATCCGGTGCCGGTGTTCTCGCTGTTCGAGGTGGCGATCAACCGGGCCTTGCCCAGATAGTCTTTTGCTTTGAGGTTCTTGACCTTGGCTTCATTGGGTCGGTAGACGCATCCGACCGGTCTATCAAACACCAGGTTAGTCCATCGGGTTCAATTGCGTGTCGTGGAGTCTACGCTCCAGGACGCTGCCCGTTGGAAAGTGGCTGGGGTGAGACTCACATGCTGAAGACCACATAGCCCTGGGCCATGTCCTTTATAGCATCATCAATCACGTCGTGATCAGGGGTCATCTTCTCCTTCTGGGCGAAGCTGAAATCCTGAAGCCCGGCCTGCTCTTGCTGGAGGTACATGTAACACAGACCACGGTTGAAGAGAACCTCACAGGAGTAAAGCTTGAACTTCAGCCCCAACTGCTCATAGTCGATGTATGTATTGCCTCTCAGATAGAGCAGGGTGTCATTGAAGTTTGCCAATGCTTCTTCAAAATCCCCGACCAGAAAATTGGAGACACCCTGCTGGAAATAGGCCACGGCGAGGTACTGGTCGAGTTTTATGGCGCGTTGGTAACATTCCACCTAAGTCTCTGTATCAGCATGGTTTGACCTCGTCTCTTCTCTTGCCACTGAACGTACCGCTCTCTCGTGTTCGCCGATGGTCGCGTGGATGACGCCGCAGTTGAACAGGATCTTGGAGGTATCGGCAATCGCGTCGAAGATCCTCAACGCTTCCTCGAATTCTTGATTGTCATAGTGACCAAGCGCCTCGACCCAAGTCTCTATTTCCTGCACAGAGGGGGTTAGGACCCGAGTGGGCATTGAGGGGATTCACATACCTGCTTGAGCGACATGGCGCCGGGCCGAGATCGTTGAAGTCAGAATCGTCGTCAACAAGGGCGGTAGTGACAGCAAGGTTGCAGGTAGATACACAGAGGGCAAGGTGTTTACAGAGGAAGCGAGATCTGCAACAAGGAGCGGCGGTGCCTGAGACGTTATTGAAATGGTGGGAGTGGGCGGTCACAGATTCTGCTAGGGTAGTGGGAACCGATGGGCCACCACAGGCTGGTGCTCCGAGGCTGCGAGGGCCGGCCCTGCCGCCAGGTCCTGAAAATGGGTGCTTGAGGGCCAGGGGTTAAGCGCCCGGGGTGGGTAGGTTGGTAGCAGTAGGGCGGTGGGATTTGCTCGGCGCCAGTGCCGTCACTGACTGAGTGCCAATGAAAGAGGCTGTCAACTTGACAATGTGGTGAATGAGTCGATTAGCGACGGAATGCGTCCGATAGATGGCAAATAGTCTGGGACGCGAAGAAGATAAGTCGGGATAAATAAAGAGCGTAGACAGGATAGATAACCAAAAGCACAGCTTTGGAGGAGAAGCGAAAACAGCAATGCCAGTTGCTAGGTTGAGGAGAGAGAGAGAGAGAGTTGGGAATGGAAGAATATTCTGTGACAGCAAGACTCGGACTTCTTGAATGATGGGTTTGAGAGTTCGAGAGAAGGGGAACAGGGCAAACAAGTGGAGAGTCCAACTCCTTCAAGCGAGAGCGAGGGTGAGAGAAGAAGCCGTGGAAGCAAGGGGGACGAGCATGGGGGGGATGGGATAGGCACGAATAGGGAAGGGCGGTGGCTGGAAGGAGACAGAGGGCACAGAAGGAGGGACAGGAGACCTACCACTCCAGGCACTCTCAGGGGGGAGGGCCCTCGGGTCCGGGTCAGACAACTCAGCACCTAAGGTGCCTTGCATGTACGTACGGCAGGCAAACTGTATTATCTATCCTATAGGTATCTTCTCACCTAAAGTTCCTGTTGTAGATACCGAGTCCATCCAGCACATGTCACCTCGTCACAATCGCCTACTTGCCTCTCTACTCATCACCTACCCCGTACTTTTACTAGTCCACTAAACTCACCAGCCGCTTTCCTCCCATGTTTCTATCCTTCGCACTCGCTCATCACTCGTCGAGAATGTGATAGAACATGTCCCATGGTCCTCCTCTACCAAAGTGGCCTGAGTCCGTCACCTGAGCCCAGCCCTCTTCCTGCACTATCCATGATTTTATTGTTTGCTTTTCCCTCTCCTTGACGACCGTCTCACGCCCACATGGCTCGCTCTGCGGGTTTCGTTTCAACACCGTGTCCAACCTCGCCCAGTGGGCCAGGTTCCGCCATCTGCGTGTCCGTTTCAGAATCACGTCTGGCGACCAACCACCGTTGACGCTGCCACCTAAAAGCTTTTCCTAAACCCTCCGACCCAAGCAATCGGGTTGTCCGTTTCCAATGCTCGCTGCAGGGGTATGCTCCAGCAACTGCATCATCGTGCAGCAGAAGGCACCAAAGGGACGATTTCAAACCCAGAACAAACTCGGACCGCGAATCAGAATCGGATAAAAGTGTGATTTTTGATATTTTTTCTACTCTTCTCCTACGGTTCCTTGCCGTCGATGCAGGCTCCAGTACGATGGACCGACAGATCACAGCATCCCCTTTTCAACCTGCTCCTTCCGCTCCTCCCATACCGTCTTCCCCGAGCAGCTGCATACCGTCTTATCGTTGTCCCACACGCCGGCACTGCGAGCAATGACCCCGACCAGGGTGTCTGGATCTTCGGTCTGAAACGCTCCATCCGGTTGCTGTTTCGACACGACCATGCTGCGACCGATAATCTCCCATATTGACACCGGCCGATCCAGGAAGGCACTGCCTCGTCCATCCTGGTTGACCTCCACTGTCCCAAACAACCCGCGAGGCTGTCTGAAGCCCGCTAGTTCCTTGACGGCCTCCCAGATGCCCCCCGTCGAGGCTGCCCCACGTGAGATATCCCCCGTGGCCCTTATCGTGGCATGATATGTTCCTGGTGACACCCCACGCAGCGTCAGGTCGACCAGGGTCCGATCATCCGCGACTTGGACCATGCGTGCCAGGCCCCGGACAGGATCTGACACGGCTTTTGCATGAGTTTCCAGAATGCACACCCCGGCCGAGTTGGACTTCCCACTGCCCCGTAAGATGGCATCACGGCCCGTAGATTCGATGGCTGACACGATTGATGAGGGAGGAGCCGTTCCTTCAATGTAGAAAAGTTGGTCTTTAAGATTGGCTTCGATCTTGGTGATGCCTGAAGAGGAGCCGAGGGTGTCAGTTTCGGGCATCACAAGCCAAGGCGTGACAGCTCAGTACCTTGCACTTTCTCTAAAGCACCTGTAACATCTTGGACGCAGGAATCGCAGTGCAGCGGCACAGCAAACGTTGTCTGTGCATTGGTCAGTGAACAGGGAGAAGATCGGCAGGAGAGACATTGTGGCTGGTCAGACCTGGAATGGCTGGATCCCCAAGCTTCCCATTGTGAATGCGGCCGAGGTGCTAGCAGGGCTCACAGATCGGACGAGGGGAATTTGGTGAACAAACAATGCGAGTCAGTGTGCAGTAAGTGATGAGAGCTGGGAAGATGTTGGATGTTTGGATGCTTGGATGTTTGGATATTTAGATGCTTGGTAATATGAAATGCAATATTGAGGACGAATGAATGAATGAATGAGTTACCACGAAGAAACTCCCCCCGCATTGATCCGCCACATGAGCCTGAGAAAGTGACGTGTGACCGACTTCGGAATTGACAACTGGTAATACCGAATACAATGCATACAAGACAATCATATGGTATATGATACATGATACATGATACATAATCCATTATCACTGGTGAGTTTGAGAGGTGTCGTTTTGGGAACACTGATTGATATTACAGCAGTCACGCATTAATATGGAATCATGTCTTTCTGTGTCCCTGGACACCATGTCAGGACTGCCGTCATTTGATTGGGCGACGAACACGGGCCGGTTCCCTCTGCCCTTTTGGGCGTCATCCCCTATATCAACCCACACAAATGGGGCTTCCCTGTCAAAAACCCAAACACACAATGGGAGATGGACCTCAGCAGCGATCGTCTGACAAAATGGGCCGTCTCGCACGGGATTAAGGTCAATGGCATCGCAGCACACAGATTCCCGGGCAAGGGATTGGGCGTCATCGCCAAACGGAGGCTCAAGGTAGGTTGCCCTCTCTCTCTCTCTCCCCCTCTCTCTATACAAAGAGACAAATCCGTCGTATCCTGACGGGAAATCCTACACCAAAAAAGGATGGAGAAGTCATCTTGGACATTCCCATGTCCATGATCCGGACCGCAGAGACGGTGCCCTCCACCATCCGGGAGGCCGTCAAGGGGGCATGCAGTGCCAACGGCTACCTAGCGGCCGAATTGGCCATGGACACCTCCGAATCCACCGCCCTCTGGAGAACGACCTTGCCCTCAACGGACGACTTGACCACGTCGATGCCGCTCTGCTGGCCGCCCGAGCTCCAAGCCCTGCTACCACCCGCAGCACTGGCACTTCTGAGAAAGCAACAGAAAAAGCTCTCGCGAGACTGGAGTGCCGTGTCGGCCGCGTTCCCCCAGCTCGGCTACGACGCCTACCGCTGCTCGTGGCTGCTGGTCAGCACACGCACCTTCTACTACACGCCGCCCGACATGAAGCCCGAGGACACGCCTGAGGCCGACGAGTGTCTGGCCCTGGTGCCCTTTGGCGACTACATCAACCACGCCGACGCCGCCACCTGCAAGGTCGCCTTTTCGGGCACGAGCTACGAGTTCACGGTGGAGGGGGCCGTGGCCAAGGGTGAGGAGCTGTACATCTCGTACGGCAGCCATTCGAACGACTTCCTGCTGGTGGAGTACGGCTTCACGCTGGACAAGAACAAGTGCGACGTGGTGTCCCTGGACTCGGTCATTCTACCGCTGTTCTCCGAGAAGCAGAAGGGCATGCTGGAAGAGGCGGGCTATTGGGCCAACTACGTGCTGGAGAATCCGTCGATGCAGGACGACGAAGTGGCCTGCTATCGGACACGGGTCGCCCTGAGGTTGTTGTGTATGCCGCTGAAAAAGTGGAGGGATTGTGTGAGGTACGGTGCCGATGATGACGACAAGTATCGCAGTTCGGTGCACGACTTGCTCCGGCAGGCGATGAAGGCGTATTTGGAGGTTGTGGACAGCAGTCTCGAGCAGCTCGCTCGCCTTGGAGAGGTCGGGTTGTCTGTACAGAGAGAGGTGTTGAGACGACGATGGGAAGAGATCGGGATGTACTTGTCGACTGCGATCGATAGAATAGAGTAATGACACAGATACAGAGGTCAAGGAATAGTTGCATTGATTAACATGGCGGGTACTGTTCAGGCTGGCCGCCAATACATGTATACCGCATATATTTCCGACGTCTGACGAGCCGTTGAAGCATGTGCCATTTTTTGACATGTTTGTCCGCAGATACAAATTGCTTCGACCTACAAACCACTAACTACCCACTAACCAACAACCGTGTTGGCAGTGGGTATTTATCCTATCGCAACTCCTCAATATCTCCTGTCCTGCTTGCGAATTGAGAGTGACCTTCACGCGTCCGCCTCGCACCATGGCCTCGAAAACATCCAAATGGGCCACCACCGCCAACGATGACGACGACGCCGCAGAAATGGCCGCAGCTCAGGCCCAGCGGAGGAAAGAGAAAGCAGAAAGAAAAAGACTGAAGGAAGGGAAAGCCCGGAACACGGCGGCGGTGTCAACGGCGACCCAAGTCCCCTCCTCTGCGGCGACGGACGACTACTCTGAGCGACCGAGCAAACGGGCACGTACAGCGTCGTTCGACCATGAAGAAGAGAATGGCACGTTACCAGCGGTCCAACAACCTCCCGCACCGCAGGTGGAAAGCAACGACGACGTAGAAGGTGCACACCTGCTCCGGTTTCCCAGCCGCGACTTCGGGCCCTGCGGCCACGTCGAACAGTTCGAGCTGCTGAACAACATCGAAGAGGGCTCCTACGGCGTGGTGTCGCGCGCACGGCGGAAGACGTCGGGCGAGATCGTGGCCCTGAAGAGGTTGAAGATGGACCACACCAACGACGGGTTCCCCGTGACGGGCCTGCGCGAGATCCAGACGCTGATGGCGTGTCGTCGCGACGACGACGCCGCTCCCGCCAACAACGTGGTCCAGCTGCGCGAGGTGGTCGTGGGCGACAGTTTGAAAGAGTAAGTTTTGTTCTATCTGGGCCTGGCCTTGCTTTGCTCGCTCTTTGCCCAACCCTCGTCTATCCACTCTCCGTCTCTCTCTCTCTCTCGTCCTGAAAAGGCGGATAGCACCAAACGCATGTTAACGCACATGGGCCTCCCACCGGGCGCGTGGCGGGTCTTTTGTTCCTGAATAGTGTCTACCTCGTGATGGAGTTCCTCGAACACGACCTCAAGACGTTGCTGGACGACATGGCCGAGCCGTTTCTGCCGTCCGAGACCAAGACGCTGATGCGCCAGATCACGGCGGGCGTCGCGCACCTCCACGCCCACTGGATCCTGCACCGCGACCTCAAGACGTCCAACCTCCTGCTCAACAACCGCGGCGAGGTCAAGCTGGCCGACTTCGGCATGGCGCGCTACACGTCGCTCCCGCCGCCCCCGAAACTGACCCAGTTGGTCGTCACGCTGTGGTACCGCGCCCCGGAGCTGCTGCTGGGCGCCGAGGAGTACGGCGTCGCCGTCGACGTGTGGAGTCTGGGCTGCGTCTTCGCCGAGCTGCTCACCAAGGAACCCCTCTTCCCGGGCCGCAACGAGGTCGACCAGCTCTCCAAGATCTTTGCGCTGCTGGGCACGCCCACGCGCGAGGCCTGGCCGGGCTTTCGCTCCCTCCCCAACGCCAAAGCCCTGCACCCTGTCCTCTCATCACCGTCCCCGTCCCGCCTGACGGCCGCCAAGTTCCCCTACCTGACCAGCGCGGGCCTGCGCCTCCTCTCGTCCCTGCTCGCCCTGAACCCGGCCGCCCGCCCCGCGGCCACCGACGTGCTCGCCCACCCGTACTTCCGCGAGGACCCGCGGCCGAAGCCGCGCGAGCTGTTCCCCACGTTCCCCAGCAAAGCCGGCCAGGAGCGGCGGCGGCGCAGGAGGGAGACCCCGCCGGCCCCCGTGCGCGGCGACGCCCCCCGCCTGGACGCGAAGGACGTCGAGGGCCTGTTCTTCACCGGCTGGGACGTGGAGGCCGAGGAGAAGGGGGCCGGCTTTGCACTGAGACTAGGATGATAAGAAAAATACAACGGATGCTGGCTGGGCTAGCTGGATTCGTGGAAGAAAGAAAGAATAATGAATGCATGCATGCATACATACATACAGACAGTAGAGAACTCATGACCACCCCGAAGAACGAATCGCGCCTGGATGAATGAATATTGGGGCTCTGGCGACATCATACATTGATTGATCGATTGATTGATTGAGTTGGAACTCTCTCTCTCCCTCTCCCTCTCTCCCACATATGCACACACATATATCTTCGGGGGAGCTAGCTCTATTGGATTTTTCTATCGAAACCAGAGCAAAAACGCAACACAACACAACACAACACAACACCGGCTGGGGCATCAATCTAGACCTCTAGACATCTCGATTCATGATGCATGTATGTATATGAGATGCTGCCGGCCACTCTCTCTCATGTGGGCAGCCTTCTTGTCATCATCCTGCACAGACAGACAGACAGATATCTGCTGCCCTTTGGTTGTCTTTGTCTCCTCCCACCCTCTCTCTCTCAGAATCTGTCATCATGTTTCTTTCCTTCCCATCATGTGTCTCGTCTAAAGCGTAGCCTCAGTTCGTGTCCCTCTCCAACGTCGGGACACACAAAAACAGAGAGAGATACGTCGTCGTTCGTAAAAGAAAGCAAAAAGGTCGTAAATGTAGGGCCTGGCAGGCACGTGCTTCTGCATCGTCATGGCGTGCCACGGCCTGCTCCCCACACCCTTCTGCGGCTATCAACTGGATTTTCCAGGAGGGAGACCGAGGGAAAGCAGGGAACAGACAGGCAAAGCAAAGACCAACAGACCGCCACCATCACCCATCGCCTCATGCCTCAACGTTCTCGAACGCGAAACTAGGCTGGCCCGGCACGGCGGCCTCGGCCATGGATGGAAGGGACTGCCGGTTCTCGTCGGTGACGGTGACCACCTTGACGTCCTTGCAGCCGGTGTTGCGCATCAGGCCCCGGCGCATCTCCGTCACAATCTGCACCTCGTCAAAGGGCAGTTTGCGCTCGAACACGGCCGCGGGGCTCTCCTTGTTCACCACGAGGCGTCGCTTGAGCGTCTGCACGAACGGCATCGCCTTCTTCATCTCCGGGCCCTTGCCCATCTTCGCCACCGACGCGTTGATCGCCTTGTCGTCGTCCAGGCTCGCCTTCTCGAACATGGACCGCACCAGGTCGACGTACTTGTCCTGCCATGCTGGGAACCGCGACGCCACGAAGATGGTGATCTGCTTCGGCTTGCGGGGGTCGAATGCCACCGCCTTGCCCTTGGCCATCTTCTTGGCCGCCTGTGCTTCGGCGCTTGTGATGTTGCTGGACGTCGTCTTCACGTACTCTCGTGCGGCGGTCAACGAGGGGTCTGCTGCAGGGACGTCGCTCGGCCACCGCGCAAGTTGGATGGATTGGTCTTTGTGCAGGACCTCGAGCCAAATGTACTCCGCCCAGTGAGGGGCAATGGTGCAGATCAAGAGGCATTGCAATTCGACGTAGCGGAGGACGAGGGGCCTCGACAGAGGGATGCCACTCGAGACACAGGCTTCGCGGTAGAAGTCACGCGCCGACTGGAAGTCGTAGAGCGCGGCTTTGAGGGCGAGTTTGTAGTTTGTTCTAAGAAGTACTGTTAGCTTGTTCCGTCCGTTGTAGCACTCGAAACTTACTCGGAGTAGTGCTTGTATGCTTCGTGCACCAGGAGATTCATTTCATCCTCGAAAAGTTTGTCCCAGATGATCTCCCCCTGCGTCTTGCGGAGTCCTTCGTCTTTCAGAGTCTCTTCGATCCAATCCTTGAGAATGTACATCCGCATGATTGCGGCATTGGCGCCCTTCTCCTCGAAATTCGCGTCTTCCATGCCGTCACCCGCGTCAGCAAGGGCTATCCGTGTGGCGTCGGCACCAAACTTCTTCACCGCCTGGCTCAAGGTCAAAAAGTTTCCAGTCGATTTGCTCATCTTCTCCCCGTTGAGCAGGAGATGGCCGTTGGAGCGGACAGATCTCGGCCAATATTCGCGAGGGAAGAGGGCGAGATGTATGTAGAGGAAGAAGGTGAGATGGTTGGGGATCAGGTCCTTTCCAGACGATCTCAAGTCAAGCGGGTACCAATATTCGAATGACCGCCGCATGGTTTGCAGGTCTGCAACCGATATCTTGGTCGACTCGGAGACCTTGTTGACGTCGTTGGTCCGCGTGAAGACGTAGTCCCACACATCATCCGTCATTTGTTTTGCCTTGATGTCCAACAGTCCGGGTGTCTCGCCGAATTTGTCGCCGTGCAAGAAGTGGGCGATCGTGTAGTATGACATGTAAATGGTGCTGTCGCTCAGACTTTCCACCAAGAAGGCGGGATCCCAGGGGAGTTTCGACCCCAGGCCATACGTCCTGGCACATGCCCATTGGTTCAGCCACTCGAGGTTTGCGACGAACTGGTTTTCGGTTTCCTGGGAGTAGGTCTCCAGGCCGTTCTTGTCCTTGACATAGTCCAACACCGTTTGCTGCCACTCTTTGTCGTTCTCGCCATAATTTAGGAACCACTGTGGAACGTAGGCGACCACACATTCATCTCCACTGCGGCTGATGACTTCGGCTGAAGGATCGGCAAAAGGGAATGCTTCGCCCGACGCGATCAAGGAATTTCGGACCTTTTCCTTGGCCTCGGTCACCTTCTCTCCCTTGAATTCTCCGACCAACAGGGTTCCGTTGTAGAAGCCTTCCTTGTACGCCAGGTCCTTTGCCTCAGCCAAGAGGGTGGTGTCCTTGGGCGACTGGATCTTTTTGGTCTCGACCAGGTACTTCGCCGCCAGGTTGCCATAAGCCGGGGTGTCGATGATCGGAATGATCTCCAGTTCAGCCCATTCTTTTTGGATGCCGTAGAACTCTGCTTTCTTCGCCAATTCTCGGACCGTGGCGAAGTCGTCTGGGCTGTCGGACGGAACTGAGGTGACAACGCCCGTGCCCTTCGTGGCAGACACCGTCTCCATAGGCAATATCCTGACTCCCTCTTTGTGCACCGATAGAGGCGCATTCACCAGGGTGCCCACGAAGGCGGACCCAGGTAGCTCCACGACAGGCTGCAGCTCGTTTTGGTTCCGGGGGAAATGCTCCTGGTCAAAGAAAGTGCCCTGAAACGCCATATTCCACGCCGCTCTCTTGGTGACCACATAATACTCCTTTTCTGATACCTTGAAGATGCCGTAATTGATCTTCGGTCCAACGAAACAGCATACCTGGCCGTACATCGTCTCCGGTCTCAAGGTCGCAGGGACAAAGTAGACACTGGCATCCTGGGGGATTTTGGAGTCCACCGCCTTTGCCGCGTCAGGCGACCACTCCTTGACCTTCAACTTCAGCGCAGTGTACTCCGTGGGACCGACACCTTCGCCCTTGGTCCGGTCGTGGTCCATGCACGGCTGGCCGTCCTTGGGACTGTAGATCGTGTATCTCTTGCCGTACAGGATCTTGTTGAGCTCGTGCAAGCGGTTCATCTGCCACCGCACAAAGGCGTCGTAGTAGGGATTTGCGTCGGTGGTGACAAACTTCCGCCTCCAGTCTATCCGGGCCCCAAAATCGATCAGATCTTGTTGACATATCGGCGGGAAGTATTCAAGCCAGTAGTTGGCGTCGGCGAACTTGTGGATCTCCTCCTTCGGTATCCCCATGGCCAGCATTGTCTGGAACTGGTAGTTGGCCTTGACAGTCTTCGCGGCCTGCTTGCCCTTCTTGCTCTTGAATTTGGTGAGGTCGTCCTTCACGTTGACCCCCTGCGTGGGCGCGACGGGGGCACCGTTGGTATCTGGTGCAGCCGCATCCTCCTCTTCATGGTAGTTCTCGAAATTCTGTCCAAACTTCTTGACATCTTCGACGAGCTTGTCTGCGCATGCTTTGATCGGCATGCCCGTGCAATGGAACCCCAACGGAAACAGCACGCGCTTGCCCGTCAAGCGATTGAAGCCCGCCGTGAACTCGACTTTGCTCACCGTAAAGCTGTGCCCTGCATGCAAAGAGCCGTTCATGTATGGGTAGGCAAAGGTGCCAAAGTACTTGGGGTGCTTTTCTCGAATCTCGGCGGCGGGGACTGAGTCGAAGGGGATCTCGGCCGTGGTCGGCGCATCCGACTCGAAGATTTTGCTGTCCTGCCATTTCTTTTGGTATTTCTTCTCGATCGCAATCAAGACGTCTCGGTTGTGTGTCTAACAATGCCACCCCCGGTCAGTGTAAGTTCTTCACGCTCGCGTGGGGTCGACTCACATTTTCAAGCTTGAGTGTGTTGGCCGAGGTCAGGGTCGGATCGACTGGTATTTGGGTCGCCATGATGGCGGGATCGAGTGGCAATGGACGTGTGAACCCTCACAAGTATTAATGAGGGTTGAAGTCGCTCCGAAAGGTTGGTTGTGGGTAGGAGTCACGAAAACCAGCGGCGAAGTGGATTATTTCTGTGACAGCCTCGCCGCCTTTTCGCGGAGGAGCACATCATGTCACGTGGTCACAGCGACGAGGCTGGAACCCTAACTGAACATTCTATACTCGGCAAGACCAGTTGTTGACCGCTAGGTGGTCTGTTGGGATATCCCCGGGGCCAATCTCGTCGTACGCGACTCGTGAAACACGAATACTGTGTCAAATTGACTACACATAATATGTATATGAATATGGGCTGATCATGGCGCTCAAATGGCGAGCCCGGCAAGTACGACCATCAGATCCATCCTCCCTATGAACCTTTTTCTCAGCTCCGGAACACAAAGTCCGGCACCTACGGCTCCCCTAGAGCTCGGGCGCTTCCCAAGATTCTCGGTCAATCTTCATGACGGCTGACTGTTTATGGGGGAAGGTGACCTCGCCCTGCTTGTAGAATCCAGCCTCTTTCAGGTAGTTGATAAATCTGCATGTGAATTTCTAGTCAGTTGCCAACTCACTTTCCAGGACTTTTCGGGTGATTGGATGACTTACTTTGTGTTATCGATCCGCGGCTCCAACATCACAGTCTCGGTTCGAGAATCCGCCAGGAAGCAATAATGCACCAGCGCGGACAACCAGACCTTGACTCGGTGCGGGCCTCGGAATTCGTCCTCCCCAATCAACACGTGCAATCCGCGCGTGTAATTGCCAACTTCTCCGCCGAGGAGTCGGCCCAATCGGTCCTCCTTCACCCAATATATCTCAAAATAGCCAAAGGGTTTGCCGTCCCAACAGCCGTAGACAGGGAACGAATGTCGGCTTTGCAGACCATCAATCAAAAACTTGTGCTGCGTGTTTAGCGGGCCAGCTGCACCCCATGCCGCATTAACCCGGGGGTTGTTCATCCACTTGTGAAGCAAGTCGAGGTCAGATGGCCGGTCCAGGAAGTTATCCATGGTCGGCAATGTCGCAATGGACACGGCCGCTGGGTGGCTCGGCAGCACTGTGGGCATAGAGGATGATGCAGGCATAAAGTAAGGTGGAGGACTTGGCTTGGGAGACAGGGTTGGTACCCGGAAGGAAAGCCATTGACCAAGACTCGGAATGTAGCGAGTGTAAAATGTCTCACCCTGCCGAGGTGGCTTGGGGCGTATCGGATGGCGGATGTGGTTGGTGAAGGTATACTGAGTCGGTGGAGGAGGGTAGAACGTCGGCAGATGACTTCCAGAGTTGAAAGGGCCTCCGGGTGACGAGATTCCTGGACTGAAGGTGTCTGATAGTGCTGCGGTGGTCACAATGTCGGTAGGTCGAGGTGAGCCGCGTTCGGGGACCGTCCGGTCTGGAGACGACGGGCGGGAAGGGTAAGGCGAAGCTTGAGGAAACGGCGAGTGCGACTGAGGTGCCATTGTGAAGAGGAAAATGCGTGCATCAATCTGCCAGAAGGACTTCCTGCTCACAAAGGTCTCCGCCCAACCGCCGGGCAAGCGAGTGTTCATATCGGTGCCCACGCAGGAGTCCTCACTGGCTATCAGGCCCATTCGTTCAAGCTTCTGCAGTGTGTTCTTCCCTTTAAAAATGCCTTCTCTTTTGATCTTGATGCGCCAATCGCGCTTCGGCCGCCCTGCCTCGGGGGTCAGTGCAGACGCCTCGGTCAGGGTGTGCGGATTCGGAGGCTCCTTGTGAAAGTACCAGCACAAAGTCGCCCACAGCATCATCGCAATATGTCGGGTCGGCGAGGCGGTGTTCTTGAAGTCTGAACTCGAGGGCATGGAAATGGACGAGATAAAGAGGGAGTCGCTCTGGATGGTGGGCCTGGTAAATCGGTGCGCAACGGTATGTTTGTGTCCTGCCTCTTCCGTGTCTCCGCTTGCATTGACTGCCACTCTACTGCTTCGACGCTCTTCGTCCTCCACCTGGTCTTCGGTCTGGAGGATGACGGTCCATCCCGGAGGCATTGCCGAGTGATGCAGATCGAGGTTGGTCGATTTGAAGGTGAAGCCTCCGAAGACAGGGGTGACTGTGTATATCTGCCTGCCAGGTCCCATCAGCTTACATCAAGCATGTTTGGAGGGCATTGGTATAGGCATTCCTCTAGAAAACGGGCAGGCGTTGTCCGCAGGGGAGTGCAACTTACCCATTGGGCAGATAGACGTGCTGAACCATGATGAGAATGACCCTTCAGGGCATGATCTTTCTGGCGCAAGGAAAACCACAGGATCGGTGTGGACGAAGAACTATGGTAATAACTGATGCGAGGGTCTCTGCGGACCGCGAGACCGCAAGTTGTGGACTTGTCCACGTCTGTTTTGCCGATCTCAACGATGGCCGAGGATTCGACCACTGGGCAGAGCTAGCGAGCAAGCCACGTCCCCGAGGAAGCGAACAGATGAGGAGGACGAGTTTCCAGCACAACTCACCTGAGTTACACGAAATAACCAAACTTAGTTGTACTTGTATATTGAGTCGCTGGAACTTGGCCGCCCGTGAATACTTGAAAACCCTCTACGCACCCCTTGCCACTATGTTGTATTCCGACTCTTTTTTTTGCCTTGTGACGGTCCAAACTCGAGTTTTACCCAGCAACCTTTTCTTTTCTCCGACGTGGGCGCGCGAAAAATGACGTTGGGAGAGGGCTGTCTGTGTCGCTCAGGAACAATGCCCACTTCGGCTCCCCCGCCCTCGAATCGGCTGTCGTTAGCCTGGGATTGACTGGACTTGGTGGGCTGACACTTTCGCCAGTGATAGGGGCTGGTGAGGCCTTGAGAGGCGCTGGTGGCGGCGGGGCAGATCGAAGAGCAAAGTCTTCTTCTAGCGAGTGAGCTCCCACCTCCCCAGCATTATTACCTACACGAGCACATGCTCGATAAATGGCGCAGTCTGACGGAGGGGTGTTTTGTCGAGTATTCCACAAAGGTTGGTCAAACAAGAGGACGTCAATGTTGATGATCTCGCCAAACACGTTTTGTGATCATCTCCCGTCGCGGTTAAACACGAGACTTTGAGCAGACAATCTATGATCAGTTTCAACGTTGTAGCATGAATAATGTTAAAGAACGGAGGGAAGACATGGTGGAAGCATACGATATAACGAAATATTTCGTGGGTAACGAAAATCGTCCCCAATCGTTCATTTGCTTGTTGACGCTTCAAATCATCATTCATCAGTCAATATGTTGGTATGTCGGTCTGGTGCTGTGTTTTCGTACTAGAAAGCCCCGTTGTGCTCTGTGTTTTCATGGAGTACTTTTCCATCAGCTCTTTTGAATTTGCTACTGGATTTCCGAAACAGAACTAGGCTGGTAGTGGATAACTCACCAGAAAACAATTTTTCAACCCTGTCACGTCTTCAGGGTATGTTCTCCGAGATCTTCTTCTCAGAATCGACATAATTACATTGTTGACGGAACCTATGCTTACCAAGCCTTGAATGGCGAATGTAAGGCTGGCTATGTGGATCTAATCTATTAGCTCTGGGTAATGTCGCTAACCAGTGTTAGAAAGCACACCTTTTATGTTGGGAAATTTCATAGGAGAGATGAGCAACAAGGCGAGACACAACAAGATGTCATATCTGAGACTCTCAATTATGCTGCATTGTGTAAAGGCCCAGATGGCAAATTGTTCTTCGACCGGATGCAGAACATTCTCCATCTTCACCAACCACCAAGCGAATTTAGGGCATTGCGATGTCGTCGGAGCGGGTGCTGGTACGGGTATACCTCTTCCCTCCCAAATCCGCGAATGCGAGTGTTGTAGAAGCCACCACTACGAGCATGCTCACTCGGACACAATCTTGGCCAGAAACGCCTCGACACCTCTGCCTACCTAGTCAAAAAGGAGGCCAATACAAGGTGATCGTGGGAGCAGAATGGTGGTTTACTCTACGTACAATCAGGGGGGGCTTTTCCAGCCTTGTGCATGCGTACATCTGAAGAGAGGAAGAACGAATTCCAACTCCTTCTCCTGTCGCAAGAACAATGGACCCGACATTCCCGAAAGAGCGTGACGTGTCTCGTACATTACTTATCACGAAAGGATGCAATTGAATTGGCTGTGAAGTGCATCGCTGTCTGGACCTACCCTTGCGAGCTGCTCTATCTTTCATGCATGGCATCTGCTGACCGCCGCTCTTTAGTAAAGCAAGCCGAATCGTGAGTGGTCGATTGCTGAGACTTATATTCCCATAGTTGTCGATCGTGAAAGAACCGATTTTCGTAAAATGATGTCGTGCTAAGTCAAGCATGATTCTTGATAGACTTCTGTAAAAGTTCTGTCTCTGCTCGTGAGTCTCGGGCAGCCATACCTCCGACAGCTTGGTCCCGTGCTCCTTTTCGACGAAATCCACAAGGAGGTAACCAGACTTCAAAGAAAGCGGAGTTTCGCAAGGGGCAATAAATGGCAGTCGCCAGGCCCAGCAGCGTTTCAAAGCTTCGATGACTCGCCTGATACAGGAAAGATGCGTAACGGCGTAAACTAGAATCAAGTAAGCTCCGATTCCGGTACATCATATAACTATACACCATAGCCATTTGGAAGTCTAAACCCCCAAAGGCGGGGGATCGGAACTCGAGGACAGTTTTGTGAAATCCAGATATATGTCGCAGCTTCACACCGGATCTTCTCATCCAAACCATCCTCGCCGCCTTGCATGTAGGGAAATGGGCACCTCAACATAAGCCGCTGTCCTCGCCAATTGGAAATATTGATTGGGATGCAGGCATTGAAACTGCCATGTCGCCATTCAGATCTATCTGAAATCTCACACTGTTGCGACCAGCTCAAGGACAGGTGGTGTGCAACAAGGCGGCGGATGTTGGGTATTTGACATTGGAGGTCGTCGAAGAAGGCTTGCCGGGAAGGTTCCCATTGTAATTTGACGAGCCTACCATCATCGTCCTCTTCGATCTCTTGCCACTCTTCCGCTTTGGGGCCCGCAAAAAGAACAGGAGTAGAATCATGCTCAAGCACAGATAGAGGAGCCATAGCTGATCGGACAGCAACCCGACGTGAAGGGTCGGTTGAAGCACAGCTTGTGCGGTGGGAGTGCTAGACTGAAGGGCGGCTGCAAGGCCGGAAGTGGCTCTGGAGGGAATGAGAGAACAGCGCGGTACGAAAAGATTTATTGCTGCAGACACGTGGAAGAAAACACCAGGAATATAATACTGTATTACCTGCATGTCAAGACGGGCAACGCAGTAAATATTGCAAGTTTGTCGTATTTCTATACAGGAAGGTGTGACGATAGACTTGGCAGCTTCAGGGGTGAAGATCTACTCTGTACAGAGTCCATCGGACATCAGATGGTGGTCTCGTATGAGTTTGACGGCGACTTCTGCTCTCACGATCGCGGTATCGTATACAGCTCGCCCAAAGGGTAACCTGAAGTCCGTTGGCTATGTACGTAGTCATGATCCACGGCTCGGGCCGCCACGACCGCGAGAAGCTGAAGTTACCTAGGCGAAGGAGGCCTCGCGTGTAGACGGCAAGTTCACTATCTTCGTGTCGATGGAGGGCCGGGGCGTCGACATGGCATGGCAGCAGTCTGGATACCTCCGCCCAGCCCGGGGGGAATGGGGCGGTTTGTAATATCTAGCTCCCCGCTTTTGCTCACGAATGAAAGATGGATGATGGTCGATGGAAGATTGATGCCCAGGTTCTTCATAAAAAAAGCAACGCTTGCACAACTTAGCTCATGGAAGTCAAGAGTTCCGCCCGAACAGGAATGCACACATATATACACGTAACACACAATCGTCGTGACAGACAACAGCCCAAAACAGGAAACCCTTCGTACAAACGGGGGACGGACGGACTGAGGAGGAGGAGGAGGTCTAGGTATAGGTGTGTGGTTCTACCTCTACCCTCTACCTCCCTACCCACCCAACAAAGGCACACAAGTCTCTAGAAATCCTCAATGGTCACACCAACATCTTTCTCCTTACCCATGCGGAGGAGATCGCCCGCGACCACCAGGTCCAGCAGTCCCATGCCCACGCTCTTGTAGATGACGTTGCCCTTGGTCAGCCAGTCCAGGAGGCCCTGCTCGCCCGGTCCGCCGAGCTCGATCTCCCGGGTTGCGGCCTTCTTGATCATCATCAGCTCGCCGATCTCGACCAGGTGCTCGGGTTTGAGCTTCGCCTTGACGATCTCACCGGCTTCCTTCAGGCACGATTCCAGGCTGTCGACGATGACTACTCCGCCCTGCTTCGCGTGGCGGTGGTGATGGTGATGCCCGCTGTGAACCGGTTCCACGGCCACTTTCAAGATGTCGGGGTGAATCTCGCACATGTGGGGCGCGTATGAGCCGATGGCCACGATCAATCTGCCTTTCCTCCGCCCTTCACGCGACGTCAGGAACTCGGCCGGGAAGAGGGGGTCGACGGACGGCGTGCAGCAGAAAATGACGTCTGCTTTCCGCACTTCCTCCTTCAAAAGTCGACCATACTCGCCGAATTCTGGGCTCATGGCGGAGAATTTGATATCTCTGCGCCATTGATCGTTGAAATCTTGCGTCACTTGGAATGCTTTCATCAGTTTGATCGACCTCTCGAAACTGCGGTTGATGATGTTGACGTGCCGGATTTGGTCGCCCTTGAGGATCAGCGCCAGTCGGATGTGCCAGTAGGCTTGCTTTCCTGCGCCAAAAACGGTCACAGTGTGGACGTTCTCTCGCTTTTTCAGCATCAATGTGGAAGCCAACGCCGTTCGAAAAGCCGTGAGTTCTTCGGCATTAACGATACCCGTGGGGTTTCCGGCGGAGTCGAGCAGGGTGATCGAACCCTTTGGCGTGGTGCTTCGAGAGCTGGCGACTGATGCAGGAGGTTGGAATGAAGCGCCGTCGATTGAGTCTCTTCCAGACGACATCGTGGACGACGGAGTCAGGGTCAAGGAACTGAAATCATTCGTGGCAGACTGGACCGAAGTCGAGGATGACATGCTGTCTGTGGGAGTCCCCGAATGACTGTCAGAGTTGACTGATGAGATTGAAGACTTGCTTTGGGGCGGAATCTCAGGCTGCTGAAGAGACACGATCTTCATTCCCACCGAATTTCCCGTGGACGCTGGCATGAACAGGGTGGTGACGCCCTTCTTCTTGATGATAGTCCGCTGTGGCTGGAAGGATGCGCTACATGGTGAATTGGTATCGCCCGTGGAGTATGAATGCAGGGCCTCGGCGAGATTGGATTGGAGTTCGTCGATATCCTGCTTGGTTAAGGTATACAACAGTTCCCTGACGTCTGAATCGGTGAGGACTGTAAGGGGCATTTTGGCCGGAGATTCAGCGGACGTTGCGCTCTTTCGGCGTGGTGGAGGGGGAGATACTTGTTTTAGCTGGTTTCCCAGTGTGATCAAGAGAGCCGGTCGGGGGTGCGGGTGACAGTTCGCAGGGCTTGATCTGGTTTTTTCTTTTTTTCGAGATGGAATATGGCCTCACAAGGAACGTGGTTGATAAAACAGCAAGTCATGCAAGATTGAATGTTGGGTGTGTTGAGTGATGGCGGCATGTGGCAATCGCAGAGGCAATGATGGCATGTACCAAGACAATGACTAAGAGCCTGGTGAGCCTCTCGGCCCCTCGTTGACGCACATGTTTGTCAGGGGGAGCGAACGCCTGCAGCTCAACTAATGCCCTCTGTGGCTTGGCTTGTTTGGGCTAGCCAGTTAGCGGGCTTGGGGGCTTTCTTGGGGGGATGGACCGATGCGCCCAGGTACAGTAGTGCCACCCAACGCCTACGGGTGCCCACGCTATCCATAACCGAAGCTCCTTACCTGATCTTGCCACACATATTAAGACTATTCTTAACTATCGGCCGCCGAGCAGAGGAACTTCTCTCATGATATCTCTCGACGCAGTACTTGTACCAATCACCGCAGCCCGGTCTAGATCAACCAACTACCTACCTAGTCTCGAAGTATCGATCTTGTCATTCAGTTATTATCGTTGTCGCCACTTCGAAAGGACTACATATCTCTGTATTAGACTGATTAGATGCCAAGGAGCCATCGTGGCGAAGACGCTGCTGCTTCTGTACATAGATGAAGGTCGAGACTCGGGAAATCCATTGACCGCCGTTCTGGTGTTCAAACCACATATGCAGAATGACAAATGAGCAGGATGCAAAGCGAAGGATCTCGTGGACTCCGAGCTGCATGGGTAGCAAAGTCCCTGAGCTGCTACCACCAGCCTTGCGTGAACAGCTGTCGCACACTCAAGCGGCCGGTACATCCAACAAGCCACAAAAGCCAACGAGTCAAACGGATAGATTCTTCATCCCGAACGGGCTCACACGTCACAAGTCCGCTGTGACTTTATATGTAGGTGTCTCGTTCTCCCTTCTCGGCCGCTTCAGCGGCCGTAGCGAAAGAGGCGATTATGTAATGATCTGCCTAACCAACTCCGGCTAGACCAGCCTCGCAACTTTCTGCGACCCTGATATGATGTTCATCCTGTTTCTTCACATCGCCCACGCCCTTTTGCTCGTGCTTGTTGCTTAGTTGGGACATTTCCCTGGATACGGAGACCGTAAATCATGTCGGAGACCATGATCCCCTGTGGGCGTCATATATCCTCTATCGCCATTGGCTGCTCACAGGTGCTACCACGGGGCTAATAGGGGTTGAACGTTTACAAGATTCTCACCTGACGCCGCTAATATCTCCATCTGGGCCACGTCTTTGCACACGTCTACGTACTCTGGCCCAGTATCGGGTGAACTGCATGGCCGATATGAATACGAGGTCTGCCTCTTTGCGTCAGAATCTCGCCTCAACCGATCATACGGACGCCATGTTGGCATCTTTGGGCGGCACCTATTGTTCCTTCCCCGGAAAGTGCTCATTTCTCGTCCGCAGCCAGAGAGCCGGGCGCGGAGTTGTTGAAGTTGCTGCTGAGCTCATCGTCGCAATATTGTCCGTCTTTGCGAGAACCTCTCGAATTAACCGTGGCGCGGCTCGAGACAGCACCCACCGCAAGTTACATTGCCGTGACAGGTCCAGCTCGGAGAGACCGAAGTTTTTGAGCTGTCATACACTACAATTTCACAATCCAGTGGCGGGTGACAGCGAATTTCCCATTGTGCTAGCCCATCTGAGGCAATCAAATCTGCAGTGCCGGCTTATCAAAGCGGTCTATGCCCTGGGTTGGTACCGAAAGAGCTTGGGTCTCCTCCACTATCATGCTGGGAAGAGCTGCGTCCTTAATTGCCGAGTGTGTACCCTGCTGCGCTAAGTCGCCAACGATCCTGAAAAGTGGCCTGGCACCAATCAATGTGATGCTGGAGCAACCAGATAGACACCACTGGAGAAGGCTTGTTCACGGCCACAACACCAGTGCTGTCTCTGCGACCATGGCGCTCGCTGACCAACCCCCCTGAGTAAGTAATGCAGTCTATCGTGCTTATTTTGGGCTCTATTTCCGCAGCGTACACCGTACGGCCGAACTATTCAGGTTAAAGGTCTGATATGGCTCGTGGCCCACTACTTCAAGCCTTCAATGGGCTATAAGAGTCTCGAGATGTGGTTGCCATTATCACTTGCACCAGGAAAAGCTTCTCGCTACCAGAAAAACATCTTCGAATATCTTCACACCACACCGGGTCATCGCCCCCATGGCTAAGTTTTTGAGGGACACCCCCTTGGGTCAATTGATCCGACTAGTTTCACAAGGCCACCTTCTCCAATATCCAGAAGACGGAAATGGACTCGAAATCTTAAACAACAAACGATCGCAGCCGGTAAATCCAGCTGCTGAACCTCCAGCCACCGCCGAAGCCGACCCTGAAGTGCTGGCCAAAAAGGGCACCAACGTGGAGGACCTGGTCATAGTCGACTGGTACAGTCCGACGGACCCCGAAAACCCGCGCAATTTCTCAACGACGAAGAAGCTATGGTCGAGCTTCGTCATCTTGTATGTGGAATGCACTCTAGTCTCCCTCCGCAACATCTCATTTACTAAACGTTCATCCTGTCCCAGTCTCTACACATTTGTGGTCTACTGCACCTCGTCCATCACAACACCGTCCTACCCGTACATCGCACCTCAGCACGGCCTCGGTGAGACCGCTGTCTCCCTGATCCTCGCTCTCTACGTTCTTGGCTACGCCCTGGGCCCGTTGCTGTTCGCACCCTTGTCGGAAATACCATGGATCGGCCGCAACATCCCATACTGGGCCTCCTTCCTCCCCTTTCTCGCCTTCTCCATCGCCCTCACACAAGTCCAGGACCTCAACTTTGCCACCATCTGCGTCCTCCGCTTTTTCCAGGGCTACTTCGGCTCCCCGATCCTGGCCACTGGCGCCGCTTCCTACGACGACCTCTTTGACGAGTTCGAATCACCATACGGCTACATGCTTTGGCTCGGCGCCATGTACGCCGGACCTGCAGTCGGCCCGCTCTTGTCGGGCTACGCCGTCGTCAGGGACTTTAGATGGCCATACTGGGAGGTAGCGATCATGGCAGGAGGACTGTTCCCGCTGGTCCTGTTGTTGCCCGAAACAAGCGCAGATTACATCCTTCTTCAACGAGCAAAGCGCATGAGGAACCTCACACGCAAGCCCGAGTACCGGGCACCATCAGAAATCAAGAGATTGAACATTGCAAAAGTGTTTACGGACGCGATGATCAAGCCGACTGAAATCGCAATCAAGGATCCCGCCATTGCCTTTGTCACCGTCTACGGCGGCATCGTGTACGCCACCTACTACTCGTATTTCGAGGTATGTCTGCATCTTTCTGACATTCTAAGCCGCCTTTCTCGCATGAATTGCCACTGTGGTCGGAGAACACCCCTAGACTGACTGCGATCTCTACACAGGCCTTCCCCCTGGTGTACCACGACAGATACGGCTTCTCCGCCGGTGGCATCGGGCTGATCTTCCTTTCCGCCATTATCGGAGGTGGAATCTGCGCCGTCATCTACGCCCTCTACCTTCAGCTGTACTTCACCCCACGGGCTCGTGCAGAGGTGAAGCGGGTAGCCTCCGCTGCCGCGGCGGCCAACGACGTGAGCCACCCGCAGTCTGACGCCACGGGTCCGCAAAGACTGCACATCAACGCAGCGATCCCGCAGGAACGTTGGCTGATCCCCTCGATCCCATTCAGCGTGCTCTGCCCCGCGGGCTTGTTCCTATTCGCGTGGACCGCGACCGCAACCGCGCACGACGCCAACGGCACCGCGCACCCGACGTTCCACTGGATCGTGCCGACCATCGGCATCGCACTTTTCTCGGGCGGCAGCTACGTTGTTTTCCAGTGCACCATCATCTACATCTCCCTGTCCTACCGCAAGTACTTCGCCTCGCTGTCCGCCACTTACGACATGTCGCGGGGATCCATGGCCGCCGGGGTGGTCATGGGCAGCCGCGCCGTCTTCGTCAGCTGGGGCGTCGACAAGGGCGTCAGCGTGCTCGCCGGCGTCAGCGCCGCAGGGGTGCTGGGAATGCTGTTTCTGTGGAAGTACGGGGCGGTGCTGCGATCGAGGAGCACGTTTGCGGAGCGATAGCATGATACCAAAAGAGGAAGAAGACCGACACTCGAGGAGGGGGAGGAGGAGGAGGAGGAGGAAACAAATATGCATCAAGAGACGGTGCGATGGAAAATGGAGGGAGAGAAAAGCGTGGAAAGCCTGTCTGATCGGATTGGCGTCCCAAGGATGTCGTGCCTTTTCCTTTCCTTTTTTCCCACTTATTTCCCATTTTTTTCTCCCATTGTGATTTCACTTTCCCTGTGTCCCATTCTCTCTCTTAGGAAGACACAAGGTGTCACCGGGAGGGTGGCTCAGGGATTTAAAAAACAAACAAAAAAAACCCCGAAAACATGTCTAGAATTCCATCTTCGAATGCCTACTTACGTACACATAATATTTATAGTGTTATATATATACCTTTCTACTTGCCTAGTCCGTGGACGTTGGTCTCGAGCCAGCCGTACATTTTCAACAACAACAAAAACAGCAGCGGAATTGTAGGTCCTGTAAGTCTTTTCTGGGAGCGGGGCGCACACGGTCAGACAGACAGAGAAGGAGGGGTCTGGAGAGTCGGATAAGCCAGTATCCGGTACAGGAGGACTACGATCCGGCGGCGGCGATGCTGCTGATGGACCCTCCCGCGACGACCGACTACGGTAGATATACATACGCTGTAGGAACGGCAACGAGAAACTGCCAGCCTTCTTTCTTCTCTCCATAAACAGTTTCATTGTCGTCGACATCTGTGTTGGTCGGGTATCGAGGATATCTAATCTTCGCCTATTGTCAGGCGGGCCTAAATGTACACTGCGCACATGTCTCTCCAGTCTCATCGCACACCTCGCGGAGCAAGCGAAAGGGCCCGTGTGCTCGGGCCCCCTCCCCCAAGGTTGGTTCAGATAGGAAAAGATATGAGACAAGGAAACACAACTCGCAGACAATAAAAAGAACATCGTGAACAGTCTTCTAAGTGGACCACAAGTCCTCGTCGGACAGCACCATGTCGTCCTCGGTAAGCACCTTCAAGCCTTCCTTCTTCCTGTTCTTTCTCATCTCCTTCTTCGTCATCAGCGTGCGCGGCGTCACGGGTGTCATCGGGGTATAAGGCATGTAAGGACTATACGGAGTTTGAGGCACTCCTGTCTTGGGGTGCACGCCCAAAATGCTCTCGCGACGGTCCACGAAAGTGGTCTTGGTGGCAGGCGCGCTCTTCAGGGCGTCGTTGTAGAATTGACGGAAGGGTAAGCTGTTGGAGCTGTTGGTGGCTGCAGTACTATGAAGAGATATCGGTGCTGGAGGACCTTTCTTTTCAACCTCCTCAACCACGGTCACAGCGGACTTTTGGCCCGGTGTTGGTGGAGCTGGGCCTGGGTTGTAAATGCGAGGGGAGGAAAGAGCTTCTTCCGAGTAGATCGAGATGTCCGTGAGTGCGGCGGAACCGATCGGTTGCGAGATGGGTTGCCCACGAACGGAGATGTTACTCGGACGCTTTTTTGTCTGATCAGCCGAATCACTCCGGCCCGAGATGAAGGACAAGGGAGACACCTTCTTCCGGCCGCTGGCTTGCGAGGGCGTCCTCATCGAGGAAGCATCGTCGGCAGGAGTGGGCGCCAGAGGGTGAATCAAAGCGTGTCCCACTGGTGGAACGGGCTGGCTTTGGATATCCGTCTCGGGATTTCGCAGATGCTGAAACTCCGGAGGATACCGCGGCGACCGAGGCGAGGCCGGCCCCATGAGATTGAGATGAATATTTGGTTGGTAGTAAGGTGACCTTGGCGTTGGTGGTTGATGTTGAGGTGACCTTGGAGTGGGAGGGAGATGGTAAGGTGACCGAGGCGTCGGCGGAGCATTGTACTGGGGTGGGTAGTTGGGCGTGCGAGGCGACGTTTGCCCACTGCTCCGGGCCTTTTCTTCGTCGTGCGCCATAACAGCAGCATAAAGTCTCGCCATTTCATCCTGGTTTCTGGCCTTGTCTGCCTCGAGGATCTTTTCGTCGATGGTGGACGACACACTGATGCTCGACTGTTTGTGAGAGTGTGATTTGCCCGTAGCCCATGATCTGAGACTGGCCATCTTGCCGGGGCTCTTCAAAGGCGGTTCCACCGCCATCTTGGACTGGTTGGCCAACGGAGCTGGCTTGACGATTTCCATACTGAGACTGCGGTTCGAGGTTTGGACTCGGCGACGCAACTTCTTGCCGACAAGGAAAAGCAGCACAATAGTAATGAGCAGCCACACCACGTAAGCCCCAACTATGCCAATGACCTCGTATTTGAGTTTGGATTTGTCCCGGAGGGCACCAGCAGAGAGCGGAGGGCCTTGGTCTGGCGGAGGGGCAGGGCTTTCGTCGATGCTGATATCCCAGATCGAATGTGGCTGGGCAGCGGAGGGCGGGACGATGAGGACAGAGATACAGATGAGAAGAGAGAAGGTCAAGATGGCAGAGGGACAACTCATCTTTGTAGGCGGATCAAGCTGTCGACATGTCCCAGCGCTGCGAGCCTGAAACTGCTGACCCCCTGGCCGAGAGGGACATGAAGCAGCTGGCTGCTCGTTAGAGAGCGATCACGGCGGTAGATGTACCTGCTCATTGATTGCAGAGGAGCGGCCAGCTGGCCGCCTGCTGTGGTGATTGGTACACGGGCTCGACGGCGAGAAGTGGGAAACTGTGAAGACGAGCATGCGGTCTGCAGGGTGAAGCACATCGGCGGGCAAATCACAGGCCAAAGCACCCAGATGCCTAAGAGGGGGAGCCCCCGCCGATGCTGGGCGAGCCTATGGGGGCTTCCAGGTGCCTGGATGGCGGGGACCCTGGACGGAGGGGCTCTAACCGCATCTAACTGCAAATGGTCTAAAAGGCCTAGTGAGCCTCCATCGCACAGTCTTGGGCCTCCATTCACATCCTATTTTTAAGCGCCCGGGAACATTCCAATGTGGCTTCGAGACCCAACCTCCGTCCCATGATGTTTCTATCACACTGCAGCCCACTCCAGGAACCTACCAGGCTCACGGGTTCAGATCCCTGAATCCTGCATCATTCTGCCCTGCTTTCAGCGTTGCTAGGACACCGTACGGCTGTCAGAAAGAGCCGTCTCACTATTTCAGCCTCACCAATGCCGTGCCCGCAAAGTGTGCCATCACACAGGTTCTGTGTGCATCGAGAATTCCCGCACCCTCCAACTCGTGTTGAACTAGGAATCGAAGTGCGCACTGGGCCGAGCCTCTATTGTCTTTCCGTCCCGAGCCGGCTACATCCAAGTTCCCTTTTCGCGAGTGATGGAGGTGACTTTGTGTGTCGATGGTGTCTCTGATTGCTCCCATAGACGCCATCTTATGGTGTGGCACGCCTCAGTCTCGCTGGTTGATGACTTCTCTTACTTCCTGTCTTTTGTTGACCTCAGAGGCACGAACGAGACTTGAATATCTTGCCAGGCTTGGTCGTCGTTTCGTTAGCGAACTTCAATAGTGACCCTCTCGAGGTTGATAGTATGGTAAGACCTCCTTGTCCATTCAGAAACAGGTAAAGCGCCAGTGCCAGCACACACCCGGATTCTGTGTCCTTTCCAATGCTTGGTTTCCGTCACATCAAGCACAAGTGATAGTTCATTCGTGGTATGCATATTTCTTTCCGTAAAGCAAGCATCGTTGCATCGATGTGCCCGATGAGGTGTCTGAGAACGAAGCTCGACACATGATTGATCGTGTGCGTTTTCCCTTTGGTGATGTGTGGGACTGTATCCAACTGCTCGAGGCCAAGTGCAGGGCAATCTGGGATGAATCCTCTCCCGGTGTTCTCTTGTTGGTTACTGCTGGATGGCCATCCTAAAGCAAAGGTCCTGGCCCTGGCCGTGCAGAATCCAGCTGGAGGCCTTTTGGAGATGTGGAACTTTTCCTCATCCACATATGAGCCTGGATGTCATCTCCAGCTGCTTCCTCCACCAGTAGCCCAACCAAGACCAGCAAATCCGGTGCCTCTCCCTATGGAGCTGCCAGAGTCGCGAGCATTGACGGCCTTCCTCTTCCCCTTCACTCCCTCGGTTGTTCTGACACCTTCAACAATCTTTTCCAGGTTTGTCTCGATAACAACACCCCCAACGACCATTTCGCTGAGAACTGCGTGCAAAGTCTCGAACCCAAATATCAGATCGAGCTCGCAGACATTCTCAAATAGCCTATCCAGGGCCTCGACGAATACTTGAATGAAGTCGAGCAGCGCCAGTGGAGACTCGGTGGACGTCGAGATCAATATAAAGTAGAGGGTAGCATAATGGCGATAGGTGATCTGGGTTGGTGCATCGGGTGAAGTGTTGGTGCCCGTGCCACTGGGAGCCAACAAGGGAGGAAGCGGCAGAAAGTTACAGGCAGAAGCTGGCCGAGCTGATACGAGGTTGAATATCTGGGACAGAAGAGACTGCTGTGTCGCCGTGTCCTAAACATGTATAGTCAGCACTCGGAGTGTTTGATCCAACAGATTCCACGAACCAGTTGTGAGTAGAACTTGGTCAGCCTCGGTTGGCCGTTATTATTGAAGACCAGAACAGCGTTGATCATCGTGAATGGGAAGAGATCGAGGCTGACCAGTTCACGGTCGAGATACGCACGCACACTGCGCTTGAAGGTCGCCGTCTTCAGAGAGTGGGGATGAAATACATTAATACTGCGCATATTGCTCCGGGCTGGGCTGCGATGCCTGTGTCTAATTGGCGGGATGAGCGAGGACCTGTCTGCGCCTTAATACCACGCGCCGCTAGATCCTCAAAATTTCCCATGTTATTGATTTCTTTTCTATCAAGACTGGCCTCAGTCCTTCAACATCTCTCTCTAAATTTATTTTAGATGCAAAACTTCACTTGCTTCACCTGCCGGTTGGTCTCCCGATCTCGTCTCCGACAACGTTTGGTCGAGCTCCAGAATGGCCGGCGCAGATTGTCCTCTACTCGTCCCCTCCTGCAGGATGCTGCCTGTGAGGTTGCTGGGTCGTGGTACTGGGATACCATTCCTCCCACCAAGGAGAACTTAGCTGCAGCTGCACACTTCTTCAAAAATCACAGGCCCTCGAGGACATGGACGGGAACGGGCTGGAAGACCTCGGAACCATGGCGGCGCTCCTCGACGAACTCCTCGCAGCAGAACATCCTCGTGCCAGAAGTCATCTTCGTCGGACGATCCAACGTTGGCAAATCCACCTTGATCAATGCCCTGACCTCTTCGGATCTCAATCGAGTCGGGGCCACCCCTGGCATGACCCAGGTCATGGCTGCATGGGCACTGGCAGCAAAAGACGACACTGGCGGAGCCATAAAAGGGTGGGATGGAGATGTCACCCCAAAAGTCACGCTTGTCGATATGCCAGGATACGGCTTTGGGAGCAGATCTGAATGGGGTGCTCAGATTGTGTCATACTTGAACAACCGAAGAAACCTGAGGAGAGCGTTTCTGCTCGTCGACAGCGGACACGGCGTCATGGCTGCCGACCGTCACATGCTGGAGATTTTCCACAAGCTCGGGATTCCATTCCAGATTGTTGCCACAAAGTGTGATCGATTGGGCTCAAAAGTATCAGACGGCGACATCCGTGAGGCCTTGACCAGGCTGCGCGGCCAGGCCGACTTCGAGGGCCAATCGGCGTTGATGCTGGGCGAAATGATCGCGGTCGGATCGCTCGAAGACATCTCGACAACGAAACTGGCACATGAGAACGCACTCGGCCTTAAGAATCTGCAATGGGCCATTCTCAGGGCTGCGAACCTGGAGTGGTATGCCATGGACAAAGCCGTGGCCCATAAAGTCATCAGTAAAAGCGCCTCAAGCCGTCCCAGCCCGATCGGTGCTGAGATATCGCATTTGATTCAGGCAAAAGAGTCCGACTCTGAACCTTCACAGCCGTCAGGGACTGCATCAAAGACCCTCCCAAATTTGAGCCTCCAGGAGTTCATGCGCGAGATCTTGGGCACTGGCTCCGAGGCGAGTGCCTCAACCTCGACCGAACTCCAGGGCCACCGTGAGCCACCGAGAGTTTTTGATACTTTGAGAAACCTCGGAGGCTCCAACCCTCAGAAGACGAACGCTCACTCATCTCTACACGAACAACTTGATTCCGTATACAGAGAGTTGAATTCGCGAGGTCGCCTAAAGCCCGAGAGTACGACTACCACTTCGGAGCAAGACGCAAGTCCGCTTGGATTCCCGATCCAACCAGCCTCTGGTTCCGGATATGCCGCTTCCAAGCGTGCCACCCCCCAGGCGCCTCTCCCAGGCAAAGCCGTCTCTCAAGGTATCGATGCCTTCGAAGGGATGTTTGCGGAGCCACCTCAACCACACAAGTCGAAGAAACAACAGCAGCAGTCCCGAACACTCCACCCACGGCGCCAGACCCGAGCACCGGCAGCGTCGTCGACCTACAGCTCGTCGCAATCGCAACCTACCACGCCCCAACCGGGCTTTGTCGGCAAAGGCGTCTCGCAGGGCTTGGATGCCTTTGAAGCCATGTTCGCCGACCCACCCAAGCCTTCCAAGTCGGACAAACAGAAGCAGCATTCCCCAAGTAAACGCCGTCGTCAGACGAAAACCCGGGGTGCGACAGCTAGCAGCCAGCAAGAATCGCAACGGCAGCCCCGCGAACAGCCTGCCCTGATGGGCAAGGGCGTCACCCAAGGCTTCGACGCGTTCGAGTCCATGTTCTCCGAACCCGCGTCCCGCTCGGGCGGCGGGTCGGCCTCGAGCCGGCGGAAGAGGAGGCAATGAATCAGAGCTCTAGATCGGATTGATACACAGGGAACGGGGAACGGGGGAAAACGTGGGCGCTTTTGCTGACGCATGTTACCATGGTGGTTCATCCTCGACCGACCGACCGACCGTGGTGTATTGCAGGGCCAAATGTACAATACGGAGAGTAGATGTGACTGTGATAGAAATAGATGGTCTGTGACGCACCTGTGCTCGGGGTGTCCTCGACACCATTATCTTACTACTTCTGTATACCTGGGTGATCCTGACAATTGAGCAAACACCTCCACGCTATGTCCATCAGTGATAGTCTTCGCTCAAAGCTTTCACCGCGTTCGAATTTGGGGAGGGAGGTTCATAAACATGTGCGTTGCGTATGTACTCGTAAGTTATGGCTATGTTTGGCGGATTACGAACGGACATCCTCGAGGCCTAGGCTGTGAGGCCTCCCAAACAGCGACACCACCCAGGCCAACGTGCAATTCGAGTTTTTTGTAAGAAAATATCCATGGGCAAGCAGAGCACCCTCCTCATTCGAGACGAAATTCCGCCCCGACGGAAACGCCCCAATCCTTTACCAGTTAGAGGTAGATCAAATCCGGGCAAAAGAGCAGACAAAACAGCCCGCAAACAAGTCGCAGTCGTTGGCAAGCCATAATCATAGCGATAAAATTGATATCTCGTCATCTTCCAAGCCTTCAGTCGGATGTCAAAGGCGTCATCATAAAGCGCAATCATTAAACAGGTGACCGTCGTGTCGTCCGCAGTTAACCGGACGCCGAGAAGAGTGGCCAAGTCATGATCCATAGGCCGGGTGTACCTCTCTTGCTTTTTCACATGCTTTCAAAACTTGAAGTATATCGACTTCGGGTCTGGCTCATTGCCGTGGAAAGATATCATGCATCAGTGGTGCCGTCCAGATCCAAAAAGTCGTCACGGTTGGCTTCGATCCCATCAGCGTCGACGACAATTCTTCGGCCGAGATCGTAATCGGGAACGCCGTCGCGGGAGGCGCCAAAGTCTAGAACCTGTAAAGGAAGTCAGCCAGCGCGACACCAAATTTCAAGCGTGAGAAAGTACCTCTATAAACGTCAACCCATCGCGCTGCACGGCTGCAACACAACGCCTTTCGTTGAATTTCACCTGCCACACTCCGCTGAGGTCGGAGAGCAGGTCTTTGACGCATTCGCCGGTTTTGATGTTCCACAATTTCAGCGTCCTGTCAGAGCCGGAAATGACTTTCTGGCCGTCATGCTTGAAGCAGGTGATAGCACCTGTGTGTGCACTCAGAGTGGCCTTGCACTGTCCAGTCTCCGGGTCCCATATTCTGAGGGTCGAGTCGGCTGCTGCAGAGACGAGTTTGTCGTCGTTCAAGTCCAGCAGACCGACCAGGGATGTGTGACCCTCCAGGCTATATTTGAGAGAACCGGTGTTCAGATCCCAAATCCGCACCATGTTGTCCATGGAGCCACTTATGCAACGGAAGCGTTCATGGTCGAGGACAACGCTGTAAACCTTCTGTGTGTGGCCTTGGAGGCGATGGATCGTTTCGCCTGTGGATATTTTCCAGACACGGACCGTGCAGTCATAGCTTCCACTCACCAAGGTATCTGCGTACGCTGCGATCGCACGAACAGAGTGTTGATGACCAGACAAGGTTCGTACAAAGTAGGGACAATCATCCGCATCAAACTCGTTCTCAGGTTGGATGAAGTCGGGATCTTCCGGCCGCGGAAGCTTCCACACTCGCAAGGTAGAGTCGCGGGATCCGGTGATGATTAGAGGCTGTCTAGGCATCATGATGGGCCGGCCTTCTGCATTTTCTCCAACTTGGACGGGGTTCACGATTTGAAGACATCGTACTGTTGATGTGTGCCCACGGAAGACTTGGGTTTCCCGTGCTTCTTCGATATTCCAGACTCGTACTGATCGATCTGTCGACCCTGAAACCAAAGTGTTTCCCTCGTATTGCAAAGCCCAAACCCCCCCTTCGTGTCCGGTCAGGATGGCCTTCAAGATGCCGGTCTTGGTCTCGTAAACGTTGATGTTGTTATCATCGCTCCCCGTCACGATCTTATTGGTATCAAACTGGAGACAAGTGACCACGTGAGTGTCGTGCGCGCGAAACGCAAGATGTTGAGGTTTCGTATCTTCGAACATCCAGTTTCTTCGAATAAGATAGTGTCTCCGATAGAGTGATTTGTAGAGATGCAAACCTGCGAGACCCGGCAGGCCAACATCCGGTTGGGGAACCGCCATCAGCGCCGAATGTGCCGCATTATATGGGCCGTCGGCGGCGGAGACCTCGTCCACCAAGTCGGCAGAAGTGACGTCAACCGAGGGATCCAGGCGATCAGACTTGACTCGTTTGACCTTCTGATTGGACAACATCACGGAGGCCTTGCGCTTCGTTCGAAGAATGCCACTAAACCGATTTGAAGCGGGCTCAGGCGTGGTTTCGTACTGGGTAGAAGCCGAATCGGCGATGTTCTCTTCGAACCCATGGGGGCTGGGGTCTTGCCAACCCCAACCTTCGGCAATGGCCTGCTGCAGTTCTCCTTCTGGCAATATAAACCCGTCTGCATCAAATAATTCTTTCCAGGCTCCTTCGTCGCTGTTGACCATCTGCCGCCATTTTCTTGACACCTGTGATGCCCTGCACAGACTCCTGAAATCAAGATATTTGAGGATGTTTAATGCCAATTCGGGTGGGAGGAGGGAGAGGAAATCGCACTTCAACGCCGGGTTGACGGCGTCCGCAACGACTTGAAGCGTAGATTTCGGGCACCGGCGGAGTAGCTGGTGCATAACGTAGCTCTTAAGTCCATCCGGAATCGCTTCAAAATAGTCAAGCATTGCCGGGATTTCGGTGACTGAACCATTGGCAAAACGAGAGAGTTGGCGAGGTTCGTGACGAAAACGCGACTCGACCATCGGAGGGGAGCGAAAGGAACTGGATGCCTGTCTGTCCGGCACAAGAACTCTTGATGCCCCGTCATGTTGTGAGGTGATTTCCGGATTTGAGTCGGCATCTCCAAAGTATCCAGCATTTTGTAGTGTTGCAGCAGCCGTGACGGGAGAAAGACTCGGACTAGGAAGACTTCCGTCCTGTACGGAGGGGCTTTCCGCGACGTGCAACCGAGCTGGTACGGATGAGAGAGCACGCCGACTGAGAGGCCTTGCTGAAGACAGCTCAGAATCCTCAATTATAGGTGGCGTAGGAACTGCGGTTTCTTGTGAAATATCTCTATGACCCCGTTGTTCTAGATGGGGTTGATCGGCCGGAGAGACCGGTCCATCTTCTGGTTCTAGGGAATGATATTGGCTCGAGCTTGGTGATGAGGGTTGTATGTTTAGAAATGATGGCTGTTGGCTCATATTTGGCGAGGGAAGAAGCGCACTCATGCTTCGGGAGGAACTGGCCTGCTCTCGCGGCTCTCGCGTGGCTCGCATATTGAGTACGCGCGATCCATTGCTGGATTTTGGGTTGCTGTCTGGGGTGATTGGGTTTATCGATTGGTAGTAGGCATTCGATACGAGGTGTTCGGGGTAATGCCTCGTCGATGGGCCGGCTCGACTTGACGTAAACGAAGGTTCGTGAGATCGGGGGTGATCTTCGCTGTCAGTGATAGAGTCTGGAGAAGCTGGTCTCTTCTGCACTCTCCGTCGGACGGAGGTAAACTTGGAGCCTGCTGACGGGACATCGAAGTAGGGCTGTTGGGCTTCCACGGTCTCGATTGCCCCGTTGGCATTTCGAAGAGACCGTTGCTCCTCTTGCAGCTGGTTTCCGGGTTAGCATATCTTTTGCATCTTATGACGCATGTCTCCATACCTGCTCCAGTGCCACCGCCGCATCTTCCGCTTCGTGAAAGATTGTGTGCTTTCCACCTATTTCGAAGTGAATCTTCTTCAGCCCGGCTGGAGTGGGGCTAGCTGCCAAAGGATATTGCTTGAGATCCAAGTCTTTCGTCCGCCGCAGTGGACGGATGAATAAGGGAGGGAACTTGGTAGTAGTAGTCGTGGTTGTAGTGACAACAGTGGTTTGCGTAGCTGGTGCAAACGAGAATTGGCCAAGCAAGCTGTCCGGCTCCATGATTCTAGCATGGTTCAGATTGTCTTTACTGCGTTGGCGTTGTCCTAGCTCAGTCCCCCGAAGCACAGACTGGTGCCGGCCTCGACGACCGGCGTCCACCATATCCTCATCCATTGTATTCTTGCTCGTCACCGTTCGGCTTCGTCAAGTCTGCGGACAAAGGGCATCTGCTCCAGGGAAGTAGACAAGAGTCGCGTCGTGGCAATTTGGGAGGTTTCCGGGGAACACCATGCGGCCAACACGTGAATCACCGCTTCGTTGGGTTAGAAGCCAGGCTAAGATTGTGGAAAAGCGAAAGAGCCGACAGCAGAACGATAGGACTGCGTTGAGACTGAAAGAGCCGGTTCGTCTCGTGTTAACGTCTGCTTGGGCCTAAAACAAAGCGAAGGTTCGAAGAAGGTCTGTTATTGTTAAATACCCGATGAAGGGAACGATGGCATGGTCCTTCGTGAAGTAATGCGCCCTTGCAAAGCCCCGACTCGAGTAGACTGGATTGAGTCAGTGAACTCTGAGGCTGTTCAAGGAACGAGGTGTTTGGTATGTGACGGGAGAGTGGGAGGAGGCATGGAGAGCGGGCGGATCCAGCAGATGGCAAAGGAGCGAGAAGGCCAAGACCAGGCGTGACTGGCCGTGTAGGATTGGGCCACGCCTTTAACCGTTCGAGCCTGAACCGCTGGAAGAGATTCGGGACGACGGCCTTTGGGCTTGGCGCGCGCTTGTAGGCCACCCCCGAGCCTCAAGAGCGGCGTCTGACACATGGCAAAACCACCCCAGCCACTCCGGCGCCCTGCCTCGGTCGACATAGTAAGGGCACCGAGGGCATATAATTAGGGCTGCCACCAGCTCCCTCTCACCGATACCGAGGGAGAAAAGGCCATGTCAGACAACCTCATTTTCTTCCCCTAGCGGATCAACTTTTAGCTGCAATTGCCGCGCCACTGCCATCACCGCAATAATAACAACATGGAAAAAGAGTTTTCCCCCTCATCTTTGCCACCGGGGCCGTGGCTCTTGAAATTGGGCATGTCGTCAGCTTCAACCTACCTGGCTGCACAGATGTTAGATGTGTTCATGAAGGTAACTCGTTATTTAGACCAAAGGATACTCAATCGAATGCGTTGCTTATCATGAATAAACATGGCGGCACTCGTTCCTCTGTGTTAGCCCAAAACTAGATGAATCCAAGTGATTGTCTGCTGGAAGATCAGGCAGTTCATTACCCTGGTGAAAACAAGCGCTTGTAGATTGATGATTCAAAAGGTTGGGAGCAGATACAACGCCTTTGCGCGTCCTAGGTTTTAAAATTGAAAATAGGCATGACATTTTGGCCGGTCGATGTCGAAGTGTGAAGCCCAGAAATCCCGATATAGACCTCCCAGCTGTTCTCCTTCTCACTTCTCACTTCTCACTGTCAAGTTCTTCTACCTCCACTCTCATTGATTCAATGTTAGGACTTCACAAAAATGGCACAGCAGATCCTTCTTGCTCCGCCTTCAGAACGGACTCTTTCTCAAGCCGAAAGCCTTGCTGTGGTTCAGATCTTCCTCAACGCCTCGTTGGCATGCATCGCTCACACAAGAGAACTGATCCCATGGACGTCGCCCTGCTTTCGCAAGGGTTATATCGGCCAGATCACTCTTGAAGACGACCCCTCTGCTGGAGGGAGTCTGTATTCGGCTTTTCAGGCTCTCACTCCGGAGATTGCTGGTGAAGGTCAAGAGATCAAACTCCTTGTCCGCGGGGGGCATCGACGCGCTGATCAAATCCTTGATATGCTCGTGAGGCCTAGATCTCGAGCCACTCCTGAGGAGCTCGCTAACTGCCGATTAGGAGAAAGGAGTATTTGACGCCTTGCATCGAACTTACCTGGACAGCCTTCGTGTGTTTGTGACAAATGCAACAGAAAGTCAGCCAATGATTGTTGAGACTTACCACTTCGCCTTTGCGTACGAACAAGGTCGTGTCACCGGCGTGCGATTGGACCCAGTGAATCATGCATTCGTCTTGGAGAATGCACACAAAAGTTTCAAGGCTGCGATACGGGCTCTGCTCCGCTCACTGAGGGATCTGCCTCGTCTGCCAGGTACGATTGTCCCATCTTTCCACGAGACGACACACTGACCAATGTCACAGCTCGTCGTAAGCTAGGAATGAGCCTCACATACAACGAAACATGTCCTATGCCATATCAACCACCTGGATTTGTAGACAAAGATGATTACCAAGAGGGGGAAGGCCAGATAATGTGTGAGGCGTTATTGAAGCGAGATGAGGATGTTGTAGGTGTGCTGGAATGCGGACACCAGCAAGTGCGTGTTGCAGTGAGCGTTCAATCATCGATCGATCTGCAAGACACGGAAATGAGCAGACAGTTGCAGGCAATGCAGAAGACGTCCTCCAGCCACAGCAACAACCTCGTCTCTACCTGGAGAGATTCATTTCCCGGAGCAAAACGTCCCAGGACCGGTCCAATCCCCCGTGCGAAACGCTTGAGAGCTTCCTCTTCGGGGAAGCCGTCAAACAATGAACCCGTTCCACAGGAAGTCAGTTTCAACATCCCCACGGGGTCGCAACGCCTTGAGAAGCCGACCTTTGCAAGCCCAGAATTGGGTCAGAGGAGCGCGTCCAAAGATCATTCCGCTCCAACAAGTTCGCCAAAAGGAAGTTGTCTGTGTCTTCGTATTTCCAAGCTCACAGAGCTCCTCATCCACTGCTATGCCATTCAGAGCGGAAAGACAGGCGGAAATGAGAATGCTTTTGATCAAGGCCTGCTAGCTGAAGGAAAGATCAAACGCCTCAGTCGATCGAGTCGCATCAATTGTGAATGTGGAAGTCAGCAGAAATCGAGTTCAATGGTAAGCAGGTCCTAAGTCAGTCAGTGCAGCGACTAAGAGAACTAGCTCTATTGCGAGGTATGCGACGGTTGGCAGCATAGTAAATGCTACGGGTGCGACGAAAGCCTCACCTATACGACTTGGCCTGAGCACTTCTGCTATACCTGTCTTCTGTTTTCTGAGAGGCTAGACCCACCGACCTCCCCTTTGCTCATCATTCTCCTGCGAACAGCTGTAAGCTATCTCACCACAGAGACCATCCCCGGAGCACAGATCGACGAAAAATTCTTGCAGACACGCCTGAAACCATCCCAATATACGCCCCAAGCGCTTGACCGGACAATGGAGCGCCTGGTGGAAGAGAGGGTGGTAATGCCGCGGGCCGATGGATCCTTCGAAGTCAGATTGCTTAGCGACTCGGAGATGTGGCAAGTCAAGGAGCGATGTATGAGGCCGTTAGCGTCAATAGGGGGTTTTTATGAGACCTGTGCAGACGTCGAAGATAGGCACAACGACAAGGACCTGACGAGGTTACTCAAAGCGTACGCCCGTGGGAATGATTATACGACAGCCGAAGAATGCGAAAAGCTGACTGAGTACGACGACTTTGGAAATCTAATAGTCCGTTGGGGATATCGCTTCGGTGGATTGATTCCGACACCACGAGACTCGATTGTCCAAGGTCGGACGGCGACACCAGTACGTCGACGGAAGGTCAGTATCTCGCGCATACTGATCAACATTGACCGTTCCCCCTCCGCTGCGAGTATGAGCTTCGAAGAATCGACAAGCGGACACCCCAATGACTGGGGTTACGACACTGATTTCAGCACTGCTACCGCCGACTGATTGTGCACCAGGAAGTCGTCTGCCACAAAACTAGGTTAGCTGCAGGGGATTCTGAAGAGGTGGCTGGCCAGCCTGGTGTGACCAGCAGTGGGCTGCCACGAGGAAAAACACGTGGTAACTTTGGCGGCGGTGGTGGCGGCTGAGTAGGCGGTCCAACCCAAGCCTCCTCGACAAGGGGTAGAAATGATGCTTCTGATTCCAGGTGCGAGCTCGACAGTAACCGAGAGGACACGTCGGGAGAGCCAGAGAGTGGCTTGCTCAAAAGCGATTTTCTGTCGCGAGCTCCGCCGATGCTCCATAAGAGGTTGTCCATCGTTGCCTGCCCGACGATATGGTGAAGGTGGCTTTGTGCTCATCAAACTTGAGTCAATGTCTCTTGGTGCTGCAAGAAAATTGCATGACCTGGGGAACAGATTCATGCAGGCTTTTACCAGTCCAGCCAGTCAGCGATGTTTCCATTGGTGCAGGTTGAGACCAGAACTATAAGTACTCAGTAGTGAGCAGCTTCTCGAAGTACTCGGTACAGGAGGCCCCATGGACTCGCCGCCATGCAATAATAATACTAATGGCGCCTCGACTTCGAGAGATCGGTTCATTCGGATCCAGGAGATGGAACCCCTCAACATGGGTCGAAAGAAACAGCCATCAGAAAGCGACATGTCTAGGTGGGTGACTATTATGTATAAGCGTTGGTGTTTTTGTATCCTTTTTGCGAGGGTCTGCAGCCCAAACGACGACGCTACTGAAACGGCATCTCTTAGAAGAGGGCGCCAAAGGGGCCGCATGACCCCCAAAGCCTTAACTACGAGTAGCAAAGATGGGCAGGAGTGGGATTGGGGTGCCCTTGTTACCCTCGACGAAGACCGATCCGGTCTAACCTCGCACAAAGGTCCCCGAGAATCCCTTGACTCTTGAGCCATCCCAGCTTGGTTGTCACTGTGAAAAGTTGCTCCCGTCTTGCCAGTCTCACTAGACTCCTCCGTCTCCATCAAGTCAAGACTGCATCCTTCCCGGAAAGGGTTCTGATCTGCTGGTGCCCCCATTCCCCTGGTCTTCTATGACTATCAGCTAAACTGTGGTAGGAGACCCCCAATGGCTCCTCTCATCTCAATCCTCTGACCACTCAGCGTTGACCCACGCCGGGTGCGGATATCGACTCTGAATCCTTGCGCTTGGGGGCAGCATCCGCCGCGAGATTGTAGCGACACCGGCGGGTTGCCCAGGCTGGTGAGGCGCTTCAAGAACACCAAAAGAAAGCCGAGAGATTCCAGAAAGAGCATGGCAATACGGCTGGAACCCTAGCTTCTGGAACAACTCAAGCCACTGACAACTTCCACCAGCATTCAAGCGTTTTCCACCTCGGGGACGCCATCTCCTTCGAGCCCATCCGACCGACCCCTTTACCCTTGCTAGCCCCAGGCCCATGGGAACTTTAGGCTCGAAACTTGGGGACTTGAACTTGTCGGTGCCACCCTCAGTTCGTCATCCCGCCTGAAGAGACCCGGTGATCCACCCAGAGGCTGATGGCCAGCTCAATGCAAGGCCACCGCCTGCTTCAATTCGACTGTCATAGTTTTGTTTCTAGAGCCCCTCGACGTCCTCTTCGACATATTCTTCACAATAGCCCGCTATGCTACTCCAGTAACCCTTCAAAACAGTGCCGTTGCAATTCCTGAGAACGATCTAGCCTTAGCGTGTTCGACAGAGACCGAACATCACGCCGCCTGACCTCCGCCGCCTGATCTGTCCTCTTGACGACACCTTGTCCTGGTCCGGAGGGCGCGTGCAGGACTGACAGAACCTGTCTGATCCCACGAAATCCTGTCGACGGAGATACGAGACCTGGCAAGTTATACGGGGTGCTTGTCCACCCAGCACTATTCACTGCACACCTCGGCATGCACAAGAGATCAGATGTCAAAGCACCGGGCATGATAAGGAAACATTGATATGGGTAGCGGTCAAAGATTTCACCTGCCGGCTTCTCTGAAACGAACAAAATCCAAGCGTCCTGATCACGGCCGGCAGCCGGAAGGAAACGAGTATAAAGTGCAGCATCTGCTGGGGATCACCGAGACTGATTTCAACACGGTGCGGAACCAGAGTATCAGCTCCTCAGCCACTGCGAAATTGCCAGCTTTGTCTTTCTCTGATGCTACGACCGAGCTGGGTTCTTCTCATCCCGCCACAGAACATTTGGATCCAGGTGCAGAACTCAATTTGAAGGCGTCGTCTGTGCTGTTGCACGAGGAGTTCCTACTCAAAGCAGATGCGGCCGGTTCAACACATTCCAAACGCCTCAAGACATACGGCTCGTCTTCTACCATTAACTCGTACTACGATGCTTGCAAGGCGCCGTTAGCTGTGTCACAACAGACTTCAGATTCGTCCCGACGGGACTTTGCTCTCCGGAAGGGGGCACCGGTGGTCATCAAATCTGCGACCCCGGACAAGGATTCACTGCGTCAATTGAAGCTTTTTCGCCTCTCTAAAGGCGACAATAAGCTAGGGGCAAAGAAACTCATGAAGGGTGGTTCTCAACCTGGAGACAGCCCCGTTAAGATGTTATTCGGCAGTCAGCGTTCTGTAAGAACCCCCGAACAGACAGGGACGGCAAGGCATTTGCATCCCAATCGTCAATCCGAAACGCAAAGGGGCGTGCGCTTCCAGTCTGACCACTCTGTAACGTCAATCAACGCGTCGACATCGAAATCATCTGGTAGTCGGCCCTCTCGACAGGAAAATCCATACGTCAAGATGAATATAAGACGACCAAAGGCTGGAGCGAAGCATTGGTTCGACGGGCTGGAGGGTGATAGCAGTGATGATGAAAGCGTCCACGAGCCTGAACTACACCCAAGCTTCGTTGCAGGAATGGAAATGGCTTTCGAAGGAGGTAGGATTGGACTCTTGACAAATGAGGGATCCCGTGTCACAACGCATACGCATGAGACGTCTAGTCGAGCACCAAGCTCGAAAGCACCATCAAGCCACCTGCTCCCTGCTTCAGCAATTCCACCCCGGGTATCAACCCTCACTGCCAAATCGTCCAAATCTACGCTTTCTCGAAATGAGTCGCTGCAACCCTCAACGAAACCAAAAGCATCCTCTCTAGCGTCCACCGATCTCCATAAAACCAGCATTTTAGACCTGTCCTCTTCTGATGATGATCATGATGATGAGCCACAGTCATTGGAAAAAGAGAGCGAATCAAAGAGCGCTCCCTTGCCGCCACTGCGGGATAGCATAGCCGTGGAGTCACTGACAGAATCAGATATTGAGATTCGGACAGCTAAAGCAGTCAGTACGAAGCAAAATATCACTGCGAGGGCGACACCGAGTTTACGGCGTGTTCACGGCACTCATCCTCCAGGTTCGGCATCATCAACAACAAAGCCTTCCAACAAGCGACGAAACCATCGATCGACATATCTCAGCGATCTGTCCTCAACTCCTACGCCAGAAGACGAAGACCTGCTCACCTCATTTCCTCCCATCCCAACAGAGCAAGCATCCTCGCACCGCCAGTCTTTCCAAGAATCTTGTCTGTCCGATACCGCAAGCATTGAGAGCAGGAGACTGATGAGCGTTACCCGTCAAGAGGAATCTCTTCTTGCTGCACTCCGTTTAAGGAAAGCAGCACTAGGTCAGCCATCCACCGGCGGCGCAACGGACCGACGGCTACAGGTGCTGCGAGATAGGGAGAGAAAATCAGCAATATGTCAACGGCCTACTCCAAGGTCCTCCGCGGCATTAGAGGTTCAGCTGTCTTTACAAGGGCGGACCCAGGAACAGTTGCGGTCTCCTTATTCAGATGCAAACTTTGACCAGGCTTCATGCACAACTTTCCAGACAGGGCTGTCGACGGAGGCCAGCGCACGATATTCACTGGCCAGCTTCCACACGGGAACTTCGATCGAGCCAGAGTCCGAAATGTCATCCTCCTTGGCCACATTCTCGCCTACACTACTTGCACCGTCGAATGGTGCTATCAATAGGATGAGCCGTTCGACCTTCTTTTCGACATCGACCAACAGCTCCAGAGACAACTCGCGTAGTCGACGCGAGAGTCACTATCTGGCCACATTGGAGAAGCTGCAGGCGGCACCAAAACGAGAAGAAGTCTCTTCCCAGGACTTCATTGATTTTCCTTATAATGGATGGATGAAACTTGCCGCGACAGCGCATTGAAACTCGGTCGCACCTCATTTGTTGCGTCCTTTGCGATCTCACGGCTGCTGACTAGTGGGAACCTGATGACGATTTCAAAAAAGAGAAGGGTGGATCACTTGTACAATAGGCAGGGATGAGGTTTCCAGCCATTTTGGTTTCATGATGACGAAGGAGGATATTTACCTGGTGGATCAATGTACAGTAGGCAACCAGGCGGTTTATATAGAGCCCGGCATACGGGGGGAGTACCACGTACAAAGTTAATGTATGGTGTCTCGCCGATGACATGTCCGTCCATTCGATATCTGTAGCCAAAGAATAGAGAGCAACGAGACCTCAAGCCAGATGACCGCCTTCACCGCCAAACGGGCAGGCCAAGAACAAGAACTTGGAAGGCGCAGGAGGCCATGACGCAGGGCCATTATTATTATTGACTTGAAGAAGTTCCCGTTGGCTGTGGAAACGGGGAAACAACCCACAACCACCAATCGACGCGCCAAAAGACCAAATCCCCCTGCGCCGAAGGTTTTCTCCTCTATCGGTTTGGGCTGCTGCCACGAGTTTCGTTCGTTCATTTTGTGTTGCTCGCGTGCCGGATGACCTTTGGGTCAACTTGACCTCGTTGCTTGATCTCCACCACTTGGTTCAACGTGCCAGAAACATATCCTGTATCTCGCACCGAGAACCTGTCCACTCCTTTGACCCTCCCTTCTTCTCTTCCTACCGAATGACTGGTTGTTCTGCCTGGCGCAGAGCCATTCAGCCAAAACCAACGGCATTGCATTATCGAGATATTCGTACAGTTGGAAGTTGTGGTCACAACCATCTCGAGCGATGGCTGTCGAAAGGCGCGGTATTGCGCCCAAATTCATGGGAGTGTCGCTCCGGAGCCTGTCCTTGAGCACGGTAAGAGACACGACGCGAGATCGTCCACGCAGCTGCAGACTGACTGATTCGTGATATAGTTAACAGTCCAGTTCTCTACCTTCATTCTGGTAAGGCGGATCGAGTATTCTGAGCGATCGTACGCATTGAACTGAAGTCGTCGTCTACAGCTCCTCCATTATTCTCGCGTCATGCCTACCAAGGATGGACATCGCTATCTCCCTTCAACAGCTGTCTTCCTTGTCGAAGCCCTCAAATTGGCAGTGTGCCTGACGATATCGCTCTACGAAGTCTCCCTCTCAGTTCCGCGATCTATGCCTGCGACATCCCTCCTCGGGATTTTAGGGAACGCCATCTTTGCCGGTGACAGTTGGAAGATGGCGTTCCCGGCTGGACTCTACACGCTGGCGAACAGCCTGCAGTACATTGCAATATCTAATTTGGACGCCGCGACGTTCCACGTTACATACCAGTTCAAGATCTTTGTGACGGCAGTCTTGAGCGTCCTGCTTCTGCAGAGAACAATTTCGGGGAGACAGTGGCTGTCTCTCATCCTGCTTATGCTGGGAGTTGCGATCGTCTCCCTCCCCCACGGCTCGTCAGGATCCCTCGCTTCAAGCCACCATACCAGGATATATCTGCCACGGTCATCCAACCCTCTGCGAGAGCACTTCCGGATGACGGAGCCTGGTTCCCACCTCAAGAAGAGATCGGCAACGTATGAAGGCATTGAAGAAGACGAGCTCGCGTTGGACACACCCGGTATGGACGCTTCCGTAGGATTGTTTGCGGTTCTGGGTGTCTGCCTGTGTTCAGGGTTAGCTGGGGTCTACTTTGAAAAGGTCATCAAGGAGTCGCCCAAGAACACGTCGCTCTGGATCCGAAATGTGCAACTATCGATATATTCTCTTTTTCCGGCCTTCTTCATCGGCATCGTCTTCCTCGACGGCGAAACAGTGGCAAAGTATGGCTTCTTTGCAGGCTATAACTGGGTGGTGGTTGCATCAATTGTCATCCAAGCCTTTGGCGGCATCGTCGCGGCGTTCTGCATCTTTTATGCCGACAACATTTCAAAGAACTTTGCTGTTAGCATCAGCATGGTCCTCAGCAGTCTGGCGAGTTTCATGTTCTTTGATTTCGCTATGACCGGACATGTATGCAAGCATATGATTGTCGGTGTTTTCAGGATTGCTAACGATTGCTAGTTTTTGATTGGGGCCTCGATTGTCCTCATCGCGACTTGGGTCTACAACGCCGAAGAAGCCCGGCTTCTACAAACTCCAGCAGTTACGATCACCGAAAACGAAAAGCTGTCACTCAACGGTTCAACCTCGTTGAACGACATGTCTATCCAGATCCCCAAAACTCCTTTAATTCAAGAAGAGACAGCCCTGGCAACTTCAAGACCAGGCTCTCCAACCCACAAAAAGAGGAATAAAGAGCCTCTGGGCTATTTTGCGAAGCATCGTGATTGAACGACTGCCTTTGCTAGGTCAGATGCTTATGATTGTTTGGACATGAAAGGATAGACTTTGGGTATACCACTTGGAAAAAAGAATAATGCTGCGACGAGATAGAGGCCTGACGCAATGGTGCTAGCAAGGAGACAGAGGTCTTACAGCGTCTTTCTCTGGAGACCAAGAGTAAGTGAGCAAGACCAGCGGAAGACAGCCAGGACAGAAACGAGGAAAAAAGGGGCACAGTCACGTGCTCCGGTTTGGCTGCCCATTGCACCTGCCCCATGAAGACTTTGACCTGCACTTTGCCTGCCTGCATCGTCCTTCCAGTTGGTTTGAGAACATCGTTCACTTTGGCACCTTTGTGATACAGCCATCCACCTCTTCATTGTGTCCATTGCATTCTCTTTTTATGGAACCCCTGCTTCGACTTGTGTCATGGACAATGTCAGACGCCTTCCTGCGGGCTATCGACGAGATACGTCCTCCACTTCCACCCGTGATTCGCGCACGTCACGGATGCTTGACTTTGGCTCCGGCTCAAATGCCTCGCACAATGTCACCTCGCGACACTCGCCTTACTTTGCGCCACGGACACCTCTGGAGACTGGCCTGTTCGATCCTCACTCCCCCCCAGAAGTTGAGAGGCCACTTGACGACTTTGGTAAGCTACAGACTCGTTGTTCTGTCCATCGAGGTACTAAAGTCTCGCTCAGACAGGGCTCTGCTGGATGAGGGCCCAAAAGCCCAAGGACCTGCAGGGAAACCGGGCCTGACCCGGGTCTCGCTTCCTCTGAAACCTCTTACGCCGTTGATGACAAGCCGTACAGGAAGACTCTCACAAGGTGAGCCACAGTCCACAAGCAGAAGTTAGGCTCTCATGATGAATGTAGATGACTCGCATGACAAGCCAAACCTCCAGGCATCTAGCTCCTCGCCCACTGCTCCTACCACGAGTCCCACAGTGTCATTCCTCCAGAGCCGTCAACGTCACAGAACGAATCCGTCTCTTCCAAGGAGGATCTTTGACTCAAGGTCAAATAACTTTTCATCTGAAGCAGCCGGGCCCTCTCCCGCTATGACCACTGGAAACATGAGAGGAGGCCGAATATCGTCGCTAGGCAATCAGCCTACCTCGACTCTTCCTGTCATCCAAGGGATTCAGCTGCTCCCAGCTACTATATTGCCAGACCAAATGCGTTCGGTCTTCAAATTTGAGGTCTTCAATGCAGTTCAGTCAAAATGTTTTGAAAGTGCCTTCCAGTCGGATGACAACCTGGTCGTGTCTGCCCCGACTGGGAGTGGCAAGACTGCCATCATGGAGCTAGCTATCTGCAGGCTAGTGACAGAGTCCAAAGGTCGAGACTTCAAAGTGGTATACCAAAGCCCTACCAAATCGCTATGTTCGGAAAGATATCGTGATTGGCAAATGAAGTTTGGTGCTCTCAATCTGCATTGTGCTGAACTCACAGGCGACACTGACCATGGCGACTTGGCCAATGCACAGAAGGCGAACATCATTATCACAACTCCAGAGAAATGGGACAGCGTGACTCGAAAATGGAAGGATCACGCCAAGCTGATGCAGCTGGTCAAACTCTTTCTTGTCGATGAGGTGCACATTCTCAAGGACGAGCGCGGCGCCACGCTTGAAGCTGTCGTGTCCAGGATGAAGTCCGTGAAATCCAATATCAGAGTTGTTGCGTTATCCGCGACCGTGCCGAACTCGGAGGACGTGGCAACCTGGCTGGGAAAGAACTCTTCGTCGCAGCACTTGCCTGCACGCAGAGAGGTCTTTGGAGAGAGTTTTCGGCCTGTCGAGCTCAATAAGCATGTCTATGGGTTTGAGGCGAAGAGCAATGATTTTGCCTTCGAGTCGATGTTAACACACCAGTAAGAAGACCATTCTCATCTCCGTTGCATACTGACATCGATGAGAATACCTGATATCATTGCCAAGCATGGACGGGGGAAGCCTGTCATGGTATTTTGCTCTACCCGACGAGCTGCGGCTACAACTGCCAAGATGCTTGCGGACATGTGGTCGACCTCACGTCCCTTGGAGCGCCTGTGGAGAGGGCCCGAAAAGCCTCTCTCACTGACGAGTTCTGATCTCAAAGGTAACTTACCACATCGCCCGTACCGCAACTCCTCACGTGCTAATTACGGTTCAATAGCCACGGCGGTGGCTGGAGTAGCTTTCCATCACGGAGGCGTGCTCGCATCAGATCGCCAGACTATCGAGAATGCTTTTCTGGATGGACAGATCAGTGTCATTTGTAGCACTTCCACTTTGGCTGTCGGCGTGAACCTTCCTTGCTATCTGGTAATCCTGAAAGGAACAATGTCTTGGACCGACAATGGCTTCAAGGAATACGCAGATCTGGAAGTCATGCAAATGCTTGGTAGAGCAGGGAGACCGCAATTCGAAACTTCAGCATGTGCGGTTATTCTAACTCGAAAGAACAAAGTTGCGCACTACCAGAAGATGGTGTCAGGTGAAGAGATGTTGGAGAGCTGCCTTCATCAGAATCTTATCGAGCACCTCAACGCAGAAGTTGTCCTCGGAACAGTGCATGATGTCGCAACGGCAATGCAATGGCTAGAGAGCACTTTCTTCTATGTTCGCCTGAAGAAGAATCACTCTCATTATCAATTTCGAGAAGGAGTCGACGAAAGTACCGAGGATGAGTTGCTCGAGCGACTGTGCACGAAAGATGTTGGGTTACTCCTGGACGCCGGACTCGTGGAGCACACCCCTCGATTGACCTCGACTGTCTTTGGAGAGGCTATGGCAAGGTACTACGTCAGCTTTGACACTATGAAATCTTTCATGGGATTACCCCCCAGGGCGAGGATGTCGGAAATCGTACGTGGTGTTCCCTATTCCTGACGACAAAGATTTGACTAACCAAGGACGACAGCTATCGGTTCTGGCCCAAGCAAGAGAATTCCGCGAAATACGAATGTTGGCCGGGGAGAAATCTTTTTACAAAGAAATCAACAAAGCCCCGGAGATCAAGTTTCCGGTCAAGGTCGATGTTGCCCTACCATGCCACAAGATCTCGCTGCTGATCCAGGCTGAACTGGGCAACGTCGCGTTGCCTGACGGCGAGACCCACAAAAAGCATCACCACCAGAGTCGAATAGACAAGGCACCGGTCTTTGCACACGCGAACAGGCTGATCCGATGTATCATTGACTGTCAAATTCATCTCGAGGATGGCACTTCGACTCGGAACGCGCTTGAGTTAGGGCGCAGCCTTGCGGCACGCGTATGGGACAATACCGCCAGCCAGCTCAGGCAGGTTGAAGGACTGGGTGAAGTTGCTGTTCGAAAACTGGCGGCTGCCCATATTAACAGCATCGATACGCTTCTCAACACCGAGCCCTCCCGGATCGAAATAGTCCTTGGGAAGCATCCTCCTTACGGCCACCAACTATTGCAAAAGCTGGAAGCATTTCCCAACCTGAGAATATCGGTCAAAGAGACTGCCCGAGAAGTTCTAGCCGGCAATGGTGTCAAGATCAAAATCATTGCGGAGCTTGGATTCCTGAACAAGCAGTTGCCACGTATCTTCAACAAGAAGATATTCTCTATCTGCTTTTTAGCTGAGACTTCTCACGGGGCTCTCGTGGATTTCAGGAGGTTCAATCCAAAAAGGCTTGAAAGTGACGGACAGGTGTGCCTCACGTTGCACGTCACGAGGCCGACTAATTATGTTAACTGCTACGTGATGTGCGACAACATCGCTGGTACCAGCAAGTACGCCAAACTCCAACTATCGGACATTCCGAAGTTGGTCGAGGAGTTCGATGACGGCGGTATCAATGACCAGGATCTGCTAGACCTGGAAGCTGATGTTGTCACGTATCGGGAACCTACGCAACTGCGCAACGGGCGCTGGACTTGTCAGCATGACTGCAATGAACAGAACAAGAAATGCAAACACCGATGCTGCAAAGAAGGCGTTGCAAAGCCGAGGCGCAGACCAAAAGTGGAGCCCAAGATCCAAGAAGAGAAAGCCCAGAAGAAGATAACAGCGGTAATGAAACCGAGATTCAAGTCTGAAGTCAAAGGTCGCACGCATTCGGCAGATTTGACTACAGCAAGGTCAGAAAGCAAGTCAGATCAGAATCGAGCCCGGATTTCCAGTAGAGCTGATCGTTCAAGAAGCCGGAGCCCGGGGGGTGCGAACGTTCAAGAACCGACCGCGAAAAGAGTGAAACTGTCAGAGCGCAGAGGACGAGAGGTCTCGGAACAATTGGACATAGATACCAATTTCAAGTCCAAAGATTCATGGCAGTCTTCTCACAATGGCCAATCCGACATCCCAAAGGGACACAACCCAAGTACTGGAAAGGACATCGATGAACTTTTCATTCTCTTTTCCGATGAAGACGACGATAACCCTGTTAACTTCTCACTCGGAAAGGTTCGGCCAATTGATGAACATGACTTCTCATCTCGGAAGAGCACTGAGGTTGTGGAAGCAACCCAACCCTTGGACACACGTCTGGTCACCGAGGACTGGCTCTCACGGGCAGACGAAGACTTGGATTTCTCAACCGCAGATGTTGATCTCGGTTGTTTTGATGCACCACTCGAGCACGTTTCCTTGTCAGACGTCCTCAAGAAAAGCAAAACTTCTGCGACAGTTCCAGGCAGTTTTGAAACGCCAGAATTACCAGACCTCGCAGATGACGCGAGCTTTGCTGATGATTTCTTCCTTGCTACTGTCGACTTCGATGAGTCTCTATCAAATCATCCCGGGAAAGTTACAGATTCCGGCAGTCGTCGATATGAGGATTTCACATCAATTGCTGATACACCGGTCGAATCAGTGAAGACCCCGGAAGGCACTGAGCTCATCGACAGACCAGTCGAGACTGGGGATGGGGTTGTGGAGCCTGTAGGCATAGAGTCCGACTCTCAGCGGGAAAAGAGACTGTACGAAGAAAACCAGAAGAAAAAATGGGAAGGTATCGATCAGTGGATTTATGACGAGTTCCACGAGTATGTGGAGCTTGTTTGATGGTATTCTGGGACGACAGCTGTTGGGACGCTCTCCGCCGCGTTCGGAAACCAACACAAGGAATCGAAGCCAGACTGCACAAGATGAGGGGGTTGCGATGGTTGAAGAGGAAGAGGTGGCAGCGGAAAGGGAGAAAATCTGAATGGCAGAATTCGAGCAACTGCTGGAGCGCTGATAAATAGCTGGAATGATTTCTGATATACAAACAAAAGGAGAGCGAGAGACTCAATGAGCTATTAGTCCCTAATGGATTAAGTGGATGACGCTTCGACGACTTGATGTTTCGATCTCGTCTCGTTTGTTATCTAGATTCTAGATGTTTCCGCCACACTGTAATTAGTACAGCAACGAGCCATCCACAGCACATATCAATTTTATCAACGCCCACCAGGAAGGTTTCTCTCAACGGCCACAGGGATCCTAGCGAATGAGGATTCTGTGCCCCTGATGATCCAAACGTGGAAATGACATCGCCTCCGGACTCTTAGATTTTCAGATCCCCGCTGTCCCTCAAGGGAAGGCCATTACAAAGCCGTGGCGATGCCGTCACCAAGTCGACGGAGAGATCCTCGGGTGGGCCAGAAGGGTTGCGGAAAACCCGTCCCAGGAAAAGCGGTTGGGCGCCACCACCGCGAGATAGACACCAAGCCGAATTCCTCCGGTTGGCTGTGGAAGGACTCACTGTCGACGACAATTGGGTCGCTTACCTTGCACGTCGATCGGCTACTTGGCCGGTCCGCTTAATAAGAGACAACAGCGGGAGAAGCCTTTGCGAGGCTAGCTGCAATCTGCAAGCGACCACTCTGAATGCTTCTGTAGCGGTTCATGTGAAGTGGCATTTTTCTGAAGACTCTGATCGAGGCCCCTCTCGGCTTCAGAATGATGTCAATGCTCAAGGACGTCAAAGCGGTGCAGGTTTGTCATGGCTCTCTCCATTCGGCTGAAGAGATGTGTATAAAAGAAAAGCAACTCCCCTCGATAGTCTGTGGTACATCCAGCAAGCTCCTCTTCCAAGAAACGTGCCTCTAAGACATCAGAAACATTCCAGCAAACGCTTAAAACAGCATTACCACTGTCGACTTCTGTCCAACAATCAACATGGTTGAGTTCACAGTGTTCAAGGGCAGCAAGGCCGGCATCGTCAAGGCCACCTCCCAACGCGAGGTTGGCCCGCACGACGTTCTAGTCAAAATTACGCACAGTGGCCTTTGTGGCACGGATCTGCATCATAAGGAATTGGACATGGGTCTCGGCCACGAGGGCACGGGCATCGTGGAGGATGTCGGCAAGGACGTGACGATATTCAAGAAAGGTGACCGGGCTGGCTGGGGCTACATCCACAACAGCTGTGGGCACTGCAAGGAGTGCCTTCGGGGCGCCGAGACCTTCTGCTCGGAGCGGCAGTATTACGGAGCGGCCAACTTGGATCAGGGATCCCTGGGCTCGCACGCCGTGTGGAATGAGAACTTCTTGTTCAAGATCCCCGAAGAGATCGCCTTGGAAGACGCTGCTCCCTTGATGTGCGGTGGTGCGACGGTCTTTAACGCCCTTCAATTCCACGGGGTCAAGAGCACCGACCGTGTCGGAGTCATCGGCGTAGGTGGTCTGGGACATCTAGCCATCCAATTTGCTGCCGCCATGGGCTGCGAGGTTGCCGTCTTCTCCGGCACCGAAAGCAAGAAGGAGGAAGCCCTGAAACTCGGGGCCAAAGAGTTCTACGCGACCAAAGGACTCAAGCAGTTGAAGGTGTCCAAACCTATCGACCACCTGCTCGTCACGACCGCCTCCCAACCGGACTGGAACATGTACCTCCCCATCATGGCACCTTCGGGCACCATCTATCCTCTCACAGTCAGCTTCGAGGACCTGAAGATGCCGTACATGGACATCATCATGGGCGGTCTGAAGATCCAGGGCAGTCTCGTGGCCGCCCGGAGAATCCATCGCGAAATGCTCGACTTTGCGGCCAGCCATGGCGTGAAGCCGATCATTCAGACCTTCCCCCTGACCGAGAGCGGCGTCGACGAAGCGTTCCGGACCCTTGAAGAGGGCAAGATGCGGTACAGAGGCGTGCTTGTCGCTTAGATCAAGGAGGGAGCTTTCAGAGGGGCGGGCGTTGGGATTGCGATGGAGTTGCTACGTACGGCCTAATTGAGAACCCTGTGGCCCCGGATGGAACTGTTCATAGAGTGTCAATACAATAGAGTTTCATGTCTATCAAATTTGAGGTTTGATCTTCAGCAGATTACGCAAAGTCTTTGTCTACAGTTGAGTGTTCCTACAGCACTGCACGCAGAGGCTGAGCCGACGACCGGTATAGTCACGTGATCCGCCAGAATTCAGCCGAGACTCGACCGCGATGATCAACGGCTTTTGGCTAACGGCGAGACGCGTGTCCAATGACCGTGATTGGAATAGCCATTGGGCGGATGTTTAGTTTTTCCGTTTCCTGCCGAATGCAACCACGAGCCCAGCCTCTCGCCTCCCCAAGTTCTGTTCGATTTCCCAAGACGCAGATCGTGCTTCCTCCTCCCCAAGAAAATCCCCTGGCCCGGGCCAGACGTCAATGCGGCAACGATGCTGCTGAAGCCCAAGGAGGAGGCGGGCGACAGCCAGGCAGACACTGACGTCCGAGGTCTACGCAAGATTCGAGCTCAAAGCCCGTGGACATGGCGACCTCTCACCCTCATTACGACCGCCGTCGCCCTCCTGTCGCTCTCTATCATCGTTCGCTCGTCCCTCCGGTTGCAAGTCGACCCTCAAGGATGCGTCATGTCGATGATGGCCCCGACCTACATCAAGCTGTCCGGATTTGACACGGAACATTCGCGGTTTGCAACCAAATATTCGCTGTACTTGTATCGGGAAGAGGGGGTTGACGAATACACACGGGATAACATTGGGTTACGAGGCGCTCCAGTGCTCTTTATTCCCGGGAATGCTGGGAGTTACAAGCAGGTCCGGTCCCTCTCGTCCGAGGCCTCCCGCTACTTTCACAACGTCCTGCGCCATGACACCGAGGCCGTCAAAGCTGGTGTGCGGTCTTTCGACTTCTTCACCATCAATTTCAACGAGGATCTCTCGGCGTTCCACGGGCAGACGCTGCTCGACCAAGCCGAATACGTCAACGAAGCGATCGCCTACATCCTCTCCCTGTACGTCGACAGCAACCGCCTCCGTCGCGACTCACAGTTGCCCGACCCGAGTTCTGTGATCCTCATTGGGCATTCAATGGGGGGGATCGTGGCACGCACCGTCCTTGCAACTCCGAAATACCAGGCAAATTCGGTCAATACTATCATCACTATGTCGACGCCTCATGCACGACCACCAGTATCCTTTGACGCAGACGTCGTCTCCCTCTATCAACAAGTCAACGACTACTGGCGGGAGGCTTACCTGCAGCGCTGGGCTAGCAACAATCCCTTGTGGCATACAACTCTAATATCGATCGCCGGAGGTGGTCGAGACACCACTGTCCCTTCCGACTACACGAACATTGCCTCGCTTGTTCCCGAAAGTCACGGTTTTACGGTCTTCAGTTCCACGATCCCGAGTGTTTGGACTGCGATGGATCATCTGGCGATTACTTGGGCCGATCAGATGCGGAAGGTCATCATCAGATCTTTATACGATGTCGTTGACGTCCGCCGAGCGGCACAGACCAAGCCACGGTCAGAGCGCATGAAAGTCTTCCGGAAGTGGTTTTTGACGGGTTTGGAGGATGATGCGCCAAAGAACATGCGTGATGCGCCACACGAGGTCCTTCTCACGCTTGGTGATGGGACGAGGTCAGCCGTGGCTAAAGAAGATAACGTTACCCTGCGGCAATTTGGCTTGCATGACCATATGTCGGCAGTCCTGCTGCCGATTCCTTCCGTGGACAATAGTACCTCCAAAACTTTCTCACTTCTGACAGATCAACAAATGGATGCCCACGGTAGCTTTGAGAAAATGGAGGTATTGTTCTGCAGCGCCTTTCCGCTCGCCGGTGGGCTCACTTCAACACCATTGCCAATCCAGTTCGACCTCTCGCCCGGTGATCCCAGTGCAACGAGACTTGCTTGCAAAAGACCTGCTGGAGACGGCATCCAACTGCCTGCCTCGACAAGACTATCCCAATATCCGTTCGAGCAACAGCCGCCGTTCACATTTTTGACCTACGATCTGAGAGATCTCCAGGACCACCAATTTGTCGCAATCATAGACAAATCCACGGAGCGGAACCATGGCTGGGTGCATGCGGAGATTGTCTCTGCCTCAGACTCCGTCGTCGCGTCTGATGTGAGCCTGCCGATGCTCTTGCTTCGGGGATTGAACCTGGAGCTCCCTTCCAGCCGCCCTCTGGTGACGGAAATTCGGGTGCCATCAATTCGATCGAGCCTACTGGCGTATACTCTCCAAATCCGCCAGCATGGTTGCAGAACCGATACCGAGCTCTTCACGCCATTGTTGAGGCAGCACATCGACAGCCCGTACGAGTCGAAGTACTTTGTCAACTTCAAGGAGGGAGACGTCAATCTTCACGGGGTGGCTCCGTTTATGCCGCCTACGCTAGACGGCCGGGAGTCGAAAGCAGGTGTGGCCTTCCAAATCTGGTCCGATCCGACCTGCAATTCTTCCTTGGAAATCCGCTTGCGGGCAGACCCTGTCGGAAGTCTCGGCAAGCTTGTGATCAGATACCGGACCGTCTTCGCAGTCTTCCCTCTGCTGGTCGTGGCAATGGTCTTGCGAAAGCAATTTCGGGTTTACGACAACTCGGGGGTCTTCATCTCCTTCTCTGAAAGCCTGGAGCAAAGTCTGAGGCTGCCACTCCCTGTCCTAATGCTATCCATGACGTTCTTTGCCACTGCATTTACTACGGCGAGTTCAGCAAATATCGTGTCGAGCAGCCATACTCAGACCAATGGGACGACGGTCAATTTTGCGCAGAACGATCTTCTTTTAGGTTCTCAGGACACATTCTTCTGGTTCCTCGTGCCTCTGGCAGGCCTGCTCAGCGTTGGCACCTGCGTCTTGGTCAACTATGCAGTCTTGGGACTATTGCACTTGATCGTCACCCTATCCAATTTCATGTCACAACGCTACGTGAGATCTGACGACGGTGACAAGGGCATGGCTTCTGCTTTCGTGGCAAGCACGCCCCGGCGTCGCGCCATCAACACGGCTGTCCTCCTATTCCTCGTCGCGACCATCATTCCTTATCCATTCGCCTACGTTGTGGCCTGCATTGTACAATTGTTTACCTGCGCACGGGCGTTGCGCCACGCCAAAGATTCGAGATTTGGGCCGGCGCATAATTTCTTCAACTACACGTACTCGATACTTATTCTAATGCTCTGGGTGTTGCCAATTAATGTTCCGGTCTTGGTTGTTTGGGTGCATAATTTGGCGGTGCACTGGCTGACACCGTTCTCATCACATCACAACGTGTTGTCGATCATGCCCTTTATCCTTTTGGTGGAGACTCTGTCGAGTGGGAAGATGGTGCCGTCTGTGCGGTCATTCAGATGGGCCACCAACCTGTTGTTTTTCGTCCTGGCCGTGTATGCGGCCTTGTACGGCATGACTTACGCGTACAGATTACATTACATTGCGAACATCATTGCGTTGTGGCTGGTTTTGCTTCATTTCTCCACCTACCAGAAACGAATTCCTACCTAGAGGCGGATACGGACACTGCCTTGGCTATCTTGGGGCTCCCACAGAGATAGATTTCTAGAGAGGGCACATTGGGAAGAGTCAGAGGCACAAGCCATTTTGTTCTGGCTGGCGGCGTCCATCTGGCGATGATAGAAGCTTATGAAGATCCAATACAAAAAAAGGAGTCTACGAAGAGTGGACAATTACTCGATTCCTGTTTTCGAAGAACCATCTTTGTGCTTCTGCCCACCTGTGCTCGAAGACGAGGAGATGGTAAACCTGCTCGCTTCGATGCCGTCGACCTTCACTTACGCATTTATTTTAAATGTAAATGGGACGCTGGGCGTTTCCGATGTACATTATGTAGTACGTATGAGGTTGGATGAACAACGAGACATATTGGCTCCATCCAAATCCTGGTAACATGATGACGGTCCGTCAGTCGTTCAGCAAGACACATGGCTGCGTATATTGTGTTTGTACCGTGCACATACATCCAGGTATCGAGGGTTGTTTGGAGGGAGAGGCTGGAGAAGGAAAGACACTTCACCACGACTGAACATGGCACAAGTGAAATTTGGATGGACGGTCAAGTGATCTCAGATAGGGTGGTGAGTACCATGAATGAAATGAACAAGGTGTCCATCCATCCATGGTTTGCTCTGAACCCGTCCGTCACTTCTGCCGATACCTGTATCTTGCTTGTTCTCTGTGCTTTTACCACCTCCGGCCAAAAAGGATGTGCATGTATCTTCAACCTGCTTCCTTACCCGCCACACCACCGCGACCCCGGGTAACAAAAGATGACTTCACCGACGCAACCGACCTTTCCTTCCTTTACCATCACCGCGCCCACGGGCACGCCAACCGATCCTAATGCGACGCTGCAGGCCATCAACAACGCGGGTCATCACTCACCGGGCGCCATAACCGGCATCTCCATCTGCGTTCTTATCTGCCTCGCGTGGATCCTCAGATACTCGTACCTCGCGTCACCTTTCTGGCTTGGCCACTTGCGGCGCTGGTTTGGAATCCGACCTTCTTCTCGAACGCCCATCTCCCACTTTCCGCTTGCACCTAGCCGTGATGGTCCCGACACCGACACCGACAATGAAAATCCAACAACTCCTTATATCGCGCGACCCGAGCCGGCGTACATCCGCACCGCTTCCAAGGACACCTTACCTCTCTACGAGCCGGCGAACCGGTTCAGCAACGACGTGCTGGAGGCGTTGTTGGACCTGGGGCCTGTAGCTGGGGCTGCACGACCGCCGTCGTACCGGTCGAAGTTGTCGCAGGAATGGAGAAATGCCATGGGGACGAGAGCTCGGAATCGTCACGACGACGGGGCGGCAGACGCAGACGAGGAGTCTGGGAGGAGTGTTTCGGAGAGAAGCGGCTAAAGGAACGAACGAACACGGTGGTATTTCCAAGACAGGCAAGGCGACGGTTTCGAGACAAAGAAGAAGAAGAAGAAGAAGAAGCAGACACAACGACATAACAAGTACAGGGACCAACCCACGATAATTGGGATATGAGCTGAGGGAATGGGGTCGCGACAAAGTCATGGATGGCGCAGGATCTTGGACAACCCACTGGACAGACAAGGCAAGGCAAGGGAAGGCAAAGCACTGAACGTATGAGGTTGGATAACTGGACAATGAGTGAGCCTTCTGCTCCCCGTGGTATTGATTTGAAGCAGGATGGGAGTTTGCGCTTTTCCCAAGGGACTACTACGAGGCACACTATTACAGTATTACTTGGCTTCCCCAGATTTCGCGGGTCTGGGCGCCGCAAACACCTGCCTGCCTGACGGTAAAAGCTTAAACCATTTACCCCGGGCGGGAGCTTGCGTAATCCACGACGCTTGCGGCATGGTGTGTGGGCATGCATGCGTCCTTTTCGGCCCTAGACGTTCCGGGCAAAGAATTGCTGCTTTTTGATGGGGGGGTTGAAGCCTATTAGAGGGAACCCAGGCCCCAGGGCGGATCAGCCGAGGGACCCGGTGCATTCCAGGCGATTGGGCGAGTGGTGGACAGCCCAGTGCCCGTACGGTACTAGTTTTCCAGGCGCTGGACTCTGGCTGGGCGCACTGGGCAGGGTCGCTAGTAGTCGTGCCCACAACCTCGTTGCCTCTCTTCGGATTTCTTTTTTCGCCGTGTTAACTTACGGTAATGTGTGGGTTGGTTGCAGCACCGCATCCACCACTGACTGACTGACTGACTGACTGCCTGCCTGCCTTACCTTGCCTGGGCCATCCGCTCGTGTGTGTCTGTCTGTGTCTGTCTGTGTGTCTGTGTGAGTTGCGTGCTTTTTTATTATCTGTGACACCTTTTAAACCCCCCATCTCCCTCGCTCACTCTGCCTCACTCTCCTCTCTGCTACTCTCTCAGTCTTATATTCGATGAGTTCAATAAACGCTGTGTGACGACCTAGCCCACCTTTCCACCACCCATCTCCCTCCTACGCTAGCTCAGACCCCAAACTCACAAGACCTTGTAAAACCGACCTCTCCTCGCAGCCCTCCCGCAACGGACCTCCCCATGGCTCACCACTCGCCTCGACCGTCTCTCGACAGCCACACCCACGGCTCGACGCCCTTCTTCCACACACTGACCCAACGCCTGCGGAAAAGCTCCAATGCCAGCTCTTACGGTGCAGACCCTTCATCTCCGACCGACCCGACTTCGAGGACGGAGGCCACGCGCACCGCCCGGCGGATGGTGCTGTCGATGGTGAGGGACGACTGGGAGTGGCCGCCGCCGCCTTCGTCGTCACCGACCACATCCCCCCCGGTCGGCAACGGCGGCCGGTCGCCCATCCCGCACCGCGAACCGATCACTTACCGCCTGCGTGAGGAAGCCCACTCCGACCTGGAAATGGACGACTTTGCCGCCAAACGCCGCGCGAAGAGCGACCCGTACAAGTTCGAGAGTCCCGAGGCGGTGGGGACGGTGATGGCTGAGCGCAGGCGGAAGCGCCGAAAGATGCAAGAGGAAGAAATGTCCTGGAATGAGGGGTTGAGGATCTGGGTTGAGCGGCGTGACGCCTGGACGGGAGCTCTGCAGCAGAAACCCCACAGCACCAGGCCCACCGAACGACGGCCGTCGTCAACGACGAAAAGACATTCGTATAAATCCCGCCTCTCGCAAGTCTTCACGGGACACAAGGGGGACCAGCCCAACTCCACCGATGGGGGGTCGACCAGCTGGCCCGTGTCACCGGCTTCACCGACGCCAGAATGCTCAAGCGGGGACAGCGTCGAAGCCACGTCGGCCACTCGGATCAGCACGAACACCACCGCCGAACCGCTTTCGCCTTCCTCATCCTCTCAACCACCGTCGTCACCGTCAGCCTCGTCACCGTCGACAGAGCCTGGCCCGTGGATCCCCATCTACCCTCCCATCCTGCCCCAAGACAACATCATTCGAGAGCGCATAAAACCCTCGGCGTACCCCACCATCTACTCCAAAATCGTGGTCCAAGGCCTCACTCCTAACGTGCCCATTCCACTGTGTCACATGATCCCGGCCTTGGTGGAAGGGTGGAAATCCGAAGGGAACTGGCCGCCTCAACCCAGCGCCACACTCGCGCAGGACGTGAAGAAGGGGAGGAAGAGCAGCACCTTTGCCAAGTGGAGAAGGGAACAGTCCGAGGATCAGCAGAATGGCCCGGATTCCTCTCACCATCATTTTCTCCACCACGGCCATCGCGGTGGGGGCGGAGAAGTGGCAGCAGCTGTCATCAGCGGACCTAAGGATTTCTCAAATGCGCACGAAGAGGGAGCGAGAGGCCATCGCGTGCGACGGAGCATCGGCATGATGCGCAGGGTCGGGTCGTTGCTGGGAGGATCAATGAGCAGCGACGGTCTCGATGAGTTGGGGATCGAGTTCCGGGACCAGGACGAGGAGGAGATGGGGCGGAACGTGGAGCTGAATAAGGGTTTGGCTCACTGAGATTCCCAATGGCGGATGAAGAAGCCAAGAGAAGGCAAGAGATGGATGTTCGTTTGTCTCCCTTTCTCTCGCCGGGTGGGCATGGACTGGCTGGCATTCGTACCTCTCTCGTTGCCCCGTTGCGCTCGTGGCATCATCCATTGCATTCTTATGGAATAACGACGGCCCAATCTGCATTTGATAGGAAAACGGGTTATGACATGATCTGAAATGACATGACATGACACCGATATGGCACGGCACGACATGGCATGGCATACCCGTAGTGTATGGTCGGCCCGAACATGTATCTGACGACGATGGAACTCCAGGTGATAATGACGATGATGACGATGATGATGATTGATCCCTTCCTTACCTATTTTATTTCCGATACCTATACGGTGTATCTACCTACCTATCTACCTACCTTACCAACTCCGTACGTGCCTAATTACGTCCCTACGGCCCCTCTGTCTGCCCGGCGATGCATTCATTGTTGAGGCCTGAGCACGAGCATGTATGTGCAAAAAGATAGATGGATACCGCACGAGATGTCTGTGTGTGTGACCTACCTACAACGACGGAGATTTGGGAGCTTAGGAGAATTCCTAGGGATGATGTCGGATCAGGGGCGAGTGACGTCTCGTACCTGGGTCTACAGAGGTAGGTATGTCGGTAGATAGGTCGGTAGATAGGTCGATAGATAGGGAGTGAGGGAGGGAGCATCTCTGGTCTGGTCTGGCTCCAGGTCGTGTGAGTCGAGGCCGCAGTCTAAAATCTGCATATTCATCCCCCCCGCCTTTCCATCACTGTCTTCTTAGTCACTTGATACCTATTATTATGTATGTAGTTATGTAGCTACTGGACAAGTAAGTAAATGCTACGTTGATGTGCTCATCTAGGCGTTATAGTTGGGACGCGTAGAGAGATGAAATGAGAGTGGGTGGGAGTGCTGCTTGTAGTGGTTAGTATCTGCATCAGTATCAGTATCAGTTGTCAATGTGAATATCTGTCTGTCACAGGACAGGGAAAATGGATTGAGTGAGTGAGTGGATGGATGGATGGATGGATGGATGGATGGATGGATTCATTCCATAATGTCATTCATGATCCCACGCCGCAGCGCTCTCTGCTGTTTCGACGACCACGCAGTTACCCCCATTGACTGACTGACTGACTGACTGACTGACTGACCGACCAACCAACCGAGCCGTCTGATATGCATGCCTGACTGTTCACCTCCATCCATCCCAGCTCATCCCGAAAGAAACGAAAGGTCTCTACCCTACGCAGAAAGGGCTGGTTGGTGATCGTGATCCCTTTGTGTACAAATGAAAACAGGAGCACAACCTTGATTCCCGTTCTGCCTGTCGTGGAGTCTCCTCGAACGTCGTAACTTTTTTTGGTGATTGCTGATTTCCTATTTTCCAAGTGTATTTTTTCCTTCCTTCTCTAATTGTCATGAATGCTCGACTCGAGCCTTGCTCCAGGTCATGCCATCCGACTCTCTGTCCCAAGATTCTGCAAGTATCGTTGCATTTTGTCCAGCTCCTTTGCCGCGTTTGGCAACATGTATAATTTCGCCGTTACACCAGTGTTGTTGACAAGACTTTCTTGAGATTTCAGTCTCGCATCCAGTATGATGTTCATCGGTACCCCCCACCCAACCTGGCACGTCTGGCCACATAAACAATGCGCTTTCATCACTTGTCAACAGTCACTCCACGTTTCGTATGCTGGTCGTCATCATGATATCGGTAACAAAAAGAGCCAAAACAGGGCGAGATCACACGTTGCAATGGACTGAAATGACCGACTCAGCGGGAACGGAAGTGGTCTTTCGGCGGCCCAAGTCAACCCGAATTCGGGCACTGGTTCTGGTCCTGCTCAAACGTCCTGCGGAAAGTGTAAAGCAGTTGCCTAATGCAGAATCTAATGCGTCCTGGGATTTGCAAACGCTGCCCCCGGAAGTCGAGCTCGTTAAAACAATCGGCAAAAGCCAGCACTTGCAAATCCCGCACACGATCTTCAGGGGTGGCTGGCGTCGTTCTTGCAGCTTTGGTCTTCCCTGGGAACCCGGATTCGTTGCCCTCGGCACCCACAGACGAGGCGCCGTTACTCGTCTCGCCGTCATCGGTTAGCTCAAGGTCCCTCGACTCTGCATTGCCATTGAACAGGGCGTTCGCCTCTGATGCAACCTCGTCCTGGTCGCCGGCAGTTTCGTGTTCTCCAGAAGGTGGCTTGTCGTCCTGGCACGACGTGTCACGCTTTTCGAAGGCCCTGGCACACGCTCTCACCGTCTGTCGTTCCCTTGCTGTCAATGGCGGCTGCCACTGGCGCATGTTTACCTCTGGGATGTCTGCCCTCTCATGCGGGTCTATGGCCTGCCACTTGTAGTGGAACAGACCATCCTCCACTTCTGGAGCAGCTTCCTTCCAGGCACAATGGCCGGGTACACATCTGTATTGGAGGATTTTGGCGAGGAGGGAGCGAGAAATACCGCCGCTCAATTTGATAAGGGACAAGTTCGGAGCACAGAATTCAGTGATGATGGTTGATGGAAGGTCTTTGGGCGCGATGCCTGCCAGCTCTGCACTTTTCTTGTGGATAAACTTCCAGATAACATCAAGATCGGTGCCGGGTGGACCAGGGTTGGAGAGTGGCATCTTTCCACGCTGAACGACGAGCTCGAGTTCCGGTCCCAGTCCCTGGAACACGGGGGCGCAGCGGGTTATGGCAGCGGAGGTTTCCAGGGCAGCAGCAGCCAGTCTGTATGAGCAGCAAAATTTGAAATTGATCTCACGGAGAGCTGGCATCTTGTTGACCAGCAGTCTGGTGGCGAGGACCAAGCCCCACGCAGGCCCGTCCTTGCAGCAAATGTCGATGGTTCGCGGCGAGCTGCTCAGTCTCTGGCTCTGATCCCATTTCGGCAAGCAACTTTGGAGATTCTCCCATTCCATACCGAACGTGTTGTGTAAATAGAGGATCGGAGAAGCTTCGTTTTTGAATTTCTTCGATACGGTGAAAGCATGGACGGGGATGACGGGTTCGGCGTCCGGGGCACGGTTGTTGACACGCCGCAGTCTGAGTCTGCCGTCGTGGTCGAGCTTGAGATGGAACATTCTGGAGTGACTGTAGAGCATTTCGTAGATTTCCAGGCGCACTTCGTACGGAAAGTCAAAGAATGAGCGTTCCTCAGGCGCAGACACCGGCGCAATCTCGAGACCTGTGGGCGCAGTCCCTGGCCCGTCGCTAGAAGGAGGCGCCATGGGGGAAAAGGAGACACAAGGCTGAGGATCTGTCGGTTGTCTAACAAGGGACGGGGTCGTGAGAAGTCGTGGGGCAGATTTGAGGTGAGTTGAAGAAAAGAGGAAGTGTTCAGGCACGGTGAAAGTGAGGCCTGCGGTGTTGTTGACCACTTTGGGCAGTGAAGTTTGCCATATTAGTAAATGTTTGGTCGCGTGTCGACAGATTGTGCCAGACCCCGAGCACATCCGTAGTCAGCCCAGGATTCTAGTATCCTGTCACATTTGATATTTGTCTTTCGTATCTGTGCGTGGAGATAGGAACCCAGAGGCTGAGCCGGGAAGAGTTGATGGGGTTTTCATTCCTCTAGATAGAGAGACCGGGCGATGGTGGATCTGAGGCGAATTCGATCAAAGCGCCCTCCCTCAGGCTGTGGTGAGGGCGCAGGTGCCGGGCATGTGGCCAGTATCTATACGAGGCAGACACGCAGTCACACAACTCTTTATCGACAACAGTGCCGTGCTGCTGCTGCTGCCGCGGCCGCCGCTGCTGTTGCAGCCTCAGAGCAACGCGACACATTGAGTGGGCGAGGATTATGATCGTCGGTAAACGGCCAACGGCGAGACAGGTCGCTAGTACAACACGCCTGATCCACCGTAGAAAATCAGTCCCTCGAAGAGACAGAAGTCCTTGACATCATGACTCTGGTCTGGCAACTGAAGAAAGGGTCGTCGGTGACGGTGATTCTGTTTGTCACTCAATGTCACTCTACAAGTGAATCGCAGCACCACGCACCTGGCCTGAAAGAACCAGGTGATTGAAGCCAGAGCACCGTCCTCCAACTGCGGTTCCATGCAGTGCGCCTTCTGGAACACCCCCTTTCCTTCCATTCTTCACGGACCGCCACTCCCGTTCGAGTGGACTTGATACGGACATGTCAAAGCGCGTTTCGGCAGCTACTTCGGGGGTACGACGAGTGACCAGGAGTAGTACTACTACGTCTGCGTCAACAAGAGGAAACAGTGCACAAATCAAGAAGGAAGAACACGACCAAACTGCCAAGGCCGTCAAGCAAGAGCAGGAAACCCCCAAGAAGAAGCGCCCTGCAGCATACTCAGAAGAGACACCTGCCAGGAAGAGGGTCAAGAAGGAGGAAGACACTGGTTTGATCAGCCCAACGCCGTCTGATGATGCATCTGCTTCGACCTCTTCTCCAAAGAGAGTCAAGCCCAAGAAGTCAGGACCCTCCGATCTGAAGGCGAAGAAACTCAAGTCCTATGCCCAATTTGCCAACCAATCTCCATTCCCTGACTTTCACCATCCGACACCTGAAGAATGCAAGGTCGCCCACAAAATCCTCGCCTCCCTCCACGGTCCTCGAATCCGTCCCAAAGAAGTGGTTGCGTCGACGACGCGGGCAGGATGCGGTGACTCGCCCACTGTCCTCGACGCCCTGGTCCGCACCATTCTCTCTCAAAATACAAGTGACGTCAATTCCACGAGGGCCAAGAAGAGTATGGACAAGGTATATGGGGGAAGTGATAAATGGGACGCCATTGTGGCCGGAGGTCAAGCGAAGCTGCAAGAAGCCATCAAATGCGGCGGGCTCAGTGCGGTCAAGAGCAAAGTCATTATGAGCATCTTGAAGCAGACGCACGAAAAGTATGGCAAGTATTCTCTAGACCATTTACACCATGCATCCAGTGAAGAAGCCATGCAGGAGATGTTGTCCTTTCAGGGCGTGGGCCCCAAGACGGCCAGCTGTGTGCTGCTGTTCTGTCTGCAACGTGAGAGCTTTGCAGTAGACACGCATGTGTGGCGCATTACGGGCTTGTTGGGATGGCGACCTAAGAATGCCACGAGAGATGAGACGCACGCACATTTGGACGTCATGATCCCGGACGAGGACAAGTATGGGCTGCACATCTTACTGGTCACGCACGGAAAACGGTGCGAGGAATGTCGGGCCGGAGGCAAAAATCTGGGCAAATGTGAATTGAGAAAGGCCTTTCGGCAGAAAAAGATGGCGGGCGAGGCAGGAGAAGTAGCCCAGCAAGAGGAGAAGGCGGCAGTCAAGAAAGAGGAGGCATCGTGATGAGCTGTTGTATACCTGTACGAGGTACTCGTTGGTACCCATGTAACAACATTAACTTTCTCACCCACAAAATGTACCTACGAGTAGGGAATAGTTGGACCGTTGCTGTGGCTGGAGCAAGGTTGAGAGCTGTACGTAAAATGATGATGCTGGTGGCATTTTTGCATTTGTGTGTTTTTGCGGGGGAGTAAAGCATCTGGAGCAGAGCTCGACGGTTGTTTCTTCCTGTTACTATGGAAGCCCGAGCCTTTGACTGGAATGTGGCTGAAATGGTAATTTGTGATAGCACCCAGATCAACAAATTGCACATCTTCGACGTCGATCGATACAATAGCCACAGAGAGTGTCGCGTGCGAAATAAAAAGTGACGAGCAATTTGGAGGCACCAATCAAGCGACATGATTTCGACCTCGATTTGAATTTAGGCGACGTAATAGATTTGCAGGTGTCAGGGCACCAGAAGAAATAGTTTCATGCTAGTTGGGCCCAAGATCTCGGGCTAGAGAGAGATGGACTTGACTGTGGGGCGGCCCGACAGAACTACGAGGAGGTTGTAGACATGCGTATGTAGGTACCTATGTAGAAGATGAAAAGTGCAGCAAGAGAGGAATGTGTATGTACCCAATACAAAGTACTCGTTGTGGGACGGCTGCAAGTAATAATGCAGGGAACATGTTGGCTGTGTACCGAATCCTACGTACCGACTTCGGAGAATTCTGCATCAACCAGCGTGTCACCAGGGCTGCAGATATAACCGCAGGGATTCGGTAGAGATGAGGGTTGCACTGAGTTCCCCGTAATTTGTGGGCTCATCCAGCACTTGGAAGCCTTCTGGATCATGCATGCACACTGCACAGAGACGAGGACCCAACGAAGGATGGAGGAGGCACACCTCTCTCTCCCCCTCAGCCCATTGAGCCTCTCAGCTTCTCTTCTTCAGCTTCTTGCCTCCAACAATGCCCGCCATGTCCAGTACGAACAGTCAGACTGGGCATCTCAGACACGCCGTTGGTCGAGTGTCGGATTGCAAACCCAGCCCCTGACTCCAGCTCCAAGACACCAAAAGCAGAGAGACCTGCCAGTATTTAGTGTCGATTAGTCCCCATTGGAGGTGCAGCCGTGGTGGCCCGTAGCTTAGGACCCTAGAACTCCCTTGCCACTCACCCAATGACAGGGCCTGCCCTGGACATCTGGGTTTCGGGAGGCTTGTTCGGCTCCCAGGCTGGGCGACGGGCCAGGGGGCACTATAGGCTGGCTACGCAAAAATAACCAGGGGGGGAAGAAGCATGGTCCACTGTCTGTTCCCTCGTACTTATCGTATGCAGGTCACTCTTGTTTTGGGGGACAGACCTAGTTCCGTTTGGTTGTGTTTCTCTCTTTGCTTGCCTGCCAACACCCCCCGGTTGGAGTTGCATGGCTTGCACATCACCCTCGGGGTGTACTACTCGGAGTGGTATTAGTTGATGATCTTCCAAACCGGGGGTGGCCCAGAAGTGTCTGCATGTGTCGTGTCTGCCACCTGCACCTAAAAAAGTTCGCATACTCTGTACAGTCTTCCCCCCATCGACGGCCCGCCTGCAGTCGGCCACAGCACACCACCACCACCCACACACCACTGCAAGACTGCGATCTTTTTCCCTGCCTGCGTCTTACATCCAGCCTGCATCTCCTCTTTTCATCATCTCAATTCACCACACCCCGTACATACCAACACTCGCTTTCTCATTCAACTTTTCTACACACTCTCGTTACCATCACAGTCATTCGCTTCGTAATAACACAGCCTGCGACTTGGACCAGTCGTGGTGTGGGCTATTGTTGGCTGTCACCGTCATCATTTTATTCTGGGCGACATTCGGTCACAACATCCTACTCCGTCTTTTATCCTCCATCAGCTGCAACCTCCTTTGCGCCAGCCCCCAGACTCTCGTTTTGTCGGACCTGAACCCCAGCTGTGACCATAGCCACCCTGCGATCCACCTGGTTACCCTGCATTTGTGTTTGTCCGATTCTCCAGACCTTCGATCCATGCCCTCACTTCGCCTCGTCTCCGACGCAGTCCATCAACGAAAAGGCAACATACAACCGCCGTTGCCACCCGTCTGAGAAACACAATTCATTCCGCTGGTCAAGGCGCCATCCAGCAGCGATGGCCCGTCCCAATTTTATTGAGCTGCCCCCCGAAAACCCTCGCTCGGCCAGCGCGCTGTCACGAAATGCACTGTCCCCCCGGATCCAACACTTCGACGGCGATGTCCCCCCGGCACTGTCACCGCTGGACGCCATTGCTGCCCGCAGTCGCAAATTGGCCAAAGAGTTGGAGGAAACGAGGAAAGCGGGCGAGCGACGCATGAGCAGACTCCCGCCGCAAGTGGTGACGGAATCCCTCACCGAACATCAAAACAATCGTCCTCCGATATTTCGAGCCTTGTCGGACAATCTTGACACGGTCCCTCCTCTGCCAACATGGGACAAGGAACGCGGCGGTAGTTTCGCTCGGGTTGCTCATCCTCTGAGCAGGCCTTCCTCCCAACGTGTTCACGTGAGTGACATTGTCAAGTCGGAGGTGGACTCAGAAAGCAAAGAGCCCCCTCCGATGCAGGATTACTTTGGCGCCCCTCGAGTGGAATCTCCTCCGCCCATGGAACCCAAGAGACCGTCGTCGTCGTCTCACAGCGTGGGCAGTCCTTCTCTGCATCCTCAACCCGGGCTTTCGAGACAAGTCTCGGGCACCTCTCAATCAGACTTCAGCGCGACACTGGCGCCTCCACGATCGTTCTCGAACAGACTTCGACCGTACCACGATGCTTCAGACGACGACTATACCAGTTCCAATGCCGGTTCGACCTTTTCGCAGTCGAGGAAGCTTTCGTCCAGCAGCGGCGTCTCTGCTCCCCATTCTCCGATTTCCCCCTACGCACAGTCTCATACCCGATCACCCTCCAACACTTCGCTCGGATCTCCCACCCACAAGATCCCGACACGGAATTTCTCCCGACCTCTGAGTTCGGTCAGCATGAGCAATCTCAAGGACAACAAAAGCCCGACCAAGGCCACATTTGCAAACCGGATGAGCCAGCTTCGCGCTTCGAATTCCTTTGACAGTTCTGCATCACCGATCGATGGCTATCTCGCGGGAGAAGCATCTTCATACACACACGCGACCTACAGCCTCCCCCGAGGCCGACTGGTCTCTGATCGGACATCTGGGCTCTTCTTGGGCCTCTCCACACCACATTTTGAGTGGCAAGAACCGATGTTCCCATGTACGCCTCCTTTGGAAGCGAAAAATAGCACTGAGCTGCCCATCCCGTCTCCCATCGCTTCGGCTCGGCCCAGCAGAGAAGACCAACACCATCCCAGGTCGGGCCCGTCTTTTGAACTCAACACTGAGCACCTTCCGACCACCACAGACCGTGCCACCCATCCAACAGCACATTACACGCCAACAGGGTCTCTCAGATCCAATGACTCTTCTAGCTCAAGACCTTCAGTTGGCCAGATATATCCTCCCGCCTCTGCATTCATGGCGCCCCCTGTGCCGTTGTCACCTGTGGAAGAGGCATCACACTCCTCGCGGTCGACGAGCACAGTTCGCCCAACCACGAGCCGGTCGACCAGCAATTACCAAGGCCTCTCCATGGACGAGCACGTCACCAAGGCCATTGAGCTCCATCAACAAGGTGAATTGAAAGAATCGACCTATCATCTGCGCATCGCGGCCAACAAGGGACATCCCACCGGAATGCTCCTGTACGCCCTTGCGTGCCGTCACGGGTGGGGCATGCGAGCCAATCCGCGAGAAGGCGTCCAGTGGCTTCGCAAGGCGGTCGACCACGCCATGCTCGAGATTGCGGACGACGAAGACCCTGCGAGCCAGAGGCCTGGTGTTGATTTCAATGAGAGGAAGGCACATCGGGCTCAGTTTGCGCTGAGCATCTACGAACTCGGGGTGTCGCATCTCAACGGCTGGGGTATCGAGCAAGACAAGGCGCTCGCTCTCCGCTGCTTTGAGATCGCCGGTAACTGGGGTGACACCGATGCTTTGACCGAAGCTGGCTTTTGCTATGCAGAAGGCATTGGATGCAAGAAAGACCTGAAGAAGGCGGCCAAGTTTTACCGGAGGGCTGAGGCCAAGGGTGTCAGTATGGTGGGGAATAGCTGGTCAGTGTTGATGCTACGTGTCGGGGGACTGTTTCGTTGCTAACCAGACGCAGGATCTATAAGGACAAATACAACGACTCGGAGGACGAGACCGAGGATCGATCGCGGTCCTCCCGAAAGACGTCGGGCGAGAAGCTACGCAGCAAGTCCAAATCTCGCGGGATCTTTGGACGTAAGAAGACATCTTCCTGAAGGCGGGGGGAGGTGTCACCATGATAATGTCTCTGGCTGGACTTGGACATATTGTTCTAGCAGTGTTCCGGAAACCCACTACTCTATATTTGCTCTGGAAGCTCAAAATTTGACGATCACCTGTGAAGGCCTTTTTTGCCGTTGATGGCTCATGTATTACGAATGCCGATTTATACAGTATATCCACGGGCATGGCCTATGGGCCTTGACTTCGCGCTCTATACGAGAGTTTTGTTGCGGTGTCAGGATACGATACCAGCACCACTTGATCAGGACTTTTTAATGAATAACTTCGACCATCTGTTTGCGTTTTCTTTTTCTTTTTCTTTTTCTTTTTCTTCTTTTTATATCCTCGCTCCGTTCCTGTTGGAGTCATCCGCCAATGCAGGATGGCTATTGGCCAGTCCGGTCAGGGGCTTTTGGCGATGCATATTATCTTAATGACTAACAAACACGCCTTTTGCCGCCATCCATTGATTGCATCGCCACCATCTGCCTGTCTGTTAAATGTGAGGGTGCGGACGTCTCCCTTTTCTTCTTCATTCTTTCCTCTTCTTTTTGTGGTTGTGATATAGACGACGTTGGCCAAAAGGGAAAAAAAAAGGAAAGAAAGAACTGAGAATTGCGAACTGCAGGCAAGACAGCTTCGGGGATCTCGACCACCAACCACAGGATGATCAGTCACAGTCACCCTCCTCAGCCCCTGGTGAAGAATGGTCACGAAGAGTCCCGGGTCCCACAGACGATGGACATGGAAACAGGAACGGGCACAGAAATGATGGGAAGACCTGTCCGGTCCTCGGTCCTCTCGCCACAGCAGATGCCCGCCCTGCTGGCCCGGCTCGAGACTCTCCTGCCTTTCTCCATTCCGCTGCTGCGACGCATCCAGTTCCACCTGCATAGTCACCAGCCCGTGTCGGCGTCGGCGAGGGTGTTTGTCGCTGTTGCTGGTACCTCTAGTGATGATGATGGTGGTGACGATACAGCGTATGTGGATCGCTGGCTAAGAGGGTCTTCTTCGAGAGCACAGGATGAGAAGATGCCGATCGGGAAAGAAGGAGAAGAATTACCGCCAGCAGAGCTCGAAGAGTCACAGCAGCCCTGGATCGCTGCATACATCGACTTGGCAAACCCAGGCCAATGCCAGGTGTGGATGTTCGCCAGCTGGGAGGCCGATGCACGGTATCCATTCCCGTCGTCCTTAGCAGCAGGCTCAAGCACAGCTTCAGATTCGACATCGCAGTCCCCATCGTCATCTTCATCACCTGACTCTCTTCCTCCCTCTTCTTCTGCTGCTACTACTACACCCGCCATCCACGGCGCCCTCATGCATGCACTCTTTACATACATCCGGACACACCTGGTGCCGCTACTCCCGACCTCCCCCCCACCCTCATGGCTCGAGCTGCTGCGCACGGGCAAGTACCTGACGACGCCGTACTCGCGCAACAAGGTGCTGTTCGGCACCGTTAGCGAGAAGCTGTGGCGGTATTTCCCGCTCGACGCCCGGGCCCGGACCGACGACGGGTATTGGAAGTATTTGTTCCGGGTTGGCCAGCAGCAGGAGGAGGAGGAGGGAGGATCACTATCGTCGATGTCAAATTCAATATCAAAGTTAACCCTATTGACAGACCTCCCACCCATTCTCCCATCCTCCCCCTCAACCACCTCTACCACCCACCTCCCACCGGGTTACCAATTCGGCCCCCTCCGCGCCTCGCATCTGCAGACGGTGGTGGACCGTACGCCTGTGCCGCGTACGCTGGATACGCTTCGCGAGTTCGTGTCGGTGGGCGTGTTCCACCACCATGGGCACGGCGGAAACGACAACGGGTCTGAACACCAGCAGCAGCAGCCCGACCGCGACCACGCTGCCGCCGCCGCCATCGGGTGGGGCTTTCTGGGCAAGGACGCCAGTCTGTCTAGCCTGCACACCGAGCCCGAGCACCGCGGCAAGGGCCTGGCCGTGACCTTGGGTCGCGAGCTCTTGCGCCGTCAGCATGTGGTGTCGCCGTCTAAGGCGGCGGCAAAGGTTGAGGTAGAAGGGCAGGCGGAAAAGGAAATGCCTAAGGATGGGTATGGCAGAAATGGACAGGTATATCGTGAAAATGCATTGAACACTACCACCACTAGTACCACCCCTCGGGGCTATTACACCTGGGCGCACGCCGACGTGTCCCAATCCAACACGGCGAGCCGGCGGGTGATGGAGAAGCTAGGCGGCAAGCCCCTGTGGATGGTCATGTGGACCGAGGTGGACATTGAAAAGGTCCTGTCATCGTCATCGTCGTCACCGTCGCCGTCGTCGTGATTACGGTCTCGGTCCCGGTCCTCGGTCCCTGCTGCTGCTGCGACTGATTCTGCTCTTGGCCCCCTATTTCCTTTGAGCTCCACCTCGCCTGCTGTCTGTCCGTCTGTGCGCTTCCAAGCGCCTTGTCTGGCCGAAAGAGTCTCAAGGCCAAACGCTTGGAAGGTGGGTAGGACATTCTATGCGAGATGCCAGGTGCTATCTGTGGCACAACAAACCAAAGGCCAGATCCGGAGGCAATGCCAAAGTCCAATTCGAGGTCAAGGTCAACTCCAAAGTCAAAGTCAAAGTCAAAGCGGCGGTCGTGGTAGCCCCCAGCGTCCATGGTGATATAGATCAAGGTTGTTGGTTGGATAGATAAGATGCAATGAGATTAGATACGGTACGGTACGAGACGAGATGATATACATGAAGCAATAGACATACCTAAATCGAAGATAGATAAAAAGTCAATCATATCAATCAATCAATCAACTAGTTAATCACTCGACTAGCTCAATATATATCTCTTCACTTAAAATAGACGGATGGCTGGCTTGCTGGCTTGCTGGCAAGGTGAGAGAGCATTGACGGCAACATTCTCGTACAGTATTTCGACGGTTAGATACCCTGCTTGGGGGATTCCTGCACCGCCACTAAACGGTGGTTGACTCTGTGAGGAGTTTTTTTGGAAACAAGGGGTACCGACTTTCTGAGTTGTGGCGCTATGCTAGCCCTCGAACCGGTCAGGAATAAAGAACGGGACAAGCCAGCGTATATGATTGGAACAACCCTGTTAGTCACCGAGTCCCAAATTTCCTGGAATAGCGAGCGCTTGACCACCGTATTGCAAGGCTCTTCGATCCCATCAGGCCATGTCAACTTCTCTTCTGCCCTGTCACCAAGCCTACCCTCCGGCTTTCGAGGGTGGTCGCCAGAACGGTCACTGCACAGGCAAAAACTATGACCAGCCTCTCGACCGGTGAGGCATTTAATGGTTTGAAGCTCTGTGCGACCCAGACCGTAGAGTCTCTCGCCCGGTGGTGTGGGAGGATCAACCAATGATCAACCTTTGAGGCTTCCTGGCTCCCCGTAGGTGTTGCTGCCTGTGAGATGGTAGGCTCTCGATGATCGATAACAGCCACCCTGCAGTGACATAATAGGCACGGACCCTGGAAACCGATCATCAGCTTCTAGATGCATACGGGAGGGCGCGAGAGTCATGATTGGCATGTCTATTGGTCCTCCTCGTACTGCATGTCGAGCATATCATCTCCTCTTTCGACGTGCCTCCCTGGTCACAGTCCGTGCTGCATCGCCCAATGGCTTCGTAATCTCCTCTTCTCGCCGTTCATCCACAGCTCCCGATGCAAGCAATTCTTGTGCGTTTGGCTCCAGCCTCAGGAATTCTCGAATTGTCCAGTCAAAGACGTTGTCGTATTCGAACCCTTGTCGGTGAAACAGCTTGTTGAACATGTTTCGCAGGTGCTGATAGTCCGGCTGATCCTCGTCGCGCAAGTTACGGACATAATTCATGTAGTCCTCAAACTCGGTTGGTAGACCTGCACAAAGTTCGTGTGTACTGATTGTCTGCTTCTTCTCCAAAACCAGCAGATATTTAGCATCCCGCTTCGCCTTGAGGCCTTGCCACGGAAGTCTCCCCCGCATGAAATACACCAGCATATAGCCTAGTGCCTCCAAGTCATCACGTCGGGATTGCGCTGGGGGGGCAGTCAGTCGACCTTCTTGCATGTTTGAGCACAGTGGGCGTGTCACCTACCAACACCCAAATGGCCGTTGATACTCGCATACCTGCAGGTGCCTAATAGTTGAGGAGGTCGCGCTGTCACATTACGAGCAGGAATGTCCCTGCTCCAGTAATCGGGATGACGGTAGATTGCAAGGCCTAGGTCGGTCATGTAGACGACATTCCCTCGCTCACCGATGCCCAGAAGGAAATTTTCAGGCTTGATATCCCGGTGAAGAAAATCGTTTGAATGAAGGGTCTCAAAACGATGAAGTAATTGGTCAGTGAGCATCAGCGTCGTCTTCAACGAGAACTGGTTGCCACAGTACTGGAACAAGTCTTCCAAGTTCGGCCCGAGCAGCTCGAAAACTAAAACCATAAAGTCATCTCGTTGCCCGTGCCAATACACCTGAGGAAAGCCCGGGTTTCCAGCCAGGGTTTCATAGATTCGCGCTTCTTCTTCAACTAAAGATGGAGCAACGCTGTGATGTTCGAATTTCATGGCGACTTCGTTGCCGGTCTCAGCATCACGGCCTATTGAAATGTCAGATCTCGTGTCAAGCTGTTAGATGGGGGTCATACCTAGATACACATTTCCAAAAGAACCAGATCCCAGTTTTCGCACCAAGTGATATCTGCCGCCGATGGCTATGTCCTGCACACGCCGCACGAAGCTGTCCATGCTGTGGTTGATTGTGCTTTGCAGTCACCAACTCGCGTGATGGCTTTAGTAGTAATTCCTCTCGCGCTCGCTACACGTCGACGTCAACCTTGGGGCCAGTGGGGCCCATGGTTGCCTAATTACTCCGCGTCAGCCTAGTGAGCCACGTGAGGCTGGCACGCTAATATGTATTACGAGGTACTTGTAACACCTCTCGCCGGCCTCTGGTGGTCCAACTAAACATTCCTTAGCGCCCGACGCCTGAAGTCGTGTGTCGACCTCCACCCAACGCAGATGGCATCCAGATGGTATTTTGGCCAGAATTCACACCTCCCCCTGCAACATGCGGCCGTGGCCAACCTGCCGCGCTAGATTGCGTCCTTCGTTGAGGCCATATCCGCCCACATTTACCCTCCAGTCTCCCTCTCTTCCACCCTCATGTTCGCCCTGGAAGAGCCTAAGTCGAGAAAGCGACTACGGTCCTCGCACGAGTCTGCGGATCTCGAGCCGCAGCAGGTAGCAAAGAAGCCAAAACTTCCTTCCGAGGAGAGCTGCGTTCAGCCGCACCATCGGCCTTCCAGCTTCTGGGACACGTTGTCCAGGATTCATCTGAGTCGTACCGCTCTCCGGGAGTTTGACCGCAGGAACATTCAAGAGACGGGTCAGCGGACTTGCATACCAACACCAAAGGTCGGAGATCCTAGAGGCCGAGCTCGCCTACTACTCAAGAGGTTTGCTCGTCGTGGTGGGCCTGACTTATCACACCTTCGAGGGGTACGTTTGCGCCGGGCGGATATGGGAACGGGAACATGAAGACTAACCTGAGATTGGACAGTTTACCAGCATACCTCCTCCGGTCGTCGACGCAATGAGCGATTATATCGGTTCTTCAAGCCGGAAACGGTCTTCGACCTCGTCGAGAACCAGTGACTCCAATAAGACGGCCCCTACCAAGACCACCCCGTACAGTGGTAATTTTGAGCAAAAACTGATTGACACTGGCGTCTATCCCGAAGAATACGAACATCCCGATGGACGTCTAGCGCCTGAACCGGTGAATATGAGCGATATCCAGGCCGCACAACGCGTCCCTCGGGCATCTCTCTCTCCATCGCGATTTACAGATGAAGACTTCAGAGCTTTCAAGCGGGCAAATGCAAGAGCAAAAGGAGAGACTACTGGAATGTATAATGTACTCCCTTTCATTGCCGGAAATGAGGTAACCCATTGTTTCGAGATGGGCCTGCCAATGGGCAACCTAAAAGCGTTCGATAAGGGTCTCAGCGACCCTAAACCCGACATCTATTACGGAGCGGCACTCTCGACTATCCATCCGCGGGTTCGTGCTGACTTAGGACAATATATTATCCCATCGACGGTCGACACGACTCGTCCTGCCGCTCCGAATTTCTTCGTCGAGGGTAAGAGCACTCAAGGGCGAGCGGATGTGGCAAAGAGACAAGTCCTGATTGATGGAGCAATCGGAGCTCGAGCCATGCACGAACTCCAGAATTACAAAGCTGAGGAGCCGAAATATGATAATAAGGCGCGCAGCTTTTCCGCTACCTACCAAGATGGCTATCTTCAGCTTTACGCACACCACCTCACACAGCCTCTCACTCCTGGAGGGGAGCCAGAGTATCATATGACTCAGACAGAGTCATTTGCGATGAAGAGCAGCAAAGACGCATTCGTAAGAGGCGCAACGGCCTACCGCAGCAATCGAGACCTAGCGAAGACAGAGCGGGACAGCTCCATTGCCCATGCCAACCAGGTGGCTCGCCAGATGCCTGCGCCCAGCCGCAACACAAGTTTGACGGACAGTCGCACATCCCAGTCGACGGTCGTTCTTACCGGGTCTGACAGCTCCGAAGACGAGCTGGCTCGCGACGAAGTGACTCCGGTTAAGCGCTTGAGACCCAGTGGTCGATTACCAGAGCACCCTTGAATTCGACACAGGATACCACCTCGGCATCCAGACGCAGAGGACGGACTTCTGCGGACGGAAGCATATTGAGGTTTTCAACTACCCACATACAGAATGGAACGGACCGATCTTCAATGGAGAGACCTTCAGGCCTCTCCAGGCAATCTCAAAGCATGCAGGGCTCGAGACCAGGTCGCCAAACCCGTCCAATTGCTTGAGGTTACTTCAGAGCGGATGCGCTCTGAAGATGAGTGGGGCTGGTGTGTCGAGCACCAGGGCAAGTCAATCTTTGTGGCAGATTCGCAATAGACCGATTGCGAGAAGGATGGACGGCCGACTCTCTACTGCGCTCGTCTCAACGTTTGTACGTATCGGCCCAATGGAAACAGGCGTCGGTGAAGCACTGAGAATTCTGGGGAGACGGGAAAGCGTTGGCGTCGGATATCTTAGCATTGTTCCACGTATTTACGTCTATGTCTCCTGGACGTTCTGCCATTGATACCCTTGATAGCAAATCTAACGCATGTTTCTGATTTACTTACGTCCGGAGTATCTTCGAGTTCCACCTCCACAAGTCATCGGTTCCCATCTCTTGGCCACGAATATTGGAATACAATTTTCATCGCGAGTTGTGATGGAAAAATGCCTTATTCACATCGCGGCTGGAAACCCTTTGAGACGCACCTTGCGATAGTCGATGTCCACACAAAGGAACTTATATATATATATATATATATACGTATTGTGTTGGCACTTCATTCAGTCAAACCAGCTGCCAGGGCTCTCCTCAAAGCAGCGTCGACTCTAGTCTCGATCTCTCTCGCCTGACATCAACTTGCAAGAACCTTACAATCTCACAATTGAGGGATGAACTTCAACCGCAATCTCCAAGCTTGCATTGTGGCAGAGTGAACTATGAAATTTCAAGTTACCCAAATTGTGCACCGAAAATCTCTCCAGCACGAGCAACATCAGCAGAAGTGCTACGTTTTCCTCCTTGGCATTATGGTCGTTGTCTTCAGGACATGCACAATTTGCAGTCCCCTGCCTCACAGGGACCAAGCGCATTTCACCATGTGCGAATCTAGGGCTCAAGCGGCAGTCGTTCTCTTATCAAAAGCATACTGATTTATCTCGACGCTGATATGCTGGCATCAGCAGATAGGAAAAGAGAAGGTCGCGGAATCCGAAACGCATTCCGGCTCCGACCATTGATCATTACCGTGAGTGGCCCAGATTGGGTCGTATATACCTTCACTCCCCTCATAGTGAGGAAACACTTTCGTCGGGCTGGTAAACATCTTCCCATAGGTTCTCCTCTTCGAAGTCATGGAGAAAATAGTTGCAGAGCCGGTCTTTGCGGATATGAAGGACAACGACAGCGAGCAAGTCGAAGAGCACGGAGACATATTGACAGGCGAACTCAGGCTCAACCATGGAGGTAGAGGTGCTACTCACCGAGGCCTACGCAACTACCAGGTCAACATGATTGGCTTCTGCGGTGGCATAGGCGTCGGTCTCTTCGTCGGCACTGGAGCAGCTTACGCGAAAGCTGGGCCAGCAGGTCTCTTCCTCGCATACGTTATCGTTGGTTCAGTCCTGTGGTGCACAATTCAGAGTATTGCAGAAATCGCAGCCCTGTTCCCGGTGGCTGGAAGTTTTCCTCATTGGGCGACAAGATTCATCGACCCAGCCGTTGGATTCTCTCTTGCACTGTCATACGGCTATTGTCGAATGATTTCAATTGCCTCTGAGGTCTCAGCAGCCGCTATTGTCGTGTCGTACTGGACCGACATCACCCCTGCCGTGGTCATCTCGGTCGGACTGGCTCTCATTCTTGCAGTCAACCTCATGCCTGTCCGTTGGTACGGGGAGACCGAGGTCTTCGGTGGTGCCGTCAAGGTCACTTGCTTCATTGGACTCATCTTCACCGCAATCGTTATTACTGCAGGCGGCACAGGGAAACCTGCGATTGGATTTCGATACTGGAACAATCCTGGCCCATGGACCGACTATGCTGGTATTACTGGACCTACTGGTCACTTCCTCGGCTTCTTGTCTGCCTTTGTCAATGCAGCATTCAGCTTCATCGGTATCGAGACCTTTGTCGTCGCCTCCGCTGAGTCTGTCAACCCTCACAGAGCCATCCCAAAAGCCGCTCGCAACGTCAGCATCCGCATTGCCTTCTTTTATATTACTGGGGCCTTCCTCATTGGTCTCATTGTCGACCCAAGGAACCCTGATCTTATCTCAGGCAGTGGCAATGCCAACAGTTCTCCATGGGTCATCGCTATCAAGGAGGCTGGCATTACTGCTTTGCCGTCCATCGTCAATGCATGCATTCTTATCTCCGCTTGGTCGGCTGGCAACTCGTATTGTTGGGTTGGGAGTCGAATACTCGTGGCTATGACCACCGATCGACAGCTTCCTCAGATCTTCGGCCGCGTGAACACTAGGGGAGTGCCCTATTTAGCTGTCGTTGTTGCATGGCTATTTGGACCTCTTGCTTATCTCAGTATGTCACCGTGATCCAATACGCATGATTTCGCTAACGACGGGAGGTCTCGGTAGTGGTGGCGCATCTCTGGCATTTGGATGGTTCCAGAACCTGTCCACTCTTGCTGGTCTCATTGCCTGGGCAGTGATGTGTTTCACATACATCCGCTTCTATGCCGCGGTCAAGGCTCAAGGCCTTGATAGGTCGACCTTCCCCATGAAGTCCATGTTCCAGCCCTTCCTCGCATGGTGGGGATTTATCGGCGCCACGGTTATTGCACTCATCACCGGATTTCCAGTATTTTTGAAAGGCCATTGGAATACCTCCGACTTCGTTGCATCGTACATTGGCATTCCGATATTCTTCGTGCCTCTGTTTGCCTGGAAGTTCAGCAACAAAACAAAGGTCAGTGAACCGTGAAGACACCTTCTCTGTGGCATACGCTGATAGAAGACAGTGGGTTCGAGCATCTGAGGTTGATCTTTGGGTCGGACGCCTCGTGGAAGGCGAGATCGTCGATCCGCCTCAGCCGACGAGTCGCTTTGACAGGCTCGTTGAAATGATTATCTAGAGCGTGTGCTTCCCTGTTGACAGGCCAGGCAATGCCCGCGTGAGAGATGTATGCCTGTCCATTCTTGCTCGCGTGTAGCACTAAATACATTGTGTGATGTCCTGCATATCTGATAACTACGTGTTCACAATGTGACCGAACTGTCATATGGTCGAGGCATAAGTCACACGACCAGCCTCTATTCGCCCCAGGTGAGGCCACGTACTGTAATGCCGATCAACGGAGCTGCAACCCTACGCCGTGTGGAAGTGGAATCGCACCGGATTCCGGAATACGTTTTCATTCCGTACTTTTTGGTACTACAAAGACCACCAAAGCTTACAATGACGGTCGGACATTGTAGACGAAATCAGCAAAGGCATCTTCAACCATGAAGCCATCCGGTCAGATCGTCATCATCGGCGCTGGTGTTTTCGGCTTGACGACGGCTCTGCAACTGGCGAGAGAAGGACACGAACACATAGTTGTTCTGGACCGCCATACTCCTCCTGTAAGTGAGCACTATACCGGCATCTAGTGTATATACTGACCATAAACAGGTGCCCGATGGATCAAGTTGCGACATCTCTCGCGTCGTCCGCTTCGATTATGCGGACAGTGACTACGTGAGGATTGCCCACGAAGCGTATCTGAAATGGTCGCGGGACCCTCGATATAAAGGCATCTTCCATCCAGCAACCTACATCCTGGCTATGGACAAGACCAAGTCGGGAGGAGCGTGGCTGAACGATGTCAAGACCGCCTTGACTCGAGAACAGTTGCCGATCGAGGCGCTCGAAACTGCAGCGAAGGCCAAAAAGCTCAATCCCACCTTGAGTGGCGACCTTGCCGACAACTTCACGGGTTATCAAAATCGTCAGGCAGGGTGGGCGGACGCCAGCAAGGCGGTGACGCAGCTCCGTGATGACTGCATTGAAGCCGGCGTCTCCTTCATCTGCGGCGCGGCTGGGACTGTGAGAGGGTTCAACGCTGATCCGAAGGGACGGATTCGCAGCATTCGTTCCTGGGCCAACACGACCGTCAATGGCGATTTCTTCATACTCGCTGCTGGAGCGTGGACTGCATCTTTGGTGCCAATGTACAACTCGACGCTTTCAACGGCACAAGTTGTCGGTTATGTGCACCTCAGCGACGAGGAGATACACGCGCTCAAGGATTTGCCCATATATACTAGCTTCTCCACTGGATGGTTCAACTTCCCTCCACATGAAGAGACAAGGACACTCAAAATGGCTGTCCACGGCTGGGGATACACCAGAAAGCCCAATGCCGAAGAGGTCAGTGGTGATCACGTCAATGACTCTGCGCCCCTTACTCGTCCGCAGAGAAGCAGGCCAAATTTCGTGCCCAAGGATGGTGAAGAGCGATTGCGACAAGGGTTGAGGGAGATTCTGCCTGAATTGGCAGACCGACCATTCGAAAAGCTGGCCATGTGTTGGTACACAGACACGCCAACCGGGGATTTCATTATGGATCTGCATCCGGACTATCCCAACGTCTTCGTTGCAACGGGAGGCAGTGGACAGTGAGTCGTTTCCCCTTCCCTCCGTATGAGACTGACACGGCGGCTGACCCAAAACAGCGCATTCAAGTTCCTACCTGTTCTTGGACAGTATATAGTGAAGGCCATGAAGAAACAACTGCCACCGGAGCTGGCGCAGAAATGGCGGTTTCGGACTGAGTACCAGCATGAAAGTGGCTTCAAAGGAGATGGAAGTCGGGCAGGTCCGGCACGGCGAGAGCTTCGATCTGAGGAGCGAGCGAGACTTTGATCAACCAGACACGTGGATGCAAGACAATAGATGTATGCTGAACTCCAGGGCCGTCTGTGGCCCAGCATAGTCCAGGTGTACGTATCGTGGACAAATGAAGTAATTCTATTGCCCGAGTTGGCAAGCGACGAGTTGCCCACGTGAGAGAACAATTGTCACGTGTGGCACCGGAATTCCGCCAAATTCCGTTCGGAAATCAAAGACTTCTCCGTCTCCTTCTTTGCCATCCATCACCTTCCGGCACCGACAACGTTGTCGGAGCGACCACTCTTCCAATGCAGGCTGGGCCGAGTACACGGACACCCAAAGATCGCCAGGCTTGTGAACTATGCCGGTCAGTTTCCTTCTATTCCCGCTGGAACGACCACTGAGCATGCTAGGCGGAAGAAGATCAAGTGCAATGGGGAGCGGCCGGTCTGCTCGCATTGCCTGCAGTCTGAGCAGCAGTGCTTGTACCTTCCGAGGGAAGCACCTAGGAGTGTCATCGGCAGCAGGTACGTTGAAATCTCGCTCCCCGGTTTCGTGCCAATGATAACCGTATCCCAGGAAATCTTCCAAGGATAGGGTCCATCGCTTAGAAGAGCAGATAGGAGACCTGTACAAGATCATCCAGTACGAGCGTTTCCCGTACACGAGGGCTTGTCCCACTAATAACGCAAGCAGGACGCTGTCGGATAAGTCTCCACCGCGGAGATCGGTCCAGATAAGCCCTGGCATTGGTTCTTCGGCTGCAAGTCACGAAGAAAGCAGTCCCTGTGAAGACCAATCCATGGAGCATGGCCACATGTTCTCACCATCGAGGTCGGTCACGATCATCCTGGCTGGACTATGCTAAGTCCTCCGAGTCCAGAGCCGCCTAGTCATGTGCTTGAACATTTCGTGAACGTTTACGTCGAGAAGATCCATGCTCAACCACTACCGTTGTTCGATTCAGAAAAGCTCCTCGACCACTTGTCTGCCAGTCCTCGTTATCTGCTATGGAGTTTCATGGCGGTCGTCCTGCATTTTGAAACGCATCCTTTCTACCGCAACAATGAAGCGCAAGCAGTGTCCTTCTATACCCGTTCTGCCAGTGAGTCCAGCACCAAGCTTGCTGCGGATGGAATAGCGAGGACGGAAGTGCTGCAAGCGACCTGCCTGTTAGCAATGAGAAACATCCTCTGTACGTACATGGTCGACACTGAACACGGAATGGTCACTGACCAGCATTCAGCGGGCAAATTGAACAAAGCTTGGATGATCATTGGCTCTGCAGGACGGCTGTTTCTCCTTCGCAAGCAGACTATAGGTGACCTTGACCATTTGCTGGAGGAAGACCTCTCGCGCTGCTTTTGGAGCATCTATCTTCTTGAACGCACCTTCAGCAGCAACGCTGTCCAGCTCTCCGACACGAATAGTCCCAGACGACCTCCAAGCGCGTGCCTGCCACCAACTATCGCTTCAACCGGCAATGGCACCCATTCTCCTGATTTTCTGGACGACAGTAATCCTGTCAGAGATCTGGGCATCAACTACTACTACCTCGATCTGGCCGGAGTCTGGGGCAAACTTCTCGTCCATTTGCAAGAGCTCCGGAACGGGAAGGTAGAAGAGTCTTGGACATCCGAGTCGACGTATACAAGGCTCCAGGTTGCACTATACGAACGCGACACTCAGCTCTGTACGAAACATCTGCTCCGCCACACCAATTTTGGTTCCCGCACCAGAGAGGAGCTCTCCACCCACCGACAGTACTGGCATCCTTGGCTTGCGATGCAATTGTTCTCCCACGCAATTCCCGCCATACTGAACCACCCATTCATTCATCTGAGTGCGTTGCGAGACGGTACAGGTGGCGCAGCACGATCACGCTTCTTTTTACAGCAGACAGTCGACACCGCTTTGCTTCACTCTGCGTGGGTTGCACGTTTGCTGCAGATGTGCGACGAGCTTGGCTTCGAGACCCAGAGTCCACTCATTGGCGATGTTGTTGCATCCACCGCTACGGTGGCCTGGTTGTTCCAGTTTACTGGTGACGCCAAAACAAGGTCTACGGCGACCGACAATTTTAAGACGTTCCAGGCAGTGCTATCTCGCTTGTCGGTCTCATGGCCGCATCTGGCTACCAAGGTAGGTGAGTCGACATCGCCTGTTGTGGACGCGCAGCGGCTGAACTCGGCGTCAGGTCGAACTCCTTCGCGCCCTGCAAACGATCAGCGACGAGAAAGCCCACGAAAGTACTGAGTCATCGAGATCCATTTCTTTTCCACCCATGATCCTCTGGGACATTCTGGCTCCGCTGCCTGGACAGAACACCCAAGGCGGCGTGGTGGCCCAGACTCGAGATACTCCACAAAGCGAGCATCCAGTGGACACGAGGCTCCGTGTGAGAACGCAGTATATGCATCCTCTGACTGAAAACCACGCGGCGGCGGCGGCAGCGGCAGCGGCAGCAGCAGCAGCAGCACCTGCTGTTGTCGCGGACCGCTTTGCCGACGATCTCGCCGTGCCTGGCACGCAGATGGCTGAACTTGCCGAGCTGTCGATCAATGACCTGCTCACGCAGTTCCCGGAACAGGATTTTTTCTATCCTGGCTACAATCAAAGCACCATGTGAGTGAGTGAGATACATGTGATTTGAACCAGCAAGGGACGAGGGACAAAATTTATATTATTATGATTATATGTACTGTCTGTAGATGTGACTGTCAATAGAGGACAAGAAGCGATTGTTTTTACTGTATACATATGTATGCGAAATGAGTTCCTCACATCAAGCACGGCTCCATCTTCAAAGTCTCCTCAAGTCCCGAGAGATTCCTGCAAGTGGTCGTCATCTCATGGCATCGCAGGGCGTGCCCGTCGGAATCCGGAGTTTGGGAAGGCCTCCGATCAAATATATGTATGTATATATTTAGCACGACGTAATTCGCGTGCCGAACCCATATTATATTATTGGATCATGTACCAGGCTCGTAATAAAGCTGGCAAGGCACGCCGAATCCCCCCAAATTCAACTTTGGCGAAACCCTGAGATGGCAGTTCCACCACCAGCTGTGCTTGTGGTCGGCGGCGGGGCCTTTGGGACGTCCACCGCGTACCACTTGTCCATGCGAGGCTACACGCGCGTGAAAGTCCTGGATCGGTTTGCCGCCCCGTCCAAAGATGCCGCCGCCACAGACCTGAACAAGATCATTCGCTATGACTATCCCAACCCGCTGTACACCAAGCTGGGCCTGGAAGCCATGGCGGTGTGGAGGAACAACAGCAACAACAACAACAACAACAACCTAAATCACCTGTTGTCGGGCATGTTTCGCCATACCGGCTGGCTCATGGGCGCACATGGGATGACGCAAGGCTTTCTGCAGGCCGCATATGAGTCGAGCCAACAAGCCGGCCTGGACGGGGTTCGATACATGGACGTGGGCGAGATCAAGCAAAGGTGGCCACAGTTTACCGGTGATTTCCACGGCTGGACGAATTTGTGGAGTCCAGAAGCAGGATGGGTTCGACACAATCCCGCCCATCCTCCTCGTCGAAAATGTTGTTTCCGACCGACCGACTGACTCTTGCTAGGTTCCCTCAGGGGAAGCACTCCTTCGACTGGCCAATGCGACTCAGGCAAATGGCGTCGAGTACGTCTCTGGCGACCGAGGATGGGTGCAACAATTGCTGTACGACGATGGCGGCGCGTGCGTGGGCGCCCGGACGAAGAATGGCGAAACACATCTGGCGGACATTGTCGTGCTGTGTACGGGTGCCAACACTGCAGCACTGATCGAGGCCAAGGACGAAATCGTGGCACGATCGCATTGCGTGGGCGTCATTCAACTCACGCCGCAAGAAGCGGACAAGTACAGGAGCTTGCCCATCGTCGATGACTTCGAACAAGGTACGAAACTATTCCGAGACATTTGGGGGCGGCCCCCCTTCCCCCCTCCAGACTGACTGACATTCGTCACAGGAATTTTGTTCCCCCCCGACGAAAACAATCTGCTGAAGCTCTGCAGCTGCCGCTTCATCACCAACTACGGCAACTCGAGGATCCCCGGCGCATCCCTGGGTCACTCCCACGAAGACTTCCCGGAGGACGGCGTGCCGCGGCAGATCGAGGCCGAGATGCGCGAGTTTGTGCGGGACCAGATTCCCGAGCTGGCTGATCGCGAATGGGTGTCGACCCGGATGTGCTGGGACGGAGACACGAAGGACATCAACTTCCGCATCTGTCCGTCGCCCACCAACGCCAATCTGTTCATTGCCACCGCCGGATCCGGTCATGGATTCAAATTCATGCCCATCATCGGCAAGTACGTGGCCGACATGATCGAAGGTCGATTGGATGCCGAATACGCCGACTTGTGGAAGTGGCGGTTTGGGGCAGCACCACCGGTGAAGGAGACGGGAAAAGAGCCTCATCCATGGCCGGCTCGTGATCTTGCGGAGCTCGACGGTTGGAAAGGGAGGAATCGACGAACGGTCCATCGCTTATGATAGACAGACAGACGAGCTCGACCATATGTATGTGGAAAGCTCAGCCTGTCCTGGATGTTTGTTGATGCGGAATGAGAGTTCCTCACGGGTCAAATGAAACTCGAGATTGAGCTGACATGGTCGCCATCAGTCCTGTGAATATGCACATACATAGCATCAATCTAAGCGTAGCGACTTGCTTTCGAATCAGGCTGTCCATAGTTCGTCTCCGGGACGTTACAAGAATCAGGTTTGGAATCATTGCAGGCGTCAAGATTTCCAGTTCGACTGTACCAGACGCCTGGGACATCACCGGGCGTAGAGATGCAAGGTCGAGCTGACCGTTGTTTGATCGCAAGAAACCTACAGCATTCATGCTGCGAGCGACGCTGGACATGTCATTGTGGGACGGTTGCTGGACGTGAGCGGTAGGACGGTGTTTGACAAAATGATGTATTTCAAAAGGGTAATAATCGATGGCTGCTTGACGAGCGAGCCACAAGCTGGACCAGAGATATGATGTAATATCGAGTAACTCGGCCGGCCTCCTCGATACTCTGCCACGTACTGGATTAAAGCGGCCTCGCTCCCTTTCCTGAACAAAAACAATAAGGCATAAAGTATTACAGTTGGGGATAAGATATTGTGTATATATATAGTTGTAACTATGTATATATGTATGTTTCCGTCCATTCCTTTCGTCACAAGAGTCGTCATGAAAAGGCCATCAAAAAGACAAAACAAGGGTAGTTCCTGAGTTACATACAGTAGGTCAAAAATATCCGGGAAGGCAAAAGACACATGCAGACAAACAAACAAACAGTAAATAGATGGCTCATTATGTATCGTGAAGTAATGACTTCCCCCACGCTGTTTGTTCTTCTATCCTCCTGTCTGTCCATCATCCCTCATCCCTCATTCAGAGTACGAGACCAGCCAGCCATGTCGACTTGAGTGCCGAGACCGGTGTAAAAACAGTTCACAGGCCAGTCAGTGCTGGCGTGCTTCTCCAGAGCGCGGTACAGGCCACTGTGACTCTGTATGTGGGTAGAGGGCGGTTTGCCCACGGTAACTCGCTCATTCCAGCAAGGTCTCTCCGGTCAAACGGATCATGCAGTTTGGGGTATCATAGTAGTTGTGAGCTTCCAAAATCTCTCATCAGCCCTAAATCTTGCCCGGAAGCTCATCAACCTGTTCAGCCTCGGCTGCTCTCAGTTGGTCTTGGTGTTCCACGTTGGCAATTGCCGACTGCAACGCGCTCGTCAAGTCAATGTGGAAGAACGGCCTGTTCAAGCTGTGGACCACGGCGACGCGCTTGGTCGACGTTCGGGTATATGCCTTGCTGTTACTAATCTGCTTCGACAAGTCATGATCCTGGCTGGAACTTGTCGTCGAGTCGTCCTTGTACTGCGCCCGCGTAATGTCGTCGGTCTTGGAGACTCCGCTGCTGTTGGGTCGAGAGCCGCCCTGCTCTTCATCATGGGGAAGACGAGACATCCGTCGATTGGCCTCGTTTTCGGCAGCCGCGGCAGCGGATGACGCACCGCCAATTTCGGCCACGCTAAAGATGGGTTTCCAGCGGTGCTGCTCTTCCGTGGGCACCGTAGGGAAGCCGAAGCCGGCAGAAGCAAGAGCTCGCTTTGTCCATCGGTTGTTGATGCAGGCTATATGCCATTGAACAGCTTCGGGGCTCGCATAGCGGTCAAGCTGGTTGCGGACATCGATCAGATTCTGAACACTGGTGACGTCGACGTTGTTGACCGACGAGAAGTCCAGGATGACAGCTTTCAAGGTCGGCAGGTGAGATCGGTCCGGCTCTGACTTGCCCCGTCGCGGGCCAGGGTTGTTCCACGGGCGATCACCCGGGCGTGGCCACGAGTCCGGATTAGTCCTGCGCGTATGCTCAAAGATATACCGGACAAGATAGTCGGTGTAGTGGTTCGCGTTGGGGTAATTGAAGCCCTCGCTAAATCGATAGATGAAAATTCCCGGGTACGGGGACTCGACATGGATGGACGGATTCGAGCCGTCGTTGTGGTCCAAGGGAAGGAAGATATTTCGCGTGGCCTCATCGTCTTCGGGCACGCGAGGTTTGTCATGGAATTTGTCTTCAAGCAAATGGTCACCAATGACCGAATGGATCTTGACCTTTCCGACAAAGTGACCCCGTGCTTTGACCACACGGAAGAGCAGGACGGCGGCGCTGACACAGATGGTGGTATAGATACCGTTCTCGATGGACGAGAAGACGGTCACCAGCACACCCGCGAAGAAGATGAGCACTTCCAGCGGTGAGACGCGCCAGAACTGGTAGACAGTGTTGGGAGGGGTGATCAAATCACCGACAGCATGGATGATGACGGCGGAAAGTCCAGCATTGGGGATGTAAAAGAACATGGCCGGGAGAGCGTAGATGGCCAAGAGCACCACAATGGCAGTAATGACACCGGCGAAAGGCGTGCGCACACCGGCCTTTGACTTGATGGCAGTCCGAGAGAACGAACCCGTCGCGGGATATGCCCCCAGGAAAGGACCAAGCAGGTTTGTGACGCCAATGGCAACCAATTCCTGCGAGGGATTGATGGTGTAGTTGTTGATCCGACCAAAAGATTTGGAGATGGCGATATGTTCAATGAGCATGACAATGACAGACGCGGGAAGTTGGTCGGCGAAATAGCTGATGATGGTCGTGTCAATGGTCGGCACCGCCGCGTGTTTGAATCCACGGGGCACGTGGCCCAGGACGCCAAATTTGGGCTTCTTCCGGTGGTGTCGGTTGACGAGATAACTGACTAGAATGTACAGGCACAGCACAAACGCGGTCCGCAGCGTGTTGAGGAAAAAGAACAGCTTCGCCCGGTTGGGGTACTTCTTTGCACAACGGTTCAGGGTGAATCGGATGAGGTAGAGGAGGAACAATGCCGTTAACCCGATGGCGGCGTCGAGTTTGGTGTGGCCGAGATACTTGAGAGTGTTGATGATCACCAAATAGGTGGAGGCGCGAGTATTGAAGCCTTTGACCTTGATGCCCATCAGGGTGGGCACTTGACCGCACGCAATGTTGAGGGCAGAACCGGTGATGAAGGCCGAGATGGCGGTCAATGGGATGAAATCCACGATCCAGCCGCACCGGACAAGCCCAATGAAGCAGATGATGGCGCCCGCAATGATGGCCAAAGCCGAAGCAACAACGTGGCCGGGGATATCTGGGTGTGCTGCCGTGACCTTGTTGACGACATTGCCGGTGATGGTGGACATGACCGCCACCGGGCCTATGGTGATATCTTTGGAGGTGGCAAAAAACCAATAGATCAAGACCCCCATAAAGGAGGAATAAAGACCATATTCGACCGGGAGCTCGGCGAGTTTGGCGTAGGCCATGCCCTGCGGCACGACGACGGCGCCGACTGTGATGCCAGCAACCAAGTCGCCGATCAACCATTGGACATTGTAGCGGAGAATCCAATGGGTGAAGGGGAACAGACTGCGGAAATAGTACAGCATGTCACCGCCAGAGGGAACGATTTCTCTGATCCAGTCGATAGTTCTTGGCTCTTCCTCGATGTAAGAGTCAGCAGTACTGACGGAATATGTGGACTCGCCCCTGGTGACTGCGTCTTTCTGTGCCTGACGCTCGTCGAGGTTGATGGCGAGGACCTTGGCCAGGCCGTGGCCGATCTTGGAAGACTTGGACGCCATTGTCACGCCTGACAGGTCTAAAGCAGAGATCTGAAAGAACGTGCTTCCGGCTGGTTGAACCGAAGAAAGGACGGGGGGTGTCCAAGGGTCGACGTGTGTTGAAGGGTTGAGAAGAGGGTATATAAAGAAGAGGGGCCCTCGGAGCGGACTTGCAGAGTTTGAATATCCTGGGCACGCTGGGGTGGGAAGATTGCCCTGACGCGACTAGTTCTGAGAAGATATGGATCTGGTATGGACTTGCGGCTGCCTGACCGCTGAGTGGCTGGATGTGCCAAGTCCTATGGCGTGGTGGGCTGCGGGAGCGGATAGGATTTGCATGGAAAGACTAGCAGTTAGGGTGAGCTTGTGGCTTGCAGCGTGGTTCGGGCTATTTGCGTAGCTAGGAATCGCTCGATTGCCCGGGGGCGGAGGTGGTGATGGAGCTGGGTCGTCCAAACGGTCGACCCCGTCGATTTCGTACCGTGAGCTTATATGTAGATGTGGTATGGACAAGGAGAGAAGAATCGTAAATGTCCTTTGTCGAGGACGAGGGCCAGCGTCGCCAGAGTCCTCCACGACCAAAGGGAAAAGGGTACCCGGTGAGTTTACACAAAAGAAACTTCTAAGGCGAAGACGGCGTCAAGTATAAATATAACGAAGAGGGTGTACAGTAGAGGCGAGTGTGCCAGGTGTCAAGAGGATGGATCTCCGCCGCCTCAAGCAGCCTTCCTCTGAGGCAGCGGCAAGCGAGGCACCATGTGGGTGTCAGTGCTTGATTGAACAAGCGAGAGAGATCTCGACACGGGCGGGCTTTAGAAGAAGCGGGCACGAAGGGTGTTTGCGGAGGGATCTAGAAAAGAACCTCAGCATGGCGTTCCCTGAAGAAGGGCCGCAGAAATTTTTCCATTCGTCCCATTGGAGAAGTGATGAAATAGACGGGGTTAGAGGTGATGGTGCAATCGAAGGCGTGATGGAGACCCCAAGGCGACATCTTGCAGCTCATGCTCACACACCCAGCACTAAGCCCGTGGAACTGTCCCGTTGGAAGCACGGATGACGACGATGGACAGGTGTTGACGCGAGAGTTCGCCAGGATGGCGAGCAAACGGCGACTTGCTGCTGCTCAAAGCACACGAACCATTTCCTCGGCCGCCATAATGGGAGGGATGTTGTACAGCCAAGGCTCCCTGCAACACTCAGATGCCAGCAGAAGAAACAGAAGGAACTCGCGGATGGTACGCCTTGTCCGACATGAAGCTCGAGGCGTCGCTCTGGTACCGCCATCGCCATCGCCCATAGAAAAATGTGATAGCGGCGACAATGGATTGCCAGTGATTATGACGATGATGAGGAGGACCATGATGATGACGATCTGATGATGCCCTCATCGCCGCTGTCGACCCCCGTTGCGGGTCGATGGGTTGATGGGCCTCTTGCCATGCTCCCCGATGTCCTCGTATCTTCAGCGCTGGTGGGCAGTTAGTGGCAACCTAACTTATCACAAGTCGCCTCACATAGCTGTACGCAAAAGGCTGGTCAATTCCTTGATGTCTCTGACCCGAAAAAGCCATCGACTCTTCTTACAGGAGCAAAATGGCGTGCTCGACGTCTTCTGGTTGCAATGGTTGACATTGTTTCGTCGATCAACGTGGTCCCGCTCTTGCATGTCAGGGGCCGTGGGTCTTCCGCCCTGTAAAATTGTGGACCTGGTTTGCCATCATCAAGGAAAGGTTTTTGGTGTCGGAACCAATCATGGTGAGCAGAATGCTCTGGTGGCGTTGGCTAAGTGCTGACGCGATTGACGCCATAATGATCCCATCGACTCTGGCAGTTGAGGGTGAAGTTATCAGCATTCACAGCTCGCCATTTATGGTCTCTTGTTGTTTTTTTATTTCAACTCTTTGATTGAAAGGGCGTTGTGCCCCGTTCATCACGCCAGCCTGCAAGCTGTCAGGTGTGGTTCATGAAGCAGGTGACCGGGGAGGGGCTAAGACGAGATCGACAGGTTCATGGAAGGTAGGAGGTGCCGGTGTAGGTGCAGCACGAGGGAGAATTGGACAGGGTGAGTGGGAGCGAGAATCGTGGTCGATAATGGGACGTCCAATGCATGTGACTGCGTTCTCCGTGCTCTATCTGTTGACCGCTTTTTGCGCCCAATGCAGATGCCAAGCTTTTTCATTTCCCATTCCGACAATCAGGCGTTGTTGGCGACGATATACGAGGTACCGAGTACTGTACCATTTATTAGCCTCAGGCCTTCGGATTCAGACTCAAGCTCAAGCCTCAAGCTCAAGCTACCAAATCACCTGCACACTCAAGCGGACAAATTCAGCCTCGTCCTCTTCTCCTCTTCCCTGTCTGGGCAACCGTCGTGCTACCGGACGTTGAACTTCTTGACTACTGAGTGCTTCACCCGGCCTCGTTCCGTGCTTGACATGATTTCCCCTTTCTGACGAGTCGGCGTCTGGGAGTCGCAACCTCCGACATCTCTTCCCTCCCTCGTATCGACGAGATTATGGTCGGCCTTAATTACCGCCATTCCCATCAACTTCAGCTGTGGCTGGCAGCAAGTGTGGCTTTAGACTAGGTCGGTCCATCGTTCCTCGGAACTTCCAACCGATCTGCTGTTGGGATTGAGATTTGATATATGCACGGGAACTACGGAGCCTCCATAACACATGGATAATCCATTTGGAGTCATGGTCTTTGCCCTACGGACATGGAAGAGGCTAAAAAACCAGTCCAGTGTTTGACACGTGCCACCCAGTGCCCATTGCGCTCGATACAGACTCCGTCGTTAGTTATTAGTGTTGTTGACGGGCCCTTATCGTGTCACGTCCCTGCACTGGCTTCTACCCCGTTCCACTACTGAAAGCTTGCTGATCAACCCCGACAAAACATACTGTATTCGTAGCAACTAAGCACAACCCGTGAATGAAGCATCGAAAACTGCGACTCCAAGCCCCCACTCTATCATGCATAATGGCCAAGGCTGTCTAAACGTGTGTGCTACGGTTAGAGACCAGGACATCTAGTAGGCCGTATAAGCAGGCCTATCCTTGCGCTCGACCGAACAGAGACCTCCTCGTGTGCACATCACGAGAGCTGTGACTCCATATCCTGATGCCCTAACGCAAACACCGGAGTGTGTCGATCGCAGCCGCGACCTGTCCCAAACCTCTGACGCCGTGCAATGTTACCCCCAAGCCCCAGTGTTCAAAAGATCAAATGCAAGGAAAAGCCCCCACATTCGTTGATGCCGGCGTCGTGTTCTTGTTTCGTACGTCAACTCATTACGTCTGCAGTTCTTTTCTGCGTCGTCACATCCGCCCTCAAGTTGTGGGCGCTTCCTCCTTCCGCTCACTGAGAAGCGCACTGTACTCTCTCGGCTCCAGGTGGAATGCCATCCTCATCGTCATCGTCCATGCCAGCGGCGCCGTTAGCACGTGCTTGCTGGCGGGGATCGACGTCTTCCAAGTCGAAATCTTCGACCATGCCGTCTGGCGGTGGCAGTTTCTGTTGCATGCGGGGCGGGAGGACTTGTTCCAGAAGCTCCAGATTTTGGAGTTGTGACTTGTCTGGGAATTTGACGTCGAACTGAATATACAAGTTTCCGAAATCGTGGTGGCGGAATGACGGCATGCCTTGGCCTTTGATGACCTTGATCGCTCCTGTCGGGATTGTCAGCATTGGCTACAACAGGCTACGGGGGTAGGCAACGTACCAGGTGTGATAGGCTCGCCGGGGTAGATGTTGACAGTCAACCATCGCTCGTCGAGATGCTCGATGTAGATCTGGCCACCGGCCAAAGCAGTCAACAAATCGATTTCGGCGTGATAGAAAAGATCGTCATCCTTTCTCTGGAATCGTGGATGAGGCTTCTGTTCAATCTCAAAGACAACGTCTCCGGCAAGGACACCCGGCATCTGGTCACCCTCACCGCGGAACTCGATCTTATGACCGCTCTTCACGCCACGGTCGACATGGACGTGGAGAACCTTTCGTTCCACAACCGTCTTCTTCCCCATGCAGCGTTTACACCGGTCACGGTCGCGGATGGTCTCTCCCTCACCCTGGCAATCCGGGCAGATGGTCTGGAACCGCTGAATCATGGGGCCCATTTGTCGCATCATGGTCTTCATACCCTGGCCGTTGCAACCAGCGCAGGTTTTCACCGCCCCCTCTTTGCCTCCACGGCCTTCACACTGCGGGCAGATGACAGACTTTTGGAGAGCGAGTTTCGAGACTTTTCCGCGGTAGATGTCCTCGAGGGATACCTTGTGTACATGGTGGATGGTGCGGGCTTTCTTTGGGCCAGTATCGCGCATGCCACCTCCAAACATGCCGCCAAAGGCTGATCCGCCGCCAAAGAACTGTGCAAAGAGATCTTCGGCGGCCATACCACCACCACCCATTCCGCCTTGCTCTAGACCTTCTTCACCATACTGATCGTAGAGGCTTCGTTTTTGAGGATCGGATAGGACTTCATATGCCTTAGAGAGGTCTTTGAATTTTTCTGCGGCATCGGGGTTGTGGGCATTCTTATCTACTCCGGATTCAGCAACCTTGCCTTTTCGATTAGTGCTCAAAAGTCGCCTTACCTGGGTGGTGTTTCAGGGCACCCTTCTTGTAGGCAGATTTCAGCTGGGCTTCTGTGGCCGAAGGGTCGACCTTGGGTACGGTGTTAGTGCGCGGGTCAAGCCATAAGAGAGGCAGGGACAGCAGCCTACCCCAAGTATATCATAGAATTTCGTCTCCTTGACCATCTTGCCCGAGCAGGATTGTGAGAGCAGCGGCTGACGGGGTTCGCGTGAAGTTCACAGTCAAGAAGGGCGAGAGGGCTGTCGGTGGCTTTAAAAAAGATTCGTTGGGTTGCTGGGCCAGCGAGAGATCCGGGAAAGGAGGTTTGCCGATTCTGCGGGCGACAAAGATGCAGTGTGTGTTTATCGAGAGTGAATGTGCAGCTAGGTATGTAGACAGGCAAAAGTGACCCAAAAGTGAAAGGCCTGGGATTTATGGGGTCAGATTGCAGGCAAACAATTGTATTGTTCAGGATCTGAGGCACGCAAGACGAATCGGGTCGGGGAAAGTCTTAGAACCAGATCGAAGGTCGCGGATTCGCCATTCCAGGGATTTTGGACCAATGGAATTCCTCAGCCTCAACCCACGGAAGCCGCCTTCGTCAGCCGCATTGCGATAAGTTGCTGCATAACTAGAAATGTGATGTTTCAACTGTGTTTGCCCTCACAAATTGAATATTATCTGAGTAGACCGTGCGTCTGCAGCAGCTTGTCTGGAGGAACGAGGTCCCCTGGCTCGAGCCTGCTAACAACAACTCGGTACGTTCGACAAGCAACAGTCCGGCGATCTACTACCTAGTACCGAGTACTTGACTAACCGAGACCCAGACCCTGAGACCCTGGCTCGTTCATATCAGCCAATGACGTGGATGGTCGGACTAATTTCTACGGACGAGACTTTTTGTGCATGCCTATGTACGAGGTACATAGCCTCAACAAAACAACAAAACTACAGTACGGACTGTCGATTCTGGCTCGTGAGTTCGACTTGTCCATTATTCGGCCCGGCAACACCCGCCACAAAATCTCGGAGATGCCTTCTTCAGGTGCAGGAGCAGCGCCACCAGGCGCCTTGTTGTTTTCGCAGAGGTTCTCAGTGTCGGAGCGGAAAAACATTGCGCTTTGGTCCGGGCATGGTGCGTCCACATCTAGGACAGTATGTGACGAGGATTCGCTCTCATTCTCAGGGGGCTTCACATGTCTGACAAAGCGCCTTGCCAACTTCCCATGTCGGTCTTGGGCGATTTGACGATAATCAGGACACGTCGAAGGTGGAGTTGGACAAGTAGCATCTGGATAATCCACGTTTGCCATAGGAGAAGTATCAATGTACATATAGCTAGAGTTCGGAGGCACCCAGGAGGGGTCCATTATTCAACAGGCATATGGTCCCGGAGCTCTAGAGGCCTAAGGAAGCGGGGAAGTGCAGCCTAACACACGCTCGGGCGCCTAACCAACGAGCCGCTAGCACCTACGAGTACCGAGTTCAGTGCCCACTAGCTCAGCGCCCAGGTCAACCGGGAAGCCGCCACTCAAGGCCTTGCAAGACAACATCTTCCACCATTTCAGATCCTGCCTGCGCCATCCATTGCAGAACAATCTCTCTCGCCGTCTCACTTTCAGCCTCGATCCCGTTGCCCTTCCGGAGCCGGAAAGCCGTCACTAGTGCCTAACCACATTGTGAAATAGCAAATGTATCCGACCGCATACAGCCTGTTGATGCCCGGTCGCTGCAGCCTCGAGGAGTTTCAATACGTGGGACCAATGCCAGACCTACAGTATCGACCACAGTCCCAGCTGGATTCCGAGTCGTCGCCCCCTGACCAACACCACTGTTTTCCCCTAGAAACCAGGCGCATGCACATGCGGGCAACTCTTTCAAGGTGTAGTGGGTATTTGCAGAATCAGTCAGCTGATGGAGGAACAGGACCAGCGGCTCCTGTGCAGCATCTAGCTTCCTTGTTCCTTGCCCGCAAACCATCCCCTGCTGAGAAAACAGACGTCTACCGAGTACTCTGATGAAATCTGCATTCCTGATTGCTTGCTCCGTCAGGCAGCTGGAACCCAACCTGATGCCCAACAAGGTCTAGTCCACACATGTCAGAGCTCCAGACAAGGTTTGCCACGTCGTCCGTCGCTTTGAGCTGTCCATCATGCTCTTTCTCTGGCCTTACACATCTTATAAGATTGTGAGGAATAGACCTCATCCTTGCTGTCTGAAGTTGATATATCGGTTTCGAAGAGGGTACACCTGCGTTTGGTGACCGTGTTGTGATCGAAAGTATACCAGAAAACCCTGTCTGTGCTACCATCATGGTTCGTTCCAACCACAGCCGTCCTATTCCCACGCAGGTCTGGGAGAAACACAAATTCACCATATATGAACTCTATGCGAGGCTGCCCCTGGATCAAGTCATGGCTGAAATGCAACAGAAACACGACTTCGCTGCAACGGCGCAGCAATACAAGCGACAACTAGGGAAATGGGGTCTGCGCAAGAACGTCTTGACTGAGTTGGACGTCATTGACGACGAATCAATCGCACGTGGAGGCAAGGTCTCCCAACGCCAGGTCCGTCGCTATCAGAGGACAAAAGAGCTGAAAACACAGAAGCCATCAAAGCCAAAACCGGCCACTCAACGTACTACCCGCTCACGGTCCACTCAGAAGCGAAGTGCGCTTTGAATCCACGGTATCAACGACCGCGGCCTCCAGTCATCTGCTTCAGAGTGACATAGCAGGGTGACCTGGCAAGGAATGAGTTCTCATTGAGCTCTAAGGAACTACTTCGGTACTACTCTATTTCCTGAGATGTATCCTTTTTATTAAAGGCCCATCAGCACACGAGTAGTGAGCAAATGAAGCGCAAGATATACACAGGAGCACCTCATCGTCCACGATATTTTCCGCCTCCAAAACACGACCCTTGTCTTGGTCCCAAGGCCTAGCACTCGCCGCATATCCTACACAATGCAACCTCTTCCGTTAGCTCGCATCAACATCTGACACGAGACATCACAGGCCCGCTTGCACAAGTCTGGACTGCCGTTCTACTTGCTGTCTTTAAAGACAGACAGGACGAATGACACATACTGCTGATCTGAATGGGACAGATAGATATAGTGGGAAAGCAAGGTACTCGCCGATATGAGGCTCAACAAGGGTTTTACTTCCCAGGTATGCTAACTCGGTTCCCGACTGGGCAAGGCTTATATGCTTCTTGCTTGCTTTCTTCTGAGCAAGGGGCAAATAGAGAGTGTATTACGCGTTGGTGGAGAATACGGGGACCGAGGAGGACACGAAAGTTTCCAATGTCCTGGCTCTGGTCCTCTGAATTCTGTCTGCTCCAATGTTCATCTCCTGGCTTGTGAGCCTCTCGGGTTTGTATGTACAAGTAAACATAGCTTGGGGTATTCGAAGGATGGCAGCAACGATCAGGGCAGGACATCACACCATCTGCTGCCGGGACAGCCCAACCCCCCCTGAGATGTTCAGCACCACATACATTCAGCCTTGTCTCTTCATCTCTCCTGAACTCCTCTCTGCTTGTCTCTTGCTTGGCCCCGGGTCATGAGCTGTCAAACGTGCGAAAAGCGTAGGATCAACCGATTGCTCCTGGGCTTGGTGGTGTACGCATCGACCTCCTCGATGCCTTGGTCGTCCACGATTTCCGTGACCCAGTTGCTGTAGATGGCCGAGACGAGCAACTTGATCTCCTGGATCGCCAGGTGGCTGCCGATGCACATCCTGCCGCCGGACCCAAAGGCCCAGAACCAGCGGTGCATCTCCCTCAGCTGCTCCTCGGACGAGTGCGACGGCAGCCAGCGCGCGGGCAGGAACGTCTCCGGGTCTGGGAACACGGCCGCGTTACGGTGCAGAGCGTACGGCATCGCCGAGACGCGCACGCCGCCCGGGATGTTGGCGTACGGGCCCAGCGTGCTTCCGCCAGGCACGTGGGGGGAGATACGTGGCTCGATGCCCGGGATGGGCGCGTGCAGACGCAGCGTCTCCATCAGTATGGCGTTCAGCAGCGGGAGGGCGTCGATTTGTTTCGGGTCCGGAAGCGCGAAGTCCTGCGTCGGGTCAGCCCCGGCGGGCAGCGGCCATTTGATCGGGGGCGTGAGCGTCAGCACCTCGTCGCGGAGTTGCTTCTGCAGGTCTGGATGCCTGCTCAGTTCCCAGTACAGGTACGTCAGGGCAATGGCCGAGGTCTCGTGCCCGGCGCCCAGCTGGTCCAGCATTTCGCTGTAGATTTCGGCGGTCGTAGTGTCGTCGTCGCCGCTGCTGCTGTTGTTGTTCTTGCTATCGTGCAGTTCGTCGTGCCGTGTAGTTGGCAGGATGACCTCGCCCGTCGCCTTACCCGCGTTGGGGTCCTTTTCGCGCAGCTTCGTGATGCCCGTCTTGAACTGCTTGTACACGACTGGCTCGTCGCCGGGGTACGGTGTGGAGGATGTTCTTTCCTGGGCGAGGAGGAATTTCTCGGCGTTGCGACACATGTTGGCGTTCCAGTCCTCGAGCAGCACATTCGCCTCGTCCACGAAATATGGCACCACCTGCAGCCCCAGACTCCGCGTCAGGCGCTTGAGCCACGGCGCCTCGGCCGAGAAGAACTCGTAGTCCCGGCGACAGTGGTACTGGTGGAGGATGTGTCTCCGGGTCGCCACGTCCTGGGTGAGGTTGGTCCCCGCGGCCAGGCCAAACTGGTACGCCGACATAAAGTCCATGGCGAAGGCGTTGTTCATGTCGTGCACATCGGCCGGTTTGCCCGTCTCGGAGAGTTTCTGGAGCAGCGGGAGGTAGCGAGTGGTGAACAGGGTATGCGAGTTCGCGGCGACTTGTGGGGAGGCGGCGATGAAGGACTTTGAGTAGACGTTGGCCATGGTGCGTTTCTTCTGCGAATGAGGCCCGTGGTGGATGGTCGAGAACATGTTCATGACCCTGGCCAGCCCCCCGGTTGTCAGTTTTTCCTTTTTCGAGCCCCGACCAGAACCATTGAAAGGGAGATTCTAAACATACCCATAGGAGCCAAACCTCTGGGGATACCAAGCATGCTTCTCCCAGGAGCCGGCGTAGATGGTCTTGATGCCGTTGTCCACGCAGTTGACGCTCAATTCGTTGGCGCCCATGCGGACCACGGAGCCGTGCTTCACATGAGCCGCATAGGTCACGGCGTTGTTCCTCTCCATGTACCGCTGGTAGGTGATCCAGGCATCTCCGAAGATGGGGATCGACCAGTGCGCCGAGGGAATGTGCCGCAGAGGATGGAACAGGAGCGGGTAGAGCAGGAATTTGTAGACGGCAAGCAAAGCCAGCGAGCCCAGCGTGAGCAAGGCGAAGATGGGCAGTGCCATTCTCTGGGACAGTCACAGGCTCAAATAGAGGGGCGAAGAGTGATAGAGAGGATAGGGACAGATGAAAAGCTGATCAGGGGCAAGAGAGTTGAGTGAGGCTTCTTTCCTTTTTTCTCTCTTCCAGGTCATCGACGGGAGATAAGTGAAGTTTCCCAACGGAAAGCGAAGCTAGGGCGTTTGTTTCTCCTCCGTTGCCTCAGTCAATGAGCAAGAACTCACCACACTGTACGGCACTCGGAAATGTGAGAAGAATCTGTCATTAAAACTGATCTACCCATACCCCTAATGTCAAGAGTAGGCGAGGCGTGTATTCACTTCCATCTCAGTCGCGCAACTCCGTGGCTTTGGGTTGGGCAAATCCGTGATGCTTCTCTAGCTCTAGGGAAGCAATTCAGACCGAGCAAAACGAAGGGGAGGATGAACATGTGCCACACGAACAGGAGCATCGTAGAAACCCCCGAGAACATGAAACATTGCCCGTTCGCACCATCTATAGAGTGCTGGCAACCTTCTGCTTGCCTTTTCCTTCGACAACGTCTCCCTCTTTCTCGTCGTCGTCGCCGTCGTCACTGTCCGTAGTGTCATCTTCGTCGTCAAACCCTACAAACCGCCGCACTGGTTGCTTGGGCTTTGGCAAGAGATGCGAGGGGATCTTGAGTCGGTTCTGCAAAACCCAGATGGCGTCGACATCTCCAGCTTCAGCTTCTGATCTCAGCCGGGACATGTCGTCTGGGTCCAGCTCCATCACATCTTCCTCGTCGCTATCTTCGTCACTGGCAGCGCCAGAGCCACCGCTGCCACTGCTATCTCCTTCTTGTGCCATGGACCCCTTGGAGTCTTCTTTCTCTGCACTTGCCAACAGAGCCATCTTCACGGCATTTCGCACATTCTCTCCCACCTCCTCCTTGGTCTCTATCCACTCATCACTGAGTCCTTTGCGCCGCCCGTCCGGACCCTTACCTGCTCGCATGTCGGCTTCCCTTTGTTCAGCGAGTTCGATGACCTGCTCCCATCTCTTGCGTCGTTCTTCCTTCTCTTTTCGTTCCATTTCCGGCTTCGTAGCCAAGTATGCTGCAAGATTTTTGGCCTCTCTTATTGTCCGCAGCCTTCTCCCGTCAAGATTGCGAGCACTCCCTGACGCTAGCTCGGCATTCTGCTTTTTCTTGCGGGCTGACATCCGGCCACCAGCGGCTCTGAGCTGGGAGCCAAACCCACCTTTCCCGCCCACCAGGGGCGCAGACAGCCGGAGAGGGAGTAGAGAGCTGCTGCAGACATTCTGGCGGCACGATGAAGAGGAGGTCAATTCTCCAACCGTGATCGCAGACGAAGGAAGTACACATTTATTCGGGGTTGAGGTCACGGTCAGCCGCGTGGTGTCTGGGAAATTAGACGGTAACAGCTCTGATATAGCGTCTAGTAAATCTGCGGTCGTCGAGGAAGCTGGCAAGCGAAGACAGAGCGTCTGAGGAAGCGACAGGCCGGGGAAGGTGGCTAGCAGGACATTGACGATGGGCTCCATCTTGCCACTCCCCTCTGCGTGGACCTGCGACAAAAGGAGCTGGAGCTGAGGATGCCCGATTCGATAAGAAGTCGGGGGTTATGGAGGCTGACTGCGGAGAGATGAAACTGACTTTGTAGAGGCGTGCGTAGTGGCTTGTTTGAAATTGTCGCAAATCACTTTCTTGTAGATGATGGTGCCTTGCAGCAAGGACCGCGAGCCAAGCTTGGGGGGTTTAAACACCGAGCTCCTAGCTGAATTAGGCTCACTAGCCAGAGCGTGTACGCTGAGGGGGGAAATTTAGGCGGCTAGAGGTAAAAACCGTTAGGCGGTAAGTGCCGGGAGCTGCAGCGGGGATCAAGACTTGCAGCTGTTTGCGGGCGTCGTCGTCTTCAAACAGCGGAGACTTTCTTTGATCAAGCGGGAAACTCTTCCAGACGCGTCGCAAAAAAAATAGACAAAAACAGGTCCGGTCGAACAATTGATCACCCCATTACCCTCTCAACCAACAGACACGTTGAGAACGCCAAAGAAAGGATCCTTCCATCTCTCGACAGGGTATCTATCCCTCATCCCATGAATCTCCCGCGAGAAAAGGGAGAGTGTGCACAGGCCCCCCAGAATCGCTCCACCGATCATCGTCGCGAGGCCTCAGCCCCGGCCACTGTGAGATCCGACCGACATTCTTGACGAACAGCTGCTGTCCGACCTCGTTGTCTTTTGTGATTCACAGAGTTATTCGTCCTTTTCTTACCTAATATGCCCTGGCAGCCGCTACCTCTGTCGTATGCGGTTGCCATCTATCCCTTTCAGCCGACGTCTTCCCCGTCCGAACTCCCTCTTCAGATTGGAGACCAATTGTATGTCATCGAGCAGGGAGGTAAAGATGGATCTTGGTGTCGCGGCTATCTGGTCGCGCCGCCCACCTTGCTGTCGGCATTGAGCCCTGGGATTAGGACCGCCGCCGACGCCCGGGTCTTTTCTGGCATCTTCCCCAAGTGTTGCATCGAAATTCGAGAACAACTGGGTCCTGATGTCGACTTGGTCGTCCAGCCAGGCCAGCCAAGGCCTCCAGCTCCGGTGCCCATGTTGAAAATCGGGGATGAATCTCCGACGTCAATCACTGAGCCATTGGTCGATGAAATCACCTCGTGTTTGCGAGAATGGTATATTCTGCATTTGCCCGAGCTGGTTTTGCGGCGAGAGTACCATCTTCTGGACCAGATGTCGGATATCACCACCCGACTCGACTATGCCAGGCGGGAACTATTGAACGATGTGCTCACCACTCAGGAGAGGCTCCAAGTCCGCCGGGACGCAGTGTGGGACCTGGTGCGAGGCAACAAAATGCTGAGCGGCGAGGTCATCGTCCGGGATCCGGCTCGACAAGGACGACTTTTGACTTCGCAGGACCCGGCCATCGAGCTGGCCAAATTACAGTCAGTCATGAGTGTGCTGGATACTACGCCGTCCGAAAAGTCCAAGGCGACTTCACTCCATCACTGTCTCCTTGAGGTCACGTCAGTGGCCGGCTCCGACCTGGACGCGACAACACTGAGTCTGGCTCTGTATCTCAAGGATGCAGATGGCAATCTCAAGCCCTTTTCAGAGACGTACAGCTCCATCGCCAGTTCCAAAATGAAGACACTCCTGTCGGATCTCAGCACTAGGGACGTTGGGGCCGATGACCGGTTATTCCTTGTAGCCAAGGTTGTGGTTTCAGAACCTCCACGAAAAGCCAAAAAACGAGTGATCGAACGACCGCCATCAAGAAACGGAACCATACTGGGTCAACGGCAGTTATCTCTGAACAGGCGAAGATCCAGCCTGATGTTTGGGAGGCGGCGGAATGCTGAAAGACCTCAGCCCAGCCAAAACGGTAGAACCACCCCACAACTCCAGGAACGAGCATCAACTCCGTCGACCATTGAGGAAGAGGAAGATGGCCAGCACAAGCCTTCAGGTCCCCCTGTCCCTCGGACCATTGGAGTGGGAGTTTTGGACATTGCCAAAATCATGAGGGATGGCCAGCCACGAGAAGAAAGCGTCACCATATGGTCTCCATCACAGCGAGACGACGAGAAGCCGGGGGAGCCTAGCGCGCTGGCAGCGCAGCTCCTTGACAGCCCTAGCAGGGCTCTTGTTTTATGCACACCGATCTCCAGCGTCAATTTCAATCTGACTCCTTACACTGCGCCTGAGGCCGACACCCTGATTAAGAACACGCCCACATCGATGCACATGATCACCAAAACTCAAAAGATGGGCTTCTCAGAGGCGCCGTCCAAACCACGGACAGACATCTATCTTACTTTGGGCAAAGCAGTCTTGGCCCAAGGGTCCTTTTTGTCCCACCCTGAGGTGAACGTGGCGCCGATAAAGGCACATTCATTGCAGAACCTACAACTGACCATGGAAGTGCGAGACAATGCTGGACGGCGTGTGGAGCATTGTATATTCCCGTCGTCGAACGGAGCCGGAGTCACTGCCTTTCGAACCAATGCCGTCGAACTCGATCATAAGTGGGATCAGACGCTATGTTTGCGAGTGCCAACCGAGAAGGTACCAGAAAGTCACTTGGTTCTGAGTATTGCGGATGCCCCAGAATTCCCGTTTGCCCTGGCCTGGTTGCCGCTGTGGGATAAGCAAGCCTTCATTTCTGATGGCAAGCACTCGCTCGTCCTACACGCTTATGATAAGATCACATCCAGCATCAACCACGGCCGCGGTGCATATCTATCCCTAGCCTGGAACAATGCCAACTACAAGACCATCCACGAAGGTTCTTTGGCAACGATCGCTTCCCTGGAAGTATACACTCTTCTCTGCAGCACCGAATATTCGCAGGATCGAACCTTGGTCAGCCTCATCAATTGGAAGCATCAGACGTCGGTCCAATTGTTGGACATCCTCCAGAAACTCACGTTTGTGCCAGAAATCGAAATCGTTAAGCAACTCAGAGAGGTGCTGGACGCGCTGTTCGGAGTCCTGGTCCACAAGTCGGGGGAGTCCAAGTTTGAAGACCTTATCTTCAACGATATTGTTTGGGTGCTCGGAATTGTCCATGATCGACGGTTCAACCTGGGTCCTCTGATTGAACAGTACACCGAGAATCATTTTCGCTTCCCCTACGCTGCGTCGTGCCTGATTCGTAGCTTCACCAGACTTTTACAGAGTGTATCGGACCCTCAAAGTGCCCGTGATATGAGATCGTTGTTCAAAGTTGGCAAAAATTTCATGAGAATTCTGATCGTGTCGTATCAACAACGACGCTTTGGATCGCAACCCAGGGACAACGATGAGAAGCATTCGAGTTTCAAGGAAGATATGCAGGCGATCCTCTTTGGGCTGCAGATGATGATGCGCAGTGAGACTCCGGCACTCGTTGGGAGTAAAACTCTCCTTGTCCAGAAGTTCCACGACTGGCTTCCCGAACTGCTACCAGCCTTCAGCAAAGAAGAAATGATCAAAGTGGCCGTTGACTTCATTGACGCTTGTGACTCGGCCACGGGGAAATTGCTGTTATACAGAATCGTTCTGATTCTGAACTACACCAAGCTTGACCAGGTTTGGGTGGACGAGAAAGACCGGAAGACGCTTGTTAAGCACTGTATCCGATGGCTTTCGCCGTACTGGACCCCCAACAACCGCTCCGACAACTGGCACGACCAGGTCCGATTGTGCTGCTCGGTCGTTGCTGAGCTCACCCGATTCCCGACTTCTCACCTGCACGACTTCATGCCGAAACTCATCACTGCTTACAACACCATCGCGGATGGACCGCCGGCGAGACGGCGGTCCTTGTCCCTCCTTTTCGCAGATTCCTACCCGTTCGTCAGCAAGCCGTCCGAAGCGAATGATCAATTTGACGAAGCGCTCGTGGAGCTCTCCTCTCTCATCTCCACAATCGCCAAAACGAAGCTCCAGTCGAATCTCAAACTTCAGGGACAGGATCTCACTGAGTACATCATCTCGACGCTCAGCGTGCTTCGGTCTCTCCTCAAAAACGACGCATTCCCTGCCTCGTGGCTTAGCCTGCATATCTACCACCACTCATCCGCTCTGACGATCTTGAACCACCTCTCCTCGCTCCTCATCTCTTCTTACCTCCCGACACCAGAGGATGCGGATAGCTTTCACATGCAACTGTGGAAAACCTTTCTCGATACTCTCCTCAAGCTCGTGTCGTCGCCTGCTTTGACGCTCGAACTCTTTCCCGAACAGAAACGCCGGGCCGTGTGGAAAATTGCTGGCGACGTGCGCCAATATGGTGCCGACCTCTTGCGCAAAGCCTGGGAGAGTTTGGGGTGGGAAGCGACCGCCGATGACCAGCGACGATACAACATCCGCAGATTAGGAGGCTATCAAGTGCAGTATGTGCCCAGCCTCGTGGCACCTACCATCAGTCTCTGTCTGAGCATGCACGAAGGCCTCCGCAAGGTGGCGGTGGAGGTCCTCCAAACCATGATCGTGAGCGAATGGGCATTAAGTGAAGACCTTGAATTGATTGAGACCGAAATCATCGGGGCGCTTAACTCGATCCTGAAAGCCAAACCGGTGACGGCAAACGAGGCGGTGAGTCGCAAAGTATTCATCGCAGAGCTGCTAGAATTGTTCTCCACCATTGCCAATCAGCCGGATGATGCTCTGTGGACTGCGCTCGAAGAATTGGTGGGGACCGTCGAAGAGTTGGTCGACCTGCTCACGAGCACCGATCCGGAAGACGAACAGTACTTGAGGAACTCGTCGACCGCCACCTCGAACCACAACGGGCATGCACGTACCAACCATCAACGGCCCGGCAGCAAGGACGCAGACTCGCAGACGTCCGAGGCTAAAGAACTTGCTCGGGCGAGGAGAAGCATTGATGGCCTGTCACCCTCGTCTCAGCAACAGCGACAGCAGCACGGGCGAGACCGTGAATACGGGGTCCACGCCCTGGAATGTTACAAGCAGCTCGCCGAGGAGTACGAGAGGAATGGCGATTATAAGAGACTGGCAAAGACGCACCGGGCGATTGCCCGCATCCACGAGGCAAGGGCAGCCAGTCGGTTTGGTGGGCGGGAGGCGAACGTGAATGGCTCAAGGATGGGAAACAGGGATGACGATGGAGAGGAGGACGAGTTATAGAAGCGTGTGGGCTGTGCAGAGAACGGAAAGCAAGATGGCATTGAATGGGTTTGATACCCTTGGGCTGGCCGAATTCGAGAGAAAAGCTTGGTGTTTGTGTGTTCTCGGAGCGACCTGGCTTTTCAACGATACCCCAACCTGTTTCCTAGACGAGGAGGAGGGCGTGGTAAAGGCAGAGGATTCCATTCTTTGATCCTGGGGGGTTTCGCCATTTTTTCCCTTGTCTTTACAGCTTTTGCGAGTGATTTCAATTAGCGAGAATCCGAGCCTGAATGGACATGTATGTCTGTCTCCCCTTTCTATTTCCCGAGACCTGTTGGGGAATTTCTCCTCCCTTCTCTTTTGGATACACCTTATCTAGACTGGTCAGACGAATATCGACAGCAGATCTCATCAGTCTGTCCTAAACTACGAAATTATGGCGAGTTAAGTGGGGGACGTATGCAGTCTGGATCGGGCGACGGATTGCAAGTGACACAAGTCCGACAGGGACATTTCCCACAAGAGAGAGATAGAGGGAGAGAGAGAGTCATGCCGTGTCTATCATGCATGCACGTCCACGGAGATGGGTCCCCCGTTAAACTCCATGCCCTGCATCGGGACGAAGACCAGGGCACTGCACTGTAAGGGCATGAGCTCGGTGAAGCGAGTGTTCTTTCGGTCGAGACGGAGACTCGAGCCACGCATCTGGCCGAAGTCATGTACCATGTTTACTTTGGTTTCTGCCTGCCTACGATAATAGGAGGGAGGGAAGTCGTTAGATCCAATGGACAGATAAATAGACGGGCGACCATCTACCCATCTATCTCGTCGTTCTTCTTCTTCTTTCAAAGGGTCGTTCTCTGTCTGTGTATCCTTTTCCTCCTCACGCCTCAACACAATACATACCAAACCTCCTCCAATTCAAGGTTCGGCGACAAACTATCAATCCCCTTCGCCCGGCTGGCTCGCTCGATCAATCGGCCGAACAGCGACAAAGACGCCCGCGCCGGAAGGGATTCCGTGATGGGTGCGTGACTGACTGGCTGATTGATAAGATAATCAGGCAGACAAGCTCTTTTTTTCTCCATCCCACCAGACGGGACGGCGGTCGAGGGGTGGGTGTTTAGCTCCGCAGGCCGCGTTGCCGTGCGTGCGTTCATTGATTGAGCGATTCATCATTTCTACAATAAATTAGGACAAGGAGAGAGAGCCTCATGCCCTCCCAATCCACACCTGCACCTACACCTACACACCCACCTCCTCCCTCCGGCTCCTCCTCCTCTAAACCCCGCGCCCTCAAGTCCTCCAGCATGTCCTTCCTCCGCAACGTCAAGACCTTCCTCACGCCCTCGTCGTCGGGGTCGCACCTGGCCGGCGCCGCCGACAGTGGCGGCTTCACCACCGCAAAAGCCGAGACAGACCTCTTCCCCGCGACGGACCCGGCGGTCGACGGCGACGAGTGCCTGCACGACTGCGCGTCATGCACCGTGCACTACCCGACCAAATTCTCCATCGATGAGAGCGACCGGCTCTTCGGCCACGTCAAGGGCTTCAACGTCCATTTGCTCGTCGGCACCGGCAAGTCCGACTGGGTCCGCGACGTCACCGACGAGAAGGGCTCCGTCATGCAGGCCGTCGGCAAGGTCGGCCTGGACCTGAGCGGGAAGCGTGGCCGCGTCATGCTGAGCGCGAGCAACTTCCCCTCTGGCGAGGAGTGTCACGGCGACGCCGAGGAGCCCGGCACCAGCGACTGCATGATCCTCCCCAGTTGGGTCGTGGTCGAGAAGGTCCGGCCCAGTCAGGCCGCCAGACTCATGAAGGAGGTCGTGGACAGAAGTGTCCGGAATGACATGCCGGTCGGCGCGAAAAGAACAGAAGTGGTCAATGGGAATGGCCATGTGCCGTCGCCCGCTGCGGGAGAGCGTGACCAGAAGACTACTACTACCACTACCACCACTACGACAGGGCCGCAGAACGAACAAGAGCGGGACGACGTCCCGGACGTGGCTGGTTTGCAGATTGGAGGCGGCGCGGAACAATCATCACAGCAAAACAGCTCACAGCAGCAGCAGCAACAATCATCATCACAGAATACAACGCTAGACCCGGCACCACTGCCGCCATCCATCTCCTCGTCCTTCAAAGTCCGCCCGATCCCTCATTCCTACCTCATTCTCATGTGCAGCCAAAAGACCCGCGACGCCCGGTGCGGCCAGTCCGCACCTCTCCTCCGCAAAGAATTCGAGCGTATCCTCCGCCCCATGGGCCTCTATCGCGACCTTCACGACGATCGACCCGGCGGCGTCGGTATATATTTCATCAGTCACGTCGGTGGCCATAAATACTCAGCCAACGTGATGATTTATCGCAGACAAGGACGGAAGAAAGAGGTGGGAGGGGACGACGTTGATCTGGACGGGGAGAAATTGGAGAAAGAGGCGGTACAACTGATTTGGCTCGCGAGGGTGAGGCCGGAAGACTGCGAAAACATTGTGCGATACACAGTTTTACAGGGAAAGGTCGTCAAGCCCCAGAGGCAGCTAAGGGGTGGTTTCGATCGCGAGAGAGGGGTGACGAGTTGGTAGAGCTCTGCTTGCACATACTTTACAAATACATGGGTATTGCCGTGAAAACGGTCATGGTCGCACAGCGTGAGGCATCGTATGGGACTGGGTCGCATTAGAATAGCCATAGATGATAATATAAACCCCGGGCACCGTCACTCGAGATTCTGCAGCTCATCAGTAGTGGCACTTTAAAGCAACATTTTGCGAGATTCTATAAGTCTGGTTTGATATCTTGAGGTTTGGAATGTAGACAATAGTCTTGGTTTTGCCCAATGATCATGCCTCGACGAGGCTCAAATACACCAAGCTTGGGAATAAGACGTCTCCCCCTACTACCTCAGCCCACCGAGCTGACAAAGTCCCCGTTCGGAAGGAAAGCCCGAGATCGCGAGGATCTCAAGGGCCCCCTTCGTCCCAAGAACCGAGCTCAGGAAATGGGCCGGCCCTCCCCGTGAAGAGAGGGCGAAGGATTCGGAAGGGTTGCTCTCAGTTCTGTCGACCGGGAAATAAGACATTAATGGGGGTGCTGTTAATGGCTCCGCGAGAATGGTCGAGACGTCACAGGCACTGCGACCTCACACTACCACGCGATGGGTAGGAAGGGAGCGTCTGCGACACAGAACTTTTGGATGAAGGAAAAAAAAGGAAGAAAAGAAGGAGGAAACACAGAAGATGTTTTAGGGCGCTCGAAAAATTATGCCAAGATTTCAATAGCGCTAAGACCGATCTGGTTAGGGGGACTGTAGATTGCCTGGTCGCCTCCGCGGGCCGAATTGTTCAGAACTTCTTGCCTGCGCTGGCTGACCGACCTGCTATCTTCATCAATCGGTATCTCTGTTGGCAATTCTCCAGAATCGCCTCGAACCATGGCTGCCCCGGCGGATATCGAGCAGATGAACAAGCTCAGAAAGAGCCTGGGCCTCCCCTTGTTGAGCGTAAGTGGACAACCTCCACAGTCATCTGAAGGACCAACATTCAAAGAATCCCGAAGAAGAAGAGACGAGGACGCCGACAGCGACGACCAGTATGATGATCCGGCATCCACCCTCGAGACCCGCGAAGCCGCCGGGTACGAGAATTGGAACCAATTGCGCGAGGAGGAGAAGAGGCGCGCTCTCCGCGAGCAGCGGAAAAGGGAGATCCAAAGACAACGGGACGCCGAGGCCAAGAAGAAGAAGCTCGAGGGTAAGGGCCTGGGAGATGTCGATGACGAGGGCGATCTGGACACAAAGGCCTGGTTGAAGGGCCAGAAGAAACGGCAGTCCAAGATCGAGCGGGAACGTGCCGAGCGACTAGCACGGGAACTGGCGGAACGTGAGAAAGAGGCAGCCGTCGAGTACACCTCCAAGGACCTTGCTGGAGTGCAGGTCGCGCATGAAATCGGTGATTTCGACGAAGGCATTGGAGAGCAGATCTTGACGCTGAAGGATACGGAGATCGGCAAAGGGGATGACAGTGAGCAGGAAGACGTGCTGGAGAATGCAGATATTGTGGCGAGAGACAAAGTCCAAGAGAAATTAAAACTCAAGAAACGGAAGGCCTACGATGTCAATGACGACTCTGAAAAGGGACTTTTGGCACAGTACGATGATAAGAAGCGGAAAGCGTTCACGTTGGATGGCCAGGGCGCTACTATTGAAGAACGCGAGGCCAAACGCCAACAAATCGGCGAAAAACTCAAGAATACTGTCAGCCTGGACGTCCTCAAGGCCGAGCCGGTTTCGGACTACTTGGAGATCAAGATCAAGAAGCCCAAGAAGGAAAAGAAGAAGTCCAAACGCCAGAAACTGGTGGATGAAGATGATGATATCTTCCCCAAACAGAACAGTGGCAATGGCGATTCCATGGAGATCGATTTCAGAAGCACTGCTCCTGCTCCGACGAGGTCTCGAGCTGCAGATGATCATTTTAACGATGACGAAGATCTTGCGAGTGCCCTTGCAAGAACCCGGGCCGCAGTACTGAAGAAGCAGAAACGAAAAGCCGAAGACATTGTCAAGCTACTGAAACAAGAAGAGAACGGCGAAGCTGAGGCGGATGGAGAGGCCGACGTTGGCCTTGTGCTCGATGACACCACCGTCTTCCTTGACAACCTGTCTTCGCGGCCAAGGGACGAGCAGCCTGAACGCAGCGTGAAGAAGTCCATCGAGAAGGTCGAGTCAGAGAGTCCCGCTCGGCAGGTGAAAGTGGAAGATGAAGACCACCCGATGGGCGAGGCTTATAGTGGGATTGAGAACGAGGAGGAGCTCCTCGATCGAATCAAGCGCGAACGTTCAACCGTGACGCCAGAAGTCCCGCACACAGGTCTCGAAGAGGAAAAGACCCTCGATCAGGGCGTGGGAGCGGCTCTCAGTCTTCTCCGGCAACGTGGTATTCTCAAAGAGAGCGATGCGGGCGAGCGCAACTCTCTCTACAAAGATCGGCAAAAATTCATCATCGAGGCGCGTTTGCGCGAGCACGAGAATGAGATGAAAGCTCGAATGCAGCGTGAGAGAGACCGCCAGTCGGGCAAGCTGACAGGCATGTCTGTCAAAGAACGAGAAGAACATGCACGCTGGCAAAACACTCAGCGAGAGCACCAATCTTCCATTCAAGCTGCAGCCGCCTTCAACCGAGAGTACAAGCCGGATGTGCAGATCAAGTACGTGGACGACGATGGCAGGATCATGAATCAGAAGGAAGCTTTCAAGCACCTGAGCCACCAGTTCCACGGGAAGGGTAGCGGGAAAATGAAGACAGAGAAGCACCTCAAGAAGATTGCCGAGGAGAAGAAACGCGAGGCGACCAGCATTCTGGATAGTAGCAAGGCTACAGGAATGATCAACGCTCAGGGCACGATGGGCAAGAAGAACAAGGAGGCTGGCGTAAGGCTGGCGTGAATACGGAGTATGCATACAGGGTATAACATAAGGGGATGCCTGATCGTTGGTGAGGAGCAGAACAGATCATTATTGGGTGGGCGGGTGTCCGTGAGCCCTCGGGGAAGCTTGGAGACAGGCACCACGAGGTAGAGCTTGCAGTTATTCCGATGGGCTGCGAGCCCCTAGAATCAATCATACCCATTGGCCGCACCCAGCTATATCCACACCTAGTGCCTGGTGGTCCGCCCACGCTTTGGGGTTCCCAGGGAACGCGCCCTTCCCCCAAGTTTCAATTCCAGGTACCGAAAAGGCAAGGCAGCAAAAACGTAATTGAAATTTTTTGGAGAAGCAATTTCACGCAGACAGTTTGAACTGCACCAGACAAAGACCATTCTATCCATCCACACCCATATCATCCAAGCTCTTTCAGATTTCATCTCTTCGTGTCTCTCATATCTCTAATCATTCTCCAGGGATCCCGGAAGAGATATATTGGGTTCTCTCTGCTGTCTCTCGTGGACTCAAGTACCCTTGAGTCATTGTACAACAAGCACCTTCCCCCTCAGACCAAAGGAGCTGGAGCTTGAGCTTGCGCTGGCTTTTGCTCCGAGATAGAATCTTTTCTTGCTATCTGTCTTAGAATCTCAGCTTTTCTTCCACCTCCAAACATGCTCTCGACCCTCCGACCAGCAGCTGCTCGCTCGGCTCTGCGCCACCAAGCTGCGACCGCCACGCAGGCCATCCGCATCGCGAACGCATCGACATGGGCGAACGTCAAGGAAGGCCCTCCTGATGCCATCTTGGGCATCACCGAGGCCTTCAAGAAGGACAGCTTTCCCGAGAAAATCAACCTTGGCGTCGGCGCATATCGTGAGTGAGCACCGCAGACGGAAATAACACGTCTCCCTCTTCGTCCTTGCTTCTTGTTCTGTACCGGAATAAGAAGAAGAAGGCACACATGCTCATGGAAGCTGCTGACATTCTATTCTCTGTGGTCTCTTTGCAGGCGACGACAAAGGCAAGCCCTACGTCCTCCCCAGCGTGCGTACCGCCGAGCAGAAGATCGTCTCCTCGTCCCTCGATAAGGAATACGCCGGCATCACCGGTGTGCCCTCGTTCACAAAGGCCGCGGCGCTGCTCGCCTACGGGCCCAACTCGAAACCCATCCAGGAAGACCGCGTCGCCATCACCCAGTCCATCTCCGGCACCGGCGCGCTGAGAATAGGCGGCGCTTTCCTCGAACGCTTCTACCCGGGCGCAAAGACTATCTACATCCCCACCCCGTCGTGGGCGAACCACAAGGCCGTCTTCTCCGATTCGGGGCTCGAGGTCAAGCAGTACAAGTACTACAATAAGGACACCATCGGGCTGGACTTTGACGGCATGATCGCGGACCTCAAGTCCTTCCCCTCTGGCTCCCTCGTCCTACTGCACGCCTGCGCACATAATCCCACCGGCATTGACCCGACACCGGAACAATGGCAGCAGATCGCTCAGGTCATGAAGGAGAAGTCGCACTACCCCTTCTTCGACATGGCTTACCAGGGCTTCGCGAGCGGTGACACCAACAAGGACGCCTACGCCGTGCGCCACTTCATCGACCAGGGCCTCGGTCTCTGTCTCTCGCAGTCTTTCGCCAAGAACATGGGTCTGTACGGCGAACGGGTCGGCGCCTTCAGCATCGTGTGCGACAGCGCCGAGGAGAAGAAGCGCGTGGAGAGTCAGATCAAGATCCTCGTGCGGCCTTTGTATTCCAACCCTCCGGTCCACGGAGCCCGGATTGCCAGTGAGATCCTGAACGATGCCGGCTTGAACAAGCAGTGGCTCGGCGAGGTCAAGGGCATGGCCGACCGGATCATCGAGATGAGGGCGCTGTTGAAGAAGAACCTCGAGGAGCTGGGAAGCAAGCACAACTGGGACCACATTACGAACCAGGTATGTATCAGAAGCCCGAGGAGGGGCTCGGGAGACAATCGTTTCTCTTTCTTTGCCCTCCCCTCCCCAGCATTTTGCACGGCTACGATGGATTGAACGCTAACATGCGCGCTTTTCTTCTAGATTGGCATGTTCGCCTACACTGGCCTGAAGCCTGAACAGATGGACAAGTTGGCAAAAGAACACTCGGTGTACGCGACCAAGGACGGACGTATTTCCGTGGCGGGCATCACCACGGACAACGTCAAGAGACTGGCCGAATCGATCTTCAAGGTGACTGGTTAAGATACACTTGAGAACTCGTCTATGTTTTGGCATGAGAGGGCAAGAGGTGTTGGGTAGCCGTGGAGCTTCAACACTGGAAGGTCGACGATTCATGCATGTGTGTGTGTGAGGGGTGGAGGGGGGGGGGGGGGTGCGAAGACTGCTGCGGCGGTCTGGGTGTGCGGGGGGGTGTGGGGGGGGAGCTTCCAGCAGCCAGGGAGAGGGGGGCGGGGGGCGAGGGGAGGTAGAGACCGGCGCACTCGCAAGAACAGAGAGACAGGCGGCTTAGCGTTCCCAATCTGCACGTTCCTGCTTCATGCTTTCACAGCAGCAGCACCCATGTATCAAAAATGATGGCGGGCACAGGTCCAGCATTTTACTATCCGGGGATAGAACACGGAGGGAGGTGGTGAGGCGAGGGGCAAAAGTCATCACACATAGATTAGAAGGAGCAAAGCATGAAAGGGAAGCATACATGACATAGATTTTGGTGAGGTGATGACAGATCAGATCATCTGAGATCAGTTGCCCCCGGTCGCTTTCCTTCATTCCTTCCTTCCTTCCGTCGTCTCATTAGTTTCGCATGAACACGGAACATATATATACGTACACACACAGAGAGAGAGTAGAGTATTGTTGGAATTGTGTTTGTCATTCTGTTTCAGAACCTGCGGGAGGGAGTTGGTTTGGTGCCACCCTCTCTTTCTCTCTGTATCTCCTTCCTCTCACTTCTACTTGTACCTGGACATGTTCATAGGTATGTAAGTCGAAGCCTTTAACCGAACTTTACCTACCAATGGTGGGTGCCTTTGTAAAAGAGGGTTTCTCGTTTCCGACCGACCAATGAGAGGGAAAAGGAGAGAGAGCGAGAGAGAGAGAGAGAGAGAGAGGGGGGCGGCGGAACATGTTCCCAGGACAGTGGGAAGGTAAAAGCAAACGAGAACAAGAGTGAGGTGCCCGCTGCCTGCGATGGCTTGGTTGGTTTGCTGCTTGGTTAGCCCATTCCAGTCCAGTCGCAATCCGGGCGCGCGGGCGCAGGGGAACACGGCACGGAGATGAGTACCGGAGAGAGGAGATCGATCATAAACCACAGAACTTCTCAAAAAGTAACCGAGATATGTAGTAGAATGCCAAGGTTATTTATTCCCCGATAAGTCTGGTGGAAAAGGGAACATGAGCTGTTTATACTTGTCCTCGGAACAGATCGTCGAGAGCCGTAGGAGAGCAGAGCCCTTTTGGGCCTCCTCCTCTCTTCTCTGCAGCTATCGAAGTGGCCATGTGGGCGACATGGGGGTAACATGCAACTAAGAGGACGATGTCCCGGTTTACCTTTGGTCCAAGGGGACCCCTATACAGGGTGTTCCGGCATCGATTCCCAACTGCAGAGATGGCTACTGGCTGCCGCTAGCCCTCACCGCTGAATGCCTCTGGGCTTTCCCTTGCTTCGATTGCTGGTACCCCAAAGGTCTCCTCAGGCTGGCAGGTCCCGCGGGGGCAGACGGTTCCGGCCGCAGTGGAGGGAAGACCGTTGGAATACCAATACCATGAAGCACCAGTTGACCTTTTGTTCGTATTTCAGCAGCCAGCCAGACCAGACAAATGCCGGTCAAACTGCGTTTTGGGAACTCCTTGTTGAAGGTGGGGAGACGCTGGGTGCTTTGTCCGGAACATCTTTTCTGGCCTTCCCTTCGAGCTCCCGGTCTTCAGTGGCGCAAATCCTAGGGCCCTGGCGTGATGCCAGCCGAATGGACGCCCAGCTGCGGGTTGACATCATTGGCTCCGTGGCCCCTTTCGCCTCTGCTTGCTTTTCGTTTCTTTTCTTGCAGCTTCAGTGCCCGCGTGGGCTGTAATCCCACATGGGACCAATCAAGCCTCATCCAGCGCTTAGGTGACCCCTTTGGAGAAGACCTCGTGCTGGCGGCTGCCATATACTCGTCGTGGGCTCTCCGTGTTGCTGTTTCGATCGTCTGTGCGCCCGTGCGACCGTGATGGGACCCTGGATGTCCGTCGACGTCATCGCGCAGGGTAGAATTGAGGCAAAATCCTTGACGTCCGAGGGAGACAGCGTAGCAGCAACTCACGGGGGCAGGGTCAGTTGGTAAAAAAACGAGGGGCAACGGTCCCTCCAACACCTCCACCGCGATGGCAACTAGCTACCCTCCCTCCCCCGTGGAATTTTCGAAGGCTGGCGGCGCAGAGCGGCGGACTGAACACTCTGCCCAGAGGGAATGAATTGTAGTTGCACAGGCCATGCCGTCAGCTTTCCCAATTCATGCTGTATCAGTGTCGATCTGCCGTCGTCCTGGCCGGTAACACGACTGTTTCGGGGATGGACCCAACTGTGCGGCTGCTCGTTGGCTCCAGCTTCTGGGGAGTCTAATATGCTCCTCCTGCAGGATAAGAGGAGTGGCAGCAGACTCGTGGGCGACCACACACACCCAAAAAGCATTCCACCTTCCGAAGTCCACTAAAAGTGCTGGTGGTGGCCGGTGCGATTGGGGAACCACAAATAAGTCACCTCATCTCTTGAGTCACTTGTTCTCCGTTCCAGCAGGGTATTCCCCACGCGACAAGCCACCGGTCAGCTTACCGAGGCCGAGATACGAGTTGGCTGGGGCTGGAAAGGACGGGATGTGGTTCTGTCTCTGCGTAGGGAGGGATAGGAGGAGCAGGAGAAAAAGTCTGGTTTGGTTTGGTTTGGTTTGGTCTGGTCTGGTCATCGGAAGGGAGGAGGAGCGAGAATGAATAATGGGTCTCTGTCGAGACGAGAGACGGGCGACGGGGACGGGGACTGGAGGTGGGATGGGCGGGTATCTCAGGCCGTTCGTGGCTGTCTGCTTGCCGTATCTCTCGCTCCCTCTCTTCTGATATTACCCATAGGCTCCAGTTTTGTTCCTTGCCGTCCTGTCCCTAGCCGATTGAGGTGTTGAAAATCCCTTCAGCCTCGAACTGGTCCATGGTTGTAGAGCAGGACCCCTCACAGTCGCCAAGCAGACACACTCGTCCCCGGATTTCTATCTCTTTGCCCTCAGCTCAACATCATCACCATCTCTGCGGGTATACCGACAAGGGTGCTTCGGACACGGTCGAGTTTCAGGGTCCTCCTCCTTTCTTCCTTCTTGTTCCATTCGTGTCTCTGGCCGCGTGCCAGTGTGAAGTGGGATTGTGCTTGGCCCCCGCTTGCTTTTGGGACGACGACGCTTTTGGTGGTTGATCTGCGTTGCCGGACGGAGATCTTGGGCTCGGTTGCTCGCGAGACAAAACGCATATCGCAGGCCAGCAACCATAGGGACGTAGCCGGTTGACCCGAGTTTCGCACAAGAGAGCAAGGCCTGGTGAGCCTGAGGTACGTTGGCAGGGGTTGGTGATGCCCCTCTTCCCCAGTAGGGTGTCTAGTCGCTGTTGTGCCGCCCTTGTAAAAAAGACAAAAAAAAAGGTCGCAGAGGAAAACAAGAGCCCGCCAGATCTGTTCCTGATATCATTTTGCAGGTTATTGCTTGCTGTCCCTGTTCAGCCTCAACCCCCGGTCGTGGGTGAGAGAAAAAAACATCCAAATTCCAACGACTTTTTGGGTGCCCTGCCGCCTCCCTTCGCCGCAGACTCGAGCATCTCCATCTCTGTTCCTGGTCTTCAGGATCAGCAATCGACGACGACATCGGACGTACGTCACGTCCCACTGGTCCTAACCCAGGCTTCATTCGACCTTTGTCCCTTTCCAATTCGCTCCGCTACCAACGGCTGCCGGCTTCGTCTTCTGGCATTTTATGACACTCCAGTGTGTTCCTTCCTCCATCTACAATCTCATCGTCGGACCCTCAAGCGAGTTGATCTTTTGCTGATTTCTGGTTGCCAAAAAGTACTCAACCCCCCTTCCCCCCATCCTGGTCGTGCCTTGCATTGATTTACTGTTTACATTTTTCCTTTGTGGATTCTGAGGTCGGTCGAACCTGTTTGAGCCTCGCCACACGCGCACCAGGGTTTTAAGTCTCGATCTCATCATCTTACCAACCCGCTGACACCATGCCTGCAGGCAGACCACGCCTCCTAGATTCCTATCTGCTATCCTTATCTTCATCAACGACTCCCGACTCCCGACAACACCATCACTGGGTCTACAACCCCGTAAACGCCTGCCACGGTCTTTGCAAGAAATATCGACAGAGGGGCGAACGAGTCGGTGACGCCCTCCCTTATTACGCAGCAAGTGGTAGCTCATAACTCGAACCCATCTTACGCATTGCACACAAATATCACACCATTATCCCACCGACACGGACGACCATGTCCGAAGAAGTAAGTACGACAAGCAAACAAACAAACCAACCGAGCCGGCTTGTTCCCGGGCAAGGGGGAGGCTCAAAGTGTCGTACATTTACCGTCGCTGACTCGTTGGCGCGCCACAGATCGAATTCGACTTTGGCGATAATGTCGAGAAGGGCACGTTTGAACAGATTCTCGACATGGATGAGGAAGACGATCGTGACTTCAGCAAGTCAATAGTCTTTGGCTTTTTAGAGCAAGCAGAACAGACCTTTAGCAAAATGGACACTGCCATGTGAGCCCACATGTCGTCCGAGGCTCGCTGGCCTGACTGACCCATGGTTTCCACAGGAAAGAAAAGAATCTCGCCGAACTTTCCAGCCTCGGCCACTTTCTCAAGGGCTCGTCTGCGACACTGGGTTTCACAAAGGTGAAGGATGAATGTGAGAAAATCCAGCACTATGGACACAAGAAAAACGAGACTGGCGAAGCCGACGAACCTGACGAAGAAAAGTGCCTGAAACTCATTGGTGAGAGCCTCGCCGAGGCCAAGCAAGCTTATGAAGTCGTCAGCACCCTGATGAAGCAGTTCTACGCCGACCCTTGATGCATTTTCGGCTTCACGAAATTACCCTTTCTGCGCGCGAGCACTCGCACAGTGCCACCTGGGGCGATGTTCCGACGAGAGATATCTTGGACCTGGACCAGTTGGCTTGTTTAATGAACTGAACGAGACGACAGCACTCATTCGCACCTCTGTCGAAGGGCATGCAATACGCTGTGCCAGCGTGGATTGCGGCCAGGTTCCCTCCCCCACGACTCCTCTTTACATATGGCATGCTTTAGACTGCAAGATATCATGGTTCATTGGTTCTATTTGGGACAGGGTCGAAATCGGGCATCATTCGTCATCGAGCTGAGGACTGACAGAACAGAAATTCTTGCATTACTGTTCGGGGCTGTGAACCCAAGAACGGATACATAGTAACCCCTTCATCACACCCCATTTCTTTCGAGGCAATATTCTTTGCTCCCGTTGTGGTTCTTCTGATGCTGCCTTGGACTGATCATGTAGCCACAGTTCTCTTGATGCTTTTTCTCCGCATCGACTTCGACTTGTTCGGACACAGTGATTCCTGATTTCGACAGACTATAGGCCCGTCTCTTCCTCGCTCAATAGGCCGATCCTCTCGATCCTCTGGCTCCGGGAAGCATCATGCCTTCACAGGAACATGTTGTCACGAGTTTCACCATTACAACACCGTACCGCTCCGACTTTCAACTTCAAATAATATACAAAGAATGCTGTGCCAGCAAGCAAGATATCTGCCTCTCCGGGCCGACGAGACACATGCGACAAGCCAACAGGGTGTAAGGTCATGCCCAATTTTCGATCGACCGAGTAACTAGGCATCTAAATATGCAAATCATGATTCACCATCTCCCTGTGACTTGGTTGGCACTTTTCGGTACGTTCGCTATACAGGCGGACGCCATCACTATCGGTGTCGAGAAGCACTCGGTCCTCACATGCCGCCAAAGAAAGCTAAGGGCTGGTGACACACCTTACGACAGCTTAAGATGCAAGCTATATCCACGCCTGTTGACACCGAACCTTGTAAAGACACAGATGACACGGTGGAAGCGGTGTGCTGCTTGAGGGTACACATTGAGTGATGGTGCCTTCTACGGATGTCCATGGCTGTCAAGGCTACGACTACGGCAGGGAAAGGATCCATGGACGGCCCTTGAACTTTCGCCTTGCATATTTCCCAGGCGCAACCACGAGCCGCTCCTACCTACCATGTGGTACGCGCCTAGCCCTTCCGTCGGGTTTCCCAAGGAGCAGGCAGGACAACGTTGGTGACAATCTCCTTCAGGGACGAGAGAGGGTTTGTCTGTCTGTTGGTGGATGGAACAGATTGATGGTGGAGGAGCTCTTTTCGGAAGAGGAAAAGAGAAGATCCGTCCTTCCCCGGAGGATTCGGGCACCAGCTAATATATCGCCATCCGAAGGTCTGCTCCGGTCGATCGACTCCGGTGAAGCTATGAAAGAATGAGGAGGAGGAAGACGTCGTCATCTTCATCGTCCTTTTCACTCTGTCTGGGATCTGTTTGTTCGGCGTCGGTGCTGTCGTTGTAAGGCGGAGGCTGGCTGGCTGGTTCGCTGAGGACAGATGCCTCCTTATACTATACCATATACCAGCATCGAGAGGCGCGAGGAGACCACCACCACCACACCTGGTACCGAGTGCCCATCTAGGATCCTGCAGGGCTGTTTGTCGCCATCCGTTTTCCCTGTCTACGTGCCTGTGTGCCTGCGTGCCTACGGAGCAAGGGAACTACCTATTTATTAACTGATGAGCCGTCTCAAAAGGAAAAAGGGGGGAAAGTAAAACAGGTAATGAATTCTATTCTAGAATTACTCTCAATGGTGGTAATGTAAGAAGAACAAAAAATCCAACAAAACAAAACACTCAGTAGTGCGTCGATCAGACAAGAATGTCGTCGTCGTCGTCGTTTGAGAACGACGATGCTGCTGGTAACTCCGTGTGATAATCCAAATGCCGCCCATAGACCTGCTCGAGTCGCTGCACCCAGCGATTGCTGTTGCCCCGTTATTGCGCCATTGTCCATAATTGCACCCCGTGCAGTACACGCAACGCCGCAAGTCCTCCGACCGTTGGTTGACCTCCAGATTTGCCGTAACCCCCGACTGACTACCAGACGCCATGATGCTGCTGCTGCCGGATAAACTAGGAACATTTCCCTCTTCCCAAAGCCAAACCTCGACCCGCCTTAGTCTGCTCCAACCGTCAGGATCCCCTTTGTCTTAAGACAAATGTTAGAAGCAGGACTTGTTAGTTGCCGTCCCCACTGTCGACAGGCATGGCTGTTCTTGGCTTGAATAAATAAATAGTGACTGAAAGCTTGAGTTTCTTCGTCTGGGTTCGACACCCTCAAAGGCCATGCGGTCCAAGTAGACAGCTCGACATTCTTCTCACCGGATCGTCCCAAGAAAAATCCTTTGATGGCTTGGGGACACTTCCTCCGGCGATGATCGCCAGAGCCGCGGTCATGTCCAAGCTCTGGAACCCTTTTCCCAGAGGTTGGGGAAGGATCAAGATGCCCCCGTGCTACATGACGTAGCGTTCCTGTCGTGTGTCTTGGACAGTCAGTGGCATTGAAGTCCATTCGGCCGGGAGGGATACGTGGTGAGACAAGTGACCATGACGAGGTCGAAGACCATAGTCCTCTGGCTCAGTGCTTTGTGGTCTCCGAATAGCACTTCCGGGATAATAGAGCGGATGGCCACCGAAGCCAGGATCCGGATAACCAAAATTGTCCAATGAGGTCGGTGTCGGCAGCGTTCCGCCACCCGGTGACCCCCATACCAGGGCTCCCAAGTGAGGAGATGTGCTGCCACTGGCGGTGCCGTTGGCGGGAGGCTCCAAAGGTTGAGGTGGTCCGTATGCTGGCGGATGAGAAGTGACTGGTCTCTGTTGTGGCGCACTCGTATAGTTCTGAAGAGAATGGCTAGTCAAAGGTGGTGTCGATCGGGGGGAGTTTGGCCCAAAGTCAGAGCGCATGTGAGGGGGAAGGGAATGGGTCTGGGGTAAAAATCCATAGTCCGACCCTTGTCGTTGCATGCCAGTGGCGAGAGGTGGAAGCTCTGCATGCGGGGACATAGACAAGGTTCTATCAGCGGGCGACGCCGTCGAGTTTCTCGAAGAGCCTCCTGAGGTGGACTCGTAAATAGGTTGATTCCGAGGCTGAGCTGGTGCTAATTTCGCTTCAACCTCGGCGGCTGCTTGCTCCATGGTGCCCGTATGTTGAAGTTCGTGCCTCGTTAGTGTGGTACGTCTGGTGAAAGTCTTTTGACAATTTGCCCAGGGACATCTATATGGACGCTGTCCCGAGTGAATACGCCGGTGCCGTGCGAGGGAGCTGGAGTCCGAGAATGGCTGGGGTGCCAGTCAGTCTCAGGTGTAGGAGATCAAATGCGGATCATCATCGTTCAGACTCACCTTCCCACAATTAGCACAGAGGTGCGGTTTCTCTCCTGTGTGGACTCTGACGTGGACAGTCAAGGCAGATCGTTGTATAAATGACTTGTTGCAGCCCGGGTGCTCGCAGGCATGAGGCCTGTCACCGCTGTGTATCCGTTCTTATTGGAGGTTAGCAGGTTGTCCATGTTATGTACAAATTCAAGACGACTCACCGTGCCTGGCAAGATCACTGCGTCGTGCAAATACTTTCGAGCAAGTACCGCAATGATGCGATTTGGCAGCTGTCTCGCTCTTTCCTGTCGCAGGGGCCATGTTTTCGTCCGAGACCGTGCTTTGGCTATCATGCCTTGGCATGTAGCTGTTGGCAGCGTACAATGGAGGACTCCCCTGGGGTGCCGCCACCATACTGTACGGCACGGCATGATTCTGTGGGATAGGCGGCGGGTGGTGAGCCATGATTGTTGGCCCTTGGTCCATGCTATATGACGATGGTACCCTCATGTGCAGCGAGTGTTGAAAACGGCTCAGATCTTCGCGGCCTTCCGGATGATTCCTCGAATTCAGGAGCGTCGAAACGTCCATTCCTCCCTTGGCGGGAAGAGATAGAGACGGTGCGAAAGCTCGTGGATAGACAGCCCGGACCTGAAGGTTTGGGAGATGTGGGAAATTGAGCCCGAGGTTTGATGACTGCATGGTTTTGGCTTGTTAGCAGAGTGGTACACAGAAGAAACAACCACGACGACGACGGGAGACGAGGGTCGAGGCATTGAAAAACACCTTGGCCTTTAAAGGATCAGTGCTGGTTCGAAGAGGGTCAAGGCGTCGTGGCACGCAGACGCTCATGCCTTCGCGTCCTTGTTGATCCGACGACCAGAATGGCCGAGAGCCTCAATGCCCAGTCCATTGTTCCGACAACGACCACCAGATGGCCTAGGGGTTTGTATCTTACCTAAATCAGTAGCAAGTGGTTGACGAGATGCTGAAAGAAGAGGCAGAAGGGGGAAGCAGCTGAAGAGTGGCGGACGAAGAGCCCCTACGCCCAACAGGAATGTCACAAACCAAGGGGTGCAGCAATGCTGGTATTCCCTTGGCAACCAGGCAATTCTCCTCTCCGAGACAAGTTCTTTGTCGACGCCAATGACTCGGGCCTCTGGTCCTATGACGCCAAACTGGATGGTTTCCGGTCTGGATTGGGACGGCAATGTTCTAGGTCTTGGTCAACCAGTTTGGGGAATGAGGCAGTCGTCGGAGTGGCTGGACGCAGGAGTGAAGAAGACAGGTTCCCGTTCCCTGCACTCTGATGAATTGCCACGTCCTCGGGGGGTTCTTGGAATTTTGCAACTCGGATCTGCGGCACCAGATGGTATGTAGGAATGAATGAGGTGTGGTGTGTTGTTGAATGTTCAATGTTCACTCGGCCCTTTCACTTTTCCAATACCCCAATCAGAGACGATCCCAACACCGATGGAATCACTCCTTTCGAACACGGGAGGGTCGGCCCAAATATAGGGAACCAGAAGGTCAAGACTCGTCTTAATTGTCTTTGTAGGAAGCATCGAAGCGGCGGCTGCTGGGGGTGGAAATGCAGCAGCCGGGTGGTGTAGGGAAGGAAGACGTCGAGGCGATTGAAGGGAGTGACAACGGTTGGATGGACAGTCCAGCACAGGACGAGCCGTGCATCGAGCGCGGTCTCTCTGGGAGAAGTAACAGCAACGACAACGTGGAATCGGGAGCATAGGCGGGAGAAGCAGGGCACAGACAGAATGGTCAGGCACGGATCGTCTGAGAAAGGGTCACAGAGTGCAGGGCGGAGGAGGAAGTTGAATGTCTCTCTTTAAGTCTCGAGAGAGGGAACTGCCAGAACCAGCTGGAGTCGCATTAGAAGAAGGTAAAAAAGGTAATTCAAGAAATCAAACACATCATGACTTTCTTCTCTGTTTGTTTGAACCCACGTCGTCGTCGTCTGTCGTCGTCGGTTCGGTCGGTGGTCGGGGTCGTCGGTGGTGCTTTGAGTTGCGTGGTAAAAAGTTTGAGGCGTTTACCGGTGGTGGAACTGGAGGAGGGATTCTGGATTCTTCGGGGGGGGGGGTGGGAGAGGGAGGGGGGGCCGCCCTTAGGGTACTAGGCCTAATGGCCACTAAGCTATTAGGCCACTAGGCTCTCTTAGGGGTGCCTAATGAACTTAGGGTTTGCCAATCCGAAACGGCCAAGACGCAGTTGTTAGGTGTCTGTCTCCATCTGCCCCCGAACTCCCGTTTGGCTCCCCCTTGTTTCTATCAAACCTGGTACACCTCCTCCTAGTCTCCTCTTCTCACACCTTGCGTTCCTACTAAAACTTAGGCTCAGGCCAATGAGGTAGAGGGCAGTGCTGGCTATAGCTCTCCGCAACGACAGTCCCTGCATTGGACTCCAACCCTAAGGCTCTTCTCCTCACCTTCCCTCATACCTCATCCCTCGTTCGCGTAGGTATCTCATACAATTGCAGTTCCACGATGGAAAAGAGGAAACCCTTCAACTTGCTCACCTAAGAGGGGGGAGAAGGGGAAATCACCTGCAGGCACATGTTTCTATCTCTCTTTCTTTGTTGCTACCGGCATGGGATGGAACTAAACCGACGAGAGTAATCACTTCTTTGGGGGCCCTCGTACGACTGACTGACTGATAGACCCCAAAAGATCCCAACTGTCATCTACCGAGATGTGAGATGACCACTCTCCCTCTTCCTTCGTCCTCGTCGATCTTGCTAACTTGTACCTAAGCGACCGGCAGGACGGTCAGCATTCGGCAGAATGAACTGAGAGAGAGACGCCCAAGTCTGCTGAGATTCGATAAGCAAGATAGGCAGCCTGACTGATGCCTGAATTTCATTGTCCTCGAGTTTGACTTTGTCAATTCCAAATGGACCTGGCGTCACCCCATGGGTCCAAAGACGCATCCTTCGCCATAAACCACGACAGCCCCCAACCAGGGCAGCACCGGCAAGTTCCCTCCGTGAGATCAGTAAGATCGAAGACATGGGCTTTCGATCCTCCTTCTATAGTACCGTATAGGTAGGATTGCCGGCGGCGATCTTGTGCAATTTGTCCAACGCCCACATCTGACTCGGATCCTTGATCAGGCACGAGCACCGAGTATGCATGGTTAAAAAGTCCATTGTCGTCTCCGTGTCATCGCCCACCCGGAGCTGATGGAACCCGTGTGAACAATGCACATGCATCCATCCCATGGAGCAAAGCAATCGACTCGGATCCGCGAACGAACGTTTCCGCCAGCTGGGGAAGCAGACAGACAAGGAAAGACCAGATGTATGAAAAGCGCCCAGTCAATTGTGGTGCCCGGCCTGGTCTGAATTTGTCTCCCATATTATCGGATGAATATGTCACCACTTGAGCACGATTCCACATCCCTCAACTTCTGAGAAGGATGTGGAGTACAGGTTTCTTTCCTTCACAAAGGTAAGATCGATGGGGACAAAAGACGCGGCTTTCTCGATCGACGACACACACTGTTCGTCGAAGCACTTGTCCATCATTATCTCATCATCATTACCAGACGGCCTACTACACGAACCACAGCGAGATCCGACACCCCCGCCTCGAGGAACCATTGACAGAATCATATCACGGACAGGCCTCGATAGCCAGACATAGGGCAAAAGGACAGAATATTGCGCAGACGCTGTAGTAATAGATCAAGATGGATAGATAACCAGGAGGTAGGTCCCTGACTGAAATAGTGGACGGATATCTTTTTGCTACCGACCGTGCCGTCGCTGTCGCTGTCGCTGTCGCTGTCGGCCAGACAAAGACCAGACCAGACTTTTCACAGATGGATGGTTTTGTTTGTACAAAGCCAGGAACGCCGCCGACACCCATACAACATCCATGTGCACGTCCTCAATCATATATTCCACACCACTCTCTCCCTGCCAGCCTGCCTGCCCCCCTCCCTCTCCTTCCCTCGATCTCTCTTGACATCATCATACCAGATATCCCAAGAAGTTGAGTGAGAAGATGAGCAAGAAGACGCTTTGTCACAACCCCACACACATACACACACACACACATACACACATACACGCGCATGCGCGCTTTTAATCGTTGTTGCAAGCAAACAAGTCAAATCAATCAGATCGTCTGAATCGCATCGCCATCACATCATCACCTCAAATCGCACCAAAAGTGGAAATTGTGTCATCTGGTCCCTGCGCCTGCTGCCCCCATTTCCTGTCTCGTCGCGTGTAAACAACAAAGCAAGAAGACGCTCCTCGATGGCATGAAAGGAATAAAAACAAAGTTCCGGCTGTAGGTATATGAGTAAGTCTGTCTGTGCTGAGCTGTGCCTTGATCTGCTTTGCTTTGCTCTGCTTTTCTGGGAACACGGCCGTTGCGTCAAATCGTCCTCGTTAGATATTGCACTCTTTGTTCTTCCCCGGACCGATCGTCCTCAAATTTCTATCTCTTAAACATGCCCAGCACATCTTCCTTCCTCCACTCGATATCCAGACTGCCCTCGTAGACTCGGTCCACGACCATCTTCATCCGGTCGTGGGCGTGGGCGTACCGGACGGCACACTCCTCAAATACCCTTCCGATCAGATCCTTCTTTCCTGGCCTCTCCAAGGCGGTTGCCGAAGGATCATCTGCGTCCGTAAAGTGCTTTTCAATCCTTTTCTTCAACGTCTCCACCCCTTTCCTAATCTCTTTCGCATCGTAACTGCCGAGGATCTTCTTGGCCGCACTGCGTGAGTGGGATGGCTTGTTCGCGATAGACGTGAGCGACGAGTCGTTCGTCTTCATGAGGGCTTCGGTGCTTTCCAAGAAATCAAGCCATTTGCCCAGTGGCCGTCGGATCACGGCATCCGTGTACTGTGCCAGGTGGGACAACTGATCGCGCGACGCTCGTTCAACCCATTCTTCGAGGACCACATTGTGGTGCGTTTTGACTTCCTCGACAAAGTAGTTCATGTTCTCGATCAGGAGGATATGATAGTTCAATGCCTCTTTATCTTCCGGGTCGCCGCTCACGGGTGCATTCGAGTGCCCTGTTGTCGTCCCACCAGAAGAGTTTGCTGCCGGATTGTCTTTGGCGATGAAGTTGAGAGATTCCCACATGGCTTTCAGAAGTTTGGTGTAGGCGTCATTGACGATGAAGCGCACCTCGAGTGATTCCTGGTGGGCAAATTCCTGCGGAATCATGTCTTCCACCACAGCCATGAAGTCTGGGAAGACCCTCATAAAAGAAATCAGTCCCTTTCGCTTCTTGACTTTCACCTTCGTTTCCTCTATCGCCTTGACTTGTTCTTCGACGAATTTGTGAAAGAGACCGACGAGCCTCTCGTGGAGGGTCCTGACTGTCCGAGTGATGAATTCTTGGTTCGTTTCCTCATATTTCGACAAGCACTGTTCGAGCGAGACCAGGACGCCCACACCCTGTAATTGATCCGCCTTGAAGACCCATTCCATCAACCCCTGGAGGTCGGACGGCCAGAACGAGTAGATTCCCTCTGTCGTATTCTGCACGATCTTGGCCAAATTACGATCCGGATCATACGCTTGCTTGGCCTGCAGATTGGGCAGCCTGCGCTGTTCAGGCGGCCGAGATTGTACGAGCTCCGCAAAATCTTCGTTCGATTGCGAGTTCAGATGGAAGAAGTGTACAATGAAATTCTGTTCTTCCGATATGGCCGTGGCTTGTTGCTCAAGGACAGTGTCGAATACAGCCCAGGCTTCGGGTTTGCCGTCTCGTCTTTCGCTAATTGAATGTCGCATAGCACTCGTCTTGGCCGTCCTGCCACGCTTGACAGTAAGCTTGCGAGCTGCGGTGGAAAGATTGGACTCCTCTGCCTTCTCCTTGTCTTGGTGGGTAAAAAGAATTTCTTGCTCCTCTCCCATGGGGTGTCTGACAGTCCTTCTAAGGCCCATGTTGAAGTCTCGGAATTGATCCTGGTAGATACTCTTGACGTTGATCTCGTAGCTGTTGATCAATGTCTGCCATTCGTACTGATTGACCTCCCGCACGAAAAGCATCATGGCATTGTAGACCCAAAGCTCTTGTCGCGAGGCGTTGAAAGCCCGTAGGTTAAGCATGAAGGACGAGGTTCCAGAAGAAATACTCATGCTGGCATTTTCCTCGCTTGTTCGCTGCTCAGCCATTTGGAACATGTTCTTCATGTGCTGATTAAAGCGGTTCACGAACATCATGCTCTCGTTCTTGTATTCCTCTTTCTTCTCGCGCACCGCTCGCATCTTGGTGAGATCCGCATCAGTATTTGTTCCCGAGCCATTGCGGTTGTTTGCAGAAGCCGCTTGACGGAGCTTGTTCTGGCGCAAGTCTGGGTCGATCGTCAGCATTGCCGTGTAGAGCAAAGTCAATGCACGCTCGATCGCCTGTACGCCTTGGAAGTTGTCCAGTTTTGCATCCTGCAAAGCGTAAAGATCTGACTGGGAGATTGTCAACGTTCCCAGGAGATTTTGCAACTCAGCCTGCAACAACTTCTGATTGGCAGTCTGCACTTGCAATCCCTGCCCTTGCGCCTCGATATATTCGATATCTTCGTGGAGAGTGTCAAGCTCATGCGCATAGAGGGTCAACAGCCCATCAAGCTCTTCACATTCGGCAATCGCTTTTTCGAATGCTTTTCCGAGCTCTTGTACCTTGGTCTCCTGATGTTCGACGTGGCCGAGCCAACCGCTTGCTTGGGCACGGCCGATCTCCCTGCGAATGTCGGTCTCGAAGTTGTCCAAAACCTGGTCATTTGCAAGCCTCCCATCCCAGGAAAACTCCGTCAAGAGTTCATTCAAATCTGCCCCGCGGCCCTCAATGATCCGTGGATCGATCCCTAAAGCCGTACAGTGTTTTTCAACTTCTGCTTCGAGCCGTTGCCGACGTTTTCTTTGTGGCGAAGATGACCGGCCCTTATCCGGGGACTCCGCCCTTGTTTCTTCTCCCTTCGGCCCCTCAGGCTCGGCAGGGGTAGGCTTTGTTGTGGGCGTTTCCGGCGTCGCGACGCTGTCCGAGGTGGCGGTGCGCTGGACTTCAACTCGGGGAAGAGCCTCACTAGGCGCAAGCTTTGGTGTCGGCTGCTCTTTCTCATTTTCAGTGGTAGCCGGATCCGGGGTACCGCTCCTTGCGCCATCCGAGCTCATACCTCTCTTCAAGGGCGCTGGGACAACACTGGTGATGCCATCTGGCTCGTTCGAGAGCTTCTCCTGCATTGCCTTCAAGCGCGCGCCGGCGCCGCCTTGACGGGGTTGAAATGCAGCTGCAGCAAGAGCAGCTTTTCGGAATTGATTCGCGATGTCCTTGCCGGATCTCTTCTTGATCATAGGACCAAGGCCAGGGCGGTGCTCTTCTTCAACCTTCGGAGGAGGTGGTGGCTCGATAGCCTCTGGGGCCGTGGGTTCGTTTGTAGGGTCGATAGCTTCGGGCTCTGACGTAGTTACTTCGTTGTACACGGCCTTTGGTGGCACAGCATCGCTTGCCTCCGGCTGCTTATTCTCTGCTGCAGCCTTTTCGCTCGTAAAGTAATCCGGTTTCCGCTGTGATTGGTCCTCTTTCATTGCGGTCGGTGTCCCTAATGGAGTGACAAACGCACTGTTACTCTGACTTGGGGCCGCGGCTTGATCAGGCTTAAGGTCAGCCGCAATGGTGGTTGCCTTCTTCCTTTCGGGGAAGAGCTCAAAGTCAAGCGCTGGAAGACTAGGAGGAGGTTCAGGAGACCTGCGATCACTCGCAGCCGTGCTCGGCCTGGAGGTATTTGGAGGTTCGCCGCGACCAGCATCCCTGTTTGAGTCTTGGCCTGGCATGGGCCCAGATCTTTTCGCCGAAAAGTCTTGCGTGCCAGCTTTTGTGACGTTGAGACCGTTGGGTCTTAGAGGTGGTGGTTCAAGGGCGGAATCAGGTCGCCGGAGTGACGATTGAGAGGCCTTGGGACTGATGGATGGTCGCAGCGGAGCCGGTTGGAGGCTGTCGGATAGTGACGGCGAACGGACTTCCTCACGCTTCATCGGGGCAATAAAAGGCTGTGTGCGAGGGCCATCCTGCACCGGCATGCCACGGTTGGGTCTAGGGGGCAAGCCTAAAGGCCGTTCTTCTGCCTGAGAGGAAGGTGGCCGCGCCGCATCTCTCGTTGGTGGACGATATTCTTGTCGGCCAAAAGTCCTGTTTGGTTCTTGCAGCTCCATTCGGTTTCCATCTCGGCTCGGAGGCGGCTGGGCGACATATGGAGACTGTGGTCTGTTCGCGCTGAGTGCTGGTACGGCAGCAGTTTGACTCGGAGCCAGAGGAGGTGGAGGAGTTGGGGACGGCACAATCGGGGAGAAATTGGTCCTCGAAGTAGGGGTATTCTGGGTGGATGGCGCACCGGTGATCTGTTGTAGTTCCTGCGGAGCAAAGCCTATGAGATCTGGGAGCTTTCCTCCTGTGTACTTTCGGTATATCTTGATCAGACTGGCAATAAAGAAATCCTTCTCTTTCGGCGTAGGGGCGGCCCAAAAATAGGGCTTGCCCAGAGACACAGTGAAACCAGTATTGGAAGCCCACTGCTTCTCCATCTGCTGCTGAGGATTCGCGGGCACGAGGGACGTGTAGGAGATGATGGCGGTCAACTCATCGAGATTCCATGTCTTGCCGATCGAGAAGGAGCCGTTGGGGTTCTCGCGAGCCTTGTGGACCCTGACCTTGCCGGAGCGTCGGACGGCGACTAGGATGACTCGATGCTTCTTGTTGGAGTTAGGAGAGTCCGGAGGAGGAGGGGAGGACGGGTAGGAAGCATCTTCGAGGACTCGGACGTGGGTGATATAAGACTCGAGTTGCATCCCCTCGGGATCTCGCTTGCTAAAGCAGGCGTCGATAATGCGCCTCTTCTCATCTTCGAATCGCGCCGCGCGAGACTGGTTGGTGTCCTGCTGGTCGGGTTGCCTCGTATGGGGTCTGGGCTGAGAGAAGTTGTGGTCACCATTGGGAACGGGCGCAGGCTGTCGAGGCCCGGGGTAGAGAGGTTGCTGATTCATGGTTGGAAGAGGGTGAGGGTAACAACATCATCTTCCAGAGGCGGAGAATGATGCCAACGAGGGAGACAGATCATTCATAGCTGCCTGGAAACATCCGAAGGAAAGGACATGAGCATGAGCTGCCCAAGGTGGTCGTGGTGTGGGTTTGTTGAACTGCAACCGAAGTTGTAGGACCTCATGTGAAGACGTTTCGAGACGTGTACCAGAAGATGAGGGCGATGGACTGCGCATGGCGTTGGCGACGTACGGAGAGCCACCAGCCGAAAGCCTAAAACGGGGGTCGGGCGGTCAAGCTCCAGCGACCGTTAGCTTGCAGGTTAGCCTAGTGAGCCCCTCAGCCGAGTCCTCTGCAGGCACCCGGGCACCTACGGCGACCCCCTATTCGGGATCTCTGTATAGGCATGGTGGCGACCACATAGGTACCTAGGCTTGTCCCGAAGATCCCACAGTACCTAGATACCCAATTATTACCATCTACGATATGATCCTCCGTAGATGTAAGATATATTTCGTTTTTGACAGAGTAAATTGATTTCCATATCTTTTCTCACTAGACCTGGTAAATGCCTCTCCTTGCGCCACTACATCACATTCCTCTCCTCATTGTGCCAAAACAATCCCTCCTAAGCCCCCGAGGCAGAGTTGACCCCTTCCGTATACCTTGGTAAGGCTTGATTGAGTCCAGCTCGCTTCCAGCCCTCATGCTCCAGTCCATGCTCGGCCTTCTGCTGTCGTTCCATCCTCATGCGTTCCCGCGCAGCGGATGTAAAAAACTCACCCCCGGTCAATTCCCCTCGTATAGAAAAAACCTAGTGTTGCGTGTGTCGTGTCTAGGGAGCGGTTACAAGTATTCCTTCTTGGGGCCAGTGTCCTGGTGGAGCCGGGGTACCTCCACGCCCGCTGTGACACCTTTTGCATGCTTCCACTGGCTAGATGGTCACTTCCGGCGTTTGCGATCGGGCTTGATAGCGTTGTCAGAGGCATCAGCGATGGCGTCGTGCAATCTTTTCTGAGGTTCTTCCTGGATGTAGTCGAGAACAGCCCCGATCTGCGCCAGGCGGCTGCCTGTTCCCCAGTCGATGACATTGCGCACAAACCTGTGGAGTCGGACGTAATGGTCAGGTCGACAAACCGCGAGCCCTTCGATTTGCTGAGTGATATATTGACCATCGCCTTCCTTCCACGAGACGAAGAGGCGGGCTTCACTCCCACTCATGGCGATACTGAAGACAGTAGTGTCCACGGGTTGAAGAGTTGACGTGTCGAGCCCCTCGACATATTTGTTGAGCTTTTCGACCATTTTGATACAGGCAGCTGTGGCCCCAAGACATTGGTTTGTTCCAACCCAGAGGCTACCGGTTGTAAGGCCAGCATTGCCTTTGAATTCGACAACGAAGAAAGGATATATGGATCTTTGATTGTTGGCGGTAAACTCGGATTGGGCCATCTTGTTCAATTGTTTTTGCTGGTTCAATGTGAAGGCTTCGAAGACATAGCTGTAGAGGATATCGGGCTTTGGCTGGCTCAGTCTGTTATCGAAGTCCGGTTGAGATGAGGTTGGCAGGTGCTCCTTTCGCATAAGGTAACCTTCCACTGTTTGACAAAGACCTTTGACTCTCTCTTCGGTTTCGGAATTTTGGAAGATGAGTCTTTTGAGTTCTTTGGCCACTTGGCTCTCGGCGCTGTTTCTCTCGGTGAGATCTGTCAGCGTTCGTCGGCCCTCAGTATCCTTCATGTCAGGCTCCAGTGATTGGCGTCTCTTAAACATGTCACTGACAAGGCGCTTAACATGCCTGGGAAGCGTCTCGTCCATGGAGCGGAGGTGAATGCCATGAGTGGCTAGGTTGACTTCGCGATATCCAGGGATTGCTACCAGCGAAGATGTGGCGCCGCTCGCAGGAGAAGCTCCCGAAATCATTTCCGGTGAAGGAGTTCTGTAGGGCATTTCCGGAGAGAGTCTGCCTGGAGGCTGAAAAAGAAGGGACACCCGTGCCAAATGGCTATCCGACTTTGAACATCGTTTTCGGTCCTGATCTAACGATTCGAGCCAAGCATCAATGTATGGATCCGCAGGAGGGTTCCGGCCGCTGAGGAATCTTGGGACTGCTGGAGGACGTGGATATGGTTGATGGAGGCCTTGCATTGGCGCTTCTTTTGAAGGTGATTTTAAAGCATCCAGCTTGCAAGTCTCCAGAGGCAGATGTCTTTTCGTAAAACCAGCCATTTCGATCCAATCTGTTTGACAAAGAGTATTCGATGAACTCAGGTCAGGCTGAGCTGCAACACGGGGTTCACTGACACTTGTATTGCAAGCAGAAAGACAAAGGAGGGGGTGAGTAACAAAGCGTTGATGTTCATTTATTGACGTACATGGTCCTTGCAGAGCTCTTCAAATACCTCAACAAGGCTGACATGTGTTGATATGCATACTAGTCCTCAACAGGATTAGTAAATTCTAACTACCAATACCCTGAGAAATGATTGGCCTTTTGTTCCAGATTCGACTCGGTAGCTGTAGGGCCGATTTCCTATTTCGTCTATGAGCATGTCGGTGTGTCTCAAAAGGACAAGAGGGACAGGGTCGGCGGATCTTCACTCCTGTGCTTCGTGTGCTGGTTGAATTTTGCTTTGTCCGTCTCCCGGAGATCGCACTTACTTGAAGATGAAGCTACCAAGATATGGCATCAATCGACGTCTCGTCCAGTTGTTTCTAGTATACGAAGTGTGGGTGAGGGACGAGGACTGGACGTGGAGAAGAGTGTGGTCAACTACATTCCTCCTTTAGTGCTCAGCCCGAGGCGGATGTGTTGTTCAAGAACAAAACGGATCTAAAACGATGAAACGGCTTCGGCAGATGGTTTCTTTATATGTCTTTCTTCCCCTTTCCGTGAGGGTTGGTCAACCACCACAATCCAATCCGACTCGTAGATCACTCTAACACTTCTATCTCGGACTAGAATCCCCTGGCCCTCTGTGCTATTTTTCTCCGCAAAACTTCGACAATGTCTCGCCGTATCCGTCTCAAAAAGTGATAGATACAGCAACTCAAAAGGCCCCACCAAACAAACCAATCTTCCCATGCTAGACGGACACTGATGGATGGACCCTGATTGTCCACCTCGCCCGTGCAAGGAAGAAACTGATTCCCTTTTCCGTATGGCGCCAGGCTGAAATGGAAGTAGTACACACACACAGGTTCATGGTCATGATGTGCCGCAAGAGATGATGGCCTTGCTCTTTGCGCCCCCAAACTCAGCCCGATCCAATGATATCCCTATTCAATGCCTCGAAAACTATATCCGCTCAACTCTTTTCTCCTTCACTTCCCAAATAATCTTTCGCTGTTCTCCACCATCCACATCACCGATTCATTCTTCATCTTGGTGTCGCTCAGCTCCCGATTCAAACTCTCCGGTCTCATGATGGTAGGCGCAAAAACCACCGCAATGTTCATGCTTGTCATGAGGTTCTCTTTCTCCTGTTGGACTACCCGCGCAAGGTGTCGAATCAAAAACTCCAGGGTCTCGAGGTGTACCCTGGGCAGTTCCTCTAACGCTCGTTGCATGGCGTCAAGTCTGGTCGTTTTGTCCTCAATCGTCGTTGTCTCGAGAAGTCTGTCATAGACGTCGAAAGTGATGAGTGGAGTGGGCAGCCGTCGGAAATACTGTTTCAATCCAGAAGTAACGGCGTGAATGTCGAGATCGGGATCGGAAAGATCAAAATCTTTCGAGGGGTTCTCAAACCAGTCTTTTACTTGCTGCACCTGTGAGTTACCCCCGGATTTGCGGTAGATGCCTTCAACATCCATGCCTGATGAGGGTCAGCGTGGTCAAATCAAGCGCTTTCCGACGGAACTCACCACGAGCCTCGACTTCTTCGACACACCTCCTTACAATCGCAGGAATTGTGTTCTTTTCGTATTCGGCCCGTAGTTCGAGCTCAGAGCCAAATAGTTCTGTTGTCAACATCAGCCACGGCATACCTAAATCGGAGGGAAATTCCTTACGAGCGCCAGCTTCAGCCAGCAAAGACGGCGTGCTCGCATTGGCTTGTGCGGCATACAGCCCGTTGGGTTTCGAAGCCACTTTCTGAGTGCTGAAGAAGCCAAAGCCGCCTTGCTTGACAGGCTCCGGGTTAGTTCTCGGGAGGCTCGAGTATTCTTGGCCGAGGCCGGTCGTCGATCCATAGGCCCCTGTCTCCGCAAACTGTAGGTCTCGGCTGTAGTTTTGCTGAGTTGAGGAAAAGGCCCCTTTTAAACCTTTTGTGACGCCTTTAGCGACCTTCTGTCCTTTTCTCCAATCAAATTTCCTGGGTTGACCTTTGCGGATGTTCACCACTTGAGGACCCTGAAGGACGGTCACAGGTTCTGCTTCACCTTGTAAAGTACTCGCCGAATCAAGATTGGTCAAGTCGGTGGACATGTTGCGCATATCCCTCGAGTCAAATGAGACGTTCGACTTCTCTTTGTGGTGAGAATAAATTCCTAGTCCGTTCATTGAGGACTTTGACTGATCGGCTTGCGTGCCAGAGTTTGCCTTGTAGAGACCTTGAATTTGGTGCACCAGTTGGTTGTTGAGCTCAGCCAACTGGGCGTTCTTCGAAGACAGCTGCTCAAACTCCATGAAGCTCTTATCTTTCATCTGTGTGAGGTTGGCTATCTCGTCGACCAAATCATTTCGTTTTTGGATAGAAGCCTCGATCTGGGGCGCGAACGAGTCCTTCAGCTTTTCCAACGCCTCTGCAAAATCGCGAAGCACAACGTTGCTCAATCTGCCAAGGTCGAATCGCTCGCCGCTGTGCTTGGCTGCAGCCAGGTGCTCTGTAAGGACTTCCAACTCTCTTATGACGATCTCTTTCTGTGTATCGAGAACAACTATCGTTGACCTCTTCTCCTTGAGCTCGACATTTACCTGCTTGATGTTTGCGGCCGAATCAAGCTGCATTTCCAATTCAGCTATCCGTTTCTCCCGCTCAATGATCTTTTGCCGCTCACGTCGAAGCTCGTTCTTGAACCAGGAGAGTTCGTCGCGATTCTCGGGAGAAGCAGTGCTGGGACTGCTGATTTCCTGGCCGATTGACGAGATGGGCATAGCCGGCGATCGAGGCCAGCGATCCTTCGAAAGCCGACCAGTTTTGTCACTGTAGCTGCGGCCGTGGCGCACAGAGTTCGAGACCCTCCTAAGGAATGATTCATGTGCACTGGGTTCGTCACCGCCCATGATCCGGGCCATATCTTCGTCCATAGTGAAATCCCCGCCTGCTGAATACCTAGGTAGGCCTGGGGACTTGAGGCCATCCCCAGATCGCTGATTCTCGGACTGAAGGGTGCTGAAGGACTCATTTCTCGACCTTGCGTGATCGGAGGGTGGCAGTGGTGGGATCCGAGGATCAACAAAAGACTCACTGCCTGCCTTGCCGGCGGTGTGAAGATCCTGAATTAGAGAGTCGTCTGCAGCGTCAAAGATGCCCTTTGAGTTTGGTGAACCTATAGGCCCCGAAATGACCTTCCCACCATTGACTTTGGTGAGGTCTGCTACTGGCTTGGGCGTAGATGACCCGCTGTTGGCGCTACCACCCGACGCGGGACCGATGTTTGCCGCAGGGCCCAATTCTTTACGAGGTATCGTTTGAGTCCGCTTTGCGCTATCCAAAGAGTCGCCTCGTTTAGGCAGATTTTGTAAGATGGAGGTCGCAGGCAACGGTGCCGCCTTGGGAGAACCGTGTGAAGCACTAAATGCTGGGCTTGAGTGGTTCGACAGAAGAGGTGTCGAGTAGTCGCGATCTGATGGTGACCCAATGTCTGGAACTGTCAAAGGTTTAGCAGCCAGTTGCTCCATTGGATCTGCAGAGAGGTCAGCCCTAGGAGTAGAGCCCTCTGAACGCGATCCCGGCGTTGACGTAGAGAACTTCTTGGACTTGGGCGCTTCTTGGAGTTTGAATCTTTCATTGTGTTGCGCCTCGCTGTTGTGAACGATCTGCGACAGTCGTGGGGAACCTTCCGATCTCTTCGGCTGCTCGACTGGAATGAAGGGCGAAGCGGTGGCAGAGCCCGATACGCTCAGATTTCCTCCTCTGCGGGTTTGCTCAACGGCTTCTCTCGAAGGGAGGCGACCTTTCTCTTGGTAGGCGATGTGGGGACTTGAGGTGTTAGATTTGGTCACTTGCGGCTGGGCAATTGGCGCGGCGGATTTGCTGGTGAAATAATCGGCGGGCTTCTCCTCGACTGGTCTTTGCACCGTCTGGTTGGAAATGCTGGGTGACTGGGTTGCAGGTTGTGGTGTAGGGTCAAAGGTGAGCGGTATCAGAAATTCTTCGGCACCACCACCACCACCTCCCCCTCCCGATAGATCTGATCTCTGCGACATGATCGAGTGTCGATTGTTACGGAAGGTCGTCGAGGGTAAGGTGAGCATATCTGAAAATAGATCAGGATCAGCATGTGAGCCGCAAGGCTCGGAGACAGGTCGCTTACCGCGCGGCAGGTTTTGGTCCGATGTGGATGGCCTCGAGTCCGAGTCTGCTTGCAATTCGCTGACCATATTACCCACAGAAGGTACACCTGCTGCCGGGGGCTCTGCATGGACCTCGGGGAAAGGAGACGACTGGCTTTCCGGCATGTAGGCCGTCTTTCTGGCTTCTGGAGGTGGGATTGCGGGCAAAGACTTGTCAAGCTGGACATTGTTTGACAGTTTGGAGCGCTGTGCGGTGTTTTTGGCTGTCTTTTTGCGTCTCCTGGCCATCAGAGCCTCGTGGCAGTCCATGCAGAATATGCCCTGCGACGTCCTGGCATAGCGTAGATTTTCAATCTTCCTCTTGCAGTTCCTGCACTTGAAGCAATTGGCGCAAAACGCCTGGTCCCCGGTCAGAATGGCCAGATCCTCAATCTTGTCTCCGCAGCTACTACAACTGTAGGTGCAGTTGTTGCATATCAGAGATCCATCGCCCAGAAGAAGTAGATTTGCATCGGAATCGAGGAGGGTGCCACAGGTATTGCACCTAAAGCAGTCAATGTGCCATCTGTTACCAGCTGGACCATGTCAGCCACCATATTGTTCCAACAACAACCGTATGGACGGGGATATATTACCTAGCTCGAATGCTTTGCCTTCCTCGAGTATCTTTTTCCCACTCGTCAGCCGTCTGTTCGAGGAATAGAGTCAGCGCATTCTCTCACCTTTCCACAGCCTTTGCACGGGTATGCGGCGTCGTCTGGGTCCATGGGGGACTCAGGGAAAGCCACAGGAGATTCCATCGCGGTGGCCATTACGTCCTCTGATATCGGTATGTGCTGTAGATTGTCGACATATGGTGGATTTACGTCCACATGAGATCGCCGTTTCAGAGTGACAAGGTGATGTTATAGCATTAAAAATCCCACTTTTTCGCTGCAAACAAATCTCAAACACGATCAGGTCCTGTACATGGTACGGTCGACGGAATTATTTTATTCTTCTGAGGAATGGCCGAGGTCGTGTGCTGACCTGCAGCTGAAACACTGATCCGGACAAACTGGAGGGACAATCTTGCTCGTGCCGCGGAGGAGGGTCGGTGTAGTGATGGTCGTCTTTTCGTCCCCTTGGTGGCCAACAAGCCAATGAACGTATTTGGGAATTGAGAAGATGCCTCGACTGGACTATCTATGTGTCGTACAAGGCCGAGAGGAGAAAACGCAGGCAAACGGGTTGTAAGGATCGTGGGTGGTGCAGCTCGTCGAGAGAAGGCCGGGGTGGAGGAGAGTGAGAGACTGGGGGAGGTGGTTGCGCAGACAGCAGGCTGGTGACGGGATGGTGTCAAGTCAAACGGTCAACGGAGGATCATGACGGGGGAACTGCTCGGGCGGCAAGAGAGTGACGCCGTTCAGCGTACAACAGGTGTCGACGGTGGTGATGGAGGATAAGGATGCATGGAAGATGACCGTTGCTGTCAATTGGGGGGTAGCGGGCTGGGGGAACGAAAGGCGTGGTGTGTGAAGATCTTTTGCTCTGGGGGTGTTCGCAGAGTTCAGACGGCAGCGATGCTTTGGGGACGACAGGCTCAACTACTCGTACCTCCAGGGTCCAAGGTGCCAAAGCGTGTGCAGCGTGCCCTCGACAAGGCGTTAGCGGCCAGGTAAGTGCACCGTTCAGGAGACTTAAGGGCTCCCGGTTTAGTTAAAGGCGGCCGAGCTAGTGCGCGACGTACACCCAAGTGCCCCGCTAAAAGCACCTACAGGCGCAATCGAGCGAGTGAGGTTGCGTAACTGCCCCGTGGCTTCAGTGGCTTTGCTGTAGCTAAACTCTTGTCCATTCTTAGTCCTGCTTGATCGCATTTGATCGCTTGGATCGACTCGCTATCACTGGGGCATTTTTAGCAGTCGCCTCCTATGGCGAAATGACTAGTGGGCGTAGCGTCAACACAGTCAGAAATTCTGCTGAAGGCTCCTGCTCAGGGGGTTTGGGGAGGACACATAGGAGGCAATGCGCGATGTCTACACCTGACCATCACGCCATGTGAACAGTTCTGGTCTCAAATCAAGCTGGAACCGCAGAGGCTTGCTCGTCTGTCGGCGCTGATGAGGATCACCGGGTAGCTGGAAGGGTGTGTGCTCCCCTCTCTTCCCAAGGGGGCGTGGACACCCAATCTGCAAAATGGCAACCAGCTCACCACCGTAAATATCTCCATCTCTGGCTTACGAGTACCTCGCACGTCTTTTGGCACTTGATGGGGTCGATTCTAGTAGTACCTAGTCTTCAAGATGTGTGTCATCACCACGGCAGATTACTCCAGGCCGCGTGCAGAAGTCTACTGTTTCACTTGGCGACACCCCTGACTGCAAGCTTGAGCCACCTCAGCCTGGTCTGATAGCGTAAGGCGAAGATCGGACTGCTTCAAATGTCCAGGCTAGGCGCGTGATAGGTGCTTATGGGAATGAGAATGGGGGCCATCAGAAGTACAGTGGCGGACAGGCCGAAGAAGCAATTTGGAACACAATCTGGATTCATTTTCTACTCTATCCATTGCCCTGCCCAATTCCACAAGTCCCCTGAAACGCCGGTTACCAAAAGCCCGTGGACATGTCCCCTGGGGTTCTTTCCAATGCCAGCAACCGCTCGTAAGACGTCGTCGACAGTAATCTTCATGATGGTGATAACGATAATAATACAACAGCACTCGCAGAAAAGGAACAAAAGAAACAAGAACCCGAACCTCCTTCCGCCTTGGAACGCCAGCAAGCAAATCGACGCCAGCCTCCATACTAGCAATAGTGATAACAATGAGCCAGACATCCTTCTCAATAAGGCGATCCAGCAACGTCAACATAATAATGAATCAAGTTTTTGTCCGACTCCTTCTTGAAGTACTTGTAGAATCTTTCTTCAGGTTTGATAACGGCATGAAGGTTGATGCAGAAGTTCATGACGGCTCTTTTGATGATAGATGTGTAGGTAGCGAGGAGGTGTTCGGCATAGGCGGCCAGGCGATCCTCTTGAATCTCGTAGAGGGATTCATTGCAGGAAACAAGCCGGATGAGGAGAGCATTGAGGATCTTCAGACCAAAGTCCATAACAATAGGAAGCCTGTTTGCAAAGCGGGGCTTTTCTGGGCCAAAATCGGACGCCAGGCTCTGAAGGCTGTTGTACAAAATAGTGTCCGTCGACTTGGGGGTAACAATAGGATCGTTGGTGGTAATGACATATTCAATCTGTTCAAGCGTGTCGAGGACAGCATCGATGGTAGGGAGGGTGGTCTGTGTGTGGCTGCACAGGAGAAAGGCGCCGTCGTCGATGGCCGACAGCACAGAAGCATATGACGAGCTGTGGTTGCATCGGGCAATGAGCAGGGCCGACAGCGTCATTCCTGGCTGTGGTTCTGGCCACTGAGGATATTGTTGGAAGAGATGGACCAACGTTATGAGAATTGTGTGTGTGTTGTAAGCGGGATGGTTGATGTTTGTGGCTCGTTTGTCTCGGGATTCAGTGATCATATCCAACGACACCATGTTGTTGATGAGGAGTTCAAAGAGTTCATTAAATTGTGAGTGTTTGGTGATTAAAGCACCGGGGTTTTCTTCGATCAGTTTTCTCAGTCTGCGGTATCCAAGAGCATCGAGACTGGACCGTCGAAGTGCCTCCATGGCCATCACAAGGGTCTTTTTCTCGGAGGCAAGGCGATCTCGTTCGGGAGAACGCCGAGGTGATCTCTTTGGAGATCGTTTCTTACGTGGACGAACCACCATGGCATTTTCTTTGCCCTCAGATTTGAGCGTCTCATAGCTGGATTTGGGGACTGTCTCATAACTGGATTTGGGGACTGTCTCATGACTGGGTTTGTGGACCGTCTCATAACTGGACTTAGGGACTGTCTCATAACCGGATTTGGTGACGCACTCTGGGATTGTGTTTGCGGTGTTGTCTTTGGTGACGGAGGGTGCCGACGTTACAGCGCGCCCACGAGATTCGGGGCGCTGGATGCTGCTGACGGAAGGCATGGGAGTGGCAACGATGCGTCTCCTGACTGGTGCTGAGAGAAGGGTGGGTTTCTTCTCTGCGTCGTCCATGGTACCAAAGACCTTGATGTCTTCGGATGATTTAATAGGTTCCGGAGTCAAGCCACGGTGTTGGGACGACTCCTGGGATTGAGCCATGCGTTCTTTATTCTGTGCTTTGATGGAAGCAAGGGCCGACTTTGGTCTTGGAACAGCATTGGCTCGGGCGGCGGCGGCGGAGGATTTGTCAGGGTTGTGTGGATCGGCTTTCAAAGCCTTTTGGGCATGAGTGTTGAGGCTACCCATAATGGTGCGGGCGCCTCGAGGGTCATATGAATGGAAGGTCCAGAAGACGGCACGGCTATTCTCACGGACTTTGACCTGTCCATCAGTGAGGCCTTGGGCGATTGCCTTCTCACAAGCAGGTCCGTCTTTCTCACGGTCCATCTGCGAGCGATAGGTTTCGATGAGGGTGCGCAGCCACTCCGGCGCATAAGTGCGGGGAGGAATGCGGTTGTCTTTGAATGCAGCGCAGACGTGATAGAAGAGCCGGGGGCTGTACCCAGCATGTTTGCAGATGCTGATGATGGCGTCATTGGCGTTTTTCTGCGTGACCATCTTGGTCGAACCGCAGATGGCAATGAGACCAGGAAGAAGCAGATCCAGTTGGGGCTGGATGTGAGTTTCGAGGTGTTTGGCAATGTTGGAGAGAGCCCGGAGGGCTTGAGCAGACAAAGTGGTACGCTCAGAGCCCGCCGTGGTGACAATATGAGGTAAGACGGCTTTGACCTTCTGGACAAAGTCGTTGGGGATCGTGCTGTTTTCCTTGCGTTTCTCGAAGATGTCCGAGAGCTCGGCCAGGAGATCTTGGCGCTTTTTCCAGCTCTCCTCAGTCTCGGGAAGGGTCAATTCATAATGCAGGAAGGTGAGCACATCAGCATAGGTTTTGCCGAGCATTTTGGCTCTGGCGCCTGCAATGGCAAGATAGACGGCTTTTCCAATGGCAGGGATGCGTGTGTCGACTTTGTTGAGCGTCTGACAGACTGTATTCGCGGCAGAAGCCTTGACTGTGTACAGGCAGGTCAGTACCTGAAAAACAACTCAGCCAGACAACAACAGCAATAGCATACGGAAAGTCAGATGGTTGAGCAAGAAGGCCATCTTGTCACACTGGTGAGATACCCAATGGTATTCTTGCACGAATCTGGAAGATGGAGAGGTGTAGGAAAGGGCGGAAGAGCGATATAGAGCAGTGGGCAGAGTAGAGCAATGGAGCAGTGCAGCAAAAGTGACTTCAATTGATCGAACAGCGTACAGCAGCAATGGCAATGTCTTGAACATGGGTATGTGTCTGAGGGAAGTTCTCACACTCTCTGCAGGGGGTCAAGCTGGCCTTATGTGGGAAAATTTTACACGTACCTGATCAGGGTCCAGCAGGAGAACGAGAAGATCGGCAGAGTGTCCAGTGGTTCATTGATGTCGACGTGGGTTCCAGGTATTGTGGTAAAAGGTTGTTCGACGAGAAGGAGAAGAAGGCAACGACGTTGTAGTGGTTTGTGTTGATGTTTTGACTCCAGCGACTCGGAGCGGGAAGTTGAGCGGGTTGTCTTGTGCTTGGCGCGGGGGCGCGGGAGCCAATCAGAGCCCCGGCACTACTTCAGCCTTTCTCCTTTCTCTGGAACGTCAACATCGTTCCAGCTTCCTTCATACGATACATACAATCCATTGAAACCTGAATTGCCTATCCATCTCCAGCTCCGTCTCTCAGTCGAATATGGCAGAGTTACCCTTGACTGCGCCTCCTTCGAAGGACAGGGTTGCTCCTGTCATGCCTCCACAGCTGCCTCACAAGCCCGTTCTGCGACTACACCTCGACGACATTGGTCATCCGGCGGCCCAGGTGGCTTGCAGTTCATTGGATGGAGGCTTGTATCTGACGAGAGCCATTGAACATGTCGTTACGCACTTGTACAGACCCTACGGCTTGAGCGAAATCCCCAAGGTCAGATCTGTTACGGTGGTCCTTCGCGCCATGGGTGGGGTCGCGTACACCATCGGATTACCGCTAGATGACCTCCACAAGGAGATTCATCTGTCTCTCGACTACGTGAATGGCGTATTGTCACGAAATTCAGCAGGACTCCGCCATGAGATCGCCGGGGTGATCACGCACGAGATGGTTCACTGCTTCCAGGGCAATTGCCAAGGTACCGCGCCAGGGGGGCTCATTGAGGGCATGGCAGATTTTGTTCGATTGAAGGCTGGACTGTCGCCTCCGCACTGGAACAAGTCACCCGAGAACAGAGGACAGAGATGGGACGAGGGCTACCAAAAGACCGCCTGGTTTCTGGATTGGCTGGAGGAATTACAGGGCCCCGGTACAGTAAGCCGAATGAACGAAACTATGCGGAAGGGGAAGTATCATGAGCACAGGTTTTGGAAGGACATCTTTGGACAGTCTGTGGATCAGCTCTGGGAACGCTACAAGGCAACATGGGAAACTGCAGTCCAGGGAAATTCCGGCCCAATGGCCAGGGAGCGAAGTAATAATGGGCCAGAGGTAGTGGATGTGGAGCGTAAAGAGGACGAGAAACAGGTGGAGGTTCAAGAGCAAAGAAGACCAAAGCAATTCGCCGCCTAGCGTTTGTAATTGGAGGATCACATTTTCAATCTTGAGAGGCGCAGCGAGCGAGGTTTTGATGGAAATATTGACATGTGGGAACTCTGGAGCCGTGGGTTGACAGTGAGGAAAAGAGGCGGAGCGACGTCTAGACTCGAAAAAGACAGATGAACTACGTGGAGCTTTGAAGCAAACAGTGAACCATTGGGCGAGGTGTCGATGCCAGGAGTTCTGGCACGACGAGGCTGAATACAGCGGCCGTAATTTTGAGTGGATACCCAACCTTGTAACCAAACATCAGCATTTTGCCTCCAACAGCAAAGGATAAGCAGCAGTAGAATGAGTGGGGTCAGTAAAAAATTAGAGTGTTGTTGCATGATTTTGTTCTTCATGGAGCAAACAAGTTCTCGGGGTTAAAAATGGTTCATCACAAGGAGGTGTTTCAAGGGAAGATAGCAAAAAGATCCATCGCTTACCCAAAGATCCTCAAGGCAGGACAGTCGTGGTTCAGCGTGTCAATTCCGAAAATCCACGGTCGACATTGTGTGACAATCATGCCATTGCACCTATGTTGCATGTCTATTGCTCTAGCTGTAGCTGCCTCAAGCCTTTCCTTTGCATGTGCACGCGCCGAGACCAGCAAAGATTCGAGATGCTTAGTCGAACAGACCACCGAAGCCTGGTAGATGTTAGCTCGGACTGTTTGGATTTTGTGCAAGGACTGTGGCTCACCCTCGTCGTCAGACTCTTCCTTCTCCTCTTCCTTTTCTTCTTCCTTGGCCGCCGCAGGCGCAGCCTCCTCGGTAGCGGCCGCAGCCACCGGTGCAGCAGCAGCGTATGCGTCAGGATTGGCGATGCGATCCTTGAGCTCATGAATAGCATCCCACTCATAATCGATCTCAATGGCGACTGCAATGGCTTTCTTGTAGCCGTTGATCAAGCTGTGGATGACGGATGGAAGGGTCGGGTAGTTGGCAGCAAGGGAGATGGTAGTGATCGTAGTGATTGCCGAGGTCAGTGACTTGAGCAGCTGACTCTCCTCAATGTCCAACACATCGGGTGAGAAGGTTTGTCCTTCCTCGTACACTTGTTGCACCTTCATGCCGTAGGTGAAAGGGGAAATGTTCAACATGTTGAGCAGGGTAGCTTCGGAGGCACCGACTTTTGCGCCGGCCTCGACCAGCTTGAGATCAGTGGTGATTTCGATGGTACCACGAGCAATCTTGGTGGGGACACCGAGAGCTTGGAAGAACGACGTCTTGCCGGGTTCCATGCCAGTGTTTCCAGCTGGGACATACACATCTCCGGGAGCCACGGCACCAGCACGAGCAGGAGCTGCGACACGGTTCGCGAGGATCTTGTCACGGATGGTCTTCAGATCCCCATTGGTGAAGATGAAGCCAACGTTTCCTGCCAACAGTCAGACCAATGTGTTCCACTCTCTTTTTGACCTTGAATCTGAACGCACCCTTGACGTGAGGCAGCAACCGTTCGTACTCCGGACTGTCTGGGATGAAACCCTTGAGAGCTCGTCGGACCATGGTGTTCTTGCCCATCAAAACCACCGCTTCGCCGCGCAGGTTGTGTCGAATCTCGTGCATCTGTTGCGACGAGACATTGTCGACGCTGACCTGGAGAAATTGTTAATTGAGTTGGTCGATTTGGGTTTTCTTAGGAGGACTTGCGATGAAGATGGACTTGTACTCTTCGAGCAAGCCCTTGAGCTTGTCGAAGTAGACAGCTTTGGTGCCGGTTTTGCCCCCCATGACTTCTTATGGGATGAAGTTAGGATATTTAAGGGCAAACTGTTGCGATTGTGACGAGGGTGTTGGTGTTGATGGTCGAGGTGCAACTTTTCGGACAATGTCAGAGGGATTATTTTCCTGAGTGCGATCAGGGTCACGTGATGGGGCCTTGGCGTCAACGGCGAAGCATTCTCTCAGTGATGGCACTGCCAAATTTCACCGAGTGTGTTTAAAGCATTCATGGTGTGAATTGATTCGGTTTTGCTTCGCTGTATGCTCCTAGGTTTCTAAAAGATATTCCAGTGGTGACAGGCTTCTGGAAAAGAAAGGTTCCTGCCAATAGTCAGACCTGCCATCCACCTGCTGTTCGCGAAACGGTGGAGAAGCAGCATTCAGTTGTCTAAATGGTTCTTTGCCCATTTCAAAAGCTATGCTGCGTCCAGCCGGTGGACGGCCAACAGCCATTCCTGCTGGCAGCTTCAGGTCCGGTCATCAACTCGCTGTGCTTGAAAGATGGATCATTTTTGAGCCGTTGGTCGCCATCCGATCGCGAGGACGAAGAGTATGACCAAGCCGCTGCCAATGGCCAAGAAGCCAGGGCTTCCAAAAGACGAAAGATAGGAGAGGAATTTCGTGGGGAACTGCCCCATCAGGAGTCAGAAGACTCGATCGAAATCATCTCGGAGAGAAAGAAGGGTGAGCGGCGGAAGCCCAAGGTAGAAAACACCACCCTACCGAACGTCTCTCATATCATTACTACCAGTGACGGAAAGACGGCCATCTGTGTCACTGGCGAGGACAAGTCAGTGATTGTGTTCGACGTGCTGACGGGAGGGGTTTTGCACTTGAAGAGTCAGAGGTAAGTTCTGCTTGAGCGGGTGAGCTGGCTTGGGATGCTTAAGTCTTTATCAGGGCAATGCCAAAGCGTGTTTGCGCAATAGTCCTAACACCGGACGAGAAGAGTCTCCTACTCGGCGATAAATTTGGCGACGTCTATTTGTTACCCTTGCATCCCACGGCCGGATGGACACGGCAGAAGCCGCTTCAGGACCAGCAACAGGCGACCTACTCTCCCTCGGCTTCAGAGTTAACAGTGCACACCAAAGGTAATCTAGAAGCCCTGCGGCAACAGCGTCAGCAAAAGGTGTCTCAACCCAAGAAGGAGGGACTCCAGTTTGAATGCAAGTTGCTGCTTGGTCATGTGTCACTCCTAACGGACGTCGCCATCACTGAAGTCCAAACAGGACTGAAACGACGCCAGTACATCCTGACTGCGGACCGAGACGAGCACATTCGCGTGTCTCGGGGGGTCTCACAAGCTCATATCATCGAGAACTATTGCTTCGGCCATCGTGAATTTGTGAGCAAGCTGTGTGTCGTGCCCTGGAATCCGGAATTCCTTGTGACGGGGAGCGGCGAGCCTTCTGTGAAGGTCTACCACTGGCAGACTGGGGCACTGTTGGACCAGGAGCTCTTCCAAGGCGATGTTGGGAAAGACATCGTCAACTGCCTAGACGTGGATGGTGGTGGGCGTTTGCTGGAAACTTTGGCGGTGTCCAACATCTGGCCCGTCCATTACACCGTGTCAGGCAACTCGCCTCGTTCGCGCCAACCCCCTCATCTGCTCCTGGTTGCGCTTGAAGGGTATGTCGTGACCCGAGATACCTTGACCTGCGACTGAATGCGTTTCTAGGCTTCCGATGCTCCTGAGCTACAGCATTACGCAAGAGGGTCGCTTGAGGCATCATCAGACATTGACGTTGGGAGGAAACGTGTTGGACGTCGCCATCGGCCCTGCGTTGTGGGCAATCGTTGTCGGCATCGACACGGCACATAAACCTGGGTCCGTTTGGGTCTTGAGGCCCGACGAGACGCCCGCAGGCGATGCATTTGAGACATTTGAACTATTCTCCAACGTGCCCGCCGACGAAAATAGTCCCAGACATCAAGCGGATGGTGCTCCCGGCGCGGACTTGCGATGGGAAACTACGAGCCTCGCCATGCTTCTTAATACTTCGAGCCTGGACTGCGGCAGGGGTATGTTAGCGTCAGAAGGTCGCGCAAAGGACAAAGGGCCCTACAGCTCTGCGGGAGACATGCTCTATGGCCTGGAAAACCTCAGGAAGAAAAGGGGTCAAGCTGGGGTAGAGGCGGAGGAGGAAGAAGGAGGCGGAGAGGGGACCCCAGCGGATGCAGATGCAGATGCAGAGAGGATGTCGTGATCCATGTTGTTGGTCCCACATAGCAATCAACGGTGTCCTCTCTGGACTGGAATTGAAGCAGCAACAACTTACCCTGCGAGCCTGGTATGCACATAAGTACCTGGCGAGCTGGGTATGTAACTTGGTACGTCGTCCGTGGAATCTCGGCGCGATTATGTAATACATATTTACATAGTTATTCTTGGACCCAGAAATATCAATGAAATGCCCCTCCACGCATCATCCATCCATTGACTGACACGAAGAACAACCCACGAACAACAACAGTCCAGTCATTGAAGGGCTTTTCCTTTCTCACCCTCAGCACACGACTCAACACATCATGAAGAAGAATTGGCCGTCTCTGAAGAATGATCGACTCCTTCGAGCCGCACGAGGTGCGTGAGACCCGGTCGCTCACACCACACATTTTCAACCCGTGCTGCACAGCAGAAACAACCCCCAGAAAGAAACAATGACGGAGAGATATAGAGAAAGAGAGCCCCTCCCACTAAAACAAGATGTACAGGCGAAAAAGTTGACAGGCCACCGATATGGGTGATGCGACAAGGTATGCTGTTTTGCTGCTGCTGCTGCTGCTGCTGCTGCTACTACCACCCTGACAGTCATTGCACATGCCCCTCCTCTCTCTGTCTTTTTCTCTCTCTCCATCCCCTCCCGAACTGTGGACTTTCTGCGCACCCGCCACTAAAACCCTTACACAGCTGGCCGCTACCTCCCCGAGTACCACCAGGCCAAAGGCAAGCGCGACTTCTTCGAGTGCTGCCGTTCCCCTGAGATCGCGTCCACGTTGACCCTCCAGCCGATCGACCGCTACGATGGCCTCATCGACGCAGCCATTATCTTCTCCGACATCCTCGTCATTCCGCAGGCCATGGGCATGGAGGTGCGGATGGTCGACGGCGTTGGGCCCCAGTTTCCGCACCCGCTTCGCAGCCCGTCGGACGCACAGTACCAGGAGATTGTGCAGCGGGAGGTTGACGTCAAGAAGGAGCTGGACTACGTGTACAAGGCCATCACGCTGACGCGAGAGAAGCTGGCCGGCCGGGTGCCGCTGTTTGGGTTCTGCGGCGCGCCCTGGACGCTGCTCTGCTATATGGTGGAGGGCGGCGGGACGAAGCTGTTCCGGGAAGCCAAGACGTGGGTCTACAAGTACCGCGAAGAGAGTCAGGTGCTCCTGAGGAAGATGGCCGCCATCTGCGTCGAGTACCTCGCGTTACAGGTGGCGGCTGGGGCACAGATCGTGCAGGTCTTCGACTCGTGGGCGGGGGAGTTGTCGCCCGCGTCGTTCAAGGAAATCTGTCTGCCGTCACTGGGCTACATTGCGGAGAACCTCCCCGAGCGGCTACGGGAGATGGGCGAAGACGTGGTCCCCATGGTCGTGTTCGCCAAGGGCGCATGGTACGCCCTCGATGACCTGTGCGATTTGGGATATGATGTGGTGGGACTGGACTGGCTGCATGATCCCGCGGAAGCAGTGAAGATCGCGAGAGGGAGAGTCACCCTGCAAGGCAACGCGGATCCGGGCGTACTCTACGGGGGCCGTGACGCCATCACGAAGGTGGTCGAGAACATGGTCCGGGGCTTTGGAGGGGGGAAGGAACGATGGATCGCGAATCTCGGACACGGCGTGACCCCGGGCGTCAACCCAGACGATTTGAAGTTCTTCTTTGAAGAGATTCACCGGTGTAGTGGTGCTGCATGAATGCCGCCGAGGAGAGAGGAAGACAGGACAGCAGAGGCTGTTCAGAAAGATTGGTTGAATGGAAACTCGCGGCTTATCATTGCTCCCCGATATCCTCGTGCCTAGCCAAAAAAAATCAAAAAAGTTTTCAGTATCAGAGACGACGACAACAAAATAAACAAAAGAAAGTTTCTCCCTTCCTCTCTCTCCTCTCTCTCTCTCTCTCTCTCCTCTCTTCCCACAAACAAGAAGACGAAACAGAAGAATTGGAAGGGAGAAATAAGAACAAGAAGAATCCATACCAAATGCCCGGATTTTCCTTGATAAAGCTGCCCATCATGTCTCGACACTTGGCGTTCTCCAAGACCACAACCTCGACGCCCCGTTGGCGGAGATAGTCCTCCCCGCCGACGAAGGTCTTGTTCTCGCCGATGACAACGCGGGCCACCTTGTACAGGATGCAGGCCCCCGTGCACATGTCGCAGGGGGACAGGGTCGTGTACATGGTGGCGCCGGCGTAGGCGGAGGCGGGCAGGCGGCCGGAGTTTTCGAGGGCGGAGATTTCGCCCTGTTTTGTGTTTGTGTGTGTGTGTCATTAAGAGTTAAGATCAGAGAGAGCGAGAAGAAGCAGAAAGCTGAGTTGATGTGGAAGAGGGAAAGGGGCAGGCAGGCAGGTCGGTAGGTAGGTATATGATATGAATTGATATACTGTAACTCACATGTAACGTTGCACTCCCCTTCTGCACACGCATATTGTGCCCCCGGCCGAGGATCGTGCCGTCCTTGGAGACGAGGCAGGCCCCTATTTTTGTTTTTTCGCCCTTTGGTCAGATCTGGGGGATATATCGTAGATGAATAGATAGATAGATAGATAGATGGCCAGCGTCCGGGAATGAGGGATATACGTATACATACCTATCGGGATGCCTCCTTCCGCGAAACCCTGTCGCGCCTCTTCCACGGCGGCGAGGAAGCCGGGGTCTGTTTCGGACATTGATTGAGCTTGGTTGAGTGGCTGGAGTCTAGATCTGTCTGCTGGGAGCGGAATGGGCAGGAGGAGGAAAAGAAGGAGAATGACTGAGTACGGTAAGTGAGTTAATGGGTAAGTGTGAGAGAGTGAGAGAGTGAGAGAGTGGGAGACAGGAAGACAGAGAAAGACTGGGAAATAGTTGCTGCAGTGTGTCTGTATATCCTGTTCGCGCGTATCCACACAAGTGATCAGAAAGAAAGAATAGAAAAGACTGTGGCGGCGGAGTCCGATCATGATACCAGTCTCAACTCGCGCTCCTCCGCGTTCAATATATATTATACATATAATAGTTATATAGTTACACACTCAGAGAAACTAATATATATCCTGAGATACTGTAAGTTGCATATATGCTGATTATTCATGAACCTTCGGCAGGTAGTTGTAGTACAGGAGAATGGTGAAATGTTATGTATATATGTATGTATATTTATATCGACAGTACCTCGTATACATATCAATCTACCCATCCACCTCGTATTAATATCTACTCGTCCTCCTATTCTATTCTATGCTAACCCTGCAGAAAATCCCCCGCCGCCTTCCTCCACGCCATCAGCACCTTCAACTCCTCGCCGCCGTACCCGCCCTCGATGTCGTCTTTGATGTCAAACGCCCCCTCGGGCATGATGGCGTATGCTCGACCTACAAGGTGAGAACAATGCGTGTCCAATGTCAGTAGAGTGATAATCGTGCGACACAATGGGAATTTCACGCTAGAGAATATTGCTGAAAGCACAGACTAGACCTGGGAAAGGGGGGTTTGGAGGAGGAGGAGGAAAAATCTCACCATGCAGCGTCTCGTCCAGGGCAATCCGCGCCACGGCCTGAGCACACGTCTCCTTGCTCGCAAAGGTAATTCCCTTGCCGTCCTCGATACCCATGCTCTGCAGCGCCGCGACGATCGGCGCCGTCATGGGCGTCTTGACTGCCCACGGCGCCACCAGGTTGACGCGGACTCCCATCTCGGCGCGTGCTCGGCGACGCAGCGCGCGGAAGAGGCCCCGCGTGCCGAACTTGGACATCGTGTAGGCCACGCTGTGGTCGTCGTCCAGGTACCCGGCCAGCGAGGAGATGAAGATCAGGGCCTTTGTCGGTGGCGACGACGAAGGTGGATGGCTGGAAGGCTGCTGGCGTTGGGAGAAGTAATGCAGCGCCAGGGCCGCCGAGTAGTACGACCCCTTCAGATTGACGTCGAGGCACTTGAGTGATGGGGGCGCCAGGGGTACCATGGGCCCTTCCTCCTTCTTCTCCCCCTCCTCCTGGCGGGCCTTGGCCTGGGCCTTGACCTGGTCGATGAGATTCTCCATCGGATCGACGGCGGCAAAAGTGGTGACCACGTCGAGGGTTTTGGCCGGCGAGAAGGCGATGGCGCTTCGAAACACGGCGGTTTGGCTGTCCCAGTCGCTCACGTCGCAGGGGATGTACTGGACGTGCTGGTGGCCTTGTTTGGCGGTGAGCAGGATATCTCCATCCAGGGGAGGTTGGACGTCGGCGATAGTCACGTAGGCGCCCCTCGAGGCGAACAGTTGTGCTGCCTCTAACCCCAGACCTGATGCGCCGCCGGTCACCACCACACATTTGTCCTTGAGGCCGGCAAGGTCGATAGGGGTGAGTGGGCTGGTCATGCTGTGTCGACACGGTGGCTTAATATTGCTTCTTGTTCATCGGAGATCTCTATCCTTGTCAGTCGGCTGAGTATTGTCTTATATATATAATCCGTCAGGGCTGAGATACGCAATATTGATACCATCTCAGCTCGTTGTCCGCGACGGGAGACATTCCATGTCATATCAGGCCATCTAGACCCAGGCCCGACGCTTCACCCAGCAAGGTTTCTCGGCGGCAGAGGTGGCTCGTATCATCTCGGCGCGATCAATCGAGCTGAAAGCTTCCAGTGCAACATGACAGGCAAAGGTTGGCCGGACTCTCGCTGCCGAGGACAATGGCCAAAACTCACCACACCAATAAGACGTGCAGCTTTTACTTGTCCATTGCCATCGCTGATTCAGCTGTCCATTTCCAGTATCTCGCTTACCGAAAACCCCCTTTGTTGGTGGAAGGCTGGAAGGTCTGCGTGGAGGTCGATAGTACATAGATCCAAAGAACAGGAAACAAAAACAACGTAAGGGATGTTCATTCATGTGGGTATTAGCTATCTATCCTGGCATAAGACATATCTTGTCTTGTTCGCCTGCACGCCTGTTCTCTCGCCCCTAAACCACCATCCGCTAAACAGCAGCCAGACCTCTTTGCTGGGGGGAAGAAGTCTTCGACTATTTGGCCCAGAAATGAACAAAGGCATCGAGTTGGAAAGGTACAAGCTCAAAAAGATCAAATCCAGGCACAAAGTCCACAACTGTCGACGATACTGTCCACCTTTCGTAATGTGCAGCTTTTAAGGCCATGGTCGAACCCGATCTGCAACCGTCATCTCATCGAAGAAGCTGCCAACATGAAAGAGATATGAAAGATTGCTAATTTAAAAGGCCATGCCCGAGCCGGGTCCCAGCTTCGATGGCCCAGCAGGAGAGTTGCGCTTCTCTCTGACGTTGCTGGCAGAATTGCTCCTTGGTCGATTTGCTCCGGCCATTGGTGGGGGCCCACCACGGACTCCATATGGTCCAGGAGACATGCTTCGGCCTGGAGGTCCCATGCGCGGGCCCGGAGACATCGATCGCGGTCCTTGGTTGAAGCCTGGGCTCATCGGGCGTCGCATTCCACCACCTGGGCTCATGGGCCTTCCCATAGGGCTCATGGATCTGCCTGCGGGACTCATGGGTCGCCCTGCTGGGCTCATCGGGCGCTGAGGGCCCATGCCAGCTCGGGGACCACCAGCTGGAGACATAGGGCGGGATGGCGGCCCTCCGTGTGGAGGTGGCGGTCGAGCATATTGGTTGAGATGCGATGGTTTCGGCTTGGATGGTTTGGCGGCAAGGCATGTGCGAGGAACCACACCTTGTTGAGATCGATCAAGTCGGATGCAAAGAGCCTGTAATACGTTAATTTAGCTGTCCAACACAACACAAGTATTGTTGACACTTACCCATCCATCATCGTACTCGTGTAGTAACCGAACAAGTTGGCCGTTCTTCAACTCCAGTTCGTCGTCCATAGAAGGCGTGAAATCCATAAGAACTCGGTAAACATTGCCTTGAGCCGCTTCGGATCCAGAGCCGGTGGCGGAGGATAGAGCTGGAGACGAGGGTGCCGAGGAAGCTGGAGAAGCAGTCTGCTTTTGTGTGCGCTGAGCAACAGGAACAGGAGCAGGCATGGGACCAGGTGCCGGAGCAGAGGAAGGAGCAGAGGCCGGAACAGAGACTGGTTCTGGAGCTGGCGCCGGTGTTGGTGCTGGAGCGGACATAGAAGGGGCAATGGCAGCTGTGACTGGCTTGGGAGCGAGAGCAGCAGTTGGTCCTTCGCGAAGAGCAGGGGTCGCCTTGGATTCCATGGTCGAGGCGGGCGTGGCGGCGGCTTTGGCAGCAGCGGCAGCAATACCAGTAGCAGCAATGACAGGAGTGACAGACGCTGACGTCGCAGTGGAGGCTGCGCTACTAACGGGACCAGCGGCTTGAGCCCTTTGCTCAGGGTCCGCGACCGGATTCTTGGGATCAGCGAAAGGGTTGTCGTCCTGAGACGGGCGGGTTGGGCTGGGTCCTCGAAGGTGAGTTGGGCTTGGACCACGCGGTTGAGGCGAGGGACTCAGGTTTCGAACAGGACCGGCGGCAGGGGATGAATTTGATTCTCCGATGGTAGTGAGTAAGTTGCCAGCGCTGAGTCTGCTCTTAGAAGACGCTCCCATGAACTCGGGCAACATGCGAGAAACAGGCCGGAGACTTATCCTTGGGGCAGTTGAGCTGATGGGTGGACTCCTTGTCGCCATCTCCGTGCTGCTGATTTCCGGAGCAGGATTGTGTTTCTCATTGTCTCCGACAGCCTGCGCTTCACGCTCACGCCTCTTTTTCCCGAGCAGCCACAACAAGAAGACAGCGATAAGGCCAACAATGGCGATGACCGCAATGGCTATACCTGCTTTCGCTCCTGTCGAGAGACCAGAACTCGAACTTGACGAGGGTTCGGGGGATCCAGTAGCCGCTGATACGGCGCCGCTGTCGGTGGTTGACACTGAGGAAAAGGGCGTGGCAGAAGCATTTTCTCTTGTTGTTGGCGCAGCTAGGGAAATAGAAGTGGTCGGCGCAACACTCTGAGTGGAAGGACTAGACGACCTGGTGGTGGGAGAAGATGTGGCGGCGGCGCTGCTACCCTGGGCAGTTGTCTGAGCGGGAGGATTATTGGCGCTGGTGAGAGTGGTATAGCCTCCAATGACACCAGTAAAGGTTGGCTCTGCCGTGACATAAACGACGGAATAGACAGTGCCTCCGTCAGTGATGGAGTCTTGACGCCTGGCCAACTCCACCACCTTGTCGTGAAAGTTCATCTTCATCACTGCAGTGTTTCTGACAACTCTTGATGCGAAGCTGGTCGGGGCGGATGCTTGATCGTCGCCGGGTAGATTGAAGGGTATGGAACAGGATTGCGCTAGAGGTTGGAGCTGTGATGTTTGAGAGATGGCAATGTACAAAAGAGTATGTCACAGCGCTGCTGCAATCGTTGGAGGGAGTGACTTGGTGAAGGTCGAAGGGTTCAAGGAGCGGCGAGTGATGAATTGTCGATAAAAGAGGGGCGACAATTCACTCTCAGTGAATAATGGGATGAAGGGAGAGAAAGAATCGAAAGAATGTCAACAACGGACTCCGCGGCGTCAACGAGCTTCAAGCAGGTAGAGAAGGAGCAAAGAGAGAATTGAAGCTAGAGAAAGCGTGGAGAGCGCGCAGGATGCGGCAGGGTGGCAGTGACGCCGTGGTGAGAAAGTGAGATAAGAAAGGACACAAGGGAAAGTGGTTTGACTGAAGCGGTTTCAAGTCCAGGGCACCACAGGGTGTCGTTGCGACTGGGCATGGCATGGGTGAGGGTTGGACCGCATTGATTAAACGCAGCCCAGCAGGGATCCCTGGAAGACATGATTGGTGTGCCTGGATTTAGGCTTCATTAGCCCAAGCCACCCAAACGCCTCCCTACGCCCCGGGCCCCAAATGCAGCTTAGACGCCATGTACCTGCAGCTCTAGCGGGAGATGAGCGAGATTGCTCCTTTTTTCGCCCAAAGTTATTACTCCGTCGACCAACAGCCACCGCAGCGCCATGTTCCACAAGATTGTGTCGGTCCCGGGTCCGAGCGACACTGTAGGTTGATTGCATGTGCTTTCGAAACGATTAACCATCAGTTGGGCAGTTTCAACGACTATTGGCTCCTACGCAGTACCTGGTCATGAGAGTGAGAGAGAGTTCTTCGGTACGGAGTGCTTGGACGCGTAGTGGAGGCCTGGTGTGGGATCTATGCACAACAGCCACGAGATATCAAAGAAGCTCAGCATGCGAGATTTGCCGACAAGGAACACCCAGATAGAGGCTTCATCCTCTGGTTCAGCATCCAATATTTCCATCAATTGCCTCATCGGATGAGATTGTCCGTTTGTCCACATGCAAAGTGCTCCGCTCCTGTCCCACCCTCCCAAAATGAAATCTCTCTCATGTTGTAATTCGATCTCTGTCCGATTGTCAACATTGTCGTGTGATTCGATACGCCTTTTTCTTCGATCTTTGTCCTGCTATCGATCATCTGTCGATCTTTCTCGCCGTTATCACAAAAATGTCCCCATAGGCGCCTACTTTGAGTGGCGACCGCCACCGTGTTGTTGGCGGAAAAGATCTGGGAGGACGCGTGCTCGGGTGCCGTCTTTTACGAGGTCACCATCATCTCCCGATGATAGACTTTAAGTCATGCCGCAGGGCTTCTTTCGCTGTCAACCTCCTTGTCTTTTCATAGCAAACAGTCCTGGAGACAAAGTCAACAGCAGACACCGGAGCTCCAGGGAGAATGTCATTCCACGGTTTGGCAGGGTACTTCTGGAATCGCATCTTGCCCCAGTCACGACATGCTTCTGCAGAGGGCCAAATGTCCGCATCCGGCGTTCCCAATGTTGTGAATATGGACCTGATCAGACTGAGCTCGCTTCCCAAGGCACCAGCATCAAACATTGGATAGTGGCCGTCCTTCACAATCTCTGCGACAACACAGCCCGCTGCCCACATGTCCAACGACGTGTCGTATGAGCGATCTCCAAAAAGAATCTCTGGTGGGCGATAGCAAGTTGTACCGACATCAGTGATCTTGGAATCCACAGGCTCCGAGTCCTTGTCGTCTGGAGACCATGCGATGCCGAAATCTATCAGGTAGACTGGTCCGGTCATCGACTTTAGCAGGATGTTGGATGGCTTGATGTCTCTATGAATTATGTCTTGTGCGTGAATATGTTCCAAGGCTTGGAAGAGTCCGTCAAACACCATACCTGCCTGCTTCTTGTCCAATCTGCCGGATCTGAGCAGATTTTCCAGATCCTGCCTGAGAAAAGGGAAGACCAGGATGAATTTTCCTCCTGATTCGTGAAGGGTGTCTAGAAGAGGCACCACGTTCTCATGGCGCGCCTTGATAAGTAGCCGGGCTTCTCGTTCTGAGTTATGTGGTGGAGCCATCATTGCTGGATGAGTAACTTTGAGGGCCACGATTCGAACAGGGGCGTTGTTGTCCTTTGTCTGCGCTTTGAAAATGGACGACGTTTGCCCGTCTGTGTGGTAAGTTGCGAATTCGTAGGCTCCAAAGCTGGGACCTTCATGGTTCAATATCTCGGGCTCTTGTGGTGGGTCTAGTTCGTCCAACGGCGCTACATCCTGTGTATGTGAGGCTTGTAAGGCTTCTTGCAGCTGTCGGTGGTACTCTTCCTGGCTCGGTCAGTGATGAATCGCCGGGGGATCTGGAGGCATCAGATACCGGAGAAGAAGCAGACTCCAGAATCCCACTTTCTAGCTCCCTTGCCTTGTTACGAGCTGCGTCTCCATCATCCCCTGCTGAAATAAAGACATTCGTCCTGTTCTAGGTTAGATGAAGTCCGTCTATTGTCTGCCATTCTTACAGAGACACAATATTGCCCAGTCTATCAGTGAAGCTGATGTCCACCGGCATGGTGATCTGTGCGCCACGGGAAGAGGTTGTGCACCCTCGCTGCTGTTCTGTGCTTGCCCTTGTGCGAAACTTGTGGGACTCGGCGGGGTGGAACGCAGTGCTCAGATGGTATCACAGTTCCATCTTTCAGCCACCGAAGTTACTCGTCTGGATCATGCAGCAATCAACCGCAGCTGTACTCCTGAGTGGGTTGTAGGCACGTATTCCGCATGTCTTGAGCAGGCCCGAGACGAAGGATTGCACAAAAAACTGACAAGCCGTTGAAGAATCCCCCGAAGGGATATGCGGAGAGAAAAGAAAGCGGTGAATGACTGTGTGGTAGGTAAAGGTAATGTTGTCTGACAGCGGTGGTGTAGGTGGGTGGATGGGTGGCGACTGCCCACTACTAGCCTAACAGCGGGGTGAGTCGCGGTTCCAACGCGGTTACCCCTTCGACCTATTATTTACGGCCCTCTATCTTATTCACCGAACTGTAGAGCTGCTTTAGCGATACCGTTTATATTCCCCGATTGTGATAGCTTTAGGAATACCCCCTCATTCACCTGTCTTTACATCCCATCACACTATACGTTAACGCACCAGGGAACCACCTAAAAGCCCAGATTAGCTGGCAGCTTGTGTACCTTACTCTCTCTTGACACCGTCACGGGGAGAGAAAATGTCGTCGGTGTATCTTTCTCCTTATACAGGATTTGTAGATAGACTAATATTAGTTCTGAGCTGGTTCTTTCTATCATCGATGTCTCCCTCAATTGTCAGTCCCAGAGCTCGAAGGATGCCGTTAAGGCTTCCTGAATTGATCAAGCGAATCCCGGCTGACGTTGCAGGGAAGTTAGGAATTGCTTCAGCAGTAGTGATGGATGGACTCTAGGTGCCCGTGGAGGTGAACTCTAGGTGCCTGCGGAGGTGAACTCTAGGTGCCTGTGGAGGTGAACTCTAGGTGCCTGCGGAGGTGAACTCTAGGTGCCTGTGGAGGTGAACTCTAGGTGCCTGCGGAGGTGAACTCAGGTGCCTGTGGAGGTGAACTCTAGGTGCCTATGGAGATGAACTCTAGGTGCCTATGGAGCCTGTGGAGGTAGACTCTAGGTGGTAGGTTAGGCTAGTAGGCGTCAGCAGGCTAGGTGTGAATAACCAAGTGAAAAGCCCAGTGGCATGTGACCCTACGAAAAACAGCTTAATGCGAGTACTGCCCCCGACCAATCATGTCCGCGGTTTTTTTGGTCAAACTTACCTGCTATATACTACCTAGTAGGTAATTACTGTTTCGCTTCGCTCAACAGGATTATTACTGGTCCCCTGTAAATAAATTGTAACGTCCCTGGCCAACGAGTATGTAATCGCGACCCGCCAAATACCGAAGAGCTTCCAGACCATTTCCTCCTTCTCTGCTTCATCGACGGTGCCGAAACTCCACACCTCATCCCATTTCTTGTATCTGCCATGCCACCTTGTCTTGGGATAAATCTGGGTTTGCTCACTTGAATAGAGAGTGTTTAATGCTTGGATCATTTATACACCATGTCCAATACGGATTTCCAGCGGACTGAATATCTAAATCTTCTGGTAAGACTAACCCTCCAAAATCCGTGAGCCTCCGACAGTACAAACACTGACCATCTTGTTTGCGCCAGGCCTCGTTGCAACCGGAGCAGGCCGTGAACATCCTCAATGACCGCGTCACACTCATCACAAAGATCAACAATGACATTGCCGATTGGCTTCTGGTCGGTCATTTCCGTGTAATACCCCGACCGCGGCGTTGACACTTGGGGATAGGAGCGTCGGAAGGTAGAGGAAGCCTACGTTGCGGGCCTGCGGAAGCTTGCGCGAAGGCCACAGCAAGATGGAGCCGCTGCTCTTGGGTATGCATTGTCCCGCCGATTGTCCACGGTTTGCTAAAGCGACGCAGCATCTTCCAGATGCCCTGGCAGCGCATCGTCTCGGGTACTGAGAACCTCGCGGCCTCCCACGAAACCCTTGCGACTAAGATCGAGACCGACGTCGAAACCCCATTGCGCAGCTGGGCGACACGAAATAAATCCATGCACAGCTTAAGCACTGCCCAGGGGAACTTGACCACGATCGCGAAAGAGTTGTCCAATGCACAAAGAAAGGCTGCAAAAGGTGGAAGAAGGGCTGACACCGCCAGCACCACGGTGGAAGATGCCTCGCGTCAGTGGGAAGCCCAAGCACCATACGTCTTTGAACAGTTACAAGTGGTGGATGAGCTCCGAGTCAACCATCTGCGAGACGTCCTCACGCAGTTTCAGACCCACGAAGTGGACTGCATCGAAAAGAACAAGGTCAGCGCGGAGTCGTGTCTCAACGCCTTGCTCAACGTCGAGACGGCGGATGAAATCAAGACGTTTGCAGCCACGGCTGTTACCGCTCCTCCTCCTCCCGGTCCTCTGCGCAGGCTCAGTTCAGCGACGGCTGGTGGGAGACCGACCAGCTCCTCACTGCGCGCGCCACCGACGCCGCCACCACCTCGAGGCACGTCTGAAGGGCACAACCAACGCTCGAATTCTTTAGCCGGCCAAGATAGACTGGCACCCCGTGAGTTTGATCTCGCTGTTGCTTGACTGGGGCTAACCTGTCGCAGTGCCTGACAGTACGCCGCACAAGGAGAAGAGCAAATTGGGTGGTCTCAAACGTCTTGGTACTGTCATGAACAGACGGAAGAGCACCGTCCCACCGGTGCCTCCCACAGAAGAGAAGAGGAGAACGCGGTTCGTACCGTTCAGAAGAGGGGATTCATCACGGAGCTTTCAGGATCTGGAAGAGTCGGGTCAGGATCTTACACCAGCTGCCACCCAAGATCGGCCGACGTCTTCGGTCTCCCAAGATCGACGGCATGATGTTCCCATCCGTGATATTTCGGAGCCACCGGTGCCTCTCCCCTTGACAAATGGAACTACCCATCCACAAAGTCCTTTGGAATCACAACCGTCTGTGGCTCCAAGCCAACCTGGCCTTGCGGACAACATCAGCACACCTCCGGCTCCGTTTAGCAATAACCCCTATCAACAAGCGACATTCCATCAGCCACCCGTTGCTGAGACCATGAATCCCATCGCTCAGGCTCAGCAAGAGGCGGCCTTGGCTTCTGGCTCTGCGGACGAGTCGGCGCGGAATTTTATGATCCGGGATAAGCCAATTGAAGAAGATGAAAGCGAGGCTCAATTGGCGATGAACAACATGGCCAACCAACTACGTTCTCAAGCGCAAAACGCCGGCATCAATCGTGTCCAAGGCAGTGTAAGAGGACGAAGAGATGTGCGGAACACGATGTACATCCCGAGCAGTACGGAGGCTCTACCGCACACAGCTCGCGCTCCTGCGCCCGTGGCGATACCAGAGAATGCCACCTCCCCCGAGGCTACCCTCGCATCCCCTCTGCAACGGCCACCAGTAGTGGGAGTCTTGCACGACGATCATGCTGCCATGGGCTCCGACACTGCCTCGATGCACTCATCCAGAAGTCTCGCTGGCCCAAGTCCACATCCAGATTTGCATGAGCCAGGCCTCAATGCCTCGGTGATCGAAACTGTGCACTCTTGGTTTACCGAAACCGGCATCAGCAGGTCCTTCGTCCTTGGTGAAGTGGCCCTCGCGTGCAACCCGACCGGCCTCAATGATGCAGACACTGAAACGATCCGGATCCAACACTTCGAACTGCTCGACAAAGTTGCCGCGAACCCCATATTTATGAGCCAGATCAAGTCGCCTGAGGACTCGACCGCCCAAGCTGAGGAACGAGCCGGCTGCTATTCCGTGCTGACGTCCTCGCTGAGGAGACCGACGCCCATGATTTGCTTGAAGTACCAGCTGCATATGGAAGAGAGTAATCTGGCTCGATACAGTCCGGTGTTGATCACCCCGGCGTGGCAAATCGTCGAGGGACAAGTGAGCGTGATTGTATTGTACAGCCTCAATCCTGTCTTTGGCAGTGAGCCTGTGACGCTCCGAAACGTGCAGATTAGTGTGAGTCTCGACACGACTGGTGAAGGGGCTGGCAAAGCCGCTTCTGCCATGATGGCCCCCACCCAAGGCGCCAGTTTCCGCCGCAAGACGTCGTCCGTGGTGTGGCGCATGAACGAATTCACCGTGAAACCCGAACAAGAACGCCTCCTGGTGCGGTTCATGACCCAGGGCGGCTTGGCGAAGAAGGGCGGCGTCGAGGTCAAATTCGAGATTCCTGGTCGAACGGCAAGCGGTGTTGGCGTGGAGAAGCTCGTTGCCAAAGAAAGCGATCCCTTCGCCGATGACGGAGGCGCGGTTGAGGATGCGGTGACGAAACAGAGCTGGGAGATGGTGCCGACCAAGACGAAACTGGTCAGTGGCCGGTATACCGCCAATTGAAGTGTCTCTCGGTGTCTCTACCATCTTCTCCCACCATGGGACGAGAAGAGATGGTGTAGGCTGCCATGGCAGCCTGCCAAAGAAAAACGCAAGAGAACTTGGGCACTCGAGGCATGGATGGAAGAAGAGTTGTATACATTGGATTTCGGAGGCCCCCCTTTCCCCCCCTGGGATTCTTGCTCTATCTATATAATGAATGACCAGCGGAGCTACACATCACAGATCTCATATATAGCCAGCATAGCGAATTGTTGTTGTTGTAGATTGATTCAAACTACCCCGAGAATGGAAATTTCCAGATGTCCCTATGCCTATCTATATACCTGGTCTTTTGGCCGTCTATGTGCCTGTGTCTGCCTGTTCAACAATCACCTTCACCTTCGGGATCAATCGCTGGAGTGCAAAAACAGTGGCACTGTTCCTGAAGGGAAGAATCATGTACCCTTTTCGTCTCTCTAATAAATTAGACTGACTGTCTGTCTATGTAATAATACCGCTCTGAGGAGACAGACCCCAAGGTTCTTTCTCCCTCCCAGCTCCCTGCTCCCTGCCAGGTCTTCATCAACCGCTGGACGGACGGACGGACGGAGTATCGTCATCGCACGGTGCCCATTGTTGTCCTCCCTCCAATATTGGTCAAACTCGAGCCTCGAGGCTGTGATCGATCCTCTTCTCCGTGTTCATCCTTAATAAAAAGATGTAATGTCGATCGCGATGAGTTCGTTCTCGGGACCAAGAAATCAACGGTAATCATATTACTTCGCACACAAACTGAACACACCAACAGACCGACCATACCGTGTCTGGTCGTCGACGCCCATCCATCCATCCGTCTTCACGTCGTGCAAGTCTTGTATCGAACGAAGGTCGCTTTGTTGATCCATGATCATGATCTTCCGTTTCCACACCGTCATCATGCTGGCGGCTTCTCAGACCCAGGTGGATAGGATAATTCGACAATATCGTCCCCATATGGTTATGTAGAGAGAGCAATTGCTATCCCTGATACCCGATCGAATGGGCTTCAAACATCAGTGGTCGTCAGTGCTCGAGTCTCATCGCCTCTCGGATCCAGTGCAAGGCAAGTCATGGAGCTGCGTTTGTGGCCTCTATTCATTTCAGCAACAACAAGCGCCTCTCTCTATCAATAGTCGCAGGTTGGATCCACGAAAGCATGATGCTACTATTTCGGCAACAACACTCCCCGTTCCTTGTCGTAACTCGCCACCTCCTTGACCAGCGCCACAAACTCCTTCTGTTTGTCCTTGGGGTGGGCCACTACCTTCATAAGGTCTTTGACTGTGATACCTTGGGGTGGGATCGCATTCTTGATGTCTTGCGCCGAGGGAAATGCTACCGGTCGAGGAACGCTACCTCCCGCAGAGACAGGAGTTGGGGACGCTGCACGCGAGGATGGTTGAGCTGGTGGTGAGGCTGTCCCTGCCGCGCCAGTGGGAGGTGGAGAGGCCGACATTTTGAGCTTGAGGCGTCGCTGAGCACGACTGCTATCGGACATGGCAGCGGCGTCGGTATCTGTGTCTGATCCGGCTCCTATAGGGCTGGCAGCACCCGCTCGCTTTCGTGCCTTCAGCGCCGCCAAAGGATCCAACGTTTGCGGAGCAGAGGAGCTAGGCGGAACATTGACAGGGGACATGGGTCTCGAATGGCCCGGCGTCGGCTGACTAGAGGGCAGATGCTTCGACTTGAGCTTCTTCTTCCGCGAAGACACGTCCGTACCCGAGGCATCAGACAGATTTGGCGAGCCAGGACGTTTCAAAGAGCGCGTCGATGTTGACTTCTTCATGCCACCTTCATCTTCGCGGTCAGAACCTTTCTTCTCCTTTCGACCCGAGGGAGTGTTTGCGCCGGACGACAGGGCCGATTTCTTGGCCTCAGCCTCTTCTTCCTTCTTGACGTTGGCAAGACGCTCACGTTCGATTCGCTCTCGTTCTTCCTCGCTGTCGGTCTTTGCCCCAAGGTGTTAGCGAGCGCGATCTGATGGTGCACACAGGGGACAACTTACTGAGGATTCATTTTCGGAATCACTACCGTGATTGTAATTCCGCTCCCGCCTTTCCAGCGCCTTTCTCAAGTCCCGGAAGTTCTTCTTTCTGGCCTCAGCTTCGCGCTTTTCTCGGGCTTCCGCCTCATCATACTCCTTCAGGTCCTTGAAATCGAGGAAGTTGGCTTGTAACTGATCCTCCTTGATACGCTTCTCGGCGAGCTTCTCATCCTCATCCTTGTCCACGAAGAGATCACCCTCCTCATCATCGGCAAAGTCGTCTTCATAGTCCAGATCCGCTTCCTCGCCAGTCCTTCCTGCATCGACTGTCGTCCGTGCTGCCCCGGAAAAGAGTGCCCTACTTTCTCTGACAGCGCGCTCTTTCAAGGCTTCCTGGATGCGAGCTTCTCGGTGGCGAATCAGCCATTCGGGGTCAGAACCTCCCTTTTTCATCGCAGCTTCGACTTCCTCGATAGTCATCTTTTGCAGGTTTTCTCGTTTCGGCTTGAACTGATAAACCTTTTCGATGGGAATGAGACGAAATTTGCCGGTTGAAGCATCCACGGCCGGCTCATAAACAAAGGCGGCATTGGAGCTCACAGAGCCGATTTGATGATGCCCAATGAAGCAATGCTTGTTGTCGAAATCCTCGAGATGCCATGGCAGCTTCTCCTCGTAGTTGGTCTGGATCCGGCGTTTCTCTTCGGCTGAGAAGTCTGGTCGGAAGACTTGTTGAGTTTTCTTTTTGAAGTTCATTTTCTTGCCGGTATTTTGGGACGGGGCGATTTGCGCCAGATTCGCCTCGCGCTCTTTCTGTCGAACTTCTTTCCGCCGATTCAACTCTTCTCTTTCTGCGGCGTTGAGCCCATCTTTTGGTTCTACTTGCTCCTCCTCCTTCTTTTCCTGCTGTTGTCCTGGGGGCGGGGCGCGAGGATCGCGTCGATGCAGACGAACTGGCTTGGGAAATTCGGACTCATTGCGAATATCTATGGGTTTGTCGCCGGCCAGCTGGAGGATATGATACCTGAGGCCATTGAGCAGATCTCTCTTTGTTGTCACCAATTTGTAGTCTGTATAGGATATTCCTTCGGCCGTAACTCGAGGGTCACTGAAGCCGCTCACGCGCTCGCGATCTGGGATAGTTGCTATAGTCGGAGAGGACGCGCGTGGGGCAAGTGCGTTCATGGGTTGCGACTTGGGAGGTGGATGGCCGTTGATGTTCAGGTTCACATTCACGGGAGGAGTCAAGTGGCCGTTCAGTTGAGGCTTGGTTGCAGCAGGCTTGCTCCTGGGGCCTTTGAAAAAGGGATCAGACATAGGCTTCTTGCGTCTGATCATAGGAGGAGCGCCAGGAGGACGGGTTGCAGGGCCGCCAGATGGCGCGGAACCTGGATTCATGGCTGATTCAAAGTCCTGCCCTATCACAGCATTGACGTCGCCGAATGTAGAAAGAACAAAGAAATACTGTGAATTAATTCAGTGATCTGTGAATCTGAGAAGCAGGATACGAGATAGAGATGAAAGAGACGTGGTGGTAGCGACTCGACGACGTTAAGCGGAGGTGTTTTGGAATGCAAGGCAGCTTTCAGGTTTTGCCGTCATGCACACGGTCACGGACAGGTTCCCCCGCTAAGTTTGCCGCCTAGGGGGTACCAGTTATAGGCGGTGCCAAAGGTGTCAATCACTAGGCTCACTGGGCCGCCTAGGCTCCCCAGTGGCTACTTCACTGCCAAATACGCCAAGACCCCCGTCCTGTGGACCGCCGACGGGCGGCTGCTTTTAGGGGCCTCTGGGGAGCAGCCTCTAAATCTACGGTTCACTTGTCGGCTAATTCTCCGTGACCCGGTCGCACATGCAATTCGTGGGGAGTGCCGAGTTTGGTGTGCACTTCACTTCACCCACGCAACCTTTACCATTCACTCGCTGATTCATTCATTCACTCATTCCAAGGCACTCTTGACAGGCGTGTTCAAAGTTTTCTTCTCACTTCTGCTGCCTCTTTCACCGACCGTGACACACTGCTAATGAATGCAAGATAACGCCAGCCCACGGAATGTTGTGACCTGCATTTGAATCTCGTTCTTGGTTTCCCTCTGAACACCATGGATACAGCAGGTAACCAGTCCGGCTTTCCTCCTCACGTCTGGAATCAACTGCATGAGATGGCTCAATCTGCACCTCACGCACGAGGTGGCCGTGGCCGTAACCGTGGCCGTGGTCGTGTTCGTGGCCAAAGCCAGGGCCAGGGCCAGGGCCAAACAGGAGCGGGCCGGCCACACCAAGGCCAAGCAGAGCAAGATCGTCTGCACAGTCAACAACATGCTGCCTCTTTCACTGCGAATCTCGAGTCTTTCCCGCCCCTTGGAGCGCAACCACCTCCTCGTGGCAGAGGCGAAGCTCCTCATCACTCCAGACCCCAGTACCAGCCGGGGCCCCAATTTCAGAACTTCAACGATCCGAGCCGTGGTTCTCCCAGGGAATATCAGGAACGTGCAAGAGGTAGCTATCGAGGATCGCGCTCCTTCGATACGCCGCAGCTTCGACCGCCGCATCCTGGCCAGTCAGAGCAGCAGCCACAATTGATGAACCCTGTCGCATTTCATAGCAATGGCCGACCTCAAACGAACCATCACAGGCAGCTCTACAACCCTAATGATGGCATGCATTTTAACGCAGGGCAGCAACAGCGCTCCACGAAACATCTTGTCTTGCTGCAAGCGGAATACCTCGCCAGCGTTGGCAAAAAGGCATACGCGGCACACAAATTCAGTCAAGAGGAGAGGGACGTCAAGGAGAGCTTCCGTCGCACTTTGGAGAGTATTGCGAAACAGGCGTTGGGTGCCGAATACCCGAACTTACAACAAAATCAGGTCAAATTGAAGTGCTATGGTTCTCTTGCCAACGGCTTCGCACTCACCGGTTGCGACATGGATCTCCTGTTGTCATTACCCGGCTCTGAAGGATCAGGAACAGCAGTCAACCTGAAACCCTCCAGTGACACGCAGATGGCGGCAGAAGATGGGGTGCAAGAGCAGGTTTTCAAGATTGACACTGGTCGTATCTTAGAGAAAGCGTTCCTTGACCACGACTTTGGAGCCAGGCTCATTACTCAAACGCGTGTCCCGATCCTTCGCATCTGTCAGAATCCAACCCCAGAGCTGCTGCGAAATCTGCGGGAAAATCGTGCCGCTCGGGAAGACGGCCACGGGGAATCAGATGTTGCCGAGTCAAAGCTGCCAACATCAGATGATCCCTCTACGGATATCGAGTCCGCTGAACAAGCCTTGACAGATCTCAATCTTGGAGAAACTGCATCCGCAAAGCAAGGCCGCCGGGGTAATGCAGGTCTGGAGTTTACCGAGGATTGTGGCATCCAGTGTGATATCAACTTTTCCAACTTCGTGGCTCTGTACAACTCAGACTTACTTCGAAGCTACCAGAGCTTCGACCCGCGAGTCAGAGAAGTTGGCGTCTTTGTCAAGATCTGGGCCAAGACTAGGGACATCAACACGCCATATCGCGGCACCCTATCGAGCTATGGCTGGATTATAATGGTTCTCCACTATTTGATGAACATTGCGAGGCCACCTGTTATTCCCAATCTCCAGCATCTCGCCAAGCTCGACGACGCATGGCATCCAGATAGGCCGGTCGAACTGTTCGAAGGGTTCGATGTCCGCTTCGTTCAGGATCCTCAAAGTCTGAAAGAAATTCGAGAAGACATGGCTGCAAGTCCTAACAGAGAGTCTACGGGCCAATTGCTGAGAGGGTTGTTCCAATATTACGCAACCCACCAAGGCTTTCATTGGACTCGGGATGTTATCTCGATCAGAACAAAGGGCGGTCTCATGTCTAAGCAAGCCAAAGGATGGACTGAGGCAAAATGGCAACAGACACAGACGAAGTCAGTCCGTCTTCGATATCTGCTGGCCATCGAGGACCCCTTCGAAATCGAACACAATATCGCACGCACTGTGGGACACCATGGTATAATCACGATCCGAAACGAGTTTCGTCGAGCGTGGTCAATCATTAGCACCATCGGCACGGATCACGAGATTCCCGCAGAGGAACTCCTCACTCCTGTCACCTCGCGAGTTGACACGTTGAGACAAGATTTAGAAGCCCGGAGGGAGAGACAAATCAAAATGAGGAAGGAATTGGAAGCCAAGGAGAAAGCATTGCTTCGGAAACGGGATGAGGAGTTCCCAGAGTCACTTAGAGATGGTACGTTGGGAAATTCTGATCCAGGGAATCCCGAGACCCGTTTGTTTGGCGAGAGCCAGCGCTGGCCGTCAACGTCGAAGCTGACCTCGACCCCGTACCCCCAGAACAGGAATCCGCAATTGAAGCCCAAAAGCCGGCGCATCAGAAAGGTATTGGTCGAGAGTGACGACGAAGAAGACTCATCCAGTCCTGCTCCAGATAACGCAAAGGAGCAGGAATGCCTTGATGTCGCCACTCCACCAGTCCAGGCCAAATCAGAGGACGATTTCCCTTCCATATCGGATATCCTTCTCACCCATGGCTACGATGATGAAGGCAATCCTGTTGCCTGGGACATCGAGACCCAAGATGGACGCTGGCTTCATTGGAGAGACGGGAAAGCGAAGCGGGGCGAGCTAAGGCCATTCTCAAATCCCAATCTACGCAAACTAAATGAACAGTGCCCCTATGATCCGAGACGACCTAGTCCATACGACGGCATGCCATACCGCAACAACGCTCAGAGATATAGGTACCTGTTACCACCATGGCCTTCAAGCAACCGTGACGGAGCAAATATGCGCAGGGTCACACCAACCGAGCCTTGCTCTGTCGAGGACAAAGACCCGGTGTCCAGGGACGAGAGTGGTGCTCGAACCCAAGACGCGCCAGACGCAGACGTGAAGGCGGAAGCGACGGAAATATGTGAAACAGACACCCACGAAAAGAACAAGTTCAGATCTCGAGAAAATACAGATAATACGTCAGGACATCGTGATCCATCAGGCTCAGTAGGGCCAAACATTCCATGGGACAAACGTACGATTGGTGGCCGCTGGCTCCGACAGCGCGATGCACGCATACGTGCAGGAGCGTGGGAGTACCACCCAGGCTCTCGAGGCGCGGAAATCGACCTTGCGTTTCCTTACGATCCGGAGATGACATGGAAAGAGCTCGAGGCGATGAACCAGCTATTACGACAAAACTACATGCGTACTCTTCTCCGTACCAAACAGGACAATGCTTCACGTCGACGCGTTGTTACAGACTCGTCTGGCACCGAAGTCAACGACCCGGCTCCACCACCGGGGGTGTGCCGGACCGCTGCGTCTGCAATGCAGACAGAGAGTCAGAAATCGACTGACCAAACGGATGTGCAATACAACAGTCGCTCACATGTATGCTCAGGTTCTGCTCGCACCGACCCATCACCTGCTAAGCCGCCTTCCCGTGACAGCCACCCTTTTTATGGTAGCATTTCTGAAAGCGCGCCAATTACACCTCCAACCGATGCCCGAAGTCCAGATTTGGCCTTTCTACGAACCCAGCGACTCTCCTTCTTTTCAAAATTGGTGAGTCCGCCAACAAATGACACCGAAATGGCCATTCGGATTGAACCCAAGCCAGCTATTGCGAGCGCAGCCCTTGCGCTGGTCATCAAAGAGTTCCCAACATCCACTCCACCCGCCCGAATACTGGTCGAAGAAGTGTGCGTGGCTGAAGATTATTCTCACGGCTTACAGGCAGATGCCTATTCTGGAGAAGCAGACCACCAGTCTCACGATGCCGATGCCGACGACAACGAGTTGTCAGCATCGGTGGCGGCGGGATCGGAAGAGAGCCCAGGCACGGTGATTTCATCGCTGGAGATTCCCGCCACACTGTTTCCCCATCTCGACAATAGCAGCCGACCAAGAGATGAAGATCCTAATATTCTCCCTATCCCCCAAGATTCCGGCTTTTGTTTCGACCCACGACAATTGGAGGATCTGGCTGTCATTGCAAGGGGCGGCAATGGCTGCGCAAGGGCAGGAGCCCAGTTTCACATTGAAGAGAATTACGAATGGGGCGGCGGAGGAATGATGGGCTGGAAGCCGAGCTCCACATCGCAGCGTGCTGGTATGAGCGGGAATCATACACCACACGAAGCTGGCACAGGAGACGAAGAAGGCTTGCTTGCAGAGCTTCCCGGGGACCTGGATTGATGTTTTGGCTTGGAGATGTTGTGAGCACAAACCCGACATGGGCATCGAGATATCAGCAAGTAGATCATTGTTATTGCTCGACGGGATAACCAGCTTCTGTTGAGTTTTCTGGGCACTGTACTGCTATGATGGCACAAAGAGCAAAGAGCGAAAGGCAACAGAGCTCAGAGCAAGGCGCTGGGGGCCAGATACCATTACCATTATCATTACCCAACAACCGCAGAGGAAGCTGATGAGAGCTGCTCTTCGAGGATATTCAAGTATCTTCAGTGGCGGAGGGTTGGATCGAGAATCTCTCCGCTCAGCAGTGTACGAGAGTGCGATTAACGAATAGAATAGATTTCGTCTTCTCAGTGTCTGCTTTTCGTATGATGTATTAGTTGCAGCTGCTCTCTCCACCATTTGCTCCCTTGTACCTCGTCGTGTGTCGTTGTTTCATCTTCGTCACAGATTGCAGGCGCCTCATTGGCTGCACAGACGCTGAAACCACCGGCCTCGCTAGCCATTGCACCATCGTCTTTCTTGCTCACAGACTCGCGACAGATCTATCGTTTTCCCTCTCCTTTTGAGAGTCTGTATACTTGATTGTCCCTGACGTCGTTTGTTCCCGCCCTGGCCGGCTCCAGCCCATTGCAAGCCACAATCATTCCTTCACCAGCGACTACATATACTCACAACTCCCAAGAAGAAGCCGTCCGGTTTTTTTTCAGTCAAGTCCAACACTATATATAGCAGGAAGCAAGACGAAAAGTTGTCCGGACAAGACAAACAATAGCAACGAAAAGAAACGGCAGCGAGTCGAGTAGAATCATGGTGTTGAAGCGATCCAGACGGCGCACTAATCCCCAGCGACAGCAACCTCCAGCATCACCACCACCATCACCCAGACCATCATCATCATCATCATCATGGACCCGACACATTACGCTGGACCTGCTGCTACTGATTCTGGCCAACTCGGTGTTCCACCCGTGGATCACGCTGGTGTTCTACCTGTGTCTGGCGGCGGTGCACAAGCACCGCGAGCCGCTGGCGTACGGGACGCTGTACTACACGGCGTTCCTGGCCGTGGTCGAGCTGGGGATGTGGCTCAATCACCGCCTTACGTACGGCTACCACCGCAAGGTCGAGTGGGAGGACGAGGTGGTGGTCGTCACGGGCGGCGCGCACGGGCTGGGCCGCGTGCTCGCCGAGATGCTGCTCAGAAAGGGCGCCAAGGTCGCCATTCTGGACGTCCGCGAGCCCGACGGGGACGCTTACGACGAGATGGAACGCTGGGATCTCATCTGGAAGACGGCGGATGTGAGGAATTCCGAACAGGTGAAGGAGGCGGTGGACAGGGTGGTGAAGGAGGTACGTCGGACATAGTCTTCTTCTCTATTACTATTCGACTATCTGTTTTTGATTCCTTCGTTCAGGGGCTCACGATGCATGTCCATCAGTTTGGCCCGCCGACAATCCTGATCAACAACGCAGCAACGGCCATTAATGGTCTGCCGCTGGCATCCACCATTCCTTACGGACCACCAGAATCAGCCTTGTCCCCTCAACAAGCCACCCAAACTATGACCACGAACGCCCTCGGCCACTTCCACGCCCTGTCCACTGTCCTCCCTCATATCATCGAATCCACCAAGGGCGGCCACATCATAACCATTTCGTCGATCCTCGCGCATCTCACTCCGGCTAAATTGGCCGACTACAGCGCCTCGAAAGCGGCCGTCTCGGCCCTCCACGACACACTGTGCCACGAACTCCGCACCCACCCGGACCCGTCCGTCTTTCACGAGGTGAAAACCATCCTCGTCGAGCCAGGTCAACTATCCACGGAGCTTTTCGCGGACATCACGCGTGTGCCCTTTTACGCGCACTTTTTCGCACCAGTGTTGGAGGCCAAGGACGTGGCCAAGGAGATTGTGCGGTGGGTGGAGAGAGGTGACGGCGGCGTCATTCGTATGCCCTTTTATGCCAAATGTGTGCCGCTTCTGGGAGTGATGCCAGGGGCTGTCCAGAGAGTGGTGCGGTGGTGGAGCGGGATCGATAGGGCGATCATTGGCAGAAAGCAAAAAGAGACGTGGGATTGCCCGTTCTGAAGGGACTCAAAAAAAGAAGTCCGTTGCATGATGTCCCCCAGTTCTCTCACGGCTTTCTTTGATTTGTTGCTGTTGCGCCTTTCATGAGAATCGTGCCTAAGCTCTCCTGGCTCGTCCCATTTAGCCTCATTCCATCCATTAGACGCATGGCGGTGGTTTCCTAATCATCATCATGAATCGTGATACCAGCCTCTTTGACCACTTCCGCCACACCAAAGTCGGAGCCTTGCTCCTCGTCTTGAATCTCTTTTGGCGGTGTCTGCGGCCCACCAGCCTTCCTCTTCACGCCGTGCGCCTCTCCATTCTGGACAGCCTCCTTTGTGCCCTTCACAGCGCCGTCCGTCTGTTTCTCCTGGTGGTCCTTCTTCCCCTTTCTGCGATTCCTGCGCTCCCGGTTCCGGCGCGTCTTCTCCTCGTCCCTCTCGCGCCTCTCCCGCTCTTCGCGCTCCCACTTTTCGTTCTCCTCCTCCTTCTTCGCCTCCTCGTCCATGGCGCGCAGTCTCTCGTACTCCCTCCGCCGGCTCGCCTTGTACACGTGAAACTCGCCAGAGCCGGCGCCGGCACTCGAGCCTTGCACGTTCGCGACGATCTCAGGCGGCGCGGGCAGGGACTTTTTCACGGCGCTCGATGGGGGAGGAAGTTGCACGGGCCGTGACGGGTCGAGGAAGAGAGTCTCGAGTTCATGGGCTTGCTGCGAGATGGCGCGGACGTTGGGGTTAGCAGTGTAGGCGCCACGAGCACGTTTGAGTGGTCGGTGAGAACGAGGGTCGGCGGAGGTGGGGATCGCCTCTGGAATAGGTTCAGACATCTTGTAGAATGGTAAAGGTGCTTCTCTGCGCCGTGCGAGTGTTGCAAGCAGAGACTTGGGGGGGGACGATAAAGAAAGAAAATACTGTCTGAGGAGACATAGCAACGGCGCGTGGTGCAACTGCAGAGTGACGTACTTTTCTCGGCGCCAAAGAGCCAATGATCTGCAGTAGCCTCCTACGGTGACGCACAATGCCACATTCCGCCATCCTTCAGCATAGATTCTCTGAGCAATATTATATTCACCTTCACAAAGAATCACCGCACCAGCCGCCGAGAGCTGCTTTTCGGAATTGGACTGCCCAGGCCGGCTCACATGCTAGTATGTGCCGATGACAGCAAAAAGCGAGCAGCGGACGGGCTGGCTTGTAGCACTCGGGCGCTCATGATGCCTCAGAAAGGGACTGGATCGTGTCTCAAAAGAACTTACGAGGTAGGACCACTGCGCTCTACCGTTTGAGGACTTCGACTCAGGGAGATTAGAACGCATTGAAACTCCTCGAGACTAGGAGGAGGAAAGCCAGGCCCCAAAATGCAGCCAGCCCCATTCCCAATCTTGCTGCTAGCAAGCCTCGCGTCGAAGCTCGTTCGTCTCTTCGTGGGACGCCGAGCATAGCAGGCATGAGGAGCTGGCTGCAAAAGATAGGCTACACGGTACGTTGTCGAGGCCGACGTTCAACGCGCAACATAACATTTCTGACAAATGTGGAAGGACGTCGACGTGGCAGCTTTGAACATTGTTCACGTTGCTGGGACCAAAGGCAAGGGCAGTACCTGTTCTTTCACTCGATCGCTGTTGCAAGAATGGGGCAAGAGAACAGGATTCCCCACCAAGATTGGTCTCTACACTTCCCCTGATCTTACGTGCATTCGGGAGCGGATCCAAATCAATGGCCAACCAATCTCAGAGGACCTGTTCACCAAATACTTTTTTGAGATCTGGGACCGGCTGTTCGCCCAGCAGCAGCAGCAGCAGCAGCAGCAAGAAGAAATCGCTGCCGAGGACGAGAGGCAACCTCGATATCTGCAATTGATTGCCTTGCTCGCCATTCACACCTTTTCTCGAGAGGGAACCGAAGCAGCTATCTTTGAGACGCATCACGGTGGCGAATATGACGCGACAAACGTGGTTTCTGCGCCCGTTGTGACTGGCATAACCTCCATCGGCCTCGACCATCTGGCCCAGCTGGGCCCTGGGATCGAGGATGTGGCCTGGCACAAGGCCGGCATCTTCAAGAATGGGGCTCCTGCGTTCTCTGCTCCACAGGAACCCGCTGTTGAAGCGGTGCTGAAAGCTCGGGCAGATGAAAAGGGCGTGCAGTTTGAGGTTGTTCCTGTCAATCCTTCTCTGCCTCTCACTGCGAACGCATTGCGCGCGCCGGTGCAGCGCATCAACTGTTCCTTGGCCATCGCCCTCGTCAACGCTTTTCTCTCTCGGAAGAGCCCTTTGGAGGAAAAGACGCTGAGCGAGCAGGACATCCAGAGGGGTATCGAGCACTTCACATGGCCTGGCAGATTTGAGGTCGTCAAAACCGCCAGATGTACCTGGTTCCTCGACGGGGCTCACAACGAGCTGAGCATCGGACAGGCGGTGGAGTGGTTTTCTGAGATGACGACGGCTCCTTTTTCCCGCGACGCTGTTCAAGCTCGTCCACCATGCATAATTATCTTCTCCCACATGTCAGAAGAACGAGATGGCCCGTCGTTGTTGAGAGCGTTGGCGAGTGCGGTCGAGCAGCATAATGTCCGATGTCCCGAGATGGTGTTTACAACGTACCAGGAACGGCGCGATGGAGCTATTCGACCTGGTAGGCAGTATGTCGGCCCTTCGAGTTTCGTACTGACGGGGATCTAGATAAGACCTTGAAGCCTCCGGACAACCTCCTGGCGGATCTTCCAAAACAGTACTGCGACCTGTGGAAGTCGACATTTCCCACGGCAAGCACCATATATCTCCCTTCCATTGAGGAAGCTTTGGAATATGTGGACACAGCCGGTCAGCAGAGAGACAATCTGCAAGTGTTGGTTACCGGTAGCTTGCACCTGGTTGGCGGCGCACTTTACTTGCTGCAGCGGTGGAAACAGCCTAATGTTGATCGGTGAGGGAGTCCTGTTGGAGCTGCAATGCAGCGAATTCCTAGAGACTCTGGACGCCCTCACCAAAGGCGCCAGATGTTTCGAAGCACATTAGTTACCCGTGTGACTTACGTGTGGTCAATTGACGCTCAGCCTTCATATACTGCCTACCTGCGCATTTCGAGACCGAGTATGGCTGCAACTCCTGTATCGACCCCCTGACGACGAAGTGCAAACTCTGACAGGGCACAGTACGCCAATAGACTTCCCAACCAGGCCTTTCACCCTTTCAGTCATTTATCAGACAGGGTGCCATCGAGAGACTGGAGGAGCCAGAGTGAGGGGACAGACCCAGCGACGAATATAGGTTATGCTTGAGGCTTATCCATGGCTGGTCCACCGCGCGAGTCTCATGCAAGACTGGATACAGTAAAAGGGTAGTGCGTGCCAGTGCGTTATCCAAACTGGCCATTGACTTTGCTTCGTCAGCTCAGCAAAGGGGAGGTGTTGGTTGGGAGGCCTAGTCAGACCAGACCACGCAACAACTGGGGGGTGGATGGAGTCCTCCATGGAGGCACATAAGTCTCTGTGACGGAGTCCGAGTAAATCGGGGAAGACTGGGCACACACACACAGCACATCAAAAACACGCGCCAACAACAAACACCAGTGCTTGTATCATCATCATCATCACACCTATGCACTGAAACTATTTGGTGCCCAGACGAGACTCTGCGAACCGAGGCTGTCGTCTCAGTCCGTCTGTCAGCCTCTTCCCACGATGCGGTGGGGTAAACGGCAACCAAGGGTTGATGTGATATTATACCCGACCAGACCGAGCATTGCCGGGGGAGAGAGAGAACTAATCCATCACCACCTCCACCACTACCATCCACTACCATCCAGACCTTATACTATCTTTATACATACATACATACACTGGAGAAGACGAGTAGGCAAGTCGGACGTCAGTGTTTGATTTGATTTGGGCCCCGAGTGTCCAATTGTTGTCATTGTCGTCGTCGTCGTTCTTGACATTTATCTCGCCTTCCATCCTCCCTTTTCCAAAGCATCTATCTATCTCCATAGGCCACCTCCTCGAGCACTTTCTGCTGGCCACGCATTCCATTACACGCACACACATACAGACATACATTTCATACCCAATCCCCACCACCAACAACAACCATGGCAAGCAAGTACAAATACAACGACATCATCTACGAGGTCAAGGGCAAGATAGGGATCATCAAGGTACGTGGGTGCGCGTGTATGCTCCTACAATTCTACCCATCCTCTCTCTCGTCCTTCCTTCTCTTTCCCCCTCCCTCTCCCCTAAACCTGATCTACTATGACTGACTCCAGGCAGTTCAACCGGCCCAAGTCCCTCAACGCCTTTGGCGGCAGCATCCTCCTCGACACGGTGTCAGCCCTGCGCGAGCTCAATGAACACCCCGACACTGTCTTCACTGTCCTCACCGGCGAGGGCCGCTTCTTTTCCTCGGGCGCCGATGTCAAAGGTACGTAACGTGTGCGCGGCACGGATTCTCATTTCCTGTGGAGTCGAGTCTTCTTCGTTTTATGTTGTGTGTACAGCTTCGACGAAGGGAGGTTGGATGATGTTTTTCATTATTGCCTCCTTTTCTTTTGTCGTTTGGTCTGTCTACTTACTGACCCCCGTCCCTCGCTGCTCTACCCATGAATCCCATACTGACGCTGCATCATCGCCATCTCGCAGCTGCTGCGGGCAAGCCGAGCGTCGAGTATCCCAACCCGGCAGCGAAGAAGATTGAATTCATGGCCGGCATCAGCACCGGTAAGAAATCTCACGCCTGGAACCACATTCCCCCCATGGGGGACAATTGAACTAAACCTCTCTAGCCATCGAACTCCTCCGCTCCATGATCGACCACAAGAAAGTCCTCGTGCTAGCCCTCAACGGACCAGCCGTCGGCGGCGGTGCCGCGTGGTTCGAGGGCATCGCCGACATCGTGCTGGCCGCCGACACGGCGTGGCTGCAGGTGCCATTCAGCGCGCTGGGTTTGGTGCCGGAGTTCGGATCGGCCACCGCCTTCTACCACTCGATCGGAGCCCACCGCGCCAACGACTTCCTCATGTTCGGGCGCAAGCTGACAGCCCAGGAGCTGGAGCAGTGGGGTTTAGTCAACCGCATCCTGCCCACACAGGGCTTCCACCAGAAGGTGGTCGAGTTCCTCGAGGAGCAGCTCAGCATCAACGACGGCAAGTCCATGATGGAGATGAAGCGCCTGCAGAACTTGCCCCTGCGGCGGGATCGCATGCTCGCGGTCTATGACGCCTCCGAGGCCCTGGCCGAGCGTTTTGTTGAGGACGCCCCGAAGCAGCGGTTCGCCGAGAAGAATAAGCTGTTGCTTGGTAAGTTTGATTGGATTGGATAAGACTGAAAACTTGCTAATCTGGACCAGAAAAATCAAAGTCTCGGTCGAAGCTGTGAAGAAAGAGTCAGGGCATACCACGGGAAGCAGAGGAAATCACAGCGCTGCCTGCGTGCTGTTTAGTCAATCAGGCTGTCGAAAAAAGGTGGATTTCATTAGTGTGGATGGAGCGAGAGCAGTAACCCCTCTAGTAACTGTAGTGTGTCTCGGAGAGAGAACACGGAGGTCTTGCTCGATACCACGCCCACTGTTAGGTTTCTCTCACACTTCTCTCGTGGTACAGTAACGTGTATGTACACGTAAATACTGAAGTGATAGGTGGATCTAGTCTATGGCACCATGAGCTTTACTAGAAATCGTTTCGATGAAGATTGGTGATCTAGCCAGTTAGCTTGAATTTATCAATACTTGTAAATTATGTTACTTTCTGCACGTATATAGTAGCTGTCATTAGATGAAACTTTTCACCTAGTAGCTTTCCCGAGACAATAACTTCGATCTCTTCGGCTCGAACCATTCCGAGGAGGGAACCTCTTTTTTGAGAAAGAGAGTCGCTCTCCTCCAGACGCGATGGCAGGCACATCTCCCAGTACATCGCGCAAGCATAGCTATGCAAAGGCTGCTTTGTACAGTGATCGAGAGAGGAGTTGCACCTAAGCAATAATTACAAGATTGAAGCGTTGTGATATATAGGTAAGATTCCAGTCGCGGACCTGACCTCGACAAATCAGTGACATAAGCTTGCCAAGTTTATGTGCAGAAGCTGGGGCGGAGAAGTTTGAGCTGAACATTGCTAACTGAACTAACAGAGTCACGTCCTTGGCCACGACAGCCGAATGCGCTCAAAAAGGCTATAGTCACGTGAATATTCTTACCAGCGTTCAGCTGCGCAGCCTCCTGATACAATGTTCAGCCTGACTACGGCGTGGCACCATGTGCGAGCTCCGCCACGATGCAGCCTCGCGAATGTTGCCGTGGACCAAGCGCTTTCTCCGTGATCAGCTTGTCGCTTCTTCCATGCGTGAGATACCAAACTTGTCCCGCCATGCTGCCCGAGCTCTTCGAGTAGCGTCGTTCGAGTCCTACCCCGTCCGCTCCTAATGCCCCACGATGCGCCTCTTAGAGCGCAAACCCAACGGCGATCTCGCCTTCCAGGAATTCACAAGAGAGGATGTCCCAGCTTACGCCATCCTCTCCCATACCTGGTTGACAGACAATAACGAAGAGATTAGCTTTCACGACGTGGAGGCGGGCACCGGGAAGGGGAAAGCGGGGTGGAAGAAGATCGAGTTTTGCGCGGACAAGGCTTCGGCCGATGGCCTTCGATACTTCTGGATCGACACCTGCTGCATTGATAAGAGGAATAACACCGAGCTCTCCAAAGCTATCAACTCCATGTTTCGCTGGTATCAGAAGGCCACTCGCTGTTATGCCTATCTGACAGATGTATCGCTACATGATGGCAAAGAGACCCCGCAGCTGGGCACCTTTCCTTGGGAGGCGGCCTTCAAAAAAAGTCGATGGTTCACGCGAGGTTGGACACTTCAGGAGCTCCTCGCGCCGCCGCGAGTGGACTTCTTCAGTTTGGAAGGTGAACAATTGGGGAGTAAGCTGACACTACAAGACCTCATCCACGACATTACCGGCATCCCCAGTGCCGCTCTGAAAGGAGCGCCTTTGGAGACCTTCAGCCGTGGCGAGCGGATGTCTTGGGCATCGGGTCGACGCACCAAGGAGGAAGAAGATCAGGCCTATTGCTTGCTGGGTATTTTCGACGTTTCTATGCCGCTGGTGTATGGAGAAGGTAAGGAGAGGGCCTACAAGCGACTCCAGGACGAGATTGACAAAACCTACCGGGGTAAGTCCAAGCACTGACTAATCGACTAATGGAGCTGATCGCGCTAGGGCATGATTCTGATCAGTTCGTCGTCGGGCTCGACCACTTGGCCATTCCCGAAGCTGCACAATTCGTTGCTAGAGAGAACGAGCTTGCCGAGATGCGCCGTTTGTTACGCGGCCACAATCCTCGCTCGGCTGTCGTTCTTCACGGCCTCGGAGGGATCGGAAAAACTCAGCTGGCCATCAAATATATCACACAGCATAGGGAGAGATACACAGCAATCTTCTGGTTAAATGCTAACGACGAGGGTTCTCTCAAGTCGAGTTTTCGAAACGTCGCCCAACGTGTACTCGAAGACCAGGGAGCCAGTGTTTCCATTGGTGCGCTCGCCAGCGTGGATTTGGACGGAAACCTCGATCAAGTGGTCACGGCGGTCAACACTTGGCTCAACCTCAAGACAAATACGCGCTGGCTGATGATCTATGATAATTATGACAATCCTCGGACAGCCGGTAATCTCGACCCCTCTGCAGTTGATATACGCCAATTCCTCCCCCGAGCAGATCACGGTTCCATCATCATCACCACCCGATCGGCGCAAGTTAGCCAGGGTTATCCCCTCCATATTCGAAAGTTGCAGAATATTCAGGAAAGCCTGGAGATCCTATCCAATACCTCCAAACGTGGAAACATCCAAAACGGTAGGTGATTCTCAACACGAAATTCCGATCTCAAAGCAGCGCTCATGAAAACAGACCGTGGCGCCATAGCGCTAGTTAGAGAACTAGACGGGCTCCCCCTTGCTCTTTCTGCCGCAGGGGCATATCTTCAGCACGTGACCACGGGTTTCTCGGATTATCTTCGGCTTTATCGAAGGTCGTGGTTAAGGCTGCAGATGAAGAGCCCACAACTCAGTTCTTATGAGGATCGATCACTGTACACGACATGGCAGATCACATTCGATCGGATCGAACGCCAGAATGCTGCTGCAGCTAAACTGCTTCAGTGGTGGGCATATTTTGACAGACAAGATGTGTGGTTCGAACTTCTTCGACATGCCAGTTCCGCAGACGACGAATGGGTGCAGAAGCTAGCCGAGGACGAACTGAACTTCAATGAGGCGGTTACGCTTCTGTGCAGCTTCGGACTGGTCGATATAGACCGATCTCTTTCACTTCCGCTTGGGTCTGGAAAGTATAGTGTGCATAGCTGTGTACACTCCTGGACAGTCTCTGTACTTAATCAGAAGTGGGACGAGGGCTTGGCCAGGCTGGCTTTAACTTGTGTGGCTTCAGAAGTTCCCAGGCCCATGGAGAGGGATTGCTGGCTTTTGCAACGGCGACTCCTACAGCATGCGACACGGCAGGACCTCTTCCTCGTGGATGACAAGGTCAATACAGACGGACTTGAATGGGCTTTTCTCTCTTTGGGCCATCTCTACGTCGACCAAGGCAAGCTGGCTGAGGCGGAGAAGATGTATCTACGGGCGCTACAAGGCTACGAGGGGGCACTCGGGCCGGACCACACATCGACACTCTTAACGGTCAACAATTTCGGCAACCTCTATATGGACCAAGGTAAGCTGGCCGAGGCGGAGAAGATGTATCTACGGGCGCTACAAGGCTGCGAGGAGGCACTCGGGCCGGACCACACGTCGACACTCTTAACGGTCCACAATCTCGGCAACCTCTATATGGACCAAGGCAAGCTGGCCGAGGCGGAGAAGATGTATCTACGAGCGCTACAAGGCTGCGAGGAGGCACTCGGGCCGGACCACACGTCGACACTCTTAACGGTCAACAATCTCGGCAACCTCTATATGGACCAAGGTAAGCTGGCCGAGGCGGAGAAGATGTGTCTACGGGCGCTACAAGGCAAGGAGGAGGCACTCGGGCCTGACCACACGTCGACACTCGACACGGTCCATAATCTCGGCAACCTCTATATGGACCAAGGCAAGCTGGCCGAGGCGGAGAAGATGTATCTACGGGCGCTACAAGGTAAGGAGGAGGCACTCGGGCCTGACCACACGTCGACACTCAACACGGCCAACAATCTCGGCAACCTCTATAGGGACCAAGGCAAGCTGGCCGAGGCGGAGAAGATATATCTACGGGCGCTACAAGGCTACGAGGAGGCACTCGGGCCGGACCACACGTCGACACTCAACACGGTCCATAATCTCGGCAATATCTATATGGACCAAGGCAAGCTGGCCGAGGCGGAGAAGATGTATCTACGGGCGCTACAAGGCTGCGAGGAGGCACTCGGGCCGGACCACACGTCGACACTCGACACGGTCCACAATCTCGGCAACCTCTATATGAACCAAGGCAAGCTGGCCGAGGCGGAGAAGATGTATCTACGGGCGCTGCAAGGCTACCAGGGGGCTCTTGGCGTAGAGCTTATATCGTCGTATCTACCAGCGATAAACACCATGTTTGCCTTTGGTGAGCTCTATTCGCGGACGGATCGCAAAGATATGGCCAAAAAAATGTATTCTCGAGCATTATCTGGATATGCAGCCGTTCAAGGACCTTCGTCGAAATGGTGTCGCGTAATTGAAGGTCGACTTCACGCGTTGCAATCTACGTCAGCTGAGCGCGCTGAGACTCATGTGCGATCGAGATCAGAGCAACGGGGCCAAAATCTCGTTTACGAAGAGTCTTCCGCAGACTAAGGATATAACTAAAGATGGGATCACCAAATCCAGACAAATTTATTCGTTGAACATATGATACTGGCCTAGAGCAGGGCTAGGGAGATGGAGTAGCACGATGGAAGCTGCGGTAAACAGTAGCACATAGGCTTTCCTATCGGGCAAGCAGCATCCACGCCATACTGCGGTCTCTGGTCGAAATATGCCACATTGTGATTTGCTGCACCAAAGGCTGCGCTAAGCTATGCATACAGCAGCGTGTCTACTTGCGTAGAGAGAAAACAAGTGCAATGTGTCAACAACCTTGACCACTGTCGGGAAGGACTGTAAAGATATTTCGCATGACATAGTTAATCTTTCATTCAAATACAGACCTACCTTTTCAGTCTATAAATTACAGTGAGAAATCGTTGGATAATCAAGAAGTCATACGCTTAACTATAACTAATCAAGCTCAGGCTATAGTGGATACTTTCTACCTTTCTCTCTTAATAAGTTCCATGTTCACTCAAGATGACGCCAATTCCGCACATTACTTGTGATGCTCGTGAGCCAAACCACAGCCTCATAGCCTCGTATTGGGTAGCCGAGGTTCATGACGCGGCGATCGGCCCAATACCCCAATCGTACCCGATCTCATTCCAGTGTCTTCCTTGACGGAGATTCCATTGAAGGAGTATTTCTGAGTAATTTGATAGCGGGACCGAATCCGAGTTTTGAAGACTTGTGGAAGGATAGTGATCGCGTCCCCACTGCACGTGGAATCGTCGCTCTTCTTCGCAGCAGGTGTGTGAGAGAACCGGCAGCAACACCCATGGCAAACAGAAAGGAGCAAGGCATCCCGCCTACAGCGCCAACCAGGTTGAGACAGATTGCTCTCATTGCCAAAGACCTTGATCGGGCTCGGGATCTGTTGGTAGGTGAAACCCAGCCGGTGTCAGCATCCTCCTCGACGTGTTGCAGCTCACCGGCACCAATCATAACAGACAAGGGTTCTTGACACAGAAGTTGTCTTCGTGGACCCGGGAGTGGCGCAATGGGGTCTGAAGAACTTTCTCGGTACGAACAATGCTGTCCCGTTGGACGTTCCATTATTACTACAGCTTTTGATCACCCATCCTGGCTGACGTATATCTCGCGTTGCGGTAGTGGCGATTGGAGGCGACCTCATCGAGGTGTGCTCTCCGTTCCAACCAAACACCACGGTGGGGAGACTGCTGGAGAAACGCGGCGATGGCGGCTACATGATCATCATGCAGACCTTGGACGCGGCGGGGAGGAGGAAATACATTGAGTCGAACAACCTGGCCAAGGTCATCTTCGACCACCCGCACGGCGACGTTGAGTGCATCCAGTATCATCCCAAGGGAATTGCCGGTAAGTACTGAGTAGTTGCCTCCAGGAGGACCTCGTATTGTGGGTTGGGATGTGCACATGCAATCCGTTTTTCTCAGGGCTGACGCGGCACAGGGGGCATGATGCCAGAATTGGACTCTCACGCCCCATCGGCCACGAATCCGACTCCCCTGGAGAGCCGCTTCAGTCCCTGGCACGCCTGCGGCTCAGATTACGCGACGTACTCGGCGGGGATGAAACGTCGTGCATACCTGAGGCTGGTCCGAGCCACCCTCCGCCTGGCACCGGGGCAGACAGATGTCCAGGCCGCCGCCCAGCAATGGCAGGACTACTTCGGGGTGGAGAGACAGGGGAGTGAGCTGGTGTTCACCAACGCCCGTTTGAACTTCGTGCCGGGCGTGGACGGGATGCCTGAAGGGCTGGAGAGCATCACGATCGAGGTCCAGGGCAAGGAGAGGCTCGAGAAGATGTTGGAGGTGGCGAGCAAGGAGGGTCTTTGTGGAGATGGGTGGACGAATATGCTGGGCGTCAAATGGTATTTTGTGGCCCAAGGCGAGAAGAAGGAGGGCGTCAAGAGCAGACTGTGATCCCGTCCATGTGTGATCAGCCTGGGATACGATGATACAGAGCAGTGGTGGTGTGAATGACACTGCACCTCGTATGAGTACCGAGTACCTCGTACTGGATGTACTCTCTCGCTGCGTGGCCTCTCCGAAGTTGACCCGTGTATGCTTTTTTTCAGAATCAACGTGCCGCAATTTATGTCATTGGCGTCAGCTTTGTTTCCGCGATGGCGTCGAGGCTTCAGCCGTGGTGCAGGGGGAAATTGGTTGGGATGTTGTGTCCTGTGTGCCCCTGAGTGAGTGCGGCAGTCGGAGGGCAAGCCACGTGATTTCCTGATTGACCGTGAGCCGCGTCAGGTGACACGCGTCTGCGTTTGACTTCTCCTTTCCCACTTCGTCCCTGCGCTCTACCGACGCCACACCAACACCAACACGAGCCTCCAGCGACCTCCTTGCCAGATGTAGGAGTTATCTGATCCCAATCCGGCCGGCCCACAATTTGTCGTCCAGGTAAGCGTTCACTAAGCTTCCACTAAGCTTCGCAGGGACCCTGCCATCCCAACCGTCAAGCTATCAAAGTCAAAGCTGGACCTGGTAATGCCTCCAACAGCATGCAAACGCCTTCCTCCCCGGACACGAAGCCCACAGAGCTCCTAGGCGTCCTATCCACGCCGGTACTGAGACCGATCATCCCGTCCAAAGTCTCCTAGCCGACTCCCTGCCGCTCGCGGGACAGTCAAAACTATGTATGATCCGTGCCGTCAACGAGGCGGAGCTGAAATCAGTCCAGACGTCTTGTGGAAATCTCAGCCAGGTCAGACCAGCAGGGTGTCTGTCCCAAGACGGACGGTTCCCCTTTTCCTCGCCTATTTGTGCCTCGACCCTTCGCTAGCTAGCGAAGCTTCATAAATCCCGATAAGATCGCGCATCACACTTTTCCATCTTCATCTCCAGCGCACTTGTGGCACCCTTGAGAAGCGAGGAAGGCGCCACGAGGCTCCGTATGTCTAGCTGGGACGACGCTGACTGGTCGAGGACCGCTCGGGCACCAGCCTTGACATCAGCCCGTCGTGATAATTTCGCCGTTGTCGCTTCGGCCGCACGAGGCAGGGCTGATCTGGCCGAGGAGGAGTGCGACGACCGTTCTTAAGCCTCGATCGTCCTTCGACACAAGGTGTGTTCTTTTCTTCGTTTTCAGTCTTGTTGTTGCTGTTGTTGTTGCTTTCCGTGTACGCTCGTGAGGTATTCTTTGACGCCGTTGGCGTCGTCCATTCTTTTCTTACCAGGACGCAAGTCAGCGTCGTCCATTCGTTTAGTCCATCGTCTTCCGTTCTGTTGCTGCCGGTACTCTGGAAAATGGCACGTTCTTCCGCATGGCTGGTACTGCTGTTGGCAGTCTTCTTCCAGGCCATGCCTCAAGCCTCAGCAGGTGGCCCTGGTGGAAGACCTGGTGGTGGTGCTCCAGCGCCTCCCTCACATCAACCTGCTCCAGCTCCAGCTCCAGCTCCAGCTCCAGCTCCAGCTCCAGCGCCTCCCTCTCATCAACCTGCTCCCGCTCCCGCTCCAGCTCCAGCGCCTAACCGCAATCCAAACCCGCCCAGCAACCCCAATACCACTCCTAGGCCGGTCGTGTCGCAACCTTCACGTCCTTCTCAGCCCCCTCGAGTCTCGTACTCTGGCGCAAAGATAGTTGGGACGGCTCAGTTGCCATCATCATTGTCAACCGCTATTTTCCCCCAGGGCGCGTCGAGCACCGACGTCCCCAAGCACAGCGGATCTCTTGGAATCAATGGACTGCCCCAGAGCAAGACCAACGGTAATTCGCTGCTCGGCACACTCTGGGCACCTACGTACGACAGGTATATTGGAGACGCACCGGATCAGACCAATTCTACTGTGGCTCCATCGGGAGGGTTTCCATGGGGAGACCGAACTGCGGCCGCCACCAATCCGTACTCGTCAGCTCCCGTCACCGGTGTTGTTCGTTCATACAACTTTGAGATCACACGAGGCTATCTGGCTCCTGACGGGGTCGAATTGGAAGTCTTGTACGTGAACGGCGCGTACCCTGGTCCTACAATCGAAGCCAATTGGGGCGATACAATCCAAGTCACGGTCACCAATGGCATAACGGGTCCCCAGGAAGGCACATCCCTCCACTGGCACGGATTGTTGCAACAAGGCACTCCTTTCGAAGACGGTGTGCCTGGAATCACTCAATGCCCTATCGCTCCCGGCCAAACCTTCACTTACACGTTCAATGCTGATCTCTACGGCACTTCTTGGTATCATTCTCACTACAGTGCACAGTATGCCGGCGGTGTTATTGGTGCAATCATCATCCACGGCCCGCAGAATGCCGTCTACGATGTCGATCTTGGACCGGTCATCTTGTCGGATTACTTCCACGAGGAGTACACCACTCTGGTCGCGGATATTATGAGCACCGATCTCTCTAAGATTATGCCAATGGCAGACAACAATCTCATCAACGGCAAAGGATTCTATGACTGCTCCTCCATGGAAGACAACTCGACGTGCACACCGAATGCTGGGCTTTCCAAGTTTCAATTCACCTCTGGGGAATCGTATCGTCTGCGGCTCATCAATGCTGGCGCTGCTGCGACGCAGCTGTTCAGCATCGACAACCATACTCTCACCGTGATTGCATATGACTTTGTCCCCATTCAGCCATATACTACGGATGTTGTGACTCTCGGAGTTGGCCAGCGTGCGGACGTGATTGTTCAAGCGACTGGGTCTCCCACGTCGGCGGTCTGGATGAGATCCATCGTCCCAGCACGCTGTGGCGGCTCGACACAGCCCGTGGGTCTCGGAATCGTCTACTACCAGAACGCGAACACCACGTCCGAACCAACCACAAAGGGGTATCCCATCGACGAGTCGATGTGCGGCAGCGACCCTCTCAGCCAGACTGTCCCGTACGTCCCCATCACGCCACCAACATCGACCACGACCATCCAAGTTGACCTCAACTTCGAAATCAACGCCACCGGGCACTACCTGTGGACCATGGACGGCTCCACTTTCCGCACTGACTACAACGATCCCATTCTCCCGCTCGCCATTGCTGGAAATGACAGTTACCCAGAAGAGTGGAACGTGTACGACTTTGGCAGCAACACGAGCTTCACCATTGTTGTCAACAACGAGACCCCCATGGTGCATCCCATGCATATTCACGGCCACAACATGTATGTCCTGAACGAAGGCTCCGGCCGGTGGGACGGCAGCGTCGTCAACCCTTCCAACCCGATGAGACGGGACGTCGTCCAGCTGCAACCGGGCGGATATATGGCCTTCCAACTGGACGCGAACAACCCGGGCGTGTGGCCTTTCCACTGCCACATCGCATGGCACGTGAGCGCCGGTCTGTACATGAACATCTTGGTAAATAAATCTATGTTCTTCTGGTCCAGTGACATTACTAATTATTTCTACAGGAGCGAACCGACCTTCTTCCCTCGGTCGACGTGCCCGCGAGTGTCAGCAATCTGTGCAACGCATGGTCCGCCTTCACGGCCGAGGGCCCCATTGACCAGATCGACTCGGGCTTGAAGAAACGCGGCCACAACCACCTCCACCGACACAAGCACTCGAACATTGTCCGGCGGACCTTGTAAGGAAAGGACGAAGTAGCTGGCCGGGGGAATGTCAGTCAGTCTCAGGCTCCTGCATCTAGCCTATAACCATTGACCAGATCCACAGTCTGGTATGGGACACGGAACGGAACGGAAACATTGATTAGTTATGGGTAATTTTATTGGCACGCAATATAACATTCGTTTTTGAGACCTTTGGACTCTGTAGCACAAAGTCGGGGAAATATCCCGCTTTATTCGCATTTGATGGGGTGTGTGTGCTATATTCTATTGTAGCTCTCTCTCTCTCTTCCTCCCTCCACATCTGTATGAGTCTCATTCTTATACCGTCGGCCTGCTGGCTGGCTCTCCTCGTCGATGTCTCCGAGACAGAACAACGTTGCTCAACATCGCATCAAAAGGCATAAATAAGGTGTCAGAAGACGGCGGCCTCTGTTTTGGAATTCCATCAGGCTTTGCCAAACCGCTTAATACCTGTTAGTTAGTCATCTTCAGATCAAGCGAATTGGGCTTTGTTCGGGAAACAAAACAGAACAAAACAAGAGAGGGAGAGAGGGCGAGAAGGCTAGATGGCGAGAGGGGATACAGAAGGCGGATTCGCCCTCGTAGAGGAAGAAGACTCGGTACTACTTGTTTTTCGCTCTACTATGGTATGGTCTGGTATGGTCTGGTATGGGATAAGGATGCCTAGACCAATAGACTATCTAATAGACTACTGGTAGACTACACAAGACCCACGGACGACGCCTATGAATGAGTGCCTAAGGCTCTCTGAAGAAAAAAAGATAACACGACAGGGCGCCGGCGTAGAAAAGAGGAAACTTCTGGGGCGCGTCTCCGTGTCCTGGGGTAGCGGGCATGGCATGTATATTGCGACCTACCACCACTTCCCAGACAGACAGACAGACAGACAACAGCAGAAGAAGAAAGAAGATGTACTTCGTACACAAGGCTTCGTGCGATGATTTCGGGAAACCCACGGAAACCTATTGTTAACCGCTTCATGCCAATTTGAGACGCAGCGAAAGGAGGCTCGCTCATAGAGCTGACAGATAGACAGATAGACACTACGAGAGGAGCTTCTTCGAGCAGTAAACGCCCCGACTAACACAGGGCGACATGGACTGCCCTGCCCTGCCCTGCCCTGCCCACCTGGTGGATGATGAAAACCACAGACTCGAACACAAAATTCTGTCATTTCCTCCGCGTATACCCCGGGACCTGGTACGGCGTGGGGACGAACCACTTGGGGAAGATGCCGGACTCGCGCTGCCGGTGGATGTACGCGGCCGTGACGTGGCCGTCTTGGGTGAAATTCGACTGCGTGTCGTTGTTGAATCCGGGGATCGGGGAGTATTCTCGTTGCAGCGGAGGCGGTCGTGCCGGAGAGGTGGATGGTGGTTCCAGGGGTGATGAGGAGAGTTCGGGTGATGCGTGGCTGGCGGTTGATTCGAGTTCAGACGGAGGTCCTCCGCCGGGTCCTGATCTGCTTTTGACAGCTGGGAGTTGATCGTCGGTATTCTCTTGTTCCAGAACAGCCGCCTGAGGTCGAGGTGGCTGCCGAGGCGGGAGTGAAGGCGGATCCAGATCGAGATCGAGATCATCTTCAGAAGTAGATTCTGGACCTGCGTTGTCATCGCCATTCAATGGAGATTCGTCATGTCCGAGATGTTGTGGGATCTGGCTGAGCCGAATGCTAGAAGAGCTGGAGTCTTTGATCGTGATCTTGTCGGGTTCGCCATCCAGCACACCGTCCTGAGGCTGCGGTGGCAAGGATGACAGCGGGAGAAAGCATTGTGTGGCGTCTTGGGTCGATATTTGTGACGGGTGAGGGATCGACGCCGGGTGGATGGATCTTTGCGTGGCAAGTCTTCTCACTGACAGAGGCGAAGAGGAGGTATACATGGTATCGTTGAGCGGCGCTTGTGTCGCCGTTCGATGGACGCTCGACGGATGTACAAACACCGGCTTGGGCAAAGTGGCCTCTTCCACATCATCGTCGCCCAGTTTAGGTGCCTCCCTATCTGCATCTGCGTTGCAACGCTCGACTAGTCTGGGAATTCGCGACGGGGATTCTGACGAGCGCAATGCGCCGATGTCTTGGAAGGCAGAGCATGGAGCTGCTGCATCCATGTTGGCATCTTTGCGATCAACTGTCGGTAGTGTCGAAAGAAGAACAGCGTCAAGTCCAGCTTCTGACTCGTCAAGAGATTGCTCTGGTCGAACACGATGCTGGATTTGCATATTGAACTGCGTGTCGTTTGCAATTGGCGATCCGAAATCTGCGGCCTCACAACTCTCCTCCGAATCTTCTGCTGGCTCTTTTGGATCCTGTGTCTCTGCAGGAACGGGCGGCGAAGACCCGATGATGCCACCAAGACCTGGAGCAGTGAACTTGGCCGGTGGAGAATGAGCGTCCGCAAAATCTCGAACAATAGCGCCACGATCTCCTTCTTGTGGAGAATCCACCGCACCTTCGGCCTTCATATCGCCGCTTCGGTTCGTAACCAGCTCGCTCAAGTTTGGTAGATTGTCCTCACACCCAGCAACCAAAGAAGACAATTTGCTCCCCTCTGGTTGGCTTGTGGCAGGAATTTCGCAATCCTCGGGCACTTTGTACGGAGTTGCCTGTGCCTGGACAGCGGCCGCAGGTTTTCTGATCAACTCAGGCGAGGACGAAGGAATTGACCACACACTTTTTTGAGAATTCTCAACATATGGAGGACGTCGAGGGCCCTTTAGCTTCGGAAGCTTTAGGGCGACCATCTTGCTCTTTGATGAATCGCGACTTGGGGCTCGGCCTCTTTTCTCTCCTTTCCTAGTTGGGGAGGCCCCGGCAGGAATATTGACTGGTCGCTCAGCCAAAGGTGGTCGGCGAGTTCTGGAAGGGGTATCAGGCGCCTTTCGCTTGCTCTTATGCGGACTCTCGCATATGCTTTCCGGAGATTGGCTTGAGAGAATGACAGTGGCGTTCCCTTTTGGCGTTCTTGGGAGAACAGAGCGTCCACTTTTTGGTACAACGTCCAGCGTCATCTCAGCCTCGTCCTCTAGCGTGTCCTTGATCTCCCAAAAATCGTCGAAAGGCTCATCTGCAGCGCTGTATTTGTCGTGTTTTGCTACATCACCCAGCGCTTTGGAAAAGTAGTCGAAATTCTTCGCTGGGTCTGAGAGCACTTCGTTTTTCAACGCCAGACGCTTAGATGCTCTCAGGGGTCCCTCTGAGTTCTCCTCGCCTGCAAAGCCAACCTTCCTCTTTCTCTTTCTCTTGCAAGGTTTGTATTCCTTTTGGCTGTCTCCCTCCAGGGCCTCTGTCTTCTGGTTCGTAGGGAGTCCACCAACACTCGGAGTTGCTTTGCGCTTTCGAGGTCTTCTTGGGCTGTCGTATGTTCCGTCCAGTTGTGGGACAGCGCAACCACCATCTTCGCCTTTTTCAACGCTAATCATGGCGTCATCAATCTCCGAGTAATCTTGAGGTACAGAACTGAAGAAATCCATCTGGGTCAACGTAGAATTGGGGTTTCGGACACTCCGGCGAGTTTTTTTTGGTAGCAGCGTTGGCTTTTGCTCATCGTCCAAATACTGCATGTCGCTTTCAGGGCAGCTCGGAGGAATGGTGGTGATCCATTGGGCTTGAGTCAGGGTGCGTTGGCTCTTTGAGGGTCGAGTGGTAGAGGTGACGTCGGTGCCACTTCGTCGTTGTCGCTTCCTTCCCACGGAAGACCCGGACTCGGTCTTCCGCTTGGTACTGGTGATGGACCATGAACTTTTAGACATGACAGCTACATCCTATACTTGATGTAAGATTAAATAATAGGATAAGGGTAAGGGCTGTTGTGTGAATGTGGCCAGGCATCAAAGCGGCCTCCAGCGGGGCGCCTCCAACGCGAAATGTTTGAGCCGCGACGCGACGCGTTCGCGTCACGGATCCACGTGATAAACATCTCTTGCCCAACTTCGATGAATTCAATGTACAAGGTCTGATGAGAAGCTCAAGATGCGGCGACTCGCAAGCTAAGGGACTTGATGGCTGAGGGAATACAATAAAAATTACCACAGGGTATGATGCCTGTGATAGTTTTGCCTCGAATTAACTTCGAGATAGTGGCAGCGAGTCGGGAAATACCAAGCCTTCTCGAGCTTTCATAACGTTGACTTCTCATCAAACCCTTAGTCATACTCTAGACATCCAGTCCTTGCCAGTTCCGACGATGGCAGGCAATCCGTCTCAACTGTAAAAAAGATGACGATCTGTAGATTGGCGAAAGGGCTAGTGCCATGATCGACCAGGAACACGCTAGTGGTATGGTGGAATGATTGTCTTTGCTCATTGGTGCAATGGCCGATCGTCAACGTCATATCTATATTTGTCTTCCAGCTTTGCTATCCTACACTACTGAGTAGCTTCAGCTCTCTCCCAACTCTAAACTATGGTTGCCAAACTGGGTTTGAGTAACATCATCGACCAACACCAATATGACCTGAACTGTCTCGACCAAACCAACGGTGATTCTTTTCATTCGAAGTCGAGACAACCAATGACTCAACACATTCCAAGTGGAGCCTTCCATCTTCGCGTCCGCTCACAAGCTTTGTTTTGGCTTGAGAAGATCAAGGCCAACAATGATCTTTTGCGATCGAACATAGGAGATTTGCAAACACACGAGTGAAGCGCCCCAGATGGCTGCTTATCTGATGTTTCATGATTACAAAGACTTCCTTCAACGCCGCGAGAAAACCAGCAAAGAAAGAATTATTGAGAACGAACACCATCATGTCCTTTCTCCATCGATATAGGCTTTGTCAATGTCCAGCTACTTCAATGAGGCTTTGTCTGCCGCTACTCTCCGGGAAGGCATTGACGCTTTGTCTAGCCATACTGCCCTCTTCCCTTGGGACTGGGATCTGAAGAGCATAAATATTTCGAAGATCTCCAGCCTCCAGTGCTTCTTCTCTCCATACCACAACAACACAACAACACAACACCTTCACCTTTGAGGCGAGAAAAGCAACTCACCAAAAAACCTCAAGTCAAAAGCGAAGAATCCACCAACACCCTCATCAACCACTCAGAATCTTGACAATGCCTTCCAGTTCGTCCTACAGCAGCGGGTCGGCCTCTGGCTCCAGCTCTTCCTCCCGCCACTACACCTCCAAAGACAATGACCGCTTGGCAACTGCTGTGACTGCAGCGACCCGAGCCGAGTATGGGACTTATGGTGGTACTGTTCGTGACTCTAATGGCAACTATGGACGACGAGGGGCAATTTCCGAGGCAGACAGCCACTACTCCTACTCCCGCAAGTAAATCCTTGAACCCTTTCTTCATTCAACTCAGACCCATCGGAATGAATGTCGCAGAACAGGTAAGCGATGGATCGATCTTGCCAGAAGCTAACAAACAGGCATGTGGAGCAGTAGCTGGCTCCTGCTGACCTCGACAACAAAAAGTTGGTGGAAGGTAAGTGACGGTAAGTGAGCTCATAGTTTTCCCCCTCCTCTTCCTTTTTTTTTCAGGGGTTTTTTCTCGGTGATTGTTTACAAAAGTCTGACAGTATGAAGGCTTTTGTCGCAGTGGTAGGCAAAATACAAATCAATCGTTTTCCCCTGAAAGGTTCTTTCTACTAGCTTGATCATGCGAGCAGACCACTAATGCGAACTTTGTTAAAATATGCGATTGATATTAAGCACTATCTAGCACAAACTTTTGGCATGGCTAAATTCGAGAAAACTGCCAACATCCTCACCCGCCCCATACTTCAAATCACCTAAACTCAAACTCCGTCGCAATGCAGACACCGCAGCAGGCACAGTGATATTTATCCTGACCCCTAGTTGCCTCGTGCGCACCCATCTATCATGTCGGCGCCGATAGGACCCTTGCAGTCAACGCCCAAGGGGAATGTGCCAGCCCCGTTCCACCAGATCTGGTAGGTATTGAGGGCTTGGAGTTGCGGGTTCTGGCAAGCCCAGAACTTGTTCTCGCCGTTCCAGAGGAGTGGCCCGCCGCCGCTGAAGGAGAAGCCCGTAGAGACAGCGCCGGCGGGCATGTTGCCGCCGGAGTGGGGGACGGTAAACTGCAGGGGCGCCGTCTTGGTTGGCTCGATGTAGGCGTCCTGCCAGCCCGTCGGGGCCGAGTGAATGGACAGGAAGCTCAGGCCACCGGTGGTGTCGCCGGCGACCTTAGCCCCGGACAGCACCAACGGCTCCGAGTACTCCTGGTACTTGATCTCGCCGAAGTAGGCCGAGTTGTTGGCGTAGGAGAACTTGAAGGTCTGCACCTCGCTGATGTCGAAGAGGCCCTCTTCGCCAACGCTGAGGCCGAACGTGCCATCGATGGCCTGTCGCTTTTCAGCCTTGAGGGGGATTGCACTGGCGGCCGAGAACAGGGCCAGCGAGGCGGCGGCGGTAGAGAGGACGAGCATTGTTGTTGGTGAAGTGATTAGCTTGAACAAAGAATACTTCGCTTGATGAGGAGTTGTCGGAGGAGACTGGTTGATGAGGCACACGAAAATGTCTTTATGCTCAAGCTCTGTTCTCGGGAACTGTGCTGCTCTGGTGATGTTGGTGATGATAGGATCGAAGTGCTTCATCAACTTGACGGAAGCGATGTCTTTATAGTCACGAAAACCCCTCCCTCAGCAGCGGTTCATGTGTTTCGAACCTTTTCCTCTTCCTCTCTCCACTCCTCTCAGTGTGTTGTATACTTAGAAACACACCAGAGCTATGGTGACGACGAGCCATTTTCCCCAAGGTAACCCTCTGAGACAAGACTAGCGGCGATGCGAGAGCCTGCAAGGCTATGCAGCTTCGTCTGCCGTCTGCTGCTGCTCGCATGGACAGAGAGGCGCAATGGCATCAGGTGGTCAGTATGTTCAGGCTAGAAGTTCCTAATCCAGCTTAGTTCGTCCCGCGTACGGAAAAGCTTAACCTGAAGCTTCAAACCTTGAATCATCGGCGAGATCTTGCAGCTGTGGTCTTAGGTCGCCAATCGAACGCCAAGGATAGGGGAAGTTTCTTGCATATTGTGGCGCAGTCGAGAAGAAATACTTCCTTCGCATGACCGTCCAGCTCTACACATCCGTCAGCGTGATTACTTGTGTTACCAGGTTTCATAACGGGGAAGGGAGTACCGTAGGTCTACCGCTACAGACACCCAGAGCCTGGGAAGTCAGGTTCAATCTTGTTCTCGGGCTCCCACCACAGGTTGTCTGGAGGTTAGCCATCACCAACCCTCCTACGGTATTTTAAAATCTCTGGGAAGATGACAAGCACCACCTTGTGGCCAAATTTCGTGTGAATCAGAGACAGCTAGTTGTATCCGTGAGTCAAGAAATTCGCTTTTGTGTATATGTGTGTGCATGCGCGCGGGTATGCACACACATGTTTACTGCGTGCACATCAGATACATGGTGAACTGCCCCAGAAACAATGAGAAGGCGCTATTCTCCCGCGTATAAAAATCTTCCCCGCATAGGCGAACATCAAATAGATATTTCTTGCAAAACAGTGTGATATTGTTTCCAACCTCCTTGTTCTGCTCCTCAACCGTCCTCAACTAGTGCAGCAGAAAGAGGAGAAAATGTCCCCTCAGGCCCCTCGTGTCGTGTGTTCCATCATTTAAGACATCAAAGCCCGTGGCATCGATGACGAGCTCTGGAAAGAATACCCACCCGGTGTTGATGACTGGAAGACACTTGAGCGCATCGTTGATCAGAATGAATCAAAAGCACGGTACGTTGCGTTTTGAAACCACTCCTTCTCCATTCACCCTCAACCTGTGGCCCCTTGCTAATCTTCTTCTTCTTCTTCCTCTTCTTCTTCTTCTTCTTCCTCTTCTTCTTCTTCCTCTTCCTCTTCCTCTTCTTCTTCTTCCTCTTCCTCTACCTCCTCCTTAGGTTCCACTATTTCTCCCGCCTGGGAATCTTGTCCATATGACGCTTTCCACAGGCCATGAAGCCTTCTGTGGTGCATTCGCGTATATGGTGAAAGGCAAGTTGAGAGACCATGGGGCAGGGCATCCGGAGGGAACAGAGTTCGCAAAGAATGTCTTCTCGACGGGAAAGCCACAACGTTTATGCCACGAGCGACCCCGACAGACAGCGACTCGACAACCGCATCACCTCTGAACTTGCGCCAATGCATGGTATCGTCCTGGAGTTTGCGTGGCCGCAAGATTGCAATAGGCTGCCAGAGCTGGGCGAGTTCTACCTCTGGGAAAGTGAACTTGATGCGAAGTTGGTGATTGGTACCCATTGCAACTCCCGACGAACCCAGAAAGTCACCTTGCGCACCTGGAAACGCAGCAACGTCAGCGGCGACGGGCAAACTCATGGAACATGCTCAGGTGAGTAGTAACGTTGTTTCAACCCCTTGCTTCAGTACAGCGGCTGACCATCTCTCCATAGGAACTGCGAACGGACGATGGAAGGCGTGTCCCGGGCCCTCCTTTGCAGATCCTCATGTCTGGAATTGCGCCTCCACACTGTGTCTCACCATATCTTCCGGGCAAGGACATTGAATTCTCAGTCGACGAGCTTTGCAAAGGCACTGAGGCTGCGGAGAGGATGGACCGACTCTGGAGAGCAAAATTTCGCCGAGAAGCACCCCCAACACAATAACGGCGCCTGACCGAACTGCCACAAGGTTTGTTGTCAGTCCGCCCAGTCTGGTGTCGACGACGGCAGCTCGTCTCCTGGAGAAGAAGGCGTAGATGGAACGCCAGGCAGCAAGCCGACGCAGAATGGGATTCACGTGCGGCCCCGCCACATCCAGCAATGCAATCGATCTCAAGTCCAAAGATGAAGCCGAACTCCAGGGAACCAGGCAAGTTGCTCCATAATGTACGGCATCCCTACCGGGCATGATTGCCAGGGTCCTTGGGGGTGTGAGCATGGCTGTTGTGCAAGGAGGGACAGGTCAGATTTTTGGTTGTGCATTGCGTGGCATGGGCCGTGAGAGAGACACGCGTGGAAGCGCAAAACAACAACCAGCCTGTTTCGACTGCGAGAACTGTATCGAGTATGGATTAGCCATCAAGTAGTAAGTAATTTTCACACTGCTGTCCAAGCATCTTCATCTCCTGAAAAGCCTCAATGCGTCGCCCTCCCCGGTATCGTCGTCTACATCTATACCGTCCGTTCCTTCCGAGTCACCGCGTACTTTCTCCTGCTCATCCAACGCTCCGGTCCGGCCCAGAAGACTGCCAAAGAACTCGGCCCTGGCCGGCCCACTCCACGTCGTGCGGTCCTCGGGGGCCATGAAGTTCTCTAACTTCTCGTGCACCGTGTATCGGACCTTGCGGCCTTTGCTGGCCTTGGTGTCGACCCTTTTGTGTTTGCTGCCCGATACGTGGAGTTTGGTGGGCAGCACCGACGTGATGCCGCCAGCGCCATCGGCGTCGGCACTGGAAGAGCGCGAGGCGATCAGATCGCGCAGGAGGGCTTGATAGAATGGGCCATCGTCGTAGGTCTGAGTCTCCGGCGAGTAGGACTGGGCGATGAGTTTGGCGGACTCGGTCGCAAGATAGGTGTCGAGCACGTCCGTGAGGCGCGAAGCAGCGGACGACCGTGAGGGTTGGAGCAATTTGGAGCGGGGGGCGGGATCGACCACTGGCTGTGTTTTTGCATGCCATTTGTCGATCACGCTGCGGCGGTGCGTGTGAGCGAGCGCTTCGAGGGAGGTGTAGCACTCCCAGATCTCCGAGAGAGGGGTTGTACCTGTCGGGTTGAGTGGTCGTTTTCTCTTTGGCGTCTTCTTCTCCTTGATCTGGTCATCAGATCCAGGCCCTTCTCGGGCAGAAAGAATGGCGCTGCGAATAGAGTCGATAGTCGACCATAACGCCAGCGCGGCATCTTCAGCTTGTTGCGCCGCGGCCTTGACTTCCTCTTCGTCGACAAAGGATCGAGGCAGCTCGTTCATAGCCGTGATGCCCTTCTGTAACTTGATCCTGGCATCGAGGAGGCGATCAAAGGTTTGGCGTTGTTGCTTGACTGCGCGGCCCTTTTGCACGTCGGCAGCGGCTCCGGCTGACAGGACGGATGCGAGTGCTGCTGTTGATACAGAGTCGAATGCAGCTCTCCTCAATTCTTCCCGTTCCGCGCTCCGAGAGGATTTTCCATCTTGTGGTGGAGCTGGTGAGGCGACTGAGGATATGGAGGCGTCGTCGTCGTCGTCTTCGTCGGTATAGGCATCGGATGCGTCGAGAGAGTGATCCGTTGACAGATCTGATTCATCAGCCTTCACCTCATCCTGCGAGTCTTCTCCATCAACAGCCTTTTGTGCCTCCACTTTGCTGTGCTGGATGGCAAGGCCCTGGAAGGGTTTTGCGAGGCCGTGACGGAGTGTTTTGTCTCTTTCAAAGTCTTCATCGTAATCCACGTCTGACCCTAGCAGGTTGTCGTTCTCTTCCGGGACGCCTTCAGAGCCAGACACATCCACATCCCTGGGAGCGAAGTAGTCTTTCTCCTCTACTTCGTCGAACGCAAGGGCATCAAAGTCCTCTGGGTCTTGGAACGTCATGCGACTCACCGCTACGCCCTCATACTTTGCGTCTAGCGGTGGCGCTTCTGGCAGTCTCAGTAAGCTCTTTCCCACTGTTTCGTAGTGTGCTCGGCTGAAATCATCATGCCGGTCTCCTTCGTTTTCAGACTTCTCGTCCTCACTCGGATGTAGGTAGGCATCGTCTTCGGGGTCATAATCTGCCAGGCTTCAGTGAGCAAAAACGACCGGCAGCGCCATCCACGACACAAACGACGACTGACCTCTAACTTTCTTCCGCTCCAGCTCAGCGGCCTGTTCCCTAAGACTCAGCATTGTCTAATCGTCGTCACCAGGCGATGGGGCTTGTGGTGTCGCAGGCTCTTCCTGCAATCGAAAAATAATTTTTTGGAGAGTTTAGCAGTAGGTTTCCCCGCAGATCCATCGCCACACATTAGCTCATTTTTGCTCCCTACGGGCGCCAGTAAGCGATCACCCACAGCCCGGGAGTCACCCAAGAATTTATGTCTTCATGAATTATGATAGCCAAATTCAAGCTAAAATTCGTTGGCTGAATAGTTCAGAGGTAGAATTCTTGCTTTGGGAGTCTTTATGTCTTGATTGTAAGAGGTCCTGGGGTGAGTTATAACCACACGTTCGTCAGTCGCTAGTTATCGGCTATTAACATCAAATTTCAGTTCAATTCCCAGTTCAGCCCTGATTTGCTTCGCAAAATTTTTGCTGGTTTTGTTTCTTTTTTGCCTTTGCAAACCATTGTCCTGCAGCATTTTGTATTATTTGACTCATATCGAGGCCGAGAATTGTGCGATCACGTGGTCGTCATTTCGCAACGTCATTTGATTTGCGCGAAGACAACATCAGGTAGCGACGTCGTTTCCTCGACAGTCTTTCGACATCGACGCCAATTCCATCTTTACGATGAGCCACATTCGAGACATTCTCACACCCTCGAGGAGTAATGCCGCGCAGGAAAGGCCAGCCCACCGCAAGAGCGACAAGGACAACGCGTCGGTCTGCTCGCCAACGCAAAGAGCCCCAGGATGACATCCCAGAAATCTACGGCGACATGCTCGCCGAGGCCATCGCCGAGGAACAGGCTTCGGCTTCGAACTCGCGAGCTTCTAAGCGGCGCAAGATGAGCGAGGAGCCGTCGACCAAGATCGAGCTCGATTTTGATCTGTTTGGCTCTGCCGCGAACGTCCACGACGGTGAGGAGACGGCGTCTGCTGACGATGCGCCTCCGAAACTTCAACCAGTCGTCTTCGATGACTTCGAGATCTCGGACGAATCTGATGCAGAGTTCGAAGACGTAGATCTCGAACCAGCCACGAACGACGTCGCGGAGGGGCGGCCCCTCGAGCAGAAGACTCTCGAACTCGACCTATCCAAGACAAGTACGCCGAGGCGCGCCATCCAACGACGCATGCCAGTTAGTCTAGCAGAGCGAAAGCTTCGCCTGGATGTACACAAGGCACACCTCGTTTTGTTGCTGGCACACCTCAAATGCCGTAACAGATGGTGCAACAGTGAGTTCGTGCATTCCATCTTGAAGCCTCTCGTATCTCGCAAATTGATCTCGTTACTTCACGTCGACGAGTCTAAACCTCAATTTCAAAGATCGCATTCGTTCACCAAAGGCATTGAGGAGGTCTGCGCCTTATGGAGACAGCAGTGGAAAATCACTGCGCGGGGGATGAAACGAGCTCACTGGAGAGAAGACGTCGACGCTGTCAAAGAGAGCGAAGATGCGGAAGACTTGATTGATTTTGACGACTTCAAAGCCGCAGCGATCTCTCGCTCTGGTTCTAGGGACCTGGGAGCTCAACTATTCTGTGCACTGCTTCGCTCAGTCGCGGTAGACGCCCGGTTGGTATGCTCTCTTCAGGTTTTACCGTTCTCTGGGATTGCCAAGGGACAAACTCCAGAGAAGCCCAAGCCCCAATACATCTATGCGCCTGCCCAGGACTATGGTTCCGCCTCACACGACGGCAGGGTCAATATGAGGCCTGCAGGAGCTCCCGATCCCAAGAGAAAGAGGATCGTCGAGTCTCCTTTCCCGATCTTTTGGGTCGAAGTCTTTTCCCCGTCTGTGCAAACGTGGATCCCGCTGGACCCTCTCGTCCGCAACACCATCAATAAACCTAAGACTGGTTTTGAGCCTCCGGCGTCTGATCAACTCAACAGCATGATTTACGTTGTTGCATTTGAAGATGACGAATCAGCTCGAGACGTGACCCGGCGATACACTCAATGGTACAATGCAAAGACACGGAAGCAACGGGTCGAAAGTACAAAAGGTGGCGAGAAGTGGTGGGAGGTGACCATGAGCGTCTTTGAGAAGCCCTTCAGTGAGACACGAGATGAGATAGAGGATGCGACTCTGCTCAAGCGCGCCGAAAGCGAGCCCATGCCCAAGAACATTCAGGATTTTAGAGGACATCCTGTATATGTTCTGGAACGGCACTTGCGGCTGAACGAGGTCATACATCCCCGACACGAGGTGGGCAAAGTGAGTACTGGGCCGCTGAAGAGTGCCAAGCTCGAGAGTGTGTTCCGCCGACGAGATGTGCATGTCTGTCGGACTGCTGACGCATGGTACCGGCGGGGTCGTGATGTCAACCAAGGGGAGCAGCCGCTGAAACGAGTGGTGCCCAAGCGACAGCGGAATCAGGACGTTGCAATGGCCGAAGACCTTGAAAACGAAGACGAGGCGAGCGAAGGAATGGCTCTCTATGCGGAATATCAGACCAGTGTGTACGAACCGCCGCCTGTCGTCGACGAGAAAATCCCTCGGAATGCATACGGCAACCTCGATGTCTACGTGCCGTCAATGATACCGGCCGGTGCAGTCCACATTCGCCACCCACTCGCATCCGCAGCGGCTCGCGTCCTCGGCATTGATTATGCAGAAGCAGTGACGGGGTTCCAGTTCAAGGGTCGGCAGGGCACGGCCGTCATTGACGGTGTCGTTGTAAGCATGAATATGACCAATGCCATGATCAACGTCATTGAAGGCCTCGAGTCCCAGGCCTCGGAAGAGATCCAGGAAGCGAGAACTAAGATCATTCTGGCGATGTGGAAAAAATGGCTTACCGCTCTGCGCGTGCACGAGCATGTCCATCGGCATTACGGAAATCAGAAACACGGCACGGGGGATAAAGGTAATGATGATGATGATGATGATGATGCAGAAGAAGACACTATGCACCGAGACGAGGAGGGTGGTGGTGGATTCATGCTGGACCAGGCAGAACTGGATCAATCCGAGGAAAATGCCAACTCTGTTCCTTTGACGACGCCAAACCTGAAGCCACTTGGCCAGCTTCTTCCGGCGGAGGTTGTGCATCAAGACGTCATTGTCATCAGATCCCCGAACAAGCTCAAACAACTGCCACTCTCTGATCTGTTGCGGTCCCATGACCGAGTCACGGAGGAAACACCCCACGAAACGTCCGACGCGGGCGGTGGCTTCATATCTGAGGATGGAATGGTGGACCAGAGTCCTCCGCACCGAGAAGGCCACGAACACGCGCCATCGGTCCGCCAAAACCTCGCGAATGATGAGGGTGGCGGTTTTATACCCGACGAAGCTGAAGACGATCAAGGAGGTGGCTTCCTGCCCGAAGACGAGGACGGAGATGGTGAACCCCATGCGCGGTTTATCACGGCTCATGACGGCTGGATCACGAATACGGAGGATACAATGGGTATGCTATCTTCCGAGACAGAACACGCGTCAACCAAGGAGAGGTTGGACAGTACTTCTGCTTCTGCTGGCGCTGGTGCTGGTTCTGGTGCGGAAAATGCGACCGCCGCCGGCGCCGGAGATAGCAGTGCCAAGCCCCGGAGCATATCGACCGCAGGGGGCCGCGGATTAAGCAGAAGCGGAAAAGAGGATCCCGCAACATCGACCACGCGATCGAGGCATATTCCTGATACGGACATGGTGGCACCGTCTGACCAGTCGCCGTCGCGGCCGATGAACAACACCGCCACGCTGGAGCCGGACCATCCGTTTTCTGGTAGTGGGCAGACAACCACCACAGATCAAGGCGACGGAGGGGACGAAACGGGAGACAGATTCGAAGCAGCACACGGGCCAGAACTCCAGAGGTCGGAGTCTGGCACTACTCCTGCCTCGGTCGCGGGCTCCCTCCTCTCCCACGACCCGGAAGACGACGACGCCGAGCCCGAATGGTTGCTGAGTAGTCTGGGCGAGATCGACTAGATGCCGATTTCAGTAATAGGTGGTCAACGTTCGTGAGCTTAACGCCGCGGCCCCAAAGGAATGGGGGGAGGGGGGAGAACACCAAGTGGAGCGAGCGAGGGAGGGAGGGAGGGTGCGTCGCGGTAGAGAGTATAGTACAGTACAGTTTCAAACCAAGAAGCCCGCCCTGCATTATCTATCCCAGTTATACATAATGTGATGTGATGCACCAATGAGAGAGAGGGAGAGAGAGAAACTCGAGAGGTTGTATGTATTGCATCCTCTGTCCAGCAGCCAACAGCGATCTACTGTAGTAAATCCGAGCTACCTAATCTGTATCTGTGCAGTGGAAGGAGAAATGACTCTGAAACTGGCTGCCGGCTGTCTCGGAGCAAAGTGAATAGTGAGCGAGCGAGCGAGTAATTAATTGAGTGAGTGAATCATGGAAGGTTACACTTGTTGATTTGTTGATTCGATTTTCCTCGATTTTCTCGCCCTTTTTGGGATTTCTTGATTTCATGATATCATTAATCATTAATTATGTATTTTTGACGTGGCCCGATCCGGGAATTGAAGACATTCTGTATTCGGCACCGCACAAGCGCGTGCACACACACACACACACAGAGAGAGAGAGAGAGAGGAAGGGCGGAGGATTGGAAAAGACCAGATTAGACGATAGGATAGTTTGACTATGTAGAATAGAGTGTAATTTGAGCGGTATTTCCTATCAAACCTTCGCTTGGTGGGTGAAGATACCCGTAGGTATGATCTGGTTTCGAGGTATTCACAGTTCATCCAGACCAGGCAGGGACTCCTCAGCCTCGGAGCCGCCCATCTGAGATATTCATGTTCGTTCGTCCTCGAGGTATGAATACGTATGTACATGCATACATATTATCACATAAATGTATGGACGTGACTCCGGACAGTATACCTCGTAGAGTGTAGGATGATCCTGCACCAGCGTGTGTGCCATGAGATGGACGGATGGATATCTTGTTGTGATACTGACCGTAGACTAGCTAGCTACATATACATATGCCTAGAATAGATCGACAGACAGACTGGCGCGCACACGCAGGCGAGTGGCGAGCAAGCAAGCAAAGCAAAGGGGGTATCTCAATCTCAATTCAACAGAAAAAGCAAAATTAGGAGGAGCCCAAGCTTACATACTCGACAAAGAACAAGAAGAAAAAAAAACTTCCAATCAACAAACATTAAAGCCCGCGTGGTACATGAACGACGAGGAACTTCCTCCTCTCTCCCCCCTCCTCCCTGCTGATTACTTGTCGTCCATCAACCTCGAAAAAGAAGAAACCCAATTCTTCAACGTCCAATAACTGTTGTTCGATAACTGTTTCTTGCCCTCGTGAGAATGTGAACAGTAAAGTAGTCATTCACATCTGGACTCCTCCGGGTGAAGACCACTAATCCAAATCCTCGTCGTCGTCCTTGTCACCATCCGTCGTCATCGTCTGCGTCTGGTCGTCCACACGACTCAAAATCCCCGCCATCTTCTGGTGCTCCTCGAGAAAGTCTTCACTCAGGTCGTCCAACTGCTTGATCTGCTCCTGGATGCCAGCCAGTTGCCCGGCAACGTTACGACTTTTCCCGTTTGTGGCTGCTGGGACGGGAGATGATTCTTCTGGATCTGCTGCGGCAGGGGTTGTGTTGTCAGCCATGGAGCTCATTGCGGCATCTTCAGGCGCTGCGCCTGGAGAGCTAGCCCATCGACTAGATTCCAGGCCGGGTTTGGGAGATAGGGGATTCACCGACTTCCCAGCAGCCTTCGGGCTTGGGAGCGTAGTAGTAGCCTCCGCCTTGAATCGCTCTACTTCCTTCTGGGCACTTTCAGCAAGGTTGCGTTGGGTTTCGATCTCGAGCATGGCTCCCTCCAACTCGGCTTCAAGTGACACGATCGTCTTCTTTGCCTCGTCCAGACTAGCCTTGATGGCGTCGACGACCTGCTCGGTTTCCGGCGGCGTGGTGGTGCTCTGCGCCGCCAATTTGGCATCATTCAGTTCGGTCAGGACCCTTTCCAGTTGCGTGTCGTATTCCGCCTTCGCCTCTCGGATCGCGTGGTCGTGCTTCTCTTGCAACTCATGGAGCTCCTTTTGGGCAATCGTGTACTTCTGGTTCAATTCCTCTAGCTGGGATGGATCCGGTCGCTGCGCCGCCGCCTCCTTTGCTTCAATGAGCTCTTGCTTCATCGCTGCCAGAGCAGATTCTCGTTCCTCGCGTGCTAGAACCATGGCTTCGTGGTGCCTTTTCTCGATTTCTTGGGCCTGCTCCTGTGCTTTCACAAGTTGGGTTCGAAGGTCGTCCAGCTCGACCGATGACGACTGGCTCGACTCGGCCGTATCGCGTGCCCCCTGCAGCTCCGCCTGCAGTTGCGCAAGTGCGGTTTCATGCTCCGATTTGGCTTTGCGCAAGGCTTCCTCGTGCTGTTTCTCGGCCTCCGCGAGGCGGGCACTAGCGGCCGCATGTTGTTCCTCTAGCTGGTCAACCTGGCCCTTCCACTGGCTCTCCAACGTCTTCATGATCTCGTCCAATTGATTGTCGTGTTCTTCCTTCATGCGTTTCCGAAGCTCCTCGTATTGAGTCTGGTTTGCGGCTTGGCTGGATTCGACGGACTGGGAATGCTCCTCGCGCACTCTCTCGATGGCTTGCTCATGCTGTGCCCTCAGCGTATTCTCAAGCTCGGCGAGCGCCTTTGCATGTTCGGCGCGCAACGCCTCCATGTCCTTCTCGGCCTGGGCCTCCAGAACTTTCTGCGTCTCCAACAACTGATCGTGCTGCATTTGAAGCTCACTCATCCGTGCAAGTTTGATGACCGACATTGACATGTCTGCTTTCAGCTTCTCCACGGCTTCATTCAATTCGTCCTCTTTTTCCCTGGCTTCTCTTTCAGTGTTTTCGAGAATGGATTTCACCATCTGTGTTTGGAATTTGTTACCCTCGAGCTCCTGTTGAAGAGATCTCGCTTGTGATTCCAGCTGGCGCTTCTCCTCCGCGAGGCTCGACCGTAGTTCGTCCAGTGCTTTCTCACGCAAAGACTTCGCTTTGCTTTCCACATCTTGAATCTGTTGTGCATGCTCGGCCTTTAGAGCGGTGATCGTTTCGGAATGGCGGGTGGAGATCTGCTCTTCCAACTCGCTGAGCTGCTTTGCGTGGTCGGCCTTGATTGTGTCCAGAGAGCCTTGAGCGGATTTGAGCTGACCTTCCAAGTCCTTGACCGTGGCGGCGTGCGACTCCTTCAATGCGTTGAGCGTAGTTTCATGCTCGTTAGCTCCCTGCTTCTTCATCTCCTCTAGCTGCTTCCCATGAATAGCTCTCGCGTCTGTCAATTCGGCCTCTACCGCATTGAGCTGCAGCTCGAGATTGCGTATCCTTTCAATGTGGATCTTCTCGGCTTTCTGTTGCGACTCGGAAGCTTCCGACTTCACACGACCGAGTTGCTGCAAATGCCCAGCTTCAATGGACTCCAGATCTTTGAGGGACGCGTTCATCTGGTCCTCCAACTGCTTGATCTGGGAAGAGTGTGTATTCTTGAGGGCTGACATTTCCTTTTGCGAGTCGTGGAGCTTTTGCTCAAGCTGTTGGATCTGCTCAGCATGGCCGGACTTCAGTGTCGCCATTTCTTCTTCGTGTTTCGCCTGTGTGCTCGACAGAAGGGTGTCGAGCTCCTTCTCATGAGCAGATTTCAGTGCAATGAGTTCCTTTTCGGCAGACTCGCTGTGGGTCTTGTGTTCCTTCAAGATCTTGTCCTGGTTGGCAGTCACCTCGTCGAGGGCGGTTTTGGCTGCATCCACCTGGCTTTGCAACGCCGCAAGAGCCTTTTCATGATCGGCTCTCTTCGCCTCGGCTTCTTCCCTGGCCTTTTGCAGCTGAGCCTCGAGATCTTGGATTCTACTCGAATGCGAAGCCCTATTCCTTTCGAGCTCGTCGTTGACAGCGGCAAGGTCAGCTTCAGCCTTTTTCAACACTTTTTGCACTTCGCTTTCTTGTGAGCCCTGTACTGTCTTCAGCTCTTCTTGGGCGTCACTCAACTGCCGCTTGATGGCGTCTATTTCCGCCGTGTGAGCTTCCTCGGCGGCCGTGAGAGACGTGGCAGCGGCAGCATCCGCCTCGGCCTTTTCTTGCTGTAGAGCTTTGATCTGATCCTCAAGCGCACGCACTAGCGCCGCCTGAGCATTGCTTGCCTCGTCCTTTGCTTGTTGGAATTCGAGAACTTGACCTTTCAAAGATTCAATGACTTCGTTCTGTCGGGACATCTCCCCCTCGATTTTTGCAAGTTCTTCCCGTTGACGGACGATTTCTTTCTGTTTATTCGCAATCTCAAGGCCGACCTCCTCGAGCTTGGCCTGCCCTTCGGCGAGCCGCGCTTGATAGTCAGCTTCGAGGGTTGCAATCTTGGTCTCCATTTCCTTTTCCAGTTGCGCATTGCTATCCCTCGTCGAAGCCTGTTCAGCGGCCGCATTGCGAAGTTCTTCCAGTTCCGACTTGGATTGCTCGATCTCTTTCCGCGCAAGGGCCAGTTCTAGGGCATGCTCTTCTGCTTTGGTTTCGTGCCCTTGATAGAGCTCTCGGAGCTCTTCTTGATGTGAACGCTCCATTTCCGAGACTTTGGTCTCGTGAAGCAATGAAAGCTGTTCAATTTTGGCCGCGTGCTCGTTTCGGATAGCTTCTGTGGCATCCAGCACCCGGACGCTCTCTTCCTCCGCGCTCTTGCTGAATTGTTCGAGTTTGGCCTTCAAATCAATCAGCTCCGCCTGTAGAGCAACGACTTGGGCCTTGCTAGCCTCGTCCTGCAGCCCTGGCACAGTTGCGGCACCAAGGCCGTCCGACGGAGGTTTGTCGGCCTCGACCACCGATTCAGGAGGTGTTTCTTCAATCACCGATTGTACCTCCTCCAATTCCGCAGCTGTCGGTACTCGACCGTGAGTCCGTTCGAATGCCCGGACCTTGGCCAGGTCCGACTTCAGTCTAGCAATCTTGCTGGCGGCGTCATTGTCCATGGACTGTTGTTCCTCTTCATCAGCACCGTCGGCGGTCATCGCTGCCCGCAACATGCTATTGACAAGCTCGAACTCTCTTATGCGCTGCTCGATCAAGAGCGACCTCGTAGACTTCCTCGATCCCAACGGCGGACGAGCAGTCCCGGCTGCCTTCTCTTCTGCAGCCGACGTCGCATTTTCCTTGTTATCGTCCGGCTCTTCCATTCCGGCCTTGACGGCGGGAGAGGCAGGGATCGTGCTCAGGCGTTTCTTGTCGGCAAGGGCGCCGGTACCGACAGTTCTTGAGGAGGCCAGGGGCCTTACTCGTGTGGCAGAAGGAGTCGACGCTGTGGTCCGAGTGGTGCTCGGAGGGGCAGCTACCTTCCTCGCAGCGACGGGACTGCTGCTAGTTGCTTGACTCGATGTCCCTGCAGTTTGCATTGATGTCCGTCGAGTAGGGGTGGGAGCAGCCGTCCTGGAGGTCGAGGAGGGCGCCAAAGACATCCTCTTGGGCCTTGCAGATATGCCATCTCTGCTCTTTTCGTCGCCGGACGGCTTCTCGTCCACCGAAGTGTCTGATTCTCTTTTCTTATGTGTGGCGATTTAGGAAGTCGAGGCGGTGGTGGGGGTCTTTCGGACGGTGGTGCTCGCAGGAGTCGGTCTGGCGGGCGGCTTGCTCAATGAACTTCCAACGGCGGGCCTGGCAGCCGACGACGTAGCAGTAGAGGCAGTAGCCGGTCTGGTCGTCGTGGTAGACAATCTGGACGCCGGAGTCCTGGCCACAGGCCGCGACGGAGGATTGGCCACCTTCGGCTTGATGGTCGCAGTCTCGTCCTTTTTGTCCATGGCTGCAGGATAATATGAGGCAGACACTCTGCCACAATCCACTGGGGGAAAAACAAGAGCGAGATGTACAAGAAGCAAGATATCTGGCAGGAAGGAGAGGAAGGGAGAGGAGTCAATCCGCCTAGTCTCAGACCTGCTGGCTTCGACCGATTGGGAGACAAAAGCGAGAGGGTTGATTCCTGAAGTCGCGGCGACGCGTTCCTTTTCGGTCTGTGATTATCCCCAAGCAAAGAAGCGAAGAAGCGAAAGAAACCAAAAGCCCCCACCACCAGCAACTGGACTTCACGAGGGCTAACCTCTCTATCACCGACGTGGTCTCGCTCGCCTCTCGCCAGTCCTCATCCCTCACTGCTTCCCCGAGATTAGTGGTTTCAGCCTGCTCCGACCCTACGCCTGTCCCCCTCTTATTCCCATTGAGACACCTGCACCGTCGTCTCACTCGTGCCAGACATGATCAAGCCTGCTTTTAGAAGAGGTGGAAATTGACCCGGTCGAATCTACATGGACTTTGAGGATGATGGCTTATCATTGACTATCAACAACATGGAGACCAGGCAAAAAAGGGGTATCTTGAACTGAACGCTATGAAATGAAGAAAACGGAAGAAACAGACATGGTGTTTGCATATTCAACTCGGAACACTCCTCAACCAGTCCCAGGACCTGTCCAGCTCGTCCTCCAGCTGCCTCGCCATGGTCTGCTTGACCCATCGAGCCTTCGCTATGATCTGGTCCATGTCGTATTTCTCCAGTTTCCCTCCTGGCCCGCCGTAAGCGTCGATGATGTCCTCCCACCTCGACTCACTGGTGTATTGTTGCAAAGCGTTGACCAAAACGATAAATTCACTTTGGCTCCATTCTGTCTCGGCCGGAGGGGGAATATCTTCGGTGGGCTCTCGGTTTATTCTTGGTCTGACATGTCCCGTCCCTTCTCTATGTTGAGAATCTGGCAGGCCGTCTTCGTCGCCGGTGAGTAGCTCGCCCATGTCAACAGATTGGCGCTGTGGACTGGAAACGGGCGTGTCTGGGATCACCACACCACCGTGGTAATCATGATTACAATATTGTCGATATCTTGCCATCGCGGCCTCTTTTCTCCGTTGGTATTCAGCTCTTTGTCTCTCCAAGTTCAGCTTCTGTCGCACTTCAAGCTCGTCGACGAATCTCTCGCGGTTATTTTGAACGACCATACGCCGATAATTCTCCACGATAGCTGAAACGCCGGGCTTAATGTCTGAGGATGTCTTGCTTTTGATCGCCTTTCCCAGCCGAGGTCTCGGCTCCCAAGTCCTGGCGCTCTCCACTAGCTGGAGAGTTATGTTCAGGAGTCGGCAGATTTCCTTCAAGGCCGTCAGGCTCAGCGTGTCATTCTGGAACAAGACCTTCAGTGCCCGTTTGGCCAATTGTAACGAGCTCGGAATCAGGTGTTCATATAAGTCTCGGGCCATCCGGTTCCGCTCACGGTCGGAATGCATCTCGGGTTTATGACGTTGTTCACAGATATGCTTGCATCGTTGCCTCAAGAGGTTCAGTGTCTCCCGTTTTTCATCCTCCAGCTCCCGCAGAGACCCGTGGTTGCCACGGTGGAGCTTCTTGTAGATATGCGCCATCGTCCGGAATGCACGCGCACAAGCTTTACCCGTGGTTGACTCTGGTTCAGACGAAGCACGGATCCCAGTGATTTCGGCGGCAGCAACAAGGACTTCTGTCCAAGCGTCCTTGCAATCGAGTACTTCTACCGCCAACTCGATGCCTGACAATGCGTCTTTGACCATCTGTTCTCGTTTGGCTTTCTCTTCAGCCGCAGCCCGCTCCACAGCATCCCGTTCAGCCTGAGTCCGTGGGCGCTGACGTTGTACCGCCGGAGTGGGAGTAGGTGCTCTCTCTTCGTGGTCATTGGCCGCGTTGCCTGCTTCCTCCTCGCCGCTTGCTTCAACCACTTCGTGGAGGATATCATTCTCGGTTGGTCCTAGAGCGAGTGCTTGCTGGGCTATTTCGGCCAGCAGATGAGGCAATTTGGCAGGGGCTTGCGGCCTTTGCTCGATCTCGGGACCAGCATCCCCCCCTGGTTCGGATTGGAATGGCTTCATGGAAGCTTCGGTTAGAACCTCTGTATTTGAAGGACCTTCTTCTGCTTCTGGAACTATTCGATCATGTCCTGCAGGATTATTCTTCTCCAGATCTTCTATTTGAGAGGCTTCGAAGATATCCTCACCGTCCAAAGGCCCTCCACCTCTAGTTGCCGTCGTCGTTTCCTTCAGCTTGCTCGCAGGGCGGCCGGATTTTTTAAGCGACCGACCAATCTTCTCGATGCGAGGCCTGACGGGGCGCTTCCTAGGCGAATCGTCCAAGTTTACCAGCGCATTTGTCCTCGTGTCTAGTATTCCCTTGCCCTTGAAAGGCGATTCCGTCCATTGTGATTTTTTATTGAGCGGCCTGAGCCTCTTGATAGGCTCGAGTAGGGGTTTCGTCACGGCTATGGGTTCCGGGTTGTTGGGTATCGCATATATGTCGCGTCTGTTGACAGGAGTAAGTCCTGCAAGCGACTGCCGTTTCCGAAGTCGTTGAGATATGCGTCGAGATGGACTTGCAGTTGTTGCGACGGCCATGTCAGGGACAGACCGGGCAGGGAGCTCGACGTGAGCACGACCGTTCGAGGGGCTTGGGTTCGCATTGGGCCCGAGGCGAGACGCTCGCCTGCTCTTTCTGCGAGGGGTTCGTGTCGTGTTGGCTGCCTCTTCGTTCAGGATGGCCGTCACGTCTTCTGCTTCCCACTCAACAGCATCGCGAGCCGCAGATCGACGCGCTGCGGAGTGCAGCATTTGAGAACCCCGACTTGGAAGTCACGTACACAGGTGGCATGGACATGCAATTGGTACAGAGTACTTGGTAGAGGGTTACGCGCCCCGCGTTGGCGTCGGTTGCGCAGGCGACAGCCACGTGACAGCTTACATAAAGACAGTTTACATAAGGACTTACAAATCCCTTGGTGACTTCCATCGTCACCTCGACCATGAACGTATTTCACCATCCTCTACTAACTAATGTGAATTGTTACAGTCGTACCGTTGTACAGTTGTACAGAATAGTTCGAACCTCTTCTCAATATTCCCCATAGATCGGTCCTCGAGCCCCAACCAGGGGACTCTTCTCCCAGCACCGTCATGGCCCACGTTCCAACACTCACCAAGATCACAGACCTAAAGTCACATCGGTTCGAGAAGCCGGTGAAGAAGATCTTCGATGGCCCCGACTTGTCCTTCTTCCTGATGTCGCTGGCCTATCGGGACATCATGACATTCATTCTGCAGTTGAACAGGTCGGTTGTGCCACGCAAAAGCCAGACGGGAGGAACAAGCACCATCACGACCTGGCGACTAGACTCAGACGAGCTCGTGTTCTCCGATGCCATCTCGCGACTGCGTCACCTGTTGAACAAGCTGATAGACCTTGTCGACGCCGTGCCTCCCGACACCGGCCCGAGGCGATTTGGCAACGTCAGTTTCCGCAAGTGGTACAAGATGGTCGAGGAACAGGTGGTGGCGGGCAGCTTATTGACGGAATCTCTCCCAGAAGAACTCGCACCCGCGCACGAGGAGCTCGGGGCGTATCTCCTGGGCAGCCTCGGTAGCGCGCAACGGCTGGACTACGGGACGGGCCACGAGCTCAGCTTCCTCGCCTTCCTGGCCTGCCTGTGGAAGCTGGGGTTCTTCCCCGACACCACCCAAACACCGGGCGTGGAAGAGCGAGGCATCGTCCTGGGCGTGTTCGAGCTGTACCTCGTGCTTGTCCGGAAACTCATCAAGACGTACACGCTGGAGCCGGCCGGGTCGCATGGCGTCTGGGGTTTGGACGACAATTCCTTCCTCCCCTACGTGTTTGGCTCCGCCCAGCTGTGTCCGCCCATCGCCGAGACCGACGACGCCACCCCGACGGAGGGCTCGCTGCCCGACGCGCCCGAGGCGTCGGCGGTAACGAAGCCCAACCTGGTTGAGAAGGAAAAGCGTGCCAACATGTACTTCGCGGCGGTCGCCTTCATCTACGACGTCAAGCGTGGGCCCTTCTGGGAACACAGCCCCATGCTCTTCGACATCTCGGGCATCAAGGACGGTTGGGGAAAGATCAACAAGGGCATGATCAAGATGTACAACGCCGAGGTGCTCTCCAAGTTTCCCGTCGTCCAGCACTTCCCCTTCGGGTCGCTGTTCCGGTGGGAGCGGGACCCCGACGCGAAGCCGCCACCACCCTCTACCCACGCCGCGGCGAGCAATCAACCGCTCCGCAACCCGATGGACACGAATGCCCCGAGTGCGGTGAGGCCGACGGGTCCGACGACGACGACGGCTGCTCCCTGGGCCGCTGCCGCTGCTTCTGCTGCGAAGCCGGCGGGGTTTGTCAACGGAGTCACGCAGGCGCCGTGGGCGGCGAGTCGAGCAGCAGCACCACCGGCCGCACCACACAGACGTCCCCTGCAAGCCGTGAAGGAGATGGACAACAACATGAAGACGACCCAGCAGGACCCGGTAGGGCAGAGGTAAGGGTGGTACCACGACGGAACGGAAAAAAGCAAGCGAGCTTTTAAGATTTGTATGATTATTCTGCACAGAACCACGCCAAAACTGGTTCAAAGAAGAGAGACATCTATTCAGATGCCTAGAGGATTGAAAAAGGCACGCATGGCCATAGGCACGGCATGGGGGTATCAATCAATCAATCAATCAATCACCATCACGATGAATCCGAATCATAGCCGACCACCAACGCCAACGCCGTGCTGTTTCCGGCTTTCGCTGTCGCTTTCGCGTTCGTTTCTCGTCTCTTTTCCGTGTCTTCGTATTTATCTTCATGTCTATCTCTATTGTTGTGCTCCGTCTCCCCCCCGTCCTCCTCATCCGCCCCTCTTCTTTTCCGTTTGACGCGGGGCTTCTGCCAGATATCCCCCTCCTCCTCCCCCCTCAGGAACGGGTCGGTCGCAATCCTCGTGTTACTGCGTAGCGTGCTCTGCAGGATATCCTTCTTGTAGTGATCCGGATCCCGTTTCGTTGCGGGAGTGGACTTGGACCGAGAGGCGGCGGTGGCAGCGGAGGAGTAGGACGAGGAGGAGAGGAGTGAGAGAGAGGAAGGAGTAGAGGAGGAAGGGGGCCCTCCCAAGTGTCCATCCCCGTCGAGGACGTGGCGGAACATGGGCTTCCTCGAACTCGAACTCGTCGCTATCGTCGTCGACAGGAGGTCAGGATGCTCGCCAAACTCGATAAACTTGGCCCTCTCGCCGTCCTCGGCGTGCTCACCCACCACGTCCAGCGCCAGGCCGAACTTCTCCTTCAAAGCCTCGCCGGACTTCTCGTCGGCCTGCCGCTTGCGGCGGCCCACGCGGAACTCGGCGCGGAGCTGTCGACTGCGCTCGTAGGGGTCGGCCCAGTCGCGCTCGCTGGCCTGGAGGAGGCTCTCGAGCCGCTCTTTCTGCGAGTCGAAGAGGGTCTTGTCCTGGACCTTCTTCTCCAGGGCGCCGAACCCACCGTCGCGCTCCAGCCGCGCCTTGTCTTCCTCGGTCACATTTCCACCGCCCGGCCCCGCGATGCGTATTTCCCCGTCCAGCACTTTCTCCGCGCCCGTGTCCCTGCGCCGCCCGCCCTCGACGACCACGTACTCGGCGTGCTGGGGATCGGTGCGGACCTCGAGCCAGCCGCCACAGACGGGGTGTTTGAAGCGGAAACTCCAGACGGGCGTGGAGAAGTAACTGCCGACTTTCTTCTTCTCGGCGTTGAACCGCACCCCCTGGCCGATGAGCTGCTCGGGCCGGCAGTGCGTGCACCAGATGGCGAAGGGGCACTCGAAGCGCACGGTCAGGACGCCCTCGGTCTTGAGCTTGCGTGCGCGCGAGCCCAGCGCGTGGCCCTTGCCCGACGCCGTGTTGAACGACACCACGCCCTCCAGGTCCGGCGGGACGTAGCGGCCCATGTTGAAGCCTTGCATTGTGGCGGCGCGACGGGTAGTAGGATGGTGGTCTTAATGTAGAGAGGGCGTTTGTTCACAGGAGGTGAGTGAGTGAGTGAGTGGTTCGTCAGTCAGTCGGGCTCTTGTGATGCTATGATTCGCCCTCTGGTGTCTGGACGAGCACCCATTTCAGGATTTGTTCGGCCGGACGGGATGGGTTACACGCCAGGTATGTCAAGAGGAGGAGACAGCAAGGAATGAAGCATCGGTTGCCAGCAAAAATAACTGCGGCAGGTCAAGGACATTCAAAGCTGGTGGCGCTCCTCGCGCGGAGAATTACGATTATCCGTTTCCGGCAGCTTTATTATGTAATAATAAGACATGTGAGCGCATATGAAACTCCAGATGTTCCATTAGGGCACCTCAGACAGCGGAGGACAGTATAGGATATCCAGACTGAAGCCAGCATTCAGCACTGGAATGCCACGCCCTCCCGCTTTGCCAGGTTCGACCCTCCGCCCGCAAAACCGGTTCCTTCACAGCTAATTTCGACCAGTCTGCCCACGTTCCGACTGTGTTCTTTTCCCTCCTTGTGTTTCTGCTTCTTGCCCTTGCCCCCCTTCTCGTCATTCACTCCCGCTTCGGGCGCTGTTCCGCTCAGGTCGGCTTCGCAGACATAGCAGAGAATGCTTGCCTGGGCGTCCTTCGGTTCTTTCGACGACCCGCCATTGGAACCCGGACCCACTAGAAACAAGTCGGCACAGGCGCCGCAGATGACGTGCCCACATCCATCTGCTGTTCCCAGCATCGGCCGTGATGTGTTGTTGAGGGCTTTCTTGCAGCTTGGACATATCCTTGTTGACTCGACCGCCTTCGCACCCGTTTCCGAGGCAATTTCTGCAAAGTTGACTGTGATAAGTGATTTCAGCGAGTAGTTGTGTTTGTCCCCCGGCGTCGACGCGGGACATAGAGGATGGAGCTTCTGCTGTTTCGACGTCGAAGTCGTCGTTGTCGATGCGGACAGGCTGTCGGAGCCGGGGATCCAGAAACTCGCTTCGGAGGATTTGGGCTTCTTGTTCTTTTCATTGCTGTCACGACCGTTGCTCTGCGTCTCGAATCGGTGGGCATGCAGCTCTTCGGCCTCCCTCTTCCTTTTCCGTCCTATCGCCTCGATCCCATCGTCTGCAAAGCCCATCGCGGTCCTCTCGAACAATTCCAACTCCCTTTTCTTCCTCTCTTCCTCCTCCCTCGCTTTCTCCTCGCGCTCCCCCTTCTCCCGCGTCTCAGCTTCCCTCTCTAGCCGCTTGATCTCTTTTCTCTGGGCCATGAGATCGTTCAACGCACATTCCCGGCAAAAGAGGTGGACTTTTCGGGTGCCGTGGTTCCCTTCGCCGCAAGCCACGGGCACGTTGGCATAGCCGAGACATAAGCGGCAATACCCGAAGGGCAGAAAGGAGTCGCGTGTAAGTCGAGTTGTTTGGGTTCCCCAGCTTGAGCGGAGGAGGGAGCGTTCATGAGCGGTGAAGAAGGCCAATGACGTGTTGCGCTTCGAGTGGGACATGGTGAACCGAGGGAGGTGACACCAGAGATGTCGCACGTCGAGAACGGTAGCAGGGGTAGGTGACCAAGAATTAAAACTGTGGTCCGCTCTTGAAGGGGCTCTCCTTATTCACCTAGATTGCTATTCTCTCGATGGTAGCTCCAGCACACGTCCGGTCAAAACTGCAGGGTTCCCACAACTCAGAACAGTAAGGCCGGCCAAGTGTCCTCCAGATGGAGTGGCTGGAGTCGCAGTAGACTGCCTCGGAAGTAATGCTGCCCTTCAGGTTCAGGCCTCGTCGGGTGCCGTCAGGAAGGACGCTTGTGCCACGAAAATGTCGTCGTAGTATGCCCTAGTTTTTCAAGCTTGCAACAATGGCACAATAGTTGCCCCACTGCTGTCTTGTCAGTAAACCCAGACTTCAAGGAGGAGCCGGAACCGGACTTCAAGTTCAGGTCCAGCACTAATTGTGTGGAAAGCGGTTGTTTGGCGGAGAGAGTTACGAACGGATATTGACGATGATTGAGTGCTCCAGATTTGGGCATCACATCATATATTCTGGATCGGAACAACCCCGGAGAAACCAAGCGCCGAAAAAATAGCCCAGACCTCAGCATAAGTGAGCCTCACATACTCCCAAGTGGATTTCATATCGAACTGAAGGCAGGCGTCGAACCTAAGAAATACGACCATTCACCGTCGTTATGACGATCGAGGTGTTTGCACACGAATTCCTGCACATGACGGTAGGAGATCTCGAAGATGAAGAGGACGATAACAACCCCAATTGATGCCGCCACGACCCTGCCTATTTGCTGATGGCTTACAAGGTGCATCGACGTCAAAGATCCTGAAAACTAAACCGAGGAACATTTGGCACATGTGAGGCTGGGTTTATTCGCCTTAATGGCCACCACATCAGAATCATTCCACTATGTGGCGGAAGACGACGTCGGGTCGGGGCATGTCTGTCAATGTGATGGATGACCACGGCGACAATCATTTCAACGATGCTCCGATGCTTCTGGGGTTGTCCAACCTGCGAAAAGCGGTCGTTGACATGCGGTGGCGTCCAAGACCATCGCTTCGACACATTCCACCCCGATCATGTCCGGTGGTCCAACATTCCGGGAAGCGGACTTTTGACTATCGAATGTCGAGTCCTCGGGCCTGCCTTGGAAGCATTCCACTGGACAAGGAAAAGCACGGGCGTGCCATCAAGGTATCGGTGAACATGGACACAACGATGACGAAAGTGTGGACGACGAAAGCTCTAATGTCAGACGATATCCCTGACCTCCTCGACCCTGTCGTCTCCTCCGCGTCCATCACGACCCCAAGGGTAATTGATGTTCCACCACAAGTTCATGTTCGCCCGTGCAGAACGAAGAGACTTATATATTCCCAGCCAAGCAGACCGAAGCCGCGAGCTGAGGACGGAACGAGTAGAGACTAGACTAGCCGACCGACGATCCAGGTCCAGGTCCGTAAGTTCCACGCGTTGTCCCAAGCGGCAATCGTGCGAGTAGTCTGCTCCACAGTGCTGGAAGCATCCGTGTGATACTTATGTACCTTGCTTGCGACGGGGACATTTCCCGGATTGCGGAAAGCAGTATCGATCGATGGTGCTGGGATCCGTCATCTACCGCCAGCAGCGGATATGGAGGTACATTCATACAGTAGGTTGCAGGGCGAACCAAGCCCCGGATCCCAAATGGCAGACATTCATTCGGTGAAGCAGCAACCCCTACTGTATCCTCAATGCAGTCACCCACCACCACCACCACCTCCTCCTCCTCCTCCACGTATTACACGGTAGACCACACGATATGCCACTGTATCCATCCCCCCATTATCACTTCAAGGAAGAAGAGCTCTGAGGTACAATCTGTTTAATGGTAGGCGCAGGTTGTACCTCTGCACGGACGTCGTCGTAGCGTACGTACCTCTTCCGATCAGAGTATGATTTCGACCGTCCGTGTTTAGCTTCCATTCTGGTGTCATCGCCCGATGATGCTTAGGATATACAACGTTTGTTAGGGCCTTTAGGCAATATTCAAGCGCCGCAACAGGCGAGAAGAGGCAGCACAAAGCAATAACAAGCAGTCACAATAGCATAGAGCAATGAGCACCCACCCACGTCCCTGAGCAATGTTGCACACTGTCGAATATGGGACATTGCTGAGCGTTGGTTGGGATACCATTAATCACCCCACGGCGCTGATATCTGCCATAGTTACACCGATGAAGGGATGTCCGTCACTACTTTTTAGACCGTCTCCTCTCTGGGACGACGCCGCCGTCGGAGACACGAGCATTCCATAAATAGCTGGACGGTAAAGTACGCCGGGATCCAGAACGTAACGGCCACTACCACCAGCAATATCTGCGCCCACAGAGGCCAATCCAGGTAATTTGCCGCCGATCGACGTAGTAGTATTTCGTGATGAGGGCGGTAGACATGTCCAGACACAGGGGCCATGGTGCGAATGCTTTCGAGGTGAATTCCGGATTTGTGATATCGCGGCGAGGTATTGCTGTGCTGAAACTGTAGGAGATGGACAGATTAGGACCCCGAATCTCAGTATGCGGGACAACGAGGCCTTACCTGACTTATACGATCAGCTCCAGTCATGGACGATTTATAGCAGATAGGACGGACAGCGTTCTAGTTAAGCCTGCTTTGTTTGACGGGGCTGCAAGTGGTCCTCCCGTACATAATCTCATCATCTTCTGCCACGCATGGCCATGATCAGTCAAGTTTTGCTGCGGTCGATGATGGGAAAGTAGCCATTTTGTCATCTGTGCTGAGCGGCAGAAGTTCCCGCTGGTCTCGAGCCGAGATTCTTTGTGCAAGACGTTCGTTTGAGTGTCGTGTCTGCAAACAATTCCGGGGACAAAGGAGCTCCCCCCTCCACACAATGACCGTCTCCCCCACCAGTTATCACAGCCATTTACGGCCTGCGGCAGTGACTCGTTGCTTGAAGACCGGACTCTTGATGGGATTTCCAATCGTGTAAAAAGGGTTCATCAAGGTCTTCACCCAGAGTTCGAACACCTCGTTCATGAACTGTCGAATGGCCTCTTCCGTCTGGGGACTGGTGGGATTCTGCGGGATCGACGTCGACGAGATGGTCGATGATCGAGCCCCGGCAGAAGAATTGGTCATGGCCGAGGGCTGGTGGAGCAGCATAAACCGCACATTCGTCCCCGTCATGAAGCAGCTGATGTGGGAATTCGTGGGTGCGTAGTTGTCGATGACCTTGAGCCACATGTTTGGCGTCAGCCACTGCACCTCCTCCACGACGTCCAGAGAGGCGTGCACGATGAATTGGTTCATGTAGCGAGAGGTCTCGCCGTGGCGGAATCGGGCGACGCCGTCGCCGCCGGCTTTGGAGGTGCCAAAGGTCAATTCGAAGAGCGGCGAGTCGGTGGGCGAGACGATAACGAAGTAGTACGACATGTTCTTTTTGTGCTGCGTAGTCTTTGCCGCGTACGTAGATGTGCTAGAGCATACGCGTATATTTGATATGTAGAAGAAAGACGACGAAGTGAGGGTGACGAGGCTCGGCACAACTCCGGGAAAGAAGTTGCCGCGAGGAATGAAACTCCCCTCAACATTGCAAACAAAGTCCTTATTCTCGACACTTCAAACACGCAAGTCGTTGTGGCGGTCTTGTCTTCCTCAACCACTGCTCGCGAGATGCCGTCTCTCGCTTTCGGTCTCAATTCCGCCAAGTCGTCCTCCGGTGTCTCGAAGCCTGCGCAGAAACGCAAAGCGTTCTTCGACGACGACGACGACGATGCAGGCGAGGAGATCGCTGCGGCACCTGCACCTGCATATGGAGCGAAGAAGACCTCAAAGCCTCTACGGCCCCTAAAAGACCTCGATGATGGCGCCGATGACGGAGAGCCGCCGAGCAAGTCCCACAAGCTCTCTCAGTACGGGCTGCAACTCCCCAAGTCAAAATCCGCTGGATCAGCAACGGGCACGGACAAATATGTCAACCTGTCGGCACTGCGCAGTGCCAAACTGCACGACGAAGAGGCTTCAAAGATAGATGCATCGGTCTACGACTACGATGCGGCCTACGAGACCTTCCACGCAGAGAAAGAGAAGACATCCAATGAGGCGGGCGCTCCTTCGGGACCCAAATACATGGGCTCGCTCCTGCAGAGCGCCGAGGTGCGGAAACGAGATCAGCTCCGGGCCCGGGAGAAGCTCCTGCAGCGTGAGAGAGAAGCAGAAGGAGATGAGTTCGCCGACAAGGAGAAATTCGTGACCGGCGCGTACAAGAAGCAGCAGGAGGAGATTAAGCGCATGGAGGAGGAAGAGAAGAAGCGAGAAGAAGCGGAGGAAGAGCGGCGCAAGCAAGGCGGGGGCATGACCGCTTTCCACAAGCGCATGCTCGAGAAGGACGAAGAGAGAATGCGGCTGATCAAGGAAGCAGAAGAGGAGGCGGCAAGGAGAAAGGAAGGTGGTGTGCAGGAAGAAACGCCAATCGAGGAAGAGAAGTCGGAAGCGAAGATGGCCGAGGAACTGAACAAGCAAGGAGCACACATCGTCGTCAACGACGAAGGGGAGGTGGTCGACAAACGACAGCTCCTGTCTGCTGGCCTGAACGTGGCGCCCAAGAAGCCCGGGAAAGAGCACCAGCCCACCGCAAGAGCCGAATCTGCTCGCAAGGATGAGTACTGGAAATCGTCCAAGGCAGTGGATGCACGCCATGCTCAGCGCGAGAGACAGTCACGCATGATGGAGCGACAGATTGAGGAGATGATGGAGAAACAGCAGCAGGCCGAAGCGGAGGAGGAGAAGCAACTGCAGGACAAGGTCAAGAGCAAGGTCAGCGAAGCCGACAAGATGAGCGCCCGAGAGAGATTTCTGCAGCGGAAACGCGAGAGAGAAGAGGAAGCAAGGAAGAAGAAAGAGGCCGGCGGTTGAGCTTTGCTCTCAGCTCTCTATCACTATCATCCCAGCTCCTCTCACTGGATGAACATGCCGCCATCGACGGCGATGATTTTGTTGTGGACATAGCCCGTCTTGACGATCCACAGCACCGTCTCTGCGATTTCCTCGGGCTTGCCCAGTCTGCCGATGGGGATCTCTGGACCATTTCCCCGTCAGCAAACTCGAACCTTTGTGAAAGGGCACAGAGACAGAACGACTTACTGGCAGACAATTCGGATGATCCTCCAGGTAACATCTTGGTCTCTTCAATCAACGCTGGAGCGACGCCGTTGATGGTGACGCCAGACTTTGCATAAGCGCCTGCCAGCCAATGCACCAGACCGTGCAGAGCCGATTTCGACGATCTGGCAAGTGAGCAGGCGGTCAGTCAGTCAGAGATGGATAGAACGAGCCGCGTTGAAAGGGCCAGGCACTCACGCATAATGCGGTCCCACTACCCCCCCGGTAAAGCCGGCGACGCTGGAACAGAACAACACCCTTCCCCAGCCGGCCTCGATCATTTTGGGGAGACACAACTGGGTGAGCAGGAATGCCGTCCCACAGTTGGCTCTCCACGTCTTTTCAAAGTCCTCCACGGATACCTCGCTGACGTCCTTGATCCGGGACAGGCCCATGGTCGACCCGGCATTGTTGAAGAGGATGGTCGGATGGCCCAGTTCTCGCACCACACTGGCGTGCAGAGCGCGCGTCTCGTCGTAGGAAGACAGGTCCGCACGGAAAGCCGAGGCGCGCACGTTCATCCCCTTGAGCTGCGCGACTAGGGACTCTGCCGTGTCGGACGCGCTGTGGTAGTGCACGGCAATGGAGCACTTGAGGTGCGCGAGGGCGAGGCACGTCGCCTTTCCGATGCCGCCTGTCGCCCCGGTCACCAGGGCGAGGTGCGAGGAGAGATCGGTGGTCAACGCCATTGGTACCGTTACCGGTGGACTCGGCAATGGAATGGAATGGGATGGGTAGAATCGGTTCTGGGCCGAAGTAGACGAGGAAAGCTCCGCGAGATAAGACACCTCACTCGGCTCGACGCAGCTCAGGTCTGCTCGGTCCTGCTCGTAGCTGTTTGCGTTGTGTCGTGCTCCTATCCTATCAATTCAGCGGCATCTGGTTTCCGTGTCGTTTCCCCTCACACACACACACTCACTCTCTCTCGAGATTATATATGCACACGCTGGTTGTGGGACAGAGGTGTGCACGGGCCTCGCAGCGATGACGATTGCTGATGGTGATGGTGATGGTGATGACAACAGTTGCGAATATCTTCTGGCAATGATTGTGATGGGCGGCGTCGTGGTGGTGGTGGTGATACTACTTAACCCCGAAAAAGGAACCTAAACACCGAGAGCAAATATGTATTGTATTACATGTACGGAGTAATTACTGTATACTCGGTACATACAGTATTAATTACTACCCCTCAGCAATCATCGCCCAGCCCAGCCCAGGCAAGCCGGGCGAAGAGAATTACGAGGTAACCATCGAAAAACCGAAAAGAAAAGAAAAGGAACTCGCGACTTCCCTCTATACCCCTGTGCTCTATCTAGACTCTATATTCTATACTCATACGGTGTACATATATATGTGCATACGTACCTGTTACCGCTTTACTTCGCGTACATCGATACTCTCTGTACCTTTCCAGGCAGGCAGGAAGGTAGGTAGGTAGGTAGGAAGGAAGGAAGGGGGACTGGATCGGTAGAAAGAACGGACAGGACAGGACAGGACAGGACGGGGCTTGTCTGGTCTGGTCTGGTTTGGATGGGGAAGAGGAGTGGAAGTGGACGGTGAGAAAATATAAGGAAAAAGGGGGCGGGTGTTTAAGAGGGTATTATTTGTATATATTTGTGCAAAAGAAATTGCCATGGTTGGTTGGTTGGTTCGTTGGTAGGTTGCTTGCAATACCAGACCAGCGACAGTAGTCAGTCCTGCAGTTGACATTGACATTGACATTGACTGCTAATCACAAGGGAGGACAGACAGACGAAAGGGCCGGCGGCGGTCACTCAAAGAAAAAGTAAAAAAATTCACTACCTGCGGTCATTGACACTCAACTCACTCACTCAAGACCCGTCACGGAACCTTACATTCTTATACGGACGGAATACATACATCTCCGACTCTCATATTCTCGGGCAGAAACACCTGCAGAATTCGCACGAGGAATCGGCCAGAGAGTTATCTATCTCTCTCTCTCTCTCTCTCTCTCTCTCTCTCTCTCTCTGAGATCATCCTCTCCGGCACGAACACACCCCCACACCATGTCGGCGTCGACGACTCACCAATCCTCCCCGTCATGTCCCTCCAGCTTGGTCACCGCCACCCTCCAACTACACTACCTGGCTGAAGGGGCCGCCAACATCATCTACAGCGTCTCGGTGCTGTCACCGCCGTCCCTCCAACATCACTCGCACTGCTGCGTCATGCGTCTGCGCAAAGACCTGCCCTTCACGACACCGGCGGGGCAAGTCGTGTCGGACTTTCAGAGCCGCATCGCACCCCTCTTCACCAAGAAGCACAAATCATTGCTGATGGAGCAGGCGCTGTACAAGTTCACGCCAGAGATGGTGAGCGAGGCGAACGCGGAATTGAGGCAGATGGACACCGTGGATGAATCGGCCGTCTCGGCGCAAGGAGACGTCAATGCCCGAAAGATCCGCCCCCGCCACAGACGCCACGTCTATCTGCCCTCGTACGACAACGAGCAGCATGGCATTCTCATGCAGAACTTGCAGGGCCCCGGGATTGACTGGCTGGTCGAGTTCAAGCCGAAGTGGCTGGTGCAGAGTCCCAGTGCGCCGAGAGACGCCAGAAATTGCCGGACGTGCGCGTTGAATGCGAAGCGGAGAAAAGCCGGAGCGCACCAGGGGAGAGGAGATTCGGGATTCTGTCCGTTGGACCTGCTAGCAGACCAAGACGCCGTGTTGGAGCGGACGCTGGCCAACATCTGGCCGCTGGAGGACGGGGTTGACACATTCGTGGCTGCTTTTCGAGCACAGGTCCAGCCTGCGTTGAGACATCTCCAGAGCCTTCAGGAGGAGCATGGGTCGGTGGGATTGGACGACTATCTCAATCCAGATGGCAAGGACTTTGGCGTGGCCATGGCGTTGAGGGATTGCAGCGTCTTCCTGGCTCTAAAACGAAGAACCGACCCCGTCGCTGGAGACGTCGACATTGTAGACGTCAAGCTCGCCGACTTGGATCTGAAGACGACCGAGGGAGGAAAGGTCCAGAAATGGGCAGCCACGGAGCAGGAGCTGCTCGAGGGCGGGTGGTATCAGAATCTCGACGGGTCGAATTGTCGGATAAGCCGTCAGCAGCCCTCATAGACCACCGTCCCATCACCAATTGTGTTTGATGGGGAAGATGGCATCGGCCAGTCTCTGGATGTGGTCATGCTTGATGGCTCTTATCTCGTTCGTAATCCGCTCGAGCAATTCCTCCGACAAGCCGCCTCGGCGTCGCGCGTAGATGTCGATGCCCGCGGGTGTGAAGAGCGTCTTTTGGAAGTACGTGACCACCCAGCCGCCCTCTTCTTCCCCGTAGCCCAGGATCTCCCAGCGGCTCGATGCGATCTTCAAGAGCCCCTTGCCGCGCCAGCTGTAGGCGGCCTTGGTGTGGGCGTCGGGCGTGTCGATTCCTTCGACCCGCTTGTGCTTGTCTGAGGTCAGGGGTTGGTATTCGACCAGGTCATCGAGGTGCTCGGCGTTCTCGGGCAGGGACGTGTAGGTGATGGTCACGTTGCGGTTGTTTTTCCACATGGGAAGCGTCGAGTGGGTGACTTTCCATGTCCCCTGTAGAAAAGAGACGTGGGGAGACTCGAAGGTGCTGGAGTCAGCAGAAGCAGCAGCATCAGCATCAGCAGGAGGAGGAGGAGCTGTCGACGGGGAACGGAAATTGAGTCCTGTCCTTCGGGCGATGGTCATGATGGTTGTTGTTAGCGATACAATGCGTTGGAGATGGTGGCTTGGGAGTTGGAGAAGAAATAATTAATGGTTGGTGGTTTGAGCAGTGCAACAAGGAGAAGAAGAGGAAGAGGACGGACCAGCAGCTATTTAACTACTATTAATGCTGCGCCCCATTGCCATCCTTTGCACTGATACTGCAATCCTCTCCTCTTCCTGTCAGAACAGACTCTGTACATACGCCGTGGACTGACTTTGTTCAGGCTCAATCGTCACACCACAATCCAACTATCTTTGTTGATCCTCGACGCTACGATATCGACGGCAGATGCCGTTGACTTACATACTGTAGATCAAGTGACGCTGCTCTGTCCTTCTACTTGTTTTCCGTTGTACAGCTCGTCCTCGTCCGGCACGTTGGGGGCTACAGCGACCTGACACAATCCTGGAACACCACAGCCTTCACCAAGGAGTACGGCATGCCGAAGAGATACTCCGTGCTCGAGATGTGGCTCCGGCAGCTCATGGAAGGCCGACTTGGACAGACCCATGTCACTGCTTCTCCTTTATTGGATTATCCACCACCGGTCTGAGATGGCTTGCACTCGCAGTGCCTAACACACCCTGCGACAAAAGGTGTTTTGCGTCTCACCACCGTCAATGATCGACCGGAGAGAAATCTTGATTGGCCGTAGAAGAGGTCCCCCGCACGCAGTGACATATAAAGCAGCACAAACACGCCTCTGCGCTACAACAATACCATAATGATACTCGGGAACGTATCGAGGAGGCTTCATTGCGGCTTCAATGACTCGCACTTACTTGTCCTCTCTCTTGAGAGGGAGCATGGTGTTCCCCTGCCAGAGTCATCACCAAATTCGCGAACTATATGAATTATGAGCAAGTTCACCAAGCTTTTCCGCCAACATCAGACGAATTCTGGTAGGTCACAATGCCTTTATTACCGCTCACTTCTGGGCTGTGATATGACTGGGCCCGAACTTGGTCATACTGTAATATCGACGAGAACCTCTGATTTCTCGACCCAAGATGTCACCTAGGGAAGGGTGAGAATTCCCTACCTCCAAAATTTCGACTGACACTGTGAATGGTTGATGTCAAGTATATATCTTTCGATCCAACGGTTAGCACCACAACTCTGCCGATTCGAATTTCATTCACCTCAAAACCAGGACCTTTGGATGGAGGAACAAGGTTCAACAATATTCCAAATGTCCTGCGTTGTTCTGTGAGCGTCTTCTCCCTTAGTCGGACCCCAAAAGCTTTATCACCGCGCCGTGTTTCGCCCCGATCGCCAAGTCCAACGGCGTCTTCCCGGCTCTATTGGTGACAGTAGCAGAGGCACCGTATTTCAGCAACAACTGCACAGAGCCAGCACGTCCCTCCTTGGCTGCGATGTGGAGTGCTGTCCAATTCCCATTGTTTCTCTTGGCGACATCTGCCCCCTTCTTGATCAACAACTCCATCACCGTTTCGTGTCCCCTCTCTGCTGCCTTATAAAGTGGCGTTGCACCATCATCATTTTCCGAGTCCACCACGGCGCCAAAGTCCAGAAGCTTTCGCGCAACGGCTAGTCTCCCGCAGTATGCTGCCTTGTGTAAGGGTTGCCAACGCTTGATTTGCCGTGCATGAACGTCGGCCTGCGCATTAAGTAGTATCGCTGTTACCGCATCATTAGCATTGTCAGCTGCAAGATAGAGTGGCGTCGATCCATCGGCGTTTCTTGCATCAATAGCTGCACCCCATTTCAACAACAATTGTACCACTTCAACATGTCCGTTCTTTGATGCTGCATGAAGGGGTGTCCATTTCGTGTTCAGCTCTGCGTTAACATCGGCCCCCTTCCGTAGAAGGACATCTACCGCTTCTCTGTGTCCCTTTTGTGCTGCCAGGTATAGTGGTGTTGATCCGATCTCACTCCTCGCCTCTGGCTTAGCACCGTACTTCAGAAGCTGCAGTATTGTATTTACACGCCCACGGGATGCTGCCTCGTGAAGCGGTATCCATCCATCCTTCGCAGCAATGTTAATATCTCCCCCATTTTCTATCAATAGTCGAACTGTTTCGTCGTTCCCCTTCTCTGCTGCCTTGTATAATGGTGTCGCTCCGATGTTAGTCTGTGCGTTGATGTCGGCTTTAGAGTTAATTAAGTATTGCACTACCTCCTCATTACCACGGTATGCCGCAATATGCATTGGCGTCCAACCATAATCATTCCGTGTGCAGATACTCGCACCTTTTTGCCTCAAAAATTGAAGAACGACAATGTGTCCCTTTTCCACAGCCTTATATAATGGTGTCCCTCCATGGTTAGTGATCCTTGCTTCGATGTTAGCCCCGTGGTCCAACAACATCTGTACCGCCGTAAGATGTCCTTGAGAGGCGGCGCTGTGTAGTGGGGTCCATCCCGTTGAATTCTTTGCTTCGGTGTCTGCTTTGTACTCGAACAAAGTTGGCATTACCGATTCATGTCCGTAATAAGCAGCTTTGTGAAGTGCCGTCATCCCTTGGAACTTGGCATTAACGTCAACCTTATTTTCCAGTCCTCTGCGAATATTCGTTTCAATACCATACATTGCTGCTCTGTGAAGTGCAGGGATTCGACCATCGGAACCTCGAATCGGGTTGAGGTCGCGGACTATATTCTGTGGGACTTCGCGGAGGAACGCCTTGGCATATCCTGCCGCCATCGCCGCGGCGTATTCTTGCCATATGTCGTTCTTATGAGAGTCCGCATAGTCGGCGATCCCTCGAATGACGAGACATGGGAAAGTGTGGTTCATCAAGCCGGCCGCTTCCATCTCACAACATAGCACCCCATACTTTTTTATTAGTGTCTCCCGTATTTGAGCATCCTTAATGACTGCGTTTCCAGACGCGATTGTCCCATAGAATATATAAGGCCCATTCTTCCGGTGACCGGGATCTCGTTCCATTAATCGTAGACCATCCATATCGTATAATTTGTCCAACTCATCACCAGGATACGGTTTTGAGGAAAGGCTTCCAAGTTCAGACTGTTGAGTACCATGACCCGGCATTAAGTTGAGTATTGCCAATAATTTCTCAGGGGGGGCATTAAGTGAGCCGATACACTTAAACCCGTTAGTCGTCCACTTTCCCATATCATACTGCACAACTCCACCATATTGTCCAGCTGGTTTACTAACCACCACATCACCAAGTCGAATATCATTCTTGTCATGGGGTAGTCCACCTCCAATACCCACTAGTAGGCCGATCTTGATATTTGGAAACTTGCTCATCATTCGGCTGGCAACTGTAGCTGCCATATTCGTACCTATCCATCCCATAGGCAGACAGACAAGGACAACATTCAAATTGCCGATCCTACCCAAGGTATAGAGATTATGATCGTGCTCATCCCCAAATCGACGCCCATAATACTCATCTAGTATCTGTTGAGCCGCATTGAGCTCCAACTGGAGGGCGCATATCCAGCCTGCCGTGAATTCCTGATCGGGTGGTATCGTGGTCATATTGGTCCATATCAGGACCTACGCCACACAGGAGGTGCCGACAGATCGGATTGCTGTATTGTATTGCCTAACTGTAGTTCCTATAGATAACGACTCAACGCTTAGAGAAAGAGGAAGAACTAATCCCCACCTGAGTTGGGTAGGGAAGAGCTCTTATAACTTCCCCTCTATGCTGTCACGCGGAGTAAGCGTAAGGTGGGGTAGTTGCGTCCACCGGAGAGCCTCGTACTCCCAGCCTTGTCCGCTGACAGCCTTGTGTACAATGTCCAACCGTCCTTTGCACACTTGTCCAGTCTTGCCTACACTTCCCTCCTGAATTGGGTGGGGAGTGTATGGCTCCTTGGGCGATTGTCTGTGACAGTCCAGATGTCTTAGGCGATTAGTGTTTGTATTTGAAGATGTTTGGAAGATGTCCCAGTTTTAGAGTCAATAAAATTAGTTCATATTGTAATGGGAAGAGTCAGTCAGGTTACGTGCCTGTACACTGTACAGGGAGGCAATGGTGGCTCCTGAACGGACGGATGTCTTTGGCACGATTCTTGGTCGGACACTTCGTCTGAAGCTGGCCCGCCTTCCTTCTTCGCCAGAAGAACAAGCTTGTGTGGAACTGGCTCTGCGGACGCCGAGGAAGAGAATCCCCAGGAAAATGGGTACCACGAACCGGCTGAATACTTCTCCCATTGTTCACCACTTAGTTATGTCGTTTGTCTCGAGACCGCACACACGCGGAAATGCACTCGGCTGCCACAGTTGGCCGATTCCTACCTTCTCAAGAGTCCACGAAAGACACACCTTCTCATTTGTCTCGACTTCGACGTCAATGGCTCAAATAAAGCCACTCTTTTGGCATGGAGACGCAGTGTTCAAGTCAGTGTTTCATCACCACTCCGGCCCACTGTCGCAACCGCCGACTCTTGGTGTCTAGGACCTACAAGCTGAGGACTGCACGCTAGGTCCAGGGGAACCTTGGCGCATCGCCTTGCTCGATATCGCGCGACTAGACCTTGTCCCCCTCCCAATGCGCGATAACGCTGTCGAAGTCTCGGTTGAAAAACTGAACGAAATCCAGGAGCTGGCAAAGGCTGCAAGCCGGTTGGTGTGTAGTACCACTTGACGGTGAAGAGGAGTAGGTTGCAACGTGGTTGGAGCATATCGATCTTTAATCATCCGAACGAGAGCAGACTGACTTCCCAAACTGATTACGAGGCATATCCTCCCACACCACACCACCCATGTACCAGTACTGTTGTGTTTGCAGTGACGGGAGATACCCAACACCTGCTTGAGACGAAGGACCGGGGGGTAATCAGGCTCTAAGAGAATACGGGTCCAACTCAAGTATGTACGAGTAATGGAAAGCACGGCGGAGAACTCTGACGCAGCCAGCTCAGCTGTGTACGATCGATGGCCAAACAGGGACTCAACAGAGCAACCCCGGAGGGGGAAACTGCAACAACAACAACAACCAAAAAACTGTATTGGATAGATAGATGCTGTTGTGGCTGCCGATAGAGCACCATCGTATTCCATCGGATCAGCACGCCAGACCTCATTCTTCCTGTGATCTTGATTATGATGTTGTATCCTGCCCAAGTCGCCAGCCACAGAGCCCGCCAGCCAGCCGGTCAGCCGGCCAGCATTGGTCCAGAGGAGATGCAACGTGCTGGTAGCTGCCACGTCGCCACAGCGTTATTCCTTCCCGACATGCATGCAGGTGTGGTTCACACCCCAGCCCTTGCCAAGCTTTGCCAAGACTTCGGTTCCCACAATGAAATCATTTTCGCTTGACTTGCCCAGATCTGGGCGGGAACTGGCGCCGTAGCCCACTACTATTATGATGGCGTCGCTTTGCTTATACCCACTCACTGTATGTACCTGCCTACGACTAGACTACTGCAGTACATCCACACGACTGAAGTACTTACTATACTTACTATATGAGCGGCATACAACTGGAGGCTTTCTCAGACTACAGGGCAGGATGAAGAAACTCTATTATTATCTGCCAGGCGTGTTGAACGACGTCGAACGAAACCAGCTTTGGAACATAGAGAAAGACATGAGAAGACGAAAGAGAAGGGAACTGGATCATCAATTGATCTTCGTATTGTGAACTTGTTTCTAGCTCCTGCGAAGAAAAAGGCACACCTTGGTACCTTGGCCACTGTCGGCCGACATCGTTATTGTTGATGTTTGACGTTGCAGCGTCTGCTGCTGCTACTGCTGTTTGCCACCCACCCTCCCTTCTTTCAAGAGCTTATCAACCCTACTCCTGCTGCTGCTGCTGCTGCTGCTGCTGCTGCTCCTCCTCCTGCGCGGTGTAGTGGGCCTCAGCTCGCTGGTGGTGCTGGAGGGCGATGTTGACGAAGTAGTTCAGGTCGGACGCCGAGATGTGGATGCCGGTGTCGTGCCCGAGGTATTTCGGCGCCGCGATCAGCGGTTTCACCTCCGCAGGGATCATGTGGTCTGGGCAGAAGTCGCTGAGGCGCAGGTAGAGGCCCTTGCAGTCCGGGTTCATCGTGCCCTCGCCATGACGGAAGTTCTAGAGGTTGGGAGGAAGCGTGTATCAGTATTGTAAGTAAAGTAAAGACAGGGAGGGAGGGAGAAAGGGTGCAAGGAAAAGTGAAATGAGATGACAAGGGAAAGCGAGAAAGAAGGGAGTGATGATGTACCTCGTCGACGACCAACTCGGCCTCGGTTGCACCCGCCAAACCCTCCTTCTCCTTCCAGACCATGATCTTGCCCTGCTTCGCCGCCGGATATTCAATCTCCAAGCCCACGACGACTTTGATCTCACCAGCGGACTTCTGGATGTACTGCTGCGCGAGCTCTGCAAACGGCAGCGTCTGCGCGGCGTAGCTGGCCTCGATGACCACCCCCGGGTAGTAGGCGTCTGCGTGGGCAAAGGCGAGATCGGGCACGTGCCAGCTACCCTCGTTGGTGAAGTCGACGGCCAAGTCGGTGCGCTGCTTGATCTTGACCGCGAAGTCGGCGATGCGCTCGTCCGGGTGGTACTTGCGGATGCGCAGGTCGTTGGTGATGTTGTCGCCGACGTTCCAGACGAAGATGGTTTGGAAGATGGTGCCCATTCTGATGGCGATTTTCCGCGCGGTGGAAAAGTAGTCGTGTCTATGGATGAAGGACGCGCGCGTTAGCAAGAGGTGGCTTCATCTCGAAGAAATCTCATCGAGGCAGAGAGAGATGGGAGCGGGGGGATCAAGTTTTCATCATCACGCTTCAGGCGTACCTCAACTGGCCGAAGCCCCAGCTGTCCTTGAACTCCTTGAGAAACGCTCTGTGAGCGTCGATGGTGAGAGGGAATTCGTGGTAGGTGTTGGTGAAGGTGGCGGTGTTGCGGATGTCAGTGGGAATTTGGCTGATGGCGAATTTGGTTTGTGTGTCCTGGTCACTCTCGGCGCCAGGGGGAGCGTTCGCGCCAGAAGCGTCATCAGCGCTGCGGAGCGCAGTGACGGCGATGGCAGAGGCAGTGGCAGAGGCAGAGAAGGCGTCGGGGTAGTCGGAGACGACGACGACGCCTGTCTCCTGCGCCGACTCTTCTGGCATGCGAGCAAGAGCGGCGGTCAGCTTGTCCACCAACGCTGAGGTGCGATCGTTGTCCATGGCAAGGATAAGAATTTTAGTGGTTGTTGTTGTTTTTTTGTGAGGCAAACAAGAAGAAAGAGAGGATGAAACGGTAGGTGTGTGAGGGTATTTATGGGATTCACAAAGGAGATTCTATGTCGATGCTGAACACCGGGCGTCTGTGAGGTGCAAGTTGTCCACAATGGCGGACTGCATGGCGGCGACGTGGTATACAACGCGGTCGACAACACGGTCGACAACGCGGTCTGGGGTCAACATTGGGCTGGCTGCTGGTCATACGACGAGACATCTACAACATATCGACCATGCTTGTCCTGTATGTTTGCTCGCTACGCCGCTCGACAAGGGACCAGATGGCCTTTTCATCGTCTTCTCCGTGTTTCTCTGTGAGCCAGAGACAGAGCCAGAGCCTCTCTCCGTCTACCAGAGAGCTGGAAGACATGTCCTGCCTGCAGCCCCCGACAAGGATGCCAGCTAAAAGGGGTCGAGCAGCGCTGCACTACCGAGATGAATGCTGGATGGCACACTTCAGCCCCGTCATCAGTCCATCCGACCCAGTTAGCAGCCTCAGGGATTTCAAGATCTACCGGCTCTCGTCTGGCTATATCCACTCCGCTGCGAATTTCAGGAGCAAACACCCCAGATATGCCAGGACAGCGGGAAAACATGCCGCTGCACAGAATAGCTGGAGACTCACACCTGGCAGGGCGTCGATACACCTTTTCTACGACCTCTGCCAGACAACCGACATGCATGCACCTTTGCCACCATCGTCTGCCATCCAGAGTTGGTCAGTTTGCATGTCGCTGAGCCCCTGTCCCAGATCGACTGGTAGCCACCCCCCGCCTTGCTCGGCCAGGAGAACCAACACCAAATCGGCTGCTGTGCAGATTCTTGGGGGTGCACGCAGGATCTGTACCACGTCCCGGATTGTCAAAACGCCGCTGCACCTGGTCACCAACGATAAAGGTCTGCTGTGTTGGTGGCCTCGGTCATGTCCATCCAGCATCTCGGCAGCGCTCAACTTCCAAGAAGCCATCCAGGCGTGCCCTGCTCCCTTCTCCTCGAGAACATTGTATGGCCCACACTGGGTTGAACGGGCTCCTAGACTATCCCATCATGGCCCTATCAGATCCCACAAGACGCAAAGCGAGACAGCATGAGGACAGCCTCGTCCACCAACCGTGACTCTGACTCTGCCACTTGACTCCATCCTTCAAGCAGCACCCGCCCACAATACTCAGTATGATGATACTCACCCGTCACATTATCAAGGGGACCCTTGCGCAGCAGTGCGCGGTGCATTTCCGCCACATGTACACGCAGTGGAGTCCTGCTGCGGCGATAGGGTGACGGCGTTGTCGTTGGTGGTTGTTACTGCTTCTCGCACCACTCTGGTCCAACCACGAGCCCGTCGAAACTTTTCAGATTTCCACGTCCTTGACATGAGACCTTCCCCTGCGGTCCTATTTTCAATAAGTCAGAATCAAAGATCCGTCTAGGCCTCTCGTGTTTTGCATGGCAATTCACCTGTTTAGCTGAACCGTGAGATTTTCCTGAAATGGCTCACATAAGACCAAGCAACCTCAAACAACGAAAGTTGGGAGACGAACGCCGTGAACTTCTTTCATAACACATTGGTGTGTAGAATGACCTTTGCTGGAGGCCAGGGCGATTTCCATTCCAAGAGAACAATTTAGGAATTAAAGTAGTCCCCGTCGCGGGTCCGTCTCAAGCCCAAAAGAGTCTGATTTGTATAGATGGAAATTCATTCCGTGTGTCTCAGCGAGGTCCTACGGAGTGGATAAAATGTTGGGAGGCTGTTTCGTCGACCCTGACATTGGCAGATGCGTCGGATTCTATCGTCTCGGTATGGAAAAGCTATATCGGTGCTCGAAGGGACACTATCTAACAATGTGTACGGCTACAATGTCCTGAAATCAGCTTCAGTGCCAAAATTGAGCAGCTTGAAAACGAACAACGCTCGCCTTTTCGATGAGCTATGTCAGTGGAAAAGATAAAGCGGCGGCTGTATCCAAACACAGAAAACATGCGGAAGAAGAAGCGTGTCACCGATATGACTTGATTCATCAACAGCTTCGAAATCAGATTCGGGACTATTCTGATGCGGCAAATCGCCTCACAGGCTGCGTTAGGAGCTGCTGCTGTTGGACGAGTAGTGGCTGGAGCGCCTTTGTCCAGTTCGTTTCAGGTGTGAGAACTGAGAGATTCGGAGAATACGGCTTGTCTAGTGACAACAGTCCGGTTCGGATATCCAACGACTTTCGGAGGCGAAACATCTACTCGTATGTCTGTCGTCCATTGATACCAGTTCGGTCGGTAATTTGGGGACCAGATGTCCTATTTCCTCAAACAAGTCCTCTTTCAGGTCAATTCGCTTCCCGTCACTTAGGACACAAAGTCGTCGTACTTTTTGTGCTTCTGGAGATTTCTGCTTAGGAGTTGATCAAGTTCCGTGGAGCGGTGATGCTATTATCATATCAGCGTGTGGAGGTAGGGAAGACGAAACCAGGTGATTAATTACCTTTGCTCCCAGACCCAGTTCTTCCAGCCTTTGGATAAGGCTGGGACTAGCGACATCATCTTCATCTGTCCACTGGCACGTAATTCTAACACCTTCGGACGTGAATTTCGTCACTGGCCCGTGTTCTGCACATTGCCTCAGATTGTCCATGCCGAAGCCAGAAAGTCGCCGGCCTGCGAGAAAATTGGCAGCAACCAGAAACGTAGTATCAAACAGATACTTTCGAATCATTCTCTTTAGGGGTTCTTTGTCTTTGTCTGTTCGGGCAAAATACATTGGATGGAAGCTGTTGATCTTCACTATTTTATGGCCATTCCGTAGACCAGATAGAGAGAGATCCCCGCTTGATTCCACGGATGAACAGTAATCAGCGGCAAACCTGTTTCCCACATCGGACGTCTGGCATTGACAGATCAGAACAAGGTCTGGACGCAGCAAAGTCAAAATTTCTTCAGTTGCCTCGTAAGCTGGTTCATCATCGGCAATGCGGTCTTCCTCTTTTTGTTGCATTCTTATCCTATCGCTGCGATACGGCCTGATATCGAGCACAACAGTATTGTCCAGATCGCGTCGTCCATCGAATGCAAGACGGAGAGAGTCATTAACATATTTCAGAGCAGTAGAACATTCAAGCATCTCATGGTACGAGACCTCCTCGGCCTTGTCGCTTGGTTCGAGAAGCAGAACCACAAGGTCCCTGTAACCGGTTGCCAATCTTTTTGCATTTTGTCGCGCATGTTGAGTGACACCCAACCTGACCGCAAGGTCATCGAGAGGCGCAAGGTGTTTCTCAGTTATTGTGCAATCACGCTTGCCAATTCCGCACCGAAGGCTCCATAAAGCCGGGGGGATGTCCTCCAGGTCGGTGAAATTAAATGATATGCTTGACATCTTAGATGCTGCAACGAATCGAAATATCCGGCTTTTATCGATAAATTCGCTCTGACTCTCATCGCTCGAGAGTACTGCGCCTGCAATAAAGAGTTGGCTGGCATGCGCCCCCTTGGCCGCCAAGAAAGACCCCGGCCACCACTGTGTCGGTAATGAGGATATGGAGCGTATCAGGCTATTTCCGACTTTGCTCACAAGGACCGAAACCAGAATAAGTGCCTGATGCCACGGAGAGCCGAGGTGTGGTCGGGATATACCAGTGAGACGATCAAAGGTCTCTTGACTCTAGTCGACGATGATGACCTCCCTCCCCTTCTCCCTTCCCTCTTTCACGCATCGAGGACGAAACCTACCGGCGCACGTACGCGGGGAGCAGTGTTTTTGTTTGTTTGTTTGTTTGTTTTGTGCGTTTCTCAGCCTAGCATCATCAAGTATACCGCCGGAAAAAAGGGTTCGGATTCTATCGTGAGCAGTAATGAAGCGGAAGCGGAAGCGGGGGTTGATATCGGTGGGTTGACGGGGGAAGGAGGTCCGCGGACGAAAAACCCAGAATGGAAGACTTCCTGACCCTGAGGGAAAGAGGGATCGGTGAGGAGAGGATGGGCATCTTAATCGTCATGTGTCCAGGGCATTCTGGTCCGTAAGGAGAATGCTAGGTAGGTAAGCAGGGAGGTAGGCGTGCTAGCTCCCGATGGACCAACGTCTTGGAGAATCGGAGCGATCCGTCAGTGCGCGAGGGTCGAGAAGGCAAGAGCGTAGTCAAGTTCCAAGTCAAGGACCAGAGGGACACGAAGAACAGCACGGAGAAAGCATGGCCGTAATGAGGAAGGAGAGCATCAAGAAGCAGAAGCAGAAGCAGAAGCAGAAGAAGGGAGAATGCTGGAATGTGAACATCAGATTCTTATCTGCGCCCCGATACGTACAACGCTAGCGACGAGGCAATCGTCTCGTCGTCTACGTAGCTCGTCGTCATGAGTGTTGACGACTCGTCCAAGGGAAAGAAATCGATCAGAAAGCCGACTGGGCGTGCGACCATTCATTCGGCAAGATCCAATCGCTCGAGCACGAGATGAACGCAGAAACGAAGCCCATGACCAGAAATCCACGTTGGCGTTTGAAAGGAATCTCATGGCGAGGGACAGCGGACTCGGGTTCCCATGTTATTTCCTCTGTGTGCATGTCCTGTGTATTTCGAACAGGTACCACCTTGTGCGCAGGAATTTGAACGCGATTGCAAGGCGAAGCCACGGAGCTCCATGAGACGACTCTCAAGAGCTCGCTCCCACCCCCATCTCCTCCTACCTGTCAAATGATCCTTGCCAACATGGTTCACACTGCCTGAGTCTGGACCAGGCCGAAAGTGGCCTGCCTGCGAAGCACTCTGGCGAGTCGACTGTCCCAGTCAGTTCCCATGGGGCATGTGCATGTCGAGGGCCTCTGAGCATAGCCCAAGTGGTGAGGGCCCAGCGCATTCGGGCTGGGAGGGTTGACAACATGAGTCTCGAAGGAAAGGACGTCGGCTGTGCTGGAGGGTGGGATCGCAAGTTGATTCTTCAAGTCTCACAGATGTGCTGCAGGGAAGGACTGATCATGACGACGATTGACTGTGCAGACATCGCGTGCTGAGCACATCCTCACACCCAAGCAACTCAATATTGCGATCACGCTATGGAAATTCGCGGCGGGGTTTGGATGCAGAATCCCCAGGATGTGCAACGCTTCAACAGACTCAGTCCTCAAAATGTCGCACAGAGACCACAGGCGGTGTAACCCCAGGGCGGGGGATGGGCAGTGACAGCTGCGTCGCAGCAATGAGGTGGATGTCGTGGAGCACAGGGAGTCTGATGTTGAGCATGATTGCGAAGATTTGGCTCGTTCGAGATTCTATTGCTAATTAGCATAATCGAGCCAGATCAAGCATGAGCGGTCTGATAAGCAGATGCTGTCGTGAACGACGACACCGGACAAGCTGCAAGCCCTCGCTCCCACACGCATTAGCGCCCTTGGCCACAACGGAGGCAAAACATTGCCACGAGGGAGAGGAGGAGGGATGGGATCAGTCGTAGGCATCGGTGACATGTCTCAACACATCGATGATGATCAGCGTCGACAGGAGGAACACTGAGGCTTGAAGCCGAGTATCCTGGAAGTTTCCAGATCTTCAAACGTGTTGTGCACAACAAACCTTTCGGGGACAAGCAGACGCAGGTGCGGTTGAAGTGAGAGGATCATCAACTCGGCGAATGGCGCACACGCAACCAGGATCGACCGGGCGGTTCGATCATCAAAAGTGCTCGATCGCACGGACTTCTCTGGGAAGCTATGGCTGTCGAACCACCTTGACGCTGCTCAGTCGGAGCGCGCCGATCGCAGCCCCAACAAGCTGAAACAGGCTGCTGCTCTCGTGTCGTTCGAGCCCAGTCGGAAACGCTGTCGAGGCAGAGTGTGACCTGGACCGTTAAAACGGGTTCTAGGCTCGAAGTCGGAGGATTCGGTTTGACTGGTATGACATATTTGCGTCCGTGAAGCTTTGGGTCTGGGGATCCCCACGATCTCGAGAAGGATTCTGGAGCAGATGTTCGCATTACCTATGCTGTGACGGAGGGATGAGGATCTCCGACAGCATAGGAACTGGTGGGAGGTTGTTGTTGCATCGAGGTGATCCCTGGAAAGATGGAAATTTTCACATGTCAAACGCGGCTCGCATGGAAAATTTCCAAGCTGGACAAATCACGTAAGAGAAAGAGGCTGCAAGCAAGAGACCTGGGGCGACTGCACCCCGCCATCGCTGCAGAGATCAGTAAGGGATCTTGTCCCAACAAATTTTGGAGGCGCTTAGACGGATATGATGTGTGACATTTTCTGTCTCTGATGGCTGGTGGTCGTGCGCCTTGCGTTCAATGTGAAGCATGTGCAACACGACAAACGGCGAAGGATGATGAGCGCTCTGGTGGCGGAGGACTTTGGGTCCCCAAGGGCACGCTATTTCTGGGCCGATATGATAGTGGCAAGCTGCCAGTCAGCCATACCCACCAGAGAGGAGTGATGGCGCCAGTGTGGCTTGCATAAGTCTTGGTATCAAAACGGACAGCAATTCTGAACATGCCAGCATCAGGCAGTCGGACGGTGGAGTTGATAATGCGCCGAGTCTGGCGGATTCATGCACGCAAACCTGGAGAAGGAGACGCAACGATACCCACCGCTCTCTGTTTGAACTGTTCGGGAACATTTGACACAGACCAGTCGTTCAAAATGTTTGCGGAGTGCATATTCACACCGCCAGCGGTCAAAGATGGTGGATCCAGTAGAGGTCGAGACCTTCCCCCAGTGGAGATGTGTCATGGAGTCGTTTGCATTCGAGGATACTGACTCTGGAGAATGGAGACCCGACGTTAACAGACCGGAGACGAGACTCTTGATGCTGCATAGAATGTTGGGGATATCGCCTGCCAGCTGGCCGCCGTCGAGTGGGACTGCCCATTCTGTGTATGTAATGTATATGTATAGGCAGACCCCGTGTTAGAGGGTTGATGTGGCTTGTCCGTGCAATTTGCCACCAGAACGGTTGAGAACGGCACGTTACGAATATCTCCGCGCAGTGGTTTGCTTCGGTAGTGAGGGCGGCAGCATATGTTGCGTCTTACTATGCTATTCTGGCACAAGGCGGCATGAAAAAATTTGATGGCAAAAATTAATGCGCGCCCACGCCGCCCCAAGGAATCTCCGTGGTGGATTGGCGTGCCTGGTGTTTGCACCGTTTGCAGCGTTTACTGGGTATGGCTCACGGATCCTTCCCCGCTCGGATGCTCCGTACGGCTAGCGTCAAGTTTCTCCGGCTGGGCCAACTAGCCGAAAGCAGATCCTCCGATCATGTGACCTGCCTGCGCCCCAAAAAATGCACATGCTTCAAACGTGCGAATTCCAAACATACTGTCACTGATAACAAACTCATCTGCGCCTTGATTTCTGTACCACCTTAGCGCCATTGACGCCATTCATTTATCCATGTATTAATAATGGTGATACCGATGTGTTTGCCACGTATACTTTCTCGCTATCGAATAAGCGACTACCTTTGATGCCGTCCTAGGCTGCCCGTCCTCCCATGTCGAGAAACTCCCCCCGTCCACTCGATTCGAGAGGATCCTTCCAGGGATGCGCTGAAAAGATGGATACCACTATGGAGTGACCGGCAACTAAAACATGGAGGGTGGTCAGGTCATGGTGTCGACACGGCTTGTCAACAGGGAGGGGGTTTCCCCTCCCAGCGCGCAAGGGTTTCATTCTCCTGTATCCGAGGCCTCACCCGCCGCAGGGTCTTCTGGCTGGACTTTAAATTGCCCTGCGCTTAAGGGATTTTCAACTGGCACAGTCGATCACCAGGGTTTCTAGGCGATGGAGGGGAGGAGGCGAGCAACCCACCCCTCCTTGACTCGACAAGAGGAGGGGTCGAGGCCAGGCAAAACTACTGTAACTGACATGCAGCTACAAGACAAACTCCGTCTCTTTGCATAACAAGATTGCCAGCTGCCCGGGGAGGCTCCAAGCGTGCAGCACAGTGTCCTCTATACCTCCTCCACAACTTCTCCTGATGAGGGTCTTGAAAGGGGCTTGTGGAGACACCCGCATACCTGTGGACGGGCTTCAACTCGAGGGGCACTACCGTCTTCCCTTCTGAGACGAGCAGGAGCGAGCATGCACTCCAGATTGGGGAGGAGAGTCAACGCAAAAGATGTTACAATATCCACCTCGTACAAGATAGCACGTTAGAGATGTGCCATGTAGGTCGGCAAGGAGTCAGTGCAATACTATTGTTTGATTGAAGCTCAGCAAGAACTCTTTCCAGATAGCAGGCGGTTTGGGAGTCTCAGGTGTCCGTCTATCTGTGACCGGTGTGAAGCCCCGGCCGGTACCACTATCATCAGGGCAACCTTGGGTGGTTCGATGCTCGCCGACGTCTCGGCGACGAGCATTCTGTTGTCCCCTCAAACTTGAACATGTCCCTTGTTGTTTTGAAGTTGAAATAGTAGCGCTTGTCACAAAAGGGAAAACAACCCTTGGAGCTGACTATGCTTTGCGCTGACCTGGACTCCTGGAACGAGCCGGCATCCGTGCGCTTCAGTCAATTCACAAAATGGAAACGCTGGAAGGGCGTAGGTAAGGCAAGGGACACCGAGAAATTGCCCCCGATAACTCCCACAGTGGTGTCTGTCGCATCGCACCATTGGCAGTGCTGTGGCTGTTCGACATCGCTTCACTCTTACTCTGTGGTTCGACGAATTCTTCGGGTGTTGGTTGTCGGAATCGCTTACTACTTTAGTCCAGGTATGCTCGTACGGCGTACGGCGTACCTGGGGTGAAATGGCTGGCACGGTAGCCTCGGTCCACGTTGATTCACCCTCCATCCATTTGGATGGAACGGGTGCAAACATACACTTTCTCGATACGAGGGCACACCTGCTCCAGAAGGGGGCCCTTCAGTAGTTGACTCAGGATGCGACAAGGCAGGGTGACAGTTAGCGCGTGCATAAAGGTGGAAATTCTCCCACAAGATAGAGGTTGACCTCCGCAATGCGTGGCATTGATTGGTCCTGCGTCCTATACCGCCTTTTGGGCCGTGGGGGTTACATTCTTGGTGGACGCCTATGAGGTGCGTACCTCCGAAGGACTGCCTGCCACGGCCCATGGGTTCTCGAGGTGTTTGACATATCCCACAGACCTTTATGGCATCCTATCTTTCCGTCACTCGGGTCCGCAACATGACGGTGCGCCGTGGCAAGGAGGCAGTCAGATAGCAGAGTTCTGTGAGCACAAATACACCACGCATTGTACGTCATCTTTTGAGGAGGCTGTGACGGGCTTCACGGAAGGTGAGCACTTTAAAGGGCATCATCTTTCTGACGGAAATCTTGCAGGATGACAAAAAAGGTACGTACCTGAGGTCATTGGATCTATGTATATTTCCGTGACTGCCGCCAGATCCGGTATGAAAATGCATGACAAGTCAACGTAATCTTCTCACAGATGGGGAAGGTTCCCCCAGGATGCGCAAAGCCACAATCTCTGACGCGAGCAGGCTCAAGAGCCCGTGTCAGGGAGGCCGGTATGATTGGAGCAGATAATCTTCTTCACCGCCTTGATGGAAATTTGAGCCAGGTGCGCCGTCAGCGAGTCAAATGATGGAAGGCTCCTCACCGCCCTGCTAGAGTCTCCCCAGAGAGCGGTGGTGGCCTGTGGCGCTTTGGGACATGGTCGAATTCCAATCCCAGTGGTCACTGGTCAGCGGCGTCAAATTCTCCAGGCTGTGCGTCGCCGGGCTCGCTAACCTGTCGCCTGCTTTAGATTCTCGCGGGGTAAGATGAAAAGACATTCGACCATCGTGCTTTCGCGAGGTCGCCAATAATGACGATCGCATCCATGATTGTGGTAGGCGTGCAGCTGGCAGTTATTTTCTTTTTCTTTCCACCACTAACCAACCTTTATCGACGCCTCACTCGTTGAGCCCGCATACAAATCTTGGTCTCGTGATGGCGGTCTGTAGGAAATGAGAGCCGCTAGATGCATTTTTGCAGCAAGTCATGATGTCGTGATGTTGTGGCAGGGACAAAACCTTGGAATATCGAAAACTTTCGCCCACACCGCGTCCCCAACGGTGCTCATGACCTTGACCTAGAGTCGAGGTCGGATGTATGATCCGGGGCTATTAAACCACGATGGACATTTTCACATCTCCATGCAGCTTTCCAGAGGGGGAAGTTGTGGCAGCCGAAGTGATACGGCCGGCGGCAGTCTTATTAGATGTAGAGATTGGTTGTGCGGAGTCTCTATGCAACTTACTATGGACGGCCCTTTGCTCCCGCCTGGGACGGGCTCTGGGCTGGGTCATGAGCTGGGTCTGTATTTCGACAAGATCGTCGAGGCCAATGGCTTACGGTGTAGCCTACGTCTAGCCAGAGGTGCTGTTGTGAAGGTTCCGGGGGGGCAGTGGGCAGGAGAATGGGCTTCCCACGGGCGTGTCCCAGCCCAGGTGCTAACTGGCCTGAACCCCCAGGGCCCCCCCCGCTGGGAGCTTAGCATCTCACGGTGATTTGAGGCCCGCCCTGATCCTATGAGCCGCCTGGGGTATCCCGCCAGTGTCCGGTCCTTGAACTTGCGGAAAATCTTGATTTTGCTGGCCACGAATGCCACCCCTAACCGGGGCAGATCTGCGCTGCCACGCGAAGGATTGCCAGGTACACAAGAAGAGCGGCCGAAAAGATCCTCAGGGCCGCGGTGGGCGGCCACCCTCCGCGCAGAAGGGAGGTATGCCCTGAGATTTATGCCCTTTGCTCGGCCCGGGAGGGAAGGTGTGACTGGGTGCATTCAGGTAGAGGGAGAGGCTCTCATTGGTCTCGCGAGTGCGAGTGCCAAAGTGCCAGGTCGACGGTTTGCGTGGAAGCGAAGGGTTCGTTGCGTAGGAGGCGGTCTTTGAGAGCCAGACAAGCGTGGGCTGGTGCTTGGTCGTGCTGGGGAATTGGTGCTTAGGCTTACAGGCTCGTGGTTAGACCGGGTTAGGGGCCTTGACGCGACCTCTAAGCAAGCAAGCGGGACAGTCAGCTTGTGCCGCGACCTTCACAGCCAGTCAGTACTTTGTGTCTCCGTACATACACTGGGTCTCATGTTTCATTTTGCTACCAGAACTCCGTCCTGCGGACAGGGTGTTGGTGTACAATGTCGATCCATGACCATGTTGGACATGATGAGCCGGGTATTCTATGCGGAGGGAGGTCTTTGCGACGAGTACTCGGGCCCATGGACTGTACAATACCAAGTTCCGCACGGCCGCCGAGGCATCATGGCAGTGAGCCGGAAATGCTGACTGTGCTTCGGTGTTCTTTTTTTTTCTCTTCACCCTCTTTTCATTTTTGGTGGCATGAGTGTTCGTAATTCGCCCTGTTTGTGCGCGAGCGAAACTGAGCGGGAAAAGAATGCGACGCGCCTACAAGGACTTGGCCTGACGCGTGCCGGGGATGTGATTGGCCGGAAGAGTGAGCCGTGCGCCCAGCATTTCCGGCCAATAGCAGCCCGTCTTTCTGCCGGTTCATTTGCTGGGCGCCACTGTCTTTTTCGCTTCTCGTCTTTTGAATTTTTAGCTCTTGTCCTTTCCTCTTTTATTGCTTTTGGCGGGGAAAACTTGAATGGCATTGTGGACAAAACTCAGTTCAGTCAATAATTATTATTCACTGAGGTTCTTCTATTTCCGGCTGGGAAGTGCCGCGTGCGATACCTAGACACGCAGACAGCCAAAAAAAAAGAGGACAAGCTCAGACCATCCTGTGATCCTGTCCCCCAGCCCCATTTCCCTTCCTCTGGTTTCTTCGCCTTCGAATACCCGCCGTCTCCCGTGAACGGCTCTTCCGTTTCCGGTGGGGAGCGATAGAGGGGAACTGGGTGCTGCGTGCGTGCAATCATGTCTCCTGCTGGAGCCCACGGGCTTCTTATACAAGCAATTATTAAAGGTTGTGGTGCAATCGGGTCATAGCTCGCACGAGTTGTAACGGAAGATTCGCTGAGAACATCATCGCATGATGTTTTATATGCTCGATGCGGTCTTCTGCGGCTTTTTCCATCCACCATGCTCCGAGCATTCCCGCCACCAATACTCTGCGCACATTGCTGGTAACTCTTACTCGAGGGTATGTCCGATAGCGGACTGGGGAGGGGCAGAGGAAGCAGATATCTTCATATTACATAGATACGCAACATCTCAGCATGGCTGGCTCCTGGGACTCCCTGAGTTGACTTTTTATAAGATCAGACCACGGCGAAATACAGATACCCACACCTTATTTCCTGGGGGGCTTGTACCGTATAGACTCGTACTCGTACACCACAGCCTCCGTCTATCAGTCTCTGTCTTTCTCTCTCTCTTTCTCGCGTGTGTGTGTGTCCTATCTTTTGCCTATCTCTACTCCGGGGCACCCACCTCCCTCCCTTCCTTGTCTTCCGTATTTCCAACCATTTTCGATTGGCAATTCGCTGCCATCTCCAGTCACACATCTGCTCCCTCCCCCATGTCAACGACCGTGTCCACTCGCCATTAGCGTTTCAGACCAAATTCTTAGCCGCAGCGACACCACCAGAGTGGCCGTCGTGTCGTGCGAGAGCGTTGGGATCGCGAGAGTTCAGACGAGTTGCGCCACCCCAAGCCCTCAGTCCACCGCGCACTTTTAGCCTGCGCCCTAGGTTACCCACTACTGCATCTCATCGGACCAGGGTTATCAGTCTTCGCCTCTTCGCTCTGCAGTGGTCGCGCCAGTCATACCCACTCTCTAAAACCAACTCTGGACAGAAACTAGGGCCTTTAGTCCTCCCAGCTCCCAGGTTCTCAGCGCCGCCCCTCCGTTCTCACCTCAACTTGCCCATCCGATCCTCATCTACCGCCCATCCTCCCACCCTCCACCCCCCAATCGCCCACTGCTCAGCGCAGATCCGAGCTTCCTGCTTTGGGCCGCTCGAGACTCAACACCTTTTGGCTTTCTCTTTCGTCGGCCTGCCTTTCCCTCTGGCACACTGGCACACACCACCTCGATTAGCCACCACCACCAACCCCAAAATAATCCCTCTTCCTCCTTCTTAACCTTCCACCACCAATCCTCTCCCCCTTCCTTTCCATACTCTAGGCCTTCACCCAGCCTACCTCTGTGAACGTCTATCCTAGAAGGAATTGGGACACTTGATCACGAACACGGCCAGCGGTATCACGACGGTCGACCTGCCCTGATCTCATTTTTGCCCTTTGTCGGTCACCGATCAGCACAGCAGTCCGGATCTGCGTGGGTGGAAAGTCCCGCCAACAAAGAAAAGAGGAGGATAACAACAGGACCTTGTCACGCCATCTGACTTTGTTCCTGTGTCCGTTGGGTCCTTTCCTGTCACTTTTTGGGGCACTGCAGAAAGAGGAGCAGAACAACAAGTCGTCGCTGTACGGTTGATCTCTGGTCCCGTGGCGATACTAGTGTCTGGCTGCCATTTTGCATCAGTGAAAGTGACGGGCTCTTTTCACCTTGACGAGAACTATTTTGCACCCTTGAACATAACCTCAGTACTTCATTTTCTGCTTGCTTTGTTCCTGCCTGGAGCCTGAAAAAAAAACCACCCCTCCTGCAATTGAATCAGTGAGTACCTTCCCACTCCCCCGTCCCCCCAACTGACGCACTCGTGTGGGTGCGCATGGTCTGGCGCCAACCCTGAAAAGTTGGCATGGCCTCGTCGACCCCAGCGTGGCTGCGCTTATAGCTCACCCGTCATGCCTCTTCCTCGTTCTCTTATCCTCCTCCTACTACACCACGCTCCTACGACTGGCCTTTATCCTTACCCACAATGATTTTGACTTGCTGCTCATATACTGACTTGCCTCGTCCTGTCTCAGATTGTCCTTAACCCTCCCAAAAATTCACATCCGACCTGCTGCAGGTTGCACTTAATGAGCCTCATTGCGCGCTGAAAACCTGCAGTCTTGGTATTGATCGTCCATTCACACGATCGACCAATGCCTTACACGCCGCCAACCCACCACACGCCCTCGAGCTCTAAACAGTCCAGTCCCACTCCGAGTAGGTCACACTCATACATCAAAGGACCTTCTCTTTCTCCAGAGTCTGCCGATCGACCAAACCCGCCTCGTTCCAGCGGCTCCTCTTCATACCTCACCAAGCACCGACGGAGTCCCTCGTTGAACGATGCTGCCAAGATTGAGGTCCTTCACAATGGCGAGGCGTACGAGGTGAACGGGGCCTTTGACCCCCATGATAGTATCCGCCAGTCGCCTCCGCCTGTGACAAATGCATTAATACCTGCAGGGATGACAATATCCCCCCCAGACTCCTCTCATAACTCGAGTGACGAGGATGAACCGGAGCGAGGACGGTCGAGGGATTTCGACGAGGACCTTCAGGCCCTGCAAGAAGCTATCCGGTCGATAGAGCAGAGGAAGGTTACCGGATCTCCCACCCGTGGAGAGGACAGCTCCTCTGCCATGAGAACAGACACTGTGGCTTCCCGCCTTGACGGGACGCAATCCGCAGGGCCTGCGGTCCTGCGACTACCCTTGTCGCAGGAGGCTCGAAAAATCTCACACTCGAGGTCGTCGACCGACTCCAATATTGTTTTCGAATCACCATCAAAGCAAACCCCCTCTCTGGCCCTCCGGCCAGACACTGATGACAGCGACAGCGACAACCCACCCGCTGAGCGACCGGCAATGGTACGCAAGAAGTCAGGTGAGCTCGTCCGTCCAGCTCTTCGACCGTCGTCACGACGGCGGCCATCAAGCATGCCGGGGACACCTACCTATTCCAAAGCCGTTCACTTTGACTCTCACCTGGAACACGTCAGACATTTCCTGCAGGTGGACCGACCACTCGCCGTGAGTGCCGGTTCATCTCCCGTAGAGAACTATGAGAGCGAGACTGATTTCCCGTTTGGATCCGAGGAGTCCAATGCTCGGTCTCGCACACCCTCATATGAATGGGAGATTCGCTTGAACAATTTCCCGAGTGACTTGGAAGCTCGACGGTCACTGCCTGTCTTCGTTGAAAGAATATTCCTGTCGTCGGACAACAAGAACCTCATTGGGACGGTCGCGGTGCAGAATCTCGCGTTCCACAAGCAAGTCGTCGCTCGGTTCACGTTCGACTACTGGAAGACCACCTCGGAGATCGTTGCCGACTACAACAATGATGTCCGCCGGAAGGGCAACCATGATGGTCTCGACCGCTTCAACTTCAGCATCAAGCTCGAAGACCAGGCAAACCTGGAAAGCAAGACACTGTTCTTCTGCATCCGCTACAGTGTCAATGGCCAAGAATTCTGGGACAACAATGCCGGTGCCAATTACCAAGTCGACTTCAGCAAGAAGTCCAAATCGCCACCGACCAAGTCTAGCCCTGGTCTTGGTGAGAGACCGCTCAATGCCTTGCCTCGCAGTCGACCATCACCACCTACCTCTTCTGGAAGGCCCGTCTCGATGCCTATCTCATTCGATGACTTCTCCACCGGCTTTGACAGCTTCGGAAGCTTCTTGCAATCCCCGAGCTCACTGATGGGTGAACCCAAACTCAAGCTGAGGAGTCCCAAGTCCAAATCAGAACTGCTCCCTGATGCTCCCCAGCGCCGTAAGCAGGCTGGGCCGCAAGCATTTGGGAACCGGTATGATTTCAAGACATCGTTGACAGCCGCAAAGAACAACGCATATGCCGCTATGGGCGAGTGGTCTGGCTTGGGTCCAAGGACGAACACAAAGCAGTCTTCCCACGAGGTCTCTGCAACTACTCCTGTGCAGAGTGTTGCGAATGCTGCTCCCAAGCATGAAACTGGCGTCAACGGTGTCAAAGTCGGAGCGAATAAAACCGCTCCTGATGCTGCTGCTTCTGCTGCCGCTCCTTTGACATCCAAGCCGGCTGCTCTGCTCTCTGAGAAACCTTCTCTGAGTTCACAGAGCTACAAGGAGCTCGTAAGTCTCATCCCCTGACACCTTTGATCTTGCGTCTCTCCAGCATTGTTTCAGGATCAGGCTAACAAAGTCGTACAGGTGGACAAGTACTGCTTTGTAGGTACCCGGGGAAAGAGCGAGGAAGTCACGACACATTGATGTGCTAATTCGTTGTTGCAGTTTGGGACAGCCAAGGTTGAGGGGTCGGCGGACTCTACCTCTGCGTCGGAGAGCAATGGAGGCAGTTCGGCTGACTCGTCCGGCTCGACAACCCCCACACCACCTCGAAGTATGTCGCCCGTCCCGGATGCTCAATCGTCAAAGCCGTTTGCGCAGTATGTCGCCCGTTCTTCGTCACCTTTGTCATCTGGCGGATTCTTCGGACCCCGCTCTGGGTCGCCGGCGTCCTTTGGATATCCATACCACTCGGCGACCCAACATACCTTGATGTCCGAGTCACCCACACCGACTGCAATTCAAGGATAACATCCATTTCATCACTCGCAAGCATGCTTGCAATCAACCTGGCCAACTCTGCCCGACGTTGGTCATGGCAGCACATACAGAGACCGATTAATCGATGCGGTCGGACAGTCTTCTGAACGTCGGATGTCCTGGACAGATCCCAGAATACCACTCAGGCAGATGGTTGATACGGGATACCCCGGTTGAGACACCATGGCGACGGCACCTTTTCGTCCGGGGCGGATCAAAATCGTTGCTTTTCTTGTCTGCTGTTCTTTTAGCGACCCAGACAAATTTCCTCACCTTTTACCAGCATCATGCGGATTACGGCACTTTCGTTTTCTCCGGCGGCGTTCGCGAGGAATCCTCCCCACTATTGTTAATAGACGCTCCTCCTCAATTCCAGGCTCGGCGGTAACCTGACGACAATCGCCAAGAGAGTTTTAGACTGGACATTATGAGGAATGGCCCATTGGGCCAAATCCCGCCGAGGAGCCACTGGAAACCGGCAGATCACAAAAAGTTCGATGGAGTTGAAGGCGTCAAACTTGCTTTCTTGTAAACACTTTTTGGGACGAGTTTGGCCGTTGCGGGATAGTTGTGGGATTTCTGGAACAAAGTCGCTCGTCAAATGTCCCTGGATGAAGATCGCGTCATGGAAGGGTCGGTCGCTCGGATTGTATTGTGGCCTGTAGAGAAAGGGCTCTTTTTGTGCTATGGCCTGGCAATTTCGGAGCGACTGATAATGATTCGAAGAAATGATTTGGACGTGATCAAGGCCGAGGTTGGTTCTGTTTTTTTGGGAGGGGACACCAGGCTAGAGCGACTTTCCATATCCTTTCTCTTTTGAATCGAATCAAATACATCATAGTTCTCCTGATTGTGTCTGTCGTGACTACCGCTTCGTCTCAGTCAACTTGGTTAGAGTAAGTAGCCCATGGGCAGAGCACATGTGCGTGTGTGTAGTAAGTAGTGTATGTAGCAGTGGCGACTCAACAATGTGAGGGCGAAGTCAGTTGTCGTTTATTTTGTTGTTGTCCATGCAGTGGCTCGGTCGTCGTTGGCCAAACCTGTGCAGGTTGGGGCGGCGATTGACCCCTTGGGTGTGTATGTGTATACATGTATGCATGTGTGTGGGTGTGTACGCGTGCATATGTATGGACGGGTGGAGGTGGTGATGTATATACCGTGCGTATGGTATGCCCATTGCCCATTGAGGATGTAACATGTGGTAAGTATGCTTGGTTACATGCATGCTCATGCACAGCATCTCGCGTCTCATATGCCATGACATTCAGGAAGCCTGTACGTCGTCCCCATACACAACACCTGGTATCGATGTGTATCCTGGACGCATCATGAGATCATGCGCCATCGCAGCGCCTTCATCTCATGGTGTAGTATAGGTGTGTTGTGGCATGCAAGACTGGCATTGGAAAACGAAGAGGCGGTGGCAGGATACCTGCCATGGATGCCGCCATGTCATCGCTATGACGCGGTCCAGTAAGTAGTGTGCTAATCCAAGGGGCCTTGGGGGCACTGAGCTGGACTGCATGGCGATGCCTTCGTCGAAGTGAGAGCACGGAATGAGCGTCGGCACGTGCGCTGCAGGAGCGATGAAGAGAGGCCTCCACGATAATGATCACGAAGGGGGCAGTGGTTGTTGGAAGCGTGGTGATGAGAGTTGGATGGGAAGTAGTGGTCCTGGCGATAGTGTCCTCCCTCCCAACAATTGATATGGCATGCCGATCGCATTGCGAGATGAGACAGGCCCTGCATTGGCCCAACCTCAGGCGAATCGGTGGTTGCATCCTCGCCGTCTTGATGACCTGTTCCTCCCTCCACACGAACGAGTCCATTGATGAAATGGACATTCCATGACGGTGACGATGAGGGAAGGAATGTTGATGCGCGTGGCCACATCAAGTGTACGTCGACGACGAGGTCCTGTTTGTCGTAGGGGACACCCCTGGTACGCCGACACCGGGAAGGCATCGCTTCCGTGTCCATCTTTGGTGAAAGTCTTCCCGTTCTCAGGTGAAGGCGCGACTGCGGTGTCGACAATGGCATCGCACTCGGATGCCGACGATAGTGCCAGAGGGATGGAGGAAGGGAAGCAGGGAGGAATGTCCGAAAACGACGGAGGGAACAACAATCACAATGCTATCTGCGACGATAGCCTTGATCCACTGCTGCACCAGAGTATGGAGGCCACGACATGCGCCATCATGGTTGAGATGTGGCCCCCGACAGAGATACCCGAAAGTATCTCAGATTGTTTTTCTGGATTGATGCCGACTTTGTAACCAGAAACCCCGATTGAGCATGGCTGGCTGCGGTACGGAGCGGCGCGGGTCCCAGCCCTCAGCCTCATCGGTATACGGTGGCTGCGCCGGCGGCAGCAGGAGCGCGGGTAACTGGCCCTGGACCATGACCTGTGAAAGATGTAAATGCCCCATGCGCACAACGGGCGGGACGTTGGGTCTCTGTTTGTTTGTGTGCACCTTCGACCGCAGCGCAGAGCGACAACAGTCTCACGGTCAGTTGCCTTTCAGCCGATCAGCCAGGTGCATAGGCAAGACCGGAACAGGCACGGGGTTGTGGGCATAGAGTAAGGCCAGGCGCACACCCTCGACCAGAATAGCCTGGGCAGACCAGGTTCCACAAGGTTGAGTATCATCCTGTGGGCGACCGACATGAGGTATATAGAAGGAAGAGGGTGGACAGTGACCGAGAAAAAGGGAGGGAGGAGGGAGAGGGAGAAGAAATACAATCCATCCAAAGGGGGTCGTCAGAAATCAAGGCAACATCACACGCTGGCCATGATATAAAGTACTCAGACTCCCTACACCCTCCCTCGACTGCCGTACCGAATGTGATGAGACCTTGGGCTCTGGCCCCGAGCGAGGGAAGAATGTCGGATGTCAGAACCCACGATGGCGTCGTGTTTGCTGTCCGTGCCTGGCTCGCTGGGTCGGGCTGGACCCTCCCTCCCTTCGATGGGCTTTGTTTCGGGACGGCAGGGTCCAATCCCTGGAGGACAGACAAGCCCAGGTCCAGGGGAACCAAGGGCTTTTGCCCACGTCGACCGTCCTGAGTGGTCGGGGAATGCGAGTTGAGGCTGCTAGGGCCCGAAGAGTGCCCAAAAGGGGTGGATGATAGGCAGGGGCATCGCCCAGAACCTAGCTTAGAGCCACTATTCCTGAACCGATCCGGATCGCCCAAGGGTTGCTCGACGTGGCCCTGCTTGCCTGCTTGTCTGCTTGCCCTGCTCACCCGGTGGCGTGCGGTCCGGATCTCTCCTTTGCTGGCCCTGTTCCGCTAACTTTGGATCAAATCCTGGAATGGAGGGCGACAAGGTCCAAAAGGGACCAGCTGGTCCATTTGCCTCGTGCCATTTGGCGCACCAGAACTCGGGCCCCCTTTCTTATTGAGGGTGTATCGACGATCGATATGCGTCTGTCTGCGGCTGGCTGAGCAGTTGGAGGGCTTTTGGGTTCGTTGGTCCGTGTTGATGAGCCAAAGGGTGGCCGGAGGGCCAATGGTCATTTCATAGACGGATAAGGAGGATCGCATACTCCGTTACAGTGTATGGACAGCCTCAGGTGAAAGGGAAGGGCAGGGAGAGCATAAGAGAGAGGGAAAAGAGGGAGACCAATCTCTCCCCGAGAGGAGTATGGGGGATCTGGCTGAGGATATAGTCAGTCGGTAGAGTAGACCGAGTGTGAGGAGTCCGAGGGAGCAGTGCTCCGTTCCTAGTGGAGGAAAGAGAGAAAAAGACAGATCGAATAATGGGTCCCTGGTCCAGGCGGTACAACAGGTACTCGCAGTCGCAGTCGTGGTCAGCTGTAGCCGAATGGATCGAGTCCTGTCTCTTTCTGATGATCCTCCCCGTTCTTCTGCACCGACGCACCGTCCCTTTTTCGAGTCAGCTGGGCCACGTCCGCTGGGGCTGGATCATTGCAGATATATTAGCCAGCGAGGCTAAATTGTGTGCGGTGACTGGGTGACGGGTTCACTGGTCAGCAACGAGCGATCCGAGATGAAAAGCCACAGCCGCCGCCACGCCCATGGATTGCGCGTGACCAGATTGTCCCGCAGAGATAGTGGTAGGTGGAGGCGGAGAGGAGGAGGAGGCGTCGTTGAGGTGGTGATGGCTGACCAGATGATCTGTGTTCACACTCTTTCTATCTGTCACTCTCTCTTCATCTCTATCCTTTCATTGTTGTGTGTGTGTGCTGTATGTCCTCCCTGCTCCTCCGCTTTTCCTTGCTTGCTGCTGGACGGTGCGTGCTTCGTGGTGGGCCGTGAGTGGAATGGATCGGACTGGGGGCAGGTGACAGGTCAATCCGTGCCTTGGAGGTGAAGAGCGAGCCATGGGTGTCGGTGTCGGTGTCGGTGTCTCTAGACCAGTCAGCTGGCTTTGGGCCTCCATGTTCTGGAACAAGGATCCCAGCAACTCCAGATCCGCCCCGTACCTGTCGATCTAGAGGCCCTGCATTTCAACTGCCGAGCCCAAAGCCTCGCCCTGGCCACGCAGGCCACCGGCGTGGTACCCACGCACCCTTGTACCGGTCATGTACCTTGTGGTGGTGTCATTGGTGCCGAGATACCTGGAGATACCTTGGAGATACCTAGGCACCTGGGTACTTGGGTACTTGGGGCGACTTTACTCCGTCTTGGTCCGACACTCCGCCAACTGCAATTCCCTTTGTTGCACGCGTGACCGACCACCGCAGATTAGTTGACGGCCACTAATTTTTCTTTTCTGCTTCGAGCTTCACGAACTTTGGATGCAAATTTGCTCTGCCTCAGAATTTTTTCTTCTTCGTATGGCTCCATTTCTATTCCTAGCCTCCCTCACCGACCTTTTCCCGCCCTTCACCACCCGACGATACCCACGACTTGCCTTGCTACTCGTCCAAGTCTCTGTTAGTTTGATTTGATTTTCTTTTCGCCGTGTGCGGATTGTTCTTTGCTCCCTCTGTGTGAATTTTGTCTGCGTTCCTTTCTCTCGGCTTCCTGTCGCGTGTCTACCTCGCCTTGCCGTGTATCCGTGAGGACGACAACCGGAACCTCCCAGCTGCTCTACCAGCTGCCCTACCATCATTGTCGAGATCGGGGTTGGCTAGAGGATTCGTATTAACTAGTCTCATCCTTCAACCCCGATGCGCGTGGTCATGCGGGGACTATTTCCTCCAGCTTCTCGGTCGCTTCAATCCGCTTAGGTATGTAGACAGTCCCGAGTACCTACAACTACTCGGGCCTCATCAGTCCTCCGCACCACCAGGAATGTCGCCGGCCGGGTCAGCTGGTGAAAGCAGTATGGGTACCACAATTTGAAGCAGCCCGTGGTGTTGCGCCATTCTGAATAGACCTCCGCAAATCATTTCCGAGATCCTTTCGGGCTCCCCATAGCCGAGGTGTGTGGTTCTTTGCTGACCATTGTTGACACTCGCAGTTGGAGAAGGTCCAGACTCGAGGAGTTACGAGTGGGAGGAGGTCATGGCCGCGTCAACTGATACATAGCTACATCGCCCATCACCAGCCCTGTCATGCACAAGATCCGTATGATGTTCCAATGGACGTTCCACACGAGTCGGGGTTTTCACATGCTGGAGAATGGGATCGAGATACACATTAGAAGGCCTCGGAGGGATCAGAATCGGGGCACGCTTCAAGCATTTATTGTTGTAGCCTTGATTCGACCTTCCCATAGCAGGACAGAGCTCTTGAAATCCATCCCTTTCTCCATTATGTTAGTGTTTGAGAAAAGAGCATTGTACAGACTCCCATATCGACGAAAGGACCGAGGGTCAAGGCCCTGGTGGAAGAGTAAGCTGTGCCTCCATTCTCTCTTTCCGCGTACAGATGATATCTGAATGATGCTCGGACATGGGCTGGCCCGCTAGCTCGTCCAACACGGGACTGCTCCTACTGGCTGCTACATATGTACACACCCCGGTGCCTTTTCGATGTCTGCCTGTCGAGAGGGGTTGAAAACAGTTCCCACCAAGGACATCTTCCAGGTCTGAAACCCCGGGAGCATCGGCCGGATGACTTTCTTGTCGTTATGACTGGGCTCAAAAGATGTCACCATTCAAGTGAGAGGTGTACCCTCCGCCGGCAACAGCAAAATGAAAAGGGGAAAAAGAAAGGGCGACTTGATTCTGAGCCAGCAGACTGTATAACCAGGTTGAGCGAGCATAGATGCTGGCAGGACCGTTGACATCTTCCCACCGAGCAAAGGTGGAAGGACATATGTAGGAAGAGACCCGTTTCAAGCAAGTCCTTTCGCCTCACGAGGGTCCTGGGCTGCAGATTACTCGAGTGCCTACCATGTCAGCCGTCCTCGTGGCTTGATGAGATTTTGTAGAGGTATCATTGCGCTTAACAACAACATCGTTGGAGATCAAGTTGGCCATGAAGGACGAGCGGTTATAACAGCGGCGTGGTGGTGTTTCTACTCCTCCGTGGTTGCCAAGAACCACTTTACGCGAAAGAGTCGCGTTTGGACGTGTCGCCCGCGGATCGCGTCTGGATTTCACAACCATCTGCCCCCCTTTCTGTCCACCTTGGTGTGAAAGAAACCACCACCGCTCTCACATCGCCAACATTGTCCACCACCACCACCGCCATGTCGTCGACGCCGTCCTCACGCCGCCGAGGGCATTCCTCTCGGAATTCTCAGTCCTCCACTCCCGCTCAACAATCCCAATCCACTCCCAGGACTACAAGACGAGCACCCAACGGGACTTCCGCAGTTGCATCCTCCTCGCCTTTTTCCTTCCATTCGTCTCCTGCTCGAGCAACTCCCGCACCGCCCTCCCAGCTGGCAAGCGATGCGATGCTCATCAGTTCTCCTCCCCGACACTCTTCCGAGGTCGGTGACCGTGAGGCAACTCCTCGCGCGTCCAACCGACTGATGGCAGGTTTGTGAATCCACTCTCAATGGTCCTGTGCCGTCCTGACTTTCTGTAGATTCGTCCCCAGTCCGATACGATCCCAGCTCGAGCCCGGTACGAAGTTCTCAGCAACTCCGATCCGACCTTGGCAGCAGCAGCAGTGCCCTTTTTGTCCGCCAGGACCACCAACCAAGAATATCCTCACGGAGAGGGGACATCCATTCTGATGCATTTGCGCCCTCGCAAGCTCCACGTCGTCGAATCTACATTGGCGAGGATGGCATGCCCATTCGGGACGGAAACGATCCGAATTCAGAGGCGACGTTCTCAAACATCAATCCTGACACGTCCGAGGCCGATGCAATGGGCGGTGACTCGACCAGAGTCATCTGGGGCACCAATATATCAGTTGTTGACTCTATGGCCTCGTTCAAGAACTTTCTCTACAATTATGCTAAGAAATATCGCATGTGGGCTGACGGGGCCACCGAGCAAGAAACGCGTGCTCTCGGAGCGGTAGCGGATGAAAAGGAGTATCTGACAATGCTTCAGAATATGAGAAGAATGGGTATTCACCCGCTAAATCTGGACGCCCGCAATCTGAAAGCATATCCTGCGACCTTGAAGCTGTGGCATCAGCTCCAGGCTTATCCTCAGGAAATCATTCCCTTAATGGATCAAGCCGTCAAGGATGTCATGGTGGAATTGGCCCAGAAGGAGATGCAAGAATTACGTCGCGCACAGACCCTTGGTCCTGCCTTGCACGCGGCAAATGGGAGCTCAATGCCTCCTATGCCTTCTTCCACCGGACCTGTTGCTGACGAAATTCCCGATCTTGTCGAGGAAGCAGAGATGCAACCTTGGAAGGTAATGCCATTTGGCCTGGACAAGACCATCAACATGCGCGAACTCGACCCCGCGGACATTGACAAGTTGATCGCGGTCAAAGGACTGGTCATTCGGACAACCCCGGTCATTCCCGACATGAAGGAGGCCTTCTTTAAATGCACCGTCTGCCAACATACGCTGTACGTGTCCATCGACCGTGGAAAGATTGCAGAACCGACCGAGTGCCCGCGGCCCGCTTGTAAATCCAAGGACAGCATGGAGATTATCCACAATCGTTGTATATTTGCGGATAAACAGGTGATCAAGTTGCAAGAGACGCCGGACTCGGTGCCGGACGGACAGACGCCTCATAGTGTGTCTCTTTGCGTGTATGATGACCTCGTCGATGTCTGCAAAGCGGGTGACAGAATTGAGGTCACTGGCATTTTCCGAAGCAACCCAGTCCGTGTCAATCCCCGACAACGCACCGTCAGAGCGCTGTTCAAAACTTATGTGGATGTCCTCCACGTGCAAAAGGTCGACAAACGCAAACTGGGTATTGACGTGTCGACCATTGAGCAAGAGCTTTCGGAGCAGGTTGCCGGTGATGTTGAGCAGACACGAAAAGTGACTGCCGAGGAGGAAGCCAAGATCAAGGAAACCGCCGCCCGCGAAGACATCTATGAGCTCCTGTCGAGGAGTCTGGCTCCGAGCATCTATGAGCTGGAAGATGTCAAGAAAGGCATCCTCCTACAACTGTTCGGCGGCACGAACAAGACTTTCGCAAAAGGTGGCAGCCCCAGATACAGAGGCGACATCAATGTCTTGCTGTGCGGTGATCCATCCACTTCCAAGTCCCAGCTCCTGCAATACGTCCACAAGATCGCGCCTCGAGGAGTCTATACATCTGGAAAGGGCTCCTCAGCAGTTGGTCTAACAGCGTACGTGACCCGGGACCCTGAATCCAAACAGCTCGTCCTGGAATCCGGAGCTTTGGTCCTTTCCGATGGCGGCGTCTGCTGCATTGACGAGTTCGACAAGATGAACGAGTCTACTCGCTCCGTGCTGCACGAAGTCATGGAACAGCAAACCGTCTCCATTGCGAAAGCGGGCATCATCACCACCTTGAACGCAAGGACAAGCATCCTAGCCTCAGCCAACCCCATCGGGAGCAAGTACAACCCGAATCTCCCAGTGCCCCAGAATATTGATCTTCCCCCAACGCTGCTGTCGAGGTTCGATCTCGTGTACCTCGTACTGGATCGCATTGATGAAGTAAATGATCGGAGACTTGCGAAGCATTTGGTCGGCATGTACCTCGAAGACACGCCCGACAATGCGTCGAGGGAGGAGATCTTGGTAAGTTTTAACTCGGCTGCTAATTGAGTCAACGTGTGTTTTGTGGCAAAGTGCAACGCGCTAACAACCACTCTAGCCCATTGAATTCCTTACCTCGTATATCTCGTACGCCCGCAACAACGTCCACCCCAGTATCACGCCTCCGGCGGCGAACGCCCTCACCAACGCCTATGTTGCCATGCGCAATCTCGGCTCCAACATCCAGTCCTCGGAGAAACGCATCACCGCCACCACTCGCCAGCTGGAATCCATGATTCGTCTGTCCGAAGCGCACGCTAAGATGAGACTCTCGCCTACCGTGGAAGAGCAGGACGTCAACGAAGCGGTGAGATTGATCAAGTCGGCCATCAAGGCAAGCGCCACGGATGCACGGACAGGCTTAATCGACATGGGCTTGTTGAGTGAGGGCGGTAGTGTCAGCGATAGGCGGAGGAGAGAAGATCTCAAACGAGCAGTAATCGAAGTGCTGGATATGGACAGTGCTATCCGTAGCGGCGGAGCTATGAGGTACACGGATCTTTATCGAAAGGTTGCCGAGGGCAGCAGCCTCGAGGTGGAAGGCACCGAGTTCAACGAGGTCGTCAAGGCGCTGGAAGTCGACGGCAAAATCATGGTGACCGGCGAGGGAGCCAGGAGATCCGTGCGGCGGATCACGGGCGTCTGAATTGACGCAGGCAGACGGGACATCCATATAGGCATTTCTGTGTACAGGGTCTCGGGCATGCATTTATGGAAGAACGGACGAATGTTTGGCATCTGAGATGTCGAAAACGGAGTTTTCAGGCGTTTGGTTCTTGTAAGGGGCATTTTCGCCCTGGTTCCGGCCCACCGGCGAACTTTGGGACCACATGACGATGAGGATGAGGACGACAATTGGGTTGGGTGGGTGGGTGATACATAGGATGGACTGGCCAGACGATCGCCAGGCGAGATGACATCGAAGACGGTGGTTATAAACTGTGGAGGAGGGAGGCGAGAAGTCCCCGAGCAATGAATGATGGATATGTTCTAGTCAATCAGCCAATCCATCAGTCCATCAGTCCATCAGCAGTAGAGGAAGAAAAGATGGATGGTGGATGGTGGTATATGTGGTTTATTTTTATCTACCTATGTAGAGTGCCGAATTCCATCTGCCCGCCTCCCGGTCGATGCCAGATGGATAAAGACTGACTGACTGATTGACTGACTGACACACACACAAAACAGATAGATAGATGAATTCATTCCTTAGGCAAAAAAAAAAAAACAATAAGAAGCAAATTGGTATCATGGCGAGACCTCCCTCCCTCCCTTCCATAAAACCCCGAGTAAAAACACACCCAGACCGGAAGCCATCCATCCATCCATCATCAAATGAATCCCCGAGATGATATCTCGTTGAGTTCAGTCCCCCTTTTGTCGAGCAGCATTTCATCCATCCCTTTGGTTCCCCATGTGCATGCATGTAACCCGCAAATCCGCATGTTCCTAAGGACCTGAGTACGAATGATGCCGAACCTTGGATGGCGGCAGACACCAGAACGCCATGCTTTTGCTGCTTCGCTTCCCGAAAAAAAGGGGCTCCAGTCGCAACATCCAGGTAGAAGTGTCAACACGACTCCCGTCATCCATCCGAGGGGCGGCCGACCGAAAATCTCAAACCCGCATGATAATCCCCAATCAACCCGTGAAATTGTAGACCCTCACCTCCCCATCTTCGCCGCCACTACACATTCTCGAGTCACTCAGGTCAATGCACGTCACTGGCCCAGCATGTCCCGTAAATGTCCTCTCACACTTCCCGGTTCGAGGATCCCACACCTTTACCATCCTGTCTTCGGCCCCGGACACAATCCTCAACGTATCCGCCGCGACGGCCCACACTCCCTCAACATGGCCAAAAAATTTCCGGATGCAGCGACCCGAGTGCACGTCCCAAAGACGGATCGTGGAATCCAGGGCCGAGGTCAGCATGTAGTGCGGAGGGTGGGTGCGGTCAGGCTGAGAGGCGAACAGGCTGTTGATGCCCATGTCCTTGGATGAGACGATGGGAAATCCGCCGTTCTCGTCGAGGATCGTGGTGGAGCTATTGGGGGTTCCGGGGTCTGATAGCTGCTCCTCGTCGTCTTCTTGTATGTCGGTGCCAGGTTCGAATTCGGCCGGCAGGGGCAGTACTTGCTGGACTTGGCCCACGTGGCCTTCGAAAGTGTGGATGCATTTCTTTGTATCCAGGTCCCAAAGTTTGGCCGTGCAGTCGTCAGACGCAGTAAAGATTGTGCGAGAAGCCGAGTCAATTTTGACCGAGTTGACCCAATCGGTGTGCCCGCGGAGTGTGAAGACACACCGATCCTGGAAGTTCCATACACGGGCAGTGTTGTCGACAGAGCCCGACACCAGAATATTGGAGTCGAAGTGAAGGGCAATCACTCCTTCGGTGTGGCCGTTGTACGTGGAGATGCACTCCCCCGTCCGCCAGTTCCAGACTTTGAGGGTTTTGTCGAGACTGCCACTGATGAGTTTGTTGTCATCAAACTGCAGACAACGGATACCCATGGTGTGGCCACTCAGCGTCCTCAACTCTCTGCCCGTGTCCAGGTCCCAGATCTTGATGGTGGCGTCATATGACCCTGTCGCGAGGATGTTGTCACAAAACTGAAGTGCCATGACTCCGTTCGTGTGGCCCTTGAGGATCTTGATGCTGCATCGGCCGTACTTCCAGTTGGTTCCAACCTTGAATCGATCCTTGTACACGTCCTTCCAAGGTCGAGTTCTCCGGAAGTACTCACTGTCACTCGTGCCGAGGGGTGGACGTCGGGCCGCCACAGGCGAGAGTCGTCCATCTGACGACGAGTCAAGGTGGCTTTCGGTGTCGGACATGTCGACACTCTGCGATGAGCCAGATGGATCAGAGTCGAGCGGCAGATTGCTTGCCGCACGCAACTCAATCTGCCTCTTGGTGGCACGCAACATTTTCCTCTCCAACAAAGGCAACCCCCATCCACACTTGGTGCACTTTCTATCAATATGTTGTTCACACATCCGATGCCAGACCACGTCGTCGTCCGCTAACTGCCTCCACTTCCTTGAAACCTGTGCCGCCTTGCACAGAGATGTCGTATCGAGGAAGGAAAGGATGCGGAAGGCGACCTCGGACGGTAGGGCCGACAGGAAGTCGATTCGAATGAGTTCTCGAACATTGGCCGAAAGGAAAGAGAGTTGTGGGAAGCAGCACTGGGCCAGGATGCCCTGGAGCATGAGGTTTCGATGTTTAGATGGCGCAGCCGAAAACAGTGACCACATCTGCACGATGCCCTGCCGGTCTTCCTGTGACAGTGTATCCAGTTCTTTCTGCAGTTTATCCATCGACGGCTCGTCTGCCTGCCGCCGGCACAGCGTATCAGGGCGATGTCGATAACAGAACTTAGAGTTGGGGTCTTTCATGGGGTCGAAGTTGTGGGTGGCAGGTTTTCCAGCCTTTCCCAAGGGCGCATATTGGGACGGGATGTGCTTTGCGAGAAACGGGGCGACATTCTGGTCAGCGTGTTTAGCGGTCGAAGCAATCGTGATGCTCTTGTCCTTTGTCGCTGCATATCTATCCTCCTCCGTTTCAGAGGGGTTCACTCGAAGTCTCTTTCTCGCTGGTCCCTCCCATTCCGTGTCCTCCAAATCCAGCCTTCGGTGCTTGTCGAGTAGATCGAACGGCATGACGAAATTTCTTCAAGGCTGATCAAAGTATCTTCACATCTCGCCTGGTCGACGATCTTGAATACCTCTGCTGCCCGTGCGACACGACAAGAGGAATTTGCAGGTAACAACTCCGAGATCCGAAGGGTGCGGGGATGCCAGTGAGTAAAGTAGGCGGCGCTCCTGGAAGGACTGACAAAAGGAGAAGAGAGCGCAAGCAGTCGTCGTCAGTCGTAGGGTTGCTCGTCAGAAGGGTCAGAATGGTGCAAGATGGCGAAATGCGGTGCTTGGGCTTCACAGAGGTTCCGAACCTGAATGGGACGAGAGAATGTGCTGAATGGCGACTATCATCACCGACATCCGGAGGGTTTTTCGACAACCGACATGCGGGATGGTGGTAAATCCTGGTGATGGATCGAAACGAGGACCCCGACGACGCCACCCAGCGAGAAGAAGCAACAAGGGCCTGATTAGCGGGACCCGAGTTGGTCAAGTGCGTGGCAGTTGGGGCCGTTCGGGGCATTCGGGCACCCAGATTGGCTCCCAACAGGCCCCTAGTGACCTAAACCTCCGGGGGACAAGGTAGTTACCGCAGGGCTGGAGCCAGCTAAGCTCTAAGCCTGAGATGCACTCACAGCAGACCGTGATGGCGTTATCGCGCACGCCATTTTCACCATCGAAAGCATCATCGTAAGAGTCAGGAAGTCCACCGCCCAGCACTGGTTCCTGCGTCGCGTATCGTCCAGCTGCGAGTTCTCATCCCCCCAACAGTCGGCGTCTGTGTTTGCCTGGGATCTCTGACACCCAACAATCAACAATGCTTCCTCAGCTGGAGGTGAGGAGGACATTACTCGTTTGCTGAGGCTGGTAAGCCGTGCCATGCACGGCCTTCAGGCTCCAGGATCCAAACTTTTACCCCACAGTGAACAGGGGCCCGTTCGGCTGGAGAATGTGAATTAACTCTTATCCAGGCTATACGGCACACACTCACACACTCACACGCAGCCCACCACAATAGACTGTGCCGTCTAATGCACCTTACTACGTACAACTGCTGCTGGACCCTTTGTAATCGCTGCCGCTGTCCTCACCGCCCTTCCCAGAGAGAGAGACAAACACACAGAGAGAGAGAGCTAAGTACTCACAGCTTGTGAACTAAGAATGGAATAAGCAATGTCCTCACTCGACCCTGTCATGGCGCAATCTCCTCATCCTGTGGCCTCAGGTCGATCCTCCCCTTCGCAATCCACGCACGCGTCCAGTCCTCCGTCGGCCTCTGTCGAGACTCTCGTATCATACTTGGTCGCTGCTAAACGATCTCTCGGCAGCATCCATCTCGTCCACCGGGCCACCACCATCCTCACCGAAGCACGTGCCTCGATCGAGGCTACCACGGCCCTCCTCGCCAAAGCCACCTACCTTCGCCGCTCCGTGGCCTCTCAGTTGAAGATTCTACGCGGGGTCCAGCTCGAACTAGAGACTGCTGCCCAAGGTATTCAACACGAGTTTCAGACCGTGATCAAAGAGCTGGACGAGACCGGTGCAAGGCTGCTGCAATCAATAGATCTGTTGAAGCAGACGAGAATTGAAGATGCTTTCAAAACTTCGGCTGGGGGAGCGGCGGATGATGGCCCGATTAAGGAGACCTTGCATGATTTCGTGGACGACAGTGCTGTCGAAACGATCAAACAAGCCATGGAAATTGCCATAGACAATGTACAACACGCGCAAAATGAAATAGGCCACTCTATTCAAACGTTGGAAGACGATCTACAATCCATCAACGAAGTCCTCAACGGCAGAGGAGAGCTCTCTAGCACAGACAGTGAATTGCAGCAGCCCACTCCCATCGCTGGCATCCTCGCACTATTGGAGGACCACGCCCGTATAATGGCAGAGGAGCTCGAAAGCTTAGTCAAACACTTCGATCTCTGCGTCACGGCCATCAAACACACAGAAGGAGGCGGCGAAGCATTATTTCAGACCATGAATACCGGCGAGGGAGTCGACCTCCCGGACGCGGTGGGCCTGGGTATGGACGAGCTTCGCGCCCCCACGCAGCCTATGAACGAGGAGGAACGCCTGGAGATGCTGCAGGTTCTTGAGAATGACGCTCAGGAGGTGGATGAAGTGGTCATGGAACTCCAAGATCGCAATGCCGAGATGGAAGCTCAGCTCGACAAAATCCATCAATGGTGCGAACGGCAAGAAAACGCCTACGCGGACGTCGCAACAGCGTTCAAACTCCTCGAAAAGATCTCGGGGCGGCTATCGGGGTATGTGGCCGAGATAGCCCGGCACGCGCTGAAGTGGAATGAAGAGAAGGCCAAGATCGAAGATGGCATTGGCGGGATGGAGGACCTTTGCGAGTACTATGCTAATTTTCTCCACGCTTACGACGGCTTAATCGTCGAAGTCGCCCGACGACGGACTGTTAAGAAACAGATGGAGAGAGTGGTAGCGGAGGCGCATGCTCAGCTGGAGCAGATGTACGAGTCGGATCAGCAGTTGAGGCAGGAGTTCAAGAACGACTTGGGCGAGTATTTGCCGAGTGACATTTGGAGTGGCATCAATACTTTACCGCCCAGATATTCTATCGCGAGCGCCGATGAGGAAGATGTTGGGAGTGTACCTGAGCTGCCGAGACGGACAGTCGAAGAGGCTTTGCGGAGGTTGAAGGTTGGCGGAGGTGGAAGAAGCACCAGATGATGATCAAACACGCAGACCTGGAGTCCGCTGATTTACTGACACCACGGTAAGGACTTCTTGCTCCAAATCCACACCCTGACTACACGGAACAACATGACGATATTGGAAAAACACAACACTTGATATGAATCGTCATGGACAGGGCCGAGAATGGCATGACGGCTGTAGGGGTACACCTCTTCAGCCTCTCATTGCTTGACCTGGCCAGATCATGATATACAAAGAGAGCACTGAACACCCCTTTAACCCTGGTTGCCATATCCTGTACTATTTCCAGACGATGAGGGAGCTGATATGTCTGCATTTAGGGTTGAGATATCTATGGCGCCGCACTTGGTTGACATGCGCCCTGGCAGAGGATACGACGTCCTACTGCACTCGCCTGGGCATACAATATAGAGGAGAGAACGACCGGAAAACAAACGGGCTTCTCCAATGAGCAGGCCACACTACCTCGCTTGAGGCTGGGAGATCTGGTACTACTGTCGATAAATTTTGGGCATTTTGGGTATTTTGTACATCAGCAGCCTGGTCCCACCAGTCCTGGCTCCATGGCATCTTCAGAAGCTCCCTCTTTTCCTGCTCCATTTCGCTCTTGACGACTGGACAGTATCGCCAGAAGTACAGCACACCTGCGGACCCCGCCAACGCGAGAAGCAAGGCTCTTTGCAATGTCCTCTTAGGTGTTGATCCACCATGAGACCGATCTCAACAGATTTTCTGAATCATAGGAGAGAAAATAACCGAGGAGAGAGTGCATCTGAAGGCTGAAACGGACTCTTGGACTAAACCAAGTGACAGGAGGGCGTGCAGGGATTCATCTCACCATGGACCCCGGCTTCCGTGCGGTAAGAACATGCTCTGTCCTCCAGGTCGTGTGGATTGCATAGTTGTTGATTGTTCGCGAGAGCTATCTGTGTATAATATGATACGATATGATAGTATAATATGATACGATATGATACTGTGTGGTATGATGAGGAGGGAAGCCGATATGCTTCCGGTGATGTTGGAGTCAACTATGCATCGGTCGCTGCTTCGGACTTCAGTCAATATAAGAACAAGTGTGTCGAGGGAAATAAGAAGAGACCAACCACAAAGTCCTTTGGAAAGTGTGTATGTCAACAAGTGTAAGTCAAGTCTTTTCGTTGACAGCGGTGACGAGAAGGAACAGAATAGCACTAGAGAGGGGCGTTCATATTGCTGGGACTTCTGCGCTGTTCTGTGGCGTGGTGAGATTTCTTCTCCATGGCCGAGGGACGAAGTATACTCCTGTGTGAAATCATCATTGCTCGACGGCACTGTGCCTATTGAATCCTCCTCGTCCTCCTCCTCATCATCGTCGTTCCTGAGGCCACGTTGACTGGCCGATTGACTCCTCGAACGGGAAATAATATATATGGGATACGGGATACGCCGTAGGATATGGGATATAGGGGTTAGCAGATTCCCAAGAAACATCTGAAGTAACAGTGTTGATTTAGTTGACATGTACCACTGTGGATAGTCCACGGAGATGGCATGGCATGCATGGACCATATCAGTCCTGTCTTCTCTCCCATCCTGCATTTATCGTCCATGCCCAGCATCGTCTATGCCATTCCTCACCGCTTCCCCCGCCTCGCCGACTCCTTGACCAACTTCTTCTTGGTGGCCTTGGGCATCTTCGTGCTCCGCTTCTCGCGCTTCTCCTCCTTGACCTTCAGCTTGTGCTGGCGCTTGGCCTCCTTGTCCTGGAACCGCTTGCCGCGCGGACGGCCGGGCGCGGAGGCCGAGGAGGAGGTGCCGGACGCAGAGCCAGCGTCCGAAGCGTCAGAGTCCTCTTCGTCGTCGTCTGAGCGGAGAGGAGCGCCGCCGCCGCCTTCTTCGTCGAGATCGTGATTCTGTCGTTCGATCCCGTCGTCATGAAGCGTCGCCGGGACCGGGGTCGACTCCACCGCCGCTGCTGCTGCTGCGGCGGCGGCGGCGGCATCTTCGCCCCGCAGCGGCGCCAGCAGGTCCTTGTATACCAGTGCGTCTCGCCCCTGTGTCTGCAGCGTCTCGGCATCTTTCTCTGCGTCGTACACCTCATCCAGCGTCTGCGGGATGTACTGCTGGCGGAAGACCTGGTTGTCGACCTCGTCCTCGTCCTTGTCGTCATCCCTCCGCTCCGCCATGACTCGGTCGAGCTCTTGGCGTAACTCATCCATCTCGAAACCTTGCCCACCCGTCGCGGCCTTCGTGACGAACTCGTACACCTTCCGCTCCGCCAGCACGTTGACGCCCTTCCGGCGGAAGAAGTCGCTCACGTTCTTGATGTCCATGCGCAAAAAGTCCAGACTACGCGGGTGGTCGCCCTCGACGCTCTGGCTTACGTCGATGATGTAGGGCTTGTTCTCGTAGTAGAGTATGTTGTACTCGCTCAGGTCGGCGTGGACGAGCTTGCAGACTTGCAGCATGACGCGCATGTACGCCACCACGTCGATGTAGACGGCCCGCCACCGCGCACTGTCGTCGTCGTCCTCAAACTCCAGGTCCTTCAGCCGCGGGGCCGCCTTGCCCTTCTTGCCATTGCCGATGAAACTCATGCCCAGGACGTGTCGGCGCAGGTAGAGCGGTTCCGGGCACGGGATCCCCGCGGCGTGGATCCTCTTGAGGTTGCGCATTTCCTTCTCCGCCCACATCTTCACCATCGAGCGGTTGTCTTTCGTCTTGTAGCCCTTGCGGAACCGGAATTCGCCCGTCACGTACTTTTCGCGGTCTTTGAAGACCAGGATGGCGGTCTTGTACACTTTGATCGCCACGTGCATGTCTTCCTGGGACTCGTCCTCGGACGCGGCGACGGCGTGGTAGACGTTGGCCTCCTTGCCCGTGGAGATGGTCCCGTGGATCTCGGAGACGATGCCCTTCTGGATCATCGAGAAGAGGATCAGACGAGTTTTGGGGTCCAGCACCTGCTCGGCCGTCGCCCGCTCGCTTTTGTCCTTGGTGCGCCGGCCGTCCTCGCCCTCGCCCCAGCCGGAAAACTTGAGTTCCCCCATTTCGCGGTGTAAATTGGCGGCGGCGGATTCCTGAGAAGACTTGTGCTGGGGATTTGCTTTGGGGTACTGCCAGGAGGGGACGCTGGGGTCTGAAGTCGCTTCGTCGAGGCGTCTGCGTCTGTTATAAGATTTGGTCAGGTCGGCGGGGTTCGAGGCGGCAAGGTCCTCAGGGTCCAGGACCCGGTCACGGTCCGCTTCTTCGGCGTAGAGGTCTTCTTGGTCATCACTGTTTTCCTCTTCGCCTGCGTCGTCGTCGTCGTCGCCTTCCCCGTCATCCTCGTCGTCTTCTTGAATGAATTGCCCCAGGGCTATTCTTCTCCGGGGCGGTGCTATATCAGTACTCACATAACCCTGGTTTGGGACATAGGTGTGTGAAGGAGCGAGACCATCTGCAATGCCTCTCTCGGGGTCACTTGCCATTGTGATAGAGAATTTGTAAGGATCTTTCCAAAGGCAAAGGACAGTGTTTGTCTAGAGGAAAAGTGAATTATGCAAGTCATTGTTGCCACGCAGAAAATCATAGTGGCGTTTGAAATGCGTCATTTGAACCACATTTGGATGCCAAGACCCATAGGCCCATACTCGACCGTACACATGACTACGGCAGATCATTGCGGTGGGTGCGGCAGTCTTATTTCCCTTGATCTTCATATAAAATACTCTGTGCTTTCTGCCTCTCATCATGCACCGCCGTTGCAGTTGTATTTACTTGTTATATGTTCTTTGACTGGCTAAGGTTGGAGATCAGGCACCTCCAAACTCCTGCTCTTCTTTGGCCGGAGGAATAAACCAGTCCGAGTCGACCACCAGCTTGACCCGGTGTAGGTCTTTGGCCATGATTTTGTCCTTGTCCGCCAGGTACGCCTCGACCTTCCTGGAACAGTCAACATACCTCCCCGACATGAAATCCAGCTGGCCACTGGACAGCAAGACCACATAGCCTGCCGGCATCTGCGGCGTATCCCAAGTGACATCCCTGAAGAAGTTGACTGCAATGTTGGCCGACTTTTCTTCTCCCGGCAGGGTCTTGGACACATAGCTGCCTTCCTTGATATTGCCCTCGGATGCCTCCTTGAAATCGGTGAAGAATCGAGTCGGAATGGCACCGGGGTGGATGGCGAAGGTTTTGATGTTGTGGTCTTTGTTCTCGTGGTGCAGGATCTCAGCAAGCCGCACCAGGCCCAGTTTGCCCAGTGCGTAACTGCCCATGCCGTTGCTCACGTGTGCGCCGGCACTTGATGTGAAGACAATCCTGCCGCCCTTCTCCCGGCGCATGATGGGCAGTACAGCTCGGGCGAAGTTGAAGCCTCCTTGCAGCGACACGGCTAGGGTATCCCACCACACTGTAGGATCTGACTCCCAAGTTGCCAGCCATTGCGGTGGGCGGCCAGCATTTGCGAAGACCACGTCAATTCCCCCAAATTCCTGGTCGACCTCGTCGATGAATTGCTGCACTTTGGTGTAGTCCTTGACGTCGAATGCAGCGGTCTTGGTAAGAAGCTTTGGGTTGATCTTCTTGCACAGACTGACCGTCTCGTCCACCTCTTGCAGCTCGAGCGCCATCAAACTGAGTGATTTGGCTGCAGTGTGTGCAAAGAACTCGGCGGTGGCTCTTCCTATGCCACGACCAGCACCAGCAATTACAACATTCTTGTCTTTGAAGGCAGCTGCGAGCTCTTGATTCCGTCTAGGGTCGGTCGCAGGTTGGCAGTCATGCTGGTCTCCGAGAAATCTCTCTACCATAGGTTCACTGGGTTCGCCCATGGTGGATGTCTGTCTAGAATACCTATTGCTGACTGGAGGTTCCAGGAGGATGAATGTCGCGGAGAAGATATTATCTTATGGCCGCACCCGACGTCCCCCACATGTTCCCAGGCATATTACTGACTTGAAGTGGAGTAGGTGCATTTGCCGTTTCTCATCAGATCGGCAATAGCCTTAGGGAGCCCTCGTCTATCGCCATCCCAGGCTTGTCCAAGTGGATGGCCCTTCAAATGGTGGGGAAACAAGTTTGTGGGGTCTTTGGAGAAGTCTTAAAGATGGCATCAAGGTGGGTTCAGACGAACTCATGATTCCAGCTCTGTTTGGCGTCTTGTTTTCCCCAGCTCGAATACTTCATATTCCCAGAATGGGTTCAATTGGCCCGTCCAAGGCCGAGCATCATCGTGTCATCATCGTTGGTGCCGGCCCCGTTGGACTAACCACCGCCACCAATTTAGCAAGGCTTGGGGTCCCTGTCTTGGTTCTAGAGAGGAATCATCAAGTCGATCAGTCGCCTCGCGCGGCCTCGTATCAACCATGTGCGCAAGCAGAACTCCTCGAAACAGGCACCCTTGACGACGTCCGAAGGGAGTCGGTTATCAACGATGTGATTTCATTCTGGATCAAAGGCAAGAAGGTGGCCCACGTGGAGAAGAGAGAAGGAGGCAGCCTCTTCCCATCGGGCATCAATTGTCCTCAGCCACGACTGGCCGCCATCCTCCTGCGCCATCTGACCACAAAATATAGCTCGGAAGTGCGGTTCAATCAGAAGGTTATCGAGATCTCGCAGGACGAGAAGCAAAATGTGGTATCACTGACCGCCGTGGACCCCACTACCAACCAAGAGACTCATTATACCTGCGACTGGCTGGTAGGAGCAGATGGCGCGGGCTCCAGTGTTCGCAAACTGTGCAACATCCCTTTCGAGGGGTTTTCCTGGCCGAAAGAGGACTTTGTGGCCACCAACGTGCGGTTCGACTTCTTTAAACATGGATTTAATACGGCAAACTTGATTATGGACCCGGTTCACTGGGCGGTGGTCACCATTCTTGACGACACGGGCCTGTGGCGGGTCGCGTTTGGTGTCAGGGCGGGCTTGACGAACGAGGAAATACGTGCTGAGCTGGATGAGCACTATAAACATATCTTCCCGGTGTGGCCGGTGGAGTACGAGTTGGTGCAGTTGAACAAGTACAAGCCGCACCAGAGATGTGCGCAGACGTTCAGATTAGGGCGAGTATTGTTGGCTGGTGATGCTGCACATGTGAGTTTATCGAATCCTCTCCGCGTTCTTTCACTGACACGCACTCCAGAGCAACAATCCCATCGGAGGTCTCGGTCTGACGACGGGTCTCCTCGACGCCGGGCCCCTCGGGCGTGCTCTCGGCGCCGTCATCAACGGTAAAGCGCCCGAGTCTCTCCTCGACACATGGGCCCAAGCGCGACGAGACAAGTGGCTGAACTTCACGAACGAATTCTCCATCGAAAACAAGCGCATGTGCCAGTTGGGCGGGTACAGCGACGACCCCCTCGGGATCTGGGAGATCGACGACGTGGCCCGCGAGCATCACATGGAGCGGTGGCTGGCCATGGCGACGCCCGAGAAGAAGGAAGCCGACGCGCGCATGTACAAGGCCCTGGAGGACCCGCAGGCCCAGCTGGTCAGCCGCATGAAGCAGTGGGAGATCACCATGGATCCCATGTGGATGGCGCAGTACGAGGATCCCGAGCTGGTCAAGTACCGGGTGTCGCTGAGGCCGGCCGTGTTGTCGGCGCCAGAGGCTGCGACGGGATCGTGACGTGAGGAGCTGGAGGGGGGGATGGACTTTGATCATTGATCCGTCGCCGCTGTATAGAATGGCGGAGGGCTGACGAGAGCATATCTCGTGTGATTGAGAGGAGTAGACGAGCTTGATCCCTGACACATACATACCTAGCAGAGCATACATACATACCCTTGCTCATGAATACCCAACGCCGTCAGCACTTTCGCTCAGGCACATTATTTCCCTCCGGCAGAGACCACGCGTCCTCAAACGCCTTCATAACCAAACCGAACAACCCATCCCCCTTGATCAATATATTGTTTTCTTCATTCATTCATTCATTCCTCCAATCAATCGTCCATACGAGCCCGCGAACTAGAAAAGGTACCTAGGTACTGTAGCTTCGCTAGCGAAGCGGAGCCAAGCCACGTACATGTATGTAAGTGAGCTTCACCTTTACACCTTCTTGATCGCCGTAGGAGCAGCAACGGCCAACAGCAGCCTCATCGCCCCGCTGGTACTGCTCCCTATCCACCATTGACATTTGCCGCGCTGTCGCTGTCGGTGTCCCCCGGGTCGACGAACGGCTGGGCATCCATCATCCTCCACATCTGCGCCGCGTGCAGGGCGTGGTCGGGCATGGCGCGCGCAAAGGACACGTGTTGGTGGCCGCCGCCGCCGTCGCTGATGAAAGTGACGCTTTTGCCCTGTTTCGCGGCCGAATGATGATGATGAGAGACAGAGACAGAGAGTTATGGCAGTAATAGTGGTCTGGATGTGAGGGAGGGAGGAAAGAGAAAAGAGAAAGAAAAAAAAAGAGGTAAGAAGAGGGAAAGTAAGACAGAGTCATGCGAGATAGCATAGGGATAGTATAGGATAGCACAGGATAGGAAGATCTGTGCGGTGTGGCGTGTATCAGGAGAATGGGTAGGCATAAAGGAAACCACTTACCAAGCCCAAGGTCAATTCAATGGACGAGTCGATCAACGACGGCGTGTACTCCTTCAACGCCGGTGACGACGTGGCTCTTGTTTTTGTGTTCACATTTGTCTCCTTCCGCTTCCCGTCCCTCTTCTGATCCGCACGAATCGCCCTTACAATATTCTCCGCGACGAGGAACGCCTGCATCGATGCGGCCCTTCCCATCTTCGGGCCGGGCAGGTCGACCACGTCGCCCAGCGCGAAGATGTTGTTGTTGTAGGCTGGTGCGTTACGGACGCGGAGAGCTTTGTCGACCAGGATGGCACCCGTCGTGGCCGACACGGAGTCCGGCGAGAAGGTGGCGAGGAGGGACGAGTTGGGCGCTTGGCCGGTGCAATGGATCTGGATCCCTCGGTAAAGGCGTGAGAGTCAGTGAAGAAAGCGGAGGAAAGAGAGGAGGCGTCGTGTGGTATGATATATAGCTTAGGACGGTGAGGAGAGGAGAAGATGGGATGGGATATGGGAGGGTAGAATAGGGGGCGGACGGATGGATAGCGACATGAGAAGAGAATAATGCGCTGCTTTGCTTACCACCGTATCACACTGGATGACTTTCCCGCTACGCAGGGTGACCTGCTTTGAATCATCCCCTTCCAGTCCTCCAACCACCCGCTCGCCCAAATACAGCGTGACGCCCAGCTCCTCGAGCGCTTTCCTCGCAATGTTGTGCAGTTCCCGATCGAAGTTGTTGAGCAGGTTCTCCCGCGAATGCACCAGCGTGACGCTCTTTTGCGGATACTTGCTCCTGATGTCCGCGGCAACTTCGACGCCTGCCGCACCGCCGCCCACAACGACGATGTCCTGTCCCGCCGCGATGCGGTGCTGTTCTTCTTGGAAGAATCTCACGCAGTTCGCTTTCACGTTCCCGGTGCCGTTGCCATCGCCGTCGAGCTTTTCCGGATACCGCGACCGAGACCCCGTCGCGATGGCGAGGTACTCGTACGCGATCTCTGATCCGTCCTGCAGTACGACTTTGCCGGACTCGATGGCGGTGACGGTACCTTGCTTGAACACGTATGCTCCGTCCGGTGCACTTCGTGGGCCATGGGCCGGGTACGGGACGATGGCGTTGGCTTCCTGGCCCGAGAGGACGGAGGCACGTGGGAAATTCCACGTGAAGTGGAAGTGGGAATGTCTCTCGATCAGCACCACCCGGTATCCTGTGGGCAGGGACTCGGCCAGGCGCTTCGCGAGGAAATAGCCCGCAAAGGAACCGCCGATGATCACGACGTTGCGCGGGTCGGGCACGGGGCGGTACCGCAGGCGGTGGATCTTAGTCGAGAGATAAATGCCCAGTCTTTTCAGGGAGATGGAGAGAGTGAAGCCGAGCAATTTGAGGTAGAGGAAGAGTCTTGCAAACATTTTGAGGAAGAGGCAATGCTGGGCATGGGGACATAAGACGAGGCAGTGAGGGAAAAGGGGGGGGAACTGATGATCTTATCAGATAAAATAAAGAACGATTCCCTGCCAGCAACAAGCTTCGCTCGTCGCCTTCGCTCATTACGTCTCGCTCCTCGGATGCGCGGTGCTTCCATGGAGGTGGATACATAAGAGGAGGCGCCGATGTCGGCACGTACACGCTTGAGGAATAGTGCAGTCGCCCTTGGACCAGGCGAGCAGGCTATCGAGTCGCCAAGTATGGAGTACAACAAAGCGGACACTAATTACCTCGCAAATCCCGGAAATGGCTTCGGCGGACCTATGCCTCGAGAAGCCCCTTTTGCGATGTCACTGGTGGCTTTTCAGCCTTGAGATACTGGATGCTCTCTCGCGTCTGTTGGAAGTGGACGGTCCCATACCGGAGCAGCTCGGCAAACGTCCCCGGCTCGTGGTCCTTGTCTTCGTTGCCTGGCTCTTCCCAGAGCACACCAGCCGCCGGCGTCGAGGTCAGGTCCTTCCCGTGGGTGATTTTCTGCAAGCTCGACTCGGCCAGCAGACGCCAGACTAGCTTGTCCGCCGTCTTGTATTCCTCCGAGTCCTTCGGGGCGTCGAGTTTCGTGGCCAAGGCATTGAACAACAGCGGGCCGCCAAAGCCGATCGTGGCTTCCGCGCCCCAATCTTCTTGCAATGCGTCGAAGACGAGGACCTTGTTCATCCAGTATTCGGTCGCGTTGAAGCCGTCCCTGGCGTTCTCCAGCATGCACAGTCTTTGCCAGGCGAGAACTTGGCTGATGTACTCCATCACCGTTTGCGGGCCTACCTTGAAATCCCAACCGTACTTGGCCTGTTGCGCCGCCTCGAAGGTGTGAGTCAATGCGAAGGAGACGATGGGATGGTGGATCAAGCCTTCGTGGTTCTTGCGGTCTTTCCAGAGATAGACGAAGAGGTCGTGCCTAGAAAGAGCTGCCGTTAGCATGCTGCTGACCGGCCACGCATGTCCCATACCAGCATTTGATAAAGGGGTTGCCCTTGCGACTGGCCACAAAATGGTTGGCCATGGTGGTTCCGTACATGATCGGAGCACAGACTTCAAAGGGCGAATTGGGGTCCGCCAGCTGATTCCAGCATATCCTGTCAAGACCACGAATCAAGATGTTTCCGGTATCCATGTAGACGCCCCCATGAGAATACAAACATGCACCTCGCAGGAAATCCGAACTGTGAGGGCCAGTGTATATTCCAGTCATCGTGCCCGTAACGAACGACTCCGGCAGGAGGTCGGGTGAGACATATTCGAGGGCATTCGTCGCCGAGCCTGCTACAGAGTCGAGTATGCGGACTGTCCACGAGGGCCCACTGATTCGGACCCAATCAACAATATTACGCTGGCACCAGCCTGGCATCGCGCGAATACCTTTGTCCCAGAAGGCCCAGATATTCTTTTCGGACGTGACAGGCTTGTACTCTTCTAACGAAGCCAAGATTTCCTCGTCAGTGCGCTGATCAGTGGGTTCGACATAGTGCAGACGGTCCTCGAACTCTTGAGGGATAGTAAACTTCCGCGTAGGGGCCATGGTTCGACGATTGAGAGATGCGATGGACATGGAATATTCAGAAGAAAGGCGTCGACTCAAGAAGCAGATATGAGCACATCACTTACTGACCAGTCTGCCATTCCATTTATACATGAACTGGACCCCAGGTGATATTCCAACATTTGGCCTGGATTGGTTTCGGTGCATGAGGCTAGTCGTTGAATGCTACGTGGTTGGTTAACGCTGTCGCATCTTTGGGCCTGAACTGGGGGCCAAAGAACTCCTTGGTCTCAGGGTGACAGGGGATGGATATCAAGCCGGTCAAGTTTCCCGTTTCCGCTCTCGCGTTGCTACCATGCAAATATGGCCATCTTTCTAGTTTGGTGTCTGGTGGGTCGCCTAGAAGTTCTGGTCCCAGTAATACTGGACCTGGTGGAAGATGGCGTTGGAGGTGATCCTGAACAAAAGAGGGGAGTGAAGCATGGTGAATTGCGCCGAGTCCCTCTGATAGATGACAACCCTCGTATTGTTCAAAGTGAGGGTGAAGAGAGGCCAAGGAGAAGATCTTCAAACATAGAGGAGCAGAGATTATGGGGCACGTGACGCATCACGTGGAGCACGAGTCAGTCTCACCGCTTACATAATAAAACTGCCTAACCATCTTAGCACTAGCGTCAAGTACGATTGAGGAGATTCGCGATGCGCGTGCCATTCAATTCCCGCCTCGCGTCACTTACAGTAGGCGATCCAACAATCATTCGCAACTGTCTCCTTGTCGGGCCTGTTGCGTACGCCTCTTAGAACATTGACGCCGCCGACAACTTCATCCGTGCATCATGTATATCAAGCAGATAACCATTCAAGGCTTCAAGAGGTGAGGAGTGTCCCAAACGCACGAACCGGGAAACAACCTGACCGATGGCCACAGCTACAAAAATCAGACCGTGGTCAATCCTTTCTCCCCGAAACTCAACGTTGTCGTCGGTCGCAATGGGTCGGGCAAGAGCAATTTCTTTGCCGCTATCCGATTTGTTCTCAGCGATGCCTATTCGCAGATGGGACGCGAAGAGCGACAAGCCCTTATCCACGAAGGATCTGGTTCCGCAGTCATGTCGGCCTACGTGGAGATAGTGTTTGATAACTCGGATGGCCGCTTCCCTACCGGAAATGACGAGCTCATCCTGCGCCGGACGATCGGTCTCAAGAAAGATGAATATTCGCTCGACCGCAAGAATGCGACGAAACAGGATGTGGTGCAGCTGCTGGAAAACGCTGGATTCTCGCGCGCAAACCCATACTACATCGTCCCTCAAGGTCGCATCACCCGGCTGACCAACATGAAGGACTCGGAGCGTCTGGACGTCCTAAAAGGCGTCGCTGGCACCCAGCTATTTGTTGCCAAAAAGGAAGAGTCCCAGAAGATCATGAGCGACACCAACAATAAACTCGCCGCCATTGATCAGACGTTCGAGCAGATCGAAGACCGTCTCAAGGAACTCGAAGAGGAGCAAGCCGAACTCCGGGATTTCCAGGAGAAAGACCGCGAGAAGCGTGCACTCGAATACACCCTGTTCCATCGAGAGCAAGATGAGATCAATAGGGCGCTGGCGCAGTTGGAAGATCGGAGAGTGGGCGGTATCGACGAAGTCGACGAGAATCAAGAACGTTACGCGCAGGGAGAGGACGATCTGGCCAGGATTTCGCAGCAAATTCAGCAACTCAATCATCAGATCCAGGCAGCGCGGCTTGAGAAGAGGCAATATGAAGATGAAAAGCGAGAGAAGACAAAAGCACGAGCGCAGGTCGAGCTGGAGGAGAGGAATCTCGTCCATGGACAAGCTGCGGCCGAACGTGCCATGCGGGATCGTAACAAAGAGCTGAAACAAGTTCGAGCGCAGATCCAGGAGATCGAACAGGAACTGAGTACCATCATTCCACAATTCGAGGCGGAGAGGGCTAAGGAACAGGCCGTCAAAGCGCGGCTCGAGGAAGCGACTGCCACGCAGCAGCGGCTCTACGCCAAACAAGGGAGGAATGCTCGTTTCAAGTCCAAGAGAGATCGGGACAGCTGGCTCCAAACGCAAATCGACGAAACGTTCCAGTCCCTGTCCCGTTTCAAAGCCACTCGGATGCAGACGGCCGAGGGCATCGCAGACGACGAAAAACAGATTGCCACTCTCGAGAAGGAGTTGGAAACCCTCCAGCGGCGACTGGGCGCGCAGGACCATTCTATCGACGAAGAGATCCAAGCGGCCAATGAAAGACGAGACATGCTGATGGACGAGCGAAGGGGGCTGTGGCGCCGGGAAGCGCAGTTGGACTCGGAATACGCAGGGGCCCTGGATGACCTGAGAAAGGCTGAACGCAACCTTTCGCACATGATGGATGGCAACACCAGCCGAGGTCTGGAGGCCATTCGGCGCATCAAAGAGCAGTACAATCTGGATGGTTGCTACGGTCCGCTGGCGGAACTGATTGACGTTCCTCAGCACCACACGGCCGTGGAGGTCGTCGGAGGAACTTCTCTCTTCCATTACGTCGTGGATAATGACGACACGGCGAGCCGGGTCATGGAGATCTTGAATCGAGAGCGCGCCGGTCGAATCACCTTTATGCCGCTGAATCGACTGAAGGCGAAGACGGCCAACTTCCCCAACGCGCAAGATGCAAGACCGCTCATGTCACTCATCAATTACGACAAGAAGTTCGAGAAGGCCGTCCAACATGTTTTTGGCAAATCAATCATCGCCCAGAACCTCAGCGTCGCGGCGCAGTACGCTCGGACTCATGGCTTGACCGCGGTGACTCCAGAGGGCGACCGGTCAGACAAGAAAGGTGCATTGACTGGTGGCTACCACGATGTCCGCTCGTCGAGACTCAAAGCAATGAAGGCGGTGGTGGCAGCCCGGGAGAAATTCGAAGCCGTCAAGGCGGAGGGCAACAGCAACAAGCGGAAGATTGAACGGATCGACCAGACCATCACCAAGGCCATGAGTGAGGTTCAGAAACTGGAGCAGCAAAAGAACCAGTCTCAAAGTGCGCAGGTCATGGTCAGGCAAGAGATCAGAAGCAAGATGGACATGCTACAACGCAAGAAAGAAGACCTCGAGGCGAAAAAGAAGCAAGAGGCGTCGATTGCGGCCAACGTCAAGATCCTGACTGACCAACAAAATGCTTACCAAGCTGAGTTGGGCTCCGACTTTAAGAAAGCACTGAGTGCGGCCGAAGAGAAGCAGCTGGAGGATCTTGCCGTCAGCATCCAGAACCTGAGGCGCGAATACAACGAACTGTCGGCATCGAGAGCGGAAACCGAAACCAGAAAAGCGGACTTGGAAGCTCGATTGACCTCCAGCCTGAAGCCTCAACTGGCGGCGCTCGAGACTGACGATGTGGACGAAGAAGCAGGCAGTTCCTCCCACCTCCGAGCCAAGCGCGCGGAATTGGCACGTCTGACCAAAGAGCTCGAAAAGATCCAAGGTTATCTGGATGAGCTCGAGGAGAGGTTGGAGTCTTCGGCGGCCCAGGTCGCCGAGCTTGAGGCTCAGGAGGTCGAGGTCAGACGACAACAAGAAGCATTGGCCAGGGAGATTGAACGCCACCAGCGCCGTCTGGAGAAATCCGTCCAGAAGAAGGCTGCTCTGTTGGCCTCGAAGCAGGAGACCTTGGAGAACATCCGCGAACTCGGCGCCATCCCCGAGGACTTGCGGACGAAGTACCAGAATACCGACTCGAATGCTATCGTGAGGAAGCTCCAGAAAGCAAAGGAAGCCCTGAAGAAGTACAATTCCGTCAACAAGCATGCCTTTGAGCGCTATCGAAATTCGATGAAGCAGCGGGAAGAGCTGACTGCACGACGAAAAGAGCTTCAGGCCGGGAGGACATCGATCGAGACCCTGATCGAAAGTCTGGATCAGCAGAAAGATGAAGCGATTGAGCGCACATTCAAGCAGGTCAGCAAGGCGTTTGCAGAAGTGTTCCAGAAGCTGGTCCCTGCCGGTCGGGGTCGATTGATCATTCAACGAAAAGCCGACAAGAGGCAAGCAGACGACGACGATGACGAACCGGATGCCGGACCTGCTAACAGTCGCGGGGTGGAAAACTATACGGGCGTGGGCATCAGCGTCAGCTTCAACAGCAAACATGACGACCAGCAGCGAATTCAACAGTTGAGTGGTGGTCAGAAGAGTAAGAAGGCGACTATTTCTGGCGACGGCTTTTTCCTTCTTTGCTAACTTTGCTCCATAGGTCTTTGCAGTCTTGCCCTCATCTTTGCCATCCAGGCCACTGACCCGGCACCGTTCTACATCTTCGACGAGATTGACGCGAATCTCGACGCCCAGTACCGAACTGCTGTGGCCGACCACCTCTTATACCTGGCGAACCGGGCCGAAGAGGAACCCATGAATGGCGACGACAAACCCATGGGCGGCCAGTTCATCTGCACCACATTCCGACCTGAAATGCTGAGGGTGGCTGACAAGTGTTTCGGCGTGCGCTTCGGTAACAATGTGAGCAGCATTCGGGAGGAGACGAAGGAGAATGCATTGGATTTCATTGAGAGCCAGGCACAATGATAGGGCGGCGTGAGGCAATCACTGGTCTCTGTGCTGGCCGTGCAAGGATATATGATCTTAAGTTTCAGGTACAGATGATGATGATGATGAAGAATGATGAGGGAAGGCTCTACGATACGATACCATTGATGGGCTGGTCTATTCTAATCTCGGCCTATTACCATCTTCACCATCACTACTCGCTCTGTGTGTGTGTGTATATATACAGTATGTGTGTATGGGTGTTGGGTTGTGTTGTGCCGAGCGCGTAAAGTGCAACGCGTCCGTGTCAACAATGCCAAGCCATTGACGTGCCTGTGGATCCCGACGCCAGTTTTTGAGTGCAACAAATTTCCATCCGTTTTCTCTTCCTTCCCGCCTGGCGGCAGCCAGCGACGGACCCCTGCGTTTTGATTCTTCAAGTCGTTTGTCTTCACCATCGAGCACGATACCGGTTGGACGGCTTCTATTGGGTCTACACACACACCTTTCGACCTCGACTGGTCGAGTGGCACCTCACTTCGGACTCGACAAAATAGTTCTCCTCCGGTCTCCCTTCCCCCACTGCATCTCCTAGACTCCCTTGTTCAAGATGAAGTACGTTCTCGTGAGTGGTGGTGTGATCAGTGGGATCGGCAAGGGCATCATTGCGTCGTCGACGGGCCTTCTGCTCAAGACGGTGGGCTTGAAGGTCACGGCGATTAAAATTGATCCATACCTGAACGTGGATGCAGGCACTATGGCCCCGACTGAGTATGCAGACACCTTTGGCTGCGCCGTCACGCATCCGTCTAACTCTCTTGCAGGCATGGCGAGTGTTTTGTCCTGGACGACGGCGGCGAGGTTGACCTCGATCTCGGGAATTACGAGCGATATCTCAACGTAACATTGACCTTCGAGAATAGCATCACGACGGGCAAAGTGTATCAGCACGTCATTGAGCGGGAGAGACGCGGAGACTACCTGGGTAAGACGGTCCAGGTGGTGCCTCACATCACCAATGCGATTCAGGACTGGATTGAAAGAGTGGCAAGAATCCCTGTGGATGACACAAAGGAACAGCCGGACGTCTGCATCATCGAGCTCGGCGGGACGGTCGGTGACATCGAGAGTGCTCCCTTCATCGAGGCTATGCGACAGCTACGGAGAAGAGCAGGTCGTGACAATTTCATCCACATCCACGTGTCGCTGGTGCCGGTCATCGGCAGTGAGCAGAAGACGAAACCGACACAGCAAGCCATCCGGGACGCACGCTCAGCGGGTCTGGCACCTGACTTGGTAATGCTGATTTCTCCTGTGCTGTCTCGTGGTGGCCACAGACTAATGATGATGATCAGATTGCTTGCCGTTGCCAGGAACAACTGGTCGAGGCGACGACGAACAAGATCGCCATGTTTTGCCAAGTGGAGCCTTCGCAAGTCCTCGCGGTCCACGACGTCGAGTCGACATACCATGTACCGCTCCTGCTTCAGGAACAAGGTCTGCCTGAGCAGCTCCGCGAGCTCTTCCGTCTCGACGCGTACAAGATTGCACCTGCACTGGTCGCCAAAGGCCAGCATATATGGCAGGAATGGAAGCGATTGACCACGTCCCAAGACCGCTTCTTGGAGTCGGAGATCATCAACATTGCCTTGGTCGGCAAATACACCAACCTTCACGACTCTTATCTCTCGGTCATCAAGGCTCTGGAACACAGTGCCATGGCGTGCCGGCGCAAACTCAACCTTGTCTGGGTGGATGCCAGCAATCTCGAAAAATCCACGCTGGATTCAAATCCTGAAAAGTACCACAAGGCCTGGCACGAGCTGTGCACGGCCGACGGTGTCCTCGTCCCGGGTGGCTTCGGACATCGTGGGACGGAAGGGATGATCGCCGCGGCCAACTGGGCTCGAACCAAGCCCAAACCATATCTCGGAATCTGCCTGGGCATGCAAGTCGCGGTGGTCGAGTATGCCCGCAACATGTGCGGCATGAAGTCGGCTCACTCGGTCGAACTCGACGCCCAGACCCCGGATCCCGTGGTCATCTTCATGCCGGAGATCGACAAGACCACCATGGGTGGCAATATGCGCCTGGGCCTGCGCCCGACCATCTTCCAGGAGAACACGCAGTGGTCGCGGCTGCGGAAACTGTACAACAACGAACCCAGCATCAACGAGCGGCACCGTCACCGCTACGAAGTGAACCCGGAGTACATCTCTCGCTTGTCCGATGCCGGCTTGACCTTCATCGGCAAGGACGACAAAGGTGAGCGTATGGAAGTCATGGAGCTGAAGGACCACCCGTTCTTTGTGGGTGTCCAGTTCCATCCCGAGTATCTGAGTCGGGTCCTCAGGCCCAGTCCCCCTTACCTGGGCTTCGTGGCGGCGAGCGCGGGCATGCTGGAGCAGGCATTCTCTGCCGTGGCGGCACGGGACGAGGCCCTCAACGGCGAAGGCGTTCACGTGCCGATTCACAACGGCGTCAACGGCTCCTTGACCAACGGCATGAGCCAGGTGACACTTTCGTCCTCTTCCGGCTTCTAGATGGCGAGCGACGAAATACAGCACGGCATCACTCTTTTCCACACACACAGACACACACTCGCTCGCTATCCGCCCATCCATCATCTTTGTGCCTCACGAATGAATTTGACATGAGATATTATCATCGTACGCCTTGGGACTTGCATCTGGTTAAGGACTTTCAGGAAATGTTGCATGATGGTACGCAACGCAACGCAACGCAACGCAACGCAACGCAACGCACGAAATTTATAGAATCCGTAACAGGGCCCGTCCGGGTCTGAATTGCAATTGGATTTGGCTATCAGGGGGCCGTACACACACTGGTGAGGACGGTGTTATATATGTCATTCGTATCGTCTATGTCTTCGATGTCTTGTTCTTAGGCGGGCTTCTTTCATGTGCCACGGACGACGTACCGTCCCTCCTTTTTATATGAATCATGAACATGAATCCTGGGTTTGCGGATTTGCACACCATGCACCACCTTCTTCTTCTTCTTCCCTATCCGGGTAATGTCCTGCGCTGGTTCTGTGCTGCATGTAGACCCCCCCTTCATTCACTCAACTCTCTGTCTTATGGCCGGTTGAATAGGATGTATAGGATGTATAGGGTGTATGTGTAAACAAGCACGTGTTGACTTCAGGCTCAGGACTCTCTTGTCCTGCTTTACGCCGCCCTCTCGCTCGAGACTAGTCATCACGAGGACGAGCTGTCCCACTGCCTGCACCGGCACCGGCATTCCCTGGCAGCGGCGCCGTCGTTGCAGTAGCAGTGGCAGTGGCAGAAGAGCCTTTAGTGTTATGATGATTGTCGTCGAAAGGCTTGCCGCCCAGTCTCTCACGGTGGGTGTGCCTGTGGGTTTTTTTGCCGTCGACATCGACGACACGTTGGACCACCCCCGGCTCCTCATCCTCGTCGTCGAGGACGAAGACTGCGGCGCCGTGCTCGAGATCGTCGTCGCCACGGTTGCCGCCGTCGCCGTCGTCACCGTCACCGTCAATATCCCCATCAAGCTCACCGGGATCCTGGGAGATGCCCAACCTCGCCCGCTCGCGATCCACCCACCGCCGCCACGGCTTGTAGCACAGCACACTGGCGCCGCCCACGACCACGAAGCTGCCGCAGATGGCGCCGCCGATGACCTCGTACAGGTCCCCCGCGCGTGCGACGCCGTCCCAGAAGGCGCCCTTGGGCGAGGCCACGTTGAGGACGAGCGAGAGCAGCTGCAGCATGCCGATGATGATGGCGCACAGCACCGTCAGCGACGTCAGCACGATCGAGTAGTAAAGGAACGTCAGGGGGTCTTTGACCCGGGCGGTAGGGGTGTGTTGTTGCTGCTGTGGTGGCGGCTCCGTCGACGTCGCTGGCTGGATCGCGGATTGTTCCACATCCACCAAGATCAGCGGCTCGTCGGGTGTCGAGATGATTTGCTCGGGAATGCCGTGCTGACTCTGGATCTCGTCGCTGGAGGACCCCTTCTTGCTCATCGTGCCCATGCCCATGGGCGCCACGTACAGACTCATCATCAGGGCGCCGTCGATGGTGTCGACGAGGCACATTCCCGCCGTGAACAGGACGGGGAAGATCAGGATGAGCCAGATGCTCGTCCCTTTCGCGCCCTGGATGCTGCTGATTCCCAGGAGGGCGATCTCGGAGCTGGTGTCGAAGCCCATGCCGAAGAGCACGCCGAGCGGGTACATCTTCCACGGCCGGTCGATGAGCTTGAACATCCTCTTCAGCACGCGGAACAGGCAGCCGCCGCCCTCGATCTTCCACGCCTCAGCGGCCTCCTGATCCGGCCGCAGCCGGATGACCTTGCGGATCTGCACCACCAGCTTGTACAGGATGTACGCGTTCATGATGCCCAGGAGGATCAGGAATGCGGCCGAGACAGACGTCCCGATGATGCCCCCGACGGTGCCGAAGCTGTCGAACCGGCCCGCGATGCCGGCGGCGGTGGCGGCCACCACGATCGACGTGATGATCACGATGGTGCTGTGGCCCAGGCTGAAGAAGGTCCCCACGGTCACGGGTCGTTGGCCCGTGGCAATCAGCCGCCGCGTCATCAGGTCGATGGCCGAGATGTGGTCGGCGTCCAGGGCGTGGCGGAGACCCAACGTGTACGCCAATGCGGCCGTGGACAGAAGGTGGGTGTGCGAAGAGAGAATCAGGCCACAGATCGCCCAGACCACGAGGTTGACCAGGATGAGCAATGTGACAATCAATATGACCGACAAAGGAAGCTTGCGAAGGTATGGGACGCCATCGTGAAGGGCGGAGAGGCGACGGTGTATGTCCCGTCGTCGTCTTTGCAGCCGTGTCTTCCACGTCCTTGGTAACGGTGTTGTCGAAGAAGCGTCACGCTCCTCTCTCGAGCCCGATGTTACCATGGCTTGCTTGCTTTTTCCCCTCTGGAAAATTCTTACCCACAACAAGCTCCCTGTTGTTCTTCTGTTGTGTTTTCTGCTTTTCCCGTTCTCTCTCCTTCGACGCCGACCTCAACAGCAGCTGCACGAGCAGTTGCAGGACGTTCTGTGTGTCGTGAGACGAGGTTGGACGAAGGAGAGAGCAAGGATGTTCCGGAAGACCAGAGTTTTGTGACAGACAGAGAGACCCAATTGGTGATGTATAGCGTCGCGGGGTCAGGGTCATGGATGGATGGGGAGCGTGTCCCTAGTACTCCGTAATCAAAGCTTGCAACGGGCTTGTGTGGTTGAGTGAAGCCGTGATTGGGGAGCGTCGTGGGTGTGCGGGGTGTGCGATAAGCTGAAGCTGCAAAATACCCCTCGCCGGATAGTCGCCCAGATCCAGTATGTGAGACATGCTCGTTTCGGGCATGTATCCAGCCAGATCCGTCGATATATTGCAATGGGCTCTCCAGGGACAGGCAAAACATGAGACTAACTGACTAACCGTGTCCATACAAGACGAGATGGGCAATAACAAGGCTGTGTGCCAAGGAGTGCTCGGCCTTGTTGTTACGGTCTCGTATCTGTCATTACAGACCGAATACGCCAACATGTCACAAGGCTGAGTGCCGCCAAGACTTTTCCGCCCTCGGCTGGTCGACTGAATTGATATGTAATATAAATTCCACAGGCCAAAGTTACTTTTCTCCTTCTCTTTTCCCCTCTCTGTGTCGTGGGCTCTACCGTATATATACCATATATTGCTACCAAAAACATCCCAGGCTAAGGGGGACAAACCACAGCGAAATCGTCAACATGCCGTGGCCGCCACTCCAGGAACGTCTGTTCAATCTGCTGGAACCGGGCTTCCTGCTCTACCACAGCGCCCTTGGTAGGTTCCGTGTCTGTCTCTGTGACTCTGACTTGGTCAAGAAAAAGACAATCATGACGAGGGAGGGCTCTGACAGAAGATGTGGCAGCCTTCATCACCACCGCCTTTCAGTTCTATATCCTGCAGTGCAACCTGCCATCGACATCCAATTTCAAGAACGTGCGGGATGATGCGTTCTCCAAGTTCTGGACCAAAAATACACGTACGTTGAACTCCCTATCGTGACCCTCTGTTGGGGACAAGGACAACACGGCCAAGGTGTTTATGACTATATTCTCTCCAGAACCCGTCGATCCTCCTGCTCCTCCCACGGGCTCGGCGACGCTCGTCCCGCCCCTACTATCCCGTGCACGCGGGGTGGTTCTGGACATCGGACCCGGGTCTGGATCGTACGTATCGTTGTTTGCCGACAACGCCAACATCAGCGCCGTGTACGGGGCAGAGCCGACACCCGGTCTGCACCGCCCGCTGCAGCAGCGGGTCAACGAGGCCAAATTGAGCGGCAAATACCACATCCTCAACAGCAGCGCCGACAAGGCCGAGCTGCTGGCGGCGCTGGCCAAGGAGGGCGTCAAACCGTCGCCCCAGGGCCTCTTCGACACGATCGTGTGCGTGCGGGTGCTGTGCTCCGTGCCCAACCTGGAGCGGGCTGCTGAAGAACTGTACTCGCTGCTGCGACCCGGCGGCGAGCTGATGATCGTCGAGCACATCCGCAATCCCTGGACGAAGAACGGCAGCGTCCTGGGCCGCCTAATGCAGCGCCTCTACCACCTCCTGGGCTGGCAGTTCTTTCTCGCCGGCTGCAACATGGACCGTGACACGCCCGCCATAGTGAGGAAGGCCGGCGCGTGGGAGGCCGTCGACGTCAAGACCTATTACGAGTGGACCGCCCTGCCGTATGCCGCGGGGACGTTTACGAAAAAGAGATAGTCGGGCGCGTGGTTGCCACGACCTGTTGGGGAAGTCGAGACGAAAAGCGCGAGTCCCATCAACTGGGCCAGTCGAATGTGAAAATGCAAGAAGGTGGTGGTGTAAGTATGCATGTGCTGTTTGCTTTGTCTGCAAGGTGGCATAAAGGGCCCCGTCTGTTCAATTCAGACCTCCGCCACCAAGTGAGGCGACCAAGGCTGTCTGTCTGGAGCCTACATCTGGGCCTGATCGCTGTTGTCCGGCCCGTGGAAGCTGCGTGTCTTAGCGTATATTATGCGTCCGCATGTACATATCCGTCCAGTGTGTGCATGATCCTTCATGTCTTGCTTTCAACAAGTCATGCCCCCGGATGGGGACAAACAGATGTTTTCAACTCCATTTCCATTCTCCTCGCGGTTTGTGATCATACTCAAGCCATTTATGCAATCTTAACAAATCATTTTGTTCTCTTCTCTTTCTTTTCCACCGACATGGACTCCAGCGGGTGTCTGCGGAACTCAGCAATCGCCATTCCCGTTGTTGAAAAATGGCCGACACAAAGAAAGGTTTGATATCGGAAGCAAAGTTTGGCGTGTGCGATATGTTTGTTTCCATTCTTTTTTCTTTCGGCCTCAGCCAAAGGAAAAAACCTGAAGATGTATTGGCAAGATATACATCTCCCATCATTTGGCGCCCTTTCCAACATATACCACCTTTTTCTCCCCAATCATTGCAGCTCCTTCATTTCCGAAATGTCGTCCCCCGACCTTACCAAAAGCCCTGAGTCTTCGGACCCCAGTGAAAAGAGCAATTACGACGTTCCGGACGAAGAGACCGTCAGACACCTCGCTCTCTTCGCTTCACGACATGACTCCAACGACAACACCGGTAGCGGTCCTGGTAGTGGTGGCGACGACGACGACGACGATGACGACCTGCCTGCCACCCTCATTCGCGAGCTCGAGGCGGCTCCCCTGTTCTCCAGTCACGTCAAGCAATGCCTCAACGCGTGCACCGACGACGACGACATGCCCCGACTCCCCGCCTACGGCCTCTTGGGGCTGCGGACGCGCGCGGTCAACGGGTCGGACGGGACCACCACTTCGGGGCGGGATCTGGACAAGGAGGACAATCTGATCTACACCAACATGCAGCACCCGTGGTCGACATTCATCTGTGGCCAGCAAGGCGCGGGCAAGAGCCACACCATGTCATGCCTGCTCGAAAACGCCCTCATCGGTGACAGCAGCGCCGGTGGCGGCGGCATGGGACCCAATCCAACGCCCATGGCCGGGCTGGTGTTCCACTACGACAAATTCACCTCGGCGCGCGCCACCCAGATCTGCGAAGCCGTCTACCTCAGCTCGCAGGCCGGCATCAAGGTGCAGGTGCTGGTGTCACCCTCGAACCTGACCGCCATGCGACACCTGTACCGTCACCTGCCGAACTGGCCGCGCGGGGCGCCCCGGCCGGAGGTCCTCCCGTTCCTGTTCAGCGAGACCCAGCTCAACGTGGCCAACATGAAGGCGCTCATGGCCGTCGACAGCGAGGACAAGAACCCGCCCCTGTACATGGCCATCGTCAACAAGGTGCTCAAGCAGCTGTCCCTCGTGGGTCAAACCACGGGGATCAGGTACCAAGCGATGAAACAGGCGGTCAGCAACGAAGGGTTGACCCCCTCGCAGACATGCTTCCTGGAGATGCGCTACAGCCTGATCGAGTGGTTCCTGAAGGAGACGACGGCGCAGGCCATCCGCAAAAAGGCCGGGGAAATCCAGTTCGGTCCGGGGACGCTGTTGATCGTCGACCTGAGCTGCCCGTTCGTGACCGAGACGGACGCGTGCACGCTGTTCTCCATCTTCCTGCAGATCTTCCTGGGCCAGCGCCACAAGAGCCCGTTGATCATCGCCCTGGACGAAGCACACAAGGTAAAATTTCCCCTCCCCTGTCCCTGTCCCCTTGCTTGCCCTGTTTACCTACCCTTTTCTTCCAAGGAAACAGAAACTGACATTGCTGACCAGTTCCTGACCGAGACGCCCGCGGCCAAAGCTTTCTCGGAGGACCTGGTGCAGATCATCCGCCAGCAGCGCCACCTGGCCACGCGCGTGGTGATCGCGACGCAGGAGCCGACCATCTCGCCCAAGCTGCTCGACCTGTGCACCGTGGCCGTCGTGCACCAGTTCCAGTCGCCGGAGTGGTACAAGGTCCTGCAGAAGCACGTGGCGGCGTTGGCGCAGGGCCCGGCGCGGCGGTGGAAGCGGACGAAGAAGAACGGCAGCAGCAGCAGAAGAAGAAGCGTGGGCGGAGGAGACGGTTATGGAGACGGAGAAAACAACGACAGTGACCACAACGACGACGACAACAACGACGCCGATGACGATCAGGACATCTTCAAGACCATAGTCCGCCTACGACAGGGCGAGGCGCTGGTGTTCTGTCCCAAGGCGTATTTTGACGTGACACATCATCACCATCATCAACGTCACCGTCCCGACTTCCATCCGCTGGAGGACGGCTACGCCCAGGTCACGATCCGAGGCCGGGTCACGGCGGACGGCGGGAGGAGTATTCTGGCGTCTGATCGTGTCTGATCTGGAGAAGGAGGAGTAAGATGAAACAGAGAGAGAGGGCGGAGTGAGATAGACAGCAGAGAGCGAGCATGTATGTATGTATGTATGTATGTATGTAGGTCTGCCTGCATCTGGGTAGGTAGGCGTGAGGCCGGCAGCCGGTTAGCTAGCTAGCCGCCACTTGATATGGCATGCGACGATGAAGAAGGAGAAGGAAAACGACAAGGGGAAGAAGAACATGTGAGAGTGGGTTTCGCTACTACATATTTACATATCAATTAATGGAAGGAATTTGATAGTCAAAAGAGCTATTAGTTATTAGACCACAATCCCTTCCCTCCCGGGCTCCGTTCTCCTTCAGTAGTCATTTTCTTAAGCTTGAATGAACCTGGTCTCCAATAATCATAATCCTACAACACAAGACAGGTCTCTCTCTCTCTCTCCCTCTCTCTCAATCTCGTCCTGGATCAAGCGACAGACAACAAACAAAGCAAAGCAAAACACCATTCGTTGGTTGGGGCAGATCCCATCTCTTGCGCGATTTTCCATAAGACAATGAATGCACTTGTTTTCCTTCTCCCAAGCCCCCCCTGCCCGGCCCAATGCACAAGACTGATGGGCTTTTCGGACTGCGTTCCATCCACTAGGATGGATGGATGGTGCCCGTAGCCCCATTGCCAGTCTTTCTCTCTGTTCTAGCCTCCCTCGCTCGCCCGGTCGGGCTTCAGGTAGGGGAACAGCGAAGCTCTTCTCGGGTTGTTTGAAGATTGCCGCCGACAGACCTCATCTAGGTGATTTACCACCTCCTGCAGCGTCGGTCTGATGGTCTGGTCAGTTGCTAGCATGCTTCTGGTAACCCGGGCAGCAGCGCTGACATGAGGTCGACGACGATCGTCCACGGCTTGCAAGTCGTTCAGCGCTTCTTCCACCCAAGGAGTCAGCACCACCACACCGCCCTTGTCTCGCTCCCAAAACCTTAACGTGTCTGGAGACCCGAACCTCTTCTTGTAATTGCTCAAAAATGCCCAGGTCAACACTTGGAGAAAGGTGCAGCCCAAGGACCATACATCCGAGGCAGGACCTTGTCCCTTGCTGGACTTGAATTCAGCTATTTCTGGCGGGCGGCAGTGTCTCTCCTGGGAGGCATCGTCGCTTTCCTCGTCGGCGTGTGCTCTGGATGACTCTGGCACAGGGGTCGGGGCATTGTGTTTCAACGTGCCAGATCTCAGGCTGAACGAACTCAGGATGCCAGATTTCCGATTGCCAGATTTTAGGACATCAGAACTTGGGGGCCCAGATTCCAGTGTGCCAATCTTCCAGACGGCTTTTCCATCATCCATGGTAAAGATCAGGATGTTGTCTGGAGAGATTCTATGATACCATCCCCTCATAATTGAGTCGTGGTGGAGATGGAGAACAAGGACTGCTGAAGCGATCCCGCACAGCTGCAGCCACAGGTCAGAAAGCAGGAACTCGTCTGTAGGCTTGTCCTGGGACATGTACGCGGGTAGGGTTGTTTCCGGGGCCAGAGAGAGTAGTTCGATGAAACCGGACCTGGTCCATGCCTGAACCCATTTCACTAAGTTGGGGTGGTCGAAATGATCAATTGTTGCTTTGACCTCATCCCATACGAGATCCATTGCTTTGTCGCTTGACCGAATCTGTTTCAGCACGAACAATTGCTCAAAGTTCTATACTGGGTGAGCGACGAGTATGTTCTTGGATACCGAAAAAGACTCACCTTGCTGAAGTGTTGATAACCGGGTTCTACCGTGACCAAACATTGGTCGCCAGACGAATCTAGGGACCAGCGAGGCGAGATATCGGGATCCGGCTCCAGCAGCGGAAGCACCTTGTCCTGGCACTCGCAAACTGTTTTGCAACCCTCCTTCCATGCAAATGGAGACACAACGCGCGTAGCCCAAGCCAAGGCTTTCAGCCATTCTCCTCCTGGCTTAAGATATTGGGCTATCATCGGATGCTGTTTAGTGATCGACTCGATGCGCCCCCAAAATTCCAATGATTTGAATCGAGTATGATAGGCGATATCCATGGCGGAGCTTTCATTGTCGAAACCGTTGAAGGCAAGGACCCAGAAAGGAAGTAGGTCTAGACCTTCTAGAATACATGCGGCTAGTAACTGCCATCCATCTGCTGCGATCCTTTCGGGTAAACCGTCCGGCATAGATAGGCACCCAGCCTTTATGTACTGCTCACGGTTGGGGATGCGCGCTTGGACATGCAGTAGCATGATGCCATGCTCTTCGAGACCGCTCGAATGTGCCTTTCGGCAATAAAGCATTGTCCTGCATAGTTGATTTGTTTGTAGCATTGGAGGTGGGCTTCGAGATCGGTTATAAGCGGCTGCTTGCCCAGTTCATGACTCCTCTGCCCACTTTTCATCACAGCATAGCAGAGAGTGAGCTGCGGCAGTGGGTGGGTTCTGACTAATGGAAGACTTTGCAACAAGCGGAGCTGCTCTTCTCTGGTGTAGAACCAGCTTTTCTGGGCAGCACCTGGGTACCTCAAGCTGCCCCAGTGGAGGTAGTAGTGGTTGTATTGGCCCTCTGGTAGGAGTCTGTAATGTTTGTAGCGAACCACATCGTTCAGATCCGAGAGACAATCGCTGCTTTGCAATTGCGTCGAGCTGATGTGCCAGGTGAAGGTTACGGATGTCGGGCATTCGAAACGGTGCGAGTATCGTAACTCGATGGCGACACGATAGCTCGGACATAATCTATCGATCAGTTGCGCCATGTAAGACACCGCTTCTGCTTCTGCTTCTGCGCTGGCTGCCATTGTGACGGAACAAAAAAACACGTTTCGCTGATGTTCTGGGAGTGAGCCATGTGCTGGGAGTGAATATTTATACACAGGAAAGGGGTTGTTGTTGCACAGGATGTGAGGAATGCACAGGGTGGGAGGGAGGAATGCAGAGGGAGCGAGGAATGTGGAGGACAGCTATTAAGACGGCGGGACTGACTAAGCCTAATTAGGCCGTTAAACACGGTCCGGCCGTTGATTCGGTGTCTGATTGGTCGGGACTTGACTGCATGAGGGCCGAGTGTAAGGATTAGTGGTCTCCTTGTTTTTGTTTGTAGCGAGAGTATGGTGATAGAAAACAATCTTAATATCTTTCGTCTCCACCATCCTGTATCTCCTGCCTTGAGCTGTCAACCTGGCCCTTGTTCAGTACAGGAAGTGAGGAAGGTGAACGCTGGTGTGGTGTCAGGGTGAGTTAGACAAAGGCCATGACTTAAGTTGACCTAGGTAGATGCTGTGGCAGAGGGTTAAACTAGACAAAGGCGGTGACCTAAGTTGAATCAGACAAAGGCGGTAACATAAGTTGACTTAGACAGAGGCTGCGGCATGGGTTGATTTGGACAAAGGATGACAAAGACTGTGGCTTGGGTTGACTTAAACTAAAGCTGTGGCATGGGTTGAACAAGATAGAGGCTGTGGTATGGGTTGACTTAGACACAGGCCGTGGTATGGGCGCAGCCTTGCGAGGGTCTGCAAGGCAGCGCCAGCACACGAAAGCAGATATGGCAGGGGCCAGGAGAACAAAAGCCTCAGGACTCCCATTTTATCCAGAATGCTCTCCATATACAACATACCTTGAACCTAGGTATCCCTCTCTCAGCAAGTTGCACAGCAAAATTCCTTGGATATCTGGTATATCCCTCGTTATATTCCTCGTTGAAAATGTGCTCGATCACCACCATTTTATCACTTCCGGGCCAATTTGCGGGCGCAAGGAATGCTATTGACCTCCTGCTCAAAGACCGACAAAACGCGGTCACTTACAACACGGTCCACTCTGCGGTCAAGAACGACCTGGAGGTCGCAGATCACAAATTGAAGCTGTGGTGCCGCGACTGGCATTTTCAACAGGGCGTTTCCACGACATTGGCTGCTTCATACTGGGGTGACCTTGCTCCTGCTTTCATGAATGATCGAATCAATGTGATTGCAAGCCAACTCAGTGAGTTCCGGATCCTTCTGGAAATGTATCGTCCGAGCAGGTCAAAGATACGCAGGGTTTTAAGGGCAGGGCTTCTGAAGGATGTCAAGGTCCAATTGGACACAACTGTGAAGAGCCTGGAGAGTCTCGAGGCGGATTCATGGAAATGGCTCTGCCAGAAATACAAAGTTGCGGAGAGCGATAAGTGGCGGGCTCACCTTGCTGCTCGACATGAATCATATCTTCTCTGTCTCGCCGGAGAGTATCGACAGGTTGCAGGCCAACTTGACCACCTTGGCGAACATTACCGACAACCCGGAATTTCGTTTCCATATGAACCGGATCTGGGACTTGACCTTGCCCCTGGTCTTGAAATATGGCAATGTCTATCGAAACTGGAGGAAATTTCGAGAGAGAATCGGATCATCCACTTCGTATACTTTCGACCGCGAGCAACACCAGGTCTACAGCCTATCAACGTGGCAGCACAAACAAGGCAACCCGCAGACTCCCCCCCAGTAGGGTCGATGAGCCATATGTTCCTTGAAGTCGAGCTCATGAAAGGTTTTGACCACGGCCAGGAGGAGGACACCACTATCCAAGGTACTCTTGACAGGTTGCGTTCACAACCAAGCAACGGACCAGCATCCTCATGGTTCTTCCACGACACAGACCCGTCGAGAACATCCAACTTGTTCCGTTTCAATCTACATCATCACGGTGAGGCTGCGGCCAAGATCGGTACGACAGACATAGCTCTCTCTGAGCTCTTCATCCCGACGTACGCCAAGATCGAGCTAGCAGTGAAGGCCGCAGAGATGGCATTCCTCTTCGGTGAGTCTGGCCTCATGGATGGCCTGTGCGTTTGCAACATCCGCGAGATTCCTCTCAAGAACGGCACCACCACTTTTGTTTTCGAAGTTGCCGGTGGGTCCTGTCGCAGAGCCTGCCGTGTGCTCATTCAGCAGCGCAACTACGGAAGCTTGGGAGTGTGTCTGGCACATCTGTGTCTCGGAGACGATTGGGAGGTGCTGGCGAAATTGCCCATACGCGGTGAGGCACAATATTTGAATGAGATCAACAAATTGAGGGTCAAGCTCGAAAAGATCGACTGGGTGGAGCCGGCGATAGTGGAAGCGATCATATCAGCAATGACACCTCTATCACCCGAGGTGCAAGACGGAGTCTACTACGATTTGGTCATCAAGCCGTAAGTACCTGGCTCAGGAAAAACACAAGCTATGTGCTAACGCTGACTGCAGGCTGCTCTTTCTTTTCGGGAAGATGAGATTGAAATCTTGAACGGGCTCGTGCAAGCGTGTGGCATGATGTTGCCGTCGCTGTTTGAAGCCTCGGCACAAGCGGAGTGGAAAACGACCGGGCCCATTTCGCTGTCCACAACGACGGTCAAAGCCAGTGAATGGCTCATCACGATTCCGAGGTTCCCTGAAAATGTTACAGCAGGTGGCGTGTTCATGCTTGGAAACCTCGTGGCGTGAGAAGCATGTCAACGACACGATGTATCCACTCCTCCGGCACACGTTACCCCAAGAGAATACCCGTCCCAATCCCATATTGGATGGTCAGACACAAGCAAGTGGAGGCATGATCACGTCGTAGTTGCTTTTCACCGCATTTGCAAAACACCTCGTGATTCCTCATGCTAGGGTCCTTATAATCTCGAGGCGGCCATCCAAAGACTTCCAGGGACAAAAATCCACAGCGCAGCAATAACAACATCATTGACAAGCACCATTACCATCTCTTGACCACAAAAGAGCAACCACAAAACCACAATCATGGGAGTCCTCCAACAAACCCTCCCCCTCTCCCTGCTCTACTTCTCCCTCGTTTTCACGTCGGGCCTGATCCTCGACTCTGTCCGCGTGCCGTACCTGCAGCCGCTGCTGGGCGCGCGGTACGCCGAGCTGTTCGAGATGCCCATCGTTCTAGTCGTCACCTGGCAAGCCGCACAGGTGACAGTGTGGAACCTGGACGGAGGCGCTGGCACCTCTTCTGGAGAGCCGAAACGGCGGTGGCCACCGCCTCCGACGCCGCTGCTGGTCGGCGCCCTGGCCCTCGTGTGGCTGCTCGCAGCCGAGCTGGCTCTCAGCGTCGTTGTCGCCACCGCGGCCCCCGAACCACCCGTCTACACCATGGTCGCCCTGCTGGCGTACGCGGTCATGCCGTGGATCGCGTGGCTTGTGCAGACCCAGCGCGACGATGCGGACAAATTGTTGTGGGACTTTGACGAGACCCAGGCCGAGCAGGAGGATTACTGCTCTCGGTGAAAGCTGAGAGAAAAAGAACCCTGGATCCACGGGGACTTACAAGAACGCTTCTTCAGGGACACCACAACGACGACGACGACGCCACCATCACCACCACAGTCATACGTCCGAGGCAGCAGAAGCAGGACAACATGAGACGACATACGACCGAGCAGGACAGAACAGAACAGAGCAAACCTTGATGCTACTCTATGTGTAATATATATGTGTCAGACTATACACGAGAGAAGGAGGAAAAAGAAGGGGGGAGGACATCAGGATAAGAAAAAACTGCGTGAATATGTGGAACATGTGGAACATGCGTATCAGCATATCATGATACAGGGGGGCCGTGTATGACCAAGACGTGTTTTTTTTGGGGGGGTGAACGATATCTAATATCTATGTATGTCTCATTATCTCAGAAGCTGGTTTTTCGGGATTCACCGGGTTCCACAGGGTACTTGGATGGATGGCTAGATGGTATCATCTATCTTGTCCGTGGGCTGTACGTGGACGTATGTACTTGTAGAACAGGACAGAACATTACAATTACCATTATATACCAACCCAGTCTGTAAGAATTGTTCTTCTTCCCCGCCCGAAAGTCCCCTCCTAAAGACGACCTGGGTATGTTACCTCCATTTTCTTTCTCTTTCTCACCCCGACCAAGACTCAACTCAGGAGTGGCTATGATCCATGATATATAGATGCCCAACCAACAGCCGGCTAGCTGGCCCATGCACGCGAGCTACAGAAACAAAAAGCCGGCTCTCCTCCCATGAATACCCAAGCGGCACAGGGAAAGAAGGATTCAAAGAGAGAGAGAGAGAGAGAGAGGAGGAGGAGAAGGAGAAGGAGAAGGAGAAGGAGAAAAACCATCATGTCTCCTAAAACATCCGGGACTAACCAGCGCAGCAAAACAGTTGGTATCTATCTCTCCACCTCCGTAGAAACACCCTTCTCTGGTTCCAATAAATGGGACGAGGACAAGCAGACTAGACCAGACCAGAGCAAACCGAAAATGATCCAGAATCAGAATCAAAACACTGCCCTTTGTGTGAGAAAAGAGAAGGAATAGTGTGTGCGTGTGTGGCGTGCTCCTGCTCCGTGAGAAAAGCATCTTTTCAAAAGGTCTTTGATCTTCTCAATTCCCCGGACCCTTGACCGCGATCTTCTTGACCCACACTTTGAACTTCTCCTCTACTCGTCTTCCCATACCAGCACCAGCACCAGCATCACCGCCCTCGACGCGCTCGAAACTCTCCTCGCGCATGAACAGGCCCCAATCGCCCAGCGTCTCCAGGTACTGCTCCATTGACTCGTCCTCGAGGCGGCGATAGCCCTCGTTCTGCCAGCCGGGGAGGAACGCAAAGTGCCACGCGAGGTACACGTCCTTCGCCCAGCGGTTTGCCAGGATCGGCGTGGTGAAGAACTTGATGTCATCTTGCGCGACTGACGACGACGTGGTGACTGGCGCCGCGGCGGCGGCGGCGGCTTTTTCCTCTGCAGATTCCTCAAAGAGGTCGTCAAAGCCGTCTGGTTTGGCTGTGGTCTCAGTCTCAGTTCCAGTCTCTTCCGCCGGATTGATGATGGGCGTGATAGTCTTTTCCCAATACACCGCCCATGTCGCGACTTGCTTGACCGCTCGGTGGCGTTTTGCGGCCCTAAAGGCTTTCTTCTTCAGATCCACCAGATCTCGCTCGATCCATGCACGCGCCTCGATTGTAGAGTCTTCACCAACAATGATGTGCTGCTCCATCAACTCGTGGTGCAGTTGCGTTTGTATATCCACTCGGCTGCTCTCCGTGCCATTCTCTGGCGACGCTGCCCATCGGTAAATGCCCAAGATGATCTGTCGGACTTTTTCCTGCGCCTTTGTGACGCTATACGTCTTCATGAAGTAGTAGTGGTCGGCATCTTTGTAGATATCTACCCCGGCAAATGCACCCCAGACGGTGTAGCGAAACACTTGGCGATCTTGTTCGTCTTCATCTTCGTCTTCATCTTCGTCTTCGTCTTCATCTTCATCTTCATCTTCATCAGATGCGTGCGCCTCACTATCTGATTCGCCTACAGTGGCTCGATCAATGATTGTGGTGTCTGTCGCTGCTTCCAGCTGCTGGATCCTCTTCAGCTGCATCCGTCGTAAAATTTCAGAGTCGAAAGCTTGGCTCTGACTCGCCTTGCTCGCTTTGAGCTGCATCTGTTTGAGTAGTGCCAGGCTAGGTCGCTGTTGGCTGAGTGCTGGCATATGACCACCTGACGCCTTTTGACGTTCACTCTCCAGACGGTTGATTTCTTCCATGTCCTGTTCCTCTTCTGTTCTTGATCCTCGAGTAGTTTGGCTGTGCAATCCATGAGATAGGCTCGACGCACCATCTTTTCCGGCTCCAAAGACAAACTCAGCACCGTCCTCTTCTTCGCTTTCATCATCGTCGTCGTGTTGAGTCGCGCGCTCAAGCGCGGCCTCGATCTCAGCTACTTGGCTCTGGAGTCCAGCCACTTCATCCGGGTCGGCCGTCTCAAAGAGTCTCAATTGGGCTCTGAGCTTCTCGATCATTTCCTCCTGTTTGTCGGATTGCGATTTCCGGCTGTCGATTTTGCTCGCTTTGCCCTTCGATTGCTTTTCCTGGACAGTCAGTGTCGCCTCGTCCGCAAATCGGACTTCTTTTTTCCTGGGTCGCTCTTTTTTGCCATTCCCTCGTGGCCTTGCCTTTTGCCGCTTGCTGTTGCTATTTCGCTCACTCCGTAGGCTTCCCCAGTGATCGATTTGCGCCTGGATTTTGGGCGTTTCGTCGTGGATGAAATCAATGTGTTTTGGATTGAAGATTCGCCTCATTTGGGCCATGACCGCAACGTGGGTAGGCTCTTCTGAGCTCTCTGCTGCTCTGGAAATGCGTCTCCGGATGTTGTCACGGATGCCTTGTATACGAGCTCTCCGCATCTTACCAGGCTTTCCCTGCTCAATCACGTGGGTAACAAACCTACCGATGTCGTGAAGCTCTTTGGTTTCGTACTGCATTATTCTGTCAGATATCTCGCGGTTGGGAAAGCACTGTAGCTGCGCCAATGTCCAAAACACACTCCCAAGGGTGTCCAGGTCTCTCTTCTTCTCCTTGACGATCTCGTGCTGGACAATCACTTCCTTCTCTTCCTCTGAGAGCTTGTCAAAGTTTTTGGGAAGCGACAATCCTTTGTTAGGATCTCGGGTAAGAAGCGACGACGGACGCACTGCATTTTCTTGCTTCTCCGTCTGCATCTCAAGGTTGATAGGTGCCCGTGTGGGTGAGCTGTAACTGGCTTCATTTCTGGGACCAGCAATGAGTCGTGTTGCTTGTTGTTCCGTGTCAAGCCCAGGGGCGCTCTTATAGCCACTCGGCAACTGAGGAAGAAGATTCCGTCGAGCTCTAGGGTCAATTTCGTCATCCGTGCTGAACTGTTTCTCTGCGGAAGGGTTGCTCACCCTTCCCTCAACCGTAAGGCCCGAAAACACAGACTTTTTCGCCACACGCAAGCGGTCCTCCTTTGCCTGCAGGCTCAAACCCTCAAATTTCGAGCCCCGAGAATGACCGTCTCGTAAGGACAGGGGCGCAGATCTATTGTTGTTGACTTGAGCGTCACATTGTCCACTTAAATGTCGACTTTGGGTCCGGAACTGCTCGGCGGCTGCTCGTGAAGTAGGGATCTGCGTGATTGGCCCTTGGGTCCGTGCCTTTGTCCTGCTGTAGACCTCCATTAGTCTTCACGCTGACCTGGCCTGGACTCCTCATATGTGACCTACTTCAATTTGTCGCGTACCTCTGTCTGAGTAGGATTTGAACTTTTCGTCACGTGCTCCTGTGCAATGTCCAAAAGGTCCTGGATGCTCTGATCATGGCCGTCCTTGTCAGAGAACAGGCCATTGTCTGACCCATTTTCGGTGCCTGCATTTGAGACTGTGGTACTGTAATCTGAAGTTGCGTCCCCTTCAGCAATCGTGAGAAGCCCGCGTCGTCGTAAAGCGTTCTCGCGAAGCTGTCTGCTCCGCTCCGCCCCAGCTTCTTCGCTCCTGTGCATATATTCGCGAGCCAGAGTCATGATTCTCTGTTCTTTATCCATTTCAGTGTCGGGAGTTTTTGCAGTTGATTCATCTCTTATCTGTTTATGTCGAAGTGATTTCAACGACGCCTCCTTCAAATGACCTTGTTGTTCTTCTGGGCCTTTTCCGGACCAATAATCTTCGTCTTCATGATCAGAGTCCTGATAGAGAGACGAATCGGCATGAGGTTTTGAGCCCAGCCAACCTTCGTCGTCAGAGAGAGGGAAGCCGTCGGGGAATGGATTGACGAATCCAAACTCTTCCTGGTTGTAGGTCGATGGGCGAATCCGAGACGCCGTAGGTTGGTTCTGGAGGTAGTCTTCCATGCCGCCGAACTTCTCGAATTTCTGATTCGCAATTTCAACTGCCCGTTTAGTTGGGACAAGACATCGTTTCTTCCCGGGCTCCGGCAAGGAGGACAAGGAACGTTTGTTGAGGCACGGCCTGGCGCTGACTGGGGGAGGATCCAAGATAGAGGCGGTCGGAGACCGTGGTGAAACAGAGTTTTTCTGAACCAATGAAGAGGATGTGTGGTTTCCGGCCAATGCTTCCTCGATTTCTGCCATTGTGGGCTTTATATCGAGATCATAACAGCTAGAATTCACCAATGTGTCGGGTGATATAAGAGGACATCTCTCATTACCAATTTCACACGACTCGTAGATCTCGTCGGAGTCATCGATAATTTGCCAACCAGTGATTTGACTAGCTTTTGACTTTACGACCTCACGGCTTTCGACTGGAGGCAGCCTCTTCGGCAGGCTTGCATCTTTGGGCGAGGCGCCATCTTGTGAGACAGAGATCATATGTTTTTGGCTGTGGCCGGGTGATGCTGTCTTGTATGACTCTCGGTCCGATTGGGACGCACTTGTCTGCGGATTATGAGGTCTGATGGCAGCGACTGGGAATTGTTCAGAGGATGGAAGGATAGCTGGACGTGACAATGACGTGTTGATATCCATCGTTGTGAGCTAGAGACTGGGAGGAGAGGGTGAGACGAAAAGCGCGATGTAGAGGTCCTGACAAAGGCAAATAAAGGAGCGACTGCGCAGGCTGTGCCTGAGGAAATGTGGCAGAGAGACCAGTAAGACAAATCGGTACCAAGTCGGATTGCAGACGTGGGCAGCAGGTAAGGTGTGGATGATTCTGTCGCTCGGGATACGCTTAATGAATAGAGTGAAGAGTGATACCAAGGAATGGACTCAAGTCGTGACAGAAGTTTCCAAGAAGTTTCTTGAGAGCAATAGCTCGCACCAAGAGGTCATGCCATCGGGCCGAGGGGAAGAGGCATCATAAGAATTGCAGCGTTTGAGAGAGACCACAACGAGGTTGGCGACTTGAGCAGCTAGGAAAGATTTGCCGAAAGAGAGCGGCTGGGATATGCAGAGGTGAGATAGCTCCAGATCAGTGCGACCGATTTGAGCAGGGGAGGCCTCATCTAACCGTGGCACGACTGGGAAACGACAGGCAGGGAATGAACCAACGAAATGGATGAGGTATGTATGTGGTAAAAGAGAAAGTCAAGTGTGGCAGAGAAATCTTTCAAGACAAGGGCAAGAAGAGCTCAGAGGGGCGGTGGTCACTGGCCCAAAAATGGATGGGGTCATGAAACTTGCGGGTAAGGCTTTGAATTGATCGAGCTGGCTCTCGCGAGAGTGAATGTTGCAGCTGCAGACCTTGCTTGCGGGGAATGATCCGGAAAGATGTAGTTCTTGTGTCTTTGGTCCGACTGAACGGCAAACAAAAAGGCAGGGGACACAGTGAGGCGAAGTGGTAGGGCATGTTGGCTGTCTGCTGGGTCAGGGCGCGCGCACCGACGCGGCGACCCCTCACCCCGTGCACGTTGAAGACGAGCAATTGGCTTCAACGGGGAATGTGGTACGTCAGTCAGGCAGCGATGGCCTGTTTCAGTGTGATAAAGAACGAAGTACCGGAAGATGGATTGAAGTTGAGGTTAGGGTGCCAAGACGAGGAATTAATACGAGGTTGAGAGTCCCAGGGACAAGGATGGACACCACCCCCCCCCCAGCTTGACAAAGGCGACGTGTTGTGCTTTGGAAACAAGTAGAATCCCCAGAATGAAGACTGGATCTGCTCTTTTAGCATCACGACCAGAGATAAACCAACCTTTGCGTGGGTGTTTCCAATGCCTGCTTGGCCACCTAGCTGCTACACCCCTTCATGGTTCATACACAATCTCGGAACCTACACATCGATTGCAGGCAAAAAGGTTCGTGGGATCCCTGGCTTTTTTGATCTTCAGCAAACGTTCGTAGTTGGATCCCCAGAAGACCCTTTCCCAGTTCGGCTCAAAGCTGTGTATAGATTAGCAATCTGAGAAATCTCGTGGACTCACAGGATGTCAACCTTACGGATTGGCTTCGTTCATATAAGTCCCGGCATCTGGTCCCGCAATCTGCGCCCACCGCCTACTCATCTCGACAAGCTCGAGCCTCTTCTGGTGCTTTTTGGCTTCCGGGGCATCGTCTTCCCAGTTAGTGCCAAAGCTCATTACCGCTCGGCCGTCCCGCCACGATGGATGGACGGAAGTGTTTTCGCGCATTGCCGAGTGAACGTGTCCGACTAAAGGGCGGCGTTAGCAAACATCACCTGCCAAATGAGGGGGACGGACTAAAATTGAATGAAGGATAGTGCTCCGGGCCGAATTCCAACATCATGTCGACAATTTCACCTGCCTTGTTGAACGCCATATCCGAAGTCAGAAGTCGAGACGAATCCATGACGTTCAGGGCGATGTTTGGATCCTGGAGGAATGCGTTGCAGTAATCGATCCATCGAGGAAAAGTGAAATTGAACATGGCAAGGTTGGTTCCATTGATACGGCTCAGGTGTCGGAAAGCGGCAGAACCCAAGGTCAATTCTGCTTCGGTTCCGCCAGGTCGAATGAAAAGGCCAGAAAAGCCGTTACTGAGGTACCCGTACCCCGTATATCCGGCGTCCGTCATATTGACCAATGCACCCAGGGAACCTTCTAGGACTGGACGAAGGCTTGAATGGGCAGTGGCATTGATCTGGACAGCCGCCACCTGAATATGTGCAGGTTCGGGGTGAGTTCGATAAGTCACCGAGGTGATGACCTGCTTCCAGTCAGCTTGAGTAAGCATAATACCCTTCTGTAACGTGGACGAACACCCCATGTGCTTCCTCCTCCACCTCGCAAGGCATAGAAGTACTCTGGGTCAGTATACTGATTGACGGTCACATGTTTCCCCTGTGAGTTGACCAGCTTGACCTCCAATACATCTGGCGTGACTTGGTCAGCAATAATGCAGTCCACGACGATATCGCATAATTTACTGTCAACACCCAGACCATATAGATTGGACCAGACTGAGTGGCCGCCACCAGTCAACCATCCTCCAGCAGCTCCAACAGTTCTAGCGTGACCACCAACGACGATGACACGCTGTTCAGAAGCAGCCCTATACACGTCTTGGCTCGTTAGCTGGCACAGACACCAAACAGTGAACGGAGACCGTCTATACCTAGCCACTGCTCCCCTGCTTGCAGTGTGACAGCCGGAACACCTTGACTCCCCGCGGGCGCTCCCTCGACCACAAAGTCCTCTGTCCACTGTCTTCCCTTTAGGTTATGAGTCCAGATGGAGAAAGAACCCCGACCACTTGATCGTCCGAGACTGTTTAGGCCATCAGATACTACATTCCTCCTTCCCAAGATGTGGACTTACTGATCATGACCCGTATTCTTCACCACAAGGTAGAGATTCTTGTCGCTGGCGAATTTAACCGCAGCCTCGATGTCTGCCACAGATTTTGCCGCCACAGAGTAATGTGGAACTATTGTCGAGGTCAGCACCAGTTCTTGGGATTTAGACTCGGGTTCTGGCCGCCATTACCAAGGCCTGGCTGGCAGAGTGCAGTCACTGACGAATTGATGAAGCACTGCTGGTTCCCGAGCTCCCATACAATCGCGGTATACGCCCCAGATTGATTTGTTCTCCAGAAGCTATTGTCCCATTCCTGCTTTGCCTGACTGCACCGATCGCTGTCAAAATGTGTTCCGTGGCAAACGGAGGCCGAGGGGAAGGTCCGCACGAGACGGCCTGAGATGCTGTCGTTGAAGGCCTGCCATTTCTGCTCACTAGGCCAGCAAGAGTCTCCGTATCTGCACCGTGGATGCCGTGAGGGTAGACAAGCCAAGCAGACATGTGGAAGCAGGAGAAGTAGAATGACTTTGAACATTGTAACAAACATGCAGATGGATCCAGTAGAATATAGACTTTACACACAGAGACATGGACAGGGAGACAAATGGGCAAAGTTATATATAATCTGAGAGACCTCTTTTGGGCAACGTGCTCGATCAGGGAATGATCGCCATTAACATACACACGCGAATACGACCAGATCAATGTTGGATCCGAGTCATGGACAGGCGCAAGTCGAACACTCACGTGGGCCACGGATCCCAAAGCGTCACTGTCGAAAGGAGTTTCTATCGTATTCAAGCCGATGCCAATATAGTGATCGCCGTCAAATATCCCAGTTGCCTGGAGTCAGCCATCCCAGCCAAGTGCATGACGCCAGATATAGCCATGGTACCAAGACCGAGGATACGAATACGACGAGCTGAGGAACTTCCAGAACGGGTTGATCAGAGAAGCTAAAAGCCCAAGAACATCACTTTGACACATGACGATGTCTGGGCAAATAGACAGGTAAAATCAATGAGGATTAATTACGGTTAGTTGATAAATTGACGCCTCAGGCTATACAGGCCAAAAAGGGTTTAGCGTCCCACACGTGTTGAGACGCGTTTACACACCTTAAGTCTTTATTTCTCACAAACCTCTCCACCCCCAACACTCAGCATAGAGTCCTTGAACAATGGCGCCCCAACAGTTCGAACCGAGGATCATCAGGTTCCCCCTCAATGACGAAGCCCTCGGGTCCCTCGATGACTTGGTGCGACAACAACCAGACGTCCAAAGGAGTGCGCGAGAAATGCTGAAAAAGGCAGCAGAATACCTGACCGACATGACGGGCGAGCTCAACGACCAAGCCCACGACCGCAGCGTCAGACACTCCAAAGACAAAGCGCGTCGCCGGACACCGCACGCGACGGATGATGGAGCGGACGAAAACGCAGAAGAAGACGCCGCAGCTGCAGAGGCAGACATGAGATACGAGGAGTTCCAAAAAGACGTCGAGACGCTGACAAAGAAGATGGACCTGAGCATTCGCGGAGTCATCGACGACCTGACCTACCTCGACGAGTACTCTCCGACTCTGCAGACGGTAGTGGAGAAGGTCCATGACACCACCGAGGACGGCCGGCGGCATTTCCAGGAGCGAGCGGCGGCGACGGCTAGACGAAGAGAGAGAGCCACGCAGCAGAGGGCTGATGCGGGCGACAGCGATGACGACCAAGCTCAGAACGAAGCAGAGGAAGAGGCCAATTGGGGACAGCAGGAGGAGGGGGACGAGTCAAGAAATGGAATACTAGAAATGTTCCCGGCGATCGACGCGGCCGACGTGCCTCACGTTCAGCTCGCCACCGCGCTGGCCAAACAGGAGCGGGCCTGGGCCTCCAAGACGCTGACGGAGAAATACGCACGCAATAACGTCTACAGGGCGTGGTACCGGGTGCTTTACGACGCCAAAAACCCGGGCGAGGCCGCGCCTCCCATGCCGGACGAGAGCCTGTGGTTCGCCGGCGAAGAAGGACGGACGTTCCTCTCGTCGGCCAGCCAAAGGCGTGGCCATCGATCACAGCGCGACCGCTCCGCCACCGAGGGCGCCGATGTCGACGCAGATGCAGACGTCGAAGCAGAAACAGATCCTGATTCTGCGCCGGCGGCGTGGGCAGCGTCCGAGCACGGGTCCTCCGACAATGAGCTCCAGATCGCCGCCGAGAGCACCCGGCTGACGTGTCCGCTCACGCTACGCCTGTACGTCGACCCGGTGACGTCCAAGAACTGCAACCACAGCTACGAGCGCTCGGCCATCCTGGAGATGCTGCTCATGTCGACCCGCTACGCGCCCTTCACGCCGGAGCAGGAGGCGGAGCTGGCGCGGTTGGGTGATCGGCTACGAAGACGACGCGAGCGCGAGATCCGCATCAACCAGGTCACGTGCCCCGAGTGCAGCGAGCCGCTCGTGGCGACCGACCTGCTGGAGAACCCCGCGCTGAAGAGGCGCGTGGCGCGCCGCATCGCGCAGGAGCGGCAGAACAACTTCGCCACGAGCGACATCGAGATCGACAGCGACGACGACGACGACGAGAGCTCTCACCGCCACAACGCCGCGGCTCGAGGCACGCAACGAGCGCCCGTGGGCCTCGGCTCGAGCAGTCCCCAGTCCATGCCCCGGAGCGTGCGCAAGCTCTCGCGGCCGATCAAAGTAGAGCCAGCCCGAACGCCGGTCCCGTCAGAACCTGCAGGGGGCATAGACGAGGACGTCGACATGATCCCACAAACGCCGCAGACCCCGCAGACCTCGCAGCAGCAGCAGCAGCAGCAGCACCCGGCGGCGCACCATGGTGGGACCCCTTCGGGTCGCGGAGGTCGCGGAGGTCGCGCGGGTCGCGGATTCCACGCAGGTCTCAGCCGTCGGAGTCGCGCCGGCCGTCCAAGCCATTTAATCGGGACGGTGTAGCAGCGGCGGCAGCGGGGTCGGAGCAGTCGCAGTCAAGCTTCTGCTGCTGGCTGCTATTGCTGCGGCCAGGCCCATTCACTCAGCAATCCTGGCAGAGGAGGAGGGAGGAACGAACGGACAGAGAGGCTTGCAGATCACGGACCTGATGAATGAGAATGAGAATGAATGAATGAATGCACTGACAGCCCTGGAAGTTGCAGTTGTCCTGGACCTTAGCTTCAATAGGGGAAGTTTCATATGCGGTTTTCCACCCAAGGGGTTGTTGAGATGCTTAGAAGGAAGCCTTGCTGAAGGAGAACTGGGTGACGGATGACTTGATCTGTTACAGCACTGTCCACGGAGAGATTGACGATTCACGCACGAAAACAAAAGTATGTGTGGCAATGCGGATAATTATACCAACACTAGGACACGCTCAGCGTGTTTGCCCAGACCAAGAAATGAATTTTCTATGAAGAGGCCCAGGCTATGGGCTGATCGGCCCAAGCCGTTATTCGTCCTCGGAATCATAGTAATCGTCGTCTGGGAGCAGACTCCGGTATCGTCGGCTGGCAAGGTCCTCTTCCAGCCCTCCCTCACTCTCAGGGTCAATGTATCCTGTCAATCAATGTCAGCTCAGCTCTCCTGAATCTCGCAGCTAGGGAGACCTACCATCACCACCCAAGAAACTCAATGCCACCGGCAAAAACACCAACGCGTGGCTGCTCGCGAGAATCACGAGCGCCAGCCAAATGCGGAAGTAATAGACCTCAAAGATTTTGCTCCTGGTGAATGCCAACACGACCACGCCGACGAATTTGGTGATTGTGATGCCGCTGAAGACGCTCCCGCCCACGTTGACCAATGCTGCCCAAGCCCGGATGTCCCTGGCTCGGAACTTGTGCCTTGCCCGCTCCATGATCGACTTGCTAGGGAACATGAACGCCCGGGCAATGTGTGCACAAAACTCCACCCCAATGCCCACGCAGATGACCAAGTTCACCAGCGAAACCGCATTGAGGGACACGCCAGCAACGGCCATGACTCCGATAATGTCCACCAGGATCATGACGACGGTCCCCGCCACAACAATTCCTGTCAGTAAGGAGCCCAACAACAACGAAGAAATGACAAAGATAATCGCAACAGCCACACAGAGAAGCGTTGTAGTCAGGCGAATGATGCTGCTATACTGATCGAAGAAAATATAATGTTTGCTGTAAGGGAACACGTCGATATTGTGACGTGCAGATATATCATCGGATATGCGCCTGGCTGCGGCGTAGGAGTTGATAAAGTCGTCTTGACCTTGGAGCGGGGTGTGGAACGTTCGGAAATGGCTGGCCGGAATATCCGTGTGGTTCTTGTCGATGACCACGGCGTTCGAGTAGGCGGCCTGGCCCCCATTGGGACATTCCTCATCTGTAGGGGCGTGAATCCACTTCTTAGCATAATAAACAAACTCATCCCCTTCAGGCATGCCGGAGAGGGTGATGTTCCAATCATCTTCACCGAAGCAGGTCTCGCCGTCTTCGTTCTTGCAGCAGTCCGAGATGGGATTGAGCCAGTAGAAAAAGTCATCGATCCAGCTGGCAGTGGCAGAGTTGATATAACTGACATTCGGACGTTTCGACTCCTGCTCAAGAATGTACGCGAGCGAATACTCGTCACAGGTGGTGAACCTGCCACATAGTTCTTGTTGGTGCTCCCTCACCGTCACGTTGAGACCTCGGGTGACGAAATATACGGGTGGTCCAGATCCAAAATAGTCGTACAAATCGTTGAAATACTGGATCATGTAGGAATCCGCAGGAAGCGCGATGCGCTGATCAAGCCCAAGTTGCACCCTGGGAATGAGCGCAACTCCGGCGGCGAACAGGGTTGCAAAGAAGGCAACGACGAAGGTTTTGACCTTCTTGTCCAACAAGCTTGGTGCATAGACTTTGCGAATGAACCGCTGCAGCCAGCCTTCCTCCTCACTGCCAAAGAAATGGCCGCCAGGCATACCCGTGGAATTCGCTCCCCTGACCGTCACACATGGGAAACAGTCTGCCCGGAGACTTTCGACTCGTCTCTGATTGAGCGCTAAGACAGACACAAACATGGTGATCTGCAACAGCGCATTGATGAATACAGCACCCGCGGCATACGCGGCGAAGTTCTTGACTGCAGGCATGCCCACAAATGCGCCCATGGCGAAGGCAATCGTCTCGGTCGACGCGGAAAGGAGAATGCTGGGTCCCATTCTTCCGAGAGCCTTTGCGACTCGCACGTCGATTTCTTCGTCCGGGTGGCTGACATTGACACGTTCAAACTCGTGCACGATCAGAAAGATGTTGTCGACACCGACAGCAAGCACCAAGAACGGAATGACTTCGGCGATGATCAGCGTGACCTTCACCTCGGCCGCAGAAAAGAGGCCGACCGAGCCAGAGACCGACATCAGCACGATCAGAATGCCCGCGACACCCAGAGTGAATTTGGATTGGACGAAAGCATTTGCCGGATTACTGAGAAGCGATCTCAATGATAGTGTCGTGGAGCCTAGGGAGAGGGAGGCGTAAATGAACATGACAACGTAGCTGATGGCCACGATTTTGGCGTCCGTATTGGTCGACTTGTTGAGCTCCTCCTCGAGACTGATCTCGGTGTTGAAGGAGAGTCGCAGGCCGCGTGCTTTGGCAGACTCTTGATAGATGAGCAGCTCATGCTTGAGAGCGCGCTCCCACTCTTCGGCTCTGGCCTCTCCCTCAGTGCCAGGCTGATCGTTATTGACCACCCATGTCGTGATCAGTGCTTTGGCGTTGGCGACATCATCAATGCTCGCGTAGCCACCGAGAACCCGTCCCGGTTGAAGAGGATCCATAAACTCTGGTAGGCATATCTGGTCGCCAGGATGGGCTGCACAATATTCAATTTGTGCTTTCCAGTCATCCATCAGGCCAGCGCCGAACCACCCACTAACAGACTGTACCACACAAGCAGAGCCTGTTGGTTTGAAGCAGACGTCGTCCAGCTTAATACCGTTCTCGGGTGACATCATGCGAGAAATGCGTTCTTCAATGTCGAACCACCAGTCGAGATTGTCATAGCTCAAGACCAAGCCGTCAGGGGACGAGTCGTTGACGAGAAAGGCTTGCTCCGTCCTGTAAAAAGGGCCGAAGTTCTTGTCGAAGAAGGCCTTCTCCTGCGCAGCATCCGAGCTCGGGCTGACCCACAAACGGACTGGATCCCTCTCGACCTGGAATCTGAGCCACCCAAGACTGAGAAGTCCAATCACGACGATGTTCGTTCCAATGGTCAAAGCTGGATAACGGGCGCAGAATCCGCCCAGTGCATGAAACGCCCGGTCCAGTATCTGATTGAGGTAATAGTTTCTTTGCGGCCGGTCAAGAACTCCCGCACTGTTGACCAACTCACCCTCATCTTCGTCATCGCTCGGTGTCGAATCTTGCAGCAGTTGGAGCCTCTCGCTCTTCCACTTTTTGTGTCTCTGATACGCCACATGTCCAGAAATAGCCACGACAAGCAGCAGGAGGCAAATCGAGTAGATAATGATGACGGCGAATGAGAGGCATGGAAGCTTTCCGACGTGGCAGTATTCAACAGAGCTGACCGGCTCCAAAGTCGGGCAGACCTCCGGACAGTCCACGCAGCTGCATCGAAATGTGGGATTGGTATCGTTGCAGGCATAGACGCGAGGGTCGGCCGCCTCCATACCCTGATTGTCTTCTGAACGAGGCTGCTCGAGAAAGTTGATCTGGAACGGACTGCCCAGTAACTTCTTGTCACCCAAGAACTGGAGAAATTCGGTGTAGTTGGTAGCACCGCCTCCGATGAAGCTCATCGCTTTGCCACCACTTGCGCCATTCTTGACCTCTTTACAGCTGTCATAAAATCCACTCTGGTAATCTTTTGACCATATGTTGTCCAGCTCTGTGACCACATCCTTGCCGTTTGAAGCTTTACCGAGGCCGGTCACGTTAACGAACAATGACTGATCAGGCGAGCAGGTGAAAGTGCAGAATATATTGAAGAAATTCTCCTTGCAAGCCGGACAGGATGCGATGATCCTTTCGGCCAGTTTCAGGTTCTTTTGGAGGGCATCCACTTGGTCCTCGTCGCAACAGACATCGGTATCTTGCCATTTTGCTCCGCATAGATTGACTAGCTTCTCGCGCACGCCTTCTGAAGGAGTTGCAGCCTTTTCGTTGTCAGGGCATGGTAGATCGGAGCCGAAGAAGCCTTGTTTCCCACAGTGGCCACGAATGGCGCATCGACCGGCTTCGTGGAGAGGTGTGGGGTGAGAGCATAATGCAAGCGGAATAGAGCTTGAGGCAGCGAGGGCTGCAAGGGCAGGAGAGAAGAGGTGCATCGAGCTTGCTTGCGCTATGAGGATTGAGGATCAGGATTGAGGACTCGTCGGTTGTCGGCGGTTGAAGCTGTGGCTGGGAGTCGCGGCTATGTCATCCTGCAGAGGAGGAAGGGAGATGGCAACGACTTGGACACAGGGTCGAGGGCAACTGAAAAGCAGCTCCCACGGGATGTTATTCAAGGGCAACTGAAGGAGGAGAGTGGTCTTGTAGACAAGATGCAAGTCGTTTGTTTAGCAAGTGCCGAAGGAGGCAACGGGCATCCTGGTGACACTCACTGGCAATGCTTTCCCGCAGCCTGCGATGACGAACCAATTCCGCTCCTCCCACGTCACCACTTTTTACAGTGTCGCTCATCCATCACTGTGTCTCCTCTTCGCCCCTGCATCCCTTGTACTACTACAACTACTCCGTCACTTGCGTACCACTTGTACTAATTGCTTCTGATATGGAGACCCTATCCACTGCTGTTGCACTCTCTACCATCTGCTATTTGCCATCGGCCAGCCAACGAATTAGCTTCCAGCCTGTGTCACCCTCCATCCGACGGCATTGACTCCCAACGCCTAGACGGCCAAACTATCAAGGAGATCCTCTAAAGCTACCAGGCATAGTCCCAGGCACCAGGAACAAGGAACAATTTGGTAGAAGCACACACAACCATTCAAGGAACTGGGTAGACAATCGAGCGCCACGCTCCCAAATGAATGGACCTCGTATATTTTTTTGTGCAACATCAACGTCCTCCGAACCTCTCGAAGCCTCTTCTCTCGCACAGCAGTGCACGTTTCGCCTCTGAAACTCCTCTCCCCCCAGTTTTCTTTTTTGGTTTCTAGCAAAGCTAAAATACATATGGTGGAAGAGAAAGAAGCCCTCAAAACCCCCGGAAGTTCCCCTATCCTTCCCAGGTATCAAGTGCCAACCGGGGCCTCAGCCTCAAGAATCGATCTGTTCAAACTCCAGCTCAAGCAAGTCCCTCGACATCCCATCCTTTGGCGCCTAGCCCATAATGCACATTGTTCTCACCCTGTCGCTGTGAAAAGGGTTCAATGGTGAAGAATTCCTGTCACCCGCCGGAAAACATGTCACCGGCTGTTCCTCAAGCACGAAAATTCTTTCAGCTCTCACCCGCAGCAGCAGGCTTTACGTCGCTGGGCTTCGAATCTGCAGGTTTGTTGTCTGATGCTCCATCGGTCGTCTTGTTCTGGTAGGTCCCTCGTCCGCCACCTCGTCCGCCGCGTCCACCACGATCATCTCCCCGACCGCGCCCACGTCCGCGGAATCCCCCACGGCCTCGACCACCTTCACTGTCACTTGCTCCTCCGCTCTGGTACCCTCCGCGTGTGGGAGTATTGGCTGATCCAGCCGCGCCCCGGTTGCTAGGCTGCCATGTCCCAACGCCGCCCTGGCTGTGAGTGTCACGTTGGTGAAGACCGAGGACTCGGTCCGTACGTTCTTCAAACCAGGTAAACTTTGGTACTTTGCCGGCAGAATTCTTGTGGTTTTGCGCTTCACCTTGCACTCTGCTCAGAGCAGCCTCAGCAATTTCGTGTGTCTCGAACTGCACCTTCCAGTTGGGGAATTTGCCCATTCTGCTAATGGCCTTGATCTTTTCTCGGTCCTCGTTCCCAAAACAGTCTCGGATGTGCTGTTCGCTGTCGGCTTGAGACACGTAAAGGGCAGTCGGAGGTCTCCGCTCTGCGGGAGGGGTTGCAGTCTTTGCCTTGGTGGCGTCACCTTCACTCGTCTTCTCTCCGCTCGTACCGTTGGTGGCTGCAATGGCAGAAGTTGCTGGAATTCCTGAAGATGACGGTTGAGGCGTCAGGGGCTTGGCCTGGGCCACAGGCGGAGCCGGAGACCCTGCTGTAGGGGGAGTTCCTGTTTTGGCGGCAGGTGTCGGTGCGGGCTGAGGTTGACCAGGCCTGGTCTGCTGCTGGTGTTGTGTGGGCGGTTGTTGCTGCAGAGGTTTCTGTTGCTGTGGGAAAGGCTGTGCCGGTGCAGAGAACGCAGGAGTGCGGTTCTGAGTCGAGCCCGTCGAAGCAGTGGCAGGAGGCACGGACCCCGAGACCACGGACGGTGGGCCGGTCGGCGGTTGTTGAGGAATGGTTGGAGGGACCGCGGGTTTTCCTCGATGAGCGAAGTTGAAGCCTTGTGCCCGCATTTCCGTACCGATTCGACCGCCTTCAATTTCCAAAACAAGGTAGCCGAATGCAGCGTCTGCTAGATTGAAGTTCCACATGTTCTTGAAAGCACTTTCGTCCACCTGGCCAGCCCCAGGTCCACCGCCCACAGGCCCGCCAAAAGGATTGCCTCCATTGGCCGTGCTGGGCATCTTCTCGACAATTTCCAGAGCGCTGTGAAGAAGGGCCTTGTGATTAGTGTTGTTCTCGATCGCCTGCTCCACGTCCATTTTGACAGTCTCCCACACATCCTGGAAGGATGCTTTGGACGCCGCCAATTTCCCGCGGTAATGATCAAGCGATGGGTTGACGGAAAATTCGTTGTAAGAGCTGCCGTATCGGAAATGGAGACCAGCCGAAATGGAGAAATCTGCTTTCAGTGTAACGGAAAGTTGGTTGAGGATGCCGTCTCTCGCAGGTGACGCGTGTGTCAGAAAGATGCGGGTTTCTGACGGATCGTACACACGGTTCGCAGTGTCGATCAGAGCGCCTATCTGAAGCAGCGTTGTCCACATCGTGCCTTGACCGCCTGCAATATACGTCTTGCCCTCTCCGTTGTCAAACAGCTTGTGGATGACGACTGCGCCGCCGAGGCCGAGGAGCCTTAGTTTTACTCCGCCAATATCGAGTAATCTGGAATTAACCTCGTCGATAATGTGCAGGTTGTCCACCTTGTACTCGCCCGACCGAAACCGTTCCAGAACTCTCACGTCTTCGCAAGCGCCCCAAACCGTGTAAACAGGCACGTCCAGGGTGATTTGCTTGTTGAGCAGAAGTGGTAATTCTGAAAGGGGTAGTTGGTCCGGTGTGAACATTTGCTTGATCGGCCGCTGAGGCTGAGGCTGGGCAATTTGCCGCTTGACATTTTCGCTGAGGAGAGGGGAGTATTGAGCGACATGTTTCAGTGTCCTAAAGTCGGTGTCAGCCATCACGCCACAATGCCGGAGCTGGAATATATCCCTACTTCTCGGCTATCCTCTCCAGCGAGGTGTGGTCATAGAATCCGAAATCGCCGGTGTGTAAAATATAGTCGGCCTTCGCAGTCTTCGCCAGTTCATTCAGAGATCTGAGGTTTCCTAGAATTCCTTCTATCAGACCTGTTGTGTGTGCTGCATGAAGCAGAGCGCGAAACTAACCTCTGACATCGGCAATACAGAGGACTCGAATGGGACCGGACTGAATGACACGGCCGTTATTTGGCAAGAGCGCCTGTGCCCCAGGAGTCGGCCCTGAGGTCGTACCGTTGGGGAGATATCCTGGATTCGGGAACTGAGGTCGTGGCTGTTGACAAAGTTGAATCAGCGGAAGTACTACGGGATTCATGAATGGGAGGCCCATGGTTGCGCATGAAGAGATTGCATGAAAGAGAGAAAAAAGAGCAGTTTGAGCTTGCTTCTATGTGAAAAGAAAGGCCGAACTTACTGAAGCCATGAGTGAATGGCAAGCTGGAGGCCGCAGGACAAAGGTAGTGGTTGCAAATGGGGCCGCAGGCAGGTGAAGTGTGCGGCGAGTCGGAAGTTCTGGGGAGATTGGGAGTGAAAATTAGTATTAGGAAATTGTCAGGACTTCGACGAGGTCAGGGCGCAGTTCAACCTGAAGATAATAGAGCGCAAGGCCGAGAGAACAATGGTCGAAAGGCGATGGACAATATGTGAAGGCTCGACTGTTCAGTCTGTCAGGTCGTCGGAACAAATTCATGGGCGAAACCCCAGGAAAGCAAAATACAAGCGGCAAGAGCTGCTCTTGCCTGTACAGGACTAGCCTCTTGGCGCTCCGCCCCTTTACTTTCTGCAGCACAGCTGAATATGCAGGCAGAATCTGTTTAGTATCTGAGGTAGGTGACATTGTTGCTGCTGCTACATCTTCCACACAGCTTGTGCGGGAAGTCTGTGAATGAAGGGTTCCCGCCAACATCGCAAGAGCTGGCGGCCAGACGTTGTTACATGTAAATGAGTCAAACCTTGCCCTCGACAACCACAACTCCAAATGGCATCATTCCCTTGGTAGCTTCATAGCACACATGCGGGCCAGGTATACCCTAAAGTCATCCATTTTTGATGGTATAATATACCTTCCTCCTGCTCCTCCCATGATATGTCCGAACGATCGTACTTGAGTACAACCCAAGGCCTCAGGCGAGCATTCTGGTTCGTGTTTTAGGCGGAGCCCAAGATCTTCTCGACGTCTTTCTTATCGACGACGGCGCCTCCTTCAGAGCACTTGGCCTTTGCTCGGAGCTCGCTACACAGGTTGTCAATGTCAATCTCGCCATTTCGGAATTTCTCCATTGATTGCAGTCGATCCCTGTGTGTGACGTTAGAATCTTCGCTCAAATCTAGTGGAGGAGTCACCGACCAAATCTTATTGCAGGTCATAGGTTTCTCGTTGTCGGGAACAACTTCCTCGTTGCCATTCTGGGCCTCGTCGACCTGTTTCAGGAGGTCGATCTTTGGCACAGATTCCGGCGCCACGTCGCTATAGTTGTGGAGAGGGCTACCAAGATCCGGAAGAGGATAGGCATCATTAAAGAATGCTCCAAAGTCTTGCGACAGGATATTGTCTTGCGCCTCGCGATAATCGCCGAACAAGATCGGGTCGAAGGTGTTGTTATTTTGTTGGGCAAGCCAGTTAATGCCATTGACGTCGAAGCCCGGTTCATTGACATAGCCTAACGGGTTTTCGTTAGACATTTTCAAAATCGGAGGAATTGGATCCTCCGCGCAGCCACAGGCCAGCTGGAGTTGATCGCAAAGATAGTCCTTACCACCAAATGGAGCTTGATGTTCTTCGCTGATAGGATTGAGATTGTACTCAGTAAGTTTGTTTGCGGGAGAGTTCAAGCTTGGCTCTGGAGAGGTGCCAATGGATGATATGGCATTATGAGATTCAGTCGATGAGCTCGGGGAGTCGGAATTCGAAATGCTAGAGTTCGAGTACAATCCCGGCATACTGTTCATGGCTCCATTGTCAAGGCTGCCGCGGTTACTCTGACTAGTAACATTGTAGGCAGAGACGGCAGATTTTGGGAAATAGCCTCCCAGACTAGCGTGACGACTGGCCTCCAGAATCGACGGGCTAAACAATCCAGACAGACTGTCAACACTTCCCTGCTGCTCCTGTTGCTGGCTCTGGGGAGAAGCAGTAAATGTGTTGCCAATCGGCGACTGGCTCATCGATCCGTATCTAGTGGGTTGATTCTGCGATGCCGACGTGGAACGACGGCTGGCGGCATTTTGACTGCTTGGGGTTGCACCTGGAGTAGGAACGGAGGGAGATCTGCCAACACTGCCGCCCTGTTGCTTCTGAATACTTGATTTTCCAAACAGCTTCGTCGAGGGCATTGGAGGGAGATCGCCAAACTTGGGAAACTCGAACTGGAAGTCATTACCATTGGGATTGCGGTTCTGGACGGCTGTGACTGGCTGCGACCTATTCAAGCCGTTGCTGCTAATCCACGAGAGGCGCTTGCGGTATTCCTTCAACTCGACCTGCAAGCGCTCGACCTGGGCTCGGAGCAGGCCATTCTCATGGTTCGCCGACTCCGAGGCTTTTTCCAGGTCTTCCACTTTGGTTTCTAGATCTTTCAAGTGCTTCTCCTTGCGCTCCCTAAAGGCTCGCTGGGCGGCGCGGTTCTGAGCTTTGCGCTTCGAGGTAGGCTCCGATGTCAATGGCTTCCGTCCAGGCTTTTTGGCCGTCTTGTCCTCGCCTTCTCTTCTTTTACCTCCTCCTTCATCGTCTTCATCTTTTCCGTCGACACTTTTTCGCTTATCATGTAGATCGGCGGCTGCCGGCTCTCCAGGTATCTCACCGATCATGCGACTATTCTCATCAAAATCGAACGAATCATCCCCAAAGTCGGCATCGGGATCGAAGTCCAGGAATGGACTATCATCACTGAATTCGAGGTTCCCCGACCCAGGAGCACTGGACATATTTGGCGTGAAGTTGAAATTCTGAGGGGTATTCTTCTGTGTGTTCGACGTCGACTGTTTGGGCGAGTTGTTCGCGTTCAATGCCGCCATTAGAATCTCTTGCTGCTCTGAGGAAAGGTAAAGACCTTCCGTAGACCGTCGCGACATGGATTTGGTGAAAATAAATTGCTAGGTTCCTCGAACGACAATTTGTTGGGTTACGTCAACGCCAGGTCAAGACCGTCAGCACAGAGGCGGAGACAAGATCTAATTGCAGAAGGTGCCAGGCGGTGCCCCCTTCTACTGCGTCAATGGGCAGTATCGAGAGGCGGCTCCAATGTCGCAGACTGGATACAAAAGGCGTGGAGGAGAGAGGAAAATGGATGGAGGGATGAAAGCAGGGTGGGATGGAGGGTGAAGGTCGTCGGAACGAATAATAGGCGGGGCGGGCAAAGCACCAGGGCCAGCGCCTCCCACAGAAAAAGTAGCGTTTGACTCGGTAGAAAGGCCTCAATGATGGCAACGGCGGATGTCGATATGAAATGGACAAATGGGACGCAAGTGGCTAGGGGCAGTGGGAAAGCGAAAAGGAAAGGAAGGGAAAGGAAGATTGTAAACTGCGATGAGATCAATCCGGAGCTCTGGGTGGTAGAAGAGAGGAGGGTTGTGTGGAATGTAAGGCGCAGACCCCGTAGCGTCAGGTCTACAGTGGTTAGAGACGCAAGTGAGCAAAGAACCTTGCCAAGGGGAAGAGATACCACCTATGGGATCCCATTCAGGTACCCCCCGTTTAGTGATACTCTTTACCCGGAAGCCCCCAAACCGCTAAATTATTCTCGCTAACTACCTCCGGACGGTGTAGGAGCGCCTAACTAGAGGGGGCATCCCGGGGGATGTACATGCCTGGATCTTGTCTGGAGACTGCCTGGCCATCGGGTGCTCTATTGACTGCGATATACGGGTACGGATACCCCCCTTGGATTGCCTCTTTGCCTCTCCACAATGGCCTCCCGCAGAATGGCTATTTTTTCTTCACAAACTCTCTCGGTCGTAGATGAGGGAAAACCACGCGCTGGGCCGGGGTCAGATGTGGCGAATGCTCGGGAGATGCCAGCAGGAATAGGCAAAGCAGACAGCGTGTGAGTGGTCCTCAAGTTGATTTCTAAGCGGCAGCGAGTCGCGACCGATCCATGCCAATCCACGGTGCTCCATCCCAATACCGGTTCGTCCATGTCGGCGAATCAGCGATGCTGCCTGATCACTGCCACTCTACCGCAAACAGCCTTCCCAGCCGTCATCCTGCCCGTCCACCAATTGTCGCAGCGCCTTCGAGCGCAAATTTACTTCGTCGGGATACGAGGTCAAAGGGTCCAGCATGGTACCTTTTGCGCCATCATATACTGTATCTAGTCACCCTGTTGTGTCAGTTTAAGTTCTGACTTTGGCCGGTGGTGGTGTTCCTTGAGGTCGACGTCATCGTTCCTCTCCATCCGTGGCGTCCGTAGGTTGTCACCTGAGGCTGTGGGAGACAAGCTCTCCGATTGGGGACTTGACGTGTTCGAGTCCTCGACTGGAAGAGCCGCGGCAGAGCGACTAAAATGAGGCACACTCTGGAGGAATTGAATGGGGGCTAAGAATCAGTTCGAGGAGGAGAAGGAGGAGGACAGGATGAGGTAGTAGTAGTTTCCGCCTGCGTTCCCGCCTGTCCAGGCGAAAAGGCTTGGCATGTCGCATGCAATGGCTCCTGCATCTCTTGCCATTATCAAACTGCAGCACATCACGCTTCACAAGACCATTTCCAGCCGCCCTCAAACAAATTGTCCTCCTCTTCGGTGCCTGTAGACTACAGCCACAAACACTCCGTCTCTCCCTCGTGTCCCTACCGTGCTTCGTTCTCCCCAGATCCTCTCAAAGCATGAGCAGTGCAGAGGTCGCGGCCCTTGAGGGCGAAGTGAAGGAATACAAGCTACAACTGGAGACGGTCCAGCTGAGTCTGCAAAATGACCCGGACAATAGCGAGTTGCAGAGTCTCAGACAAGAACTTGAAGAAGTCATTTCCCTCACCGAATCTGCCATTGCAGAACTAAAGCCTCCATCAGCACCCGCTCCATCTGCACAACCTGCAACGCCGCCGGTGAAGGAAAAATGGTCCAAAGAGAATCATCCCGCGTACCAGGCTGGTTATCGGAAACCAGAGGTCGAGTCGGAAGAGACGAGCAGTTCCACGACCTTCGCTGTCAACGACACAGTCTCGGCGAGATGGAAATCCGGCGATGGTGGATACTATACAGCGCGCATTACGTCCATCACAGGTTCATCCAGTGACCCAGTCTATATTGTAACATTCAAAAACTACGGCAACACAGAAACACTCAAGGCGAAGGACATCAAGCCGCTGACCAATGAAGCCAGGAAGCGTAAGGCTGATGGAATGTCAGGATCATCCACCCCTGTGTCTCCGCCATCGAATCCGAATGTCATCTCGGCTGCAGCAAGCGTCGACCCCGCTCTGGCACAACAAGCCCGCCGTGAGCCCAGCAAAGTCAGCGACGGGCCTATTCGACCAGCGAAGATACCTCGCAAAGTCAAAGCCAACAAGGAGCTGGAAGCCGGCAAGTCAAAATGGCAAGATTTTGCGGCCAAGAGCAAGGTTGGGAAAATGAACAAGAAGGAAAGCATGTTCCGCACAGGCGAAAGTGTTAATGCTAGAGGTGAGTGCCCTTTTTCTTTTGGGTATTGGAAACGCTACTGACTCGTGTCTAGTGGGCTTTACTGGCAGTGGCCATGAGATGCGTAAAGATCCTGCGAGAACGCGACATATTTACCAGCAGGGCAGCCAAGACGACTGAAGACGACTTGGGGGGATTTTGAACTTGCCTCTGCCATCAGTATCTATCTTGCTTGTTTTGAGCGTTCATGGGATTTACGAGGCAAACGCTGACCGGATGGCCAAATTGCAGATTCAGCCGCGACGTCCACGGGCGATGTTCGGGACGGAACCAGGCTTAGAATTATAATGAGACAAGTATCTTCCTTATTGGCGTTATGACAGTCTCTGACCTATCGGTTTCTCCTCTGCAGATAGCCACTTAGGCTTCATGCCGAGACAATGTCTGCCCTGACAATGTCTGCCCTTTACTGATGATCGTCACAGCTAAAAGAAACGCCCTAATCATGTCAATTGACCCTTGGCCTTCGGGGGAATTGTCCATTCTTCATTAATGCCCCTTCCAGTAAGGAGGCTGAGTATCTCTGGGACCCGGGAATCGTCCTTCTCGTGTGCTATGGCATGGCATTGCAGAATACCATGCGCTATTATGTGACGAGGGCATTTGAAGGTGCAATGCCGGCTAGCAGATTATCCTCCAAAGACAGCACACGCTTCATATAGGCAAGACTGTGGCCTTGTGGACGATGGGTTTGTCACCTAAAGCCCCATGGACTATGCGTCCCGCCTCGTATGTTTTGAGGCGGCATCAAGCCAGTCATGGATGAGCGATTGTTCCTGTTCGAAGCATCGAGCAGAAGCAGATGTGTAGACTTCAGAAGTATCCTGTTGTTCACAATCCACCCTGTATTCTGAAGCTGCTCACGACTAACACGAGCATATTGATCGCACCCCACAACAACGGCGTCCAGGTACTCATCCCAAAGTACCCAGCATTGTAGACTGCGCCTAGCACCAATCCCACCAAGCTGCCAGCCAGCAACGCCTCGCTCGCCCCAATGACAATGTACACGATGGGCACGATCCAGACCCAACTCAGCGTCTCGCCGATCGGATTGTCCCCCAGCAGCTTCCTGTTCTTCGCACTGAGTGCCCGGCCCTGCGGGGAGTTGAGGTACTTGCGGCGCTGGTCGGCCGAGGCGAACTGCATGAGCACAGCCCAGGCGGCGACGCACGCGTGCGCGGCGACCATAGTGATCAGCGTCCAGTACAGCGTGTAGCGGTAGATGTCGGCGAGGAAATAGAGGTACTGCGGCTCGCCCGGGTTGGCGTGAACGGGCCAGTAAAGCGCGGGGAACTCGGGGGTCACGTAGGACAGAGGCACGCCGCCGCCGTAGGTTGTCATCTTGTTTTCGGGTGGGAGGCTGGTGGATGCGGAGGTAGGGTACTGTGCTATGGTAGGGTAATCAAAGGCCCCAGTCGTGTGAGGGATTCATGGCCGTGTCCGCATGGTGGTTTGGTATTGATTCAAAAGAGTCAAATCGGAAGAAGTTGGAAACGGTCTTTCTAATACAAGTACGTATACTCCTCGTACTCCGTATACTCCCGAGGTTTATCCGGCAGCCTGAGGTATTAGGCCTCCTCGACTCCTACCTTGTTCTGGACTTTGGCTTTAGGAATCGCGAGGAGAAATGACAAGAAAGAGAAATGGGGAACTAAAAGATTTCCAGACTTCGTGACGATGCTACACACTGGCTGTCGTCTTCTGCGAGTCGCTTCTACTTCTCGGAAGCTCACAAGTCCAGACCACCCCCTGGCAATTGTGACAGCCCTGGTGACGGCACCAGTTAGACTCTCCACGGAGATGAAAGACCTTAAGGAATAGTAAGCCATTTGTTGCGAAGAAAAAGTCTAATAGAGCAGCACGTTCTCCTTCCCATACATTGAAGGTGGGGATGAGTCGGCATGAAGGGGCTCAATATTCTTCTAGACCTCTCCAGTGTTTGAGTCTTATACGCATTCTTTCGAAGCCTACGCAGGCCTCAGAGCCTGGAGACCCGGGTATCCATGGGAGATCTATGCAATACTGTGACGAGGTTCTCCTGCAATCACCCCACAGAACCACCGACACTCTTAGTTTCTGGCATCGGCAAAGATATCATCAACGATATCTCCGCGACCGGACACAAAGGTTATCTCTGTCAACAAGTCCGCTGTCATTTCAGATGAGATGGTTTTTGGGAGCGTGTATCAATACTTCGCCAATAAATCCTGACCTCTTCCTAAGTCCCTTTTCGATACCAAACTCCAGCATCCCGGTGTTCGCACCTGAGTCATTTTCGAAGATCATAACAAGGCAGAGCACGGCGCGTCATATTCCGCCGGGTTCACAAATGACGCCTTCGTCTCATTTCCATAACCAAGCCGAACGAGTGTACTACCTGGAGTGATGTCGTTAGGCACTGTTCCGGCGAGAACCCAAAGAGGGGACAATCCACCATACCTGAATTGTTATACAACGGCCAGCCCAGCTGCTCACGTAGGCCATTCATTGGGTCTCTGGCAAAAGTCGCCCACGCGTGCCTCATGTATCGAGACACGACATCTTGCAGTGGTGTATTCGGCTCTCCTGTCAGATCGGCTGACGTGCCAAATACCATTGAGACCTCGCTGGTGTGGTAAGCCGCGCTGCCAGGGTACAGACGCAGGTTGGGCCAGTCGCCGAAATACTCGTACCGCCACACGGGCACCAACTCGGAGGGAGTGGCTCGTTTCGCCGCCGCGTCTGCGGCAATGGGGCAGACGAACTCCCCGTAGCTGATGGTTTCTTGTTGGGTCACGCTCAGAGTGACCTGGTCGTTGCCCGCGTACCTCATGACGTAGAACCCAGCTTCGTTGTTATTGCTGCCCATCAGAAAAGGCTGCCAGGTCGTGTCAGTGACAGACGGGGAGATAGGTCGAAAGCAAGTGCCAAATGCTACTTGGGATTCTTGTTTGTGGGGAGCATGGAAGCAGAGAACAGACCTTTTGCGCAAATGCGCCTGAGAGCGTCCTCTCCGTGTAATTAGAGAAGACAAGCTCTTCGTCAATCAGGGGCCCAAATGTCGGAGCCACGCCTTGCTGGGGAATGGAAAGCATAGCTCCCAGGACGGCGGACACGCTCTGGTTTCTCATACATTCGAGCAGCACTGAGTCTGACGCCTGACCACAGCCGATAGAACTCGAAGCATTCCTCCAAGTGGCTGCACGTTCCTCTTCTGTAGAACTGAGATCCGCAAACGCCGATCCAGACTCTTGGATGAAGGCGTTTGCGATCGGGTCGGTCGGGAAAGCGTAGGCGTACCAAGAAATGATCCACGCTCCTTGCGACTGACCGAACATGGTGATGCGCTCGGGGTCTCCCCCGAATGCCTCGATATTGTCTCGGACCCATTCCAGCGCCAGTCTGCTGTCACGCAAGGCCAAATTGGTGCTTGCTCCGGGTGCACCACTGAAGCCAAAAATGTTCACGCGGTAGCTTATGGCGATAGTCAGTGATGGTTTGAAATTGGTCTCCACGATGGTTGACAACTCACTTGAACGAAACCACAATAACGTCTTCCTGCTCGGCGAAATACACGCCGTTGTAAGTTGGGTTGTTCACGGAGCCGCGTTCAAACCCTGGAAGAACGATCCACAATCAGTCGTGTTCTGTGTGGACATTGAGCCCAATGGAACTTTCGTGCGACTCACCGCCCCCGTAGACGAACACCAACACCGGCTTCTTGGAGCCTCCTGACGTCTTGGCCCAGAGGTTGAGGAATAGACAGTCTTCGCTCATAATGTTGTATGCGTCGGCGGACTCTTCACTCATGATTCGCCCGGCGTGGGAGTATAACTCGCCAGGAACGGTGCCCCAGTTATGAACCACATACGGACAATCGGGGGGCTGTGTCGAGGCATTGAAGACATGGCTAGAAACGAAGGGAACAGGTGGAGCGAATCTCAAGTCGTTTGTTGGGGCTTGTGCGTAGCGAATGCCGAGGAACTCCAACACGTCTGGGTGACTATTGCTTGGATGTCCTATGTACTGCCCGCTGGTGGTGTTGACCAAGGACGGCGGGAGCGCCTTTCCATCTTTGATCTGGGTTGGAACAGCTTGCGATCGTGTTGTGAAGATGCATGCAGCCTGAACAGATGCGAAAATAAGTCGAAAACTTTTCATATCGGCTGCCAGTGTAAGTCGAGATATCCTCCGAAAAGCTTTGGTGATTTGTGTGGAAGAACAGAGGGATCACCAGCGGAACATTGACATTTAAGTAGGAGTAGGACAAAAGAGCCAAAAAACAAGAAGCAGCCTGAATAAGAACTCGTCCATTTTGGACACTCGCAGTCTCAGCCCGAACCAGGCTCAGCTTGCTTCTTCAGGTATGACCTTGTATTAAGATCGAATTACATACCCCATTAGGTATAATGCAGGATGCTAACTCGCTATTCAGGTGGGTCCTCGCCACCTACGAGGTATTTCGAGTAAACGTTTTCGAGAGATGGGTCCAGCGTAAGGCTGACACACGGCTGTCCTCTTGATCAAATTTGTCAGGTCAGCAAGCGACGTAATTCCTCACACAAAGTGACATTCCCATTTCTCTGAGTCCTTGTTCTTGTTTTGACCATTGTTGTTATTGGCATTCTTATTTTGTTTGTTGCCAGTTTTGGCCTTAGCCTGGCCCTGAGCCTTGAAGGCATTTGCCTGATTCGATTGACCATTACCAGTGGTTTGAGTGACCTTCCTCATGTCGTGTCGGAAGACCTTCTGAACAGCGTCATCAAAAGCCACTGTATTCGCAGGTGTGTCGAGGATCTGTGACACCACCAATTCATAGTCTTCACCTAATCCATTTAGGAAGACTGACACCCAAAAGTCGTCATTAAACTGGTGTCTCAATGCGTCAAAGCTAGACCGATTCGACCTCAATTTGTTCACATATTCCTCCAGAGTATTGAACTGTTTGAGCGAGTAACTGTTGACCAGGATTGTCTGTTGATAGATCGCCGCAAGACCTTGTTGCTCGTAAGCCTGTTTGAGCTTTGCAAGTATATCTCTTGCAGTCTTTTCATGCACAATCAATGGCTTAACGTGATTCGCGCAGAGGTTGTAAATGACACTCTGTGCCTTCGAGTTCAAGTCTTCCCATTTCTCGAACTTCGCATCCTCTAACGCTCGCCATTGTCCATAGTTAGCCATCAGCACGTCCTCTGAAAAGCCCTCTTTTGGTCGAGTCTCTCTGGTCGCCAACCAGTCTGCTATCCTAGCCGCTCGTTCCAGTGTGTTTAGGGTGTGAGGATCGACAACTGGGGGACGAGATACTGCACCATAGCACTCCTGTGCCCGCAGTTCCATCTCGCATGCAGGTAGCCATACTGCATAATTGGATTTACCCTGTAGAATCAGGCGATTTTTGTTTCTATTCTGGAACCCTTGCCCCCCCATTTTGACTGTTGTTCCACCTTTTCTGTGGCGTTGTGGAACTGTTCGGCTCGGCACGATATTAGGGTCGGAGGTAGGAAAGTTTTCGTCCGATTCGACGACCGATTGGCGCTCGGCCAGTGATCAATTCAATCAGGTTGGAACAGTTACAAACCCCGCGGTGTTAGCCTGTCCAAGAATTGATGGATAAATAGGCAGATTCGTGATAGAATTGCCTGTGGTGAAAGGGTCGCGATTTGTGTTGTTTTCGCTGCCTGCGAGGTTCCGTTCAGGACCCCCTCGCCGCACAACCACAAATCCGCCACAAACGAAGGATAGGTTATTCCTGCTAGATAGCCAGGAAAGGATGACCTAGCATGAACCAAACGATGAAGTAGCAACGCGCAATCAAGCGTTTAGGCGCTCATAACCTGTGGGACTACTTGGTTGTATTATCAGTTTTCTGTGTGACCAGAAAAGATCTATCTAGTAGTTGCACGCTAGCGCGCTAGCGCGTCCTGCGGCAGGCAGTGGCGCAGTGTCACTTAGTCGGCTAACCTTCCCAATAGGGTTAGGGCAACAGCTGTCGCCCAAAGTTGTTGGTCCGTGAAATTGTTGGCCTCTTTACGTTCCTCCACAGATGTGATACACTCTGATATATTCACACAAGGTGCTGCTATACCAATTTCCGATACGTAACACATAAATCTCATGAAAGAGGAGATGGCAGTAGTAGTACATGCTATCCCGTCGGATATTTCAACAAAATAATACAGAGTATCATGGACATGATACTTTCCAAAAGACAAAGCTTCCAACATATTCAAGAGCACATCGCTCACGCCAACAAGAGCGTAAATCCTTGAAAAGGCACTTCCATCCTCGCAGGGACCAAAGGACCGCCACTGCACTATCGTATTTCACAGACCACGGTTCAACGAATAACCTGTTCAAGCAGCTTCGTTGATGTTATTACCGACAATTGATGTGCAACAGAAGGAAGTCTTTTGCTTCTTCGGAGTTGGGTAGTCTGGCCGGAGCTTCGTGACCCTTTCGCTTCCGAACTGTTCTCCTTTCGCCTGTTGAGGTGCCTTGGGAGCCGGTCTGACGGAGACAGAGAATTCTGCCTTTCTGATTTCGCCTTGGTACCGGATCGATCGTTGGATGTCGATTTTCTGGGCTTCTTTGGCCGTTCACCTTCGTGATTTTCGGTCTCTGGAGCCGTTGCTACCGCAGGACTGAGACAATATCCACATTCTGCTGCAATCAAGGGCACCTGTTCATCTATCCATCTCACAAAGGTGGACCACCCCTTTTCGTCCCGTTGTGCTGTTCGAAAGCGCCTCCTGGCTCCGCTGAGGCGGAATAGAAGGTTCAACACTTTTTGGGATTCGTCAAGCCTCTCCTGAGCATCCTTTAGAAGCGCCGCTTTGCGTCTGGTCTGCCTTTGCTCAGCGTAGGCGAGCTGCTCAAGTCTTTGGTTTGCTGTCTCTATTTCACCTTCGTTGTCTTTCCTCTTCCCCTCGGCCTCTTCCGTGTACGCCCAACTGGGTCCGCCAACCCTGGGAGGAACCTCTCCGGCTCCAGGCCTAGTGCTGTGAAGTTCGCTTTGGGCTTGCACAAACTCCTGCTCTGCGGCCACAAGATCACTCACGAGGTATTTAAGTCTTTCATGGCAGAAGTGCCGGAACTCACACCAGTCTTCCAGCCGGCTTTGAAGCTTTCTGTCTTGGCGCAGTCGCAACTTCCCAACATCACCGGCGTCTTCAAGAATGCGAAACACCTCTCGCTCATATGAGGTCCAATCGAGGTCACCCTTGCGGATGTCCTCTTGCAACTCCCGAAAATCGGACCACACTCCGAGTTGATCTCGAAAACACACTGCCGGCCCGGCTTCGGACTTCCAAAACCGATTCATTTCGTCAATTATTTCACGGGCGTGGTCAATGTCACAGGTCGAAACGCTGTCGTCTCCCAGCAATGCTTGATAGGCCGAGTTCTCACTCTCGGAAACCTTTCCAGCTTCGCATTCTGACTCGAGCACTCGAGTGTGGCAAGAAGATATGGGAGATGACGGAGGGGGTAGATGTTGAGAAGAGAGAGGGCTGGGAAGATGTCAGGGAATCTTATTGTTCCATGAAGTCGAATAACACGCACCGTAGTTTCGCTTCACGAGCGACTGCGTCGACCGGCTTCTCTGAACGACTCCTGAAACACTCTTCCACAGTCTGTCTGTCGATCGATTGGCCCATGATGCACCCAAGCTGTGTGCCTCGTCTTACCGTAGAAGCTTGAAATGTCCTTCAATTCGGCTCTCGGGGTCCTTGACGCTAATAGCCCTTCTCTCTCGTTAGCTCGAGAGAGTTCTGACTTGAAGATGGAAGCATTACTTTCTCTCCCCAATATCCGCCACTTGCAGATCCATCACCTTGTGGGCTTATATTCCTCGGGGCATGCTGGAAAAGATGTTGTTCTAGATGCAGAGGCAAAAGATGAATCGTACGGAGCAGGATGGAGTCGCACATGGTGCTGCAAGTATAATACTTATCGCTATAAGGAAGACCATTGTCCTCGCCATTTTTGGGTGCATGTTACCTCAACATCAAGCCTAGCGCTGTGGAGGCGCTAAATGGTGCACGAACTAATAAAAGTCCCCAATCACACGGCCATTGGAGACGTCAAACCTATGGGGCGGCACTGGGGTGGGGGCAGAAGCTGCAATACCATAACCACATGCACAGGTTTCTGACCCCTGGATGGCTCTTCGTAGGGTCATTGGGGTAGACTCTGAAACCCCTTTTTAGCCGTCTAAATCACTAGCTACGGATGGTCCCGTCGCCAGGAAGAAGGTCTATACACTGTTGAACAAGGATGCACGGACGTCATACCGAACACATTCGGTACGAGATGTCGGGAGGAACAACATTGTTCCTGCGCAAACAAAGCAATAACCCCATGTCCTCTGAGCCAGGTCTTACACAGTCCTCAGTCCAAGAGGCTGAAATCTTTGTAACATCAAACTACAGTGAGCGATGGACTCAGCAGGAAAGTGGGGTCAAAGGACCACGGACGGTGCCTGCTGTCGTTTCAATTGTCAGGCCCTTTTGCGACCAGCATATAAATACATCTCCGATTGGACAACCTTGTCAAGGTTCAGTTGAAGCGCCATCTGTGCCATTAACACGACTGCAGATGAAGATTAACATATCTGCAGTATTCGCAATGCACGGGGTTTGGAGGGGCGGGTCATCGGGCTGGGACTCTGCATAACATCCGTGTAAATAGGTCGGCAGGGCGCTTCACGGCTGGTAGGTGCATGGCTATGCCACTATTTTTACATCGAGGCTGATGTAAAGACCATAATGGGCGAGTAATCACACTCTGTAGGCAATTTGAATTTCGCCTCTGTTTACGGTATCTTCTTTTCATCCCTGTCAATTCAACAGCCTTGTAAACGTTGTCGACGGGAGCGAAGGATGACTGGCGCCAGGGAAGACGCCCCGTTGTGGTTGGTCGCAATGCTATAGCCCCCTATGTATCTTGAATTGCGACCTGGGTTTTATGCTCATGACTGCTTCTGAGCGTCTAGCTGGGCCTTATCACTGAAATTTCCACGGTGGTTCTGGCCCCGGAGCAAGCGAGAAAGGATCAAAGGATGCAAAACGACGTATTTGTACGCCATGCACCTGCAAATATGTGATTGGTAGCGTGAGCCGCCACTTGTTCCGAAGAAAGACATTTGATCCTTTTGAAAGCATCTTCGATCGTGATTGAGTAAGATACCATTGCGCTACGCATGGTATAGCAGCTGAACGTTGAATACTAACAATATCTTGTGGATGAGGTTGACTGAAGGACAAGGCTAGCCCCATTACCGGTGTAGGAGGAGCAGAACGATGTCCTTGGTCGACGCGAACAGGTCAGGACGTAGAGACGGCGGGAAGAATCACCAACGTTGTGAAGGCTGCTCTATCAATGTACAGGCACTCGAAGGCCGGTACACATCAGTTGACAGCAGCCCGCTCTAGGAGAGAGGGATGCATTGCTCTCGTATATGCCTTCGCAAATCGGTTGGCTTCAAGCAATTGACCATAATACCAGCAAAATTTGTGTCCAGCCCACATCCAGCCGACAATTGGCGGAGGAGTCACAGATCCAGCCCACAACAGCCCGAGGCCAGAACCGAGTCGAGGAGCAAACACAACGTTACTCACCGTCGCGTACGGAAGGAGATTTCGGTGACAGTGGTGGCCGTATTTCTGCCGAAATGGCGTTGTCTAGAGTAAATTTCCCTGTTATACGGGCAAATGTTTTCTTTTTCATGAGGGACTCGTAGGGGTGATGTCCTACTTGTATCATGTAAATGGAAAAAGCCATGGCAGGACTGGTCCTCGCGACAGCCAATTGCGTCTTGATTCCCTTTACGAAATCTAACAAACTATTTTGCCAAAAGGCTCGCGAGGTCCATATGCCTCTTCTTCTCTGCGTATGGCCGAGTTCAGCCTATTTCCTTCCACGAGTTTTATCATATCTCAGTGATTTCAGGGTAAGGTGTAGCCTCCGTCGATGAGGACGTCGCTTCCGGTCTGGAAGCTCGACGCGTCGCTGGCCAGATACAGGTAAAGGCCTTTGAGTTCGCGGACCTCGCCCTGGCGGCCCAGCACGGCCATGCGGTTCGCCTCGTTGGCGCTCGGCGGCGGGGCGCCCATCTTGGTGTGGATGAAGCCGGGACTCACGACGTTGACGCGCGCAAAGTCGCGCCACTCGCGGGCCAGGCTCTTGCCCAGGTGCGTCACGGCGGCCTTGGTGGAGTTGTAGACGGGCTGGTCCAGCGGCACGTTGACGATGTGGGCTGACATGCTGGACGTGATGATCAGATTACCCCGGCCCTGACGCTTGAAGACCTCGCCGGCGTACTTGGCGCAGAAGAACACGCCGTCCACGTTGACCGCCATCTGCTTGCGGTACTCCTCCACCGTCTGCTCGAGGATCGGTTTGGAGATGGCCACGCCGGCGTTGGCCACGAAGACGTCGAGACGGCCAAAGTCCCCGGCCACCTCCTCGACGGCCTGCTGCACGCGCGACGGGTCCGACACTTCGACCTGGTAGGCCTTGACCGTGACGCCGTGTTTCGCCGCCAGCTGTGCGCCCTTGGACCGGGCGGCGTCGTTGGTGTTGTACCACAGGGCAAGGTTAGCGCCGGCCTCGGCCATGGCTTCAGCCACCGCCCATCCGATGCCGTCGGAGGCGCCGGTGATGCACACCAGCCGACCCTTCATGGAGAGTTGCTCAAAGACATTCTCGGGCGTGGGGGGAGCGGGCTTTGCAGGCCGAAAAGGGGCGCATTCCTCGATTGACATAGACATGGTTGGACAGAGTCGATCAATCCAAAAGAAGACGGAGAAAAGAGTGGAATGTCGCGTCTCTGGATCACGTAAGTTGCATGGGTCGCAAAGCCACAAACAAGCAATAAGAAAGAGTCGTAAAAATCGAGTCAATGGTTAAATGTGGGATGATGCCAGGCCTATATTCGCGTCTGATTGTATTCCGGTTTGGCGTTCGACGGGGCACAGGCTGTTTTGCCGGCGCCACCGTCCCATGTCCACCGCATGTAAACCATTTTGGATGATTCTGCATCAGGTTCAATGCGGGGTTGGAGATCGGAGTAGTCCTACGACTGTGATCTACAGTATTGTATGAAAGTCGCCGGGAGAACACACGCCGAACTCGGGAGAGTCACTCGCTACACTTTCCCAGCTGTGTAATAGTGTGGGGGCATTGGGCCACTAAATTGTCGAAGTGCTGTTCGCTAGACCTTCCTAGAAGAGGGTTTCCCTCTCGCCCCACCTTCTTCCTTAGGTTATGGCCATAGTCCTTCGGGTACCTCATATGGCATAGAATGCCTTGTATACTCGTCTCATGCAGAAGAACATGTCCCCTGAACAATAAAGACGTCAAATACTCTTCTTACGAGGCCACTGTTTGCCACGTTCCCTCGTTCCCTGAAACGGAGCCCCTCATCCCAGAGGCTAATGTGGATGTAGCTACTTCCAGCCCACTTTTCCATCCTCAAACTGCTGCCTGGCGCCGGTGGCATTGACTCAAATACTCGCGAGTATTCGTCGGCATTCCTGCCTGGCTCCTGAGTATCATCGAGCATACTTCCTCAATCTCTCTCAATCCACCCATTCAACAGACCTGCAACTGTGCTTTGACTTCTCCAAACAAGTCCACGCCAGAGCCACCGACGAGCAACAGCATGGCCGCCGTCCAAGCAGAGCCCGAGATCATCCTCTATGACCTGGCCTGCACCAAGAACGTCTGCTTCTCGCCCGTCGTCTGGCGCATCCGCCTGATGCTCAATTACAAGCATATCCCCTACAGGACCGTCTTCCTTGAGTTTCCGGACATCGAGCCCACACTGAAGGGGCTGTAAGTTGATGTCCTGTTCATCCATCAAAGAGTCTTCCTTACCTGATCCATGAATAAAGGGGCCTAACACCCAGTATCTCACCTTCGGGAGCGCCGAATAAATATACGGTGCCTGCCATACATCACGTCCCGACCAACACGTACATGATGGATTCGGCGCCCATCTCGCGGTTCCTCGAGTCGACCTATCCGGATCCTCCGGTGCCACTGACGTCGGAGCTGGGCCGCGAGATCGAGACCAAAGCCCGTGCTGTGAGCGGCGCCGTCCTCCGCGCATCGATCACGCCGCGCGAAATTCGGATCTTGTCGCCCCGCGCGCAGGAGTTCTTCCGCCGCCCCCGCGAGGCCGTGCTGGGCCATCCCCTCGAGGACCTGCTGGACCAAGAGAAGGAAGACGCAAGCTGGGACGCGGCGAGCGACGGCATGCGCGCCGTGGGCGAACTGATTCAGACGAACAAGGCCGCGGGTCCCTTCGTGCTGGGCGCCCGGCCGAGCTACACCGACTTCTTCATCGCGGGGGCGCTCCAGAGCGCGAGGATGGTCGACGAGGGCGTATTTCAGCGATATCTCAAGTATCCCGGTTACGGAGAGGTTTACGAGGCGTGTCTGCCCTATATGGAGAAGAATGATTGAGCGTGGGTTCCCCCGGGGCTAATCGGTCCACTCTTCAAGACACATAGGTAAGACTGAAGGGCCAGATACTTGCTCAATAGGACAGATAGACAACATACTTTATTCTAAGAGAGAAAAACTTAGACATAATGCTGGCCACTTACTTAGCTGCTGCTGTCCCGCACTTGTTCCTTTCTCTCTTGGGCTTACTCCCAAGGTCAAACATGGGATTCTGCCTAAATGGCCTGGGCAACGGGCCAGCGAGGCCGAAGATTACCCAAAACATCTGCCAAGATGGCTCCTTCTAATGGCGACTTTACCAAGTTCATTCCTCCTCCGGACTTTATCCATTGTGGATCAGCCACCGCGACTTTGACGTTCTGGGGAAGACGTCTTCTGGTTAACCAACTAACTATTCATGTGATGGCTCGGAGGAAGTGCAGTGTCTCTCTGACGGAGGCCGTCGACTGCTTCACGTGCTTTCGATGGCAGCATTAGGAAATACTTGAAAAGCCTCGTTCGCTGGGAAGATCAGAGAGGCATCTACAAATCCGTTCCCGTTGTCTTGTCGAGCCCCGGCGCCCTCGAGAGTCAAGCCACCGTCAGCAACATGAAGTTCACAGAGGGCATGTGGCGGACGCGGTCGGGGGTGTGTTTCAATTGGATGGGCAACGTAGAGCGGCTCCGTATCAACAACGACGACAACGCCGTCGACCTCCTGCTCACGAAGCCGCAGAGAAGCCGGGGCGACACGCTCAACGCCGGCACCGTGTCTGCGCGGCTTCGCACGCCGCTGGAAGGGGTCATTGCCGCCAGCTTCTCGCATTGGACCGGCGAGGAGGATCGCGGACCCCATTTCCCTCTATTCGAGGCGCCGCGAAAACCAAAGATCCTCTCTCAAGAGCGATCGCTGGATTATGCGAGCGGACCGCTGGACTTGTCTGTCAACACGGCCCCCAACGAGTTGGGCTTCACGTACTCGTGCCACTCCAAGAAACTCACTGGCCACTCCGTCCGGTCGATCGCGGTGGTGTCGTGCTCGGACACGCCCCGCTACCGGATCGCCGAGGGCATGTACGCGCAGGCGGACAACTACATGCTCCTCGAGCTCGACCTCTCGGTGCACGAGAAGATCTATGGGCTCGGGGAGCGGTTCGGGGCCTTCGTCAAGAACGGCCAGACGGTCGACGTGTGGAACGAGGACGGCGGCACCAGCTCCGAGCTGACGTACAAGAACGTGCCCTTCTACCTGTCCAGCCGCGGCTACGGCGTCTTCATCAATTCCCCGGCCAAGGTCATGCTGGAGATCCAGTCGGAGCGGACCACGCGTGTCAACATCGCCGTGCACGCCGAGACCCTCGAGTACATGGTCATCGCGGGCCCGTCGCCCAAGGAGATCCTGGATCGATACACCGCCTTGACGGGGCGTCCGGGCTTGCCTCCAGCCTGGTCCTACGGGCTCTGGCTGACGACCTCGTTCACGACCTCGTACGACGAGCAGACGGTCACGTCGTTCCTGGAGGGCTTCAAAGAGCGCGAGATCCCCCTGAGTGTCTTTCACTTCGACTGTTTCTGGATGAAATCCTGTATGTTGTTGCCCCTTGCCCCGTTGCTCACTCCCTGCCCGAACACACAAACTCACCGCGTGGCATATAGTCCAATGGTGCGACTTCCAGTTCGACGACGATAACTTCCCCGACGCCCAGGGCTACCTGCGCCGCTTGAAAGCGCGCGGCATGAAGATCTGCGTCTGGATTAACCCGTACATTGCACAGGCGTCGCCGCTCTTCCTCGAGGGGAAGAAGCACGGCTACTTCATCATGCGCGCCGACACGCCGCGGCCGACCGTGTGGCAGTGGGACAACTGGCAGGCCGGCATGGCCGTGGTGGACTTCACCAACCCGGCGGCGCGGGCGTGGTACGCGTCGCACCTGCGGCGGCTGATGGTCATGGGCGTCGACAGCTTCAAAACCGACTTTGGCGAACGCATCCCGTTCCTCCCGCACCAGGTCACGTACCACGACGGTAGCGACAGCGTCCGCATGCACAATTTCTACGCGTACCTGTACAACAAGGTCGTGTACGAGGCGATGATGGACATGCAGGTGCCGGCGGCGCAACCGTGTCTGTTTGCGCGATCCGCCACGGCCGGCGCGCAGCAGTTCCCCGTGCACTGGGGCGGTGACTGCGAGAGCACGTTCGAGGCCATGGCCGAGACGCTGCGGGGCGGGCTGTCGCTGGCCCTGTCCGGATTCGCGTTCTGGGCGCACGACATCGGCGGCTTCGAGGGCCTGCCCGACCCGGCGCTGTACAAGCGGTGGGTGCAGTTCGGCCTGCTGGGCAGCCACTCGCGGCTGCACGGCAGCTCGAGCTACCGCGTGCCGTGGATCTACGACGGCGAGAAATACCCGGGCGAGGACGCCGCGTGCAGCAGGGTATTAAAGGACAGTGTCGAGCGCAAGCTGGCCCTGATGCCGTACCTGCTACGCGCGGCGCTCGAGGGCCACCGCCGCGGCACGCCCGTCATGCGCGCCATGTTGCTCGAGTTCGGCGGGTCCGACATGAATGTGTGGAACATAGACACGCAGTACATGCTGGGCGCCGACCTGTTGGTGGCCCCGGTCTTTGACAAGGACGGAGAAGTGACCTTTTACGTTCCCTTTTCTTCTTCTTCTCGGACAGACAACACCAACACCGCCGGCGTCGAACCCACAGGCCAAGCCAAGTGGAGGAGCTTCTTCGACCACGGCAAGACCTACGAAGAAGGCCACTGGTACACCGAGGTGCACGGGTTCGACACGCTGCCTCTCCTCGTGCGACCAGGGGCCGTGGTCCCGCTCAACCCGACCTTGAACGCACCGGACGGCGACGTCACGAAGGGTCTGCAGGTCCTGGTCAACGGCCCCCTGCATGGGGAGAAGGTGGTCGAGCTGGTCGAAGCGGGGGATGTGGCCCGGGTGGCCAAGACGTTTACCGTCGACGAGGAATTGGTGGTCAAGGGGATTGACGGCGTCCGAGTGGTGGATATGTCCAGAAAAGCCTAGAGATAGAGATAGACCCATAGACTCATACGAAGGACCTATTTGAGCCATCTCTCTGACAACGTCTACAAGTACGAGATACTGTAAATGCACGGTGAGGACAAGGCCCACCTGAATCGACGTCGGGTTAGCGTCTTGCATTATAGGGACTAGCTTCTTTCCAATATAATACATACTGTAGGTATAGTGCATACCCACCAACGTAGTTGAGACGGTATTTCAAAGACTGGTTACTAGCCTCTCCTCTCCGAGGCTGTCTGGTATTAGGACGAGGGCTGTTGAGACCACTACGTCCTGGCTCCACTGGCTCTGTCCCCGCGCAAAGAAGCGAACCTGGCGGGTTGAAATGGCTTGTTTTATTGACAGGTGGAGAGAACCGATCAGTATCAATCTACAAGTCTTGCGTTACCTGGAAAATGTATCCCAAGTGTGTTATCAAGCGGAAAGATCTCCTTTTCTTTTTTTGAAGGGGTGAAATTTTCTCGACGTCAGTCATTCATGGACACTCCGAATCCGTCCTTCGTGGTCTCGCCCTGACATGTGGCCACTGGATGTGGGTCAGAGCGACCTTCTCAGACCAGTCAATGTTAGTCCGCTCGAGAAGCCTCCTTTGATACTCTGGTGTTTGGATTCTTTTGGGCCTTGAGCTCTCGAGGCTCTTTATTCTGGACTTGGACCTGATGGACGCTCTGGACGGAGGAATAAAGGGAGAGCTCGCATATTTCGAACCCTCGGCACATCAGTTGCCGGAGGGATCTGACAGTTTATGCTTGCACCTGATTAGCGCTGTGCTGTGATTTGGTCCTCGTTGACATTGAAGACGGTCCTTACGTTTCTCCTCGACGCGATAGTTGAGAAAGGCCGGGTCTATCAATGCCTCCAAGGAGATCGTAGTCCGAACATGAAAAAGACAGCTTCGGGCACCATCATGAAGCAATTCTGCCGGGGGTGTCCTGTAGAATCGATGTGTGACGCGAGTCGGCTCGAGACGGGATGTTGATACTGGTAACAGGCACCATCTTGCTGTTGCCGATGATCCTCGAAAATCCCACGGACAGAGAATATTGTGTATTCCGAACCACGGAGTCATTTCACCACTCATTCTCCCCAACCAGCTGGGTGAAAGGGGGTTGCTCCATGCGAGATTTGGAGCCCGATGTACACCTCACAGCACGTAGCACGATTTTCGAATTGCCTGGAGTATGTTGCCTGGTGTCTCTCCTGTTCCCTCCCCCCCTGCTTCCGGTTAGTCGTCCCGTCCCAGGTTGACGCCTCGAACTACAAATGAACGATCAAGTGATAGATGGAAACGACACGGACAGAAACGGGCAGAAAAGCCCCCCACGGAGTTACCTTTCACCGACCCATCAGCATCATTCGCTCTGCCGAGTACCTATCTATAGTGTACTGTATATCGATGGCATCTGTATATTCTGGGTGATACCCCGGCGGGGACCTCGGTCGACGGTTCTCCAGATCTTCCCCAGACCAACAAAACCAGGGCCAGGTCTCTCACCCCTTCCCACCGAAGATGTACCGTTAGATTGAGCAGACTGGGAAGTTTGGGATCTGCTTTTGTGAAAAACGATTGGCGAGGACTTTAGCCTAGATATAACGAGAACTGCTCGTGGGAGACGGAGTATGGGGGGCCCCCAGCTGATGTGGGAATGTTGCAAGCTGCAGTGTTGCTTTATCTCGTTGTGTATCTAGCGCCGGCTAATCACTGGTGCCACTAGGCCGCCCCCTGTTCGCCAGTGTGGGCAAGAGAATTCCTTCGGTCGGTGACTTCTCGCTGGCGTGATACAGAGAGGAGCTTGAGTGGTCCGAGTCCCTGTGTCCCACAGCAAAAAGCCGGGGCCCCATGGTTTTCCGCGCAAGAAATTTGGTTGGTCGCCCCCGGAAAGAATCCAAGTACCTCCCTTCTAATCAGCCGAGATTCCCATCCCTCCATACCCCTGTTGGCGACAGGAAGGATGATGGCTTTTGTTAATTCAAGAGGGCAAGCTCTTGACACAACGTCGCATTTTCCTTTCGCTCCTGGCCTCGAAGTCTGCTTTGGGAAAGAGCCCGGCGGATGATACGATGATGGCGCTCTCTTCTCCCCGCTGCTTGATGCAGGTTTCTCTCAGAGCGAGGATGGAGATTTACCCGTCAACGCGGTCTGCCCTGTGGTTCGCTGGAGGAAGTCCTGGCTCGATCGAAGAAGCAGGCAGGCCATATGTACTGCTACCGACTTGTCTCGTGGATCCCCCCGCTTGCATCCAGACTTCAGAGGATGTATATATATGACCTATACTCCCCCACAATCTTGTGCAGGTTGTTGCAAGTTCCTCAGCAGAACAGCTCTTCCGGACTGTCTAGCACCAGGTGATTAACCAGTCCTCTTCACCAACCAGGTAAGAGAGATGGCCACCGATCCAAAGGCCGGAGACACCATCCACTTCGAAACCTCGGAGGAGGGACTCGGATACCTCAAAGATGTCGGCCTCCACGATGCGACTCTCGCCAGCGGCGCCCTCGAGGGCACGGCCCAAGAACACAGCATGGGCGTCTTCCAGGCCCTGAAAACGTACAAGCGCGCGGCGTTCTGGTCGATCCGTACGTTGGGCCCCTGACCCCGGAGGAAAGGCCATCTGGCCAGCGAGCTGAACGAAAACTAACACCGTGCGATCCAGTCATCTCCACCACCGTCGTCATGGAGGGATACGACGTCACGTTGTTGGGCTCGTTCTACGGCTATCCCAGCTTTCGGCGCAAGTATGGTAAATTCTTGAACGACGAGAGCGGCTACCAGATATCGGCGAACTGGCAGCAACGGTTCAACTGCCTGGGTGCCTTTGCCAACATCATCGGCGCCTTGCTGAACGGTTGGGCCACTTCCAGATGGGGCCACCGCAAGGTGCTCATGTTCAACCTGTTCTCGCTGGCGGGGCTCATCTTCATCGTCTTCTTCGCCCCCACGATCGAGGTCATGCTGGTCGGACAGTTCCTCTGCAACATCCCCTGGGGCGTGTTCGCCACGACCGGTCCCTCGTACGCGGCCGAGGTCACGCCGCTGGCCATCCGCGGCTATCTTACCGCCTACGTCAACCTGTGCTGGTGCATCGGCCAGTTCATTTCCGCCGGCGTGCTCAAGGGCTTGGTGAACAACACGACCGAGTGGAGTTACAGAATCCCTTTCGCCGTTCAGTGGATATGGCCGATTCCGCTCTTCCTGGCCGCTTGGTTCGCCCCGGAGTCGCCCTGGTACTTTGTCCGGACCGACCGGATCGAGGCCGCCAGGAAGTCGCTGGAGAGATTGACCCAGCCGGAACATCACGGTGAAATCGACGCCACCATCGCCATGATGGTCCACACGAACAAGCTCGAGCTGCAGGAACGAGCCGGTGTGACTCTCTGGGATGCGTTCCGGGGCACCAACCGACGCCGCACCGAGATCGCCTGCGTGGGCTTCCTCTCCCAGATCACCAACGGCGGCGCTCTGTGTTACAGCGGATCTTTCTTTTTCCAACAGACGGGAATCAGCGCCAACGCCGCGTACGCCATCTCTTTGGCCGGTACGGGCATCGCTTTTTTGGGGACCATCATCTCCTGGCTGTACATCTACCGTTGGGGCCGTCGCACTATCTGGCTGGTCGGCTTTGCTTTCCTGGTCGTGATCCTGTGGACCATCGGATTCCTGGCGCTGCCGACGCAGAACAAGAGGCTGGCGTGGGCACAGTCGATTCTGTGTCTCGTCTGGCTGGGCGCGTATTCCATGTCCGTGGGACCCATCATTTACACGCTCGTCGCGGAGATCGGCTCGACACGACTCCGCACGCAGACGGTCGTGCTGGCCCGGAGCACGTACTATGTCGGGAACATTATCTGCGGTGGACTGCTGCAGCCCGAGCTGATTTCGCCGGGCGCGTGGAACGCCAAGGGCAAGACTGTATGTTTTCTCCCCTCTTCTCTCCCCAATCACATATACTCGGGTTGGACCTCTGCTAATCGCTGGTGACTCCTCAGGCTTTCTTCTGGGCCGGCCTCGCAACCTTGACATTCCTGTGGGGTTACTTCCGGCTGTTTGAGACCAAGGACCGGACATTTGGCGAGCTGGATTTCATGGTAAGCGAGCATTTGGCCTCTACTCGGTGGTTCTCTCGTTGTTTGCTGACCGAGAATCGCGGCTTCAGTTCCAGAACGGTGTTGCAGCCCGGAAATCCGCCAAGTACCAGATCAGAGAGGAAGAGCTTTATGCGGCAGACGGCGAGGAGAAGCAGAAGGCATGATTCTCGACTTACCTGCGGAGGGCTTCAGAATATGGCGGGCTGCTGCTGCTGCTACTGCAACAGAGAGAAGAGCGTAACAATCATGACCAGACGGAGTGATCCCCCTTCGATCGAGGAGTCTGTTAGATGGCTCAATATGCATGCCACATCAAAGGATCTCTGTCCATAGCACACCTCTCAGGCTGTGCTTTGCCATCTTGTCCCTCTAATCTTTGTAGTCCTCACGTCGGCACCCAGGCGAATGGATTGAATTGGTCGAGACTTCCCTTCTCCTGTCTTTTGCAGACTACATCATTTTTTCCTCCACAGCCAGCGTCTTCATAAGCCAATGGCAGAAGTTGAGAGGAACTTACTTCTCGTTCTTGTACAGCGGACTGCATGGACAACAGGTGCCAAAATACCCCTACGTACCTGATCTGATCAGCTGGGCGTAGGAGGTCTTTTGGTGACGACCTTTATCAAAGAGCAGGTCCCCACGAAGTCAGGAATATTGTTAATCCATTTCTGCTGAGGTCAATTGAAAGCCAAGAACAAGCGTCAGCGACGATCAATGAGGCGGAAAAGAGATCCGTGGCCTCCATCTTGCGTCTCTGGCATTTCATCATCGGAGCGTCATAGTGTTGACGTGGGAATTCAGCCCCAGCCATTTGAATTGCTTCACAGCCAGAAAAGGGTGAGTGAGTGGGTGAAGAAGTGAGTGTCATATGCAGTAATTGCTGTCTGTCATGGTGTTATGAGTGAGTGAGTCCCTTATAAATATCCTCCACATCGTTGGTAACCATCTCTTCTCTTCCAACCTCAACGTCAATGCCGCCCAAGCCTCATTATCCCATATTTCGCCAAATCCATCTCAACAAGGCCAGCTCAGTTCGACTCACATCTCACCGACCTCGGCTTCTCTCACCAGCTCTTCTGTCTCCACTGCATCTCGCCTCCGTCAAGACGGCACAGCCTCGTCTTCAGAGCTTGCAACGCCACTTCTCATCCACATCACGCACCATGTCGTCGTCGTCGGATAATTTCAACGCACGCAACCAGAGCTTCAAGCTCGACAAGCTGTTCGACGTCTCCAACAAGGTCGCCCTTGTGACCGGCGGCGGCAGCGGGATCGGGCTGATGATCACGCAGGCGCTGGCCACCAACGGCGCCAAAGTGTACATCTGCGGACGCACCGAGGAGAAGCTGGAGCGCGTGGCCGAGCTGTACGGCAAGGACATCCCGGGCCAGATCATCCCGTTGACGGCGGACGTGTCGCAGAAGGACGACATCAAGAAGCTGGTCAGCGAGATCTCGTCCAAGGAGAAGTGTCTGTGCATTCTGGTCAACAACGCCGGCATCGCGCTCAACACGCAGCAGACCGAGGCGTCGTCCGCAGAGGAGATGTCCAAGAACCTCTTCGACGACGAGAACGAGACATTCGACATGTGGACCGACACCTACCGCACCAACGTGCCGCAGCTGTTCTTCACGACGACGGCGTTCCTGCCCCTGCTGCAGGCGGCGCACCAGCACCACGACAACTTCTCGGGCACGGTGATCAACATCTCGAGCATCTCGGGCATCGTCAAGACGGCCCAGCACCATTTCGCGTACAACGCGTCCAAGGCGGCCGCCATCCACCTGACGCGCATGCTGGCCAACGAGGTGGCGCAGAACGGGCTCAAGGTGCGCATCAACAGCATCGCGCCCGGCGTGTTCCCCAGCGAGATGACGGCCCAGGAGAGCGGCGACGACCAGAAATCCCACATCCCCCGCGAAAAGTACGCCGACAAGGTCCCCGCCCGCCGCCCTGGCGAGGACCGCGACATGGCCAACGCCGTCCTCTTCGCCGCCACCAACCAGTACCTCAACGGCCAGACCGTCGCCGTGGACGGTGGGTACATCCTGAGTGCGGGAAGTGGGCCGTGAAACTTGGAAACGACAAACGCAAAAACACATGTCTGTCGATCCAGATGCTCTCGATATAGACGGTGAGGCAAGAAATCAGGGCGTGCTTCATAGTGCTAGCAAGACAGGAGTCATCGTGTAGGAACGTCAATTGCCCTTCTCCCCTGCTAAAAGGATACGGGACATCACGGGGTCGTCTGTGTTCGGTCCATGGTTTGATCGGTTGCTCAGCATGGTCTCCTAATTGCATCATCACCCTAAGGAGAAAACAGAGAGAAGGGCAAAAGGAAAGAAAGACACAGTGCATGTGCCCAAGACGGGCATTTGAAGAAATAAATAATTAACTCCCAAATATGAGAGGCACAACACTTTTGGTCATTCGTTTCTTCCTGCAATTTTTGAGTAGAGACTCCCGATCCTCCCCTTTACAATTGTCTCATCCCACTTGAACGCCAGTTCTCATGCGATCTCGAGGTCTAAAAACACTCCATAGTATCATCCAATGGCCATGCACCGCCCGAGAGTCCGAGAGCCGAGAAAAGAGAGACAAGAGAAGACGTGTGACGGACAGGACAACACCGCTAAACTTCTTCGACAACTTGCTTCTTCTCATCCACCGGCTCCTGCTCCTTCCGTTCGTCGGCCACCTTCGTCTCCGTGTCGGTCCCGTCAGCCGAGCCGGGCTTGCTCTCGCCCTGCTCGCTCGCGGCAGCCTCCCTCGCCGCCTTGGCCGCGGCTTGTTGCGCCGCTGCGACCTTTTTCAGGCTCTTCCACTCCATGGCCAGGGCGCCGAGGATGGTTGCTGCAGTGACCGCCACACCGACGTAGAAGGCATTTCGCAGCGCGTCGTTGTATGCAACGAGCACCGCCGGCAAGAGTCGGGGAGACACAATAGAGCGAAGGTCGGTGGCCCCGACATGTGTGACCACGCGCGCGTTGACACCAGGGATTGCCTTCAGGTTCGACGCCAGGCTGTTGTCGAAGATGTTGTTGGCGACACTGACGAAGATGGATCCACCCAGTGTTTGCGCAAAGAACATCATCGACGCACCCGTGGGCACGTCCTTGCGGGCCAGTGCGCATTGTGCAGCTACACTGGGCTGTTGCATCCCAAAACCCAACCCCAGCCCCCAAAGAGCCTGATATCCGATCCACTTGGGGTGTGTTGTAGAAGTCTTAAAGGTGGTGATGAGACCTGCCCCAATGGACCCCAGGATGCATGAAAGGTACATCCATTGCGTGAAGTATCCAATCTTGCGGGTTCCGAAGCCAGAGAGCATGGAGGCGGCTGTGATGCCCAATACAGCTGGAAGATTCATGATTCCAGAGTGAACAGCCGAGACCCCTTTGATGGCTTGAAACCAGATCGGGAGGAAGTAGACGATGGTCATCATCCCTGATCCGCTGAAGAAGGCATACAGCACGCCTGCGGTCACGGAGCGTGTCTTGATGATTCGTGGCGGAATGGTGGCGCTTTCCTGAAAGACATGTTGGAGGTACACGAAGATCCCGAAGAGGATTCCCGAAAGGATCAACAGAACGATGATGCGGGCGTTGGACCAGCTGTACGTGGTGCCACCCCACTGCAGGGCCAGGAGGAGGCAGATAATTGCAGGAATGAAGATTGCCGTCCCGATAGGGTCGAGTTTTCGGAGTTGTTCCTTGAAGGGGGCCTTGGTTCTCTCCGTTGCCGTGGCTGGAAGGTGAAGCACGAAGAACAGCACCACCATCATAGCTCCACCGATGGGCAGGTTGATATAGAAACACCACCTCCAAGAGACCTTGTCGGTGAACACACCACCCAGCAAGGGCCCAGCGACCGATGCGATTGCAAATACTGCGCCAAAAATGCCGGTCCAGGCGGGTCGTTTCTGCAACGGGACGAGGTAGACGATCATTATGACGGCCCCGGAGAAGATGCCCGCGCTGCCCACCCCAGCAATCGCACGACCAACAATCAGAGCGGTGGAGGACGGTGCAGCGCCGCAGACTAACGAGCCCAGCTCGAATATCCCGACACAGGCAATGTAGACTGTTTTGGGGTTGTAGAAGGTATAGATGCGGCCGATGAGAAGTTGGAATGCGGACATTGTGAGGAGATAGGCCGATGCATACCATCCCACGTCAGCCAGGGAGTTGAAATGGTTGGTGATGACGGGGATGGCAGTTGCGATGATCAGACGGTCCTGGTCAACTTGTCAGTCGTTGAGGGTGAGATTGGGCTTGGTGCTCCTATTACCAAAGCAACCAGGAAAGCGGTACACATCATGGCAGCAATAATGACAATGACCTTTGAGGTTGGAGGGTATTCATCCTGGTCGACAGGCCCAGTGCCTGGTGTATTTGTCGCTTTGGAAGCATCACCACTAGAGTGGCTCTGGGCGTCCACTGCAAGCTGCTTCTGCGCCATGGTAGTAAAGGTTGCAAGAGATCTGGCTACACCAAGATAATTCTAAAACGTCAAGTTGCAAAGCAGACGGAGCATGGGAACGTGGGAACACGAAGAGGATATTAGATGTTCGCATTCCTCACAAACCTACCATTCATTCACTGCAAATAGGCTCCAGGCAAGTGGACCAGTATACTTTTCTCGGACGCGAGAAAGTGATTGAATGATGCCGCCATACTGAAAGCGGCCATGTGCTAGACCTGTCTCTTTCGATCTGAGAGCGGGACCGTTGTTGGTGTCAAGAATTCGGGCCCGAGGACGAAGCTAGGTCCGAGTTTCAAGCACAAAGGGGTGACATTCTGATTCGTGGAGGCGGTCAAAGGGTAGGGATCGGTACCCAAGCAAGAGGACAAATTGGTCAACCACGACAAAGTAGCATTCCTCCAGATCACCAAGCTGTATCCAAAAACGACGATGTTTTGTTGTAGACAAGAAGAGATGAAGTTGCAGGATTGACGCTCACGTGACGCCGAGACCATAAATCAGTGTCAGACGAGATGCCTTTTTCCTCTTTTCTCATTGGCTGGGAATTCCGCTTCTCTTTGGCGTCTCTCACTTCCACTTTCGCGTTGTCTTTTGCCTCACAGGCACTCACAGGTTCTCTTTTCCAACCCAACGCCACATGGAAATCGATGCCATGCAGAATGTGATGATGCAAGACGAATGTGCCAGAAGCCATGCGTTGGCACTGCCCGGAATGTTCTCCGGCTCAGACTCCCGCCTCGCCGCTTCAGTCCTCCCACGTGAAATGCTTCGGTGACATCAGCATCTCGAATGACGTTGATCTTGCGAAATCCTTTTATGGGGATCAACAATGAAATATCACCACTATACCCTTTCCTCGTTCGAATCTCGTTACCTCTCATATACAGCCAAACTCGTAGTCACATCATGGAGACAATCAAAAACACCGTCAAAGAGGCCACCGGCAGCAAGGGCCAATTCGAGCAGGGCTTCCTCCCGCCAGTCTCACACCAAGACCCTCCTGGCAGAGAGAGTGACTTGCCTGTCGAGGCCATTCACGACAAGCTCCCCGCTGCAAATGGCGGATGGGAGCCATACAAGGCGGCCGGAAAGCTGCAGGGCAAGAAGGCTCTCATCACGGGGGGAGACAGTGGCATCGGACGGGCCATCGCCATTCTGTATGCCATGGAGGGTGCGGACAGCTTCATTGTCTACTTGCCCGAAGAAGAAGAGGACGCCCAAGAGACCAAACGCCGGGTTGAGAAGCTCGGGCGGACGTGTCACCTCTTTGCCACCGACCTCAGGCGGGCTGAGAACTGTCAGAAAGTCGTCGATGCCGCGTTGCAGGCCATGGGCAGAGTCAACATCTTGGTAAGTGATCGAGACAGCGAGCCTTGCTCCTTTTACGGCGTGCTGACACACCGCGACATAGGTCAACAACGCCGCGTACCAGATGATGCAGATGGACATCACAGATATTCCCATTGAGCAATGGCACAAGACCTTCGAGACCAATATCCACCCGTATTTCTACCTGGCCAAATTCCTTATCCCACACATGAAGCGCGGCGACATCATAATTAACAATGCCTCAATCAATGCCTACATCGGTCGACCCGACCTTCTCGACTATACATCAACCAAAGGAGGCAAGTCCCCATTCGTCCTCTAGACAATCCCAGTTCTGACTTTGATCTGCAGCAATCGTCGCGTTTACACGCGGCTTGGCAAACCAGCAGATGAGCAAGGGCATCCGAGTCAACGCCGTCTGTCCCGGCCCCGTATGGACGCCTCTCATCCCGAGTACCATGAATGAAGACGCGCAGAAGCAGTTCACCTCGCCTTTGGGCCGCCCCGCACAGCCCAGCGAAATCGCCACGTGCTTTGTGTTCTTGGCCAGCGCGGACAGCAGCATGATCAGTGGGCAGAGCTTGCACCCGAACGGCGGAGTGATTGTGAACGGATGAAGTCTAGGCGGACGGCGGAACTGGCGCCGACGACAACGGTGTCAGGTTTGCGAGGTTAGGGACTCGGATGGCAGTGGGACCGTGATCAAAATTGACGTGTGTGCCACCGGTTAACGGAAGGGGAAGACTTAGAAACCATGGAGTACTACCAACCTCCAAGTTCTATTAAAAATAGCATTAATGCGATCCACAGTGTGATCTGAAATAGGTCTATCCGGTTCCAGCACCTGGTAGACACCCCTAGCAGCCTTAGAACGCCCAATCCAAATACCGGGTATCAGTCATCAAGATACAACTGTCCACGTATAGTAAAGAGATGGGTCTTCGTCGCTACCTCGAAGCCAGACCACGCCCAAGAACGAAATTGAAGATAAAAGATAGAGTCGGCCGTAAAATCTCTCCCTTTCCTCCCATCCGGCCACCAATGTCTCAAGGCCAGAATTGCCCCGTGCTCAACTCCAACCTGACTCTGGTTGTGGCCTTAGTGATAGAGGAGACGGTGGATGAGCTAAGTGCGCGTCGCCACGACCGTCAGGCTATACCGCTGCTCTAACAGGTCGAACAGCGACGACTGCTTGGTCCGCTCTGCGGCTATGACGACAGCATTGTCACCAGCATCATCGTCAGCGTCAGCATCAGCAGCATACGAGGTGGTGAGCTCTGGGATCGACGACTCGTAGACGGACGACGGCGCCGAGGGCCACGCCATCGGCCTCGAAAACATCCGACACGGCGAGTCGAGTTCCGACGACGACAGCGGCAGGGACATGGATGACCACGACGACGTCGATGAATGGTGTGGCGACGACAACATCGCTGTTGATGCTGCTGCTGCTCTTGCTGGAGTCGCCTGCCCCGGAACGGCCAGGAGGGAGACGGGCTGGCTCTGGCGCTGCGGCAGGGTGTGCAGCACGTACTGGTAAGACTTGCGGCCGGAAGATCGGCGCGGCAGCGGAGGTGGGGAGTTCGACAGGGCCCAGGTGATGGCGGTCGCCGCGGCGGCCGCTTCGGCTGCTTCTTCGGGTGATGCCGCGAGCAGCGTGGCCAGGTCCTGGATGGAGAATCCTGCAGACTTCATGGGGGAGTGGGGTGGAGCGGTCAGTGCCATGACGATGGACGATGGTGGCGATGACGATGATGAAGATGAAGTGTGGTTCTGGCTCAGAGGCGGGGGTGAAGACTCGAGCAGTGTGCTGGAATTTGCAGACTCGTTATCCTCAGCACCCGTCGCGTCTGGAGAGGATTCCTCAGGTGGCGATGGGCTGTTGGGAACGTCGTCGTGTTCGGAGGAAGTTACCTCCTCAGTCGGCTTCGTCCGTCGCCAGAACAGCGCCTTGAACGTGAAGAGGGACGTCTGTCGCTTAAGGTTGTCGCAAAGTCTCTCAAGGGACGACACGGTCTTGCTCAGCATGTCGTTCAAGTCGTTAAGCGCGCCAGAAGCACACTGTGAAACTCCCCTCCAGACGTTTAGCTTCTCCAGGGCGTGCGAGAATTCCGCCATGGTGCTCATGGTCTCGTCGACTGAAGCCCGCAGCCGCGCGACGGAGTCGGCTTGCTTCTGAACCTCTTTCCGCAACTGGTCTAGATACTTCTTGTCGGTCTTGGTGGTACAGTTCCCGCGCTGTTCGGCGAGCAGGGCGAGCAGGCGGTCCAGCTTCTCCGACGTGGCGTGCAGTTGCGCCTTAATGGCGTCGGTCTCGCTCTGGCTGTCGCTGATCTTCCGTGCGAGCTCGGCCATGCTCCCGTGGAGCAGGTTCTCCAGCGACTTGAAGTCCTGCTTGTTGGACCGGATCGTGTACAGCACGTCCTGGACGTCCTTCCGGTAGGTCGACACGCATTGGCCGTAGCTTTCGATCTTCTCGAACATGGTGTCCAGTTTCGGCAGGACGAGGCCAAATCGGTCACTGAAGGGGGCATTATCAGCACATACCCCAACTCAAGTGTCTGAAAATAACTTACCATATCTCGAGCAGACTGAGTCTATCAATATCGTCCAAAGCATCCCTGGATGTTAGCTTGATCTCTTGGATTTTCTCTGAAAGTTCATCCCAGGTCCAAGCAACATCATCCTCCGCGCTGTCATGGCTGGGGCTTTCGAGTAGCAGCCCATACCGACTGTAGAGGTAGTCTTCAAACTTCTGCCAGGCCTGTGCCAGAGCTCCCAGATCGGCTTCCCACCCTCCTTTGCGGGGATGGTCGTTGTTGTCGCCGACGTCTTTGACATAGTTTTGGATCAGAAGAAGTTTTGGGAGTAGATAATGTTGCAGATACTGGAGGTCATCCCTGTGCCTCCGTTTGGCACCCTTGTGTGGTTCTAAATTCTTCAATAGGGTGTGAAGCACCTTTGCAGCATCACTGATGTCGACCACACTCCACCCGGGATTGAGATCCGACATGATGTAAAAGGTGCTGGAATTGTCAATACACAAAGATGCAAAATCTCAAAACTAGTCAACGAAGGGCTCAAAAGCATTGGAAAGAGGAAATATGAGAGCATCTTCCAGACATATACCCGCCTGTCACACAGAGGATGGTGGACCTGTCCAATGACAACAGATCGACCACCACCAAAATCCGGGGGATGGCTCGGCTGACGGGGCCAACTACTCAGCCGCCCACTCAGACAAGGCTGGAATTGGTGTTGCTGGGTGTCAGTTCGGTCTTCACTTCCGGTTGTTGTGCGTCCTCCTGCCAATCGTCGTGAGATTGAGGCTGCAGAACCACAATCCAGTGACCTAAAGCCATCAGGCGAGCAAAAAGCTTTCCGCCGAGAACGTGGCCGCACAGATTGAGCGGGCCACGCTTAGAGATAAATAGTCCAGCGCTACGGTGCGCAATTGGGGAAGCACGGAAAACAAATCCCATCAAATAATCAGCTCTTGTGAAGGATCAACAAACGTGAGACCCTACACAGTAAGAACCCAACTTTGAGATGGACTGTGCAGAACCTACTTGGTAGTTGCACACTCGGTGGCTGCTTCTGGAGGCCCTAAATCCATGAATCTCATCGCCCGTGCAAGAACTAATAATATCATCCAAGGCATCGCCAAAAGAAAAAGACACTCACTCATCGAAGGAGTTGTATCACCATTGTTATGATGGTGGAACTCGGTCCGAAGTGACGACCCCACGCCAACACGAGCGCGGAGACATGGAAGATCGTTCTTTGTGGTGCAATTTGCTGACTCATCGACTATTGGAGCTTCATTCTTTCCTAGTGGGTCACTAGTCGGAGGTGACTGCAGATCCACGAGAGCGATCTCAGCTGATAAGATTGGCTTGAAGTTGAAAGTACGCGTACATGCTGGTGACGATGGCGAGTAGTGAGAATAGAGAGCAAGATGAACGATGGAGATACTGTGTGTTGTCATGTACATGGCCGAATCAGGAATGGTCGTCTGAGTCACGTGAAGCCTTGGCATCTTTTTCGGGCTTCTCGTATCTCGTTCGTATCCTCCCGTGCCTGAGTCGCTCGAACCCTTTCAACCATTGTTTCTGCTGTCCAACTTTCTGGCTGCCTGATTTTTTAATCTGCAGCTGAAGCCTCATTCCAGCCAATGATCGTCCACCATCAATGCGGCAATTGATGGTGAACAACTTCGTCCTCCAGACTGAAGGCGACTCATCTTTCTTCTCTCCGTCTGATTGCTACCTTCTACCACGTTGAGGATCGACATGATAGTTCGCACGGTGCTGGCGCCCACTTGCGACAAGCGATAGGAGTCCACGGTAATTAGGCATCAATCAAGGATTCTTTTACTCCGAAACGCGACCGGAGGACCTAGGAGACGACATGAACACCGCAGGACCGTCCCCGGGAAAGGCATTCTCCTGCATTCGGTGCTTTGAGCGCAAAGTCAAATGCGACAAGCAGAGCCCATGCTCGAATTGCGTCAAGTCCAAAGTCGAGTGCATCTTTCGTATTCCGCCGCCAGCTCGTCGAAGAAAGAAACGCACCCAAGAGGACTTGCTGCTTGCCCGCCTCAAGAAATGCGAAGAGCTCCTCAAGAGCAAGGGCATTGACATCGACACTGAGGTCGCCTCCAGCAGTCTTTCCGCATCGGTAACCTTGGAGAGCCCATCCAGCTCGCAACCACCGATAGGATCCCCACAACCTCTGGACCCCGATGCAGAGAGCGTGCTTGCGAAGCAGCGCCAAATCTTCGCCGCCTACCCACCCGAGCTCCAAAAGTCCGGTCAATTGATTGTGGATCAAGGGAAATCCCGCTTCATTGAAAACCCCCTCTGGGCGAGTCTCTCTGACGAGGTAAGTGTTTTGGACTTGACCAAATTCCACCACCTGTAGATGCAACGACTTGTCGTGCGAGGGATTTCTCATGTTGGCCGTTCTTGTATGACTGATATCGCGATTCTAGTTTCGACAACCAAATGAAGCCATCGCCGAGTATTCCGAGGACGAGGATGAAATCGGTTCTCCCATTGAGGAGAGCACCGACTTCATTCTCGGCTTTACCCCCTCGAGTAACCCAGTTCACCAATTGCACCCGTCGCCAGCCAACATTCTCATCTTATGGCAAATGTTTTTGGACAACATCAATCCCATGACCAAATTGATCCACCAACCAACCCTCCACAAGACACTCGTTCAAGCCTCCTCACAGCTCGATAACCTCCCACGAGGTCTCGAGGCCTTGATGTTTGCAATTTACAGTTCCGCTGTCTATTCGATCGAGGATGACGAGTGTGAAATGAAGCTCGGTGAGCCCCGGAAAATTCTCCTGGCAAGATACCGACATGCGACCCGGAAAGCCCTTGCCAGGGCGAGATTCATGGCCACATCGGAGATGGTGGTCCTCCAGGCATTCTTCCTGTACCTTCTGACCATGCGTGAAGACTACGACGCGCGAACCACCTGGACCTTGGCCGGAGTGGCTAGCCGTATCGGGCAGGGCATGGGACTTCATCGCGATGGAACGAGTCTTGGGGTGTCGCCATTTGAGACGGAAATGCGCCGTCGCCTGTGGTGGCAGATCACTACCCTGGATTTTCGGTCGGCAGAACTGAGTGGCTCTGGGCGATCTGGCGATTTCTCCATGTCTGATACGCTGGTACCTAGCAACGTCAATGACGAAGACATTTACCCGGATATGACAGAGCCACCCGTCCCTCACACACGACCAACGGAGATGATTTCCTGCCTCCTACGCTGCGAGCTGGGGAACTTCTGGAAGGAGAAGTTCCGGCAGAGATCGACTGTCGCCCTCGAGCATCTTCGGATTGACTCGCCCTTTACCAGTTTTCTCGAGGAGAGGGATGCTTTCATCAATGAGCTGGAACAGCGTCTGGAGGAGAAGTTCTTGAGATACTGCGACCCTTCAACCCCCATACAATTCATGGCCATCATCATCGGAAGAGGAGCAATCAACAGCATGAGGCTCATGGCCCACCACCCTCGCAAATGGGGCAAGGGGAAAGACATTCCGCCTGCGGAAAGAGAGTATCTCTGGAACGTCTCGATGAATCTCCTCGAAGGCATCAACCTGGCACATTCGTCCAAGCCCCTGCGGCGGTTCATGTGGCACACGCGGGTGTTCTTCGTGTGGCAGGCCTTTATCGACATTCTCAACGAACTCAAAGAACGCACACTGGGCGACGATGTCGACAAAGCCTGGCAAGAGATCGACGAGATCTACCGGCATCATCCTCATTTTGTGACGGATTACAAGAAGCCTCTGCACGTCGCAGTGGGGAGTCTCTGTCTCAAAGCCTACAGCGCGCGGGAAACCGCGCTGCGTGAGTCCACCAACGGTGTCTTCCCCAAGGTCACACCGGAGTACATCAAGCTGCTCCGCGAGCAGCGCGAAAGCGGACCGCTCAGGCGTGTGACGACGACCGCTGCCGGATCGTCCACCCAGGCGTCCCAAAGTGACGACAAGGCTACTACCGGTGCAGAGAGCAGTGAGCGATCCTCGACTATCACGGGGTGGGAGAACGCGACGTTGTCGGACCAGTCGCCCAGCAACTACATCGCTCCTCAATTCGCCGCCAGTGCGTTTTCCTCGGGTGGCAGCAGTGGTGCAGGCGCCCCGCATCAGCTCCCACTCCCAGCGTTCCAACCTATCCCGACGCCGCTCGGGGGAGACGGCATTATGTTCGCGTCGGATCCGAATTTCGCTCAGGCCTTGGACGTGGGCGACATGCCCATGGACTGGGCGCAGTGGGACATGATCATGCAGGACTTTGACGGCCAGACGCCGTATCGTAGCTAGGACGGACGACGCACGCGGAGGGGCGTTTGGTCGCTGCATGACTGCGTCTTTGTATGATCACGCAAGGGGAAAGGGGGGATACCGGACGGATGGATCAGCCATGGACCCAATGCACAGGCTGGAGGCATGTCTGTATGTACGACCACGGGCGAGGATGATGATATTCATGATGATAAACTTCGCTCAACAATTTTGCGATGGGGAAGAAGAAAGGTATTTGTATACCTACACGAATGGAACCTGCTCAACTCCTGCGCTGCTTTTCTCTCATTATATGTTTCTTTCTGCTCCCCACTCTTGTTCCCATTTGGCCGGGTCAAGGCACCTACGGAGTATACAGCTCACTAACTCCCCAGCATATTTCGCTTCCGAGGCCTCCCCTGTGGTGGTTGTGGCCCCCGCTTCAATATATGCACCAACTTGCGGCAGCCTGGCGATAGTGGCTTTGCGTGCCTCGTCGTTGGCCAACGGGACGCACAGGGTGTCTAGCCAGAAATATCTCTGCGATTCGGCTCGTGGACGTTCCGTCGCTTGGAGGTTTTGGAAATGTCCCCACAGCCATTTCAGTTGACATTTGCGGAGGGCGTTCGCTCGCACATACCCGAGACCGTGCGACTAGACATGGGATATTGCAATTTATGGCGTGGAACTGGACGCCTAGATGACAAAGAGTGCTTCACATTTGTTCATTCCCGACAATGAGAAGCCGACAATTGCTATAGCATCGCCTTCCAGGATTGAGATCACTTGATCTTGATCTGCTCCAATGAGTTCACAGGAGCTGGAGCTCCTGTGTGCCGGGTTTGATAGCCTTTAGGATCAACGTAGTTTCCTACATATCTGAAGCTGATGCACTTCGAGTGATCAGTTGTCCTTCTGATGTCCAGCGACGTGATGTAGTGGATTGATTCAGCCGCAAACAGGTTTTTGAAGCATTGTGATATCCCGGATGCACCAGTCCTGTGCCACCAATCGAGCTGCTGATAGGCTACTGAAGCCCCAATATCTGGAGAAAGCTTAGGGTCTTTGTGACGATGGTCAGAGTTCTGAAAAACTAAAGAAAAAGTCAACTGCTACACCTCGTATAGGCAGACCATCAGCTTGCCAAACCCCCGGCGAGTCAAGCATAAAAAGAACTTACGGCTCGGCCCAAGTAAAAATCTCTTCTTCATCTTCATTCGCCTCTAGAAACTCCTCAGTGTCCAGGATATTATTGGCGTAGTGAGCTCCCAGGCCTTTCAAACATATCTTGGACGCGGCACGAAAGAGTGTAGAGCCCAGGGCCAGGCTGGAGAGAGTAACGTCCTCTGATATGTCCATCAATGGTGACTCGGAGGTGCTGCTCAAAAGTGCGTTCGTATAGAGCGAAGCTTTTTCCAGTACCTCTCCGATGCGCTTGCCCTGGATTTTGCGCTCATCAGATGCAAGTGACTCGGCCTTCTTCCGCCAGGCTGAAATGTGTTCAAGCACGGCAAGAGAGCTCACGATTCTTTCCCAGATGGAAGTTCAGGAACATATTGGCTTTGATCGAATTCTACGCCAGTGATGGTCAGGACATCGGCGAAGACCCCGAAGTAGAGCCAAGTCTGGGTGAAGGGGCCCAGTTCGTCCACAGAGTGAGTTCCAAGGTCCGCATCAGGCAGTTTCACAACATCCCATCTCTGTCGACGTGGGTATTTCTCAAATCCCAGCCCGTTTGCAGATGTAAGGTACCTGGGCGGTATAGCAGCGTCCATCGGGGATTGGAAGATGATCCATTGTGATGGGTAAGGGAGCGGTATGCGCTCCTCAATCGAAGCGAAAACATTCAAGAAACCTGAGCTTCACAGATACAAGTGACAGATCCGTATCAGTCTGGCAGCGAGAAGTCCAGAACTCTCAGAGATCTGATACAACTTTGTTGAATCAGGCTGTGAAATTTTTCACAGAATCATGTCCCCGTTGGCAAGGCTGAACGAGGCTGACAGGCAGCAAGACACGGCTTGCTTCTCCGTCACTATATATATGGCAGGTATGCCGACACGTCACTCACGTGTTACGCCAAGACCAGCCGCACGCGATGCCCGTCCTCCTCAGTTTCAGCTCGTCGCACCTCGTGTTGCTCCAGCTGCGCTTTTCGCATGACAATTAAAAGACGCCAGCCTGTCCGACATACAATCCTTCAGGCATGCATGCTTTCTTTGGCTGGCTGCAGCTTGACAGACTTTCTTCACCGGTTACAAAGCCTCAGGACGGGAAGTCCCCTGGCGAATCGTTGCTGTTCAGCTGAAGAAGCCGAGCCTGTGCCCTCGGATCACGACCTGCTGCGGACACCAGATGCTCCATCGCCCGATCTCAGTTCCAAGGAAACTGCCTGAGCTCTCTCGCTTGTTCGTTGTGCCTTTCCTGTGTTGCTTGAACGAGGCAAACACCAGCTGCGGCTAAGAGAAGGTAGGGCGCCAGGACCATCAGTGTGTAGCACTCAAACAATACGAAATAGTAGGTCTTTATCGAATATAAAGGCCCTCCCCGTCTTGCAGCACTGCTGAGACCAGCCTTCCTGTGACTCGACCTAGATTCCAAAAGAGCAGAATTCCGACATTGCTTCTTCAATAGTCCACCACTACTCACTATTCTAGTCACAAATTCAACTTATAGACGACATGGCCACAGCATCCCGTCCAACCCCAACGAATCCACACCCAGCCGACTTTGGTCCCAATGTGCACATCTTCGATCCGTCCATCCCCATGACAGATATAACCTCGACCATAGCTCCCATCTTCCAGAGTCAAGACACCAACCAATTTGGTTCAGGGCGTTATGCATATTTCTTCAAACCAGGATCATACAACCTGAGTGTGGATGTAGGTTACTACATGACTGTGCACGGATTGGGCCATTCGCCCAACGATGTGACAATCACCGGTGGCGTACAATCCCTCGCCACCAGTACACAAGGCTTGGCTCTGAACAGTTTCTGGCGCGGCGTCGAGAATCTCTCAATCGTGCCTACTACCAATGGAGACATCAGCGGCTGGGCGGTCTCTCAGGCCACGTTCTTGCGCCGAGTGCACATTGTCCACGGACAACTTTTTCTCTTCGACTGGCGCTATCCAATCAACTATTCCAGCGGCGGCTTCATCGCAGACTCGCTCATCGACAATCAGATCGTTTCCGGCTCCCAGCAGCAATTCTTAACTCGCAACACGACTCTCACAAAGTAAGTATGCGCCATGGCCTCTACAGAGAAGGGGAAGATCCAATTGTTTGGATGGACTTCGGAGAGAAATGAAGATGACTCTTCTTTTATGGGCACTTGCTGACCTGACATCGTCTGCGTTTAGCTGGAATGGTGGTGTCTGGAACATGGTCTTCGTCGGCGACAACCAGCCTCCATCTGGAGCATGGCCCGATCAACCTTTCACGGTGATCGACAAGACCCCCGTGATCCGCGAAAAGCCCTATCTTATCTTCAACAATGACTATGCAGTGCAAGTTCCGAATGTGAAGAGGGATAGCCAGGGTCCAAGCTGGTCCAACACTCCTGACTCTGCCACGACGCTACCAATCAGTCAGTTCTACATCGCAAAAGCAGCCACAGACACCGCCGATTCCATCAACGACGCCCTGCAAGAAGGCTACCACTTAATTCTTACGCCAGGTGTCTATCATCTCTCTAGAAGCCTGGAGGTCAAATACCCTAGCACCGTGATCTTGGGTCTCGGAATGGCGACATTGATCCCTGACAACGGCACACCGGCCATGGTCGACGATGTCGACGGTGTATCAATCAGCGGGATCATCTTTGAAGCAGGTCCGATTCGTTCTTCCCAACTTCTGGTAGTAGGAGGTGCGAACTGTACAAATGACCACAGCGCAAATCCTACGGCTTTGTTCGATCTCTGCTGCCGTGTCGGAGGCGCAGCAGCAGGATCGACCCTGAATTGCATCACCATTAACTCCAATAACGTCATCCTCGACAACATCTGGATCTGGCGCGCAGACCACGGCAACCCTGGTGCCGCCGGCTGGACTGTCAATCCGGCCGAGAACGGGCTGACGGTCGAGGGCCAAAACGTGGTCGCCTACGGCCTCTTCGTTGAGCACTTTCAGAAGGTCCAGACGGCTTGGAACAGCAACGGTGGACAGGTCTATATGTACCAGTCTGAGATCCCGTATGATCCCCCTGACCAGTCGTCATGGCAACAGCCTGGTGGAAGCAAGGGCTACGCATCGTACAAAGTAGGTGATCAGGTCAGCTCCCATAACGCCAAGGGTCTTGGGATCTACTGCAATTTCGACAACCTGGTCGAGCTCGACAACGCCATCGAGGCACCGACTGGAGCGGGCATCCAGTTTAGCCACCTGACTACGCAGTGGCTGAATGGAAAGCCGTTTAGCGCCATCAATCACATCATCAACGGGACAGGTGATCGCGTGTATGACAATGGACGGAATTTGAATGCAAAATCATCTACTTGAGGCTGGCGCTAGGTCGGCTCTCCAAAGCTTACATTCGGAACCCAGAGACAATGCTTGCGGGACCGCCACAATGTATTTTGCAATTCAATATGATACCCCTGTCTGGAAGTGAGAAACATGTGTGCTGTACTGAGGACAACGTTCTACAACGGAATTTTCTCTCCCTCCACGGCTTCGGTTACCCTGATGCAGCTGCGCGTTGATGCGGAGCACCGTGTAAATGAAATAAGCACCATTGGCAATTGCTTCAGAGTAAGCTTGTACACTACCAAGCTTTTGCCAATTCGAAATATGCAGCATGAGAACCTTGCCCCGTGTCGCTTTAAACCTCAGCGACTGAGGGGTCAAACCTCCGCAAACTCCTCGTTACATTTCCACACATTTCTGCAAAGCATTTGTTGATTCAGGCTTAAAACGCCACACAGTTTGTTCTCCACACCGGCCAACACCAAACGCTCTTCCTGTGGGTGGGCTTCGCTTGTAATTTCGCTTGGCTCCCCTGGGCCCCCTTTTTTTCCGCGCAATTTACCCCAAAGCAGCATGAGATTGGAATAGACCGGCCCAAAATGGCAATGCTTCTCCTGTCTACCGGCGAGCCAGCAGAGAAACTGAACATTCAACGGCTGAAAGCTGGCGATCAAATCAGTTCCGTCCGGGCCGCGCAATATGGCAAATTGTCATAATGCCATGCTATTTCTGATATGATATGCTGTTTCTCCCCGTGTCCTTGTTGTCGTTGGCATTCTTTTCGTTCTTGAAGACATTCAGCCAGGATGTACTTCGTCCACTCGTTTCTTGCAGCAGCCACTGCTGGCTTATTTGTCTCCGTTAATGCCTGGAAGCAGATGGTCAACGACGAAGTTGTCACTGTTGTCCAGACTAATACCCACTATGTCTGCCCGTGTGAGACAAATATATTCACAACCTCGAGCGCAGCAGGAGCGATAGAGTGGTTCGATTGGGACGGATCCGGTGCAGATGTTTCGCACTCCTTCGGCTGGAGCGGGCGCCCCACGAGCCTCCATGCTACAACTCCTATAAGCGATCTGACCACCACCCGAGGCCATCACAGCCATCCTACGAGCGGTAGCGTCGAAGTGAGTTCAGTGACAAGATCTCTCAGCGGTGGCCACGGTCATGGTACAGAACCGAGCAGCAGCTGGTCCTCCTCCCATTCATCTGGGAGTCATTCGACACATCACCCCAGTGGGACAAGCACCACTTCGTCAGTGACCACAACCTCCACGACATCCAGGTATCACCACCATACCACTTCCAGCAGCAGCTCGAGCGGCACGTCCACCACCAGCACCACATCAAGCTCCACCACAGAAACGACGACGAGCACAAGCACGACATCGAGCACTTCCACAACGACAACCTCCAGCACCTCCTCTTCCACCACGACGTCGAGCATATCTCCAAGCACAACTTCAACTACATCCACGAGCACGACGTCCAGCACCTCCTCACCGACAACCTCTAGCTCATCCTCGACCACCTCCACAAGCACAACGTCGAGCACGACTTCCACGACTTCGACCTCTCCTCCCCTCACCACGACAACTTCATCAAGCACAAGTCCGCCTTTTACAATTCCAACCACCACGCCGTCACCCACGACCACTTCCTCGACACTCTCCACGACAACTACTTCCTCGACGACAACAACCACACCTCCTCCCTCTACCACCACTGCCACCACCACCACCACTACTACTACTACTACTCCCAACTGCGACGGCCTGGCCGCCGGCCCGACCCCGGGCCCAGTCACCGGATGCACGTTCAACATCCTATGCAGCACGCTCCTGACGGGCGCGCTGCTTTTGGGCGCTACGGGCGCCTCCGACGCCGAGACGTGCCTGACCGTGTGCGACGAGCAAGGCCCCTGTGGCGGCTGGGACTTCGACACCGTCTCCAACGTGTGCACGCTGTACCTGAACGTGGGTGCTGAGCCGATCTTGGAGGACAATCCGACCCATGTCGCTGGCCAGCTGATCTCCTGTTAAATCACCAATTTACGGTGAGTGGGTGGGCGGGCGTCAGAGGAGCCCTCTCTCTCCTCGCCTGGCCTGGCCTGGCAAGAGCTACATATCTCGACCTTCTCCTACACAGTACAGTGCCTAAATAATACTCGGCCAAACACATGGCGAAAATATGCATCCCCCGGGGCGTCTTTTCTCTAGGAGGGACCACTGCACACGCACACGCAAACATAATGGTCCAAGAGTGAAGCATAACAATCTCTTTTGCTTCTTCTTCTTTATCTCAATTGCTTTTCTTTTTGCTTCGTGTCTCTCGAAGATTCCGTTGTTCTTCCCCGGGGTCCCCAAAGAAAGAAAAAAAAACGCTCATGGGTGGTTAGTTATTGCATGCCTTGATCACGGGCCCGCAGTCCCCCTAACTTCCCCGGTACGACTCTGCACGGATCCGTCCCTCTCGCGCGTGGGTGGGTGGTGCCTGCGAGTCTCTCTAACAGATACATATCTATCTCTTCGGCCTGCGGCCCGTCCAATCTCAATCCCGAGTGGCCGTCCGTTGGGGTTGGTTTTTCTTTTGTCTTCTTCTCTCTTTTCCTTACCCTTTTCTTCTCTTGTCGATCCAGTTTGCCCCTTTGCCTTGTTTTTGAAGAATCCACTCCAAGGCTTTTTCTTTTCGTCTTTCAATAACGGCCCCAGGATGGGTTTCCTCCAGACCCCTAGTTTACAAACCCGTGCTGCTTACGCTCAAGTTGAGCCGTTCTCAGTTGTCGAGGGAAACTTCTGCGAGTTCTCGGTTCGGGTGGATCTGTCGAGGTTGCCTTTTCTGAGAATGAAAAAAAACGGTGGGGCGTTGTGTGGCTCGAGGCATCATTCAGCTTCGCAATTGATGATAGCGTCAGGGGTATGTCGGGTGAATGCGGCGAAGGTATTTTTGTTATGTCCCTTGTTTCCTTTCAAGACGCCTGCGATTCTTACCAATACCTCCTGATCAAGCACACCTTGAGAAGTGATATGATCAACGTACACAAAGAAGCCAACCATTCCGCCGGCACATCCTTTCCAACCAGGAATGTTGTGGGTCCGCACAACGGTGCCGGTCTGTTCACCTGGACCATTCAATTGACCAGAGCTTCGATACACCCGAAAGCAACAGAACGTACATCTGGATGGAAGAGATTTTGGAAGCCAGGAAGTGAAGTTTCTTTACGAGGCCATATTTTGTCTTCACGGACCAGCTCGTTCTGCATCAGCTCAAACCTCGTCAAACGACCCTCTTGCAATGCCTTGCGAGCAAGTGACAACTTCTCCATCTGAACGACGTGCTCGTCGTGAGATGGGGAGTAGGTGGAGAAGATTGCACCGATCGAAAACGGAGATTCGGCAGCCTTGGGGCTGAGCTGGCTGTTCTTGATCCATACTGTGGGCGTCTTGTCTCTCCCAAAGCTGGCTTGAAGATGGCTACATCGCCAGATTCACCAAGGTCCACAAGCTGAACATCATATATTCGCGGTCCGTGGTCACCTTGAATCTTCAGCTTCTCGTATTCGCAATTGTCGACAGACTCAAATTCGCATGAAACCCGGGCCTGATGGCAGATGCAACGACAATATCACCGCTGGTTGGTGTGGAGAGGTATTTGAGTAGTCTAGAGTATCCTTTTTCCCTTCTGGGCTCAAGGGTTCATCGAGATCCAGAAAGTGAGCTGCTGTGACGAATTTGTGGCCCTCTAACCAGAAACCAGAAAAGCTCACACCGTGTGACATTCAACGTGGGGACTCGGAGCCCCGCCACGAGAAGAGGTTGCGACACCAGGTTCTTGGGGTAAATTTCGGCACCGACAGATGGAGATGTAGATTCGGCCAGTTGCCTGGATGACCGACTGAAGAGCGACGACGGCCTGTCACATTCAGCAAATAATAGCGCAATCGATTGGGAGATACAAACCATTTTTGACTTTTCGGGGTCCGAGCCTCCTCCAATTACACCAAACAGGTCATCCGGTAGGCGTGAGATCAATGAATCGTGATCGAAAGCCATGTATGAGCCCGGCCAGCTGGATTGCCCAATGCCATGACGATACATTGGCATAGGAACGTCTGCGACGTTTACTAGTGGGAGAGGATAATTCCACTCCCAAGCTCCGAAGTAGAACGATGATGATTGCTTGGTCTTAGTAGCCGGGTTCACCTGAGTTGTCTGCTGTTTCTTCGTGGTACCCAAACTGTGCAAGTCCAAAGCTGGAGTAGGTGCACGAAAGAGAGTGACTGGGCCAGTGGATGTGGGTGCAGAAGGATGACAAGTTTCAGCTGGAGGCTCTGGTATATATGGAACAGGCTCAGTTAGACCCTTCACCAAGTGCCACATCTCGAATGACCCTACCAAAGTCTTAGGGAGTTGTCGCTTCATGGTGCTCGTTCTCGATTGAAGGACCACCCAACCCTTGTGGGGGGGGCACGTTCCCAGATCCGTTCATACTGCGACTCTTGGAACACTCCGGACTTGACATTATAGATATATGCAAATTTGTCGTGGGTGATGTGAACGACGACACGACAGAGTGCCTGAAGCGCACAACTATCAGGGGTAATATAGTCGCAAAACTACGCTAATGCGTAACAGGGAAGGCGTCATTTTCATTTGTCACTAGCGGCATTCCTGGCGATGATATCCGAGGTCTACTTCCGTCATTCGGGTAGTTAAGCTTCAACTACTGTAGGAGTGATAAACTAACCCTACCTCCACCTTTCCTGATCGGGCTCTATATCACCCACCGGTCACTACTACTCTACAACAGGTGTGAATGAATGTGAACCCGACACGACAGACTCCCTAGGAGAATATATGCACGTTATTTGAATCAAAGACAGTGTATTTGTGCAGCCAGACACACCACAAGACGGACAATCAGATAAGTTTGTCATACAAGACCGAGGCCCCGCGATTTGGTTCAGCTTTCCAAGTGGTCTATGACATTGTCAAAAGGGAACAAAGTATCCGTGTCTCTTTATTCTCTGGGACTTACAGCACAAGTGCCAGTTGATTCAGCGAAATGCCAGGGCCTTTTTGGCCAGGGCTGTTCCTCATTGAAGGCGCGTCCTTCCGGACCGAGCGTGTTAAACTCAACATAGACATATGGAGGGATCATCATGCCCAGGCTAGAGCGAACGCGTGTCACTCGTTCATCGAGACGTGAGAGAGAACCCAGTAATTCACATCAGAGTTACGGTCAAGATACATATCTGGTGCGAAGTGCACATGGTAAAAGGTAGACATGTCCAAACCGTGGGAACATGAGGAACCAACAATAGTCCTCCCGTCAAGCCGACCTGACTTTTCCTGACTTTAGGTCTCCAAGCCTATCGGCTTTGGATCATCCGTCCTATACCATTCCCCATTGAATGCATTCACCAGCCAGTTCGCCAATTTATCGTACACGATAGGGTTCGCATTGTGAAATTGTATAGAATGATCGCTGTCGGGGAAGAAATGAACATCGTAATTTTCAATGCCTGCCAGATCAAACTTATCTAGCAGTGTCAACGTGTTTTGCATGTGGACGTTGTCGTCTGCAACGCCGTGCATGATCAAGAAGCGCACGTTCTGGGATATCGCAGTAACGTTGCTGATGGCAGATTTTGCGTAGCCGAGGGGATTGTTCTGGGGGGTGCGCATGTATCTCTCGGTGTAGATGGAGTCGTAAAATCGCCAGTCGGTCACGGGCGCAACCGACATGCCATATTTAAATGTCTCGCCCGCATCGGTCTCGAGGACTTTCAACGTCATGAAACCACCGTAAGACCAGCCCCAGATAGCCATGCGGTCGGCGTCGACGTAAGGCTTTTCAGCCCACAATTTCGCAGTGGCAATCTGATCGTGCGCTTCGTACGAGCCGAGCTCATTGCGGACAATGGTCCGCGCCTTACGGCCTATGAACCCAGTTCCGCGCCCATCAACTGTCACCACGATGTAACCTAGTGAGCTGGCGATGTATGATTGAAAGTCGACGTGGAAACGGCGGTTGACCATTTGGGAGCCAGGTCCGCCGTAGAGGTAGAAAAGGACCGGATATTTCTTCTTGGGGTCAAAGTGAGGGGGTCGCCGTTCGACCACTTGCAGCGTGTACCCGTCAATGGTGACGTTCTGGAAGACCTGATGTGGGAGTTCATGGGACGAAGCCATCTTGGCGAGATCCTGATTGTCTTCAAGCATTTCCTCGATTTTCTCCGGATTGGCTGGTGTGGAGACAACCTTCTGGTAAGGAATGCCCGGTCCAGTATATTTCAAACTCACGTAGCCTGCCCCAGAAGAAAAGCTGGATTCCCAATATCCAGCTTCATCAGTCGGCACGAGGGAGTCCATGTTTGTCCCGTCTAATTTGACGCTGTACAGGTGGCGTTGAGTTGGCGCCTCTTTGGCAGCAACAAAATACACCAGATTGTTTTCCAAGTCGACGGCTGCCGGCCCACCGTCCACTTCCCAATCGCCTCTGGTCAGCATGACCGGGATCGAGCTGTTAAGAGGGGAGAAATACGCCAGGTGGTTGCCATTATCAGAGATGACGATGTCGACGTAGCCATCCTCAGGCCGGCCATGGGTAGGGTCGGCAGGGATGTATTGGGCCTTTTGGGTCGGTTCAATCCAGCCACCATCGACCTCTTTGAGGTCCACGATCCTCACGGTATGCCCTGTTTGAGAAGGAACATCTACTAGAACAATCCTCACACGGTCGCTTTCTCGGTTTGATTCAGAGACTAGTGCTTTTCCATCGTCTGCCCATACAATGTTGAAGATGATACGATCTTCGTCCGGGAACCCGCCCTCAATGTCGACGGAGAACACCTCGGCCTTTGCAATGTCATAGAAAAGCATATCGACCACGGGATTTGGTGCTCCAGCCTTCGGATACTTGATCTCTTTCACCTCTGGGTAGTTCTCGAGCCCTTCGAGGGGCTTCTTTCCGCTAGGGCGGGAGAGGAAATATTGGACGGGATATTCGGGAACAGTCGTCTCATTCGTGCGTAGGAAAGCAAGGTATTGGCCATCGCGCGCCCACCAAGTGGCCGTGTTGGTCCCGAAGACTTCTTCCTCGTAGGCCCAGTCGGGAACACCATAGAAGTACTCGGGACCTCCGTCGGTGGTGATGGTCGTCACTTCGGGTGACGAGAGATGCCTGAGAAACAGATTGTTATCTCGGGTAAAAACAACCGAGTCACTCCGAGGCGACCATTGGGCTAGCTGAATGCTGGTATCCGGTAACGCGGGATCCAACGGCTGGACATTCTGCGTCTCCACGTCGAGGATGAAATACAAACCAAGGAAAGAATGTCGAAAAACCTTCTCTGGATTTGCCATAAGAAGCACGTGTTTCATGTCTGGGCTGACCCAGAAGTCCGACGTCCAAAGCTGCTGCCCGTTGTATTTGATCCAAGCACTCTTCACCAGAGTGGTGCGTTTGAAAGCATTGATTTCGGAAGGTGTTCCGCTTCGGATGTCTTCGACCACCAGGTAATCCTGGTTCGGCTGATTGATTTCCAACAACAGGCCATCTTCTCCATTGGGTCCAGGGGTCCACTCGATATTGGCGTATCTGGGTGACCATTGGCCTGATCGTAGCTGTTCCAGGGTGACTTTCTTTGCCGAACTCTTTATTGGCGTCTCGTGGTCGTATTCCAACGTCGACGCGTGCTTATGCCGACCGCCTGCCACAAACACGACCACAGCCAATATCCATCCGATAACGCCGACGACCGAGACTATCCAGATTGTTCGACGGAGGCCTTTGGACATGCGCTGACCCCCGATGGTGTAATCCTTGTCACTGAATCTTGGTAACTCCGGGTCACTCTCGTCGTCTCGGTATCTTGAGGGGTGCTGCAAAGGCTCCTTGAGGGCGATTGCTGAGTTTAGGCTCTCGAGAACCAGCGAGACAGTGGAGGCTGTGGTGACGCTTTCCTCTGACAGTCTCGGGGAGGGATGGTCGGAGGACTGCCGGCTCCCATCCATTAGCTTCTCCTGCTCTTCTTGTGTGCTCTGGCTGGCCGTCCCCATGATGGAGGTGGGAGGTTGCCTCCTCGGAATCCAGTTGAAGACGTCGTAGTTGACAGCGAGGGAGGTCGACCTCGACTGGGCGAGATTGGGGTTATCTGTGCATGACAAGGCCCGGTATGCGCAGGGGGAGACAGCGCTGGCAGTGTCTCTGCGGGATATTCGTTTGCGAGGAGAAACGAGAGGGCCTTCTGTGCCCAAGCCAGTGATGATCCGAAGAGGCTGACTTTGATTTGAGACCTGCGACGGTGACGATGGTGGTGGTGGTGCAGTTCGATGCCGCGTCTCCAACTGCGCAGTCGGAACATGGTCCATCGCGCCAAGCCTGCGATGCGGGCGCCGCAGTTGATGACGACCAACGTCCCTCTTTGTGCTCTTCTTCTATCATCGTATAAACAATTCGATTCCATTTTATCGTTGCTCGTCTTGCTATGTCCATATCTACATCCATAAGGAAATACTGCTTGCGGAGTGCCAGCTGAACAACTGCACCTCTCCGCTGAACGCGCTTGTCCACATCCGAAAACGGCCATTCGTCAACATTCCTCAACGCCATCTCGAATCCCGAAGCACCCCACGAAAGACATCCTCAATGACCAGTATTGGTATGGTCCCATCATATCAGACGCCATCTGGGGGCCCACCACATCATTTCGCATACTTGTAAGACACCGCAGCGATAAGGAAATAGCTGCACAGAGCGAGAAACGTAAAGCACAGCCAGAGCTTGAAATACTCAGCCCCTCCGTTCAGTCGCCGTTTGATCGGTCCATAGGAGTTCAAGCCCAGCCAGGCAAGTAACGCCATGCTCAGGGCCGCCGTTACTGGAATGGCCAGGAGTGACAGAAACAGGAGGGTTCTTTGTTTCTCTTTGATAATCGTGGTGGCCTGGCCGAACTCTTCCGAGAAGCAATAGTATATCGCGTATAAACTCGCCACGAGGATGCTCGCTGTCAATCCCAACATGCACTTTCCTGCAAGCGCGACCGAGGCTTCTTCTTGGCAGGTCTGGCAATCCTCGGTTTCGAGCTGGGTGAGCATGGTGGCTGCCACCTCACGTTCGATGTCCCGTGGCCGTTGCTGTTGTGGCGGGACCTGGAGCGTCTGTGCGGCAGTTGACCGTTCTCGTCTTTGCGCGCCAGTTGAGTCGTCTGCAAGATGCTCTTCCCCACTCCTTTTGAATTCCTGATTTTCCCCCTTTCCCTCGTTACGTGAAGAACTTGCTTCTCTATTTACTGTGCGCTGAATAGCTTCGGTTTTTTGGTCGACTTGTTCCATAATTCGGGTCAGCTCCGACTTCCGTCTTTGCTGCTGAGAATCCGGGACATCAACACTTCCTGCTATCATTGTGGAACTTGAGGCTTCGGAGTGAAACTGGTCGCTGAAAGGGTTGTCCAGAGGGAGATCCGCGATAAAAGGACTGGCGCCATTGTTCACTGCAGCCGAGTTGACCGGAAGGTTAGAAAAAGAGCGCCTGGTGGCATCACTCTTGCCACTGAGGACAGTCCAGCTGGAGTTGCGGCGATGTCTGAGCGGCCACGGCCCGACGTAGCTTTGTTGCTCAGTGTCAGTTTCTTGCTGGTGTCTCACGGCAACATGAAAAGTGTCGTCGTTTGTGTCGGCATATTCGATATGTTGGGCTGTGCCGGTGGGTTGCTCAGCGACTATTGCGTCTATTTGTCCAGGGATGGTCATCATTTTTTACAGTTATGAACGAAGGAGTGTCGTGTTATTGAGATCTGATTGCACTGTTTCGATATGCGGATGCCAAAGGATAGCATAGAATATGTTTCCAGAAATTAATGAATGAGTGTCGGTTCGCAGGAAGCAGAGGGTAAACGAGTGGAGGGGGACCAAAATACTTGAGGGAAGGATCATTCGACGACAAGGATACAGGACACAAAGGTTCAATATATACTACCAGCGATTGCGGTGGGAGGTCAGCGGAAGATCCCCAGAAGACCAGAACCTGGGTTTTCGAACGGAAATCCAGCACGGCCCAACCGCCGTGAGGAGGATGCAAGAGGGAGGCGTTTACAGGAACGAGCCTCACGGAACCTTGTGAAGGCCTTTTCGTCTCCCGTTCCCATCTCCCAAACCCCTTCACGTCCAGCTAGCTCGGGGGCTACACGAAAACAAGAACTCTTTCAAGTTGGATGGGGTCTACGAATGGCCAGTATGGAGGGCCTACGAAAAGACACTAAACTACGACCCATACCCTTACGCGCCATGAAATGCAAGCCAGGCTTCAGTGCAACACCATTACCGAGCGAACCTCGGGTCCTCGCAGGATGCAAATGAATGGTACAGGCAGAACGGAAGGGAAAGAAACCCGCCAGTAAAAGAGATACTGCATCTCTTCGCCCTTTGCTACCTCAACCTGAGTATCTGCGCAGGTGCAACGAATGCGGCTTGGTCTCAACATTTGAGGCACAAATGCACGTCACCACTCGGATCGAAACAAACCAGGCGAGAACAATAAGCACACCACTAGCAGGAGGGAACCCAACTCAAAAGCAACTCTATCTCTGCGTGGCGGCTCCACAAGAGTTGCATGATCCTCGGGCTTTGTTTTGTCTCTTCCTCCCAGTTGAAAACAACAAGCCCTGCCTTTGTGTGGGCATTTCGCCCCGTATCACCACAGCCTTGGGCTAAGGACTGTCCGGTGCGCGCCTGTGATTGGCCAGACTGGCGGGAGACAGCAGAAACAGGACTAGATCGGCTAGCTCTCCAATCTCGAGTCTTCGATACGTCCCGAGTCTTTTTCCGATTAGCCGCTCGCCGCTTTGCTCGACGTTGGCTCACCCGCTGCCTTCTGAGCGATGCCCGGCACCACGACAAGTACCGAGGCCTGCCATTCTTCTCATCTCCGCCTACTTCGTTGAAATTGCTAGTCGATGTTTAAGCTCACACGCGACGACGGTCCCCTTCGACCGACATATGATCACAGCGTGTTCACCAGAGAAGATCAAGTCTTCAAGCGGCGTCTAAAGAGCGGCGTTCTCTGGGGCGCAGCGAGGCGTCGCTTTGGCCCCCACCCGACCGCGGGGAAAAGTTGATTCTCGTGCTTTATCTTCAGCCTGACTTTGGTAAATCTTTTGTTCTCTTTTAGCCCGCTCCATCTAACGAGTTATCTCTTTTCATCCCCCAGGCTCAGTGAGCAAAAGACAATGAAATGGATCCCCTCTCCATTGCGGGGGCCTGCGTCAGCGCTCTCAGCGCCGTCACCAAGCTGTCGTTGCAGATTAACGGGTTCGTCTCCAGCGTGCGCGCGGCCCGACGGGACATGGACGCCGTTTCGCGGGAGCTGGTCTCGCTGACCAGCTGCCTGACGGCGCTACGGGACGACGCGCAGAAGAAAGTTAGCTTCCCAGCGACGCTGCGCGAGGTGGTGGCCAGCTGCGAGCAGATCGCCGAGGAGATGGCGGCGCATCTCGACAAGTTGAACGCCCGGAAGAAAGCGTCAGCGGCGGTGCGGTGGACGGTGGGCGAACGGGACCACATGAACAAGCTCCGGTCAAGCTTGGAGAGCCACAAGTCGTGTATCGACATTGCGCTGGAGATGGTATCAATGTGAGTACAATCGTCAATCCATGGCCTCTCCATCCTGGAAGGAAGGAAGGAGAGGGTAACGGGCACAAAGGCAGTTCTCAGAAATCGGCCATTCCGACACATTGGAATGCCTTTTCTCAGTCTGTTTTCCCCCCCACCCAAAAATACATATAGAGACACACTCACCTGACCTTTTCTTACTCTGTTTCTCGCGGGATAGTCAAATCCTCTCCAACATCGACGACAATCTGGACGAGGTCAAGACCGAGACCGTCGCCATCCACGAAGACACGACCGAGATCAAGCAGGACACGAAACAGATCGCGAGCCTGATCCAGGAGATCGGCTTCCTCCGGCTGCAGGTGGCCAACCTCAAGCAGGAAAAGGACAACGTGGTCCTGCGGCGGTTTCTGGACGAGTCGACCTCGTACGCGGAGTCGTCGGTCGATCCACAGGATCTGCAGTCGGTGCAGCCGAGGCGACAGCAGCAGAAGGTCATGGACACTAATACAGCTATCATCGACCAAACCGGCGCTTATGACGGTAGGGCTTCGGCAAGCAGGAATTATTCTAGAGACAATGGTGCGTCGGATACCGATGATACCGATGATACCGATGAAGGCCATGAAGATGATGAAGATTCCGGTGGTGGGGGGCAGCAAACACCTGCGTCGCCGTCTGCACCAGTCCACACCAAGAAATCTCTGTTTACGAAAAAGTTCGTGTCTGCATCCAGGGCCAAGAAGGAGGAGGAGAAGGAGGGGGAGGAAGAAGAAGAAGAAGAGGAGGAGGAGGAGGAGGAGGATGAGGAGGAGAAGGAAGATATCTACGGTCCCTTCCGAGATCTCTCGCCGTTTGGTGGTGATAATCTCACGCCCGCATCTGAACCAAAGCGATTTCCGTGTCCGCCTTCTCCCAGTACAGAACGCCCGGAGTTTCGTCCTTCAAGGCGCCTACCTAAGGCGCCTCCTCAAATAGGGCGCATATTCCCCCGGAAAGTTACATATTCGCAGCCTAGGCTCCCAGAGCGCACACCCTCTCCAGACTCTACATATACGTCGCGTGTGGTTGCAGAGGATTTGCAACGTCCAAAGTTAACTTATAGGCCTCCTCCGCGTCCAAAGCGCCCACCCTCTCCAGGCCTCTTCACAAGCAGCACCTCGTCTGGACCAGGATCAACATCAGACGTTAGATATATGGGGCATCTGGTTGCAGAGGACTCGGTACCTCCAAAGTTAACATATGAGCCTCCTCCGCGTCCAAAGCGCCCACCCTCTCCAGGCCTTATCACAAGCAGCACCCCATCTGTATCAAGATCAAAATGGGTAGTACCACCACCACCATCACCACCATCACCATTACCACCATCACCATTACCACCACCACGACAGCGGCCGCCGCCGCCGCCGCCGCCAAAACTCAGTGGCACAGCGAACAACAATAGGATGAGGGGCGGCGAGGTCCATAACAGCGGTCCCCTGTTCGGGATCATGCGACGGAAGCTGCCGCGAATGGGACGGGATGGCCCGTACGAGGCAGGCGAAGCGGTGTTTATCGAAGCGCAACGCCACGGCTCCGAATTTTTCGGCGGCTCTGACAACGGCGACGGCTACTCGCTCGTGGTGAAGCCCTTAGGTCGCGTGGGCAGCTCCAACTTGGTGCGGCTGGATGACGTCGAGATCCGGGACGGGCGGACGGGCATGGCGGTGGCGGACGCGCGCGAGGCCATCCGCACCGCGGGCATTCCTTCGATCGAGGAGTGGCGGGAGAAAATGGCCGGGGTGATGAACTCGATGATCACGCTGGGCGAATCGCCGCCGGAGCTGCGCCAGTTGAAGTTGTTCTAGGTACGACAAGATAACAGAGAAACAGAGAGGTCAACATGTAACAGGCATTGTTGATGGTGACTGAGAGGATCATGGTGATGATGATTATGAGAGGAGGAGGAGAGGAGGAGAAGAGGAGGAGGATGAGCACTTCAGTAATACTCCTCCAGTTCTCCCCTTCCGGCACAGTCACTGGGTTTTGATTGACAGGACGGGGATAGCTTGTGCACGTCCTGGTGACCCTCTGCTGGTGCTATGTGAGTGAGTGAGAGAGAGAGAGAGAGAGAGAGAGAGAGAGAGAGAGTCATATACATATCTATCGGAAGTATGTCTTGTCTTATTGTCGACTGCTACAAAGCCAGCGAAATGGCCTGGATTGGGCTGGGCTGGACTGGACTGGCTGTGTTAGGTAGGCTATGGCTAGTGAAGTCAGTAACCAGCCATTCACAAAACAGCTGTATATACAATGTTATACTGTACATGTATCTGTTTATCTCTCAACAAGCCTCATTATGCACATGCACATCCACCACCACCACCACCACCACCACCACCACCACCACTACCACCTTACACACACATGCATCTTTCCTTTTCAGTGTAACACATACACAGACACACACACATTACATATCGCTGAATAAATATTTATTAGTCCCACATCACAGGGACTATCCAACATCCCCCCTCTGGCGCCGTACATAGTGTCTCTAACCCCCTCCCTTCTGTAACTCTATGCTCCGTACTTCAACAGCGAGGGTGCCTGTGCCATTTTGTGCAGAAACTCAAAATACAACGGACACAAGAAAACAAGATCGAAGACGAAAAGCGGGAACAAGTTCAATGTGAAGAATTCAAGTGATTATACAATATACATTGAGGTGCACAACCTCCAATGAGAGGCCATACAAGTTCCATCTCTTTCTGACTCCTGTACCCCAAGTCAACGCCTCGTAATGCCACGTGCCTTCTGTCATTTTATGAGTGAAAGCCTCTCTGAGAAGCCGACACTAAACCCGCTCCTTGAACGCCTCGGAATGCTAAGAGGCTGTATCTCCACGGAGTCCGCCCCGTCAAAGGCAAGAGTGAAATAAGAAAATACACAGGCTCAAGAAACGACGATCCTCTTTCATCAACCGGTCGCTGGGCTCAATGACGACTTCCCTCGTGCTCCAAGGTCTTGATATACCTTACAAACGCCTTCTTATGCACCATCCCCCTGAATTCACCCTCATGCAACACACAAATGTACCTCAAACCCAACTTGACGAAACACTGATACACAAGGTCCATGGGCGAATGCGTGTCCAGTGCTACCGGAGCAGGGTCGATGTAAGGAGTCAAATCGGTCGGGTTGTTGGCTGGCGAGTCTTGATCGTCGGAATCGTCCCTCCCGGAATCGTAGCCAGCCTCCTCAAACGCTTCCCAGTAGCGACGGTGCGTGTTGTGCGCGTGATTCTCGGTAGAGAGTAAGCAAAAGGCGCTATCTTCATCCTCTACACGATCCAGCGCAAACTCCAGGTCCGGCGCCGGAATCAGCCCTACCAACTTCTTGTCTCGGAGGATAGGCAGGCCGCCGTCGAGTTCGCCAAGATTTTGTAGGCGTCGGAGTTTGGCTCGCAAATCACTGGCCTTGACCAGAGGGGATATCGTAATGTCAATCACTTTATCCCTTCGGAAACGGGGTGTGATGTCTCCGAGTTCCGAGTCAAAGACAGGAGTGCTTCTGTTGTCTAGAAATGGGTATGAATTCATATCGGTGAGAAGATCATAAATGCTCAGGGGCTCCACAGCGTCGGCGGTCCATTTGGCACAGAGCACGCCCAGAGAGAAAGGTAGCACGTGGTCGAGGCTGCCGGTCAGTTCAAACAGGATGACCGCCAATGTGACAGAAAGACGTGTGACACCGCACATGGTAGCACCTGCCGCCACCAAGGCATACACTCCCGGTGTGACACATGCTTCGATGTTGCCGTCATTCTGACAGTGTGACCACAAGAAAAAATTCGGAAGCTTGACCACCACGTACTGGGTCAAGTGGCCAACAATACGACCCATCAGACCACCCACCACCATCGATGGTACGTAGATACCCGCCGGCACCTTGATACCAAAGGTAATAGTCGTGAGGAAAGCCTTGATGACGAATGCCATACTCAGGTAGCCAATGACCCTGAGCATCTCATCCTCCGTCTTAGGACAGAGACCCGTTGACGAATGCTTCTGGCATGGGCTCGCCAGTTCGAAAAGCAGCTCGGTGACTGCTAGTCGCGTGTACCGGTTCCAGAAGCTGACGAGCCCAGTGACAAGTGCCACCAGGAGAACCTCCAGCATTGGATAGGCCTTGATGATTTTGATGCGCCGGAATGTGGTGGCCCAGAATCTAGACGCTTTGATGAAGAGCGCACCAGCCAGCCCACCCGCCATGCCCAGCAAGATGAATATGAAAAGCTCGAAGAAACGCCAATCGGTGATGTAACGGACTTCAAAAAGGACAATTTTGGACGTCCCGTACGGATTCAGAAACTTGAGGGACAATGCAGCCACGATGCAACAAAAGAATGTTCGAAATAGCGTCTTGGACGGAAAGTAATAGCTGACTTCCTCCAGGCTGAACAGGACTCCTCCCAGAGGCGAACCGAAAGCGACGGCCACCCCGGCGGCGGCACTGGCAGATAAGACCTCCCTTCTCTTACCGTCATTGAGGTTGTACTTGGAAAACAGCCTGCACGCAATGTTGCCCACACACGTCGCGATATGGACATAAGGGCCTTCTTTGCCCAGACTCATCCCTGACGCCACACTCAAAATCAGAGCGATGGTCTTCAGGATTAGGACGCGAAGACCCAGGTATCCATGGAGAACAAAGCCACTCAGGATGACCTTGACTTCGGCAACACCGCTTCCAGCGGCCGAATAGTAGACGTTTGGAGGCGGGGGATCTTGCGTCTGCAGTAGCTGGGCGCCTCCAGACTTGTCGTCATCAGCATCATCATTGACGTTCTGCTTGACGGCTCCCAGGTTCTCGTCAAAAGTCGAGGCGATCTGGGATGGCACGACTGTCTTGGAATAGAGAGTGATGAAGCACGCCAGGGCAGCGAGCACCACCGAACCGATAACGAATGCCACGTAGTCGATGTAGATATCGTCCATACCGGACGGGTGGATAAGCTTGGACCAAGTCCTCCATCTGTCACAGTTGCGTTCGCCAGCACAACAGTCTGTGCGACCAAGATACCAGGCGCCTCGACAAAAGCCACGCTTGATATCGAAAATTGCCGACTCGGTCACGTCGACAAAGTACGCAATGCCTGCCGTGATCACACCGATCATGGCAACAAGAATCCAACCCTGTGCCGAGTCGAGAAGCAACGCCAGGCGTCCTCGCCAACCCCTCCGCTTTTTCAGGTCCAGGACACGGTATCCATCGGCAATGCTGTCGTGCACCCAGTCCGTTGAGGTGAATTGATCATACCACAGCCGATCATCTTTAGACAATGAGCCCATCAGCATCGACGAGGATAGCTTTGGCGTACGGAGACCAGAGTTCCGCATCCAGACAGGACTGGTATTTCCCGAGGGTCGAGCACTGTAGTATCTCCGCCGGCGTAGGCTGTCACTTGTGCTGTTGACCCTTGACAGTTGTCTTGACCTGGGTGACTCGGGCATGTTTTCGTTGTATCTCCGGACAGAGCGGTGGTCTCCATCCAACAAGGCACTCTCTTCTGTGGACCGTGGAGTCATGATCAGGGAAGGTGGTAAACGGCCTCGCAGTTCGCTTGCAGACATGGAAGTATTCGTCCTGCGGAGGGTTTCAGGGGATGACGGCGTAGTGGGAGGGCGAGAGGAGAAGTGGTCGGCCTCATCGGGCTCCTGGAAAGAAACAAAAGACTTGGGCATGGTGACTGCCCGTAGCTAGCTCCTTCTGATTTTCCCTCTCTTAAAGCAAAGCACGAGAAGTCGACAGTGTAAAGCAGATGGCACGAACGGCGTCCCTCTTCCACAGGCAGACGCCGCCTTCTGAGGGCTGTCAGCTGGCCATTGACGAGGAAGGTGAGAGGCAGGACAGTGAGTGGCAGGAGGTATTTGCAAAAAAAAAAAGAGGCACTGCAGCTTCTATGAGTCAAGAGACATCAGATGTCAGCGGCAACCCAGAGAGAGAGAGAGAGAGAGTATGACCTTTGATCACCTAGAGAGGGATGGGGGATGGGGGACCAAGCCTGGACCGGGGGGTGTCCAAGTGGAAAGGAGGTGTGCTCGTTGTATTCATTCCCCCGGCATCTTGATCAGGTGGGCGACACGGACACGGTTCGGTGAATTGCAATACTGGATTAAGCAGATAGCCGGAGGAGGGCGTCCCATCATCTGACAAACAATTTTGTGGCCGCACGCGTCGAGGTCTATTATGCTGCCCCACGAGGCGAGAGAACGAGTCAAGGGCGCAGTCTGGCGACGGCGGCAACGGTAGCAGCGGTGAACAGCCTGGGCATACGCAACACGTCCCCAGTCGAGTATTGTCGTTACTCCATCGTTACCCCCCCATTCATCTTCCAAGCAGGATCCTATCGTAGTGTCCTCAAAGAGACGCCCAATGCTGGGAAACCACCCGGATCCCCTCGTCGGTAACCTCGGTGGGATGGAAACAATCCTCTCTCTCCAGCTGTGATTTGACTGACGATGACTTGCAGATGTGCGGCGACTGGCCCCGGCAGCTGCCAGCCCTTGTGCGTCTGCAGCTACTCCCTTACGACCTCGAGCACGAGCAGATGATTCGTCCTGCTGATCACCTTTTGTCATACTGCATCTCCGAGATTGCCCCACGCTCCTCTGGTATGCTGCAGTGCGCACATCTCGTGTTTTGCTGCCGGGCCTTGATTCTATGCCTTGCTCGCCTGGGTACCACTACACAATTCCTCACGGCTAACCGGTACAATGTCTCGTTCTCCTGCTTCTGATCATCCTCTAAGGACGCTTGGCACATCCAATCCGCAGCCGACCACATTCCCGCAGTTCATCCTCTTCGGCGACAGCATCACCCAAGGCTCCTCCCAAGTCCTGTTTGCCTCCTTGGCCGAATGGTACTCTCGCCGTCTCGATGTCGTCAATCGTGGGTTCAGCGGCTACACGTCCCGCATGGGCTATGACATCCTCCGGCAATTTTTTCCGTCAGACGCTGCTCCATCGCCAACCACACCGAGAGTCGAGCTGATGACCGTCTTCTTTGGTGCCAACGACGCTTGTCTATCTGGCCACCCACAACATGTTCCTCTGGCCGACTATCGACAAGCTCTCAAATCCATCATTACCTCACCGGGCGTCGAGTTGCACCAGACGAAATGTGTCCTGATCACTCCACCGCCCGTGGATGAGTGGCAACTCGGCTCGGAGGAGAGAACTGCAGAACACACGGCAACATATGCTTCCGCGTGTCGAGAGGTGGGGAAAGAAACGGGCATCCCCATCCTGGACCTCTGGACAATATTCATGACCAAGGCTGGCTGGCGGGAAGGTTCGACAGGTGCCTTGATAGGGTGCAAAGACGCACCGAGGAATGCGGTGTTGGGAGAATTGTTGAGTGACGGATTGCATTTCACCCCGCAGGGTTACCAATTGATGTACGAAGAATTGGTCCAAGTGATCAAAGAAAAGCTACCGGATCAATTGCCAGAGAAGTTACCTATGATCTTCCCTGACTGGAAGGACAAGCTGGGAATTCTGGATTAAAGGAGGGAGCCCGAGCATCGGCCCCTACAGACAACAAGGAATACAACTCAAGAGTTTATAAAACTGGTTTCAATTTGTAGGCAAGATTCTAGGAACAGGGATCGACTTCACAAGACAAGCATACACCTGACTTGTCGGAGCACTTCTGTTTACCACTATCACCACGGAAAGAAGGACAGAGTGGACGGAAAACAAATCTGAAGCATCGGACCCGTTGCGCCGGAGAGGGGAGAGAATGTGGCGGCCTATTAAGAGAAAATAATAGACCCGAGGGTGAGACACATGGACCGTGGAGGAGTGTGTGGATCGGATCGGCCACAGACTTACTCCTCGTCGCTCTCTTCATCGCTCTCGGCTTCATCGAGCCACTGCAAGAACTTCTCAGCAGCTTGACGGACCTTGCGGCTGGTGCTGATATCGACGTATTTCTTGCTGGCCTTCTGACCCCAAGCTTTGGCGACCTCTTCGCTCAGGAGGTCATTTTGATAGTAGCCTAGCAGGATAGCCGGCACCTGAGGGATCAAAGCTGGGTGGTCATTGCCGACGAAACGCTCAGTGCCGCCGAGGAAAGCCTTCATGTGCTTCTCGGAGTCGCCAATCATGGTCTTGAGCATGCTGGCGCGCTGGGGGATCTGTTTGACAATGTTCTCGTCGAAGATCGTCTGGGCGAGAACCGTGAGAGTCTTGTGCTTGTTTTCGATACCCAATTCTTTGGCCTTCTTGTAGATCTCGAGATCATCCAGCTTGCTGACCGAGCCCATGGCTTTCGCTTCGTCAATGACCCAGGATCCGAGTTGATCGTACGCGTTGACACCATTCTCCTCGCCTTCTTCCTCTTCGTCAAATGCAAGGGAACGCTTCAACTCGGTCGGAAGTTCTTTGGCACGAGCAGCCACGGCTTCAGCGGAGGTGTCGACGGCCCACTCCTCATCCTTGGGCTCCCCGTTGGTGTGGGCCTCGATGCCCTTCGCGTCAGCATTGATCTGTTTCGTGAACTCGTCGTCGCTGCCGGCTGCGAGCTCCACGTCTCCTTCATCGACGTCGCCCTTGTCGGAGTTGGAGTCGTTGGGACTACCACCGTTCATGGAGCCGTTCTCCTGTGCCTCGACCTTGGCTCGGTCGCGACGAGACATCTTTTCCTTCTTTCCGCCTTTCTTTCCACCTTTTGGTTCGTTTTTGAGAATAAATCCACTCAATTTGTGGCGTATGTCAACCTGGGTGCGTTGACCACAGGCTTTGCAGTCCAACAGGATACGTCCGTCCTTGATGTTGATCTCGGTCTCAGGGTTCTTGCATGACTTGCAGAGGACGAACCTGGATATGAAGCCATCCAACGAGTCTTGTAACTTGCCGGCCTCGTGAGCCCCGTTGATGATCCAACGATCATCCTTTGGATTGGTGTTGGTCTGGGCACCAAGCTCGAAACCAAAGTACTTGATGATGTAGGCAGGAGGACGGGCCAGGGAGGCCGAGACGCTAGGAAGGTTGGCAACCACGGTCCTGACAGAAGGCTAGTCAGTATTTGTCATGGGAAAGGGGACGAAGAGAAATAGCTTCTCGTACTCACTTTATGCCATTGCCTTTTCCTTCAATCTTGGACTGCAGGCGCTCCATCTTGTAGCGGTAGAAGGGATCGGTAACATCCCGACGAATATTGATGGTAGCCATTGTGAGGGATTATTGGTGTTCTTTTTCCTGGGGGATTTTCTCTGGAGGAAAATTGGTGGAATGAGACGGACCAAGGAGTCGATATCTCAGGAAGACACGACGAGCAGGCGGTAGTTGAGGCGGGTGTGGATGTTTGCGAATCTTTCAAATTGACCAGACATACGTGGACTTCACCACTGAATAATAAAATATAACATGAAGAAAACGGTCACCGGCAGCGTATCAACCATAGGAGGATCTTGCGACGCGACAAAGGTGTCTTTTAGCCGGAAATATGTCCAGCTTTTGCTTGGTTTTGGTTTTGGAGGTGTGAAAGACTGTCCGATACATGAACAATCGATGCCTGCGCTGTGACTGCTGAGGCGTTTGCTTCTGCGGGTGACTGGGCTGATGAACAGCAGATCGAGCGATCAACCGGTCTTGACGGTGATTGAGATGCAGCAATTCTGGAGGAGCCTGATGATGGGGAATATCTGGGGCGAGAGCGAGAGATTCTCGACCGCTGGACAGGGTGGAAGTAATGATGGTGAGAAAGAAAAGAGAAGAGGGTCGAGGAAGGAGGCGAAGAGAAATATCTTCTTATTGCGGGACTAGGCGCTACTGCTGGCTAGGGACTAGGCGGGAGGATCTTCGGCTGCGCTAGAATGTTGGTTAACCAGAGTCACCGAGAAGCACCTGGGTGAGCACCAGTGTGAGGGGGCCTTACCAGTAACTTTTGTCACCTTGGGTCCGATGGTTCGGCAAGGCAAACAGAACTGGAGGCTGAGTTGGTTGGTTAGATGAGAAGGTGAGTGGGTTATGTGGATGATGTGAATGGCCAGAACCGAATGGAGACGAGAGAGGAGATGTGCAGTGGAATTTGAAGGGCGCGAGAAAAGCCGACCTGCATAAATAACAACGGAATACAGACAATAATTGATCCATTGTGGCTTGCCGGGACTGGATGTAGGCACCCGGGGGTGCCTGGAGACCACGGGATTCGTCCCTAAACACCCTTTACCCAATAGGTATGAACCCCTACCGTACCCTATAAATATGGTGGTTCCTTAACTAAATCCAGCCGAGGCAGGCACCCAGTGGGTGACAGGTCTACCCACAAATTCGCCAGGCTCGCCCAGTGTCACTGTCGCGCAAGGCTGAGCATAGCGATATTTCCCCGGAGGCTTCCACCATTTAGACCGGAATTTTCTTCCCACGCCTGTTTCACGACGATTCAGACTCACATCTCATTTCAACAGCTCCACGCCGAACACGACTCCCAACGCTTACCTACAGATGATTTGAGTCCACAATATCCCCTCCGTCTTTCATCAGAGTGAGAGGGTAGAGGCTGTTAACAAGCGGCGCAAGATGTCGCGAAAAACAAACCCCAAAGACCGTCCCGTCAACTGGTCTCTGTACCTCGTCACAGATTCCACGCCAGCCATCTTGGGAGACAAGGACATCCTGCACATCGTGGAGGAAGCGATCCATGGCGGCGTGGGCGTGGTGCAGTATCGAGAGAAACACGCCGATACCGGAGCCATGGTCGACGTCGCCGCCAAACTCCACACCATCACGCAGAAATACAATGTCCCGCTCTTGATCAACGACCGGGTCGACGTGTGTATGGCCGTCGGCGCCGAGGGAGTCCACATCGGCCAGGACGACATGGAGGTTGCCCGTGCCCGGCAACTCCTGGGCCCCGACGCCATCATAGGGGTCACAGCCTCGTCGCCCGAAGAGGCCGACAAGGCCATCCAAGACGGCGCCGACTACTTGGGCATCGGCACCACGTTCGCCACGCCCACAAAGACAGACACAAAGCATATCATCGGGACTCGGGGCTTGCAGCAGATCCTTGCCACCTGCGACACTGGCTCCAAGAAGTCGATCCCTTGTGTTGCCATTGGCAGCATTAACGCCTCCAACGTCCAGCGAGTTCTCCATCAGTCCGCGTCTGGTTCGAACCGGCTGAACGGGGTCGCCGTGGTCAGTGCCATTATGGCGTCTACAGACCCGCGAACGTCTGCAAGCATCCTTCTCGGCTCGATCACATCGGCGCCCGCGAAATTCTACACTGCTGTACCCCCACACAGACTGCCCGTGACCACTGACCTGAAAACCCTCATCGCCCAAGTTCCTGACATCATCAAAGCACACACTACCTCAGGCGTCATCTGCCACAATATGACCAATACTGTCGTGCAGAACTTCGTGGCCAATGTCTGTCTCGGCACGGGCTCGTCTCCGATCATGTCTGAGAACGCAGCCGAGGCCGCGGACCTGGCGAAACTGGGCGGCGCCCTCGTCATCAACATGGGCACTATCACGCCGGACAAGATGGAGGCATACATCGCCGGCATGAGAGCGTACAACGCGGCGGGGCAACCGGTCTTGTTTGATCCCGTGGGTGGCGGGGCCACGGCCGTCCGCCGCGCCGCGATCGAGAGGCTCCTCGCAGAGGGCTTCTTCAGCGTCATCAAGGGCAACGAGGGCGAGATCGGCGCCGTCGCAGGCACATCGACGATGCAGCAGCGCGGGGTCGACTCGGGACCCTCGGACTCGAGCGACGCGCAGAAAGCTCAGCTGGTCGAGGAGCTGGCGCGGCGCGAGCACTGCATCGTGCTCATGACGGGCAAAACCGACTACCTGTCCGACGGCACGCGCACGGTCGCGATCCGCAACGGCTCGAACTGGCTGAGCAAGATCACCGGGTCGGGCTGCGCCCTGGGCGCCGTGATCGCGAGCTACCTGGCCGTGCACCGCGACGACAAGTTCCTCGCGGCGCTCGCTGGGATCTTGCACTTCGAACTCGCCGCAGAGGAAGCCGAGGGCTTTTGCGGAGGGCCTGGGACGTTTATCCCGCGTTTTTTGGACCAGCTTTCCCGCATGGGCCGGGATCTGCTCCCTGAAATGGGCACAGTGAAACCCGAGGATTTTGTCTCGAGGGTCAAGGTGGAGATGGTTTCGTGAGGAAAAGAGAGGAAGGGAAGAGGGTCGTGGATGAGGAGAAGATAGATGAATGAATAGAAGAATAAATGATCGTCATGATTCCTCTCGTCTTTATTTTCCCCCCTTTTCTTCTTCTGCGAAGCCCGGGGGACAGGTGAAATCCGTGTTTTGAATTCTATACTTCTAAACAGCTACACCAGCCCTCCGCACAGGGTCTAATATCCTGCTCAATATCCAACCTCAACCACCATCCCCTCCCTTCCCCCCAGCCTGCACCACCATCACTGCCAGAGATCGGCCTTTCCTTGACGCCTCTCATGGCAGACGCGATCATAAAGTCCTGGTCATACGCCACGAGCTCGATCTGCACGTCTTCAACTCGCTTGCCGTGAAGCAGGGTAGTCATGCCCCTTTCAGCTTGGTGTGGAGGTGTCCATTTCGCCGTTTCGACGGGGGAGGGATGATGTCCCGTGCCAGTGCCGTTGGGCGAGGAGGGCGCCGGGAGTTGTGGTTCGAGAAGGGAAGGCGTGCTGGGGGAGTCTGCGAAGGGAGAGAGGTAGTCGCGGGAACGGTTGCGTGAGTGAGCATGGGATGGAGCTGATGTGGTGGCGAGTATGGAGAGCTTCCTTGGTTTGCCTTCTATTGGGGATACAAACGATGGTCTTCTTTGTGCATACATGTCGGCAGCAGGTATCGACGATGTTCGACGGTGCGCGCCAGATGATGAGCCGGGAGGTGGGAGAGTATACTCTGCAGACTCGCGCTTAGCGTGCATGTCTGCGGCTGCGGCTGCTGCATGATCACCACTGGAAATGGACGCGTCCACTGGAGGTACGGAGGGGATGTTCGCCAGGGATTTCCTGTGCGCATAGATATCGGCGGAAGCAGGAAGTGGCATGCCTTGGGACTCTATAATGCTGTGTGTATTACTGCTGTTTTTGGGTTGGTAGTGCGAGGCTGTCGACGGGCGCCCACCAGGCTTGAGTGACGGCGGAGGAGGAGGAGCATGCACGTCGAGGAATTCGAGTTCTCTCAGCCAGCTTGCCAGCAATCCTTCGCCCACCATCTTAATATACGCCTCCTTCAGACCCCAATACGCATAAAATCGGCGCAGCTTCATATTGATGATCCTGGCCTCGTGATTCTGGAAGCGCTTGGAGTTCCCGCTGCTGGGTCCATCTATTGGCGAAGAGGCAGCCGACGACGAGCTCGAATCGCTCTCCCACTCGCCTTCATCGCGCTCTTTGATGGGGATGTGGATCGGCATTTGACGCATGTGTCGTCTCTCGCGGTCGGAGAACATTTCAGCAAAAATTTCAATCCACTCGTCAAATTTGGACTGCGTGGTCAGGTCCTTGGGGGTGCGCTTGTCTTCGTTTGTGCAAGCTATATCCACTCCCAAGCGGATTAAATCGGGGTTGTCGAACGCTGTGCATGTTGGGTGGCTGGCGAGATCTATTTGCGCCAGAGAATCCAAAACCGTTGGAGAAATTGGGCCGGGGTTTGGAATGGTAGATGAAGGAAGCTGGGGAGTGGGCGTGGAACAGCCGAGGATGACGACGAGCCCGGCTTGATGAGACACGTTGAATTCGAGACCTTTTATCCGGCCAGATTCTCCGTCCGTGGGCTCGCTGTCGTCGTATATGTCAGTGGTGGACCAGTTCTCGGGGGGTTCCCAGTACGGACGTCGATGAGGGGCTGGTGTCCGTGAAATCTGAACCTCAGACCAGGGGATCTTTGCACGGCGGTGGATGAATGTGTACTTTAGCAGCGCGCTTGCCAGGGACATGAAGCGGTCAGCGGGGCGAATAAATCGGGTGATGGCCTCCTCATCGGAATGCTGTAAGGTCGAGAGCAGAGGGAGAGAGTGGAGTGATTTGGGATTGTGCGGCTGGGGCACATAGGGTCGGGTATCGATGTACCAACGGTTTACAGTGGTGATGAAGGGTGCAGAACATTGAGGCGCCATGGTGCAAGGCTGCTCCTGATGTCGGTGATGTCAAGCAGGCGTTGGCTCGTAGAGCAGAAGAGTGGCCGACAATGGCGGTGTGGTCAATGCCGAAGTTGCAAAACAGAACATCGGGAAACAGAAGATGCTCAACAAAATACTCCTGGTGACAGGGTCTCCATTCAGTCAATTGCCGGACTGGTAGATCTTGGAGTGGCCTGCTGGAGGTGACAGTAGAGTGTGAGGATAGAGTTGGAGATGTAGTTCTATCAGCCGCTGATTAGTGGATCACTGGTCTATGGGCCTATATTATAGAAAGAAGAATAGATAGATAATCGATAGTATTCAGGAGACAGGTCTCATTTTAGCAATTGGCCGAAAGGGGGGATCAACGGCGCCGGGTTCCACAAGGCTGGTGATGGGTTTCACTGCCTGGAAGGCCTAACAGGTGCCTGCTGGAGATGAGATGAGATGAGCGTCTTATTGGATCGGAGGCATGAAGGATCGATGGAAGGACGATGCCGAGATGATATTCAAAAGTCGACGAGTCGGCGAACGACGAAGAATGGCACATGTCCAATCAAAGGGCGCGGCCACCGTTATGTAAGCCACCACAGCCACCGCCGCCACTGTCGCCGCTGCAGCAGCCACAGGGCGGAATCATTTTGAATTTTTTTCATTCCAATACGAATCAATGACTAGGTTATTAGCCACACGGATAACGGCGAAGAAAGACCATTTGGTTGCTACTACTATCACCCAGACGCCTCTTCCACCCGTTCCCTATCTCATATCTCCCATATTGACGATCCTTTCGATATCTTCTCCTTCCCCTCTCCGCGACTCCCGCTCCTTCGGACATATATGTGGTGTCAATGACAATCACCGTCGGCGTGTTGGCCCTACAAGGCGCTTTCTTGGAGCATCTGATCCTGCTGAAGAAAGCGGCTGACTACTTGCATCACCAAGGCATTGCAGCCTCTTTCGAGTTTACAGAAGTCAGAAACGCCAAAGACTTGGCTCGTTGTGATGCCTTGATCATTCCTGGTGGCGAGAGTACAACCATTTCCCTCGTCGCCGCCCAGTCGGGTCTACTAGAACCGCTCAGGGAATTCGTCAAGTAGGACACCACCTCTTATCTTCCCCAGACCTTGCTATGATGACTGACTTCTGTTCCCCTAGGGTCGACCGTAAACCAACCTGGGGAACTTGCGCCGGCTTGATCCTGCTCGCTGAGGCGGCTAATGCTACTAAGAAAGGCGGCCAGGAGTTGATTGGCGGCCTGGATGTGCGGGTGAACCGAAACCATTTTGGACGACAGGTAGAAAGCTTCCAAGCCGATCTTGACTTGCCCTTCTTGCAAAACAATGGCGCAGTCAACAAAAAGCCCTTTCCTGGCGTCTTCATTCGCGCTCCCGTCGTCGAAAAGATCCTTCCTAATGTGGAAGGGATCCAGACGGACGAACAGCAACTTGCCGAGACGGTCGTTGCTCCGTCGAAGTCTGCCAAAGACGAGCACGCCCGGCAGGCCATGAGCTGTCATGTGGACATCATGGGCAAGTTGCCCGGTCGCTTAAAGAAAGCAGCTGGCATGGGGCCTGATGTCCACGCCGGTGAGGAAGTGGGAGATATCATCGCTGTCAAGCAAGGCAATGTCTTCGGTACCAGCTTCCATCCTGAGTTGACTTCAGACATTCGCATTCATGTTTGGTGGTTAAGGCAAGTTTTGGATGCGGTCGGCACGGCAAATGGAGTTTCATGAGGCCAGCATTTCGGATAGAGAGATTCTGCACATATCGACGAGGTTCATCATCTGCCCCCACCGTATTCTTCCTCCTCCTTCTTTCTCTCTGCGTCAATCGCCCGGCCGTAGCCTCCTCTTCCTGGGTCGAACTCATCTCGGTATTCGTCCCTGACTTGCCCACCCGATTTGCCGCGGCCATACTGTCGGCCCTCTTGGAATCCCGCATCGAGGTCGGTTCTGATGACGCGTTCGTCGAGCTTGGTGCCGCCAATGTACTTCATGCAGTCCAAAGCCTCTTGATGTGTGTAGTATTCCACGAAGCAAAAGCCACACGGCGTCTTCTGGAAACGGTCCAGACCCATGATGAGACGTTTGATTTCACCGCATTTGGAGAATAACTCGTGGATCTGCTCTTCGGTGGTGTAAAACGACCTGCGCTAGAATTAGTCTCATTCCCAGTCGAAAATCTGCAGAGAAGACGAACAAGTTCCCCACGTAGAGTGTGGTGGCATCTTTCAACAGATCGTCTTGTTCTGCTTGTTTGTCGACATCTTCAGGCTGATCGCGACCGTACTTGCGCTTCTTCTTCAAAGCGTGTCAGCTCAGATCTTGCTTCATTTGTTAGAGGCGGCAGACACCAACCCTTGCGGAATAGTATGTACTAGGTTTGTCTAATCTCTCGACCGTAGACATTCTGTCCGTCCTTCTCGGGTTGCAGTGGGAGGTTGAGTGAATGGAGAAGCGAAACCAACTTGCGCCGCGTCTCCTCCTCGCGCAATCGCTGGGGTTCAGCTGCTTTAGGCTACCTTCAAACCTCAACCAATCACATGAAAAATTTGTTGTGGCCGCTTTATCCTCCTGCGACGCGTATGTTATCTCCCCTATTATCCACCTCCGCCTTCGTTGATGACATCTCTACACGGCCTCAGCTTCCTAAGACTCGACCGCCTGAAGACAGACCGAGATTCTCCGCTCCTTGAGAGGACATCTAGACATTGTGCCCGACGACTCGGTGGCGTTTCTCTTTGTCTACCCATCCGGCAATGTCGATGTCCTCCTCCGTACGCCAGCTCACTTAGTGTTCGCTGCTGAACTTTGAGCTTTCAATGGGTCTCCCTTTTTTGGTGCCTCTTTTCCGCCACTTGCTTCAAAATAGGGGCGCTCCCCTTGGGGTGTGATACGAAGCATGTGTCGCCGAGTTACGCCTTCTTTCACCACAAAATCCCGAAGCGCCGAGCTGAGGAGCACAAGTCAGATACTGTTACTCAATCTGTGTGGGGGAGATTCCTACTGTTGCGTATTGCGGTTGTCATACACCAGCACCATTCCGGGAAGCCAATGGACTCGAATATGCCAGTCTTGCCCATGTTCGATGTGGTTATAGAGAAAGTTTAAGATGGTGGCTGTGTGACCAATTTGAGCGAAACGTTGATCAAGTGGCTCTCATTCACTTACCGCTTTCTTCTTCCTTCAGATCTGCGATCCTCCGCGTGTACAACCGGTTCACATAGAGTGAGTTTGCTTTGGTTACCTGCTCCGTTAGTGCTCTCGGACGAATGATTTTGTGTTCAGAGTTAACCTACAGGATGAGTCCGCACGACTGGATGAAGCGTCTCAATCGGCTCCCGGATGTAGCGTTCGCGATGTTCATGCACGGCAGCCTGGGAAAAGCCGGAGTGGGTCGCGTATTTCCCATGCAGAAACTCGCGGAAGGCTGGAGACAATGCATTGTACGCTGCGGTTGTCGACAGATATAATGTATCCCCACCAGACTCTGGAACATCCAAAGGGAGGAAGATGGTCGTTCCCATTCCATTGCTAGCAGCAAGAAAATTGGTCAGTCCTGTCCCATCTTCTGCCCAAGAGAGCTATTTGACCTGAGAATGCTCACACTTCATAGCTCATGTCAGAATGCCACTTGATGCTGCTGACATTGTTTTTGATTTCATTGTCAACCGCCCCAGCCCTGGATGACTCGTCATTAAGATCGCAAAGTTTGAGGCATATCAGCAAGCTCCAGCCTCTTACACGAAATCTCGATAAACGGGGAGCAATTCAGGATAGCCCTTGATCTGCGATCCAATCTGGTGAACATGGAGCTTGCCGAAATAGGCCCCAAACTCCCGCTGCCGATCTGGACCAATGTCTGCAAAGTCTTGATCGAAGAAAATAACCACACCTCGTTCTGCTGCTAAGAGCGCCAGCTCGTCCCTTTGCTTTTCTGTCAGCTCGCTCAGTTGAAGACCACGAACCTCTGTGCCAATGGCCGGGGTGATCTCCTTGAAGGTCGCGCCAGGTGCACTAAGCAATGCCTTCTTCTCCGGATCAGCGCGAAGGCCGACATCGTTGTGCTCAAATTCTTCCAAGGCCGGTTGAAGACCTGGAGTGTAGTGTGGCAAATAAGCAGCATACTTGTACTGCGGAATAGGTAAGTAACAATAATTTATCGGATCAAATTAACAGTCACCTGCTCTCTGTTATAGTCCACCGATGTCTCTGCACGTACATCCTCCAACTCTGAAGCTGGTGGCGAAATGATGGCTTTCGTGGTCACAGTTTCGGTCGTCATGGTTGCAGTTCTACAGCTACTTCGTCCTACAAACAAAAAATCACAAACACAAGTCACTCCCTCAACTTTTGTTATCTACACATTCCTTTGGAGGTCTTGCGATTTATTGGGCGGGGGCAATGACGAGCTCACCCTCCGAGATGACGCCAAAGCACTGTTATTCAGGAGAACTGCCTTATCACAAAAGTCGACCTAACAAGTCTTTTGGACAGCTCTAATTCATCGCGCAATCATTCACGTGGGTTCAATATGTGCGAGAATGGTGCAGACGGGCAATCACGCTACCGAAGAGAACAGCGAGTTCGACATATTAAATTTTATTGCGCAAGATGCTAGAGAGACGACACTGAGCTGATCGACTCGCCCAGGGCTTCCTCGTCTCTGGGCTCGTCCCTCAGGCGTATAAGTACCGCTCCCAGTTTGGTGGATGTCGGCGCTGTTGGACACCGTATATCGGAATGGCGGACACCGAGCTAGCCCAGAGCCTGGAGCAGCAGGAGACAGTACCGGTCCCCAGAAAGACCACACAGTGGTGGCGGCGCGTCCTTGGTCTTGTCTGGGACTCTGTTGAAGGCGATGCAAGAAACAGGAGATATGTTCAAAAGCTTGACAGCTTCCTGTTGTATGCTTCAATTCCGAGCCAAGCCCGTTCACCCATGGCGCTCCTGTCTATCCAGCTAACATTGGTCTTCTTGACTTAGCTCTTATATTTGTCTTGGGTACTTCATCAAGTATCTGGACCAGCAGAATTATAGTCCGTGTTGACTGCAACCCTATCCTTCCAGATGATGTCCTAACACGCCTTCAGGCAATGCCTTCGTTAGCGGGATGAAAGAAGATGTAAGTGGCGTTGAATGCCCTCTCCGTTCCAAGATGAGGGAAACAGCAAAGAGATTGAGATCTCTTGTATCCTCCTCTTGAAGACATTTATGGGCAGAGTGCTCAGGCATAGGCTGAGCTGTGGCTTCGCCGACATCGCTGACTCTGCTATAGCTTCATCTATACGGCAACCAGCGCAATTGGCTCGGGACCTGGTTCAATCTCGGCATTATTATCGGTACTGTACCTTCGCAGATGATTCAACTCAAGTACATCCGCCCGTCGTATTGGATTCCTGCTTGCGAGCTTACATGGTCGGTGCTGGTGATGGCGATGGCAGGGGCAAAAAACGTTGAAACAGTAAGTGCACGTTCCGTGCGGGCTCCTTGTCTGTTGGACCTCTATTGATCCTGGTCCTAGCTATATGCTTTACGATTCTTTGTTGGCCTCTTCGAGGCTTGTTCGTTCCCTGCTTATGCGGCTCTGCTCGGCGGCTGGTACGGACCCAACGAACTTACCAAGAGAGTTGCCATCTTCGAGCAGACTAGCTCCATTGCGAGCATGTTCAGCGGATATCTTCAGGCGGCGCTCTACAAAGGCATGAACGGCAAGGGTGGGCTCGCTGGGTGGAGGTGGCTATTTATCATGGATGGTGTTATCTCTATACCCATTGCTGTTTGGGGTGTCTTTGCGATTCCCGATCTTCCACACACGACAAAGGCATTTTATTGGACTGGAGATGTAAGTCATCGAGGAGACCAGAGTAAACCATGTACTAACATGTTGGAACCTAGGACAAAGCTTATGGGGTGCAACGCATTGAGAAAATCGGTCGGGGGCCTCCCCGGCCCCTGACATGGAGAGTCATAAAACGTGTTTTCCTTAATTGGCGACTCTGGGCATTCATCGCCCCGTACACGTGAGGATTCTTCTTCACGTTGGAGCTTGACCGGGTACTAATTCTCACTAATCAGGTTTGTAGCCGAATCAAGCACTGGTACAAACTATTTCAACCTCTGGCTCAAGTCATCCGGATGGTCAGTCGTCCAAACCAACTTGCTCCCTACAGCAGGCAGTGCCGTCAGTGTGGTTGCGGCCTTTATCTTTGGCATCATTGCCGATCGCACAGGGCAACGGCTGTCCATGACTATTGTGATTCAGCTCTTGATGTTTGTCTCTAACGTGCTTCTGTCTGTCTGGCACATACCTAAGGGAGCTTTGATGTTTGCCAATTATCTCGCATTTGTGGGAGCTGCGGCTCAGCCTATCATAATTGTGAGTTACGGCATTCAGCGCTCATCTACGGGCCACGTTCTGACAGAACGAATAGGCTTGGGGCCATGAACTGAACGGCGCCGACCCAAATTTGCGGCAGCTTTTGGTCGCCACCGGAAATATGTTCACGTATACATTCTCGACGTTTCTTCCGTGTAAGTGGTCGGGTGCTGCATGCGCATATTTGGATAATACATTGACCATGGCCATCAAGTATACGTCTTTCCGACCTATGACGCCCCTCATTACAAGTACGGTTATCAAATCCTTATTCTCTTTGGTGTTCTTGCGATTGCCAGCGCTTTGGTACTGGAGTGGCAAGAGAGACACGAAAGGTGAGTTGTCTAACAACGGTGTGGAAACCAATTGTTGACCAATACTATTCTCAGGCCCAAGAGTCGACATCTTCTGGGCACCGTCGATGAGGTGGCCGAAGAGAGTAGACCCGAAACTGGCGTTGACCTGGGCGGCACGTCCAAGGATATCAAGCTTGGAGCAGAAGGTGTCGTATTAGCAAGCGACAAAGTGTGATTGGGGTGAGAATGGTCTCCGGAACATGGACGATCATTGTGATGAGTCTCCTCCTCTTGACGGTGAAACTTGTGCAACGGTAAGTATGAGACGAAACTGTTCTATGCAGCAATTATTGGTCATCAGAACGCTGCATTAGCTTCCATGACTGCCCAAATGCTTCCGTGCCTGGTTTATACGGTCTTCTACACCGTAAATGGATTCATTCTCGGCTAACATGAAGGCCACCCAAACTATCAAGCACGAATAGGAGTAGCTGGGAGAAACTGCCAAATGCCATCTTTGCCACATGTTCTCTGCTTAACGAGGCATGAAATATTTGACTATTCTCGCCAGGAATGGCGTGTCAAGCTTCCCTTGTCGATCCCATTGCATGCGAAAAGGCCCAGACCCAGACCGGGACTACTCAATCCGAACAATGCATGGAAGGGAGAACACACAATACCCCAAAGCTTGATGTTGGGATACCATGGAACCATTCACATGGCCGTGTCAAGGACAACATTCAGTCCACCCCCAGAAGACTGGGATCCTTGCCACCTACAAGTGGTTATGCAGCAAGCCACGCAGGTCTATTTGACAACGAGCGACGGCATTGGCTCCGATTGACACTAATCGGCGGACCGTTGTCTAGCGTTGCCTTAGTCGCTTCTCTGTTTCGACGAGAGTTGCGTGGTTCGAAGCATTCGGCGAATGTGGCTCGAGGCACGCCATTTACCATCTTGATTGCCAAATTGCGAATGTCTCTCTGTCCTTTTGTTTCCCTCTCACTTTCTCTCTCCCGCTCTACTGACACTTCAACACACTAGGACTCGCCACGGGGCGGCAGCGAATCTAGACTCCATCTCCTTGAGAGAGTCTGTCACGTCATTTACCATCTTGATTGTCAATTCTTCGTGGTTGTTCCCGTTGGTAACGTTGGAATCTCCGTATCATATGTAAACACAGGAAGATCTTTATCGAGGCTCCTTATCGACCAATCGAGACTTCTGGATGTCGTTGTCTGTGGTCGAAATGACACCGACGAAGGTTTTGCCCGAAGCGCTGAGCAGATCGTGCAGATAGATATGCAACTACTGAGAAGCCCAAGACATCTTCTGTCACGTTGCTCGCATCAACCTACTCTCAATCATCATGAGGCGGTTGAAGGCGGGACCGAGGCATGGTTGTGGGCAGGTTTCGGCGTGAGCGTGGCTGTTCGCCTCTCATGCGTTACACACACACATATATATATGTATATCTGGTACCTTTTTGTTTTCCCAGCTCATCAATCCCCGCTCTGCCCACTACCTGCTCCTTTGCTTCCGCCCCTTCTATTTGATCCCAAGATGGCGGGAAAGGCTCCCTCAGTCACGTCGTCCACACGATCCGGTACTTGGAAGGGATGGTTGTGGGATTCGGCTGATGTGTCCAAGGAAGAAAGGAGACTTCTTCTAAAGGTTGGTCCGCTTCCAAGGCTCCGTCTTACCAGAGGGCACTTGTTCTAATTTGAGATCCCTTTATGCAGTTGGATTTCACGCTCCTGACATTCGGCACACTGGGTATGTTGACGAAATGGGCAAGTATCCCCTTTGATTTCCCACCAGCTATGGTCTAATATTCCATGCACAGATTGATACCTCAAATATCACCAATGCATTTGTCTCTGGGATGAAGGAAGACCTCAATCTTTATCAAAATCAATACAACTACATCATTGTTGCATGGACTGTAGGCTACATCATAGGGCAATGGGTATGTCCTTTCTTGGGTGCAAATCCAAGTTCACATCAAACGCTGACATCGGTTCGATACAGCCTTCGAACTTCGTCTTGACGCGAGTCCGTGCTCACAGTAAGCATCTTCACGACGACCTTATGACCACAAAAGCTGAGCGTTGCTGACCCTGAACCCCTAGTCTGGATTCCGTTCCTCGAGCTGGGTTGGACCGTCTTCACCTTTACCCTCGCAGGGGCAAAGAGCTATCATGCAATGCTCGGCCTTCGATTCGTCGTCGGTCTCTTTGAAGCAGGATACTGGCCAGCACTATACTACATTCTTGGGAGCTGGTACAATAAACGTAAGTCGGGTTACTGATACACTAGGACAAAGGTCCTGGACGCTGCTAATCCTTCCACCCATGAGCAGGTGAGCTTGGGAAACGCAATGGCATTCTTCAATCTGCAGTATCGATTGCGCCGATTTTCAGTGGATTCTTGCAAGCCGGGATCTATAACTCCCTCAATGGTCATGCTGGTCTTGCCGGATGGAGATGGCTATTTGGTAGGCCTCAGATCAATCTTGTCCTACAGTCTTCTGATTCTAACGTATCTGCACCATACCACAGTCATCAACGGCGTGATTTCTTTCCCGGTCGCCGTCCTTGCTTACTTCTGCTTGCCCGACACTCCTGGCACTGCAAAGCCAAGCTGGTTGCTGACCGAACGTGTAAGTAACGAATTCGCTAGAGTGGACAAGGCGAGCTGATTGACCGGCCTATTTCGGACATTTATAGGATATTGAACTCGCACGAGAGAGGATGACGAGAGCTGGTCGGGTTCCCGAAGGCAAACCCTATTCCGTCAAGGTTATTCTGGGCTACTTCACCAGCTGGAAAACGGTTCTCTTCACCCTTATTTTCAGTAAGCTTTTTTCATCCAATTAAGAGAACAGATCAGTCGCTAACCTTGTTACCCTCGGCAGCTATGCAACCCTTTGGAAGCCAGCCATTCACCTCGTTCGTCTTTTGGCTGAAGGCGCACAACATCAAGGGCAAACCCCCTGTATACAGTGTTGCACAGATTGTATGTGTGTTCTGCATCTCGTTCACAGGAGAAGGATTGGACTGATTATGGTATCATCCTGTTACAGAACGAATACCCAACCATCGGGAACGCCTTTACCGCGGCGTACTCTCTGGTCGCTGTATGGATCTCTGACGGACCATTCAGAGGCCGCCGCTGGCCGATCATCATCTTTTCCAACCTGATCGCCATCGTCGTCTTTGTCTTGCTCGCCGTGACTCCTGTCTTTGGTCCTTTCTCTCATCGCGCCCCACTCTATATCGTGTCCTCGATTGGAGGCAGCTGTGTCCCGCTTACCATGGCGTAAGTTTTTCATTCCTTGATCTTCCTCCACGATTAATGCCGCGACTAATGGTCTTTCTCCTAAAAGATGGATGGCCGAGTTGATTTCCGACAATGCTGAACAAAGGGCTTTCACTGCGGCCGCTATGAATACTCTGCAATGTAAGCATCTCACTTTCCTTTCCTTCGTCCTTCTCCTCTGATAGATCGCTGACAACTTTTATTTTGTATATAGATACCTTCACGGCATGGATACCACTGGTTTGGTTCCAACAGGTGCATCAACCTTATGGTTCGTCTATGTTCTCTTGATATGTGGTTCATTGACTAACAGGTGCCGATGTTCAGTCACACCCGGTAACAGAGCAGCGGCCGTGGTTGCGGGATTCAACGTGATCATATTCGGAGTCATCGCTGTGCTCGCACATAGGGAGAAGAAACAGAAGAAGAGAAATGGTCAACTCGAACTTACCTCTTCTCCCAGTGACCCCCCTACGCCCTCTATCGAGGATTCAATTGAGAAGAAGCCATCGCTCGGGGTGCAAGCAGTCGAGATCTGAACTGTCAAAAAATGAACGAGGCTGTTGCATCAAACGGCAACGGAGTGGCGTTTTCCCGTGAAAGACAGTCCTTGCGGGCACCAATACTCCGTGAAGGTGGATCCTGAAAGTCCGCCGACGATCGAACCTGGCAAGCATGGTATATACATTGAGGGTTGATTGGTATATGCTATACATAGTGGTGAGTGGCCAGTGGCTTGCTCAGTCTAGATAGTGAGAGGATTCGATCTCTGAAGATCGTTCAAAGCGCCTCAGAAGCTATTCTGAACTGTTTTGTGCTCTGGCAAAAATATTCGGTCGCGGATAGGAACTTCATGCCCAGCCATTGCCAATACCAAAGGTGAAGCCGGAGCCGTGGTTATCAGCTCCATGCATTAGCTGTCACGGGAAAGGACGTCCTAGGCACGGCATCCCATTTATTTTGCATTTATACTCAGTAGAATATAGATACCTCAAGATCTTCACTAGTTGCTTTCTTCTCGACAGCTCAGGGAACGGGGTCGTCCGTAGACCCTTCATGACTGCCTTCATATAGTGGGTGGGCAATGCCAGGCCATACTCTCTGCCTTTAGAAAGAAGCATATTTTTAGGCGATTCCCAGTGTTTTTGGTTTGATACGCACACAAACACAGTCGTTTCTGTCCAACAATGACCTCCTGGCCTTGATTGACGTGAGGATCACGTGCACGCGAGAAAAGGGAGACCTCAAAAGCGGCGCCGCGCAGCAGCTGTTTCGGGAAGACTGTTTCTCCGCAAACGCGCCCAATTTCACTTTCTTAGGACGAATGTGCACAACCATCATTTATGAGACTGCACATTTCTCTCGACACCTTGTGCCGCAAGGTCTAGAGACTCTGTTTCTCCAATGTACACCTAGTCTCACGGTTGCTGTCAGTATCGATAGACAAAATGCCCAAGATTATTGGATATACACCGCCGTTCCTGTCGCGACCGTCGCCAGGCTCCAGAATCTTCACGGACCCGGAGCCTCAATCGCCTGCCTCTCCCTCCAAACGCACCTCTTACCTCGGCGCCCTCCCTTCGACACAATACCAAGGACCTAGAAGATTGGTCGCCAGCAGGGGGACGGAAGTCTTTACGGTCGTGGGGAATAAAATCAGATGGGCAGACCTCAGCGCAGTTCGGGATGAATGGGAGGACAGCACCCAGTCTGGCACCAGTCGGTTTGGCCAGTCTCGCTCCGACGCAACGGAGGCCACTGGAGACAGCGTCTACAGAGTACGTGGGATCGTTGCCTCATGCGGAAAGATGACGTTGACAAATGTAGACCCTAGCTGTTCCTGTCTATTATCAGATTCGTCAAATTTCGATCTCCCCGTCCGGCCTGTTTCTGGCAATATGTACTGAACATACTGTCCACATCGCAGTGCTTCCAGATCCATCACGGCTGAAGGAGCATGACCGCTCACCATTGAAAGTGAAAACATACCAACTGGGTCCTACGGTCCATGTCATACCAGAATCTCCGCTCGCATCTGTGCTATGGCACCCCTTGGCCTATGCTACTGCTTCCACGGATTGTCTTGTTACGGTTACTGCCGAAGCAGCGGTCCGAGTTTGGGAATTCGACAAGGCAAACGGCTGGTCTCTCGACCGTCCAAAACTGGCCATAGACCTCCGCAAACTCGCCGATGGCGTCTCGTGCGACCAAGACTTTGAGCCGTCTGGCTTCGGCAAAACTCGTGGATTTTCCGTCGATGATTTCGACATGGAGGTTTCTGCCACGTGTTTTGGTGGTCGGGGTAGAGAGGACGAAGATGCCTGGGCGAGCATGACCCTTTGGGTTGCCATGAGGAACGGGGATCTGTACGCTCTGTGCCCACTGCTACCATCGAGGTGGAAGCCAACGTCAACCACTATTCCCTCGCTAACCACGACTGCTGTCTCACGAATGGCGGCAATCAATGACGACGAGACAGACATGGACGAAAGACGGGCCGCGGACCAGCAGTACGAGTGGGTCCAAGAAATCGACAACGAGGAGCCCCAGATTCATCAATCGACGGATAGCCTTGGCGAATTTGAGTTTCGTTTTAGACCGCAGAACCCGAGCGCAATTCCACGCCTTCAAGGGCCTTTTACGATTGTCCCCGAGGAAGATGCTACGGAGATTGAGGTGTCCGATATCCACATATTTCCTGCGAAGCTTGATGAACAAGACCTTTTTGAGGGTGAGGACGACTATGAAATCGACCAGGGACTTGTCCAGCCTATCCCCTTCACAACTATTTGTGTGACCACAGCAGAGAATCAAGTTTGGTTTGCTATTGACCTCGATGGCGTAACAGGACAGTGGCTGCCCAAGAAAGGGAAAAGCACATTCGGGGTGCCTTCATCCGACGCTACAGCCCTTACATTGGTCGATGTCGTGACACTTGACGGATCGGCCACGGATGCTGCAGGTAGTTGGCCCGTTTTCACGCAGGACATTGCCCACAATTATTCAATTTTTGTGACCACCTCGAAGCATGTCTACTCATTGTCCTTGAATGATTGGGTTACTCAGCTAGGTGCCGAACTATCTGGGACTGAACCTGTCGATCCTGGCCTGAGGACTAGGCTGGAAACCCGATGTCAGAGTAGAGTCTGTCTGACCGACAAGTTAATTGAGGTCCGCGAGCCTTCAGAGGCCCTTTCGGCGCCAACCATCATTGACGATACGTCGTTGGGATACTTCCTCCTGACTGCAACTTCGAACGCTCCTTATGGAGTGGTTTTCGACCAGGTGCCTATAGGTACTTCAACTGTCGGCCCTTCACTTACAGATTTCACAATGTCGTCTAGTCATCTAGAATCTCAACTCGCAAATATTCCGAGCTCGCCCATCGAAACGGTTCCTGCGCGAGAGCCATATTGTCCTCCGAAGATCTTCTACTTCAACCAGCATATTCCAATCGATTCCATGCGCCAACGTCTACCACCACATCTCAAAAAAGCCATTTCCGAACGACCTATGCGTTTGAGCCCGGCCATGCTAGAGATTATGACTTTCGCCCACCGCGCGGTCGGTGTGCAGTCTGCTGGACTCGAGAATGCAGCTGCCGAACTCTTCCGGCGGTGTGAGCGCCTCCGAGTCGAACTTGCTGGCCAGGTCAAGCAGATGACCGAACTCGCTCAACAACTGCAGCGTCTTACTGCTAGTACGGAAGAAGATGAAAATGGCAATGTCAAGGAAAGGAAGACGCCCGAGACGAGGATCAAGGAGGCGCGAGAGAGGCAGAGCAAGCTGGTGGCGAGATATGAGGCGCTTAGAAGAAAGGTGGGACGTGTCGGATCGGCGAACAGGGAGCTGAGCTCTAAGGAGCTCGCCTGGATGCATGAGATTGAGAGCCTTGGTCGGAATGTCGGTATTGTTGGTGAGGAGGAGGACGACGAGCAAGAGGGTGGCAGACGAGACACCACTCTCGACAAGCGATTTGCGACGGTATGTCTTTGTCTTTGCTTTGATTCCTCCTTGCCTGGAACACGACTGACAATGAGCTACAGGTCAAACAACTTACTCGTTCCCTGGTAGAAGAGGCTCACGGCATTGAAAAACAGCAGCAACAACCCCCAGCCTCACCAAAAGGTCCCCCAGCCCTGGACGCATCCATATCCTCGATCTCGGCATCATCGATCACGCCATCTATGTCCGCGTCACAAATCACTCTGACATCCCGGCCCAGCGGAGCCGCCGCGTCCCCGAGAAGCTCCAAATTCAGCGGACTGGGTGTTTCCAGCCGACTGCAAAAGGAAGCCATTGCGGATATTATGGCCGCGGTCGAGAGAGAAAGTGCCGTGATCGAGGCGGCCATGAGACGACTCGAGAGACTTAAGATGGAGTATTAGGAGTACTTGTGGACGTGTCCTGATCCGGGGGAGCGTCTCGACTGTGTTGGGGGTATTGCTAGAGCGCTGCATCGAGAGACATAGACCATGGCTAGCTGGCTGCGTATGTAGTTGATCTCTCTCTCTCTCCCTCTCTCCGCTGTGGGAATGCCTGAGCACGAGCTTCAGTTCTGCGACCGTAATTAACTGTAACTGACTGGTCGTGAGTGCCTGCAACTACCTACATCTATCTCACGGGCCGTATGGATAGATAAATAGATAGATACCTGCCAGCCTACTATGGACCGACCGAGACATGGCTGGTTGGCTGGTTGGCTGGCTGGCAGCTGGGGCCTTTTCCTTCCTGCTTCGCTGGTTGCATCGTAGTGCCTCCTCGAATTCTGACGATTTTCGTATATGTATCCTGTATACTCTTATAGCATATATACATATACTCCATCCTCTCTCTATTCTACACGCCACACACATGCCGGGACTTTTTTTTCCAACCAACGACCTCAGTCAGCTAGCATTAACATTCATATCAGCTCGTTCACACGTTCGTGTCCTTTCTCCCAGCCAGCCTGCTTTCTTTTTCTCATGAGTCGGATAATGGTATCCATCTTCCTCTCTTCCTTCCTCTCCCCTTCCTTCTTCTCTTTCCGTCATACCCCTCAAAACCTCACGGTCCTCTCCTCCCCTTTCCTGCTTCGACAGTCATATTCAATCCAGCGCGCGACGCCACTCCCCCTGGGGGCGCCACCACCACCACCGCCGCCGCCACCGGCGGCTTGGCCTCGGCGTAGCGAGAACTCGTCCACGACCCGGCCGACGTTCATGACGTGGCAGCCCTCGTAGCTGATGGCGAAGGCCGGCATTTCGGCGTCGCACAGCGCGAGCGCCGTGGGCAGCGGGTACAGGGACAGCGCGGCGCTGTGGTCCCACAGCTGGGGGCGGATGGACAGGGGAAACGGAGCAAGGTGCGATTGGTCGAGGATGGTCTTGATGAGTTTCCTCGCGGCGTGGATGGAGGGCGGGTTTGATGATGGAGTGGGATCTGACATGGGAACGTGTGAGGTGGCGGTGTGGACGGCTCTGTCGAGGTTCTTCCTCGGGCGATGGTCCAGGTCCATGTCGTCCGCGGACTGCAAAGGGTCTTGATCCTGATTCTGGATGTCTGTTTCTGCATCTTTCTCCTCGTCACCCGCATCGAGCTTCGGGAACATGATGGCACTCCGCCGAAACCGGCCGGTGATATCGTCCCGGAACATCACGATCTCTTCCAACGGTCCAAACAGACTTATCCTCGCGGGGTTCGTCGCCCATATACTCTCTCCTTTTAGTGCGTCTTTCTCTCTCAGTCCGCCATGAACCTCTGTGTTGGCAGTGGTAAACGCTCGTCGAACTCTGCTGGTGAACACCTCTGGCACCCCCTGTCTCGGGAGCAAACAACTCGCCCCGGCCGAGAAGGCACTCACCCACGGGTCGTTGTCCCCTGGCACGAAGACGAACGTTGTGTTCGCCAATAATAGAGGAAACTCTGACAGGACCGACGCCAGAGCGTCGAAATGTTCCTTATATTCGATGCTACCGCCACCCTTGCTGGATCCTGACATGCTCGCCGCCGAGACGAAGTTGCCCATCATCACAATGGAGAAGGGCAGGTCACTTATATGTCCAGAGCTGGAGGTGCTGTAGGATGAGAGAATAGCACGGATTGCTTCCAACGCCCGGGGGTTGTCAAGGTTACACTCCCCCAAGAAGGCGATTTGGCGACGAGGCGGTTCGGTTTCGATCTGGTCATCATCTGGGACATTGATGGTCTGAAAGGAGGTTGGTGGTCTGAAAATACGTCTTTGAATGCGCCGCATCTGATTCCCAAGGGCTTTCTCACTCCCGACACCGAGAAAATCGACCCATCCGAATCCTGTACCCATGCTCGCATGTGTGGTACCTCCTGAGTCCAAGCTAGCCGAGATACCTAAGGATGATGCTCGTCGCTCAGCTGGCGGACCGGCCAATGTATGGGCCACGAAGACCCCTTTGATCTGTCCACCTACACCGGCAGCCGAACCCAGGTTCGAATTGTGGGAGCCGTCTTCCTCGTAAGTTCCTTCCACAAGAATGATCATGCCAGGACAGAACCATACACCATCTTCGGGCACAGGCCGGGCTATTGACAGGTCAAGGGTCACACTCCCGGATAAGTCGGTCAGAGAGAGATCGCCAGCTGGAGAGTGTACCAGCATACCCAACAAGAGATGAGAGCTTCCTGATCGACCGAGGAGGTTTGCGATGGGAGTAATCTTGTAGGCTTGTTGCATTGTCGTCATGCCACTAGCTGAATGCATCAGTCTGGGTGGTCGTGCGGCTGTCGCAAATGATGGAGTTTGGAATGATTCATTCCGCATCAATCGCTGGTGGACGAGGTGGTAACGGTTTCTGAACATTGAGATCCTGTGGTGAACGGAAGGAAGGAGACTGGCTGTGCTGTTCACGGGCTCCATACTTTTCGATGAAGTCGAGTACATCAGTCGCGGCTGGTCAAATGCTGAGATAACCTTCAAGCATGACCGGACATCAAGTTGAGATTGCTCTTCTTCCTCCGCTCGATCTCGAGACTCTTCATCTTCCACGTTCAGGGCCGAGAGTCCTAGGCTTGACTGGCTGATATCTGTGTTGGCATCTGGTCGGCCCGTGGCGAATGAAGCCGCTCGGGACAGATGAGGACTCGGTACTGAACTGTTGCTGCGGGAGAGTTTGCCTGTATCCAGACGCCCGCCTGACATGCATGGTTCTAGAGTCTTCAGGATATTAGACAGCTTTTTCTCGGGCCCATCCTCGACAAGGAGGCCACCTCCGCATTTTTTCCATGCTTTTGCTATCTCGTCCAACACGCGTTCTGCGAGGCCTTCCTCTCGCCAGCCACTGCCACAAAATTTGCCGATGAATGTCGAGAGCAGCCCGAGACCCGAAGATGTCAGGGTCAGGTTGTGTTTCTTCGTGAGGGTCCTGAAAGCGACAGGTCTGAGGGTTTGAGGGGGGAGGAGGATCGGCAAGACGGTCGGAGCGCTATGTGTCGTTGTACTGGTGTTCAATTGAGCCGCAAAGGGCTTCGCAACTTCTTTGGGTCGGCTCTTGATCGGGTATGCTGGCGTAGCGAAGCCCGGCGATGAGGAGAGTATTTGTTCTTCGGCCTGTAGGTTCGACCCAGCCTTGTATGTCCGCGCAGGCAGTCCAGGTGTTGACATAGGCTCTTCCATGGTTGCATTGAATGAACAGGGTGTGCAGTGCGCAGTGATGAGAATGAAAGTAGGAGAAAGTTGAGCCTCGACGCGTAAACAAATCACTTTACGCGTGCCGCGTTTGGAGACGGCGAGGTGACGTGACTTTCCCTCCCACATTGTCGCTTTTCCCTCAACTCTCCAACGCATTCCCTTCACTCCTCGTTACCTTTCATCCTCACATCATCGCATTTTTTTGTACTCACCTAACTCACATTCACTGCGCGTGATGGCGACCACTGCTGAGGAACCTCCCAAGCCCGACTCAGAGCGCACCAAGCAAGAGCAGTTGACGGAGCTTATCGCAAAGGCGACGGCCGAATATGCCGTCAAACACTACTCGGAGGCAGCCGAGCTGTACTCTCAGGCGACGGAACTCCAAGCGGAGCTCAATGGCGAGATGGCACTCGAGAACGCCGATCTGTTATACTCCTACGGAAAATGCCTGTACTTTCTAGCGCAGCAAACAAGCTCTGTCTTGGGCGGCACGGCGGCATCAGCACAATTATCCTCGAACAAATCTCAAAAGTCTGGGAAGAAGAGAAAGACGAATGGCGCGGCGAAGGCAGGAGGATCTACAAACGGAAACAGCGCCGGCGAAAGCTCCAAGTTGATTGCTGCGATACCCGAGGAGACGGTGCCCAATGTGGGTGACGTTGTCCCCAAAGAAGACGTACAACCTCAAGAGACCACTGCAGACAAGCCCTATTTCCAAATCTCTGGCGATGCCGAAGGTTGGGATGATTCGGATGAGGATGCGGATGAGACAGATCAGGACGATGAAGCCGCTGAAGAAGAGGACGATGACTTTGCCACATCCTACGAGCTTCTGGATTTGGCGCGCATTCTGTATCTCAAAAAGTTGGAACAGAGCCAGGAACATGCATTGGAGGACTCTGACAAAGGGAAATACGTGGCGTCCATAGATCTCACACCAGAGGTCAAGGCACTCAAGACCCGTGTCGCGGACATCTATGATCTGCAATCAGAAGTATCTCTGGAAGGGGAGAAGTACTCGAATGCCGTCACAGATCTCAAGGCATGCCTCGCCCTGAGGGAGGAGCTTGAACCTCCGGAGTCGAGCATCCTGGCCGAATGTCACTACAAGCTCAGTTTGGCACTTGAGTTCAGTTCTCAGACACAGCAGCATGACGAACAGGGAAACCCGACCGGCGAAGTGCAGGTCGATTGGGATATCCGGAACGAAGCCATCGCACAGCAGGAGAAAGCGATTGACTGCTGCAAATTGCGCGTCTCTAAAGAAACGGCTGCACTGGACAAGCTCGATGCAGGTCCCCAAAAAGACAAGGTTATGGCTCAGATCGAGGACGTTCAGGACATGATTGCGGAAATGGAAGTGCGCCTGGCAGAGCTTCGCAAACCACCCGTCAGCGTCAAAGAGGAGTCGGAAAGTCAGATGAGAGCACAGATTTCGGGAGTATTGGGCAGTTTGTTGGGCAGCGGCGCATCCGAAGAAGAGAAGAAGGAGAAATTGGCTCAAGTGAGCCAGACAGCGACTGATGTGTCGGGGCTCGTCAAGCGCAAGAAGCCAAAGAACACTCAAGCCAACGGAGGGGACAGTGGCTTCGGATCTTCTGCTTCGACTCCAGCAGCGTTGCCGCCGACGGCAGAAGGATCCAACCTGGGCAAGCGCAAGGTGGAATTTGTGGACGAAGTGGAGGGGACTGACAACGGGAAGAAGGCGAAGGTCGAGGATGCTGAGGACTCGGGACATTGATGGACCTGCAAGAGGATTTTTCAACGCGGAAGAGATACCGCTGCCACTGTTCGCAGCAGCAGAAGAAGGCCGGCCTCTACAATCTTGATGACCTGACTCTAATTTGCCCATCACTTCTTATGCACAATAGCCATAGCCTCGACCTCATACAACCAATTCGGCGCCGCCAGCGCAGCGACACCTACCAGGGTGCTCGGCGGACGGTGGCCGGCCATGAACTTGGAATAGGCCTCGGAACGCGACGTGTCGGTGGGATCCAGGTTGACGACGAACTGGGTCATCTTGACGATGTCGGCGGGCGTGGCGCCCACGGCGGCCAGACACCGGCCCAGATTCGCCAGGGCTATCTCGACCTGGCCGATGAAGGACTCGGGCGCGGTCTTGGTGGCCAGGTCGACCCCAATCTGGCCGGCTATCGTGACCAGGGTGCTCGTGTCTGAGAGGGGCGTGAGTTGGACGTGGGAGTAGGTAGGGCGTGGAGGGGGGACGTCGGGCGGGTTGATGAGTTGGATCGACATCTTGAGTGGACGCGAGGGTAGGAAGTGTACTGGCAATGACAATGGCAATGCAGCTTGCGATGGGATGTTTTCATGTACTGAGGCAACAGAGAAGAGAACTGCTGGTGGTGATGGAACTGTACCTCGTATATACAGTTAGTTGTACCCCTCGGTCTATCAATCCAGCAGGGAGTGGGTTATGTAAGCTCCGTATCATTCTTACCCCACCGGATCACGGAAATGTCCGTATCGTATTTTACGGCGAACATGCCACGTCGGAATAACTCATTATCCGAGTGATACTTAATAGTTGAGGGGATCCCCTGGCCATGAAACCCCCCAAGCGGTTATACAGAGGCCAGATCCACCGAGTCCACCGTATCTGGACGCTTGGAGCTGTCCTCTTGAAGTATTATGCTCCCACGTGCTTCAATGCCTATTGACGGGGTAGAATGCCAGGTCTGCCACGGCGTCAAGATGGTAAGCATAAGCAGGCAGAGATCAGGCGTTCGGCCTGGGGTATGGGGGATGAGATGCGTGAAAGGCGGGTACAAACAGTATTACGTGGACTTACAGTAATTGTATCCTGCGTGGCTGTGTGGCTGTGTGGCTGCCGGTGCAGATGCGGGTGCGGATGGGGGATGACCCCCGTAATTCAACTGTAATGACTGCATAAACGCGGGGTTTTTCTTCGCGCCCGTTTTTCGCCCTGCTCCTCCTCGCGTTCTAGACGCCGACCAACTTGCTTTCTCACTCCCTTTCTCACTGGCACCTCGGGATCCGGTATCTTGCAGCATCATTTGACCCTTCCGTGTTATCTCCTGGCTCTACACTCCGATATTGGTTCCCCACTGCTCGATTTTTTGCTCCTTGCATGTCGCGACAACTCCCTCGGTGGACCTCTTGAGCCCCGTGCCAATGTCCACTTACACTGCTGTCCAGACCTCTCCTACCGTCGCCTCCGAAGATAGAAATTCCTCTATCTCAGGGAGTGATGTCGAGAACGAGGATGGCAACGCCGACAATACGCCGGAGAATGGCACCACCACGAGCAAAAAGAGGAAGAGGCTCGTGAAAATCTCGTAAGAACACACCTCGCCATCTTCGAGTTCGCGTGGACACTAATTTGTCGCTCCTCAAGCTGTGAGCTCTGCAAGGTTCGTGGGATTAGCCTCGAGACTGTTCGAGCGCAGTGTTATTGACTCAGTGAGAGCAGGCCCGGAAGGTCAAGTGCGACAGAGCAGAGCCTGCTTGTGGCTGGTGTGCGCGCAACAATCGAACATGCGTCTACAAAGAGCGACAGAAGCCCGGTCTTCGCGTGGGCTACGGACGCGAGCTCGAGGAGAAGATCAATCGCCTCGAAGCTCTGCTCCAGGTCATGGGTCGCCGACTCGAGGAACACATCGCCGAACATGGGGACTTCTCAACCCATCGACCGGGCTCCGTTCGCATGTCTCACCAGCCCCAATCTGCGTCGTTCAACGCGTACGCTCAGAACGATCCTCGCCCTTCGACCGCCAGTATTGTTTCCCAAGACACTCCTGGTTCTGATCCCCGATGGCCCGTCGCCAATGCCTATGAACGAATGCAGTACCCCCGAGCCCAGGATGCCATGTCCATCCGATCCGTTGTGGACAATGGCGGCCACGAGCTAGTGGCCCCAAGCGAGAGAGCGAACTCGGCAGCTTGGTATCCAACCTCGACGCCGGCGCCATCGATGCCAGACTCGGAGCTACCTCCATACGACTTGCTATATACCTTGGTCGATCTCTATTTCAAGCACGTCAACCCCTGGTCCCCAATCCTGGACCGTAAGGCCACGTTCGATGCCTTCTTCGGCTCACAGTCAATGAACGATGCTGACAAGGTGCTCGTGCACGCGATTGTCGCCACTACCATGCGTTTCTCCAAAGACTCACGCCTGACTCCGGAGTCAAGGAGACAGTTCCACGAGATCTCCAGACAGAAGATTATGATGTATGCTCTTGACCACCCGAACGTACGCGCCCTCCAGGCGCTGGTGATCCTTGCGGTCGACGTGCTCGGGACCTCAAACGGCCAACAGGGGTGGAATTTACTAGCTCTCATCACGCGCAACATCGTCCAGCTGGGGCTGGATGTCGAGAAGGGCGCATACCTCGAGTCCAGCACTTATCCGTCGGCGACGCTCCTTCAGGCCGCACAACCCCAATCCTGGATTGAAAATGAAGAGCGCCGCCGTCTGTGCTGGATGACATTCATTCTTGACAGATACGCAACCGTCGCTACCGCAGACACCTTCACCCTGGACGAAAGGGAGATGGACCGGTGTCTCCCGTGTCGGTACGACCTCTTCTCACGAAACGAACCTGTTGAGACACGGTGGCGTCGACGAGGCGCACCCGCGGAATTGATCGTCAACAAACCAGAAAACCTGGGGAGTTTCTCCTACCACTGTGAAGTCCTCGGGATCCTCAGTCGTATCCATCGATTCCTCCACCAACCTCTCGATATCACCCGCCATTCCGACATACAGCGCTGGCGTGAAACCTACCGTGAGCTGGATGGCGAGTTGAACGATTGGCTGCAGAACTTGCCGGGTGAGTATGGGAAAATCTCTCAGCTCTGCCACTCGGACCCTGGGAGCAGGATCTCCAACTGGATCATGCTTCATGCGGCGTTTGTCACGTCTGTTATCCGTCTGCATTCTTCCGCCGCTTACCCCACGATCAAATCTCCTGTCTTCACACCTTCGTACCATGCCATCCAACGTTGTTTGGGCGCCGTGGAGAGCTTGAGGGAGATTGCCCAAGACGTCATGAATACTGGCATGCTTGCACTTCTTGGCCACCCGTTTGCTTTTGCGCTGTGGGTTTCCGCGAGGCTGCTGCTCGTCCATGCAGCGACCATGGAGTGCGAGGTGGACCCGAAAATCATGTTCTTTATCTCCACTCTGGAGCAGATGGGACGGCACTGGCAGGTTGCTGGGGACTACGCTAGAATCTTGAATGATGTAGTGCAAGAGGGAAGCAATGGCTCCGGTCGGACATTCACCGCCATGAGAAGGTAAGTATCTTGGGACTCCTAAGCGCTCTTCAGCCCAAACGAAACTGACACTCAATTCCCAGATGTGCCTACGAATTAAACCTCCTGACCTCGCAACGTCCTCGTTCCGTCCTTGATACCGTTACCACGCACAACTCGTCGCAAAGCGAACTCGAATTCCTGGAGGTCTTTGACTTTTTCAACTACCCTCGATTGAACGCCATCGCGGGTAACAACGCCTTTGATCCATCTGTGTCGGTCACGAATCAGAACCAAACGACGCCGACGCAGGGCCAAACGTCGAACTCTCGAGCCACACCAGCTTTCGTCATCCCGAATCCGGAGAGCGATTGGTTGATATTCAAGCCGCCATACGAGTAGATGCGCCTTCAGCAGGGTGGCCGCTTGACTTGCCCAACCGTCCTAAGGTGACTCGGCAGTTGCAATGCCTCCGATATAGCCGAGTTGACATGTACATGTATCTGCTGCGCGACAGACGATGAGGCAGCCTTCTGCTCATCTTCGAAATCTCCACTTGGGTCTGTTCTGCTGCTCTCCACCCCTCTGATCGATACGCTTTCGCTTCGTTGCTGATCGGCCCCGACCGTCTGCATCCTGGATGGCGAGCGTCGACGAAGTCCCCACCACAGATCGTGTCTTTAAGAGAGTTCTTGAAGAGATGGCTGGGAGTGTTCGGTAGGACATGAAAGCCTTACTTCAGCAAGCCGACCGTCCCCCACCACCATATGTTAGGCAGATCATGTGGTGGCTGCAAACCAGGTCCCATCATGAAGAACCTCGTGTTCTCTTCGAGCTGTCCAGCGGCGACAGCGTGAAACTCAGCTGATAACGTCAAAATGTAAAGATAACCGGAGTCAGAACCTCGGACAGACCATGACAGCTGCCGAGCCGGCTGAAATCAATCTTACGGCTGCTCCTTCACGTCGTCTGGCGACTAGAAATGAGCTGTGGGGTCATGATCCAGCTCGACAGCTGAGCGAACAGCGAGACGGGCTCGAATCCCACGAAGAAACGGAACTCGAGGCCTCCGCGGACCTCGTGATGAGCACGGCGGGTTTCTGAATTTTCTCTGCCGATGTCCTGCCCCGGCAAGACCGCAAAGGGTCTCACGACACACAGGTTTACATAGTCCTATACTGAGAGAGCCCAAAGGACAAGTAAGAAGCACGGAACTGTGATAGCGGCGGCGACGGCGACGGCGACGACGAAAATACACGACCGCTTTTTCGTGACGCCAAATCAAGAAGCCGGCACGATCGGCGACATCTGTGGTATGGTCGTCCATGCCAGCGCCGAGTTTCACAGTGTAGGAAATGAGAAAATCCACATCAATGCCGCGAGGACAGCAAGAAGCCGGTATGACCAGCGACATCTGTCGTATGCGCGAATGAGGAAACGGAATGCAGATAGACATACCGAAGAGGTAAAGCAAGCGACTGTAAACACTTGGCCAGGAATGAAGAAACTCGACCAACTACATAAGACAACAGAGTTAGTGCAAACGAAGCTTCTTCTTCTCCTTCTTCTCCTTCTTCTCCTTCTTCTCCTTCTTCTCCTTCTTCTCCTTCTTCTCCTTCTTCTCCTTCTTCTCCTTCTTCTGCTCCTCCGTCTAGAAATCTCATAACCGTGGCCGAAATCTAACAACCATCTATGCATGAATGTCCTCGGCCCATTCCGACCCTCCTTCCAGCTAGCCAGCTATAGCTATTAGAACTACGCCAACGCCCCATGCGGTGCCCTGCAGATGGCGAAGCCGCCGAACTGGAGCACACTGGCGCCTACAAACAGATCGTTGAACACGTGTGCGGCCGTCATGAAACTCAGATTTGACCCGTCGTCGAAGTAGATCAGCTCGGGGGTATAGTTGGTCGCGCGCCGGAGACGCAGCGCCGCCGCCGGCACCAGGAAGTCTTTGCCCAGAGCGCGGACGTTTTCGAGGTACGCCGGCAGGTCTTCCAGAGTGGGGAAGACTGGGAACGAGTGAGTTCGTGGCCACTGGGCAGAGTTCTGCGAGAAGGGACGTATGGGTAGATGAATAGGCTGGCCTTACCTGCGACGATGAGGTCACCTGTGCTGGGGACGATGTTGATGTTGTCCGCGGCAGCTCCGAGGTCCTTGCCATTGTGAGTACGTGGATTGACAAGGCAACTGACCCTTTTCTGTGTTCCTCGATCTGGACAGGGCAGCAGATAATGGGACAGAGGCTCACTCACCACCGTCTGTAGATACGTCAAGCTCTTGTCCCCCTGAATCTCGAACACCGTGACGGTTCCATTCTTCGAGTCGCCGACATACAGACGATCTTCCCACACGTTGATACCGTTGGCGCCGGGGAAGGTGCCCGACACCTGTCTGCAGCGGATGGTGGTGGAGTCCTGCTTTGGGGGAAGGGGAGGCAATGCATAAGTGAGCAGATTGATTGCACATAAAAGTTCAAGCCGGGCAACAGTAGCGACGGGGAGACGGAGAGCCTACATACGTCTGCTTCTGCTTCTGCTTCTGCTGCTGCGTTGCAGTATTGGACATTGGTCGCCCAGCTGAATGGACCGAGCATCTCCTCCACAGTCCGCAGCGGACCCCCGGCGAAGTAGTGGTCGTTGGTGACGAAGAAAGCCCTACAAAAGGAAGACAGGGAGGAAAGTCAGCTTTCCCTTGCGATCGAGGGAGGATGAATGACGGGTCAGCACAAGGGCAGGCATTACAAAGGTCCCGTCGCGGCGACTCCATTGGCCGTCTTGATGTTCGGATGCTTGATGTTCTTCACCAGCTCGACTACGTCCGACCCGAGCGTGTGCGCGAAGACGGCAATCGAGTCACCACTGCGAGCATGGTTGACTGCGAAGATATGGATCTAGCCCACGACGAGAGTCAGCCACGGTCCGTCCTCTGCTTAACACGCAGTGTCCAAGGAGAAAGTCTGATCTGATCTAACCCGAGAAGGATCTTCCGGGAGCGGAAAGATGTCGATGCCATGGGTGATGAAATCGCCTTCGAGGCCTTCGATCCGCAACTCGGTGGTCACGCCGGTGTCCAGATCATGCTTGAACAGCTGCTCGCGGAAGGAGGACTCGGCGCGACGCGACACCGTGCGCACGCCGGCGCAGGGGTACCAATGGGTCCTCTCGACGGGGTCACCGCAGGACAAGAAGGCCGTGTGCGAGGGGAAATGGATCTTGACGTCCTCGCACGCGTTGGCCGCCCGGACGACCTGGCAGTCGTGGTTGTTGAGCGCCGAGCTGTTCGCCCAGCGCACAAGGCGGGTCTTGTCGATCTCCACGCGCCCGACGAGCGTGGCGAGCTGTGGGGTTTGGTTGTACAGGAGCAGCGAGAGCAGGGGGACAAGGAGCAGAGACACGCGGAGGATGCTGGACATGATGGGGTCAATTCCAGCTTTGGGTCAGTCAGTCCGTCTCTCAGTCACCGACTCAGATGCATGGAAAACAAGAGCCTGGAAGGATGTTGATGCCAGCTATGTGAAGCGATGTTGCGGAGAAGAACGACTCGCCTCGACGAAACGGCGAGACGATTCCTTACCGAGGTCGATAGCCTATGACAAGCTGCGGGAGCTGCTGATCGACCAGACCAACCTTCGTATCATTTCTGACTCCTTGCATATTGTGAAGCTGGATAAAAAAGAGAAGGTGTTGGAACTTGGAAGCATATGTAGTCTCTGCAGGTCAGCAATGCCGAGGAATTGTTTCTCGAAGAACCAATGTTCCCTCAACCAATACATTCACTGCGATGGCTGGTCTTTGCTCATACACTTCGTATTCCAGCTTGAACAGGAAAGGATATCGGCTTGAGGTTGAGGGAGCAATGTACCACTTTCTGCAATCCGCTCTGACATTTCCCAGTCGTCTAGCTCAAACTCATCACGATGCTACGTCGCTTGCAGCACGGATAGGCACAGCTCCGGCCGACTCGTGTCTGGATGAAATCCTTCTCGAAGCTTGCTTGATACTTTCAGTCCCCCCGAGCCATCATGTCAGCACATATGATGTTGCAGGGGACCACAGCATGGTACAGACATAAGCCAAGAGGACATGGGAGATTGAATATGACTGTTTGAGGGCCAACAACATCCATGTGAAGTGGTGGTGCTGCGTGACGAAGAGACCAAATAGGCAACGTGGGGCTCTCCACATTGTGGGATCAGTATACAGTATGTGAGTATGTATATGGATTGGGGTAAAGACAAAGGATACGGCAATGTCACGACAACTCCTGACGAGGCTGGCACCAAGAAAGTGTGTTGGGCTCTTGACCAAGATAGCCGACATCAGATACCCTACTCACCCCCCAACTCAGTCGCCATGTCGACAGTCACAGTGGAACATCCTTCCATCGGGTCGGTCAAGGGCCGTGAGGGCGACGGGGTGTATCAATTCCTCGGGGTCCAGTATGCCACCCTCGCCGACAGGCTTGCGGAAGCTCAAGTCAAATCAACATACGAAAGTCCAGTCGATGCCACAAGTCACGGGTAATGGGGCCGCTCTCGCCACTGAAGTCGTGGAGATACTGACAACGATCCTATTACAAGGCCCTCCTCGTTCTCTCCCCCGAACGGATACGACAATGAGATGCTGTTTATCCAGAAATCGATGCCGAAGCCACCCATTGTGCATTCGGACTTGGGGTGCTTGAATCTCAACATCACGGTGCCGAAAGGCCAGAGTGGCGTCGTCGATCTCACACGGCAGAAGCTGCCCGTGTTTATCTGGATGCACGGTGGAGGCTTCGTGGTCGGGGCAAACTCCTGGCCGCACTACGACCACGCCAAACTCGTCAAGCTGGCCCGTGACAATGGAGTTCCTGTGATCGGTGTGGGCATCAAGTACGTCTCTATATACTTCCCTTGCCCCAACAACCAGACTCCCAGAGCCACACCGAAACCTGTGTGCGGACACTGCTGAACAGAAAAACTAGCTTCCGCCTCGGTTTTCCAGGCATGTTGACTTCAGAGGAGTTGCGCCAGCGGGGGTACAAGCCCAACAACGGACTTCGTGACCAGCAAGCTGCTTTCCGTTGGGTCAAGCAGCACATTGCCGGGTTTGGCGGCGATCCGAACAAGATCACCGTGATAGGCGAGAGTGCCGGAGCAGGTATGGACGACGGGGGCAACAAGGCCTTGTGTAACTTCAGAGACGGTGGAATTTGCCCAGCTGACACAGAGAATCTCACAGTCGCGACCACGTTGCATCTCTATTCCAAGGAGGCGCTCTTCAACCGCGCGATAGCCACGGGGGGCTCTTGTCTTCTCGTGCCCGTGTTCCCTCCAGAGGTCCAAGAACACACGTACCAGCAGCTTCTCTCCATTCTGGGGCTGGACAAGCTCGATGCGGAAGAACGGATCCAAAAACTCTTGACGCTGCCGATGGACGAGGTGATCGCGAAACTGCCGCCGTCTGTCACATTCTTACCTACAGTGGACGGGGACATTATTCCCGTACAGCCGACATTTGCAGAGGTCGCCGATAGAACAGATCAGAGCATGCCCGGCAAGCAGTGGTTGGAAGCTTTGATGATCGGACACAGCGAATTTGATGTAAGTCTGAACAAGCTCTCTTTGATCGGGCTTGAACGATCCCATGTTGTTCCTCTCACCCGGTACTCACCTTCTGTCTAGGCCTCCGTGCTTGGGTTCATGCTGGGCCACCTGAAATCCGGGATCCGGGAAAAGTTCCCGGCGTCCCTCCGATCCTCTCTCTCAGCCACGCCCGAGATTGCAGAGTCCCTGCTGGCCGCCTACGGCTTCAACGACTCGACGCTGGACGACGACGAAGCCGCGTTCGTGAAATTCCTCGAGCTGGTCAACGACATCAGCTTCTTCGGCGCGACCACGAGCTTCGCCCGCGGCTGGCCCCTCTCGCCCGCCGCCGAACCCAAGATCTTCCCCTTCTTCTTCAACGAGCCCAACCCCTGGCCGGGCGCCTACCCCGGCCGGGCGACCCACGTGCTCGACGTCGTGTTCCTGTTCCAGAACCACAACCAGAACCTGCCGCCCGCGCAACGGGCCGCCGCCGAGGCGTTCGGGTTGGACGTGGTCCGGTTTGTGGCCGGGCAGGCGCCGTGGGCCGGGTACACGCCCGAGAAGAGGGCCGCGAAGGTGTTCGGCCCGTCCACGGGCAACGAAGCTCGGGCGACGGCGAGGGTGATTGAGGACGCGGAAGCCCCGGAGACGGGGCGAGGCAAGGCGATCTTGGACATTGGGGACAAGGTGGGGTTTGACAAGTTGAACGAGGCGGTAGGCAGGTTCAGGATGGGTCTCTGAGAGGGGAAGGGGGATTATAGCAGCACGGACGGCATGGCGTGGGGATAAACCTGCTTGATGTATACGGCGCTCCCTGAAATCGCGCCTCACCCACCCACCCACCGAACCCCCCTTTTTGGGCGCCGCCCGAGTCTCAGCCTCGCCGGGTCCTTGGGGTAGTTGGGGACACACACACACACAAGTCACCGATACATAGTACACGTCGAACATACAATAGGGAGTTAAACGCCCACGTGGATCTCTCCCACCCGTTTCTAGCCTTGTGGACCGCAGTTTATGTATTGTGCCTCGCTCGCTAAGCCCGCTCCACCCGAAGGAGGGAGAAGACCGCTTCTTTTACGGTGGCACCGTGGCAGTTGACCACGTGGGAGATCATGCCCGGCCGGCCTCCCGCGCGGCCATGGATGTGGGATCAAAGTTGAGAGAGACCCTTTTCGCCTTGGGGTTGTGCGGCGGTGGATGTCCTCTAGAATCCATTGTTTTGAAATAGCACAGTACAGTACACACAGCATCTAGGGAGGGAATCGGGAGGGAGCGGGAGGGAAATCAATGTACATGTGCCATTGTCCGGGTATTATTTGTGAGAACGGTCAAAATGCTCGCTCGCTATGTGCTATTACGGTTCTCAGAATCCCGAAACATAGACCCGCCCATCTTACCGTATAGCGTGATGACGGAGGGCGCGGGAAAGTGGAGATAGATGGCATTTTCCTATCCCCTTCTGTCAATCTCGAAGGGGGGACTATCGTGAGCAAACCATGTCAGTTGTCACCGGACATGGTGCCTCATGACTAGCGTCGCAACTCTCCCTAACAATGTGATGCGACGCAACAAACGCAATGCATGCAGACAGAGAGGCTACTCCTCGTGGGTCCGGATATGCATCTTCTCGAGCAGGTTATGCCTCGCCCAGTAGCTGCGGTACTTCTTGCCCAGGAAGAACATGAAGGGTAGGGTGGCGATGAGGGCGAAGGCAACGCCGCCCCAGACGTAGAAGGCGTGCTGGGGCCCGACCTGGGCGGTCCAGTTGTTGACAAAGTAGCTGAAGCCATACAGGATGAGGTTCTTGACGGCCATGCTGGCGATGAAGATCTCGTTGGCCATGCCACGGTACGCGTCCAGCGCGTAGTTGGACGTGCCGATGCACAGGAACATCACCCCGAACAGCATCAGGCCGTGCACGGTAGCGCACGCGTAGGGGGACTTGCCCTCGGACACCAGGTGCCCGAACAGCATGAGGCCCGCGCCCGAGCACACGCCCAGCACGCACGGGATCAGGCGGTACTCGGGCTCGTAGACGCCCCGGTTGCGGCGCGCACACCACTTGATGAAGGGGTCCGAGAGCGTGCCCATTATGACGGACCCGAGGATGCCGCCCACGAACGGGCCCAGCGAGAGGTAGCCGATGCTGGCCGGGCTCAGGAGGTAGGGCGGCGGCGCGAAGAGCTGGGCCAGGCAGAACGCGATGACCACGTACAGGACCACGTACATGGAGTTGATGATCAGGATCCACAGGACGGCGAGGTTGAGGACCACGGCGAAGGGCGCGAGGAGGAGCTGGAAGAAGTTCTCATTCGAGTAGGTGCCGCTGAAGATGGCCAGTTCCTGTATCCACGTCTTCTTGTGGTAGACACGCGCCTCGTCCGAGGCCGGAGTCGTCGTCGCGCCCGTCTCCTCCGCGTGGGTGGCCACGCCGGGTTTCTCCATGTTCAGTTTCTCCTGGTACTCGAGCGCGGCCAGGTCCTGGAGGTTGTCGTTCTTGACCTCGTCGATCTCGTAGCGCCGATCGCGGACGTAGCTGGTCTCGGGGACGAACAGGAACTGGAGGATGGTCTGGATCCCGCCGAACAGGACCAGGAGGTAATAGCTGCAAGAAATCAGACCCGCATTGCCAGACTCGAGGCTCAAGTTGGATGGTTTGAAAGAAATGGGCAAATATAAAAGAAAATAAAAACTTACAGCCATCGCCATCCGATATTCGACGCAATCGGGCCCGCAACCACACCGGTCAAATTCGAGATGCCGGCCAGGATGAAATTGATGCAGGACGCGTAGATGCCACGCTCGTGGACGAAAAACATATCGCTGATCAGGGTGAAGACCAGAGATTCGTAGGGCGCGATGGCGAACCCCTGCAGGATCCGCGAGGTGAGCACGCCCTGGTAGGTGTCGACGCACGAGCCCACGATGTCGGCGATGAGGCAGAAGACGGACGCGAACAGGAAGATGGGCCGGGTGCCCCATTTCCGCGACAGGGCCGAGAATAGGGGTCCCGTCACGCCGATGACCAGCGTCTGGTAGCCCGAGCTCAGCACGAGCTTGGGGATGGTGGTGTTGATCTCGATGGACATCTCGTAGAAGGCCGAGTTGAGCATGGCGCTCACCACGGCGGCGTAGAGGATCGACCCCCAGCAGGTGATGCCCAGGGCCGTGAGTTTCTTGGTGTACGGCCAGTTAAGTGGGTCGTTGGGATCGTTGGAAGGCTGTGGCACCAGCACGATGTGCGCATTGCGCCCCGTGCCATGTTTGAGGCCGCCAGTCACGTCCTGCGAATGCGCGGCGTCTTCTTCGAGTATGACGGTGCCGGGGACGTGCGGCAGCTTCGTGTCGTCGAGAATTCCGAGGAACGGCATCTTGAGTGGCTGGATATGCTGATCCGGTCGGCCCTGGGGAAGACAGAAGGGAAAAAAAAGGTGAGATGGAGCTTGAGAGCGGAGGGAAGGCGCGGAGTTCGGCCGTCTCTTATAAGTTGGGATTCTCTCTGAGTATATCCTAATAGCAGAGGCTCCCTTGACCCAAACAGAGCTCCCTCCCACCCCCAGGTCGCCGGTGGACGGAAGCCTTGGGAGCAGTTTACAAAGAGATTCCCCGACATCAGATACGCCCCGGTGGCTGATCTGTGGTCTGTGATTGGCCAGGAGGTCCCACAGCCCCATGCGCCCCACGTTCTCCAACCTCCCGCCGCTTTTCCGTTTACGGACAAACCTGGAGAGGTATCTGGGGTCACTATTAATATGCGGAGCTACCGAGCACTTGCTGAAATAATAATACGCAGAAAATGTGTCCATGGACAGGGAGGGAAGCTACGTGGGGTTCCCCAACTCCCATAGGCGGCTAGACAATCCTGGTCCGTGTTGGACTACGTGACCTTTGCCATGTGTCTCTCACTCTTGCCGAACGGATCTCTTCATGGCTGGATCCCCGCCCCTGGACGAGATGCTCAGCAGGACGTTGATTAGGACCATTCTCCAAATTGCTGCAGGTACGGTTGTTAGCTTGTCTCAATAACATCGAGCCAGGCACGAGGAAGCACGCCGAGAGCCCACGAGTTGATGAAGATATGCATCATACATTTGTGTGGGAGGTAGGGAAAAGTGACATGCCCCCAGATCATTTGTTACTGATAGCCTTTTCCAAGTCACAACAAAGTTCCAGGACCCGAAAACTCCATGGCGCCTCGCTTTTATCCTCCTGGTATCATTTTCATTCTGTTCCCACTTTTGTTGTTTTCCCAAGCCACTGACTCCCATATCATCCCAAAGCAGCCCCAAAAACACTCATGGCAAAGGCCCGTGAGCCTCCGACACTGGCTGAAGTGTCGGTTTCAGAGGGACGGGACCTTCTGAGTTGCCCTTCGGAGGTGCCAGAATCCGCGAAGACACTTCTCCCTTCAAAACTTGCTCGCGAGTGATCTGCAGCAAATCGCTCGGCAGACCCATGCTGGCCAGGAATGTCACAGTGTCTTTCCACTCTGTCTGCTTTCTCTTCTCACTCCACTTCAGTTCTTCAGCCATGATATCAATCACCTTGGGCAAAGCATGCAGCGCAGCCTGCGCATTCAGGAAGCTCAGCCTGGTGCGTCTCGCGAGGACATCGACCGCGGTTTGCGCATATTCACTGCGGACGGCATAGCGGACTTCACCGTCGATGAATGGATACAATGATGACAGTCGCTGACCACGGAGGGGATAGTGTTCCGTGTTGTCCGTGGGAGAGGCCAGCGCCGCGACATCCCAAGCCCGGTCGCCATAGTCGCTGGCCAAGTGCTTTGCAACGTCTGGGTCGAGGCCGAAGTGCTGGATAAGGTTGATGAAGAGGGTAGTTGAGTACCCGTGAGCTCCAATCAGGCGGATATGATGCGTCTGACAGGTTCCATTGAGGAGACTCACGGAGGGATCGATCCCATTGACACCGCTGATGTCTGGGACGTAGCTGATGGGTTTCGGTTGCAGTTTGAATGCTTCGATCGCCTTATCGACGGCGTCTTCAGCCATCTGTCGGTATGTCGTCCATTTGCCGCCGGCGCAAGTCAGCAACCCGGAGTCTGAGACAGTGACAAGATGACTCCGGACCAGGGCTTCCGTCTTTTTGGAGTTAGGATCACGGACGAGAGGACGTATTCCTAAGGAGTAAACTGTCAGCTAGGTCTACTGCGGTGGATAAGTCAATGGAAACTCACCTGACCAGGCAGCAAGGATATCCGACCTCCGCACATCGATGTCGGGTGTGAGATACGTCCGGATCTCATTCAATATCCACTCAATATCTTTCTCTCCGGCCACTGGGTTCTGGGAGATGGCACAGGGCGCGTCCGTTGTCCCAGCGATGGTATTACCTTGCCATGGGAGGAAGAAGATGACACGCCCGTCAGATGTGGAGGGGTCGATGAGGCCCATGTTTTCAGGACTGAGGTAGCCGGGGAGAACAACGTGTACTCCCAAGCTCGGGGCGACAATATCCTTGTCGCCGGGGGAGTCCATTTGCCGAATAGCGTCGGAAAACGGGCCTGTCGCGTTGATGATGCCTTTCGCTTTGACAACGAACTCTCCGCTGTTGCCTTTTCCATCCTTGTCCGCGATCAGATCTCGTACTCGGGCACCTGTGAGTTTGCCGTTTGCATCCTTCTCCAGGCCTGTCACTTCCAGATGGTTGACCGATGTGGCCCCGTATAATGTTGCGGTCATGGCCAGGGAAATGTTCATCCTTGAATCGTTATGCTGGCCGTCATAGTACACAAGAGCACCGACAAGATTCTCCTTCTTCAACATGGGGAATGCTTCTAGGGCCTTACTTCGCGGCAGAAAGTAAGAGCTTTCGATTCCCTCTGATCCGGCCAGGAAATCATAGAATTTGGTTCCCGCCCAGAAGTACGGTGCCTGCCACCACGCCTGTAGGGGCAGCATAATCGGAAGCCAGGACGACAGATGGGGTGCAGTGTACAGGAAACTTTTCCGTTCTCTTAGAGCCTCTCTGACGAGCTGGTATTGATTGTAGTCAAGATTCCACACTGCTTTCTCAAGATATCGAACCCCGCCATGGACGAGCTTGGTAGATTTGCTGCTTGTGCCGCTGCTGAAATCATCTCTTTCCACAATTGCCACCTTCAAGCCTCTCGTGGCTGCGTCCAGGGCAATGCCGGTACCTGTAGCTCCGCCGCCAATGACGAGAAGGTCGTAGATTTCCGAGGACGGCGCCGAGGACGATTTCTTGAGGTCGGCAATCTGTTCGGCTCTCGTCTTGATGTAGGGGAATTTGGGAGGGATGATATTTCCGTGCTCGTCTCGTTTGGGCGGTTTCGGCGCGAGCGTTTCTGCTCCCGGGACGTTTCGAGGACGGTAAATGATGTACATGCCTGCGGTACCTGCCACGGCCAGACCTGTGCCGTACGCCAATGGCTTGAGCAGCCGGCGCATAGAGAATCGGGAGGCCATTGCAGAGGGAATTCGCTGAGGAGCGGCCAGTCAAAAAGTTCGTCAAGTGAAGACCAAGGAGCTTTTGAGCATATGGCGGTAGCACCTCGAAAGCTGCCAAAAGAGTATGAATTTTGAGCGAGCTGGAGTCTCTGGCCAGAAGCAGAGTGACGAAACTATGTCAAGGAGGACGCCGGCGGCGATATTTGAAGGCGTCGTGAAATGACTCTGGATCGACAAGCAATTGACGAGAAATGCAGCATGGCGGAGAAAGAGTGCTGTGCCACTGACTGCTCTCGGGGGATTTGCATGACCGAGCTCGAAGAGCAATCCGTGCCCAGCCCCCGACACGAGCTTTGGCGACCCCGGATCTTCTAGGCATCTCGCGTGATGCTGAGTATTGAAGTTTGTTACACTGAGGCAGGAAACCTCGTCATTGCGGAGAAATTAGTGAGGAGCAAGTGGCTCGGGTTAACAGGTCCGACCGAATTCCGGAAATTGATCCTTCGGCCTGAAAAGCCCGAGATGCAGCAGACGCAATACACCCATTTGAAAGGCTTCCCAATCGGGCACGTGTGCCGCCTCCCTTTTTCACCAACGTCGTATCGCGGATGGATCTCAGGAACCAACGGAAACTTTATGGCTGAAGAACAAGCCATCGGCCGTATGTTGCCACTACCTACATGTCGCGAGATCCGGTCCATGAAAATCGACGCCTTAAGACTCAGCCGACCCTGTCTGATTCGTCCAGGCTGGACGACCTCAATCCCAGAATCTTGTGTGGCCAATGTCGGCCATCTCCGGGACTGGACGATGGACTTTTCCTCAGGAGACACGACGTGTGGCTCTCACAGCTTTATGTGGATTGATCATGCCACTTGCACCACTGTGCAATCATCTGAAATGTTCAGGTGAAACTGATCCACCCGCAAGACCCGTGGTCAGTCTCAAGTGAATAGAGCATTGTTGCCCAAGGGTGACAGCTCATCACTTGTTGACCACGGCATTCAACTGTAGGATGACGAATAACCAGAGTTTTGATAGAGTCTATCACAATTAATCATGAATGAGGAGGCCTGCCTGCCGTGAAGATTCACGGATCACCGATGGGTTCTGGAGCAGAGTTTGTGGAGAGAAAAGCCATATAATGTAAAATATTTTCATTGCCTCCTGTGATTTCTCTGCAATCACATGTCCTCAATATTTATGTACAACAATGATAAACGCCTGCGCTCACGACTTCCTAACTCCACAGACATAGCTCGTCCCGCCAGAAACTCTCCTTTTTTAGAATCCAACAAGAAATCATGCCTTGAATCACACCTGGCTCTCGGATCTGGCGGTGTAAGTGTTCGACCAGACGGACCGTTTAGGTTGGATTAGACGTTTGAAGCCCATGTAAGGAGTATTGATTGGACTCTCGCCAGTAAAGAGGAACGTGTCATAGAGCCAACCGCCGAATGTGCATCCGCAGAAAGGGGCAACCATTGGGACCTTTTCGCGTATAGTCAGCTTCAGATCTTGCACAATCTCGGACAGCAGGTGTATAAACTAACCCAGAAGTAGTAGCCTCCTGCGCTCCAGACCTCGTGGCCGTAACCGATCATGTAGCTGACGAGGCGCGGACCAAAATCTCGAGCAAGGTTGATGGCATAGCCAGTTTCCCAGCCAAAGCAGGCACCAATGCCGAAGATGACGAAGAAGAGGGCCAGAGGCGTGAGGTTTCCTGCGCCAATGTTTCCGTCATCCTTCAACGCGTAGATCAAGAACATTAGGATAGCACTGGCGATAAATTCTGAGAAGAATTGGCCCGTCTTCGTCATGAACGGCGCAGGGTAGGTGCAAAAGATGCCTGCGGTCGAGGTCTCCCCACCCACGGTGCGGATGTTGGGACCTCCCTCGAAAACGTCGATCGCAGACTTGTAGTTGGCGTAGACGATCGCAGAGGCTGCCATAGCGCCGAGGGTTTGGGCAAGCATGTAGACAGGAAATTTCCGCCAGGGAAACTTGCGGAACACCGCATTGCTCAAGGTCACTGCAGGATTGAGGTGCGCTCCTGAGATGCCGGCGGTATAGACTCCAAGCATGACACCAAGCCTATCTCACTGTTAGCAACATGGACAACTCAAAACGTATACAACGGGAGAGAAACGCACCCCCAGCCCCAGGAGATTGATTGGTAGTCTCCCTTCGTGCCTCCGCTGAGGACTACCTGAGCGACGACGCCATCACCGAAGAGGATCAAGATAAACACGCCAAAGAATTCCGACAGCGGCTCTCGAAGGAAGTGGCGGATTCGACTCCAAGCTAGATCAGGTTCTTGTTGCACGGCATCGGCCTGAGGAATCTTGTGGTCGACAAGAGGCCCGTGCTCAGCAAAAGCAGGGACGTCTTGAACAGAAGTCCGTCGCCTCTGCTGCTGAGGAACGTTGAGGTGTTCTTGGTGGGTGATGCTTCCCATTGTGGCGGGCTGTTTCTCCAATGGTAGAGAAGAGGAGGACGTGGACATGAAAGAGATGAAGGTGGCAAGATGGGCAGAAAGATGTTGCACGGCTTTGTGGGGACGAGGAAGAATGAAAGGTTGCCCATGGGGAGGAGGACGTGGATTATATAGACGGATACCCCTTGGTATAACTCCATGCCCCCGTTGTCTATACCTTGGACTCCACTCTGTGTAATCGTGAGCGCTATTGCAAGTGATACCGAAAACGTGGAAACAGAGTTAGTCCAACAGACGGCTGCTGTGACCGATACGAGGCCTTGTTGTGTCAAGTCTAGAACCAGACTCTGCATGGGGCCGGGACACCCGCACGTTGGCCCTGCATAACACACCATATCATGGCTTGTACACGAGCCAATTATGCAGTATGACGGCCGAGAAAACCCTGCCACTCATATTCTTTTCTTCAGCTAGTGTCGCCGAACTTCGCACGACCGGAGCCGGATGTCCTTAAAATTCTCTCGGAGACGACATCCCGACCTGCATAGGGTTGCGGCTGGGGACAGAGCCCTTCTAGAAGCAGTTTTAGAAGAACCCGACTTGTACAAGGCTGATATCAATGTATATGCCGTGGAACCTGTATGAGGTGTCAAAGGGACGTCTGCCATAGCTGTCGACACTGGCTGTCAGACCGTGTAAAACAAAAGCGATGGCACAAATGTCAGCGTCTGCCCCTCAGTCACACTTTCAGTGGCACAAATTTACTTCTGGGTGGACACGACATCTTGCCAACAAATGTGACGTTGCAGAGGCAGAGAAAGTAACTGGGCGAGAAGAAGAGGGCATACCAGCTGAAGGCGGAGTTGTTTCCGGCCGGAAAAACAGTTTCGCCATTCCCTGCCCCGTAGTACAGTATGCCCGGCATGTGGGGAAGCCTCGGCAAATGCACGTCGGTCACGTTTCCCCGAACGTCTCCTCCTCAACCTCCATTATTCCTCTCCCTTCCGCTCACCCCCGCAAACACCTGCTTTCAGTATCACGTCGCGAACCGTATCCCAAGCTGGCTCAATCAGCTGCAGGTCCTCCGCAGCTATGTCACTTTTCACTCCTCCCCCGCCACGCTCTGCACCCCTGATCTTTCCCGCGTTCGCTTCCAATCCGCCCGCCCTTCCCCATGCCCGTCGCCTGTCTCAGCACCGAGCTGTCCCAGCCGCATGGAAATGGGAGAGGGGGTTTGGTCTGTGGAGTTCGGGGTTGTGTTGTCCGGGAGAGCTCGCAAAAACTCCTGCGGAATACCGAGCAATCACCAACTGGGGAACTCCAGCTTGCGGTGCCATGAGCTCGCGTAAGATTCGACTTCTACGAGCATCACGACCCGCTCCATCGTGGTACGGCTCCCCAGAGCAAGGGTCATGCGACCGTTCTTCCAAGTCCACATGCTTCGGTGTTCCCCCGCTGTCGTTCTATATAACATTGTCTCCTCCCCTCCACAGAATCTCTCCAGGCCTCCAGTGCTCCAGTTGCTCCCCAGATAGAGACATTTTCCCCTGAGGCATTCTCACTTCTTATATTTATTTTGAGAGATTTTTATGGATTTCTTGCGAAACCTCACCATGGGCAGTACTCAAGAAGTCTTTGTCGGTTCCATCGATCAAGGAACCACCAGTTCGAGGTTTCTGATCTTCAACAAGCGAGGCGAACCCGTTGCCTCGCACCAGCTTGAATTCAAGCAGATTTACCCGCACCCTGGGTGAGTCCCACTATTCGGTCTCAAAAAACTGATCAGTTCCACTGACTGCAAGATGCAGCTGGCATGAACATGACCCTCTAGAGATTGTTGCCTCGGTAGAGAAGTGTATCGACGGGGCGGTCCAACAATTCCAGGACCAGGGTCACAACATCAACACCATCAAGGCCGTTGGCATCACCAATCAGCGCGAGACAACTGTTCTGTGGAACAAGGAGACTGGAGAGCCCTTGTACAACGCCATCGTTTGGACCGACACTCGCACGCAGGCCCTCGTACGAAAGCTGAAGCACCGGCTCGGGGCTGACAAGCTCACTGACATTTGCGGACTTCCGCTTTCCACCTACCCTTCAGTGGGCAAGTTGCTCTGGTTGCTCGAGAACGAAGCAAAGGTGAAGGATGCTTATGAGAAGGGTGTTTTGGCCTTTGGCACCATCGATGCCTGGCTCGTGTATAAACTCAATGGAGGTGAGATCTTTCTTTGTAACTTCTGTAACCACTATATACTGACGTCGAGACGAAAGGCCCGACGAGAAATATCTTCGTCTCCGACCCTTCAAACGCGTCACGAACGATGTTCATGAACCTCAAAACGCTTGAGTACGATGACTCTCTCCTCGACTTCTTCCGCATCGATACCTCAAAGATCCACCTTCCTAAGATCGTCCATTCCTCCGACTCCTCGGCGTATGGTTCGCTCACATCAACCGTCCTCAAAGGTGTCCCGATCACCGGTTGTTTAGGAGATCAATCCGCTGCACTCGTCGGCCAAAAGGGCTTCACGCCAGGCCTCGGCAAGAACACGTATGGAACCGGCAGCTTTATTCTGTACAACGTAGGCGACAAGCCCGTCATCTCCAGCCACGGACTCCTGACCACCGTGGCGTTTGACTTTGGCGGCAAACATAAGCCCATGTACGCTCTTGAGGGATCCATTGCAGTGGCGGGCTCAAGCGTCAAGTTCCTCGTTGAAAACTTCGGATTCATCGACAAGTCCTCCGAGATCAGCCAACTCGCCGAGACGGTCGAGGACAACGGTGGTGTCACGTTCGTGACGGCCTTCAGCGGCCTCTTTGCGCCCTATTGGATCGACGACGCCCGCGGAACCATCTTCGGTATCACAGCTTACACACAGCGGGGCCACATCGCTCGTGCAACATTGGAAGCGACGTGCTTCCAGACCAAAGCCATTCTGGTGGCGATGGAGAAGGACTCGGGCCACACACTCAGCGAACTGGCCGTCGATGGCGGGATGTGCAACTCGGACCTGTGCATGCAGACGCAATCTGACCTCATTGGGATCCCGGTCAAAAGACCTGCCATGCGCGAAACCACCGCCCTGGGTGCGGCGATCGCGGCCGGTCTGGCGGTTGGCGTCTGGGACAGCATCGATGAGCTGAAGGACGTCAATATCGACGGTTCCACCATCTTCAAGCCTGCGATTGGTAAAGAAGAGAGTGCTAAACAGTTCGCACGGTGGGAGAAGGCCGTGGAGATGAGCAAAGGCTGGGCGAATTGAGCATGTTCCGACGAGAGTCCTGGTCAGAAGCCTTTGGGCTTTGCAGCATGGTGTCGACGGCGTTGATCTGTTGGTGATGAGATTATTCTGGTCAACCACGAGCCTCTTCCAATGTCATCGATGGGCTTAGTGAATGAGTTGCTTGGGGTTCCACGGCCTCGTGCTCGAAAAGAAAAGGGTCTAGCAATTTTTTTTCTTCTGGCTATTGACTGTAGCTAAAAGTTGGATACTCTCTTCGGATCCTTGCACCGTCTGTGTTTTTGTGTAATTCTCCGAACTTTGACTTCAAGAGACATCTGGCACACCACTTGACATGTACCCGTGAGAGCATTTTTACAACGAGTAAGCCCAACAAAACTCTGTTTATCAGTCTGTAGTTTTGGGTGGCGAGCCTGGGTATCCATTCACGTCCCCCCAGTTTCCAGCAAGCACAGCAGCAGCACATCCATCCCACGAACGATGAAGGTCATCATCGTCGGCGCGGGCATCGGCGGGCTCTCGGCGGCGTTGGCCCTCGCGCTCCAAGGGCACACCGTGACGGTGCTGGAATCGGCGCCGCAGCTGGCAGAGATCGGGGCGGGCGTGCAGCTGACGCCGCAGGCGACCAAGCTCTTCTTCCAATGGGGGCTGAAGGACGACATTGTCGCCACGGCCGCGTTCCCGGGGACGTTCTTCATTCACCACCATCATGGCGGGCGGGAAGACGGGAGGCCGTTGGGCAGCGTGGACCTGAGGGATGTGTGGAAGGAGTACGGCGGCCCTTACGTGGTCGTGCACCGCGGCGAGCTGCACAAGATCCTGCACCGGCACGTCGTCAAGGCCGGGACTACGGTCAAGGTCGACGCCAGGGTGGTCGAGTATGATTTCGAGGGCGGCGTCGTGGTGTTGGAGGAGGGACAGAAGATGGAGGCCGACTTGGTCGTTGCCTGTGATGGTAAGAGAGAGAGAGAGACAGAACTCTCCTCGTCCACCTTGCTTGCCTGCCTGCTGCCCTTTCTTCTCTTACCTCCTCCTGGTCCCTTGTTTTTCCTCTTTTCAGTCTCTCTGTTGCGATGGCCGAGAGCATCTCTCACTGGGATGGGGTCCAGGCATCAATTCCTTTGCGAGAAAGCAGTTCCTCGGGGAGCAAGACCGCGGCGCACAGAGGACCGGCTGGGCTGCGTATCGCACCATGGTCGACGTCTCGAAGATCCGAGCCAACCCTGCGACGGCAAATCTGGTCATGAGGGCAAACAACCACTTATGGTATGTATAAGAGCCGTGCCCCGTTGGCGGCCCCCCTCGTCTTCTTCGTCTTCGTATTTGTGCCATGTATCAGCAGCACAGCGGGCGTTGACGCTGATGGCTGGCTGGCTGGCTGCTCTCAACAGGATCGGCAAAGGCTGCTCGGCCATGATCTACCAAATCCTCGAGTCCACCAAGCTGAACATGGTCCTCTCGCATCGTGACGACGTCGACACGGCGACCTGGACGCCAGCGCAGTATCGCAGCACCATCGACGCCCTCTTCCATGGATGGGATGCCCAACTGACCAGTGTGATCGACATGGTGCGTCCGGACGAGCCGATCAACAACTGGCCCGTACACCAGGTCGAGCCACTCCCCCGGTGGGTGTCCAAGTCCGGAAGATTCGTTCTCATGGGAGACGCGACGCATGCAATGGCGTTCTATCTGTCGATGGGCATCTCCATGGCCGTGGAAGACGCCGCCGCGCTAGCAGAGTGTCTTTCGCTGCTGAATTCGGCGACAGCCGAGTATGATGACACGAACGGTGACTGTGCAGACAGATCAAGACCAAAGCCCTCTCTTTCCTCCGCTCTCGGCCTCTTCGAATCGGTGCGCAAACCTCGCGCCGAAGCCGTGCAGGCCGCGAGTCTTCACGCCGGGGAAGTCTTGCACTTGCCTCCAGGTGCGGCACAGGAGAAGAGGGACGCCTTGTTACAGGTCGACGGAAAGACGGAAAGTAAAGAAGACAGGCAGTACGCGTATGGGATCGCAGACCGCGAGACGAGGGACTGGTGTTGGGGGTACGATGCCGCCTTGGAAACGCGGAGAGCGTGGGACGATCGGTTCAGGTAGCGAATATGAAGAAGCGCAAGGATTCAGGAGAGGATTGAGTCCTTGCTGTGGACGAGGACTGCTCGCCACTGGATCCAGGGGGCCAAAGAAGAAAGAACCATCTCAGGGTACCAAAGCGAGATCGATCTGGGAAACGGGACAGAACAGACAAAAGTAAATATGAAATGTTCAATTCGAACTGCTAATTGACGAAATTCCGCCATGAGTAAATGCTCTCGCCGCTCTGCCATAAGATAAAGGCAAGACTGCTCGGCGACCACATGCCACTGATATTCACCCCGTCCATAACGGCGACGTTGGACAACGTAAGTCGACAGACGACACAGGGATGGCTGTCCGTGTAGTCTCCTCTCAAGTCCATCAATACATCACGCGTCCTCCACGATATGAGCCCTCTTCTGGGTCGCTGGGTCCCGGGCTTGAACGCAATGTCGGCTCTCCGCGTTCTCCTAACAGCTATTTCACTATAAAGACGGACGTGTGGCGGTTCATTCAGCTCTGGCATGTTTGGCACACTCTGGGAAACCATGAGAGCTCATGTCACGGCTCTTCGTCACAGTTCCCTATAGTCCGCCTGTCGGGGCTTGCGATTCCGATTGATATGCCGATGGGGATTGACAGGTTGCCTCATGTACGCATTGTCCTCCTCATTCCCTACAGGCCGTTGTTGATTTGAGAACCTATTTCCTGCTGGGCCGGAGGGCGGATAGAAGCCCTGATTCTGATTCTGATTCTGGTTCTGGTTCACCAGTGCTTTGGGGCCCGTCGGGACGCCTGTCATTCCCGCCGGTTGTTGAGGCGTTGACGGTTTGGACTGCTGAGGGAAGTTTTGGTTTCGATTGGGCCGATTGTTGTGGTGATTGAAGTTGTTGGGGCGGTTCTGGTTCAAATTGGTGTTGGGATTGTAACTCTGGTTCATGTTCATATTCATATTCATGTTCCAGTTCGGCATGGCACCAGGATTGGCCATGTTCATGCCCATGCCCATGCCCATGCCCATACCCATGTTGCTCATATTTCCCGGATTTACGCCATTCATCATCAAGGGATTCATGAAATTCATGGGGTTTATTCCATTCATACCCGGCATGCCCATGCCCCCCATCATCATCGGATTCATCATCAAAGGGTTGAAGCCAGGCATCATGGGCAGACTCATGTTGTTGCCTGATTGCATCTGCGACAAGTCCGGTGGCATCATGTTCGTGGGCAGCACGTTATTACTCTCTGGCGTCGAAGTCTTCGCCTTGGTGCCGTTCACGTCTGCGTCGGTCGCTTTGGGTGTTGACACTGCGTCTCCAGACTTCTGTCGCTTCATGGCCGGTGCTGCGAGACTATCCACAGATGTTGCTCGATCCACTTCACTCGCACTGCGCTTTCTCGCCGAACCACTCGCCGATCGAGGTGTTGCAGAGCCGTCTCGTGAGTCTGGCCGTGTGTGTGCAGGAGTGTCTTGGGCCTTTGGCGAATCGGCGGCCACTGTAGGACTTCTAGACCGTTGCTTCTCGGCGGCCTTTTCTGCTTCATACTCTTTGATCTTGTTCTTCATCTCTTCATCAGGCTCAAGACGCTCGAGGCTGATATTCTCTGTCTCACAGCCAGGGCATGTGAGATCGTTTTCAAGTAATGCATTCTCGATACAAACATGACAGTATGTCTTCCCACAACAAGGTGTCTTCATTGGGTCTACAAACAAGCGCTTGTCAATCGAGCATTCCAGACCTCGATCTTGCAGCTCTTTGTCGCCAATTTGCTCTTTTTTCTGGGCCGCTTCGGCAGCCTTGACCTGTTCCAGGTGTTTTCTCCATGCCTTTTCATCCGCTTGTGCAAAGACGTATTCTCCCTCGGCGTTCACCATCAAATTTTGTCTTTGCACGTCGTCGAGCTTGTCAATATCAGCTCGATCGATCTTCTTCAGCATTGACCGAGGGATGCCGGTCGTCCGTTTGATCCGGTTCTTGGTGTCGTAGGAGGCGTCATCATTGGTTGGACAGGCTTGGATCCAGTGGCCTGGCAACTGTTAGCGACTGACAATTACAAAGAATGGACAGATTCGTTCCTACCTTTCTTGCCACAGCGATAACAGATGTAGCCGTGAGGAGGTTCGCCCTCTGGAACATTCGCTTTTTTGGCAAAGGGCTTTCCCTGCATAGGCACACGGGTCTCGTGTGACATTTCCTCTTGTTTTTGTTGCCATTGCGCGTCGGTGAACTGAAGCATAGCCTGCAACTTTTCTTGTTCCGTCATGGCTTTGCCCATATCCACCGTCTTCCGAGGCTTGCTCGCAGTGCTCGCAACCGTGGGCTTTGCACTGACGGGCGGCTTACCGGAAACATAACGAGCAGCTCGCCCTTTCCCGGGTGCCGAGGCAGGTAATCGTCGAGCAAGGACGGTTGAATCTTTCGGGATGATCTCTGTGTCATCTGTATATTCTGGACTACTGTTAGCGACAACTCGAGCTACGAATAAGGAGGAGTGTGAAACCTACCTTCATTGCTGTTCTCTCTGTAGATCTTCAAGTCAAAGTCGGTGCCATCGCCTAACCGGGAAATGTTGATGATTTCACGTTTCAGATTCCAGACATCGGTATGAGGACCATCGATTGTTACACGCTGAGGTTCCATTTGTGATTTGAATTTTATATATACGTAAGAGGCCATGGCGGCAACGCCTGATTGCGGCCCAGGACCAGCAGAGAAAGGAAGCGTATGCGTTTGTTGTGTTAATCTGAGGGAGAGCACAAGGTTGAGGGTGCGGTGATTTTTGGCGTAGATAGATTTCCAAGGGATACAGAGTCAAAAGACGACAGGGGGGCAAAAGGGAGATGTTATTGTAGGTAAACGAATAATAAGTCCAGCTTGAGAGAGCTGAGGTCCAACTCGAGCGAGCCTGTTCCCTTCGCAAGTCGTTCTTGCACTGCACTGCAAACGCAGATCTGCCTCTCGCAACAACAATGACACAGGCACCAAAGTCCCACTTTCCTGAATATGATGCAAGCTCTTGATAGGGAGAATTCCTCTTCACTTTACAAGAAGTGCTGATTGCAGGCAAACAGACTCCGTCACGATGATTTTAAACCTTCCCAGGACTCCTGTCAGAAGTGTCGGCACGTGGAAGCGTCCGTTTGCGGAGGAGCGATGCGACAGCGAGGACAATGAAATGCCAAGTCAAACCCAGTCCTAAACCTGTGGCACGATGAGGGAAACTGGCAGATATACAAAGCAAAGATGAAGTTAAGATGAATGGGTGATTGGTAAGGACAGCGATGATGGCGGAAGAAGAGGTCGGAAGCCGAAAGAGGCGCAGGCGGCTTCTTTATTCGGTTCGGCAGAAAATTGCAACGTAGGAAAAAATCACATGACTGGCTTGTGACGCACGTGACTGTGCCCAGAATTACTCCTCGACTGCGTAGCATATGTAGGAGACATTATTCGTTCGACTCTGCTATACCTCAGCCCACCCCCTTCACTAGAGCAGAATTCAATGCACCACGTCTATAGAATGTGCCTTCTACGTGAAACAGTCCATGCAGTGCAGACGCCGATCGAAGATGCTATTGCATTGAACCGGGATTGTTCGGACATCGCCAATTTGTTCCAACCTTCATGCATGTGGCTCAGGTCTGGAGTTGAACTGCCGAAAGGCTAGCTGTCTCAGCCCTCTTGCCTTTGGGCGCTACTATCATTCCAATCCCCCACGGCAGGTGCCGCTCTCGAAGTGTCTGAGACCAGGAGCTCCAGCCGATGCCGTCAGATGATCACTGGAAAGCTCCGGCTCCAGAACAGGGGGCCCACAGCTGCGTCCATTTTGTCCGGGTGAAGATACCATTGACGTGAATGAAGATGATCGTGAGCACTGATCTCAAGTCTCACAGCTGTGGGGGCTCTGTTCTTTGCCGAGAGCGTAGACAAACTGGCCCCGAACGCTGTCATCCATCCGCCATTCGTCAAGAGTTCATTCACAAAGTGTGCGCTATAAAAATGCCAGGGCCGCAACTCGTGGTCAGTAAGGTCGGCGTCTGGGGAGAGCCGAGGTGACTATGCGAGGGTGATGCCGTGTCCTCCGAACAATCGTCCTGATAAAGAGATATCAGTGGAGAGGCCAGCTTTTCGAGGGGAAAAGGTAAATGGTCAAGTGGAAGGACCAAGTGAGCCCATCGGGACGGTGCTATTCTGAGTCCGCAGATGCGCTCGTGAGCCGCGAAACAAGCTCTGCCAGATAAAAGCTTCGCTCAGCAGGAGCTCAATATCCTTCTCAGTCCATTCGCGAGTGGGCAGTGCTTGCAAGAACATCAGGATCTCTTGGAAGTTCATCTTCATCAATCTGTCAGACCACTTGACGAGGAATGCCGCGCACACATAGAGGTGAAACTGGGAAAACCCATTCTCTTCGGCCTGGAGTATGCGGATCAGTAGAATTTCGGTCATATCAGGCGACCCAGTCTTACCATGTACGTATCCCACATGCGGATGACGCTCTTGATACTCAATTCTCGCATCAAGAGGCAGTTCATCCACCTGAAACTGAATTGCATGTATTCCACGTGCTCGTTTTCAAAATGCCTAGCCAGGCCTGCATCGATTCTTGTCGTCAGATCTCGCAGAGCAGCAACTTGACGATGAATGCCGGGCTGCGCGACAATGTAGTTGTCTTGGATACCGTCCAGCAGCTTGGTCAGGCACCAAAACGTGTCTGCTTCGACCGCGTCGAGAACGGGCCTCGGTAGCTGACCAGGATCCATTCCACTTTCAATGTTCAGATCCGTGATATAGGTGCCGAGAAAGACTTGCCAGAAGGGCGTGGCTAGATCATTGATTCCTTGCACGTACCCGCTGGCTGGATGCCGGATAGCCCACACATAGAGAATGCGTTCGAGAGACCGTTGTGTGGCTTCGAACCCATACAGCGGTATATGAGGATTTGTCCGAGGCACGTCAATACTGATCTGATGCCAAATCGCCTCGTCCAATCCTCGCCCGCGACCAGCGCTGGCGGGTGGCTGCGAAGCAAGCCCCGCCAGGCCTGTGCTCGATGCATTCCTGCTTGCCATAGTCCCCGAACTGAAAGCTTGTTGCACGGCATCAAGATACTCCTTGCGCTTCCGCTCCAGGCTTGCAACACGTCGTTCACTGTTGGTAGGCAGATGGCCAAGAAGAAGTTGCCATGTAATGGCGCGTACTTCTTCAGGTATTCCGGACCAAGCTGCTGCTCGCAAGTCTGGCAGAGACACAGAACTCGCTTGTAATATCCGCTTGAACTTGTTGATTCGTGATATCCGGGTACTATGGGCCTCTGCTTCTTTCGGGGTTGCATTTAATGGCAGGGAAGGGAAACTGATGAGGTGAAGCGAGTTTGCTGGATCCTTCAGAATGTCCTTGTATTGAGGCCTTAAGATCTTGCCTTCGCCCTTCTTTGTGGTTGGGTACGATAGGGGATTTCGTTCTTCCGCGATATCGAAGCTGTTGGATCTGGCAGAACGCGGGAATGGGGATGGTGCCAGCGCCGGAGCAGACGTAGTCTGTGATAGACTGGGATACGCAATTTGCTCGGCCTTAAGCATCTTATTCTTTATACTCCTCTTTCGACGCATGCTTGCAATGCTAGGCAGCCCAAACTCATCTTCATCGTCCTCGTAGACTAAATCGTCATCATCTCCTTCCACGTCTCCTCCGCCAGCCAAGTCCCAGCTCTCACCCAATGCGGACGAGGTGTAGCCTGAGTAGGGTTTTCGTTCCGGAGATTGAAAGTGTGGCCTCTCTGATGGAGGGGTCTGGGATGGTCGGGCCGATGTCGCGGGAGGTGTCTTTGGCCTCAAATGCGGTCCTAGGTTTCTGCCCACCCGATCAGTCACGCGATTTCATTGTCCTTGGATGTCTTACAATGACTCGAACTTCAACATATCAGCGTGGGAGTAGGAGGCGCCGAACACCTTCGTCGATTGTCCCGAGGTCTGACGAGGCGTCGATGGCCGTCCTCGCCAGAACGGCGAAGATGGTCGTCTTCAGAGCGTCAGTAAGGTTCCAATCAACATTAGGGATACACAATACCCATACTCTGATCTATCTGAGGCGCACCTCAGGCGTTAGCTAGCACTCTTAACCCAGAGAATACTAGAGGTGCTACCGAGACATCGGGGGAAGAGAGACGAACCAACCTGGACCATCTCCTGCCATATGTTAGTAGAGACTCGATGCCATCCTGAATCGGAGGGATATACCTGTGGTTGCGCCTTCTTGTGAGCCATCGTGTCTGTCTGCAGATCAGGCCACCCCCAGAAAAGTGCTATTGAAATTTCCTCCTAAGCACTTTTGCATGAGGCGGCGAGAACATGCTTAGAGTCTGGTGCTGAGAGATCTAGTCGATGGGAACAACATGTTTACATGAGGGTCAGTGACCCATGAAGGTGGTGCGGGCGCAGGTGGGTGCAAGGCGGCATGCTCACAAGTACACGGCTCGCCGGGTTGGCAGGCCCTTCAGAACCACTCCAACTCTCCTCGTGGTCCAGTCGGACCCGCCAAGTCTAGAACTCGTCCGCGGGTGCCAACCAAATTCGGGGGGGGGCGGGGGCTTACTCGGTCGGGTACGCCTCAGGTTAAGTTCAAAGCCGCCTTCGCACCACCTTCTCTTGACCATGTTGTTTTCACCTCATCTCCTTTTCTAAAGTTTCTTCCCTCTTCTCATTTCAGTCAATGTTTCCATTTGCTTTGACTCGACCCCCATATACCCACTGCTGGTATTACTGTTCTAAGTCGTGAGCCGCGTCCTCCAAGTCAGATCTTGTGATCGGAGAGCGTGCGACCTCTGACCATTATTTCCTTTTTGGGTGCAACGATAAAGATGGCAGAACCCGACGATGTCGAGGAAGATCTCTTTGCAGACCTGTGAGTTTCTATCTCTTCGCTATCTCGGCGTCTCTCCCGGCCTCTGTCTCGTGCTCCATTGAGATTGGCGCAGAGCCTAACATGATCGTTTCAGCTACGATGCGGATGAGAACCATGGTCCTGGCAAGAGTGCTGTCCCTGCTACTGCACAACCTGCCTCTACCGATACCGTAATGAAAACTACCGAGCCACCAGGTTATGGTGAAGAACCAGAGATCGCCTACGACCCTACCTCCTTCGATACAGAACCTCAGGGTCAAGATGAACACCCCAACGGAACCCATAGTCCAAAGCAAGTTCAAGAAACGCAAGAGAAGCCATCACAGCCCGAGGTCTTTAATGTCAATATGAAAGAGGATGGGTGAGTATATGTGCTTGTCGATTTCCTCCCCTTTCTGCACCCCTCCCTCCTTTCTTTATGTTCCCACGTCGATTTTGTTTTTTGAACAATCCCTCTGTGAGCAATCAAGAAAGAGTTGGATCATCAGCGATGAGTACGTGGAGATGAGGGATTTGGAATGCTCGTGGCGCAGCTGGCCATGGCAGCCACCAGCGGCGGGTTCCGCGAAATTGCGCTTGGTACGCAGAGTCTGCAAACGCGCGAGTTGAAGGTGCCATCCTGTTCATGGGTCGAAGACAACCAAGGAGGTCGATCGTGGAGGGAATGGATGCTCTCGTACATCTATACTACGAACAACGGATCAGGTCTGCGAGTGGTCAAGCAGTCTGTTGCAACTGGCTACAAGCCTTGCGATTTTCAGGACAGGCGGCGGATGAGTTGCTGGCATCTATCCAACCTCGGTGGACCAATCTCGGTTGGCTATCACCTTATGGTTGGATGGCTGCAGTTCGAGGTCGCTTGGACCGCTTGGGGAATTGGAAAGCCTCTCCGACTGAGCCATGCGTCAGTGGCTGGTTACTTGTTGCATCAAACTAGCCGAGTCGATCTCATTGCCGAAAAGTGGTCATTCAGCGAAGCCAGAATAGTGGGCAAGAAAGCTACTACCGTACACCAAGATACTTTTCCAGGCAGACCAGAGTAACAGAGTCCAAAAACCCAGGCAGGAGATAGATGCTATGGAGTATCTGCTGAATCTCAAAAGAGCCAACAAATCTTTGCCTCTGTCCGCTAGAAAAGTCGACTCTGTGCACATCTTGAGGGGAGGAAGAGAGAGCGGACAATCCAGAAGACCGACATACTGTTACATCGCGTATGAGAATGGCCGCGTCCGCCGAAAGAGTTGCCCCTCCACAGAGCTGCAAGGCTTCAAGGCTTCAAGGCTGCAATGTCGCTCAAGTGCTGAGACTGAAGACCGGGTGTTGGGGAGGTGTGGTCAGGAGCATCTTGGACCGTGTATACACCCTGCAGGCGGGCAGTATTCATACCCATTAGTCTTGGCTCGTCCTATCCCGGTCTGTATGTCAAATTGACGGTGGAGGATGCGCTCACATGGCTCTTCTGCAACAAGCCGCCATCACGATTGCCCACACAGCAAACAGAATCCACTACGCCATGGACTGCACATCTAGAGCAACTGTCACACCGTTGGAAACCATTCGTTCTTCACAATGTTGCAAAACCAACCCACAAACCCATGACGAACTGCGGATCGGAGTAAACCCAACTGCTGCCAGACGAGGCCGTCGTCTCGGGGAACTGAAGGACTCACCTACGGGCTGGCTTGCCCCGTTGCCCTCTAACAATTGTTGCCTTTGGTTTTGATTTGTTCGGACACCGTATTCCTTTTCGTCAACTTTCTTCTCGTCGTTCGTTTGGCTTTTCATAGCTAACATAGCGACTGTACAGAAAAATGTTCATAGGAGGACTTAATTGGGAAACAACAGACCGTAAGAATCGTCCCAATGCTTCTGCATTCACCAGAAACCACACGCACCGCCCCCTACGACATGCCAGCACCCTACTAACTCCCCGTCGACAGAATCTCTTCATGATTATTTCTCCCAGTTCGGCGAAGTTCAAGAATGTACCGTCATGCGGGACAACGCCACTGGCCGCTCACGAGGCTTCGGATTCCTCACGTTCAAGGACCCCAAGACAGTCAACACCGTGATGGTCAAAGAACATTTCTTGGATGGCAAAATTGTAAGACCTACCCATTTCGATACTTCCCGGGATAGACAGGAAAGACTTGGTTCCCTTTCTCGAAACTATTCGGCCCGCCGAAAGAACGAAGGCTTACTGAGGTGTACCCAGATCGACCCCAAGCGAGCGATCCCCCGAGACGAACAGGAAAAGACGGCCAAGGTATTTGTGGGTGGCGTCAGTCAAGATGCCACCGAAGAAGATTTCGAAAGCTTTTTTGCCCAATTCGGGCGCGTCATCGATGCCACCCTGATGATGGACAAGGACACTGGCCGGCCGCGAGGGTTCGGGTTCGTTACCTTTGACAGTGACGCTGCCGTAGAGAAATGCCTGCAATACCATCCGCTGGAGATCCTTGGCAAACCCATCGAGGTCAAGCGCGCCCAACCCAGAGGTAAGATGGGCGAGGACGACGATTACGGCCGCGGTCGAGGAAGAGGCAAGTTCGGACGTGACGACCGCTTCAACAATGACAACCCCCAGATGCCGCAAAACCCGCAAGCGCCAACTCCCAACATGATGGGCGGCACGACTGGAATGACCCCACAGATGATGGCACAATATTGGCAAAGAATGCAGCAATACTTTGCCATGATGCAGCAGCAGATGGCCGCCAACATGATGGGTAATATGGGAGGCATGGGAAGTATGGGCATGAATCCGCAGATGATGGCGCAAATGCAAATGCAGCAACAAATGCAGAAGATGCAAGGAGCAAACAGCCCCAACGCCCAGAACGCCGGCGGCATGGGTAACATGCAAGGCATGACTCCTCAAATGATGCAACAAATGATGCAAATGCAACAGGGGGGCATGAACATGGCGTCAAATCGATCGCCCATGGGGCCCGGCAATGCGGGCGGCCAGCGCAGTGGCTTTTCGGCCCAAGAGCAGTTGGCGTTTGAACAGCAGAAATATGAACAACAGCAGCAGGGACGTCGCCAGGGAGGCTTTCCGCAAGGCCCTCGTAGCGGCGGATTTCAGAATCACGGAGGCGGGCCACAGTCGTGGGAAGGCATGTACGACGACGTTCCTCAGCCAGACGGCAATGCTGGTGGCCGAGGTTCAGCAGGGCCAGTCCGCCAACACACGCCCAAACCTTTCAAAGGTCCCAGTGGCCCGTCTCAGCCGAGTGCAGCTCCGGCCAATGCGCCTACTGGTCCCAAGAATGCAGGCAAACCAGGAGCAAATTTTAGGGGGGGAAGGGGCCGGTACCATCCCTATGGAAGGTGAACGGTCTCCCACGGTCGGGTGTCGATGGGGTTAGGAGAACTGCTTTGCGTATTGAACCCGGTCCCAACAGCTACAGGACCGCTGGTAATCAGATATTGTGCTTCAACACCACAGGGAGAGGTGTTACCAAAACATTGACAAGGAGAAGGCAGTCTGATGGCGGTGGCTGTTACGCGCTCTCACTCTGCAAAGGGACGACTTGATGGATGCATTCATGTGTCTATGTGCTTTCGCTGGCGGTTTGGGGGAAGCTTGCGGGATGTGTAGCATACCAGAAGGAAACAAATACCTGAAGCATTTCGGACCGGAATGGTCGTGGGCACGTTTGAAAACAGCCGTAACGAGAGTTCGATGCTCGGTCAATCCACCGACGTGAATTTTCTGCTCACCGAAATCCAATCACTCGTGACTGCTCCAAAGTCTCAATTTGACCAAGGAGCTAGACGAGGCTGTGAAATATACCTAAAGTCGTGGCGCTAACTATTAATAGGCGCTCAGCACCCGTAGCCGACATAAGCTTCTCCCTAGGTACTGCGTACCTGTGGGGAGGAGACCATCCCATATTCTTGAATGCGGTCGCGTTATGCGGAGTACGGAGAGCTTGATCATGCGCGACAGTGGAATGGCTCCTTTGTTTATATGCCACCGATATGAAACTAGCCAAAAGCCTCTTCAGGTGTTGTTGGTGCCTTGCATTGGAATAAGATGCTGACACAAAATGCAGGTACCCCGTTGGGAAGGGAAGTTGGAAGGATTTCGGCGAGGCGCAGTCAAGGCCAAGGTCCAATACAGAAAATGACGAATTGGCGTTGGGATTCGGTCTCCAGAAGAGGTTTTACTTGGGAACCACCGTGCTGCGCCTCATCTGCTCCAGCCGTCCCATGGGCTCCACTGATGTGTTGAAGGTGTCGATTTCGGCATTCGGCTTCCGTCATGGTCCAGCGTTCCGGGTAGGACAGGAGCGGGGGAAAGCAGCAAGACAGTCGTGACAGTGGGGAGCAGGAAGACAATCAGAGGTTCGTTGTCGCAAGGGTTGAGGACAGAACTAAAGGGCGTCGCAGGTGTATCGATAATCTTCTATCCTTATGGCACTCCAACACAGATTACAAGGAACTCCGTACTACCTACAGTATGGAGTACCTACAGGTTAGCCGAGGGCAACGCAACGTCCCCGTCGCTTAGGGGGGGAGGTTGCGCCGAAGAGGATACCCAAGACGCCCCAGGCCACCCAAGCCACCACATGAGCACCCCTAACTTTAACTAATAAGCTTAGCAAGGGTGCTCTCCATGCCTAACACCTCGTCCCCCAAGCTTCTTACCGGGTGGTATTCTGGCGGCGGCGCCACCCCCTCCCGCCACATCCCCTGCCCACGGCTGCGGTACCAATTATGCATCGGCGACGACCTGAACTCCATCGATCGAGAACCACTCAAACACCATCAAAGTTTTTCCCAAAAACGCCACTGACCCAAACATCCCTGCTCGATGCCCCCGGCTGTCGATTCAGCTCTTTCACCTTTTCTGGTGCCTGTCGCCCACAGCTTGAAACGGGCGTCTCCATGCGGACCAAAACCCTTGACCCTGGCCCGCCTGGCCAACCAGAGCGATCATGAGCCATATCTTTTCCTCGCATCGCATGTGTCGAGGCACGCAGCTGAAAATCCATTTCTTTTGATTCCCTTTCCCACTTGTATGAAATTGTTTACTCGCTCCTGCATCAAAACACTCACTTTTTTCAATAACGTTCGCTCTTGGCCTGTTGTATTGTTCCGTCTGTCGTTCGCTTTCGCTTCTCTCGCCTTCACGCTTCTTACGGAAACCTTCTCTTCCACTTCCCAACGGTCGGCGCCCATTGAAGCCAATATCTCCGATCCCACGTTTCCTTCGAGACCTTGAATATTCAATATTTTGGGTGGGAGGGGATATAAGGAAAAGAAAAGAACGGTTTCACGGCCGTTTGACGGCGACCATACTTCTATCTGGACACACCACATATCGACATCATGTGGAGGCTATCGACGGTGGCAGTGGCCTCCCTGGCTCTCCTTCCATCTGTGCTGGGAACAGATATTTTGAAAACAAATGGGTTCTCCAATTGCAACAATGGGACATCGACAATCAAGGTCAACAACGTCGACATCTCCTTTGACCGGTCGACGAACAAGATCAACTTCGATGTCTCCGGCTCCAGCACAGAACAACAGTTTGTTACAGCCGAACTGATTGTGACTGCATATGGTATCAACGTGTACAACAATACATTCGATCCCTGTGCCGATTCCACCAAAGTCGAGCAGTTGTGTCCCGGTAAGTCGATTGATGCTTTTGTATGTCACTCACTATGATACTAACGGCGCCCAGTACCCGCGACATCATTCTCGGCAAACGGATCACAAGTCATCCCCTCGCAGTATACTTCGCTCATTCCCTCAATCGCCTACTCCCTTCCCGATCTGGATGGGACCGCGCAGATGGTTCTCAAGGCTAAAGATGGACAAGAACTCGCGTGCATTCAATCTGGTGTTTCTAATGGGAAGACCACGGATGTGCCGGCGGTGTCGTACGTTGCGGCGGCCATTGCTGCTGGTGCTCTGGCCGTATCGCTGGTCGGTGCGGCGGCTACGGGGGCACATCCAGGCTCGACCTCATCCAGCCCTGGCTTCTTCGAGGTCATGTGGTGGTTCCAAGGAATGGCAATGAATGGCATGCACTCGGTGACGTATCCCGGTGTGTATCGCAGCTTCGCAAAGAACTTCGCCTTCAGCACAGGTCTCGTCTCCTGGGGCGGGCTCCAGAGATCAATTGACTCCTTTAGAGCACATACGGGAGGCAATTTGACCGACGACAGCTACGACTACCTCAGAAACGCCACTCTGGTTTTCCCCGACGGAACCACCACCTCAACCACGACCGGTTTCACAAAGCGGTCACTCTCGTTGATGATTCGGCAGATCACCACATCCGTCGGTAACGGCACCAGCGCGAATTCTGATCAGAGCAATTCCAAGGAGTCACACCTGGTCAAAGGTATTCAAGGCTATGTCGAACAGCTCACAATCCCCGAGGCCAACACCTTCATGACCGTCCTCCTGATCTTCGCAATTGTGGTTGCGGCTATTGTGGTCGGCATTCTTCTTTTCAAGGTCATCCTTGAGGCGTGGTCGCTTTTCGGCAGATTCCCCAAGTCTCTGACCACTTTCCGGAAGGAATACTGGCGCATCATGGCTCAGACTATCACCAACCTGATTTTCCTGCTGTACGGCGTGTGGACTCTGTATTGCATTTATCAGTTCACTCACGGGGACTCGTGGGCGGCTAAGCTTCTTGCGGGTCTCACTCTGGGCACGTTCACGGCGGTTTTGGGCTTCTACACCTTCAAGATCTGGAGTGTGGTCCGCAAAATGAAGAAGATCGAGGGCGACGCCAGTGCTCTGTTCGAAAACAAGGAGACCTGGAAGAAGTACAAGCTCTTCTACGAAAACTACAAGAAGGGTTACTGGTGGCTGTTTATCCCTGCCATCGTCTACATGTTCGCCAAAGGGTGTGTGCTGGCTGCTGGCGACGGGCATGGCCTGGTCCAAACCGTGGGCCAATTGATCATCGAAACGCTCATGCTCCTTCTGCTCTTGTGGAGTCGGCCTTACCAGCGCAAGTCGGGCAACTGGATCAACATCATCATTCAAATCGTCCGTGTCATGTCGGTCGTTTGTATCCTGATTTTTGTGGAAGAGCTTGGAATTGCGCAAACCACAAAGACCATTACCGGCGTCGTGTTGATTGTGGTCCAGTCCGCTTTGACCGCCATCCTCGCACTCCTGATTGTCATCAACAGCATTATTGGCTGCTGCAGAGAGAATCCTCACCGAAAGCGCCGCAAGGCTGCACAAAAGAACCTCTCTCAAGACCTCGAGGGCGATGCCTTCCTCCTACAACCAAAGCCTTACTCCGCGTCACCTCCCCGTCACAACCGCGACATGTCCGAGTTTGGACAGAGCTACGAACCGATGCGCGCCCAAGCTTATTCTCGTTTCGGGCCTCGAGGGGACGAAAGCGAAGAGACGTTGGTCAAGGGTGCTGCAGACATGGGGGCAAGCAGTTACCGCAGTTTGAGCCAAGGCAGGAGTGAGCGCGCTGGAAGTCCTCCTCCATTTTCGAGGGAACCAAAACTGCCTGATCTGGCCTTTGAACAATATCGTCATAAATAAAGAGAAGGGGTAGGCGGCAATTCAGCCCTTGTATATGGCGCACTGTTGTATATCTCGGTGATGGCATGGTATACTTCTGATTTCAAAAAGCATAGCGTGGGTCAATATTGGGCACGACACGAATTGATTTCGGCAATGAACTGGCCATGATGATATTACATAGATTACACTATATTAATACTACAACTTGCATATATCTGAACCAGTAAGTTTCCACGGTGTAGATGCTGTGTGATATCGTGCCCAGCAGTTCAACGTTTTCAGGGGATGGAAACAGACACTTTATATGAAGTACCAGAGACAAAGATCATCAACTACAACGAAACGGCTGCAATTCTAGATATATCAAACCCCCTGATTGAGAGGGACGTGGACGCCTTCGGTGGCGGGCGCCATACTACTTGTAACAGGCATCTCAGACATCAATTAACAAGGCTGGACAAGGGCGTCAAAAGGTCTGTTTTCTTCTCATCATTAATCCAATCCAATTGCCTATACGAACACCCACCAGGAAATTTCTCTGCTTCATCTGCTTCCAAAGCCTGTCTGTCACTCGGTCGCTCGGTCGCTTGCTCGAGGACTCCGGCCCAGCAGCAAAAAGGGGACTATCGAAGATAAACACTCGCAACGACTAGAGTCAGACGAAAAAAGTGCCGACAGATCGCGATATTCATTCATACCCTTGTGTCGCGGCCGGTGGAAGGCTAGTTGGTTGGTATCTTAGAGGACCGGGGGAGACCGACCGACCGAGTCTTCAGATGATCGCAAGGGAGAGGCTGTCGAAGAAACGACACCCATACCCACACCATCACCCTCGCCCTCACTTTCGAAAAGTTCAACTCTCTACCTACAGCGGCACGCAAACGCATCTCTAGTGGACCACACAGGTGAGAGACTTTCCTTCCTTCCTTCCTTACTTCCTTCTCTCGGTGGAGCGGATGATATTAGAGGTGGGGAGGATTGATGGTGGTACAAGAAGCGACTCGCTTCTGGACGAGGACAAGGTTGCCCAACAGCTAGCTATGTATGCTATGATATGCTGTGTGATTCAGCCAGCGCTCGGCGTTCTTACTAGTTTTGATCTCTTTTCTGTCCTCTTATTCGGATGCGAGGGAAACGGGGTGTCAGAGCGCGGTAAGCATCGTTTCAGAGCATGACGGGGAAGGGTCTCTCTCTCTCTTTTATTTGATCTTGGAGCTGCAGTCCTCTTTTTCCCCTCATAGAGTGTCCCGGGGGGTGCATCAAAGGGTCTGTTCGAATATCAAAGAGCCTGCTGGAGACCCAAAAACCGTGTTACGAAAGCATCAAAATCCCGCCCCCACCCAACAAAACAAAGGGGTGTTTGTTGAATGCCACACAGAGAGAGAAGGGTTCTGAAGACAGAGAGTATGAGAGAGGGGTGGGAAGAGTCAGCGATATAGCTTGCCAATGTATTTTGATTATCTTCACGTCAAACCAGCCAACCGATGGTCGTCGCGAATGAAAAGGCCAGCGACGGCCAAATACTACTCCACGGCTTGTGCTTGATCGCGGAAAAGCCAGCATTACTGCTCGCCCGCTCGCCCTGGTGGAAGCCGTTCTTCTCGCCGCCTAGATACTCGGCGCCCAGGTACGTCAGCTTGCCGTTGCCGTCGAACAGGCTCACGGCGTCGCCGGTCCACTCGTTGGCGTCGCCGCCGCTCCGGAACGCGCCGAACCAGGCGTACCGCGCCACGGAACCCTGGCCGTCCAGGTACGGGAGGGACTGGTTGAAAAAGGCCCGCGTCGCCGCCGCCGAGGCCTTGGGGATGGCGAACTCGGTGACCCAGATGGGTTTTGATGGGTACATGCCGTGCAGGGTGCCCAGCCACGAGGCCATGCCGGCGAAGTCGCCGTACCAGTGTGCGGCGATGAAGTCGAACGCGCAGCCGCCCGCGGGCTGGAGCTTGAAGCACGACGCGTTGAACGACCGCAGCCAGTCGAGCCCCTGCGGCGAGCCTGTTGTTGCAGGCAGAGACACCTCGAGGTGCCATGGCGCCTGGCGCAGCGGCAGGATCGTGTCGACGTACACCTGGGCGGCGTGTTCGGGGGTCGCGTTGGATCCGCCGGACGAGGTGTCGCCGTCGGGCTCGTTGAAGGTCAGGATGTGGGTGATTCTGTTCCTCCCAGCACCGGGCTTCCCGATAGGGTTTGCAATGGGGATCCCCGCGCTGCCGTTGAGGATGGACTTGATGGTGTTGACGGACACCGCGGCGTCACTGGCAGAGTGGACCATGGGCACGAACTCGGTGCTCCACTGGGACATGGAGCTCGAGGGTCCCGGCCAGGGACTGTAGTTGTAGTACCAGGTCAGGGGCGACTTGGGCGCGGTGAAGATGTGCGAGTCCGCGGCTGAATGGAAGGTCGCGATGTAGCAGAGGCCGCGTTTGGGGGAGGTCGAGGTCGAGGTCGAGTTTGTGGCTGATGCGCAAGAAAGCGGGACGAACAGGGATAGGAGAAGAAGGAGAGCGGCCGAGAGTGTTGTGACCGGCTGACATGATGATAGTCTCATATTGTTTATTCTCTTAGGGTGAGTAGCGACTGAGCCTGTGTGTGTGTGTGTGTGTGGACGAGGCTGAGATGGATAAGGGGAAACTGCTTCGTCGAAACAACAAGTCCTGCACACCAAGCACCCTGTTCTGGTCCTGAGTGACACCCTCTCTGTTGTATAGCTAGCTAGCAACTTCGATTCTGATGCTTCCCGGCCCGGATGTATATGGCGTGTGTCTCTCTCTCAGATGGGACGTGCTGTAAAGACAAACTCGTCGTCTCCTTTATATCGTCTCGGTAAAAGGGAACGATCGCAAACCCAGGAACTCGCTCAAGGGGGTATCTATCATCTATGGAATGGATCTCGTAAAATAGACAAGCCAGGGGTGTTTTTGGGACAAGCAGCAATAGCAGCAGCAGCAGCAGGAACAACAGAAATATGACCCTCGATCGCTCACTCAAACCCAGGACAGAGACAGAGACAGGCACAAGACAGACAGACAGACACAAGAACTGAGTGAAGTAAGTAAATACTGCTCAGGATATACAGTACGTACAAACACAGCTTGCCAGGATTCGAGGAGGAGGAAGGTGGAAACATGGAAATATATCTATCAATCAATCACAGACCAATCCAGCGTAGGACGATCGAATCTGGACTGTAGACTGAGTGTGTCGTGCAGTGCAGCGAGACAGGGTCAGGATTTGGCAGACGTAGCAGACATCCATCTCAGAGACCGGGGTCATCGCGCAATAAGGCATGATGCTGCATTGCTTGTTTTTCCTTGATTGGATCGAGACGGACGTAGATCGCATCGCATCGCCCAGAGCTTGCGCCACGTTTGTGTGCGTGCGTTACGTGGCACCCGAGGGGGAGGACATCGGGGAAGCTGCTTTCTTTGTCAAATAATCTCTGAGCTGTGCCTCGTGCCCGGGCAGGACAGCAAGTCAATGATCATCATCAAGCAGGCTAGAGAAGAGAAAGAGAACGAGAACGAGGAAGAGAAAGTTCCTGGTGTTCCTTGGAATCCTGATCGGGGGATATACAAGATTGACGTCATCGGCTGATAAGATGGACACGATACACACTGTACCTCGTACCACGACAATCTGCACAGCCACAAAGCCACAATCCTTTATATCGTCGGTGTGGCGGATGCTCTTTCAAGTGCTTTTCCAGTTGGGGATATGGCCTTCTATGGACAAGCTACAATGCCTGCTCGCCCCGGACAGCTCAACACCGAACCAGCTTCCACCCACACCTCCCATGTAAACTCCGGAAAAGCGAGGACACATGGGGGCTCGCAGTCCTTTTATGATATCCCTGCAAGATCCAGCAACGGTCTATAGACCCACCACGCCGATCTTCTCTAGAAGCAAAACACCTGGTCCTCCAGTTTACTAACCGGTCTAGCCTTTTGGTACCCGAGACTTTCGGTGGCCTTCTTCAGGGCGCTGACCATGGGTGGAGGACCACAGATCAGGATCTTCATGTCAGGGCCCGGAGCAGGGAGTTTGGCCTTGATCATATCTGCAGTCACAAAACCGACCCCGCCATCCCATTTTTCTGGTGGGTTGTTCAGGACATAGTAGACGCTGAAGTCCGGGTCTTCCTTGTCCAACGCGTCTAGCTGCTCCTTCAACAGGATATCGTCGGGGTTGACGTTGGCAAAGATCAGATCCACCTTGGTGGTGTCATTTCCTCCATGTCGGGGCCGGCCGCGGTTGATGGCGCGGATGATCTGCAGCATGGGTGTGATGCCCGTTCCACCGGCAATCATGCCAATGCGTTTGCACATGTTCGGGGTGTACACCATAGCTCCCTTGGGACCGCGGACTTTCATGGTATCCCCCACTTTCAAGGTCGTCATATGGGCACTGATGTTGCCTTGAGGGTATGCTTTGATCATGAGTTCAAAGAAACCCTTGTCCTCGTCGGACGAGATCGGTGTGTATGACCGGACCACCTCTTTCTCTGCGCCCTTGGGAGTTGCCGCCAACGACATGTGCTGGCCAATGGGCAGACCGAGAATGTCCGTAGGACGGGGAAGGTCAAATCGGTAAATGGCAACATTGTGGGACGTTTTGGTAATCTTTGTCAATGGGAATTCTTGGAAGACGTCGGGCTTCAGGACCTTTCTCGACGATGCTGCAAATCAACCAGCGTCAGTCCGAATCTAGTCTGGTATGCATGAATTGCAACGTCACTTACGGGTCAAGCCAGTAAAGATCTTGTAGCCTCCCACAATTGCAGCCAGGGCAACTGCGTAAGGGACATATTCCCTCTTGACGATGGCAACTCCCACAATCAGGAGCACTGAGGGGATGTACACCCCATTGATGTTGGCCTGCGAAAAGGCTGGATTTCTGAGAGACGAAGATGGTGAGCGTTGGAAAAGAAAGAGTGGTGAGAAGGATGTCGAGAACCTACGCCATGGCTTCACAGGGTGCGACGGTGCTTTTCCTTCCTATCTCCCTCTTAAGCAAAAGCCACCGCAGACAGGCAAAAGACGACCAAGGGGAATTGGGAACCGTCGTTCAAAAGAATTAATTTGTGGTCAAGGTCAAAAATATATCGGAATTGGGGAAGCCCAGCGACTTGGGATTGTTCGGCAGGTGCTGCGGTGAGCAGCGACATGCGTGGGGCTCGTTCGCGGGATGCTGTGGCCAGTTCAGTAGGCGTCAGTGCACAGTTCCGTGGGCTTTCGCTAATTAAGGTAGCATGCTGCTAGGCTTGCCCACTGAAAGCCCAATTGCCGCCCAGGCGCCTTTTGACTGCATCTGGTGACAAAGTGCGGGGAGTTTCCGACGACGACGCCATGGAAAATTAATTCAACTTGTCTGACAGAAACGAGGAGTCTATCGGGAACTCTCTCCGATGGTGTCTCACCATCTGCCGCGTAGGTATTGTCTGGGGCGGAACACCATGTCAGACCACGCCCATTTTCTCCTCGACGCCGCACCTGCCCTCGCCGGGTAGCGGAAAGAGAACCAACGTCTTCGGGTTCGTTCGTAGCTCCAACAGCACTAGCAATACCCGGCCCTTCGCCATCTACGGTCAACTGATCCGGCGAAAGACTATTACCCTCCACGGAACCCATCGCCTGTCGAGGAAAAAAAAGGACCTTTCCCCTTTGCAGACGCGAGGGTTGAAGCAAGCCCAACGAAAGCCATGGATTCAGAGCCCGACAATACCCCGTCCCCGTTCCCTCTCACGGCGGTGGACGTGGCTGTCCTGGCCATGACAGACGACCAATACCAACCGCATACGTGGGAAGAATTGAAACAGATCATTGGTGTGTGTTCTGCACCGCACATGGCTCGTATTTATTATTTGATCCAACTTCCTTTCTTCTGACCGGTCTTGACAGCTGAGCACAACCTCATCGTCCTCAAACGATGGCCTTCCGACTTGAGACGCTACATCAAGTGGTCACGTCAAACGAAGGCGACCTACGGCAGCGTCACCAATTTTATCATGAGGGAACGATTGAAATGGACCCCTTTACCTTCGTCTACCCCGGAAACGGGCCCGAGATTCGCCGTCAAGAACCCCGTCCCTTTCACAAACAAAGCAGATTACAAGATTCTAGTCAACGACTGGCCGTATGGAGTGGCGCCTGGCATTAGGCATCTTATTGTGTGGCTGAAGACCCGACTGGAATCAGAGCCCACACAAGGCGACATGACACCCAAATCAAGAAGGCAAGTCGAGAATTTCATTCAGTCCACCTTCGTGGATCGGGTCAGCGAACTGCCAGGTGAACAGGAAAAAGTCATCTGGTTTAAGAACTGGACTGGACTGCAGTCCGTGCCGGGAATGGAGCATGTCCATGTGTTGGTAAGAGATGTCCCAGATGATATCATTCGAGAGTGGACAGGTGGGGATCAACCTATAAACAATTAGACTATGCAATACGTCCTGAGGCGCGGGTCCTGCATAATAGATAGGAGCACAGGAATTAGAAGTGGCCGTTGCTTCAACTCACTTCAACTCCTCCATGTGTTTTCAGGATCCGCCCTTGTCTCGAATCTCGTTCCATATCGCATCGAGCACCTGGAAGACGGCTGTGACTGCCTTCAGGGTATCGTCGTCGATTTCCATGAATCCATACCGCTGCTGGATTTTGTCCGGGTGCCATCGGACACGCTCAGCCTTGATAGCACTGAATAACGGATCTTTCCCCTCCGGGACCTCATAGGCGGCCGTGCCTTTTCTGATGAACCGTTCAATTTCCTCCCTCTGCACGTCTTTGCGTTTTCCCGACTCGACGGGCCATGCGATTTTGTTGCGGAGGAAGAGCTGCTCGCCATCATCCCCAGACGTCTGCCGATTTTGAGCAAGATTCTGTAGATCCGCCCAGCGGCGCAGATAGTCTTCCCACAAGTTCTGCCACCGTTTGCGCTCTTTTCGCTTCTCACCTCGTCGAAGACTGGCTTCGATCTGTGTATTGAAGATGTGGTCGTCGTGCTGCCAGGCCTGACTCTCACTCTCGGCTTTCTTTTCTTCGTCGCGTATCCTCTGTCTGTCGCGTTCTCTTTCTCGCCTCTTCTCTTCCTTTGCGGCTTCCATCCCTTCCCAGCTCTTTTCCCACATCTTTCGCCGGACAAACTGTGCATATTCCTCGTCCGTCATGCGTTCCAACTCCCCGGTCTTGTCATCTTGATAGGTGTCAGGATAATTGTGTATAGGCTGTCCGTAGAAACCTTCCCAGAACGCTGCCCCTTCATCGTCTCCGAGAGCGTCGAACAGCGACTCTCGAAATGCTTGATCGGGCGACAGATAATTCAAGGAGGGCTCTCGTGAGTGCAGCCTATCTTTGGCATGCCGCGACGACCTGTGGCGTTTCCTGTGTCTATAAGAAGAGTCATGATCCGTCCGTCGCTTGTGACCCCTTGATTCATTGTCGCTGCGATGTTCATCGTCCCTCTTGGACTTGAACCGAAAACGCTTCGATCGTTCCTCATGGCGACCGTGTTGTGCCGTTGTCTCCTCATACAGCGGGAGATCTGGGGCCTCAGACATGCTCAAAAGACTTCATCTATCTTCCAGAGTATGCGTTGAGTGGTAGGGAGTAAGTGATTATGGCTTAACTTGTCGGTTAGTGGCGCACTTTGCTGATGTCAAGGCTGCTCGTAATAATATTAATCCGACCCGAACATACATGCCAAGATATCAAATGATTGACTCAAAATTGAGACTGTCGGTGGCAGTGGAGAATCTCACGACTCCCCTCAAGGGAGGATGTGTTGTTCTCGTCTCTGGCGCATCCCCAAAATTTCTAGATTCTCTAAAGTCACAGCCTTCGAAATAAGAGCCATTCCCGTTCACCAAGGACTGTGCACCTCTCCACTATCTCGTCAGTGTAATCGCTTGAGCAACACAAACCCAATCCTTGCAGCTCTTCCCAGTGTCGTCAATCAACAATATCGATTTCATTCCAGCACTCCAGCGACAGAACCCACGATGACGGGAGAAATCAGTGAAAAAGTCTCCTCGCTGACGCTGGAGGAACTGGGGAAGAGCAAGAACCCCATGGACTTCTATCGACAACACATCGCCGAGAAATTGGCTCCCATCATCAACCGAGCAGCAGCCGAGATTGTCCCCCTAATTCAATGGACTACGACCTTGGACAAGGGAGATTTCAATCTGGCGGTGCCTGCATTGAGGGTCAAGGGCAAACCACCGCAAGAACTGGCGAAGGAGATCGTCGAAGCATTTCCCACGACAGAGGACACTTTCGTCATGGTATCCCAGGCTGGTCCGTTCGTCCAGTTTTTCGCCAAACCTCAACATCTGATCAACATGACAATCTCTGAAATCCTAAGGAGCACGAAGGCGTATGGCTGCAACCCTGCCCCTGGCCTCAAGGACCCATCAGACCCGTCAAAGGGCCGAAAGAAACTCATCGTGGAGTTCTCGTCCCCGAACATAGCCAAAGAATTTCACGCCGGCCACCTCCGGAGTACCATCATCGGTGGTTTCCTGGCCAAGCTGTATCAACGCATGGGTTGGGACGTCCTGAAGATGAACTACCTGGGAGACTGGGGCAAACAGTACGGCCTGTTAGCCAACGGGTTCAAGCAATTTGGCAGCCAAGAGGAATTAGACAAGAACTCAATTGCGCACCTGTTTCACGTCTACGTGGAAATTAACAAGGTCAAACTCGCCCAGGACGAGCCCATTAATGAGTTGAAGAAGGAGATCAAGGAGAAAAAAGACAAGGGCGAAGATGTGTCAGCACTGGAAGCCAAACTTGCACCCCTTGTGGAAGCAAGCGAGGATGAGAAGGCGCGAAAATATTTCAAGAGCATGGAGGAAGGAGACCCCGAGGCATTGGCCCTGTGGCAGAAGTTTAGGGATATGAGCATCAAGAAATACCAGAACACGTATGCCCGGTTGAACATTGAATTTGATGTGTACTCTGGGGAGTCACAGGTGAAGGCTGAGACTATTAAGCGGGTTTTGGACAGTCTGCTGGCACAGGGGATTGCCGAGTATTCGGATGGCGCAATCTTGATTGACTTTACCAAACATGGTGCGAAAAAACTCAACAAAGCAATCATCGTGCGAAAGGACGGCACGCCGTTGTATCTTACCCGAGACCTGGCGGCGATTTTGGAGCGACACGACCAGTACCACTTTGACAAGATGATTTACGTGGTTGCGGATCAACAGAACGAACATCTTGCCCAACTGTTCAAGACCACCGAGATCAGTGGGCACAAGGACGTGGCAGAGAAGTGCGAGCATATATCCTTCGGCATGGTGAAGGGCATGAGCACCCGAAAAGGAACGGTCAAATTCCTGGACGACATCATCCAGACGGTCAAAGACACCATGCTCGAAGTGATGAAGAAGAACGATCAGAAGTATTCTCAGCTGGACGATCCCGAGGCAGTTGCCGATGTGCTGGCCATTACCGCCATCATGGTGCAGGATTTGTCAGGCAAGGTGCGGAATGGGTATGAATTCAACATCAACCAGATGACGGCATTCGAGGGCGACACCGGTCCGTACTTGCAGTACGCGCACGCTCGGCTATGTTCGATTGAACGAAAAGCCAATGCCGACCTGAGTAGTTTGAGCTCTGCCGACCTTTCCTTGCTGAAAGAAACCCACGCCATCAACCTGGCTCGTTCGCTGGCACAATATCCGGATGTGGTGCTGAATACGCTCAAGACTCGAGAACCTGCCACCATCCTCACCTATCTGTTCAAAATGGCGCATGCGCTGAGCTCAAGCTACGACCATCTACAAGTGGTTGGCAGCGAACCTGAGCTGCAGAAGGCTCGGTTGGCGTTGTATGAGGCTGCCCGACAGGTGCTGTGGAATGGCATGACGCTACTGGGGTTAAGTCCGGTGGTGAGGATGTAAGATGGATTGACTGTGAAGCACGCTCAGAAGTTCCGCAAATCCACAATCACCAGAAAAATATTGTCGTCAAATCGGAGGCTTGTAGGGCTTCTAAGGGGATTTCAAAAATCATGAGGTTTCCGTCTTTCCTACAAGTCTATCGAGTTTCGCGTCCAGAGCGAGTGCGTGGAATTTCGGATCTCGTTTTAAAACGCACAAAGGTTACTCGGCCTGGCTTCAATCGGCGGCGTGCGATATTTCAGATGTATCCGGGTGGTTGGCGGCGCAAACGCCACTATCCTGCTCACCATGACCTACCAAAGCAAAAAAAACATCGTCGGCCAGTGGCGGCGCGCTTTCTATTCCGCCACCCTCATTGGCGCCGGAAGCATTGGTAGAATTGTCGGGTCCTTGACCTTCCGCAGCCAGGACGCACCAACCCACAGGTTAGTCTTTTTTTCTTTCTCCGTATATCCGAACCTCTAAACCACCACTCTCGACCTTTTGGCGCCTCGATGTGCTGACAAGTCGACATCCAGACCCGGTCTCTATATCTGCTTCACCGCTGCTGCGCTGCTGGTGGCGTCGAGCCTGATCACCTCGTTCTATTTCGTTAGTCAAAACAGAAAACAAAAGGCCGGCAAGGTTGTGATTGAGGGTTGGAGGGGTTTAGGTATGCCTATTGAGCCTTCATACTAGGAACTGCCCCAGTATCCACATAGCTATCATGCTATGTGGCTATCCTAGATAGGACGGTAAGTACATCTGGATAGCTCTTCATATACAAAATGGAAACTTCATGGCCCCCGCTTTAAGTAGCGTTCGTAGTGCTAGTTGTGTTAGCCCAGTCGATCTCGATCGCGGAGCGCTCTTTGGTGCATCTTCCACTTCTTGCTGCCTAGTATTTTCTATGCGGACTGGAAGCTGTCAATGTCTTTGTGGTGCCTGATTAGTGGGCTTACCGCCACCACCTTTGACGATATCAAAGATCCTCAGACAGCGAGAAGATATAGAGCTGGTTTGAGCACTCCTCCGCGGTTCCATGGACCTCTCCATCGACAGGAGGATCACGATATCTATCAGGCCCGGCATTGACAGCGTTTTCAAGCGGATGGCGGAGGTGCTTAGGATAGCCTTGTCGAGCATTAAGCTAATTCGCCATTTCTGAAATCGCCGCCCTGAGTCAGTCTCTCCGTCGACAATCCTCTACCTTGCAAACCTTGGGAAGCGATACAACACTAAGCCCCCCTGGCCACGACTGGTCGAATGCGTTCCTCAAGCGCCACCCGAAGCTGACGGGGAAACGAAAGAAGCCTCTGGAATGGGCACGATTTGACATATATGAGAAAGCCGTGGGGTGGTTCGAGATGATTGGAAGACTGCTTAACGACCCCAAAGCCGCATGACGAGGACATCTCCGGTAACAGACTGGCAAAACCTCAGTCACAAGCCGTAACTTTTGATGAAGTCATGTCCCTGCGTAAGTATATTGAGCAGGGTATCGGGTGGCTTGAGCCAGATATCCGGAATCGTGTCGAGGAGCTGGCCAAGTCCAGCGAACGGGTCATCACGGCCCGCGATCTCCTTTTACATGAGAACTCCGAGTTGACTAGGCAGAACGATGCCAATAGTACTCGAGCATCAAGGAAGTGGATTATCGTGGGGAAGGGGAAGATAATGAGCTATGAGGATATCAAAGAAGCGATCAGGAAGCGTGAAGAGGAGGAAACTCTTAAAAGAAGCCATCTTGCGCCTGACGCGAACAATCCAGGGCCGACCCCTCGAGGCAAGGCAGTAATCATGCGAAGAGGCGATTCAATTGGCGCAAGAGGAATGGCGAGCGAACAATAGGGAGGCTTTGCGTCCGTCTTTTGAATTTTCGGCATCAAATTGTAGATTTCAACTATTGCTGACTTGTGACTGACGTTGATCGTAAGTCGCAACACAGTACAATACGTACTGCGAAATTCTTTGGTCTTTTCCAACTGCTCCATGTTCATGCAAGAGGGTACGTAAGCTACAATGAAGATGCGGATGATGCGTGGACAAGGGTGCAGGAAAGAAGCGAAGCGAAGATATTTGGAAAGGCTGTGTGTGGCTGGGAACGCTAGCGGCATTGACCAATCATGTTGGACATATCTCACATTTCTGCCCAACCCCTCACAGCTGCGGCTCAGCCGCGACGCCCAATTGCCAACACAGCAAGCACATTGTAACAGGCAGTTCTTCCATAAGATGCCGCTGCATATTCATTCCACAACTTGTGGGTTGTTACATCCTGCGGTCCAGACGCCTTTGCGTTTTGTGACCAGACTTTGGTGGCAGAATGGGAAAGTTGAAGTCGTTAGTACGTCGACGGCAAGGTACTTCAACTGCTGCCCCCTCGACTGCTGCCCTCTCGACATTTCCACCACCGAACGCTTCTATTACCACCCTTCCTAGACCGAGTCCTGCCTTTCCTTGGTCGTCAGAATCATTATGGAGAGATGCCTACGAAATACTGAAACAACGAGAACCTAGACTGGTACAGTCTTTTGAAGAGCTCACAGGCGCTGGCTCCACTTCAGTGGATCAAATACATGCTGTTATTAAAGCAAGATTGGACAGACGAGAGGAACGCCAGTGGATCGTCACTATTGCCAGCAAATCTGTTAAGGTTCGGGAATATGGAGAACGCCTTATCAAGTTCGTTCTATGGAGCAAGGATATTGTGGCCGCTGCTCTTAGCACTCAACCGTTTATGGCACTCGCATGGTCGGGCGTCACAATGTTGTTACCGGTACAGTAGTTCATGACATATACTGTGTTTCGCTGACCAGTTCAGTTGGCGTTAGCACCAAGTGAAGAGAGCGATGCTATGATAGAAGGACTTGAACACACCGCCTCGTTAATAAGGCTGTACGAAATACGGACTCGTTTACGTTGTGGATCCACTGCAGACGAATACCGCAACGCAATCACACAGCTATACTCCCGAATCCTCGAATACCAGGCGTCCATGGCCTGCCACTTATCTGACAGTAGTATAGTTCGCGGTATGCACAGTATCAGTCGACCTGGTCAGTGGATGAACTCTCTGAAGAATATTGACAATGCCGATCAGTACTGTCAGATGCATGAAGCTTTGTTGGACAAAGAGGATGAAAGAGCACAGTGGGAGCAACAAACTAGCACCATAGAGAAGTCTGGCAAGATCCAACAACAGATCCTCGATGCCTTGCGCGATGTTCTTGCCACTCGCGCTGCCGACAGGGAGGACGATCATCAACGAAAAATACTCCATTGTCTGGCTGCTGACTACGCTGGACAGAAGAATTTCAATCCGAGACGTGTGCCAGGCACCTGTCGATGGTTCCTTGATGACCCCCGTTTCCATCGATGGCGCGATTCGACAGAGTCCAGCTTGCTTTGGCTGTCAACTGGCCCGGGCTGTGGCAAGTCAGTCCTGTCGCGTGCTTTGATCGATGAAATGCTTCTCACTACGCAGTTGATGACATCGACAGTGTGCTATTTCTTTTTCAAAGATAGCCTCGAGCGGCGACAACGGGGAGAGGACGCGCTATGTGGTATCCTTCACCAGCTGTATTCTCAAAATTTGGCATCCGGCTTGATTAACCACGCCTACCAGCCTTTCAAGTCATATGGACGAGGACTACGTTCAATGTTCTATCCTCTGTGGAACCTACTCATGGCAACAGCCGGTGATTCATCGTCAGGAGAAGTAATCTGTCTGTTGGATGCTTTGGATGAATGTCAAGCAGACGCCAGACAGCAATTGCTCGATCAGCTCCGTCAGTTCTATGATGACACCAGGCAGAGTGGTCCTAAGACACCTCGAATTAAATTCCTCATCACGAGTCGTCCAAACTCCGATATTGACGGAAAGTTTCGCCTTCTAGGCCCTGAGGTCAACTTCATTGTATTTGCTGGTGACGACCGATCAGACCTTATTAGCCAAGAGATCAATCTTGTCATCGACCAGCGCATGCCAGAAGTGGTTCCGCGGCTCGACTCGGCATCTCGTTGCGTCCTTGCGGATCATTTGAAAGGAATGCAACATCGGACATACCTGTGGCTGCATTTGGTAATGGAGGAGATTCGACTTCGATTCGCCAGTCATGCAACAGTAAAACGGATCGAGACTCTACTACAGCAACTTCCCACATCTGTCGTTGACGCATACGAAAATATCCTCGGTCGAAGTGTTGAACCGGAAGCTGCTCGTATTATTTTGCAGATCGTTCTGGCGGCCACGCGTCCTCTGACGGTGGACGAGATGACCGTTGCAGTAGCGATAGCAAGGACGAAGTATGTTCGGTCCTATGAAGATCTTGATCTCGAGTCTGACGATGTTCGAGAATCTAATCTTCGGAATATGTGCGGATTCTTCATCAGCATCAGTGATTCCAAGGTATCTCTCATTCACCAGACCGCCCGTGACTTTCTCCTCAAATCGGACACAGAGAATGGCAGCAACAGTACCTCATCCGTTTCGAGTAAGAAATGGCAGGGTTCTGTAGACTTAGTCGTTGCTGAACATACTGTTGCCCGAGTTTGTATCGCACTGCTCCTTTTCGATGTCTATCAAAAGAGAATGCCGTGGTCGAATTTTTATGGTGACAGCGGCGAGTGGCATTACCGATATCAAAACCTGACTTCTAGTTATCCACTGCTCAACTATGCTTCTACAGGATGGTCAAAACACTATCGGGCGTCCCAGCACATGTCAGTGGATGAAGAGATTGGGTTGGCCCTATCAATCTGTGATATTCGTCAGGGCTACTTTCAGACGTGGTTTCCTATATATTGGTACACAGAAAAGTCTGGAAAACGTCCTTCGGTGACTGCTCTGGTCGTTGCAAGTACCTTTGGTTTCACCACGGTAGTGAGAAAAATCCTCTTTCTTGCAACTCAGGGCGAACGCGATGTGGATGCAGCTCGTCGACCCACGATGTCAGGGGACCTGATTAACGAATCAACTGAATACTACGGTACTGCGCTACAAGTGGCGTCAGGGGAAGGCCACGTCGAGATAGTAAAGCTACTCCTCGACTCGGGCGCCGACGTGAACGCGCCGGGGAAACGCTACAGCGATACTGCGCTACAAGCGGCGTCGGCGAAGGGCCACGTCGAGATAGTAAAGCTACTCCTCGACTCGGGCGCCGACGTGAACGCGCCGGGGAAACGCTACGGAACTGCGCTACAAATGGCGTCAGCGAAGGGCCACGTCGAGATAGTAAAGCTACTCCTCGACTCGGGCGCCGACGTGAACGCGCCGGGGGGATACTACGCAACTGCGCTACAAATGGCGTCAGCGAAGGGCCACGTCGAGATAGTAAAGCTACTCCTCGACTCGGGCGCCGACGTGAACGCGCCGGGGGGATACTACGGAACTGCGCTACAAGTGGCGTCAGGGGAAGGCCACGTCGAGATAGTAAAGCTACTCCTCGACTCGGGCGCCGACGTGAACGCGCCGGGGAAACGCTACAGCGATACTACGCTACAAGCGGCGTCGGCGAAGGGCCACGTCGAGATAGTAAAGCTACTCCTCGACTCGGGCGCCGACGTGAACGCGCCGGGGGGATACTACGGAACTGCGCTACAAGCGGCGTCGGCGAAGGGCCACGTCGAGACAGTAAAGCTACTCCTCGACTCGGGCGCCGACGTGAACGCGCCGGGGGAACGCTACGGAACTGCGCTACAAATAGCGTCAGAGGAAGGCCACGTCGAGATAGTAAAGCTACTCCTCGACTCGGGTGCTCTCAATACTTAAGCCATGGGCTTGAATTGCGGGGGGAGATATTCATTTCAGTCGCTTGTAGATCAGAACTGGCAGGAAGAGGTCGACATTTCCTTGGGGATCCCCAAAAGACTGAAAATCATGTCAGACCTCTTAGTGCATGCTTCTCAGGCAGAACCCAGTTCATGATAGATTTCTTAGACGTTCAGGTCTAAATTCCTAGATGTGTCTCTTTGGAACAAACAAACAAGCATTATTACCCCTACGGCGAAATGGCTAATTAGGTCACGTCGTTCACGGCTGGACTTCCACTAGACGGGAGAACCCGGCCTGGCAAAGCTGAAAACTGGTCGAAGGATTTCGACCGTCGCCTTCGACTATCATGGATTTTCGGCTCTTGCGTTCATGCAACATGACAATGGCGAGCAGGGGTGGCCGGCTGATTGGGGGAAAGGGAGTTCAAACAGGGGATCAGGCTGATAAGGACGTTAGAGCAGCTGCAGCAACTGGCCTCGAGAGGCGGCATTCGGAGCTTCGACGTACCAGTAGGTAGACTGGATTTCGGATGAGGATGGTGCAACCCCTTCCCCCCGTCCTCAAGGCTGAAGTGAAGGAGGGGTACATGCAAACGTAGACGAACTTGGGTTTAGTCAGGGCAAGGACTGTTTGCCAGCGTCACAGTGCGTTGGGCAGCCACACCAAGGTCCCCTGTCCACCCTGTCGCCACCCCTGCCGTACCGCTTCTGGAGGGGTGAAGTTGATGTCTCCTCTCCCGGTGTCGGATCGAAGACAAAGCAGGAATCCGAAGGCAGCAACTCCAAGTGGGTGGCGAGTGACTCAGGCTGATAGCAGTGGGTGACCTCGCACGGGAACACGTCTGTCTGCCTGTCTGCCTGCCTGTCTTCAGGACAGATGTACTCGATGCGGTGCCCTGATAGGACCAGGTGTGCCGGAATTGCAGGCAGCGCAGCTCAATGGATGCGTGGATGGAGGGGTAAATGAAAGTGTTTGATAGAGAGGGGGGAGGAGCGGCAGCGAGCCTGAGGCACGCGCTCACGAACACCACCACCAACGCCAGAGTGGTCAGCATCCACCATACCCTAGCACCAGCATCAGCACCAGTTGTTCAGCTCCAATGAGTGAGCGAATCTCTTCACGAGCACCTATCTGCGTGTAGGCTCCCCGCGTTTTCTCCCGCCCACCACCAGGCTCCCGTGCCACAGACCATTTCATGGTCTTGTACCACAATGCCATCCCCCATGTGAACACACACCACGTTCTGGTCTGACACTTGGAAGACGGTGGCAGGCTGGAAGAATTCACGCAGATACACCATGGATCCTGTGGGCTGCATGAGGGATGCAGTCGTGGTCTGGGGGGTGTTTGATGATTGATATGGTTTGACCGAACCTCTCGTTTCCGGGGGAGGGTGTGTTCTTCTTGGCCGTCGGCTTTGCTCGACAACCTTCCCGCCGTTGAGGTTGTTATCGACAGACATGAGTCCCCGGGAGGAGCGTCGAGTGCAAGCGAGGCGAAGAGGTGGGATGGGACGGAGGACAGGAGTGGCAGACGGTGGCAGTTACCCTTCCCTCGAGTGGATAAGCAACTAGCAAGCGACTTGGACGGTCTCGGCATGCTGAATGGTGCGAATGGTGGCCGGGGATGTGTAGGTTGGGCAGCTCATTGGGCTCTATCTTCCATTCAGAAGGCCGCAATTTTCACGACAACGCGCATCACGCAACTAAAGGCACCCCGCTTACACCAGCCGGGGGGCGAGGACGATGGGAGACGGCGAGGATTTGAGGAATTTCGTGGGCCATCACACGTCTGGCTTGCCGCGCCATTTTCCACCCCCCTTCCTCTCGCACTCTCGTCGGACCCTGGCTCTGGCACAAGTGGCTGTCTGAGAGGGAAAAAAAAGGAAAGAATTCAAAAAACCATCCCGACTCCTGTTCGTCATCCTGCAGCCGGTCACCAGTCATTCCTCCAACCCCCATCCCACCACCTTAGCTGCTGGAGTTTTTGGCACACCTCGTCCTCTGATTCTTCTCACACTCCTTCCTACACGAACAAACGCACACACGCACAAAACCACACCTCCTGGCTGCCCCTCGTTCCTCCTCCGCGTTGCCTGCCTAGAGCCACGCGTAGTGGGGTCGACTCAAGAATGACTCCCTTGCAGAAGAACATCCTCAGCACCAAGCGCCATTAACTCCCTCCATCTCCTCCCTTCCTCCCTCCCTCTGTGAGAATCCTGTCGAGGATCAGCAGCAGCGAGTTCTCCCCGTGCGAGGTCTCCAGCGTGCTGTGGCCGATCTCTGCAGCCGGCCTTTGCATTGACAGGCGCGCACATTCCCCCGGCAAATCACCATCGCACACGCATTACCCCCATCATCTGAGATCGTCGTCGAGGCGACGGACGTTCCCTGTGCGACCTGATTCCTGCATTTGCCATCTACAAAGCCATTGTTACAACACTCGGATGTGGAACACGCCTGAGGCAAGCAACCTGTAACCTGCGACTCAAGAGCCAGTGGAATGCAACAAACATACTCGAAGGTGATTGAGACGGAATACAAAACTGATCCCGAAATGGACCCGCAACCACATAGACTGGACTGAAATTGATCTGCCATCACCCCCAAAAACTTAACAGGTGGGAAAGTGATTAGGTCTGAGAGCCAATCCATCGACAAAGATATCTTGGAGGGCAGAGCCAGACGAAACGACAAACACATCATACGGATTGCTATTTCAGCAACAAAAAGCCCCCCGGAACGCCACGAGCCGCGGCCACTGGGATCAACCCCCAGTGCCCCCTCAGGGAGGATATCAGCGCATCGTTGTGGCCGCCCCGCGACTCCGAGCAGCCTTACGGGCCGGACCCCCTGCACGATAAGTACCTTGCCGTGAACTTTAGCGCATCATCACTCGGTCGGGGCCCCTGTCACTCCACCCACTCCCCCAAGCCGACACGACCACGCCCTCCTCCCGATAGTTTCCACCGCCTCTGTCACATCAACTCATTCCTCATTCACCTCGGGGCTCAACAATCTCAACAATAATCACCCACCATCTTCTTTCGTCACCGCTTCCATGCACGACTCTGACCGTCGTCGTCCTCGGGCAGCCACTTGTGAAGACTGGGACGAGGACACCCAGTCGGCGCTTCCTGGCTCTCAAACCAGTGCCAATGTCTCCGTCAAACGCTCTCAGCAAGATCTCGCTATGCGACAACAACGCGAGAGGAGTGAATTCAACGATGACGGAGGTGACTCGGGCTACGCCAGTCGGGCTGGTACGGTTACCGGTGAGTCCACCTCCAGTCGGCGCAAGATGCCAGATCTGAAGCTCGACAACGTCGGATTTCGCGAAAGAGAACGCAAGCCGTACCTGATCTCTCAAAACGGCCGCTCTCAGCCCACAAGTCGCCGCCAGTCATCTTCCCAATTAAATGAAATGTCGTCGGAGGCAAGACCTTATAAGGCCAAGCACGAAGTGCACGAGCGAGGATCTGGTGGGAATCATGAACACCACCACGTCAAGCACGCCGACACAAAGCAGCAGGACCCATACCGAACCGCCAAAGGAGCCCCGCCGCATTCCTCTGCAGGGGGAATCAAGACCGTGGTCCCGAAAGGCACAAAGGATGACCAGGCACTCCCTGTCAAAGTCCGAAGAGCGTCCTCGAACCAGCAAGCGAGACCGGTGAGCATGTTTCCCAACGCTGCTGTTCCAATCCAGTATATGAATCATCCCATGTACGGGCCACCCTCCGTGGCGACGTCAGGTTATGCGACTCCGGTCACGCCAAACATGCCCTACAGTCCAATGCCATATTCATATATCGTTCCCGCACCGTTACCGACGCCGTCATATGCGGTTTACCAGCAACTTCCCGCTTACTTCGACCAACCAAACATTCCTGAACCACGTTCAGCGAGGCCAAGTCGACACCCAAGCCCGGCTCGGCGGTCAAGTGTCTATGGTGAACCTGTTATTCGACAAGGGTATCCTGAATCCGGAATGATGACTCTCGAGCGAATCCCTCCAGCGGAAGTTCGGCCGCTGCCATCGTCTCAAAAGTCGAACCGCAACCTTGAAGATGATGACCGCGCGGTCATGCCGCCGCCACCACGACCGCCCCAACCCGAAGCTGTGCTTTCACGTCGACCCAGCAACCGAAGGGCGAAGACCTATCACCCGCAAGAGCCACAACCTCGTGAGAGGGTAGTGTATGAGCCTGAGCGCTACGATAGCGATGAGGACCATGACTACCGGCCGTCTCGGCCTCCCCCTTCAGCTTTTCGTGACCGCAGGGAATCTTCTTCTCGTCCACCCTCGTCGTACCGCCCGCCTGGACCTGCAGAGACGCGCGACCGGCCTTTGCCCAGAAAATCTGTCTCTTATTCAGCGGGAACGACCGTTACAAAGATTGCAAGCTCTGCCCCGCACAACATTCCTCGCCGCATGACCGTCCCTTTGGAGGAAAAAGAAGCCCAGATCGAAGAATATCAGTCGAGGCGAAACAAGACCTCCAGTGAGCTGACCGCTGAAGCTCTTCGTGACTTAGATCAGCGCAATTCAAGCTCGAGATCTGAGACAGGAAGTAACTTCAGTCGGCAGTCGTCCTCGAAAGACTCTTCCGGCCGAGGAAGGAGTCAGACCAGCGGCACAAAGACCAGCATCACCCTTCCCGGCGGCTTGAACATGACGATTCCTCCTGACTATATCAACAAAGACGGACGACCTCTGAGCATCAGCATCGGAGGGCTTGTCTTGTCGGTCGGTGCCGAAGGCAAAGAAAATGAGCGACCAAAGGAGCAAAAGAGGATTGAACGTGCACCGAGCGTTACGAGTCGAACCTCCAAGAAGAGTGTCTCCAGTAGTGTCATCTCCGCGCGGGAAAGAGATCGAGAAATGTCCACATCCAGGCGGCCTTCGTATTTGGAAGAACGAGGTCCAAGTCTGAGGTCAAGTCGCCAGCCCAGTCGGGCACCCAGCATCAATCGACGCAGCCAGGACTATTCTGCCCGTCAAAGTGTCGACTACAGCTACATCGACCTATGAAGCGTTCTACCTCATGTACCATGTTCTTAAAGGCCCATCTTCGGCGCGGAGTTGGTTCTTGTCCATAGCTTTTTTCTTTTTGTGTCTGGGTTGGCCATTCTCACGTGTCTTTTTTCCCCAAGCGTTCGGTTATTCAGTCTCGATGGCAGGGCACTTGTTGATCCCTTGATCTTTTTATTGTTTTCTTCAGGCATGCTGTGCTTCTCACAGAAGCCGGCCATGCTTGCGCCGCTGCCGCTGCTCTTCTGCTGGGTTGGGATAATTGTCGACCCTACTTCCGTTGAAAAAGCAGATCTCAAAAAAGTACAACACAAAAGTTGTTTGATACCCTCGATACGCTTTGTGTGTGTGTGTGTGTGTGTTTACGACCCAAAAGCGAAAACAAGGCAGGAGGATTTCTGTTTCCACCTGCTCGTCCGACGGGCGATGGAATCATGGTGGCACTGAGATGCCATACGAAAAGCAGCGAGCGGCACCTTTTCTTCGGGATGATGTGTTTACACAATGTTCTGACTCTTTCCTTTGTTTTTCTCTATGAAGAACTCTCCTCTGTTTCTTTTCGAAAGGATATGGTCCTTTGGGGGTTGACCTGGCTGGCCACGTCAACCTAGAATTCAGGTGATTGGGAGATCCGTGAGACAGGATGCCACTGGCGCACCCTCACAAGACTGTCGAAATTGAGGTTGGAGATGGGGTTTCCACAACTCGAACTGTGCGCGTTCCAAGGTTTTTTCGACGACGATGTTATGAATACGTACGATGGGATGATGATGTGAATGATTGAACTGGCACGGCGCCGCAAATACACCTAATCGATGCGGACAGACCTGGGCACAACTCTTTCTGGGGTCCACGATGGGCTATTATCCTGGCGCGCGCAGCCTGCACGGCCCCCCTATTCAAGCAAGGACACACACACACACACACAACCACTACTTGTCCTCATGGGCTATGGGACGATTTTGCGGGTTCTATGTCTGCTCTTGTTGCAGCCAGCACCCACCAGCCTTCTAGACGGGACGGACCCGGAAGAGCCCTACTACTGTTACTTCCCCGGAGCAGATAGCACAGAACAGAATAATCATGGCAAAGGCCATAATGACAAATCCGAAACCTTCACCGGGCTCGAGAACCACGCGTCTCTGTAGACATGTGTAAGAAAGTGTCGTGAGAGAATGAGTAAAGTTCTTTTCGACCTCCCGGCCCTTTTTGTTTCCTCCAATGGCTCATTGCCATCTAATAATCTAACTAGGTGGTTCTGGAGGAGGGTGCATCTTCATCAGCTCAGGTTTCTTCTTTTCGTCACTCATCAAATACCTTGGGCAAGTAGTGGCCAAGGGGAGGTGGAGAGGCAGGCAGGCTCTCCAGGCTCTCTGTTTGGCCGGCCTCCCCGTTCCCCCCTCCATCGTCAGTCTGTCGTCTGCACTCGTGCGCATGCATATCTCTCTCTCTCTCTCTCAGGGCCCTACCAAGCAGGGTTGAAATCCACACACGCCATACGCAACTCCCCCTGATGTATGCACTTTCACCATCATTTCCCATTCTTTACATTTCAGTTCGTTTCAGGGGTTCTGTCGTCCTGTGTCGCGTCGTGTCGTGTCGGTTCAACGAGTCGTTCATCATGCGCAGCCTCGGCGCCGTGTCCTCCTCCTCCTCCGGCTGCTGGGAGGATTACCCAGCTCGTGCATTCCGAGTTTCGTGCCTTGCCCCCCTGATGATCAGAGTCCGAAGTGTGGCGGGCGCCGGCGGCGGGGAAATGGATGTTGTGTGGGAATGGCAGGCAGACGACGGATACGCACAGGTGGATTTCTCGCGACGCCGTGCAACACCTCATGGTGGCGGAGAGAAAAGGCCAAGGCACCAGGTCGTCGAAATCTTTTGAATCTCCACTTTGCTGGGAAGTTCTTCGGGCGATTGTCGTATGTTGCTCTGATGTTTCAGCTCGTTCTGGGCCATGCATGCCCTTCTTTGCGTCCGAGACTTCCGCACTCTTCATTATGACTGTGTGGTCATGGCTCAGGACCCCGTTTACTCGCCATGCTTGATCCCCAGAAAATGAATTCCCTCGAGGTTGAAATGGTACAGCAGCTTCAAAAAATCGGCTTCGTCGCACATGCGCGCCCGCTTGTCCGCCAGCGCGGTCTTGTCTTCGAGGACGGCGCGGACTTTCTCGCGGACGAGGTGGAAGACTTTGTCGCGCTTCTTGCGGGACACGGAGCGCTCGGCGGGGCTCGGTCGGGGCTTGGTGGACTGCTGCTCCTTCAGCAGGCTGGGAAAGGTGTCTTCGTCGTCTTGGTCGTCGACGTCCATGAAGCCGGACCATTCTTCTTCTTCTCCCTCCTCGCCTCCGCCTCCGCCGCCGCTGTTGGGGCCGTCGTGCACGTTTTCGACTTCCATCAGCATCGCCTCGTCGGCCGGGCCCTCGTCGAGTGGGATATCGTTCTGTGCACACCACGTGCGGTAGCTCTGCTCCAGCATGTTCAACACGCTGCTCGTGCCCAAAAAGTTGGCCCGCAGCGTCTTGTTCTTCCGCACGAAACACACCCTCAACAGCCCATCCCACTCCTCGTAGCTGATGTTCGGTCGCGGCACTTTCGGGACCAGTCTCACCACGCTCGATTCGACCTGCGGAGGCGGCTTGAAGTTGTTCTTGCCGACTTTCATGATATGGTCAATCTTGGCCCACATCTGCGCGTTGACACTGAGTCTCGAGTACAATTTGTCGCCGGGCTTGGCGAACAGACGCATGGCGAACTCGCGCTGGAACATCAATATGCACACCCGGGGCGCGGGAGTCGTGGCCAGAAGTTTGAAAACCAGAGGCGAGGAAATTTGGTAGGGTGTATTCGAGATGCAGACGTCGAAGTAGGGTAGTTCGGTCTTGATCACATCCCCCAAAAGCACATCCAGTCTCTTCTGCTGAGGTGTGCCTTGGACTCGTTTCGTGACTTCGGCCGCCATGCGCGGGTCCAGTTCAACCGCGACACACTTTTTGGCCTTCTCCAAGATCTTCACCGTGAGGTTTCCGCTACCCGGGCCGACTTCCAGCACTATGTCGGACTGTTTGAGGTCTGCTTTATCGACGATTGCTTGTGCCACGCCGGGATTTTTGAGAACGTGTTGACCGATGTCCGTGTTCATTTTGAAGATCGCATTCGCAGCGGCGGAGGGCTTGGAGTAGGGCGAAGACGAAGAGGAGGAGGGTGCGCCGGAGCGCCTCCTTGCATTGACCTTGGGCATGTTGGGCGACGTTGATCCCAGGGTCCCGAATATGTGTTCCTGAGCACCGGGACGACGATAGCAGCCTCGCAAGGGCTAGAGGTCAGAGTTGTAGTCCGCAAAGGAGTCTGTAGATATTGAAAGTTGATGTCTGTGCAACTTTTTGGCGGTGAGAGGCGGCAGAATTTTGGTTGCGTGGGGAAATTCAAGGACATGCGAAGTGGCAGCCTTCGACCTTCAACCAAACAACTTCTGAAAAGCCAACGACCCTCAGCCACATCATCCCTGCTGCTGCTGCTGCTGCTGCTCCCGCCATCTCCCTCGGCAGGGTACCCTGCTTCCTTCTTTCGACCTGCCACAATGTCGCGGCGCGATTTTCTCAACCAACAAGCCCCCGAAAACTACGTTGCTGGTCTCGGTCGAGGCGCCACTGGCTTCACTACTCGATCCGACTTGGGCCCTGCTCGAGACGGACCCAGCGCCGAGCAAATCCAGGAAGCTCTTGCGCGACGAGCACAACAACTCGGTGCCGCACCTCCGACCGCATATGGTGCCGGAGCCAAGAAACAAGAGCAAGAAGAAGAGGATGATGACCGATTTCAAGACCCAGACAACGAGACAGGCTTGTTCGCCTCCGGCAATTTCACACAAGACGACGACGAGGCAGATAGGATCTATCAGGATGTGGACGAGCGGATGGGCAAGCGTCGGAAAAGACTCAGGTTAGTACCACCCTTCCCAGTTGCCCCTCCCTGCACAAAAGACACGTGGTTTATCTTTTCCACATGGGAACGAACAGATTACCGACATGATTCCTTCGCCGTCCTCTAGGGAAGAACGAGAACGAGAAGAACTCGAAGAGTATAACCGCAAGAACCCCAAAATCTCTGATCAATTCGCCGATCTGAAACGAGGCCTAGTCACTTTGACCGACGACGATTGGGCGAATCTTCCTGATCCGGGCGACCTCACGGGCAAGAATCGACGTGCGAGACAGAGCCGACTTCAGCGCTCTTATGTCGTCCCTGACAGCGTCCTGGCCAGGGCACGGGATTCTGCCGAGTTTTCGACCAGTGTGCAAGATGATGCCATGGATGGCGTCGTCACCAGTTCAGACCAGAAAGATGGAACCATGACAAACTTTGCCGACATTGGTGCGGCAAGAGACAGAGTGTTACAAACCAGGCTGGACCGGGCGGCAAAAGCGGACGCCGGCACGGGAACGGCAACGACGATTGATCCGAAAGGATACCTCACCAGCTTGGAGACGTCGGAATTTGATCCCTCCAAGGTGCAGCTTGGCGAGATCCAGCGAGTGCGGACACTCCTCGACTCCGTGATCAAGACAAATCCCAAGCACGCACCCGCATGGATTGCCGCAGCCCGTTTGGAGGAATACGCTGGCAAGATTGTCGCGGCGAGGAAAAAGATGGCCCAGGGCTGTGAGATGTGTCCCAAGAGTGAAGATGCCTGGTTGGAAAACATCCGACTCAACGAAGGGCAGAACGCTAAGATCATCGCTGCAAATGCCATCAAGAACAATGAACGGTCGACGAGACTGTGGATTGAGGCCATGAGACTGGAGACGGAGCCTCGAGCAAAGAAACGGGTCCTCCGGCAAGCGATCGACCATATTCCGCAATCAGTGGCCATCTGGAAGGAAGCAGTGAATCTGGAGGAGGATCCTGACGATGCGAAACTGCTCCTGGCGAAGGCCACCGAGATCATTCCATTGTCCGTTGAGCTCTGGCTTGCTCTGGCCCGTCTGGAGACGCCGGAAAATGCCCAGGCCGTTCTGAACAAGGCTCGAAAAGCTGTGCCCACCAGCCACGAGATTTGGATTGCTGCCGCCAGATTACAAGAACAAATGGGTAACGCCAACAAGGTCAATATCATGAACCGTGCTGTGAAAGCGTTGGTAAAGGAAGGTGCCATGCTGAAGCGCGAGGAATGGATCACGGAGGCTGAGAAGTGCGAGGAGGAGGGTGCTGTCTTGACATGCGGTGCTATCATCCGGGAGACTCTCGGCTGGTCTCTGGACGAGGACGACGACCGAAAAGAGATCTTCAAGGACGACGCCAAGGCAAGTATTGGGCGAGAGAAGTTTGAAACCGCTCGAGCCATCTATGCTTATGCCTTACGCGTCTTTCCCACCAGCAGATCACTGTGGCTCGCCGCAGCTGACCTGGAAAGGAATCACGGTACCAAAGACGCCTTGTGGCAAGTCCTGGAGAAGGCTGTCGAGGCCTGCCCTCAATCAGAAGACCTGTGGCTCCAGCTCGCACGAGAGAAATGGCATGCCGGCGAAATCGACGATGCCCGCCGGGTGCTCGGTAAAGCATTCAATCAAAACCCCAACAACGAGGAGATCTGGCTTGCCGCTGTCAGACTAGAGGCCGACGCCGGACAGGTCAGTCAAGCACGAGAACTCCTTGCGACGGCAAGACAAGAGGCTCCGACTGAGCGGGTGTGGTATAAGAGCGCGGCGTACGAGAGACAGCTGGGCAATACCGATGTCGCCCTCGACCTGGTTCTTCAAGGTCTTACGTCGAGAGTGATTGACAAGAAAGAGACCCGCTTTCCACGAAGCCCCAAGCTGTGGATGATGAAAGGGCAGATTTATGAGGATAAGGGGATGATACCACAGGCCCGAGAAGCGTATGCACAGGGCACCAGAGCGTGTCCCAAATCTGTGCCGTTGTGGCTCCTCGCGGCGAGACTCGAACAGAAGCAGGGCATCATCATCAAAGCCAGATCTGTACTGGATCGTGCACGACTACAGAACCCGAAGAATGCCGAGTTGTGGGCCGAGAGTGTCAGAGTCGAGCTACAGGCCAACCCACCCAATGTCCAACAAGCAAAGATCCTCATGTCCAAGGGCCTGCAAGAGTGTCCTAAGTCAGGGCTTCTCTGGTCCGAGAACATCTGGAAACTACAACCTCGGTCGCAACGGAAACCGCTGAGTCTTGAAGCCATCAAGGCAGCAGATAACGATCCAGTGCTGTTTGTGACGGTGGGCCGGATCTTCTGGAGCGAGCGAAGACTGGATAAAGCTATGAACTGGTTTGAGAAGGCACTTGTGGCGGATCCTGACTTGGGAGACAGCTGGGCTTGGTACCTGAAGTTTCTCATGCAGCACGGCACCGAAGAGAAGCGAGAAGATGTCATTGCGAAGTGCGTTGCGAATGAACCCAAACATGGCGAGGTGTGGCAGAGCATCAGGAAAGATCCCAAGAACGCATCTTTGAGCACCAAGGAGGTGTTGATGGAGGTAATGAAGCGGCTGGAGGCGAAGGAAGTCATCAATTGACCGTGCTGACAAGTGAGGATATCGGTATCCAGTACTATGGGCATAGCACATCCCACGCGTCGATGAAGAGGGAGTTGGCAGGGCGGCTCTTGATCCCTCTAATTGGCCAGGAGCGGATCCGGGGGCCGATGATGTCATGGACCGATTTACCTTCTCTACCTACACTTTTCCCCCACCAGATGAATCTGCATTGGATGTTGCCATGTCTGCTCAGACTATGTATCCTAGTTATCTCGATGTATAAGTCATGGTGTCATTGAAGTGATGCGACATCCCTCCAATTCCGTCCATATTCCCCCATTCTCACCCCAACGATGGTTTCTTTAGCGTGTCATCATTCTGACGCGACATGCGCCATGATGATTGTCTCTGCAGTCACCCACCTCAATCTCGTGACGTTGCTGGCTCATCCCCCGGTCGGGTCTCCGATCCGCTGCAATAAATGTGTGCATCGCGGCATAGAGTAGAGTAGAAAAAGGCGAGTGGACGAAGTAATATAGTCGCGTGCCTGAAACTTTGAAAGGGCCAGAATGATCACTTTTGTTGCTTCAGATCGACACCTCGGCTTTCTACTCTTCCCTTTCTTGTCTTCATGAGTCCCAGACCACTGCTTCGTCTCGGGATCCCATTGCACCTACAACGAGAGGTCGCATCGACGACGAGGCTGCTCTCACGACTTACTCCTCCTTCGTCTTCCACCGCACATCTCTCATTTCCACGTTCCTCGTGCTCGCCCCTACGCGGTCTCGCTGCAGCTCGCATTCACGACATCTCGCATCGACCCGGCCGTTCGTTCACCACCGGCAAAATGAGCAAAGAGCAGGATCACGTCCCGTCTAAACAAGACAATGAAAGCCCCGAGGCCCATCAATACCAGGCGGGTTCCAGCACAGATCGCCCGGAGGATGAGTGGAAACACCGCGAGCCCTACCGGATTCACGACAACAACAACGAGGATTTCCCTGTCAAGTGGGAAGGGCAGTGCCACTGTGGCAAAGTCACATATCAATTGAGTCGAGACAAGCCCCTGGCGGCCAAATACTGCCATTGCACGACGTGTCAGAGGTTACATGGAGTGAGTGTTTTCCGAGGAAACTATGTAGAGTACTTGTCACTGATGTCTACTTTCCCAGGCACCCTTTCAATGGGCCGCCATCTTCCACAAATCCGACATCAACTTCACAAACGGCCACCACGACCTGGGCTGGTACGATCCCTCGGCCAAGTCCACCACCCACCACCTCCCGTGTAAGGTCTCGTGTGCCTATTGCCGTGCTCCCATCATGGACGAAGGACGCAACATGATCCTCTTGTTTCCCCCGCTCATCAAGGACATCAACACCCCCGCCGGCCGGGAGGCGTTTAGGCCAACCTGCCACATGTTCTACCCGCAGCGGGTGGCGAGCTTCAAGGGAGATGGGATCGTGAAATGGAAGGGGCTGGACAATCAAAGTGATTTGCTGGACGACGACGAGAATGTTCTGGTGAAGTGGGAGGAGGACATGGACGACAAAAAGATGGAGCAGAAGAAGAGGGACTTTCTCGAGTTCACGCAGCGCGAGGAGGTCAAGCGAGTGAAGAAGTCAGACGGATGAGCGTGATACTTGCTGAAACTCGGCGTGCAGAGAAGTAAGTGTCCGTACCGAGTATCGTGTGAAGCCTCCAGCGAATGACACAGTAGTGATGTCGCCATACGGGCTACTCCATATTCAGCTAGCTCAGTCTTGGCAGGATGACTAACCCGGAGTATCCTACTCGTGACTTTTGTGGTGCCTGACACATGACACATGACACACAGTGACACGACTCACTCGATCGCCTCGAATTTTCCCGTTTTCCCGAAAAACCCCCACGTTAGTTACACCAAACCACAGCCTTGGGAAATTTGGACAAACCTCACTAAAGCACATCTCGCTCGGGGTTCACTTGTCGTAGGGAGACCCTTCCGTCACTGTCACGTTATTCGATGCTGTATCGTTATGGGTAGAACGTCTCCTCAGGGTCTGACGGCCCAAGACTTCCATCACCAGCCCTACGTCAATCCCGTCGACGTCTTCCGGCCCAAATCCCGCCTCGCACATCGGGCCCAGAACTACAGGTCTCCGATAAGGGGCCAGCCGCCGTCGAGGAGCCCGTCGCGGTTTGCCACAGATCATCACAAATTCGCTTGTTGCGGCGAGGAGGAAGACTCTTCCTTCCGCACGTCGAGCGCCCTGACCTGCTGCGTCGACTACGACCATGTTGGCAGCACCGCCGTCGTCGACTTCGGTCAGAGTGCTGATGACTTTGCCGGCTGTTGTGACGAACCGCACCACAGCTCCCCCAGCCCCATGGACTGTGAGGACTGCGTTGACGACTGCGAGGATTGTGTCGAAGAGCACCTGAAAGCGAACCAACGAACCGGCACTTACGTCGACGACTGCGACGAATGCAACGAAGAAAAGGACATCAAGTGCCCCGACGGCGCTGCGTGTCAAGGAACCTGCGACGAATGTGACTTCTCTTGCTTTGATTGCATTGACTGGAGTCAGTTCGAGCGTGATAAGACTCTCGGTCTCTCGTTCGCGGTCCCGCTGCTGGACGATAACGCCCTGGCGGCCCCGAACCTCCAATTTGATGAAACGGATGCCACCGGCTTTCGCGCCTTTGAAATCCTCAATGCCCAGGCCGACATCGTTGCCCATCCGCTTGATGTACCAATGCATCACCAGTGCTTCGACAACACGGTTCCCTACTGGAACAACATAGCCCAGGAGCAGATTTGTACCGGACTGGACCAGCAACTTCCGCTCCCACCGTTTCGCCTGGATTTTGGTTGTCATCCGGCGGCCGCTCACCAGCGGGCTTCTGTGGCTGGATTCCCCGTACCTGATCCCATGCATGTCGGTACAACTCCAAATCTTCACCCTCAAGCACTCCTTCCCCCGGCACCTCCCAAGGATCCTTTGCGAACCACACAAGATCTCCTCAGCGCTGTTACGGCCCCCGAGACGTCTCGGGCCTGCCAGTGGCTGATGCCTTGCGGCACGGTGTGCGGCGCCTCCTTCGCCACCGGGACCGATCTCAAGAAGCATCTGAAGTCGGTGCACCTCGTCAAGGGGGTCACAAAATGCCAATGGCAAGATTGCGACTCCCCGGACTTTGGCTCCGAAGCGGCCTTGACGGGACACATCTCGAAAAAGCATCTGGCGTCCTTCCTCACCGCCCTCCCTGCAGGAGCGTCGTCATCTTCTTCCTCTGCATCAGCATCAGCCACCACCATCACCGGCGCCGCGGCGGCGGGCCATAATCGGCACCAACACGTGCACAAATCGGAAGGCCCCTTCAAATGCACATTCCCGTCGTGCCCGAAGTCGTTCATGTACAAGCAGGTGCGGGACGAGCACGTGGCGACGCACCACAACGGCAACAAGATGTACTGCCACATCTGCCACACGTTTCTGAATGGCGAGGGCTCGAATTTCAAGCGCCACATGGCCACGCACCGGCCCAAGCACCAGCACACGCTGTGCAAGTACCACGCGCTGGGCTGCAAGCGGCGCTTCCCGCGGCTCGACAACCTGCGCCGACACGAGGCATGCTGCAAGTTCGGCAAAGGGCTGAAAACAACAAAGGGCGCTGGTGCCGCGGCCGCCGCGGCCGCCGTTGCCGTCGTCGTCGAGACCCCGCAGCAACAGCACCAACACCTCCATAACCACCACCATCACCCTCACAATTGAGACGGTAGGCGGGTTAGGCAGCGATTGTGTGCGAAGGGGTCCGGGTAGCTGGGTTTTAAAAGGGATCAAAAGGTTTTTTCTTCTCTCTCCCCGAGTCGCGGACGCCAAACCCACCACCTTCACCACCACCACCAATATCACCGGTACCGTTCCCGCCTCGGGTACGTGTTGAAAGGTTGCAGGATTAGGATTAGGATCAGGATCAGGATCAGAATCAGATTCACGGATACTTCACGGGTTCGAGTAGACGCGGGTCTTTTCCACAACCACGACTAGGATAGCTCGATAGCTCGATAGCTAGCTCCACAAACAGCTCTACAGCTATTATACGGGCATGATTTCCGTCTTTGACGAATGCATCATGCATCAGAAAAGGCCTATTTCTCACCCTCTCCCTTCCCCATTCCGCCCTTAAACACACACACGGTAGATATGGAATTACCTTCAGACCCTCCTACCTTTACCTGCGGCTTCTTCCAGTCTCCCGTATCCCCAAAGGATGGGAAAAGGCACCCACACGTCGGACTCCCGAAGACCTCGGGCGGAAACACTCCCAATGTTGGAGGAACGCTGGCTGGAAGAAGGCTGAAAAAGACTCAAGCATGATGTCCACGGGACCCCTCGGCGGGGCTATGTATGTGGCGGCTGTTTCTTTCAGAGGGGATGGTCGTACGACGTATATATATCGCATAATCACACGTGGCTTTCTTTCACTTATATATTTGTTCGAAATCAGATTGAGCGAGGACGCGGCAGAGGTGTATAAGATAATAGTTGCCGAGGGAGTTGAGCGACCCAGCGACATAAGTAGAGGGACGGTTTGAAGCCACGCACTCAGCATCTCATTACGAGCATCAACATCATCATCAGCGTCCACATTCATCAACCTCATTACGATCATTACGGCACCGCCCGCCAAGTCCAAAGCAACGTCACATCCTTCCTTGCTGCCACACCTCGAGTACTGCACATCGAGACTTTCCTCCTTTGCGAGGGTGTCCCTGATATGAATCTCCAGCATCTCGTCAGCACAAAAGACAAAAAGCAAACTGAAAATCGCCGCCGGTGCTTCCTCGGTAACGAGCAGCAACTAGCCAAAAATGCCATTTCAGTATTTCCCAAAACGCCCCGGTATAGCTGACCTTCGGTGGTGGGTATCATGAATGTGTAGAAACTGTAGAAAATAGTTTCAGTTGAGCAAAAGGGTATTATTGCGACGAGGGGTATTCGAAAATGAAAAAAAGAGGCCATCGGTTGCCAGCATGATTAACATTGAAATGTGTCTGTGGTGGATTGGCCTTTAGCTTTGGCCAGGAGTTATCGGCAGAGAGCATCCTGAGGACGATGGACGTCGTCGGGGACGGCGGAGGGCAAATCAAGTTAGAACTGAGGAGCTGACCGTCCCGGATCGAACGGAAGGAAACTGTTTCGTACCATCGAATCGGACGACTTGACATGATCTCAACTTGGAAAGGCCTTCGAAGCCCCGAGTTGGAAAGTCGTGGTCGGGCCAGAATGCAGACCTAATAGGAGAGTTAAGAGAGAGTATCGGTACTGCTGGCAGCACCAAAGTTGATCAGACTGCCCACGGGCCGCCTGCCAAACCGCTCCCGCTTCCTCTGCCGCCTTTTAGCGGCGAGTTGAGGGCTCCAGACTCCGGCGAAAAGATCCTCGCATTCGTCCTCATCTTGCGAGTCGAATTCGAGGTCGTCAGTCGAGTCGGCTGCACGATCAACCAGCTTTCTCAGTTCCCTAGGAGGAAGTGGTAGGACTTCGTCATACGCGTAGGGCCCGGTCTGGTCCTCCTCATTCTCCCAGGAGACGTTGATGCGGATGCGTTTTGTCTCGAGGATAAATTTGCCAACCTTGTATTTCTGGCTTTCTTCGCTGGCTTCAACGTATTTCCATCCGAGGATACTCCCGCAGATTGCGCAGCTGATGTCGCTGACGACGTGCTGCCCCGTCACTAGATTTCGGGAGATGGACTTGTTCTGAAATGTATTGGGCAACGAGGGGGTCATGGTGTGGATGTGGCTTGTTGTCCCTTGAACCAAATATGCACGGCCATGTCTGCCCATGAAGCCTTTGCTGATGATCTGTGAAGTCAGGCACAGATCAGTGGAGCATTTGGCGCATTGGATGTGAGAGCTGTGGCCATTGAGGAACTTGTCCTCTGGTGGCACCACAGTAGATGAGGCGGATGAGACGGGTACGGGTATCGGGGTCGGGCTTCGAGTGAACGGGTTCGAAGAGGACGAGGCAGTAGTGTCGTCGGAAACATTGCTGTCGGTGCTCGACTGACGCGACTTACGGCGGAACGGGATCGAAGGGAGGAGGTAAGTCGGGAAGATGGGGAAGAAGGTGGAAGGGTCCGAGGTCTTGCGAAGAAAGGACATTGTCTCTGGGACTGAAGCGGGAGAGAGATGGCTTGTGAAGGGTGTTTGGGATTCCAGAGAAAGACACCGCAATCAGCAATCTGAGCAGCTGTGGTCTTTCATACCTCTCCCACGGTCGTATGACCAGAGCCTACGGAATCGCGGATGCGGATCAGTAAGGGAATTGGCCTGAAGCGGCGGCTAATGACGTCGGATGCCTGGCGTCAATTTGCAAATGCAGTGGTACATAGTTTGAGATAGAGAGGGGTAGGCAGCTCACGACACGCACAGGCGGTGTCCAGCTGGGAGATGAGATCTGGTGGACCAGCCACCTCAGGGTTGAAATGAATGATAGAATAATGAATGTCGGCTGCCGTAGAGGCTGGAGGCGGGAGGAAGGGCAATGCGGTCAGTCGATCATCCAGCAACCTTCTCTTTTGGTTTGCCCGCGTTTCTCTTGTCACCTGTACTTTCCCGATCAGGCCCGCGTGATCCTTCGGGTGTTCGAACGAAGCGGGTAATGCTGTGTCTGACGGGGACAACGACCGTGACAGACCCGTAGGAATGAGGAGAGGGCGAGAGGGCTCCGTGTCAGACCGATGACAAACCTCGGAGGTGAGGTGGTGTGAAAGGTGCAGGTGGATAATGAAGGTGGACAAGATGGACGAAGTGGACAGGTGGGGGAAGAAGGGGTGGCCTCCAGTTGGTCTCCAGTTGGCCTCTAGCTGCCCGTCTGGGTCCATCCGGCTGCCAACAGGCTTATCGATTAACAGTCTGGACCTGATGGGCGCCTGCAACCCCCTCTATTTGGCAACACTAGCGAACTCCCTGAGTGTCTGGCACCATCCTGCGATCAGAGCCGACTTCATGCAGGTTAGAGACTGGTGGAAAAATGTGCATTGGACATCCGCACAAGGCTTCTTCTCAAAAACCTGTACTCGTCTAAACAAGGAAATCCCACCCTGAACGCCCGTATATACTACATACATTCATCGTACTCGTAGACACTATATATCTTGTACTACTCGATATCCTTCAGCCCTCCACCTCGTCTCCTAGTTCACTGTGGGGGAGCCAGTGCTGTGCTTCCTGGGTCCCAGTGTTGTCGTCGATCAAGTAGCCCATTAAACCTCTCCGATGAAGCGGCTGGGGTTTGGCACGATGAATTGATTCGGCTGTTTGGGCAAGGCCGAATCACTCAGGTGCAACGGGGTGTTGAGCAGAAACGCCGAGTTGGTGTCAATAAAGACCAGCAGCCGCGACAGGAAGCCTTCCAGGCCCAGCGCAGTCAGGCCCCCTCTTGCTTCCACCATCCTGTTGACGGCTTCCATGTGACAGTGGTATGCGCTCTTATCCCCGAAGACCGCCTCGTAGCTTGCCATCTTGGCGACCGCGGCGACAATCTCGTCCCGATATGCCAGGCCTTTGGAGCCTGGAGAAAGGGCCCGGGTGATGCCGGAAATGGCACATTGTTTGAACAGCAAGATGGTCTCACCCATGGTCATGTCATTGTCCATTGTCGCATAGTGCGATGCCGCGAACAACACGATGACTTGGAAGACGATCGGCGAGCTAAGAACCATAGGGAACCAGAGGGTCTGGAGGAGGATGGACTGACTACCGGCATCGAGTTCAGGGACGGACACGGCGAGGTGTTCGAGGTCTGCGTCAAGGTCAGCACAGACTGTCCTGGAGGAAGGAGCAGGGGAGAGAACAATGGTAACCTACAATGACCCAAAGCGACGGACACAAAAGGGTGATGGTAAATAGGGCTCTTTGAGGCTGGGATCATGCTCGCCGCAGAGGGCGCAGTCAAGAGGCGGGCATTGCTCGCTGTCGCCGAGGCGGCCAGCGGTGGAGTTGGCCCTCGTGCTGGTGGTCGCTCGTCGGGCGGTCCTGTGCGAGTCGGGCTCGCGGCGGGGCTGCCATGTGGACTAACGCGAAGATCCCAAGTGGGATTTGGCTCGCGACGCTTCTTCTGCGATGGCCGTTGGGCCGAGCGGGAAGCCTGATAACGCGAAACCACAACACGGGCAACATGCGACCTGATCTCCCGGCGCATCTGCTGTGCTCGGTCCTCCTCCAACGGGCCAGCATCGATAAAAGTGAGGAGGGGTTGGACCATGTTTGGCTTGCCGGATTAGGAGAAACAGGCGAGCTTGCGTCGTGGCCAGTAACAGTGTCACCCAGTGTTGGGGTTGGTTTTGGAAGTGAGAGTCCAGCTTCTTACTGTTTCGGGCGACGTTGTACCCGGTGCAGATTAGCCGTGCCAAGCCGGCAAATCCCGCCGATGGCCCCATCTCAAATCTTACTCGTTTGCTTCACGGCACAGCGTCTGCTTCAGTCTCTTTTAGTCTTGTTTTATGCTTCATTCGCTCCACGCTATCAGCTACACTCCCAGGGCATTCAGCCAGCCACCTAATACGGGAACAGCGGATTGGGACGGTACTCTCAGGGATAGCCTCCATCCTGACGAGTGCCTGCTCCCTTAACGACTGGTGTATCCTCCATTGGCAAAGATTGTCTGGCCTGTGCCATCAACACCACGTCAGCCAGAGCTGGAAAGTGACAAAAAAAGGGGGAAACCGTACCGTTGATCCACGCCCCCTCGGTGCACAGGAACTTGTAGATCGGAGCAATGTCCTTGATGTCTGTGAGCCGACCGCCAATAGCATTGGACTTGTGAAAGGCAACCGCTTCCGGGGTCTCCTGGCCGTAGAAGAATGCTATCCGACAGGTCAGTCTGGCTCCATCGTAACCCGGTGAGATCATCATCCTGAGGTTTAGGCTCCTCGGTGCGAGATCGGCAGAGGCGCCACCAAATAACTGGGGAATGTGGCTTACGAGTATCCTAGTGAATGAACTTGTCAGCCTATTGTTTGATCTCAGGTACCGAGTACTGAGGAATACACACCATAGGCCCCGGAGCGACCGCATTGACACTGATCCCCTTCGGCATCAACTCTTTGCTCAAGCCCTTCGTGAACCACTCGACGGGGCTCTTACTCCCTTGGTAGGAGGTATAAGACGGTGCGTACGCTGCGAGGAGGCTGGTCACGGTATTGATGATCTTACCCCCATCACTAACACGTTTGGCCGCTTCCTGGGTGATGAAAAAGGCCGCTTTGGAGTTGATGGCGAACATGGTGTCGTACTCCTTCTCGGAGATCTCGACCAGGGGTTTCTTCAAGACCATGCCCACCGTGTTGATGACGATGTCAAGCTTCGTGCCAAAGTCTGCGGCAACACTATCGAATAATCTCTCTACACGTGCCGCCGTGGTCAGGTCGCCTTGGTACACCTTGACCTGGATGCCCTTGTGCTTGGACGAGAGGTCCGCCGCGAGTGCTTCGGCCGCCTTTTGTGTTGAGGCAGAGTTGTAGTGCAGGGCCAAATCTGACCTTTCGGCAGCAAAGAGGGTGGCGATCAGCGCCCCGAGATTCTTGCCTCCGCCTGTGATCAGGGTGGTCTTGCCGGAAAGTGACATGATGGGGGCAATCAGATGATTCACACAGATCGAATGCGTTCTGTGGGAGGATGAAGGAGACTTGGGGAGTCTGGTTCTTGCCAGGAATCCTCGGGTTACATGGCACCATTCTTATACCCTCTGCCTGTCTGCTTGTTTTCTCCCTTCCTTCCAAACACAGCCAAAACCAGTTGATTCCAGGCGTCGTGCCAAAAGAAAGCATGCACCGCGTACAAATGGGGATGATGGGCATTTTCTACGTACAGCATTAAGCCTGGCAACCATCCTGTGCTTCAGATCCAAAACTGAAACCAGCCAACCATTTGCCAAAAAGGCCCGAAGACTGGAGACTGGAGAAGTATGTTAACCAGAAGTGGTTGCTGCACGCAGGCATCGGACCTAGCGACGGGACGTGGGTGACGATCCTCTTTACGTAAAATACGCCGAGGCACAAGGGCCAACTCGCGCAGTGCATTTCCGATACTTCCCATCTTTTCGAATGAGGTCTAAATATGGCAGATCTGATGATTTGTTTAAGCTCAAATCCTTGCATGGGGATATCACTTCGAGCATGACGCAGTGTCAACCCGACATCTGAGTTGTGAAACCTCATCAGAGGTAAGAGAGCTGCTGATTGCTCTGACTGCGACCTCAGGGAAACTTATCCTGACACCTGACTCGTATAATTTAACGAAATTTGGCAAGTTGAGGGTGCTTCAGTTATCTTTCAGGTGACCAGGCCGCACTTGACTTCTTTCTCCTGGTGGAAGACAAAAGCATAAAGGGTCCAGGAATCATCTTTCGAACTTCAGACAGTCGAAGTTAAAGATGAATTCCATGTGCTGGCGCTAGATGGCTGTGCGTCGAGTCGCTGAGCACGCAAGATCGTCAAACATAAGATCGGGGACCATATCGAACTGACGTGCCACCACCCCCTGAACTCTCCTCGGAGAAAACAAGCCAAAACAGGGCTTCAAGATCTATGTTGGAAGGTGTATGAGCCTGTAATGACGATCGAGTACTGTTGAGGACCACGCTCAGAGACCACGAAGGTTTGAGACATGATAGGTCCGGAGGCTAATGATTGATATGTGATTCAGTGCAATGGTTTGAGAGTGATCAGAGTCGACAAGGACAGTTGGCGATTGAGGGCTGGAAGTACTCTAGATAAAGCGGTAGGTAGGTATCGAGTCTGTGTACTCGGTCGAGTCCTCGACATGTACTCGCGTAATTATGTGCAGCTTTCCGTGGGCGGGCTAGATTGGCTTGGCACTTAATATGTATGTATCTCGGTATGTAGGCCGCCTGACTGCGGCTGACTGGACGCAGTCTGTGAGCTGAACCCATCACCTCTCGATACATTAATTAGTACTACACCTCTGACTTTCTGGACCATAATCGGCCCCCGGCTGTCGTGAGGAGGCTGGCTGAAGACAACCCTCTTAAGGAAAAGACTGGCTACAGCGACTGCCTAACTGGCAAGACCGCAACAAGGTGTGCAGACTTCGCTTTCAGCATCGTGATCTCCTGCAAAGCTATCGGTGAGAAGACACTGAGGTTTGACCCATCCTTGTCTTGAATGGAACACATTGTCGCCCCAGTTGGACCACCCAGTGTCAGCGTCTGTGCCTTGAGATTATGTGCTCCCCTTTCACCGGCTTCATTTTCATCAGGATGCTTCTCGCTCGTGCTTGGCAATCGACTATGTGTGAGTCTACCATGCTCGCTTATAGCATATCTGGGGCTTGTGCATCATTCTGGACCTTACAAATCGTATCGCAATGCATGCAGAACCGTCTATTAAGTGCTCTTCCGCTGCAAGCGGTGCACCCTTTCAGAAAGACCGTCAGCCGCTGCGGACTGGTTATCTGCTTATGGGAATCGATTGTACCCTTTATAAAGAGGCATGTCCTCCCCGGAGAGGCAAACTGCGTCCGTCCATTGCTCACATTGAATCCGCAGACCTGTGTGATAAAATCCAACCAGACAAGCTTCTGCTGGTAAGATTATATTTACTCTCGCCTGAATGCCGTCCCATCCAGCCAAAATGTCTCAAGATAGTGGCACTCCCTTGGTCAGCGAGATGAAATCTACCGCTATGGCCACCAACAGTCAGATTGACTCCTCGGCGCATCCGGGCTATGGCGACGCAGGTCACGGAGGTAGTACTCCTGGCTCCAGCCGGTCAAGTCGGAGTCTGGACAAGCGCATGGAGTTCCGTCAACGGGTAGGGATCAAACCAGAAACCGGTGCGACCTCCCCAATGCTGCCCTTCATGTTCCAAGAGCCGTAATGCAAAGACGCAGAGGTGGACACAAATGGACTTCTGCAACGAAACAGAATACTGACAAAACACTCGGTTGCAACAAAAAGGCGATTTGCCGGAGCAATTCCTCTTCCGCAACCGCCTCGAAAAAGCATACAAGGACCAAACCCGTTTCTATTACATCGTCATGTGCGTCTCGCACGGCATGCTCTGGCTTCAGATCGGCATTGGCGCCAGCGTCACCGCCCTTGGGACCACGAGTACGTTCATCCCGTCGTTGAAGGGACTGAGCTTGAGTTATTCTTGAGAAACCGCGGTTCCCTACTTGATCAACATAACCACTGACCGCCAAATCTGCAAGATTCAAACGCCGCGAGAATCGCCATAACCGTGCTGGGAGCCGTCAACACCGTGATCGCCGGCTTCCTGACGTTCCTCAAGAGCAGGAACCAGCCGAACAGGGCGTTGCAGTTCAGGAACGGTCTGCGAGGCGTGTACGAAGATCTGTGGCAGATCGATGCGGAGATGCTGAGTGGTAGGGCAGACATCGACGTGGATCAAAAGGTGGACGATTTGTGGAAGAAGTACAAGGAGGTCACGGCCGAGGCGGAGGTGGGTTGCTTCCCTGCCCCACGCATAACGCTACTCCTTTTCAACCTCATTTTTGAAGGTCCCTGGAGAGACTAACCATCGCGATCACACTGCAGGCAAACTACCCGGATCTCTGGGTCAGTCTGGGCAAGCTGATCAAGCCCGCCGACGGGGACAAGCATCCCAGCACCCAGTTAAAAGACGTCTCGCCGGGAGAGGACGATGAGGAACGGAAAAAGCCCTCGCGCGAGGTTTTGATGCCGAAGACAGGGGCTTGAACATAGTCCATCGCAGTGTATTTGGGTACCCGGAGAGGAGGGCTTGGACAATAGCCTATAGGCACTCTCGGAGCAATCGGAGTGATTCGGCATCGGGCATGGCAAGCTGGGAATGGGGATTGGGAAGGGCTCATATCATACCCTTCCGGGCGCGTCAAAGATCCTCTGTTTGGCCCCATGCGGAATTATATTTTCTGAATATACATCGGCCTATACCGTCGCTCAATTCACAGGAGTTTCCAACTTCGCTTGGCTTTCTTGTGCAATGACAGGATGGTACTCGCCCTTCTGAAACAATAGTTCGTCGTCCATATCCACCGAGCGATCGATTTTAAAGTACCGAATCTCCCACTCCTCGTCGATAACGTCGCCATAACTTTCCAACTCGGCCCAGAGGTCCGGATAGGCCTTCTTGGCCCACTTCTCCACCTCATCCTTACGATACTGCCAGGGTATGGCGTTGTAAAAGGTGCCAATGGTGACCGCATCGGGCGGCTCGCCGATGTCACGTTCCATAAGCTCGATCAATTCCACGACATTTTCGAATTCGGACTGTCCGGCAAGAGCGCCGATGTAAGCATCATAGACTTCTTTTGTGATGACGAGGTTGAAACTCTGCATCAACGCCATAATACGTCTTGCCTCGTGTCCGCCCTGTGGTATCCACCTCTCACACGCACGCAGAGCCAGGACAAAAGAGCTCATGGTAGGCCCCTCATGCGACTCCATGATCTTCCAAAAATGGTCGATGATCGCGACGAACGGTTGTTGACACTCGGTATATGCTGCCATAAGCCCATTGTGGATGCGCGTAGTCTGGTCGACTTCTAGGTCTAGTTTGAGCATGTTGTAAACCATCTGAAGTCCGTCGATGTCCTTACACTTGGCGATACCCTGAAAGCATTTCGCGTATGCCTCGGCAGTGGGCCGAGCTTCAAGGTCTTCACGCTGCCGCATATGTCCAAAAACGAGGCAGGCCAGGTCAGGCCGATTCCGATCAAAAAATGACTGCATCAACGTAATGCGGTCTCGTACCGGAGCTTCCGGGAACGCATGGCGGAACAGTTCGTAGGCGTTGTAGGCGCGTTGATCCTTGACGGTCGGGTCGATGATGAACTGACGGAAGACAGCTGCTATTCGAGCTCGGTCATCTATGGGATAGGAATCGACTCTGTGGCGGAGCAAACCAGTTGCTTCTTCCAATTCGTCTTTCTGAAGGAAGACATGGCACAGACCCGCGATGGCTTCAGCCTCGAGCTCTGCCCCACTTTCGAGTAGATGGTCGACGATTTGCATGAGGTGAATGTATTCCGGATCTGCAGAAAAGGACAAAGCAGCGATGTAGTGGTTGAGAATGGGAACGTCGGACCTGTCGACCGGTATATCTTCTCTGGAAAGAAGCTCGTATGCCTGGGCTGCAGCAGCACGATCTCCACGCTGCAATTCGTACTTCAACTGCAAGGCTCTAGTTCTGGCGTCTGGATGAAGGCCAAGAGATTCGGCTAGGTCCAGATACCGTGTGGCTGTCTCGGGGCTGTTTTGCGAAAAGGCGTACTCGATAACTCGGTTCAGGCTTTTCATAGATACTGCGTCCGTGACGCCTCTGTCGGATAGCTGTTGAATCATCTGCCGTATGTGATTCACATCCGGATCATGCGTAGCATGCCAGAGAAGAAGAGTTCCTGCCATATCGCCTGAATCGGTCCTCTGTTGCAGCTGATGCACCGCCTTTGCGCCCCATTCAAGTTCCCCATTCTGCATCGCACAGTCCACAACCTTGACCAATGTCGGCGTGGTCGGCACCTGGCCTTCCGCCAAAGGCAGGGAAAAGACTTTTTTCAAGGTAGAGATCTCGTCATGCTGGGCAAAATAAGTGATTAATATTTCCTGAGACAGAGCATCCAGAGGCCCAACAGTTTGCTGCACCTCTTGAATGAGCTTCCAAAACTCTGACATTCGTCCTTCATTCGCCAGACCTCTCAATATAGCCATCCACATGGGAAAGCTGGCTATCTTGGAGTTATCTGGAGATTTGCGAAGGAGCTCGAGAGCTTCTTGGGCGGACCCTGTCTTGGAAAGCACGGTAATGTAGGTCAGCAAGAGTGAACCCTGGGGCCGATAATGTCGGCCCGGTTGGACAGGCACCTTCATTGCCTCTGCAGGCCCCAGCCGATCTTTGAGTGCATCGAAGACCAGCGTCGCTAGAATTCGGGCATCGGTCCGAAATCTATCATGACCTGTAGAAGATGCTAGTGCCAGCAGAATGTTGTCAAGATCTTCTTCTGACAGACTCGTCTTGGTGTCTTCCGTCAAAATGTGTCCGCGCTCTTGTAGATGCTTGAAGGCCTCTGTGGCCAGAAATACTTCATTTCTCGTCAACCGTCGTGGCGTCTCAATTCTTGAAGCAAAGAGGAATCTGAGAGCATCAACGACCTCATTTTCCGGGGGCAAACGAGACTGGCTTCTTCTGGCCCTGATGAGATCAACCAGCTTGCTCAGCGCAAGTTCGACATTGGCGGGAGTGCTTTTGGCATCCTGGAAGCCTTGTCGAGCACCACCAAAATTCAGCCCAAAGAGATGGCGTCTTTGGTGCAAGTGGTAAGAGGTGCGGGTATACTGAGGAAGTGGTCTTCTGCCGATGACCCTTTGACAGTCTCGAATAGCATATGGTTTGTTGGCAAGGATTGCGCGGAAGACGCCCCGGGTCAAATGCGAGAACTTCATGGCCAATTGTTAGCACACCCGCTGCGATGGTACTTTAGAAATTGAACGTTCCGAGAAACATGATCAACAAGGAGGAAGAGGGTTGAAGAGGACTGTGAAGCCGAAAGAAATCGTGGTGGCATGATGTTGTTACTGCGTAATGTATGCAGAAGGTGACCGCAATCGAAATGCGGAGTGTCGGCGCACCTTCCTTTTCGGATTGCCTCCGACACTGCGGAAAATGCAATCTTCCAATGCTTTCAATCTGCAAACTGACCTCAAGAGGTTCATTAGCACCAATTGCTTTCCAGCCAAAGTCCATTGAAACATGTCGGCTCAGCTCGCCTCCAGCCTGAGGCTGCAGCTGGGTCGTGCAGGCAGATCTGCCACCGGTTCTCCCCTGAACCGTACGTCGTTTGATGTTGACAGAACGGCGCATTTCACTAACGCTGTGCAGAGACCTTCAAGCGCGCCGCCGGAATGACCGTCCGAGAAGCTGAACGGCGAGCAGCAGTGGCACAGGAAAACCAAGCCATCGCACGACAACTCACGCGACCTTGGAAAGCGGGCGACGTATACGCCCCTCACGATCTGAGTGCTGCTGAAGCTCGCAAATGGAGAGTCAAACATCGACCCACGACTGACGCGTTTGATGCACTATCCGTCAATCCCCTCAGCTTGTACAAAGTGAGCTTGCAACCTCAAGGGCGTGGCATGCTGATGCTAAGCCTTCCCTAGAATTTCTCTGTAATGTCTGAATATATGACTGAGATGGGTCGGATCCGGCATTCGAACTCGACGGGACTGCGACCAGTCAATCAAAGAAAGATTGCGAAGGCTATCCGAAGGGCGATAGCATTGGGTCTAATGCCAAGTATACACAAACACCCCGAGATCATCAAGGAAGAAATGCAGGGGAGAATGCTAAACACTGGGCGAGTGAGATGAGGGTGACTCTCGTGATTCGCAAAGGATGGCAAAACTGTCACTGGCTTTAACAACATTGATGCCCTAGGCCATTGACAAAAAAGGATTCAGAAACGAGCGCGAATCGAACCCTTCCACCTCGAAGGCCGTCGGACCACATGTAAGAAGAGGCCTCTGCATGCTGGCTGAGCAGACGCCAATATCCCAAAGCCAAACGAGAGTCTGCGATCAGCACAGCTCCCAAATAAAAAAAAGCCCTAACCGGCAAGCCACCCTAGCCGGTACTAGGAAAAGGGATACGAGGAGGACAAACACCGTCACCTTCCCAGGGATCGGGCATTTTTCCGTAGCCAACTTGCTTCATCGTGCCCTGATTCACTCTCCAGATACACCGTGGGGCGCATGGCATACTGTGCGAGAAGGTGGATTGTCTCCAATATTCCAACGGGTGCCGCAACTTAATCGGTCTACGCCTTTTATCCATCTTCTTTGAAGGGTGCGTTAGTGGGACCTGGAGTAGGACTGTTCGACAAGTGCCGGTCTAGCTTGGCAATTATGAACAGAATTCTGGTGGTTCAACTGACGCGAGTGACTTGGGTCAGAGTGGATGCGGTGCGGCAGAAAAAAGGGCTGGACCTCGAAATGGGGCATATGGGAGTCTACCATGCATGTAACTATATATCAACTCGACTGAGATAGACGACTCTCGACAATTCCACGCTTATGGTGTGTCTGTGTGCTTGTCCGTGCAAAGACAAGCAGAATCTGAGATCCAGAAATCAAAATATCAAGAGAGTTCTCGTCTTCGTCCTTCGATGTGCAGCATCTCAAGGAGCCATCCTCGTGGTTCAGACACAGCCTCGCGGCGCAGCCTTGTGGCCTTGCCCAAACGAGAAGTCTATTTGTGCCTTGCGAATCTTGCGACCTGCAATATTGTTCCCTACCCGCATCTCAACTCAACAAAGCTCTTCAAGGCCCTTGTGTTCACTCCTGCGAGACCCATACATGAAATAAGATGTCCATAACCGCCGAAGGCATCTATGCCGCACTTCCGTCCACCTCGAGAGGCTTGCCTACCCCTCTAAGCTCTGACTCTAAGGGCGAGCGCATCGCGTACGCCGCCAACAAGTCTATATTTCTTCGGTCCATCGACAATCCTGCCATATCCACTCAGTATACCCAGCACACAACCACCACCACTGTCGCCAGATTTGCCCCCTCCGGCTTTTATTGTGCCTCTGGGGATGCCTCAGGTATCGTTCGTGTTTGGGACTGCTCACCCAATGGGTCGGGGGCGACGAAAGGGGAATATGCCATCATAGCAGGCCGGATAAATGATATCGCGTGGGACGGTGATAGTCAACGTATTATAGCAGTGGGAGATGGAAAACAACGTTATGGACACTGCGTCACGGCAGACTCGGGCAACACGGTAGGAGAGATAAGCGGGCACTCTGCACAGGTCAATGCTGTCAGCATAAGACAACAGAGACCCTTGCGAGCGGCTACCGGAGGCGATGACAAGAACTTGGTCTTCTATCACGGCGCTCCGTTCAAATTCAATGGCATTCCTGGGCGAGGGAACCACACAAACTTCATCTACGGGGTTGCCTTCTCACCTGACGGCAATCACTTGCTCAGCGTCGGCGCGGACAAGAAGATTTGTCTATATGACGGGAAAACTGGGGAGGTGAAGACGGAGGTCGCAGACAGCGCTGAAGGCCACAAAGGCAGTATCTTTGGAGTCTCCTGGTCCAACGATTCAAAGAACTTTGTGACTTGTTCCGGGGACCGGACCGTCAAGACCTGGGATGTGGAAGCTGGGAAAGTCACCCATACCTGGACTTTTGGCGACGCGATGGCTGTTTCAGATCAGCAAGTCGGCGTCGTATGGCCCGCAGGCAGATCAGATGGATTGATTATATCTTTGTCCCTGAGCGGCGACCTCAACTATCTGAACAGCGGCTCGAGTAAACCGTCCAAAGTTATTTCAGGTCACCAGAAGAACATCACGGCACTTACATCTTCCGGGGATGCTGAGAATGCAACCTTATGGACAGGCAGCTACGAGGGCCGACTATGCTCCTGGGATGCTGCCAACGGTACAGCGGAGACAATCGAGGGGGATGGTCCAACCAACATCATCTCCGGACTGGCTGCGGCGCCTTCTCGGAAGCATCCTCAAGTCTTTTCGGTCAGTTGGGACGATTCCTTGAGAACAGTCGACGCCGGAGCCAAGACGTTCACAGGAAAATCGACCAAATTATCCTCGCAGCCAAAAGCTCTGACCTGCACGACGGATTCTCTGGTTGTGGTAGCTCAACTAGAAAGCGTCATTGTCTACAAAGATGGGGAGGAGGACGGCGAGCTGCCCTTGAAATCAACACCCACATCTCTTGCATCTCACGGTAGCACTGTTGCGATCGGTTCTCAGGATTCCAGTCTTCGCCTCTTCTCGGTTGTGCCAGGAAAGGCGCCCAAGCAGATCGCGTTCGTCGAACAGGTGTCTGCTCACCCGCTAACAGCCATATCATTCTCAAATGATGGCTCGATGTTAGCAGCCGGCTCTGCGGCGGGAAAAATCTACGTCTACAAGATCAGCACTGGAATCACAGGCCTTGTCACGGGGACCTCCTCGCTCGAGCTTGTGACCGATCGGTGGAGTGCTCACACGGCGAAGATCACCAGTATCGCCTGGAATCCAGAAGGTACAGGAGCGGCTTCTGGTAGCTTGGATACCAATATCTTTGCTTGGAGTTTGAAGGAACCTGGTAAACGTGTGAAGGAGACGAATGCGCATAAGGAAGGGGTCAATGGGCTGGTTTGGCTCGGAGACACGGTGTACAGCACAGGAGCTGACGCCACAGTCAAGAAGTGGAAGATCAAGATAGCTTAGATGGATCCATAGACGTTACGAGGCACATGGCATGACGAGTTGACGATAGACTCAGCAGGTCTCCTGGATGAGACAGCCTGGTGGAGTGAGTGGAAGAGACAGCGGCAACATCGCACCACGTCGAGGGTGGGCCGCGGAATGATAGCATCAATAGCATGCACTTGCCAGGAGAGTCCCTTGGTGAGAGAGTTGTAGCAATTTCGTCTGGATTTTCCCTGAATGGTCGTTGCTCAACCGTCCAGAGTCTTTTTCGAGACTGGGAAAATTGGTGTTCGGTTCAACCGAAAGTCTCGCCGTGTCACTACTCCGCAACTTTCCCTCACCACATCATCCAACTGCGACTCGGACGGCAGATATCTCAGAGATTTGATTCATCTTCCTGCCATCACACAACAAGAGCCCATGTCGAGACGTGCATTGCACTGATTCTCTGCATGAGCAAAGGCCTGTTCCGTGACGCGCTGCGCATGCGCGCTCCGTAAATCCCGGTGCCTCCTGGTCCAGCATGGCTGCGTTCGATGAGACCTTCAACCCCGCCGCTCTGACACGCTCTGACACGATCACTTCTACAACGAGCACGGCGAAGCCTCCGCCAGGCTCGGCGTCGAAGCAGCCGAAAGTCGCTCAAAGCTATCCTCGAGTTGACTTGGAACCGCTGTATACCGAACTAAAGTCGCTCATCGGCCACAACTGGGACACGTACTTCGACGCTATAACGAGGTTCATACGAGGTAAGATGGCCTCCCGGCTTGAGCGATCGGACTTGGAGGCTGACCTCTTATCCGCAGGTGAACTCAATGCACGAGAATTTGGCGACCTGTGCGATGTCTTTATTTACGCGACCCCTCAGACCGAACATGCACACAACTCTTTGATATTAGCCATACTATGTAACACCGGCAAAGATCCTCCTGAACCGGGGCTTGCAGCATGGGTCAGCGCAACAACAGACAAGTCCGCCCTGAACTCCGGCACGAAACCCGCAGCCACCAGCGATGCAAGCGAACAGCGACTCAAGGCCGAAGTAATGGCCCTGCCCGCCCGGGACCGACGACGCATCAAAGGAGCTGCAAACGATAAGGCAGACGAGGAGGCGGCCGCTCGGAGGAACCCATACGAAGACCTGTATCTGGCGGGCAGGATCAAGGTTCCAGAGACCGCCGCCAATGCAGCAGCAGGAGGTCTGACCAAGACAAACTGGGACTTGGAGATCAGAAAAAGATATCTGCAGCCACTTTTCGCAGAGACGCTGGAGTTCCCAGACACGACGACGATACACTCCCGTATTGTCCCCATTTGCTATGAAGAGTCCATCGCGCAAGGGTGCTCAATACAGTGCGCTGAGTTGGTCGGAATTGCCGCGGAGACATACTTGAAAGGCGTGCTGGCCGAGGTCATGAATCGAACCCGATCCAACGGCCCACGGTACGAGCACAGTGCGGGCGGAACCATCTTGACCAGCTCCTACAAGAAGAGAATAGACCGGGAGGATGAGGAAGTGAAGGCCGGAAAGCTTCAGAGGACTCGTGACGATGACCTATTACCAACTGAAGCTCAGTTCGCATATGCAAGGCGTCCCATCGGCATGGCGGATCTGCAACTCACTGCTCAAGTCGGTCCTTTACCTTGGAATGCAATGCCCTGTATTGGATATGCCGTGGGCAACGCTTCGGCCGGTTACGATCATGATCAATGGCTCATGGATCAAGATCAGATGACGGCCGTGACGACGACGAATGGACACGTGGATTCAGCCGAGGACAGTATGGATATCGACAGTACCGATAACTATGGCTGGGAAGGTGCCGGGCCGCAGGACAGAACTGGTCTGGATTCTGTTCTTGCCGATTGTCTGGCTATTCGTGTGTAGGGGACACAGCAACCTCAAGAGCAGGGGCAAGAGAAAGTAAAGGCGATCGAAGTGAGCGATCCTCATAAGCTCAAGCAGAGTGAAGTGCCACGGGTCGATAACATGCTGGGTTTGGCTGGTGGTCGCCGTGAATGTATCAAGGCACGGTACAGAAACTCAAGCGGTTCCTGGAGGACGTTCTCAAGAAAACGACGAGCCGTGTCCGATCTGAGAAGGCCCCCAAGGTTAAGCGACAAGTCCTATCCTCAGAGCCGTGGTCTGCGGAGCACAGCCGGGCTTAACAAATCGCGGCGATGTTTAACGATGTTTCAAGAATTTGAAGTTATGATTCAACGGGACCGCAATTGCATGGCGTTATTGCTTTTGGTGTTCTAGCCATGGGGGCCCAAGTCCATCGCCCGTTGCGAAAGGGACAGGAATCGCAACGGGAATGTTATGGGAATGAAGCCACATGATACCCCTGGGCGAACTGGCTACCTACCCTCAAGAAGCAGGATTCGGTCGGTAGTGGAGTTCAGCAACGGCTCACGTCTAGACATACGCCGAGGACGAAAGATTGTCTACCTCCACCAGTCGAACCGCATGGAGGATGCTGAAGCCACCCTTTTTCCTTGATGAGAGTGACGGCGAGAATGATGGCGGTTGATACTCCAAAGTGATTGCACGTGTGTATGAGAACCGACCAGTTCAATCCAGCTTTCCACCTTTTCCCTTTTCAAGCAACCTTTGTCGAGCAAAGCGAGGCATGATCCCATTTGGACATATTTGATGGTCCTCTGTACTGTGTATTTCGGAAACAACACAATGATCAGACCAGTCTACAATTCATCCTTCACCCCTTGTCCTCCTGCCTGCGCCTTCTCCGCCTTCCCTACCGAATCTTTGACCATCAATGCCAGGATGTCGACCAGCAGATCACTAGCCGCCACACTCGTCACCTCTGCTGCGGTGTCATACGGCGGGCTCACCTCGACGACGTCCGCGCCGACCAACCGCACGCCTTCCAGACCCTTAATGAACCGCTTGACCTCGCGCGTTGTCCAGCCTCCGGACTCGGGCGTGCCCGTAGCGGGGGCTATGCTGGGGTCCAGGACGTCGATGTCGATGCTGAGGTAGACGGGCCTGTCCGTTCCGACGATGCTGCGCACCCGATCGGCGATTCCCTGCATGCCCCGGGGTTCCTCGTCGATCTCGTGCGCCTCGATGATCTCAAATCCAACCACGTCCTTGTCCGTGACGTAGTCCTTGGGGGAGAACAGCTTCGTCCTCAGCCCGCCGTGCACGCTACTCCCCTTGGCGATGCACCCTTCCCGGGCGGCGTGCCAGAAGAAAGTCCCATGGGTGATGGCGCTCTGTTCCGAGACGATGCCCGTGTACCCAGCGTATGGGTCCCAGGTGTCTAGGTGGGAGTCGAGGTGGATGACGGAGATCGGGCCGTAGACTTCCTTGAGCGAGCGCAGGATCGGGAGGACGATCGAGTGGTCGCCTCCCAGAGACAAGACTCGGGGATGCTGCCATGTTCTGCCCTGAAGGGTCTTAGCCGACGCCGTGGAGGGGGAAGTGGTGTTGTGGAACAAGATCTGCCGGTAGCCCTGCTCCATCTGGCGGAAAGCGTGCTGGGCGTCGAACGGGGTGAGAGGGATGTCTCCACAGTCCACGATGTTCAAGCCCCCCTCCGTCAACGGGTCAATGCCCCATACCGTGTTGTAGCTCCTGCCTTTCTTCTCCCTGGAGCTGGCAGCACGGATGCCTCTGGGCCCAAAACGTGCGCCGGGGCGGTACGACGTCGATGTGTCGTAGGGGAACCCCACGATGGCAATGTCCAGGTCGGACGCGTGGCGGGAGGAAAAACACCGTTCCCACGGCAGATGGGCGAAGGTGACGGGCTGAGAGAAGGGGAGGTCTTTGTCGAGGTCCTCGAGGGGGTAGGGGTAGTTGGGGCCGACCGAGAAGGAGAGCGGTGCTTCTTCTGATTCTGAGGAGGCATCGGGAGTATTGTGAGAGTGGGCGTGACAGTTGACATGAGTGAATACAAGGGAGGTGAAAAGCACCAAGTGTGTCAGAGTGACTCGGGTCCTTCTCGCCATTGTTATTGCTGAAGGGTGGCCAGTGTCGTGGTTTGGTTGGCCTTCACACAGCTGCTACTGCGGCTTCTGCTTCAAACTTCCTCCCCGTGCTCTTCGTATGCTACTGGGGCCGGCCTGTTGCGTGTTCCTATCAGGGGTAGTAACGACGTCCTCGGCCACAAACTGGGTTGCTGTTGAGAGATATACAGTATCTGCTTGTTGTAAGCATAATACTCCGTATTACCTTGCGAGCTAGTCAGTTAGCTGTACACGGTGTACATAAAATCCAAGCAAGCAAGCAAGCAAGCCCTCCCACCGGCACGCACGCCACAACACGGCCTGGCTGGCCGGCCAGCCAGGCTCTTTATACTCCGAACGCATTCAATCCCGCGGGGAAGGAACAAAAAAACTGTGTCAATCAGCTGTCCCGTTCCCGTTTCCCGTGTTGGTGGCCAGAAGCAAGCAAGCATGCATGCGTGCCTAGCATTCCCTTCCTAGACGGGACGGACAAGTCCTTGATACGAATCTGCCACGCGCCACAGATATGCAGCTGGCATCTCCGTTTCCCCACGCTCGTTGAGAAGCGCGCGCGCGAGGCGAGAATGTGGTGGAGCGGATGGGCGACGTTGCGGCTTTGCGGCGTTGCTGTACGAGGTAATATGGATTACGGAGAACGGGTTTCGGTTTAGGGTGCGTCGGATGAACTCGAGCCGTTAGCAAGCTAAGTTGGCTAGCATCACCGTAGCAAACTACAGCGAAGGACCTGTGGGTGTGGCTGTGGGGAGGGGGGTATTTGCGTATAGAAGGATAAAAGGCAGTAGTATACGATGATTGTGGTGGTGGACAACTCCGACTATCTTTGAAGCATCCAGCCTCCGGGGTAGAGCGGGCAGATCCAGGGGAGAAGCTCTTTATCCAATGTTTTAGGCCTTCTGTCTTACCATGTCGAACATTGTGGTTGAACCCGGGTGGCTCAGGGGCGATATACGTATATCTCTGATCGTTTGTGTCCGTTGTCTTTCTCTATCTCTTTCGTGTGCCGAAACGCCGTCTAGGTAATAGGGGAAAGGGGGTTACGGAGGTGTCTGGATCATGACCTCAGTTGAATACCACCGTCTTATGCCCGTTCAAAAACACTCTTTTCTCTGACCACCATTTGACTGCCGCGGCCAGCACCTGGCTCTCCACATTACTCCCCTCGTCCACGAGTTCCTTGGGCGTCATGCTATGATCCACTCTGGTGACCCTCTGCTCGATGATCGGGCCTTCATCCAAATCGGCGGTGACGAAATGAGCCGTGGCGCCAATGATCTTGACGCCTCTTTCAAAGGCCTGGTGGTAAGGCTTGGCCCCTTTGAAGGAAGGCAAGAAGCTGTGATGGATGTTGATGATTTTGCCAGACATGGCTTCGCACAGCTTTGGTGAGAGCACCTGCATGTACCGCGCCAGCACTACTAGGTCGATGTGGTTTTCTTTGATGAGCTCCAGAATACGAGTTTCCTGTTCAGCCTTGGTGTCCTTAGTGACAGGCAGGTGGTGAAAAGCAATGTTGTAGCTCTTGGCTAGCGGCTCGAAATCCTGATGATTCGAGACAATTAACGGTACTTCAATAGCCAATTGTCCCTGCCAATACTTGTTAGAATCTCAGAACTAACCGTGGCAGAACGCAACAGCATCAACTTATCGAAAGAGTAAACATAGTCATTCAACACGAGGGAAGCTCACAGTCTTCTGGCGAAAAAGGAGGTCGTTCAAGCAGTAGCCGATCTTGGAGACCATGATCAAAACCTTGGGCTTCTCGGCCACAGGCCTTAGCTCGTAGTCCATTTTGATATCGTTTGCTAGCTCATCGAACGAGGGTATCAAGAATTTGGTGTTGTCCGCCGGTCCAAAATGGACTCTCATGAAGAATTTCTCCGAAGTCCGGTCGCTGAATTGCTGCAAGTCGAGGATGTTGAGGTTATTCCGAGCGAAGATGCCTGTGACAGAATGGATAATCCCCGGCTTGTCTGGACATGACAGGGTCAGAATGTGGTCGTTGGCCATCTTTGCGAGGATGGAGGAGTCCTGGACCGAAGCGGTAGAAAACGGAAGTCTCGTCGATGGCGGCAATTTAGATTTCTCTAGCACAAACTGTACCCGCGAGGGTAATTGCAATATCAGTCTCCGACTTGCAAGTCTCGCTCCGCTCAATATGAGAAGCATCTGCCTCGATCTTGCTCTTGGAAATTTGTCTGCTCGCGTGGCTCGATCGATCGCCGAAAATTTTGCCAATATCAAAGTGCACTTGAGACACCATTGCCTCACCGTACAAAACCTGCATAGAGATACGGTGAAGTGCCACAGTGCTTCTCCATATTCTGCCGTTCCCTGACTCGCCGGATATGGGTGAGGCGCAGTCAGGCACAATTAGGCACCGGCACCCATTCACCTCCACTTCTGGGCGCCAGGGATCATAACTGAACGATCCTGCACTGCCAAAGAAAGAAAGAAACACATGCCTATCTGACTCGATGCGGACCTGGTGGTGCTGGTGCCTGTAGAGGTGAAACTTGTTCAGGCTGCTGCCGGTGCCTGCGCCATCCTTGTCTCACGTGTCCTCGTGTTAGCGACGCGCTGTCTTTCTCGACTGCCGTGGAAGCTCACCGCGCTCCTTTCTATAGAATATTAGTCTGTATAATATGACCATCGCCTTCCCCTTCATGGATGCCAGTCTCACCCATCACTCGTCCTTTTGCTCGTTCCATTGCTTCCACAAATCACCTGCGTACAGCTTCGTCCAGCAATTGTATTTGTTTGCCTTGTTCTGATTTGTCAAGCTCGCCTGTGTTCCCCCTTGTCTTTCGTTTTCGTCTCCATTCGAATCTCGCCCGTCATTTCTCGACCACCACGAACGCTATACCCATGGAGCTTCCGCCTCTCCCAGTTCCCATTCTTGACTTCGTCAACTATGTCGACCAAAAGCCCAAAAACCAAATTGGGGTTGCTGAAGCGGTGGAACCCTTCAAGACCTACGAAAGTAGACTGAGAGAAATTTACGCCCAACAACCTGATCACCAAGCTGCACTCGCAAACCACCTGGTACCTGTCTTCAAGGGTGCTCCTGCCACTATTCGAGCAAGAGACCTCACAAAGGAGTCTGATGCTGATAAAGACAAATATCTCCTGGCACTCCCTCAAGAGGCTCGCAGAAGCGACGGCTCACCTGCCACCACGCAAACCCTGAAAGACTTCAGGACCAACTTCAACCTTTTCTCCGAGTCATCGCTGGTGGATCTAGACTGGAACAATGTGGTATGCGCAGGAAGTGCTGTGGTCACCTCTTTGCTACCCGTTGACGCTCCTCACAACGAGTCCAAGGTAAACCCACCATCACAGATCTTGCTGGTCACATTCTAACAGGCGTATGGCGTGCTCTTCGAGCCTACTACCATGAGAAGCTCGCACCTGCTTCCGATGTCGATCTATTCCTTTATGGTTTGAACGAGGAACAAGCGATCGAGAAAATCAGACAAATCGAGACCAAGATCCGGGATAGCATCCTAACCGAGACGACCACCATTGTAAGGCACCGGGAATACACATTTTCCACATCCTCGAGTGTTTTCGAGGGCTCAGTGATTTCAAACATGTCGGGTACTAACCAGAAGACAGCGCACCAAGAATGCCATCACCATTGTGTCGGCATACCCCACCCGCCATGTTCAGATTGTGCTCCGCTTGTATAAGAGCATTTCTGAGATCCTCACCGGTTTCGACGTGGATTGCTCCTGTGTAGCCTACGACGGTCAGCAGGTGTGGGCGTCTCCAAGAGCTCTCGCGGCCTTCATGACCCAGGTGAACACGATCGATCTCACAAGACGATCTCCGTCCTATGAAAATCGGCTGTCCAAATACTCTCACCGTGGCTTCGAGGTGGTATTCCCAGGTATTGATCGGACTCGAATCGACCCAACCATCTTCGAGAGATCTTTCTCAAGGGTACAAGGTCTGGCGAGATTGCTGGTCCTCGAAAAGCTGCCACATCCCACCGACAGAGAAAACTACCTCGCAAAACGTCGAGCGGAACGGGGCCGGCCTCCGTTGCCTTGGAACGCTCACTCTCGCCATGAACTCCCAGGAAATGTCAAAGATGCCCAGCCAGATGACGTGGCTGAATGGGTGGAAGAGGACGAAGTTTCGAATTACCACACAGTCTCTATTCCCTATGGCCCCAGATACAATGCCAAACGAGTTGAGAAGCTTCTGTTCACCAAGGATTTGCTCCTCAATGCCGAATGGAATAAACCCAAGGACAGAGAGACCAAATTGCATCGGCATCCAGCCTTTTTTGGATCTGTCAACGATATCCTTCATGACTGCTGCGGATATTGCCCTGAGCCAACAACCGACGCAGACTTCGCCGCGCGTGAGGAGGAAGGCAAGATTTACATATCTGGCGATGTCACGTTCCTCAAAGATGACCCAGGCAGACAGGCCATCGGCAGCTTCAATCCTATCACCGACACCGACTGGACGGAAATGGCATATATTGGCAATACCACGAGGTTGTGTCAAGCAATAGTCGACCTTGATCTGGATGCCGTTAGAGACTGGTTCTCTGCATCAGAAGCTGTTGATGTCAATCGTCGAGATCCTGCCGGTCGCACACCTCTACATCTCGCAGTCATGTGTTCAACCCCTGAAATTGTCCAGTGTTTGATTGAACATGGCGCTCGTCTCGTTGCCAGGTTATATAACGGTATGACCGCCTTGCATCTTGCTGCCCACCGTGGCGAGGCCCAGATGATCAAGGACATCCTCGACAAGAGCGACGTGAATGAGGAGCAGGAAGCACTCAAAGAAGACGCGCGAAAAGAGGCCCGAAGGAAGGCTGCCAACACTTCGCAATCAGCTGACGTTGATATGAAGGGCCTCAGCGACAGCGACTCGAGTGACTCCGAAGACTTCGAGGACGAAGGCGAGGGTGAAGACGAAGACGAAGAAGATGCCATGACTGAAGGGTCCTTTGTGAAAGTGGACCGTGTCACCGAAGCCCAAGACGCCGAAGATAAAGAGGGACCAGATGTCTACGATGTCGATGTTCTCGCTTGGGATAGTCCTCTCTCGCCTCTCCACCTAGCGATCTTGGGCGGGCACATGGACGCGGTGAAAGTTCTCGTTGACACTTACGGCGCCGACGTCCTGCTTCCCGTAAAGATCATGGATGAATACAACCGAAAGCACGCAAAAGCTGCCATACTGACCATCAGTCTGGCGTTAGAGCTCCCTTTACAGCTGGCCAATGAAACAGTCAAAGGTCTGCTTGCCCTCGGGGCGTCATGCACACAGGCGTAAGTCTCCCATTCTGTCTTACGTTCCAATTCTCTGTATATGCTAACAGAAATTTGCAGCGATATGAACCACATCTCAGCACTTCACTATGTGGTCAACAGTGCGAAGACTTTGATATTGCAGACTATGCACTCTGCTGAACCATCAAACTTTGCTAGCGCCGTCAACTTCATCTCTATGTCTGGGTACTGGACCCAACCAACCGTCGATACACCCCTATTGACGGCCATCCGCACTGGCAAAATGGAACTTGTCGAGGATCTGGTAGGTATGGGAGCCAAAACCTACATCGACTTCGAAGCCTTTGCGCAAGCATACAAACGCAGTTTCAATCACGGCTCGAATGATCCGGTAGAGGTCAAGAAGCTTTTCCAGAAATGTGTCGAACAGCCCGTAATTCTCGCTCTCAAGCACGAATTGGCCGAATTTGTTACTCAGCTCATCGAGAAGGGTGAAGACGTCAATACATTAAGTCCTACTGCGTATCAATTTCTCCAACACCCAACTCGCTCCGGGGTTCCGTCACCGATGGCATTGTTGGATCTAGTTCGAGATCGCATCTCGTCACTTGAAGATTTCCTATCTCCAAAAGCTCAGGAGCTGGAGCAGCCAGCTGCACTGAGGGACGATGATGAATACCTTCGCGGCCTCGACGAAGGCTCATATTCTCATTGGACTGCTCTCCATGACCTGCAGGATGCAAAGTGGATCCACCAATCTCAAATGAGACTGTACAAGAAAGAACTTGAAGCCAAAAAGAGAAGCTCAGAGATTGGCAAGGAGGAGAAGGATGCCGCTATCAAGGTCACCATCGCGAAGCTGCGTGGTCTTGAATCCAAGCTTAACGAGAAGGGCGCCAAAACATTTTCCGACCTGTATCCGAAGGCAACTGGCGAGGAAAACACAGAGCAACCTCGCAGACACTATTTCGGATCGAACAGTTTCAACAATGATCCGTATGAAACGAAGATATCTTTCCAAGTGCCTGATCTGACTCCGGAGAAGAAGGTCAAATATATTCAGTTGTTCGAAGCTGTGTGGCAGGGCAACTCTGAGACAGTCAAATCACTCTGTCTCACAGACCCTAACCCACTGCAAGTGGCGATCATGGATCTTCGCGGATTCACTCCTTTCTCTATTGCGGCTTTCCGGGGTCATTACGAGCTGGCGCAGTTGATTGTCGAGATTGCTAAGATCCAGTATCAACCGATCGATGATTCAAAAAGATACCACTACGTGCTCGGGACCGGCGACGATTTCGATGGAGACAGCGACTGCAGCGAAGAAAGTGAAGGGAGAGAGCACACTTCTCGTGTGAGAGTAGTCGCCGAACTTGTTGATGAGACCTTCACCATCAACGACATTGCTGCGGTGGCCAACAATGTCAAGTCGAGAGTCTCGCCGGCCACTATGACCTCCTGGCCTTGCCAGATCGTGCGAGCCCTCGAGAATGCCTCTGATGAGCGACAAGTCCGGCAGGTCTTTGGAGGCATCCATACCCAAAACGTCTATATCGACGACAACTCAAAACAATCCTGGGTATGGTTCCATTCAGCGTTCAATTTAACCAGCCAGATGAACCGTTCCTCCCTGGTGCGATATGCCATTTACGTCAACAACATGGCGCTTTTGAGATTCATCATCAGAATCGGCAACGCTCTCGCAGACCAGAAAGATGAACACGAATTGCACGTGATGGCCATCTCTGGACACGATTTTGACCTTGCAGTTCGGCTTGGTCGGGTTGAGATGATCGGCGAAATGATCAGGTCCACCGGATTTGGATTCCCTCTTCAGAAAATGTTCCAGAGATCAGGCATTCAGCTCGACGAGAAGCCCAAGTACTACCAGGGTCTCAGCGTTTATGGCAAAAAGCGTGAGGATTGGGCAGAAGCAGGTCGTAAAGGGTTTCGCATCAGACACCTCGACTCGGATGTGGGCGTTCCTCTGCTAGCCGCCACAGTGGCGGGCAACTTGAAAACTACGGAATACTACACCTCAGACGCGCCCTTGCGCCACTACCTCGAGTTTGCCGAGACCTTCAAGGAGGACAAACGCATAAAGGCATTGAGTAAGACAAAAGTCGGTATCCGAGGGACTCTGGATGCATGGCTGTCGACACGGAATAACCTCGCACTGCACATCGGTGTCTTATCACCTCCCAAGAAAGACGGAACCCAGCCATGCTTTGACTTCCTGCTGGAGAAGATGCCCCATGCACTCGAAGTCCGCTCTACCGACGGGACAACACCGCTCCAGCTGGCCTTCGAAGTCGGAAGATACTATGCCGCGAAGAAATTGATCGCAGCAGGCGCAAGTCAAGTCACTAAAGACAACGGAGGACGCAACATCCTCCATACTATCCTCGACACCATCCCCGCTGATAAGCCTGCCTTACTCAAATCAGTCCTAAAAATGCTGGACGAGAATGTCGTGGCGCCGTTGCTCTACGAGCGATGTAGCAGCGTTGGGTCCACGGGCAATACGCCTTTGGCGGTGTTCCTTGGTCACATCAGCGCCAGTGCAGGATGGGAAGAAGGTCTCCAGCTTATCCTGTCTCTCTCGGGCGGGAAAGACCTCGAAAAGATGAACGGGGCGGGAGACTACCCATTGCATTCAGTCGTGCGACAAGGTCACCAGGAACTGGTAAAATTCATTGCAGAGTACCGACCAGGATTATTGTACTGGGAAAACGCCACAGGAATGACTGTTGTCGATGTTGTGACTACGTCGTATCTGCAACATCAGATCGCCAATCCACCAACACTCGATCATACCCCGGACCGAAGCATCCAATATATCCCTGCACATGAATTTCTGGATGGTCCCAAGTCCGGTTCGAGTAAGGGGGAAATCCCAGATGCTGCGGGACGTAGCAGCGAGTGGCGTATGTACCACCTCATCAACTCTCTTGTCGCCAAATATCCAGCGAAGCGTAAATTGGTGGCACTGCATGATGCCAACGAGGTGGCGAAGCGCCTGGCACTGCAGCAGCAGCACGAACAGAAGGAGGAGAAACGTCGCCGTGAAAGACTTTCTATGAACGCCCAAAATTGGAAGTATCGGGAATTCATCCTGGAAACCGACGCAGCTGGCAACGTGCCAGACGAAGTGGCGCACTATCTGCCTAGAGCGAAGGACTTCACAAAGTGGGACGAGATGGTTTGGAGAAAGGTGGAAGCGAAAGAGACGACAGGTGAGGACGGTCAAGACATAGAGAGGGAATATCGGCGCCGTGGTAGTGACGCGAGCGTCCTTGATTGATGATATGCCAGGAAAAAGAAAGCCTTGTTACTGTGGCCATGCTGCGCGAGCATCTCACGGGCACATGATCAAATCAACGATGGGTTGTGTATCGATCGGGTTCGAGAGATAATCAGAGACAATGGAAGTGTCGCTGTTTATGGGATAAGGCGATGGAATTGCCAGAGGTTGGCAGCCGTGGTGGGAGGTCGAGTTGAATATACATTGATGTACCTCGTACCTTTTATGCACTCAATGTCCATAGATAGAGATGCGGACAGTGCCTGAAGATAGATTCGAAGCGGGTTTATGAGTCTTGCTTGTCTTTCTAACGAGGGTAGCTTGCATCAGCCCTCAATGTCTTTTGTCTTGGTCATCTTCCCTTCTTCCCACCTCCACCTGCCTTTCCCTTCCCCTTCCCACCACCGCCACCGCTACCCTTCCCTCCTCCGCTACCACCGCCTCCCAACCCCCCTCCCAGCCCTCCACTCTGGACAATCCGACAGCCCTTGACCGGCAAGGCCCCGACGATTTCTTCCACCCTCCACTCCTTCAACAAGTCCAGCTCGCGGCGCCAGACCCGCTCCCTTGCATGGTTCTGATCGTCGACGACCTTAGGACCCCGGGCGCCCAGCGAGGTCCGGAAGCCCACGACCTCGCGGACCACTTTGCCCTTCTTGACGTTGCCGGGCTGCAGCTTGATCTTGTACTTCTGGCGGGCCAAGGCGGTCCACGGCGCCACGACGGGGATGGCGGCGAGGAGCTCGTCGCCCGGTTCCGGCAGGGGGACGAGCCGGTCGATGTCCAAGAGTTCGCGCCGCTCCTGTTCCAATTGCTCCCTGCTCAATTCGTCGTCCTCGTCTAGGTCGGGCTCCCCTTCTCCGCCATTGGCACCGCTGCCACCGGCCGCCCTTTCGAGCCTCTCGCGACGGAGACGCTCCTTCTCCGCCGCCTTGGCATGTTGTGCCCGCCGTCGTTCTTTGTCTGCCTGAGCCTTGGCTTCGCGGGCAGCCTTTTCTGATTCGGCTGTTTCTTTGCGTTCTTGTGCGCGGTTGGACCCGAGGAGCTGCATGGCTAGAGCACGGTCCTCTTCGTCTTGGTCGGCGTATTTCTTTTGGGCGCGTTTGAGCTTGGTACGTTTTCCTCGAGCAAGCTGCGCTGGTCTAGACTTCGCCATGGGTTGTGACGAGGAAGCCGGCGTCGATGCCCGCGTAGATGGCTGCGTCGACGCTGGGGTGTCCTCGTCGGACTCTTCTCCGTGCGAGACCTCGTCTGAGGGCGGCTCTTTTGTCTCGTCTTCAATCCCGATCGAGGGCGCATCAAAATCATCCCTCTTTGCATCTTTGTGGGATTGAGCAGGGTTCACCTGCAAAGGGTTCGACCTTTCTTCCTCTGCCTCCGAAGCGTCCGTGGAGTTACGGTCATCACTGTCAACATCAGCCTGCCCTGACTGATCGGGCACCTCATTAAATGGTCCTCCACGGTCATCCTCTTCTTTTTCTTCCACAGCAGCATCGGCAGCATCTTCAACATCCGGTACTGCTTGTTGTTGATCTGGACCCGTGTCTTCTGAAATGCCTTCTTCCTCAATAGCAAAGCCCCTTACATCGTTAGCTAAGGCTTCAGCCTCCCCTGGAAGCATGCTCTCCGTCCGTTCTATCCGATGCTTGCCATGGTTGACTCGGCTCTCTTCGCTGATCAGCCACAGGACCCCAAACCCAAGAAGTAACTGACTCGGCGCTAATTGATTTTTGTGTCCTCGGATGATGAACCCGCCTGTAGTGAGATACTCACCAGTTGGGGCCGTCTTGCTCACTTGGTCTGCATTGACCCACCAGGCCCCCATCAACGCCTTCGAGTCCCATGCACTGCTCGTGCAGACGGTCAATGTACCGGCTTGAGAAAGGGTAGAAGGAGGAATTGGTGCATCCGGCGTTCGCGGATTGTTCTTCACAATCACGCTTGACGCTCCTTGCAAGTCGGCGTGTACGTAAACGTCGCCCTTCTTCAGGTATCTCCTGTAGAGAAGCTCGTTCTGTTGGGCATCTTTGCCTCCAATAACAAGATATCCGTCACTGGAGATGAAGTATAAGAACTTTTCGAACCAGAACTGTTTCCGTGCCGGCCTCAAGACAGCCTTCTCTTGCTTCAAGCCCTTCTTGAGATCTGCGTCTATCTTCTGCTCAGCAGACTTGAGGGCCTTTGCGGATGCTTCCACGGTCTTTTTTTCCTTGACTGCTGCAGACTTTTTCTGGTCATAGTACTGGCGTGCGTTTGCCCAAGGAGAGAGTGCAAGGTCAATATCAATAGCCAATCGTTTGTCCATTGAAGGTAGGCCTTTAACTCGAGTCTCCTCAGCTTCCTCGTCAGAGTCAACCTCTTCGTCAGTTTCATCTCCCTCGTCACTCTCGTAGCCTTCATCGAAGCCGGGTTCGTCAAGCAGAAGAGTCACAGTATTCTCCTCCAGCTTGAGGGGTAGCTTGACCATCTGAGCCACAACATTACCTCTTTTCTGTTCGTTCTCGATCAACTTCCCAATATCTACCCAGTCCATGCCTTGTGCGATCAGACCATTGACTGCAGCACACGCTTCCTCTACGCGGTGAGTGTTCGCCTCGATGGCTTGCGCCTTTCGGACATGCAATTCCTGCACCTGTTGAAGGCCCATCAACCTCTTTTCGTGCTCGTCTTTCGCAATTTGCAATTTTCGTTTCGCGAGTTCTTCCCTCTCCGTCAATCGAGATTCCAGCTTCTGAGATTCGATGGACGAATAGAACTCGTCAACCGTACGATTGAAGCCGTCGAACTCGAGAATGTGGATGCCGGGCCTGTTCCCAAACTGGCTCGGCCGAAATGGATGGAAATCATCATAGAGTATGGAGTCCCTCATCACTTCTTGTGCGCCTGAAGACTCCGCCTCGCGTGATGGGGGAGATTTCTGCTTTGCAATAATGTAACCTTTCGATTGTCCAGTTCCCAGTGACTTGAAAATTTGATCTGCGATCTCCAATGCTTTCATGACTGAGCGCAGAGACTGCGGGTCTCCCAACACATCTTCCGCTTTCAATGTCGCGTCGACGCCAGCTTCTTTAAAAGCATGCTCAAGCAGGTGGTGAGGAAACTCCGTGAAGCCGGCACTCAAAGCTTTAGCTACGTCGTCAATGCCCTTTGCTCGTTTCGCTTTCTTACCACCCACCTCTTTTGCAATCTTCGAGCGGTCAACCGCCTTCTGAAGAACGTTCCTGACTCTTTCTTCCGATATGGGAGGCACGCCGTTGAAATTCTGTTTCGGCTCGAGGATGTACTTCCCGCCCAATTTGATATCCACATCCGCGTCTCCTTCATTGACCTGCCGTTGAAGCGCGAGAACATTGAGATCCGCATCGGTGACGACGATATTTCCCGCAGCAAAGAATTCTAAGAACAAGCGGTACAGTCCGTTGCTGAAGGAAATTTCTATGACTCGGTCGGTGCCCACCTGATCGACCCCGGTGACACGTTTGCTTTTGAGATAATGGCGTAGTCTGCTAACAAAGGCGGACGGCTGAGTGGCTGCGGTTCGCGAGAATGAGGTCAAGTGGCAGCGAAAGCCCGAGTCTAGGAGAAGTTGCTCCCGTTTCCCGGGTTTGGCGAACTTGAACAGGAAAATTCGACTGGAAAGATCGTAGACGTTTGAGAGACGGAGCCCAGTGAGGGAATTGGACAATTCATTCGCAATGACCTACAATATACAGTAACGGAGTCAGTCGCTGCTTACCGGCGCATGCGGGGCACGGGAATAGACAGCAGACCTTGACATCGAGTGATGAGAAGCGTTGTTTCATGATGGCGAGCCTCTGGAGTCGTCTAAGGGAAAATATAATGAAGGACAAGAGGCTCAACACAAGACACGACGTAGCACCCGGGGACAATTGACCGGATGACTCTTTGAATGGAAATATTTCAGCGACTCAAATGACGTCGATTTACATTGGTGCTCTCATTGCGGGCAAGGCTTCATGAGCCCTCAAAAAAAAGGCTACCATTCCCGCCAAAGCTGTGGGACACGACCACCAGGTTCCCAGATCATGACTTTTCTGGTCATAAATGCTCGTTGGCCCCTTTCCACTCATAACGCCAGGCGAGAACATCTCTGTTGTCCCATGTCTGGTGCAGGCTATCACTGTGACTGCAGTCGATCGCCTCCTATTCCACCATCCATCGAAAAATTATAGGTTTCTCCGTACGAACTCCATTCCTTGCTTCTTTCCGAATTCCCAAAGATTTTGTATCCCTTGTTCACTGAGGTCGATGTTCTTCATATTGGGCGCATCCTGTGCAGGAGCTTTTGACACTCTGGATGCCACCATCACGGGGTCTGTCTCCAATACTATGCCATCGTCGACAATCTCATCGATAGCCAGAGTGACCAGGTCGTAGTTCTCCATGATTGTGCGCTTGTCGGTCGAGTTTCTATAGGAAGCCTTTGTCAGTTGCTGTGGCCAGGAGTAAGGTTTGCTGGCCGTACTTTAATAATATACTCAACGTGTCCCTCAGGGCCAATACGACGTTATACAACAGAATCTCATTCTCCTCAGCGCCACCCACCACGTACAGCATAACGTCGCTCTCCATCTTGAACACCACGACCTTATTGTCGTAGAGGATCACGTCGGAGGTCTGCTTTGAAGTCTTCTCCAGTAGTCCCTTTTCAAAGGCCTTCTGTTCTTTCAGGTGAGGATATGGCTGAGGTTGCGGAGGATGTTGTTGCACGGCTGCAGCGTGTGGAGGATTGTAGTATTTGGCAAACAGTCTGGAGGAATCTGGGGAGGAGTCGGTGCATAGTATGAGGATGGCAACGACGCTGTGGAGGGACATGCTGGGTGCCATGACGGGCGATTGTCCTCTTACGAGGGGATGACAGTTGTAACCCTTGGAACGAGGAGCTTTGGCAGCAACGTCGAGAAATAGACAGTCTGGGTGTTCCAATTAATTGAACTGGCCTCAACTGCGCTGAAGCGGCGGAATCAACACGGACTGCAGGTGCATCTCAAGAAAAAGGTGAATGACCGTATTATATGGAACGGTGAACTACAAAGCCCTCCTGCGCAGCACAAATCAGCCTTGCCCTAAAAAGACAATTTCCAGTCCACATGCTTTCAAGGTCATATCCCAACAAGACCACAAGCTCCCGAACAAACAGACCGTGAGGTGGCCAAGTATAAATTCGCACTCATTATGGGCAAATCCTCAAAGGACAAGAGAGACGCGTACTACCGCCTGGCTAAGGAGCAAAATTGGCGTGCCCGGTCTGCCTTCAAACTCATCCAGATCGACGAACAGTTCGACCTGTTTTCATACAGCGAGCCCGAGAAATGCACGAGGGTGGTCGATCTATGCGCCGCCCCGGGCTCGTGGAGCCAGGTTCTCTCGAGGGTGTTGATCAAAGGTGAGAGTTTTGGACGGAGGGCCTGGGTTGAGAAAATGGAAAGACTCCAGCAGGTACAGCCACAAAAGGGGAACAGCATCACTGAGGACACGTCGTCCCTCGACATCAGCCCAGCGAGTCGCGAATTGAAGCCTCGAGCGAACTTCAAGATTGTCGCCATAGACTTGCAACCCATGGCACCGCTCGAAGGCATCACGCAACTCAAAGCCGACATCACCCACCCGTCCACCGTTCCACTCCTGCTCAGAGCCATCGATCCAGACTTTTCCCCTCAGAACACAACCCATCTGATCGACCTGGTAATAAGTGACGGTGCTCCCGACGTCACGGGTCTCCACTCCCTTGACATTTACGTTCAGTCACAACTGCTGTATTCGGCGCTCACGCTCGCCACAAAGGTCCTGCGCCCAGGTGGAAAATTTGTGGCCAAGATCTTCCGCGGTCGAGACGTTGACCTGATTTATGCGCAGTTGAGAATTTTGTTTGAAAAAGTGAGTGTGGCCAAGCCGAGGGCCAGTCGGGCGAGCAGTATCGAGGCATTTGTGGTCTGCGAAGGCTATAAACCGGTCATGGTAAGACGAGAGGATGGAACGGAAGTTCTATGGACCCCAGAACTCGAGGTTGAGGATGGGATGCGACTTCCAGAGCCCGAAGCTGTATCAGAATCTTTATCAACAGCGCAAGAACAAGAGCAAAAACAAGGCTCCCTGTACTCTGTCCTTCAAACCATACACCAAACCGACAACGCTCCTATCTTAGAATCACAGCCATCAATGAGAGACGTGCATACCCAACCGCAAACACAGACGCAAACCCGACACCTCCGCACCGATGGCATCGTCGAACTCCGACTGCCTTCCATCGAAGACGCCGACCCTCGGAGATACATTGCTCCATTCCTGGCCTGCGGCGACCTGTCAGCCTGGGACAGCGACGCGACCTACAAGCTGCCGGAGGGTCATGTGTCGCTGGACCCGGTTCAACCCCCAACAGCCCCTCCCTATAAGTTGGCTATCGAAAAGCGGCGGGTAGAAGGAGGAATGTACGGGAAGACGAAGCACAAATGAACCATCATCAACTGAAGCGACCATACCATGTTATACATTGGGCAGCTCGGTTTCGTGCGTGAAGCGAGCGCAAGCCGCTATGAGCTCGAGGACGCTACATCGGTAGGCTGGACGATGCCCAACAAACTCGGCAACTACGACTACGATACTCTGCATCCCAACAGATTTGCGATATACGGTGGTCCAACGGGTCTCCGACGCGGAATCTCTTTTAACGCCCGAGATTCAGACGGGCGGACGCATGCCAGAACTGCACTTGAAAAGTTACCACGCGTCGAGCAGGTGACAGCATACCTCCGCATAGTCATGTCCTCGCAACTATCTCACCGGTATACAGCCTGAACATCAAAGAACGAGCAAAGTTCGACAGCCAAGGAGAAGAGAGGACACCAGATTGCTACCAAACCCTTACTTCTTCATTTATCATGTCGGAGTCTTTTCATGGTCGTCATCAAACTGTCACAAAACTCGGAACGAAGGCTCATCTAGAAGACGGCACTCCTCCAAGATTCATAATTCCGCTTCGGTCAAGACGATACAGCCAAATACCAATCCACAATATTCACGGAGAAAAGCTTCGCTTGCTCGAACGTGCCACAAGAAAAGGAGCCAATCCCGCCAGTATCTCTGCCCAACTATTGGCAGATGGACGTCAATCATCGGCCCTGCGCCCTCTGGTAAAACACGATATACGCCTCCCCGTTCTGCAACCTGTCCCTGGGGCTTAGTTTCGTCGGGTCCAAATCAACATGTCTCTCATCATCAAATTTCCTCCACACGCCGCGCCCCTGATCTTTCACAATAGAGATATAATGTCCGCCGTCTCCACTGTTCCCGAGGTGTCTCAGAACTCCGTAGGCATCATACGTGAAGGGTGGTGTCGTGGCAAGCTCCATGTTCATCCCGCCATCTTGGTCTGGAAGAACAGGGGGCCGCGGGATCACAAAATCATCCATACCTAGATTGTGCAATGGGAATTCGATAGGTGTATGGATTTTCTTGGCTTTTTCATGCTTTGACGCAGCGAACCGTTTGAAATGAATCACCAGAAACTGCGGCAGACGAGTAAGGATGATTTGCTTGGTGGCTTCACGCTCACACTTGCAATAGGGACATCGCCAAAGCTCCGACAGCTTTTCTTCCCGGCAATATGAGGAAAGACAGTCGTAGATATGGCCTGGACGATCCCGAGGGATTTCCACGCTGATGCTGTAGAATGCCTCGTACGTCGTTGATGTGCGTTTGCAGGTGAGACAACGCAGACGGGAGGCATGCTGGCCCGCAAATAAGGAAGACATGTAACTATGATCCCTGTGTTCGTAGCGCTTCCACTCGATCGGGCTGGCCCGTGCAATCTCCATTCTCTCTCTTTGCATCTCCTCTGCAGTGGTTAGAGGCCGGAGCGGCGTCCGTTCCCAATTGACATTCAAGTCCTCGTGGAGGCAATCGACCAGGAAGTCAAAGAACTCTTTTGCGTCTTGCTGTCGGTCGATGACCCACTCTCGGTTCATCCGGCCACAGAAGTTTCGGAATGTTGATGGCTTAATCACTTCATTGTCCCCCTGCCAGACGGCTTGGATCAGGTTGGCATAGAGCTTGGGCATGATCCCATTACTGCCCTTCCAGTTGCGCTGTACATACCCCTCGTAGAGCCGGTCATTGAAGAAGTTCGACAAGGGAATAGTCGCAGACAGACATTGCAGAGTCGAGTTCATGTAACAAGTAACGCCGAAATTCGTCAAGCCAGTCTTAGGCAGCCTCCTGCGAAGGGATGTCACAGTTGAATACAGAGGAGGCCGAGTGGAGGATGTCACTCTCGCCAGGGCTGGTTGGGGTGCATTAATGTCCGCGTGGCCCGAATAGCTCGGTCTCGGTATAGCGGGAGCAGGTCTTGCCGGTACTTGGGGAACGGGAGGTGGTGCAATTTGAGGAACAAATGCGGCGTGATGAGACGGCACAGGTCGGCGAGCAGGCATGACCATAGACTCTTGCTGTTGTATCGATGGAAACCGGCGCAGGAACGTCTCATAATCGGGGATGAATGGCGACGGAGGTTCAGGCTCTTCCTCTACCACCGAATATTCCTCATCGCTTGCGTTGTCGTATTTCTCAGCTGGGGTCACTTCTTCTTGCAAAGCCTGCTGACGCCATGCTTCTTGCTCGCTCTCATCCAGGAATTTGTGGTCACGAAGGCGTCTGTTCCGGACCTCATAGCGAGAATTGGCAGAGACCATGCGCTGTCGTGCGATAGGCCGACCGGGACCGACAGGCCTTTGTCGCGTGATGCCCAGCGTCGCAGCCGTTCGTGACCGCGCAAGGGATTGGACTCCCATATAGTCCACCCAAGCATCGAGTCCGCCAGCCAAAAGCGCAGGTGGCCGGCCATCCTTGAGGGGCTTCGTGTCATTGAATTCGTACAATGTATCGTACAGCGCTCTTAATGCAGGAGCTTTTGTCATCGTGGGAGGACCATTGAGGTAGGAAACGTCGCTCGTGTACTGGTCATAATAAACAACCAGGTCAAATTCGTCTCTGCGAGAAAAGTGTGACTGTTCATTATCCGGTGCCAGTACGAGCCGGTCCTCCAGTTCCTCCGCCGAGACACCTTCCTTCAAAGAGATCGGTTCTATACATATAATCGAAGTAGACATGATGTGCCCATCATCGAACAAAACCCTCTCTCTGATATCAATCAGGAGAACGTTATACCTCTTCATATAATCCTGAAGGGTGGCAGCATCGATCGACGTTCGATGAGGGAGATCACTGGAGCTATTCTTGGGAAGGATGGCGGAATTGACTCCGTTCGGAGTGGTTGGTCGGTAAGGAGCAGATAGTTCCTCTCGAGTCCTTTGCAGGTGCAACGAAGCCGTAGATGAATTTTGCGACTGATTGTAGTAAGTCTGTCTCCTCTCCGAGGGCGGCCGGCCTACTTCTGCAGACATTCGATGGTTATTAGCATGAAAGCTGGCGGATGTGGTATTGATCGGGCTGTATGTAGGACTGGGAGGTTTTGGCAAGGCCATGGAAGTCTCAATAGGGACTTTGGGCGGTGCAGCCGGCACCTTTGGTGGGAGGTTAGGTCCGTTACTGAAAGCCAGCATCCCCCGAGGCGCGCCGGGTCGCGAAGTCGACACATCATTGGAATATGACTGTGAGTTATATCCTGCTCCTTGTTGGAAGTCTGCCGCTTTCGGCATAAATAAAAAGTTCGAGTGGTCTGTCGCATTTCCCGGTCCCCTCAGCTTTGCAAATCTTTGGGTCAGGTCGTTAGCCGCCTCTGTCAAAGGTCGACCCTGCAAATTCTCGGGTTTGGGTTTGCTTGATGGACGGGCCCGAGGGATTCGAAGGGAGTCAGGTAGGTCTGCAGATGAGTTTGGCGAAGTCGGGCGTGGAGGAGCATCGCTGCTGCCTGAAGAGGTAGGTCGGCCAGGAACCAAGTTTTGAGGGATGCCAAAGCCGGTAGAGTAGACTGCTTGTCTCGCTGTTGCGCCGGATCGAGGTTGAGTTCCGTACCGAGCATTGTTGTCCTCGATCAGAGCTTTGATCCCGGTCATCTCTGCCTCCATGTCCACCAGTTTCTGAAGAGCGATCTTGTACTTCGCTCGCCACGGCGGGTTGTTATCCCAAAATCCGAAGTCCTTATGTCTTGGAATGTGATTGACTGCGATTTCATAGGCCTGCATATAACTCTTGTAAGCCAAGTCGTAGCGGCCAAAATCCAGCGAGCTTTTTGCCACAGTGGTGGAATTGTCGACGTCGTGCAGATATTGAGGGAGCGAACCGCCTAACTGGAAGGAAGTGGTGGCATCTTGAATGATGTCTTTAATGTGTGGGTAGACTTTTGCAGCGCCCGAGCCAGGGCCCGGTGTCGAGTCTCGCGGATCAGTCCAACTGCTTCGAGCGCTGGCCGAGGTGGAGGTGGTGTGAGAGGATACAGCGGACGAGGATGCATACGCCGCCATGGCGATGTGAGTGTCGCTCCTACCGCGGTATCATGGCGCGCTGGCCCGTGGCAAGAACGCTCGTCTTAGTGGCAGATTTCTAAGATTAATTTCTTGCTTGACCTTGGGCGTTTAACAACTGACCGAGGGCATGTGAGAGTCAGAGCAGGTTGCAGTGGGCTGAAGAGGGGTACTGGGAATTCCGGAGACGTCGATAGGAGAGTGACATGAATCTATATGAGAGTGATCAGGCGTTTGACCGTTGGAAAAAGACACTTGGAGACTTCTGTAATATGGAAAATGGAGTTTCGAGCAAGATGCATGACGACCAGTAAGTCGTAAGTGCCTGGGGGCCGTTGGCCGAGCACGAAGATAGATGGGGACAATGGCTCCTCTCCGGGAGTGCCCACCGATGACAACAGCGGCCGCCGGGCAAGGCTGAGGGTGGCCAGAGCCCAAGACTTTAGTGGGCTAAGCACTTGGGAATGGATTACTTATGGGGCGTTAACGGGAGCGCTCTGAGTGGCTGGTGACTGCGCATGTGGCGGATAGGTGCGCGTTTATCCAGAACTTCCCCAGACACTCACTGTCTCCAACCATCAGTTCATCCCAGCTACAGAGACTACTTACTTCCAACTCGAATTTGCAGCATCGAATGATATACAGGCGGCCTTCTTCATTTTTCTGCCGAGCAGGAGTTCGTTAGGTTCTGTAGCAGTGTCATTTGCCAGTCGACAAGTCCTCCCCATCCATCCCACACCCGACATCGCTGGCTTGTGTTTGTCCATCCCGCATCATGGCTGGGTGGTTCTCGTCAGGCACGTCTGTGCTCGACGAGCAGATCGAAAAAGCCACCTCCTCTAGTTTGGAGGATATTGCAACCTCACTCGAAATAACGGACCTCATCCGATCAAAGACAGTCCAGCCTAAAGAGGCCATGCGATCGTTGAAGAGGCGGATAGGCAACAAGAATCCCAACGTTCAATTATCGGCCCTGAAGCTCACAGACACGTGCGTCAAGAATGGTGGCTCCCATTTCCTCACAGAGATTGCTTCCCGTGAATTCATGGACAATCTGGTCTCGCTCCTCAAAGCTTACGGAGCCGCCGCAGTCAACGAAGAGGTCAAACAAAAGATCTTGGAGCTGATCCAGAGCTGGGCTAGTGCCACTCAGGGAAGATACGATTTGTCATATATCAACCAGGTCTACCAGAGCCTGCAGACGGAGGGTTTCAAATTTCCTCCCAAAATCGAGATCTCCAGCAGCATGCTCGACAGCAGTGCCCCTCCCGAGTGGACAGACAGCGATGTCTGCATGCGGTGCAGAACCTCATTCACCTTGACAAATAGAAAGCATCATTGCAGGAATTGTGGCAACGTCTTTGACCAACAGTGCTCATCCAAGTCAATCCCGCTCCCGCATCTGGGCATCATACAGCCTGTGCGGGTCGACGACGGCTGTTACGACAAATTGACCAAAAAGTCCGGTGGTGGCACCGATCGCCGTGTCTCCTTTGCACCCAAACCGAGCTCGATGCAACCCCGAAGCGCGCGAGTAGAAAACAACAGCAGTTTTGACGAGGACCTGAAAAGAGCATTAGAGATGAGTCTAGAAGAGGCCAAGGGAGTTTCGAGCTCAGGCTACGTTCCGCAATCGCAGCCAAAGCAAGAGCCGACAAAGACAAATGCTGTGCCGAACGAAGAAGAAGACGACCCGGATTTGAAAGCTGCCATCGCGCTGTCCTTGAAAGAAGCCGAGGAACAAGCCAAGAAGCATGCTGCTTCTCTCAAGAAAACCACCACCGACGGAGCAACCTCTGCTCAGCCCTTTGTCATGCCAAAGAACGATTATGAGTTATCCGTAATGGAGGCTGAGAATATCAACCTGTTTGCCACTTTGGTCGATCGTTTGCAGCACCAGCCGCCAGGCACAATCTTACGCGAGCCTCAGATCCAGGAGCTCTACGAGAGCATTGGAAAGCTTCGACCGAAGTTGGCGCGTACTCTGGGCGAGACAATGTCCAAAAACGATGCGTTGCTCGATCTACATGCAAAACTATCAACCGTCGTGCGGTACTACGATCGAATGCTTGAAGAACGGTTGAACAACACTTATAACCAGAGAAATCCGGGATACGCGGCTTACGGAATGCCCTCCCCTGCGGCGCCTCAGGGCATGTATCCCTCAATATCGTCGGGACCCCCGCCAGCGATGAATTCTGGTGCTGGTGGCGCGGAGAATTACTACTTCAACAATGCACCAGTCGAGACTTATGCTCCCCCCGCCCAACCCACACCCATCCCTCAGCCTCAGCGTTCCTATTCGTATTCGAGCCAGAAGCAAGAGACTCCTGGCTCGCCATATCAGTATGCGGCTCAGCTGCCACCACAACAGCATCAACCTATGCCCCAACCTGGACAGTTTAACCAGCCACCTTCGCCGCAGATGTACCAACATCAACCCACTCCGCAGCAACCCTACCCATCTCAGTCCTCTCAAGCACCATCCATGTATCCTCAAATGCCTCCCCCAGATCCCCAGCAGACTCCGACGCCCTACGCCCAGATGCCACAGATGCCGCCTGAGGCTCCCACTCCCCAGCCTCAACATCAGTATCACCAACACCCACCTCAGCAAGCCTCACAACAGTCTTATCAACAGCGACAACCACCCCCTCCAGAGCAAACACAGGCTCCATCACAAGGATACCCACAACAGCAGCAATTTGCTCCACAGTATCAGCAACCTCCGCAGCAACAACCACCACCGATGTCCACAGGTGGCTCGTATGGAACAACCTACCCCACCTATACGCAGGACCAATTCCCTTCTGCACCGCAACATATGCCGGTTGCGTACAACCAATCTGCCGCACATCCTGCGCAGCAGCAGCCAGTCGCTGTGGAGGAAAGCCTGATTGAGCTTTGAAATTGGCGATCCCGCCAAGCCAGAGGTGAATCTGTCGTGGTATATAGCAGATCAGGCTGCTACAGACGTGGACGCGGATGATGACGACGAAAGCAGACCAGGCAACTGGCCGGAGCATCGAGTGCGTATAGGGGAAATGATGACTTTCCCTCGCCTCTCGAACTGGTTATGGTTGAGTAGACTGGCCAAATATTTCGGATTGTGCTCCAACTTGATTTTTTATTCCCCCCACAATAGATTCAGACTCGTCCTCGATTTGTGGTATTGACCCATGTGACCTACGTGACTCGTTTAGATGAATGCACAGTGCTAGTTGACAGTCCGGGTCAACGCATCACCACGTCCGAGACTCCCAAGGACGCAAAGTACGAGGTATCTTGCCATACAAAAGTCTCCCAAGAATCCGACATCTGACTTGCTTCCTTCTAGTTTTTCTACAGGCCTATGAGCTTCATATCTCATTGGTTAGGATCGGAGGAAGGGATAATTATTTATGTTCCTTTTTTATGCCGTGGTAGATAGTTTTGATCTTCTCTTCATTTTGCTCGTGCTAGACTCTCAGTCATGATACGTTTGAATGGCCTCAGGGCTTTGCTCTCGTACCAACGCGCCCTCGTTCTTGACTTCCTGGCTATAGACATCTTCACTCACCTCTCGCCTTGATACTTGACGGAGCTGTGGTGGCTTTGAGGCCGTCTATAAAGTATTGCTCTTGATTCTATGCCAGGGCGAAGCCTCTGTCTGATACAGTTAACATCTAATCCTGGTACCACAATCTGGAAATAGGACTTGCAATTTGCCGCTGTGGAAGTGGGAGAGGGCGCCACTAATGCAGAAACGGGTGGGGAAAAGATAGCTTGCATTGTAGGAGGGGAAATTTCAATCCACTCTTTCAGCCGCAGCCTTCTCGATCCGATCAACCACCGCGTCTTCGAGGTCCCGGCGCGTGTGGCTCGGATCTCGTTTCCCGGTCGTCTCAGCACCGTTCGTCAAGGCGGAGGGCTGGCTGCGCGGTTCCGAAGGAGCGGTCGAAGGTGGCGAGGAGGAGGAGAAGGAGGAGGCCGTGGTGCGCCGCACGGTCTCGGCAAAGATGAATGTGCAGCCCAGCTCGTCAAATAGTCTCAAGACGCCGAAGAGGGAGTGCGCCAGGGTGGAAATGTCCGGCCCGAGTTGAACGTTATACAATGTGACATTGTTGTTTTTGACAGTGGTTGTCGCCATGGAGGTGATCGGCACATAGGCAGAGTTGGAGACTGCGTCTGGGACGAATGGTTCAGAGGCCGTGTTGCCATTGGTGTTTGGGGCAGAGATGGTTGATCGGATCCCCTCCACAGGCAATCCGGCAAAGGATGGCCAGTAGCAGGAAATGATGCCACCCTTGACTTCATGAGGCTTCTCCTGTCCACCCATACCGGAACGCTGATGGCAATTTCCAACCAGCTCATTCAACTTGTCTAGGACGCGACCCTTCAACACAGCATCCTCGGAGAACAGGACTAATCGTCCCTGTGGGGAATAGTGCCTATACTTCATACCCGGGGCTCGAGGTGCTCCGTTGACGTCGTCTTCGTAAGTAACGTTGCCGTCAAAATGAGCCACACTCGCGTTTCCCGAAGACGTCGAGACCCCAATAGCAGACTCGTCAATGGAAGATGGCGTCGACAGAGTCGTGGTTGCGCTTGAGCCATCCTTCCCCGGGCCGTCCGTTGGCCCTCCTGAATGCCTCTTGTATCCGATCGCCGTTCTCGCCCATTTTTCTCCTCCAAGGCTCCTCAGCTCCTCCAAGCCCACACCTCCCGGTCTCAGGATCAACGGCGGATCATGTAACCCATCCACAACTGTGCTTTCCACTCCCACCTCACAATCTCCTCCATCTAAGATGAAGTTGACCTTGCCGTTCAAGTCGTCCAAAACATGTCGTGCCGTGGTGGGGCTTGGCTTTCCGGAAGAATTCGCACTTGGGCCGGCGATAGGTCTGCCGGTGGCCGCGATGAAGAAGCGAGCGTACTTTGACGAGGGAATGCGAAATCCGATGGTCGACTGGAAGGGATGCACGTTTCTTGCAAAGATCCCCGATGATGGCACAGGGAGGAGAATCGTGAGAGGACCAGGCCAAAATCTCTCTGCTGCAGGGACGTAGATTGCCGGCAACGGTTCCCCGGTAAGCTGCTCCAAATGCTTGATGCTGGACACATGTACAATCAAAGGGTTGTCGCTTGGGCGACCTTTGGCAGCGAAAATTCCTGAAACAGCCGGTTCATTGGTCGCGTCTGCGCCGAGCCCGTATACCGTTTCCGTGGGAAAGGCAACTGGGGGCGCAATACCGTGTTTAATGGATTCAACGGCATCCCGGAGTAAGGTCGCATTTTCGATTCTGCTGTGACTTGGCCGGTGGACATATTTAAGGTAGATGGCGCGGTATTCCTCATCAGATGCGTGCTCAGGGATGTCAAGGTCGCGGAGGTCAATTATACGTGTGCGACAATGTGTGTAGGGCATGGAGGCCAGGTGAGAGCGGCTGCTGATAATGCTCCTCATGGCGGCGCTCGATGCCGTTCTGGTGATTGATAAATGCGTCAATGGAAGTTTGGAGTAGAGATGCGTTCGCAGAAAGGGCCTCATCAAAGTATCAGCTAGGCCGCCACCAATATGAGATGTTCTGACGCCGACGGGAGCGTATCTGTAGGACAAGCGGAAAATCAACAAGGCTCAGCATATTGAACCAATAGACACGCGGGCTCAAAGGGTGTTTTAACAAAGACCCGATGAACAGCCTCGAAAATTAGATCTCCCGAGTCATGCTGTGATAAGGCAGCCGAGAATATGCCAACACAGAGGGTGTCCTATTAAGAGGGGCAAGAATGCGAATGATGTTGAGGGGAGAGAAAGAAAAAATGTTGGCAGGCAAAAAGTCGGAATGAAAACTAGACGAGAGTTTCGGTATCACGTGCACAGCCTTGCGCTTGAACGCAGCCTCGTCCCTCGTCTCTTATCATTCCTCTGCTACAATATAGTACAGGATAGTTATCTATAATTTCTTGTCTATGTATCTATCTGCCTTCTACTCTCACCATTCTCAACGAGTGGGATGAGACACCCCGATAGAGCACGAATGGTGTCTCCTGCGAGCCTTCTTGTATTCACCCATTGACCTCCTAGGTGTTCGCATTGCTCTTTGCCATCAGTTCCGCAACCAAGTTCCAGTATTTGACGCGGCTTCGCTCCCGGAAGTTCTTCCCATAGAATATCATGAACAGGAATACTGATGAAGCCGCCATGCCGATGAACGCAGCTGAGATAAAGCAATTTTGCAGACCGAGATTGTCGAGCCACGGGGTGATTCCGTAACCAATGGCAAAGGACATGGTGTTACGAACCAAGATCACAGTCGTCATTGCATCTGCGCTGATTTCATGATATGTATCAATAAGGTAGTTGACGCTGAGAGTGATCCCGAAGCAGGTTGCAGCGGCAAGAGTGCCCATGGCGAAGATCAACCCAAACCAATGGACGTGGTGGGCCGCACCAACGCCCCAAAGCACAAGACTTGCGGGGACAATAAGGATGCAAGCTGCAAAGGGCCAGAGGCGTTGTTCAGGTTCCATGATGCCGTTGTTGCGACGCGCCAGTCTGATAGTGAGCCAGTCGCTGAACCGGCCAGTAAAGAAGCATCCGACAACGACGCCGATGCATGTGCTGACATAGGAAAGTCCAACCATGGAGGCTTTGAAGTTGTACGGCGGGCCACCCAGAATGATGCTTGCAGTGGCATTCAGAACGTTGAACCAGATCTGTTGGAATACGTTGTCAGTCAGACACCGAACCATTTTCACAAGACATTATTTGCATAAAACTCACAAGATAGCTGCCATAGCTAAACCCAGCATAGAATATGACGGGCCAGCCCAGGTACTCCAAGGATCTGTAGGCTCTTTTCCACATTGCTTCCCCGGGAGAAGGCTGCCAAAGTGATATTCTTTGCAAGTAGGTTTTGTTGCTGCCACAGACAACAGTGCCGCTCTCGACAGTGATTTCGGGCTCGTTGACAACGTCTGGCGTCTTTTCCGCCGCTTTCTCGTCCTTCGCAGAAGAAACGGACGTTTGGCTGCCGCTCGAAGTCTCGACGATACCGACTGTTGATCGTATGTAGTTCGTCTCTTCCATGAAGAAGAAGCAAAAGATCAGAGCCACGCCTAGGAAGATCGTTGGCCAGTAGAAAACCCATTTCCAACCTTGGTCATCGGCGATGAAGCCACAGATCACGGGCGCAAAATAGTTGCTCCCGGCGAGGAAGAACGCGTATATACCCATGTACGTTCCTCGCTGGTGATGAAAGTACACATCTGTCACAGAGGTCTCGGGAAGCGCCTCAATAGGCGCCGCAAAAAAACCACCGAGAACATTCTTCGCGATCCATACTCCGTTGCCGCGAGCATATGGACCCCACATTGTGCAACCGATTGTTCCACAGATGGAGAGAAGGTAGGTCAGTCGCTTGCCATATCGCATGGCGAAAGGCTGCCAGAAAAGCAAACCCCAGCCAGCAAGAAGAAACAGATAGCCAGTGCCTTGGTTTAGAGTGGAGATGGAGACTCCAGAAGCTTCGGAAAGCGGAACAAGCACCGAATAGACCACGGAGTTGGCAATTCCAACCACCAAGGTGTAACTGGTAGCAGTTAGTGTTGCGGCGTGTAATAGCGAAGTCGGTATGAGGCGTACACATTAATTGTGATGGTCAACATGAGCTTTCGCTTAGACGACCAATTCAAGGGATCATCTGGATCGTTGGATGGAGTGGGGACGAGAACAATGTCCTTGTCCCCGGATCCAGCATGTCGGGTATGCATGCTATGCTCGATGTCCACGAGGTGGACTGTCCCTGGGACTGTGTCATATGGCAAGTCATAATGCGCCATCTCGGTCCAGGTTGTAGGGTTCCAAAAATGAAAGGAAGGAGAGAAAGGGTAGAGAAGTGAGGAAAGTAGAAGAGGGGGTTGAGTCTGATGATCTTCGTGGGATCACCGTCATGACTGTAACACTGCTTTATGTGTCCTTGCTCCCGCCATCGCAAATGTCCGCATGACAAGGTTCCTGTCTCTGCATTTGCACATTCCAGTGATAGAAGATTCGACGCGCAATCTCCTCGATAAGAGCAGAATGGCCTTCGGAATAGACCCAGATGGCTGGTTTCTAACAAGGGCTGTTATGTAAAGCCTATGAAAAGGCCCTGTAGAAAGATAAGAATACTGGGATCTCCGCATGTTTTCGGTTGTACCACACGGATGTACCACATGGTGAACGGTGAGGCAGGGGTGCGACGATCATGTATCGAGGCAGGCCGCAGCTGGCGATGAGATAGAGCGGCTTACCATTGGGGATAAATCATGCAGGTCACTGCGTTTGTAGAGACAAGTGCGCCTTAGCTTGGACGTTTGCGGCAACCTGGTCGCGATATGATTCGAGCCGACTCGCTGTTTATCAGAACTTGTGACGATTAATGTTGATATTGTCGTCGAAGAGACCTCACCTCGGCTTGGCACGTAGTGACTTCGTTCGCGGAGACACAATTGCCTGCGATCTCTCATGGCTGGAATGCCAGTCTCAAAGGCTTGATCAGAACTCTCCTGTCCGTTCAAGAGCGGCAGATCGCCACCTCTCTTCGTGTGGCCGATTGCCGGTGTTCGTCCGAATCCTTTGCGGGCGCTATCATGTTTGATTGGTGCTGGGTTGGGCCGATAGTTGAGAATCGGCCTTTCTTCTCCAACATCTTAGCCTGAAACAAGCATCGCGGAATTCCGTGTGATTGAGCGTTTCTATGTACCGGCGGAAGAAATGACCCTGTTTCAACAGACCAAGATAGACCTAGAGGAGATATCAGTAGGCACCAATAGACTGGGCACGGAAACAAATGATACTGAAGCGAGGTTTCCCTTACCTGATCCGACGAACCTTCCAAATTCCAGTGGACATATCACGTCTCTGTCCAGGCTTCCCCGCTTTGTGATCTGTTTCAGGTCAACAACAGAGAGTATATAAGCAGGACGACTTTCATCGGCAAGCATTGAGCTCTTGACATTCTGGTTAGTTTCGTTCTGAACATCTGGCCGATCCCAAAATGGGCGAGGAATGGAAGGATCTGGTCGCGAAGAAACGTGCCGAGGGCGCCAAAGCTGTACCGCAAGAATGGCGGCTGGCTCCAAATATTCTTGAATCCGTCAGTGCCGATGCCGATATCAGCGTCCTAGACGTGCCCGCAGAATGTGGCATTCTCACTCCAAAGGAGCTCGAGATCACGGAAAAATATGACGCTGTTGATCTGACGGCCAAAATGGCTGCCAAAGAGCTTTCCGCTGTTGAGGTCACCCAGGCCTTCTGCAAAAGAGCTGCTATAGCCCATCAAGTGGTTAGTGACAGCTCAGTATCCCGAGGCGGTCATCGCTGAGTTCCAAGACGAACTGTTTGACAGAAATCTTCTTCGATATGGCGCTCGAAAGAGCCAAATACCTCGACGAGTATATGGAGAAAGAAGGTAAGCCCGTGGGCCCGCTGCACGGAATGCCGATAAGTTTGAAGGTATGGACAGAGATCTCCTGAGAGGTGTTATTGCTCAATTTTGTTCGTGTGCAGGATTCCTTCAACCTGGAGGGCACATATTCGACAATCGGCTATGTCTCGTTCATCAACCGACCAGCAGCGGACTTCAACTCGCCTTTGGTCGACATTCTTCTTCAGAATGGCGCTGTGCTTTATGTCAAGACTAATCTTCCGCAAACATTGATGACGGCCGATTCCGAAAACAATGTCTTTGGCCGCGTGCTGGTAAGAGTCAGGTCTTGAGATTGCGAACGCCTGGCTTATCTCTGCTTCAGAATCCTCATAAGCTCAAACTCACTGCTGGGGGTAGCAGCGGTGGAGAAGGTGCCCTTGTTGGCATGCGAGGCTCACTTCTGGGTGTCGGGACGGACATTGGAGGGTCAATCCGAATACCTGCCTTTTGTTGCGGAACATATGGATTCAAGCCTTCTGTTGATCGCATTCCTTTTGGTGGCCAGACAAATCCGGTGCTGGATGGCTGGACAGGCATAATGCCAGCAGCAGGGCCTTTGGCCACAACCCCCCGGGACTTGCGACTATTTCTGGAAACCGTCATCAACTCGAAGCCTTGGGACTTTGACTATACGGCACTCGCCATGCCATGGCATCCTGTTGAACAGAAAAAGACTCTTACGGTTGGTGTCATCCTCGAGTGTCCTACCTGGCCTGTCCAACCACCAATTCTGCGAGCATTGAAGACAGCAACAGAAAAGCTGAAGCAAGCCGGTCACAACATCATAATGCTCGAGAAATTTCCGTCGTTTAAAGAAGGCAACGAGCTGTCATTCAAGTTTTTCGATATCGATAATGAGTGCACCGGATTCAAACACATTGAAGCCTCAGGGGAGCCATTGGTCACCTCGGTCAAGGACATGTATACACCGCCTCCCGAGGGTCGTCCCGATAAGACTCTGGGTGATTTGTTTGACATGAATGAGCAACGTCTCAAATTCCGAGCAGACTGGTTGAAGCTCTTTGTAGAGAACAAATTGGATGTTATTATGGCACCAGGATCGCATAAGACCGCTGTACCCCATGACACTTTCAGAATGCCACCGTATACGGTCATGTGGAATCTCCTGGCGGTAAGTGAAGACGTGGATTGGATACCAGTGTGAGGATGAAGGCTGATGATCCTGAGCAGTACCCTGCCTGCATTATTCCATATCTCAAAGCGGACAAGAATCTGGACCTTCCCGACCCTAGAATTCCTGATTGTGAGTGGATACTCAGGCATCTTGCGAAAGATAGATTCTGACGGATTGTAGATCTACCAGAAGACGTCGACAAGGCGCCTTGCCACGTTCAGGTCATTGCAAGATCTGAGCACGATGAAGAGCTAATGTCTGCTGTGGAGGCGATATCGAAGATCTTAGGGTCCTCTTGATACTGTGGAGATAGGGCCAGCAAAGAGTCAGCGCAGCCAGCGCAGATGAGGACCAAGATCTGAGTAGGGGAGGGTGAAGCCTTATCCTGGCTTGAGAACGAGCGTCCGTGCCTATCGTAGCAAGGTGCTAAGCTCCAACAAAGTACTCGGTATCTTGAACACAAGAAACAGCTTATCAAACAAATAAGAGACCGGATCACTGTTTCAGCTAGGAAACGCCAATGAACAATGAATACCATCTTATGGTCGTGTAGCTGCAAAGTCCAAGAACGTGAAAGCGTCCATCCAAAGTTTTGTATGCAAGTCGAGGTATGTATTTCCGCAGCTCCGCAACGAATTCCGCTGCAGGTCCGTTGGTTGCGACCGATAGGCTAATCTCGTTGATGCGGGGTGAATGCCCACATGGCTTAGAGCCTAGAATTCTGACCTCTTTGACCTCGATTGATAAGGAACGTAGAAGTCGACTTCAACTTTTTGGAAAGTATCAAACTCACCCTCTCCCAGGTGGTGTTCATCTTGTCGCATTTCAATGGATGACTCGGAAATATCGAGCCGCCCACCATGAGATGTTGATTTGCACAGAAGCTGCGCAAGCATATGTATGGTGGGATGGCACGTCCATCCACTGCCACTCTGCGGACCAAGACTGGATGCCTGACCTGTGAGTACAATTGTATTCGGTGGAGCCATCCGCAGCTAACAGGAGTTTGGGTCGCGCGCGACGGAAGAAATGTAACGAAGAAAGGCCCAGGTGCGAAAAGTGCGTCAAATCCGACCGAGTGTGTACTTGGCCTGCCGAAGACGATCTTTTCGACCGGCGACATAGCCGAGCTTCCAAATCTCCTGCATTGCCGTCGCCTGCTCAATCGCCGGAAAGTGTTAACGTCGTAAGAGGCATCTCGAGCAGCAGTAAAGACAGCGCGGACGCCGATGCATCGCCATTCTTCGTCTGTTGTGAAATATCTTTCAACTCAGACCTCTTCAATTCGCCATTATTCAAATCCGACCTTGAAGTCGACTGTTTGCGGCACTTTCTCGATGGATTTCTACCGCTTCTCATCCTCTCAAATACACACCCGGGATTCCAGTCCCAGTTTATCCCGGAGGTGGTGGAGATGGTTTTGCAATTTGATGGCATGAGAAACGTTGCGATGGCTTGTGGTGCATCGCGGATGCATCTTCTGACTGGGAGTGCTCGAATGAATGAAGCCGGAATCAGGTATTATACCCGTGCCGTCTCCGAGGTGAATCGCTCCCTCAGCACGATCGACTGGGGGCGGGATGATTTCAATGACGCCCTTCTAGTGGCTATAATCTTCCTTTACATTCACGGAGTGAGTCTCTCTGGTCAGTTCCAAGCTGCTCTGAAGCTCGGCAGGTGACGGTGTTGACTAAATCAATGTTTCCCGCGAACAGGTGTTTGATATTGGGACCAACAAAGATATCGGGAATCATGTGATGGGAGCAATCCAGCTCATGAAACTCCGATGGAAGCATTCGCGAAGACCCCCCATGCCACGGCCGATTCATCGGATCATGTGGGAAAGCATCCTTTATCAAGTATTTCGGCAAACCGTCAATCGGCCCTTTGCAGTGGACTTCCAGCCTGATTTTGAGTTCTGTACACGGGCAGAAGAGACGCTGCAGTCCTTGACGTTCCCAGATGCCTCGCCAGCCGATAACAGTCCAGTAATCGGTTTCCCTTTGGCACTTCAAAAACTGATTATCGAGATTGTCCAACTATGCAAAAGCCCGGCGAAACCTGAGCCCGACTCACTGGAGGCTCTCGGGCGCAGAATGTCATACTGGGAGAAGACAATCCTAGGGGAGGGACACTGCATCAAGGAAGAAGACTCGTGGTCGGCCAAAACACCGGCTGAACGGGCTCGCAGCTTCCATCAACACTCGACGAGCTTGCACATTCTCGCAGCATCCCTTCTCCTGGACTGGGTCTCCAGATCACATGAGGTGTACGAGACTGAATCTCCTCTTCCGCCTGCAGGTGATACATGGCAGGTTCGCAGAGGACTGGAGATTATGCAGTGTCCACAAGCTAATGAGGAGTGGTCGAGGTGTTACCTGGGATCGTGGCCGACCTTGATATTTGGGTATGCTGTCGACAAGCCCGAGGACATTGCACTGATCCGACAAGACTTGAGACAACGATTTCAGAAGCTGTATTCGGGGGAGGAATTGCTCTTCTTGGAGGAGCTGGAGTCAGTCTGGCGTGCCAGGGGGGTTTCAGGGCTGGAAGAGTGAAGATGGAAGCGCTTATCTTGTAACCCCAGTATAATAATTCAAGCTTTGAGATCGTCATTTTGTGGATGAGTTTAGCCTTGTTGACTAAACACCCACCCACTTCTCCCAGTTGAGAATTTATTACCTGCCTAAGCCCGCAAAGGGTTGTGCTCATCGCTTGCTGCTTTCATAGCTAAGCTGCTCCGCTACAAAGGCGCCTCGGCAACCTTCGAAGCTGTCCACGGAGATGCCACAAACAGCCTCCATCTTCAATCATCGTCCCCACCGACCCGCCGAGTCGACGAGCCTGATTTGCTTCCCACGACCCGAACAACCCTCACGCTTACTTGCCTCGTATGCCTAAGCCAATGAGATCACATAACCTGCCTTGCTGCTTGATGAAGACTCCTGGGCTCTGAAGTGGCACCAGGTCGAAATGCATGCTGACAGTCGTTGCTTTAGTAAACGTTTTAATTCCGTGCAATTCTATTCACGATGAGACAACTCGGTCTCGTCATGGCAGTGGGGATCGCCATATATTTGTCAAGCTCTCAGCCGGTTTGAGAGCATAGCTTCAATTTGTTCAGAATTCTATCCTGACACTAACGGGAGGAATTGGCCCCGGAATGGTATAAAGAGGGTTGTGGCCTGTTTGTTGGTCATCGTTCCCTGTCGTTTTACTCTTGTACCAAGAATTAGGTCAACAACTTTTATAGTCAACAAGAAAAGGAAAATGGCTTTCTTACAAGCTGCTTCCTGGCACGAGGGCGAGGTCGCAATCCATGAACGCACGCACGTCGGCGGCTATGACAATCCAACTTCACTGTTCCTGACCCCTCGGGCAGCCAACATGATTCAACGGTATCCCATGATGGCAATAGGGACGTTGGATGATCAAGACAGACCCTGGTGCACAGTCTGGGGTTCCGATCATCTACCAATCGCACAGCCGGTGGCTCAGAGCGTCATGGGCGTGCGTACCACCGTCGACGCGAGCTTCGACCCCGTTATCCAAGCAATCTATAAAGGCAAAGACGACGGGGAAGTGATACGAGAAGAGGGCAAAGGGAGGTTGATGTCCGGGCTCAGTATTCATCTGGAAGAGAGGGGCAGGGTCAAGCTGGCTGGACAAGTCATTGCTGGTGCTCTCACCGCGAACGAGCCCGTTACGGATGGCAATGAGCCCGAGGACGATGCCCAGACAGGCAAATCGGGTGAAGTGCAGCTCGTCGTCAAAATCGATCAAAGCATGGGAAACTGTCCAAAATACCTTAATAAGAAGCACATCACTGCCGCCGAACCCAAGCCGAGACTAATGTCTTCGTCACCACATCTCACTCAAAAAGCGATTGATTTATTGCACAATGCCGACTTGTTTTTCATCGCCTCGGCGCATAAACACGAGGACATGGACTGCAATCACCGTGGCGGCCCTCCAGGCTTCATTCGGGTGCAGCAGCCTGCCGATTCACAGGAAGGCAGTACCATCGTGTGGCCCGAATACAGTGGGAACAATCTTTACCAAACACTTGGCAATCTCGAAATCACTCCTCATGCTGGCCTGGTGATCCCAGACTTCGAGACCGGCGATGTTCTATATGTGACCGGGGACACGGAGACACTCGTCGGGGCGGCAGCAAGCAAAGTTATCGCAAAAAGCAATCTTGCCGTTAGCTTAAAGGTGACAGGAGCAGTCTTTGTTGAACACGGGTTGCCCTTCCGAGGCAAGCTGATGGACGATGCGTCTCAAGGCCGCTCACCCTACAATCCGCGTGTGCGATACCTAACCTCCGAGAAAACAGACGCGTTGGGAAAGGCGGCCGGTGATGCGCCACCTACGACGGCAAAACTCATCAAGAAGACAAAGATCACTCCTACTATCACAAGGTACCGCTTTGCGCTCGCAGACCCTGGCGTCTTTGGCCCCTGGACGCCAGGCCAATACGTGGCGATGGACGTAGCAGCGGAGCTGGACATGGGATATTCGCACATGCGGGACGACGACCCGACTAGTCTGAATGACGATTACATTCGGACATTCACTGTCTCATCCATCCCCAACTCGCTTGGCCTGCACGGAGAAGAGTTCGAGGTCACCGTCCGCGCAGTCGGCCACGTCACCAAATGGCTCGAGTGGCAGCGCGAGGGCATGTGTGAAATCGGTGTTCGAGGCTTTGGCGGCGAATTCGCATTCGAACCCCACGCCAGGAATGCTTTCATTGCCGCTGGGATCGGTATTACCCCTTTGCTGGGCCAGATGCAAAGCCTGGACCTGGATAAACTGAAGGTTATGTGGAGCGTGGGGATCCGTGATGTTGGGTTGCCGCTTGATGTCCTCGGCCAATATCCCGCCGTGAAAGACTCGCTGACAATCTGCATCACTGGCGACGAGTCACTCCTAGATGAAAAGACCAGGGCAAAGCTACACGAACTAGTTGAAACCGGTGTGAAGGTCCTGAGGAGGAGAGTGGCAAAAGAGGACTTGGTAGCGTGGCAATCAGAAGTGGACAACTGGTATCTATGCACGGCGCCGGCGATGAGGAAGATTGTGCAAGAGTGGATGCCTGGGACGACCATTATCTACGAGAACTTTGACTACTGAGACCAAGAACGGGAAGGGGTATATATATAATCATGAGCCTTTTGTGTTTTATTTTCAGATATTATCTACACCATAATGCCGCAGGAAATAGATCATAATGTGACCATTTCGTAAAGGAGTTAAATGCCAACATTTCCCCACCTTCTTACATACGTTATTGACCTTTAACGTAACTTTCGATACCTCTTGCTTTGCTCAGATGTGCTTGTCTACCCTTCAAGTCCACCTTCAGCAAGTAACGGCCCAAAGCTTCCGTTTGGGCTTCTAGTCATTGAGAGCAGCAGATCGAGCCTTCCTATACTACCACCCCCGCCCCCACCAGCAACACCTTCCACAACCGTACACCAAAGACGATCCCCTCGCCGGTGAGATCCGTCCTGACCCCTTGTCAACAACACAGTATGTCCAGCACTACGGCCAGCACGACAAACGACTCTAGCGCTTCTCCCAATATAGTCGACAAGACCCTGTACAAACTAACCTTCTACTCGCCGGTGGAAAACACGCAGGCGTGCCTGTCGGCGCTCTGGGCGACGGGGGCGGGGACGTGGCCCAATGTGCCGGGCGACGCAGCAGGAGGGCCACCGAAGTACACCGACACGGCCTTCGTCAGTCGGGGCACGGGCCAGTTTAAGCCCTCGGCCGCGGCGAACCCGCACATCGGCCGGGCCGGGGAGGTCGAGTTCGTCGAGGAGGACAAGGTCGAGATGGTGATCGTCGGCACGCAGCGGTGCAAGGACGCCGTGCGCGAGCTGAGACGCGCCCACCCTTACGAGGTCGTTGCGCTGTTCGTGACTAGGTGCGAGGATTTTTGACCTCTGATCACGAGGGGGGAAGGGGAAGATGACGGACGCCGAATGGAACTCGGGTTACAAAGGGGAAGTTCAGGGATATGTGGGAAGGGCATTGTGATGTTACATATACATAGCAGAAACGAGAACCTCGAGCTCACTACGTTGCTCGACATGGTCTCCTCGAAGACTAAGGAAAAGCAGAACGAAGCCCAGTCATTTCTTTGTCAAAAGAGATTTTCCATTTGCTTTCTTGTGGTATCTAGTTGTCACAACTTTGCCTTCTGGCATACAAAGAGAAAAGGAGAAAGACCAACGCCCTTTTGCATGCCCGGCCCGTTTCTTCCCCAGGCTGAGCACATCTAGATGCTTGTTATCAAGTCCTAATTCATAACGCTGGTACAAAATTCATGCCAAAGCCCCGACCGTCTCACAGCTCATCGTGTCCCAGAGGCTCCTCGTCATCATCCCCATAGTCTGGCATGCCACCTGCACCACCAGCGTATAGCTTGCTGCTAATGGGATATGCCACTTGAGAGAGCTTCTCAAATTGCTCCTCAAAGTCATCCTTGTCAGCAGAATCGGCGTTGTCGCTAAGCCAGTCTTGCGTCTCCTTGATTGCGTCCAGAAGAGTTTCTTTGTCTTCGTCGTCGATCTTGCCACCGAGCCCGTCCTCGTCGTGGACTTGGTTCTTCAATGACGAGGCATAGTTCTCCAACTTGTTGCGAGCGTCGATCTTGTCCTTGATGGCGCGATCTGCTTCAGCAAACTCTTCAGCTTCTGCTACCATTCGGTCGATTTCCTCCTGGGTGAGACGTCCCTTGTCGTTCGTGATGGTGATTGACTCAGATTTGCCAGTGCCTTTGTCGCCAGCAGAGACCTTGAGGATGCCGTTGGCGTCGAGCTCGAACGACACTTCAATCTGAGGAACACCACGAGGGGCAGGAGGAATACCGGTGAGTTCAAATTTGCCCAAAAGGTTGTTGTCCTTAGTCATTGCTCGTTCGCCTTCGAAAACCTGGATAAGCACCACGGGCTGGTTGTCCGCGGCCGTCGAGAAAATTTGAGATTTCTTGGTCGGTACCAGGGTGTTTCGCGGAATGAGTTTGGTCATGACTCCACCGGTGGTCTCAATGCCGAGAGTAAGAGGGTTGACATCCATGAGTATGAGGTCTTCCGTTCCAGTTTCGCCAGAAAGAACACCACCCTGAACGGCGGCGCCATATGCGACGGCTTCGTCTGGGTTGATACCCTTGCTGGCCTTTTTGCCACCAAAGAACTCCTCGATCATTGACTGAACCTTGGGGATACGGGTTGAACCACCGATAAGGACGATGTCATCAATCTCAGATTTCTTGACCTTGGCGTCTTTCAAAACCTGTTCTACCGGCTTGAGCGTCTTCTTGAACAGGTCCATGTTCAACTCCTCGAACTTGGCCCTCGTCAACGTCTCGGAGAGGTCCTTTCCGTTGTGGAAAGCTTCGATTTCGATTCGAGTAGACATTTGGGAAGAGAGGGTTCGCTTGGCTCGCTCGACCTCACGCTTCAGCTTGCCCATGGTCTTCAGGTCCTTGCGAATATCAACGTCGTTCTCCTTGTTGAATTTCTTGACAAAGTAATCAATCACTCGTTGGTCGAAATCTTCGCCACCAAGATGGGTATCACCGGCGGTGGCCAAGACCTCGAAAACACCGTCTTCAATTGACAAAAGGGAAACATCAAAAGTACCGCCACCGAGATCGTAGACGATAATCTGGCTCTCTTTGCCTTTCTTGTCAAGGCCGTAAGCGATAGCTGCGGCAGTGGGCTCGTTGACAACACGCAGAACAGTCAAGCCAGCGATAGTGCCAGCATCTTTGGTGGCCTGTCGCTGAGCGTCGTTGAAGTATGCCGGGACCGTGACAACTGCGTGGGTGACTTTCTTGCCTAGGTATGCCTCCGCAACTTCCTTCATCTTGCCCAGAATCATGGCAGAGATTTCTTCAGGCGTAAAGGTCTTGGGCTTGCCAGAAACTTCGACATTGATCACCGGCTTGCCATCTTTGTTGGCGACTTTGAAGGGGAAGTGTTTCAGGTCTCGCTGAACATCCTTGTCCTCGAATTTACGGCCGATCAAACGTCTAAGGAGCACCAGGTTAGTTAAAATTCATGTGGAGGGAAGAGGGCAGAAGAGACTTACTTGACATCAAAAATCGTCCTGGTCGGGTTCGACGCATATTGGTTCTTCGCCGCGTCTCCCACCAACCGCTCTTCATCGGTGAATGCCACGTATGAAGGTGTTATCCGATTTCCTTGGTCGTTCACAATGATCTCGACCTTGCCGTTCTGCATCACACCGACGCAGGAGTATGTCGTGCCCAGATCGATACCGATGACGGTGCCATAATTGCTGTCTGAGTCGTTCAAGGGTGTTTGATCTTGCGCATTCACTCTCCCGATCAAAGCCAATGGACAGACAAAGATGAGGAGGAGGTAGAAGAGTGTTGTCCACTGCAAAGCAGCCGAAGAGGTTCTGTGTGGTCGACGCTGGACGTTACCGGACGCCATCTTGTCGGTGGGAGGAGGGAAAGAGAGGTAAAGGAAAACAATAGAGAGTGGTTCTTGGGGAGGAAAGTCGAAGAGTATTGGATCTGGCGGTGGAAGGAAATATTTATTCTAGGGCCGCAGTTATCGATACGCTGTCCTTTTCCACCATCTTCACTGGCGGAAGGCAGCGCGAGGACACCGTTGTTCGCCGCAGTCACCCAAAGCGCCCCCATCACCATCCACTAACCGTAGTAGGGGGGTTTAACGAGCAACCTGCCCCAGTCTTGGCGGCCGAAGGGTGGCTTTGGACACGCTGTTTTGCCCCTGAATCGTTGCCAGCCTGGCCTCTATTCTATTCTTTGCAGATCCAACACGTACCATCCCTTTCCATTTCCCGGGACATTTTTGCTTGTGCTTCTATTTTCCCCCCACTGTGCCAACCATCTTGATCTAGGCGATGATACCATCCGGTGCGCACGAGAGCATTCTCCATTCTAATATTAAGGCTGTGTTTCCTGCACATTTGACTTCGTACAAGCACTGGACTTCGACTATGAATGTATGTTCGAGCTTCATCTATGGAACTGCATATGTAATACTTTTCTACGATAAACAGAAACACCATCTCGTGACATGGCCCCCGCCCACCACCCACTGGCCGCTCGCATACCTGCTACTGCTGTGCAATCGGAAAGGGGCAACCACTTAGGTAAGCACCCAGAAGGACCAGTATTAACCCATACGTCATTCTTCCTGCGCCGCGTGCCCCCGCATCGCATCGACATAACCACCTTTTCGCTGAGTGCAACAACTCTTAAAACACTTCTTCCTCTGTTCCATTACTGCATGGCATGAATTTCCCTGCCATCCCGTCTCGATCATTCTGTCTCAAGAGTCGGCACCTGCCATCTCTACTTCGTATTCCGTCGGTAAGCTCGCCTACAGCATCTCCCATCTCTCGTCGCGCCATGGGTTCCGTGGACACCTCTCTGCACCCCCATACATCGGGCCGCGCTGCTCGCTTCGCAGAAGCACACTCCTCCCCAAATCCATTGATCCTCTACGGCGGCTGGTTCTGCCCTTTCGTCCAGCGCAGCTGGATTACCCTGCACGAAAAGAACATCCCGCACCAATATTTCGAGATCAACCCCTATCACAAAGGTCCCGAATTTCTGAAACTAAACCCTCGTGGTCTGGTCCCTACACTCGCCGTTCCTGTTGACAAGGAGGGCAAGGAGCAAAAGCCCCTGTACGAGAGTCTTGTGATTTGCGAGTACTTGGACGAAGTATACAACGACCCTTCGAAAAACGGACCTGATCTGCTGCCCAGAGAAGACGCCTACTTGCGTGCAAGATGCCGGATTTGGATCGATCATATATCAACAAGAATCATTCCTGCGTTCTACCGGTTCATGCAACATTCAGACTCGAAATCATATACTCTTGATGAAGCGCGGGCGGAGTTCCTTACCCATATCAAGACGTTCATCAAAGAATGCGACCCTCAAGGCCCATTCTTTTTGGGCGAGAGATTCAGTCTGGTGGACATTATGCTCGCGCCCTGGCTGTGCAGGATGTTTCTTTTCGATGTATACAAGGGCGGAATTGGTGTGCCCGAGGAAGGGAAAGCAGGCGATGACGAAGGAGTGTGGCAGAGATGGAGGAAATGGGCCAAAGCAGTGGGAGAACGGGAGAGCGTGTTGGATACCTTGAGTGAGAGGGATCAATACGTCGAGGCCTACCGGAGGTATGCGGAGGATACCACACAGAGCGAGGTTGCAAAGGCCACGAGGTCAGGGAGAGGATTGCCATAGAGCGGAGGAGCTGGTCGGGATGGTACTGGAATAAATGGCCTGTCGCTTTTTTTCGGTCCCTGAACTTCCAGACCAGAGATCCAGTTCTTGTCCGTTGTTTCGTATCTAAATTCTTCTCATATGCAAATGGAGCCCAACTCCTCCCGAGTTCCATGCATGAGTGTCTTCAAAGCCTGCTCCGAGATCGTCCACCACAGTGTAATCACCACACGATCCTGTTCCCGTTCTACCTCTTGCCCTCGCCCCTCAGATCTCCTCCAAGCCCATAGCCTCGAATCTTCTCCCATTCAACCTTCTGCCTCGTGACGGGCAACTGCCGCCGCAGGGCCTTGAAGCTGGTCTCGTTCATGCCGACGATCGTTCTGTTCACCTCTTCCTGGTACTGTTTCTCAATGGCCGCGATCTTCCTCACGACGCTGTCACCGCTGCCTCCGCCGTCGACCGTCACATTCGAGAAGTTCTTGCTGGTCGACAGCGCGACGTTGCCGTCTTCGTAGTAGTGCACGTCGACCTTGATGCTGCCGGACAGGGTGTTGGAGGACGGGTTGTAGAGCACGGCAGTTCTCCACCGGCCACTGAGGAAATTCTTGGGCGAGGATTTCAACGAGGATATCAGGATGGCGACCTGGGAATCGTCGGGCGTGGCACACACGGTAAACGCCGAGGGCGAGGACGTCGGGGGGTAATGTTCGGCGAAGTGGCTAGAGAGGTGTTTTACGATTGACGACACGAGGTCGCTGTGCTTGGTGTCGTGGGTGTAGGACTGTGGTGCGGAGGGCTTGGAGGTTGCGTGGTCGAAGGAGAAGGACGTCGAAGATTGCGTGTCGTAGTATTGGCCGGAGGAGAGTTTGTTGTAGGAGGATATGAGGACCTGTCAAGCCAGGCTCGCTGTCAGCGGGACGTTGCGGCCAAATTTCTCAAAGGTGGAGGGGCCTTTTTCTCGCGGCAATGTGAAAAGAAAGACAGCATTGTTGCAGGAAAGCAGGAATCGTACATAATCGCTCGCCCCAGGTAGCTTCACAGCCACCATCTGCTCTTCATTGTACTTCTCAAATGCGGGCTTCAGCTTCGCGATCAGCGCCGGGTCGTCGTCAGAGGTGAGGGCTTTGATGTCTTTGATCACATCTTGGAGTTCCCCAGAGGGCGCACCCTCAATGAACGAGGAGGTGATGTCTACCGTCGAGCCCATAACCAGTGAAGGAGAGGGGGATGCTTAGAGGACAGAATTGTTAGGATGGAGGAGTTTCCGCTACGTTTGTAACAATGTGGAATGTTAGCCTGGTGGAGGGGCCAGCTTTGAGAGGGTCGTGCCGCAGCGCGAACAAACTCGGTGTGTCAGACACCAGCAGGGAATCTTATCGAGGGCGTAGCCAGGTAGCCCACCAGCACTGATGGCGCTATAATATCAGAGAAGCTACAGTACCTATTTTTGAATCTCTAAGTTTGTAAGGTCAAAATATGTCATTGTTTCGAGTACATTAAGAAACAAAACCAAGGCAAACTGCACTCGAGTGTCATGGTGCAGTGCCCAAGATGAAAGGTCACTGCATTCCATCCAGTCCAATCCATGCTACTCCGCGCCATACGCCTCGCTTACCAGAGATCAACCTGCGAACAGGGACACTCGATGAAGCCTAATCAATGCTCATGCTCATGATGCCTTCATTCGTCTCAGTCATGCCTTGCAGGCCAATCTTCTTCGTTCCATTATGACTGCTCCCGCTATTGCTGCGATCTCCATGGCCATGTCCGGACCCCTTTGGTGGCAATTTGGACCACGCCTTGTCGTTTGTGAGAACAGGGCTTTGCGGCAGGATAGGACTGCTCTGGACGCTCATGCCGGGGGAGACCGCTCGGCGTTTGGTGTATGATGGATCAAAGTCTTCCTCGCGGCGTCGCTTGTTGTTGACTCGTCGGGCGACATCTCCTGCGGTAGGTGGGTTGGAGGCCAAGGGAGTGGTCGACCTTGATCTGGATCGGTTGAAATGCTTTAGGGCAGGATTGTCAAGTGAGGAGCCAGGAGTATCCATCATGTCGTCGCTGATGGCCGAAGAGCTTTGGCGCGGTCGTAAAGTTGGCGGAGGAGTGCGATAGCGCTCGTCGAATGCGTTCCAAAACCCAATTCCCGCGGAGTTCCTCTCAGCCTGGCGACTGAAGCTATCAGGAGGAAGTAAACCTTTGTTGTCCATTATCATATCTTCGATCGACTCCTCTATGGGTTCGGCTGTAAAATTGTTGTTCTGATGGGCGGGAATTGTCGGAGACTTAGGCTGTGAGACGGTCGGCTCATTCTCATGGACTTGGCGAATGACTTCTGCCTCACGTCGTGCTTCACTTTCGATCGGAGCGGCCTCTTCCAACAGCTGAGCACGAATTCGGGCGAATCCCTTTGTCTTGGGAAGTAAATTGCCTCTGCGTGTGACAGCTCTGCGAATGACCTTCCTGGGGTCCTCGCCATTTGCACCATCCATGTCTGAAAGAGAGTGGCCGGTGTTTCCTCTGGTGGTGTTATTGTCTTCGCTATCTGACAGATGCAAATCGTTGGTGCCCAGACTTAAACTTTCACGCCGAGACTGGACTTGTTGTTTGGTTAGCCCCGTTCCAAAGTAACTACCGCCTGCGTTCTCAACGCTTTTCAGAATGCCAGGTGACAAAGGTCCCGGTGAGGGTTTGGAGCTGTTCATGCTCACACTGCTGGAGCTGTGTTGGCTTTTGCCCTTCCGCGTACGGGCTCTCCTGAAACTCATCAAGCTCGGCTGGAAACTCATGAGACTTGCTTGTGCTGGCGATGGTTGATTGTTCATCCATTCCATACCAGGGCTGTTCACCCAGCCTGGCATCGGCCCCCGGTTCAACCTTGACGCCGCAGGTGTGCTCAGTATAGCCTCATCCATTTCACGATCGATGGCCATATCGTCCGAAGAAGTATCAGACTCAGAATCGGAATCAGAGCCCATCATATTCACAGAGCTGACAGAGCTTGACAGGTTTGTTCTGTCGTTTGACAAGGACCACAACGCGTTAGATTGATTGCTTGGTGAGTCAAGCACGGTATTCCCGAGACTTCTCCTTTGAGGAATTTGTATCCCTCTCCCGGTGATGGGCGATGCATCTGGAGACGCTTCTGCCAGCGTAGAATGGTGTAAATTTGTGCATGCCCTTGTATAATCCAGGCCCCGTGATCTTCTTGGGAGCATGGAAGAGGGCGAACCATAGACATAGGACGAATCTAGTTTCGGTGATAACGGAATTCGTGGGATGGTGGGACCTGTGCTTGTTCCAACAGAGTCTTTTGATGGCATGTGCAGGGAAAGGCCTCGAGTATGGTTTGGGGGGCGAGCGGGAGTGCTGGGAATTGGAATCGCAGAGTCATCCTTGGAGATTCGTCGCAGAGGTTCTCGAAAGGCTGGCGAGGGAGAGAGAACGGGCTTGGGGGCGTCAGAGAGAGACCGTGGTTTGGGGGAGCCCTTGGTAGAGGTTCTGGAACTCCGGGGAGTGCGTTCGCCTTCGCTCTGTTCAATCTGTTGCGTGAGGTTCGACTTGGTCGGAGAGAGACCAAGCCCTATAGGCATGGTATGGATGCTGGTAGTCGACATTGTATTGGCGATGGTACGCGCTACCGAAACATCACGATCGTGTAAAGATGAACCATGTTGCGCGAGATAGACAAGTATTTCACATTTTCCAACGAGCACAAGACGGACAACAGATGCAGGCGGCCCTTTTGTCGAGTAGGGACCTCAGTCGCGCGTAGACGGCGGCTATGTTTGACTGCGATTCTCCTTGAACCTCAAAACTGCGTTGGAAAAAGGACCGGGGATTGGATCAGGATGCAGCAGGGCCCAAAATAGGGATGATGGCGAGGCCGCCCTATACTTAACCCCGCTCACCCTAGACAATGGGCCAGGGGGAGACATGGCTATAAAAGCGGCGTTCAATCCAGCCACCAGCTAATGCACATCCCACCAGCTGCATAGTCGCTCTCTTTCACATTAAAGCAACGGTTTCTTTATCAAGGCATACCTGAATTCTTCATTCGACCAACTCTGTTAACATAGCAGTGGGTAGATTCACTCCAAAGTACCATTCCCAGAAGAACGTCGCTGGTATTGTCATCCTCTCAGCACGGAATGTAGCCCGTCGCCGCTATTAGGATTGGATCGGACAATCCCCACCAACTTGTATGCACCATAACCATCTCATGCACACGCTCCCTGAAGTCACTCCCCTTTCTCTACCGCTACGACAACTACTCACGAATCACGTCCACCTGATCGCTTCTAAGTTCTTCTTTTGGCCTTCATTTGATTTCGACGGGAACGACACGGGGAGGATAGGTCAATGGAAATACGCGCATGACGAAATCTCTGGGTCAGTCACTTGTCAATTGGCACGGGAAAAAGGCTACAAACTTCCCTTCACTGTACGAGTACTATCTTGTTTGAAGCCCAAAACGCCACGATCGTCCTGTTGCTCCCATTTCGATTATCAACTTCAACACTTTTCGTCAAGATCTGTCATGTCGAATCGTCGAGTAAAGTCTCTGGCGTTGGATGAAGACGATTACGATAGTTATGAGGACTATGATGACGGCTATGGAGATGGCGGGGATGACAACGAGCTTTCTGCAGAGGACAAGGAACAGATGCAGCAAGGCACCAGCAATGTGCGTGCAGCCTTAGGGCCAGCATTTCCTGCTACCGACAGTGAAATCCAAGAGGCGCTGTGGCACTATTACTATGACGTGGGAAAATCCGTCACGTATCTGAAAAGTACGGAATTATGCCCATTTCTTGCGCTCGGTTGAAAACTCACTGTGCTAGACAAACACAGGCCCACCCCTGTCGCTACAAAAAAGCAGACGGAGGGCTCAAAGAGTAAGCCTGTTCTTCTATGTTCCTCACCTGCATCACTTTCGCGTCGTGGTGGTCATGATGGCTTGGGACCGTGCGGTTTCGAAAAGGATGCTGATAAGCACCAAGATCACGCCACCATCGCCGTTTGCTCCAACTCATTTTCTGTGGCGGACTTCTTCAGAGATAGCCCATGGTTGCAAATTCCTGAATATCGAAGGGCAGAGATCATCATCACTCCACTCTGTCCCCGCTTCGGCCTTCTAGGTGGTGCGTCGAACACCGGCAAGGTGTCCAAACTGGCGGCGCTGGCTGCCAAGCGCAGGAAGAAAGAAAGTGAGAAACTTGACACTCAAACCACAGCCGATACTGGATCTCAGCAGGACTATCTCTCGAGCTTGAATAAACTTCGGATCAGTCAGTCATCAAGAGTGAGGTCCAGATCAACCGGTGCCTCTGCCTCGGCGCCAGCAGAATCACAGCTCGAGTTACAAAAGAACGATCACAGAGGTGCTCAGTCTACTCATATAGAGAGCAAGCAGACATCTCCAGGAAGGATATTGGAAAACTCGCTCGAGGTCGATCAGCATCTTCGAGCCGGTCCCTCGGCTTTTGCCAGTATCATGACCAGCCGCGACGCTGACACTTATCTTCTGTCATCGAGTGATCTTTTCTCCAGTGAAGCAAATGCTAAGTCTTTCAACTTTGCAGAGCCGAGCCCGGACGATATTGTGACTCAGGCACAGACTGGAAAAGGTCGGGGACAAGGCTGATCGACATGAAGAGGAGCTAACCTGCTCGTATGTAGCCGCGACGTCAGCCACTTCTAGAGCCAAGGATACGAGCCGAGCAAAATCAGGCTTGACTGATGGCATGCATGAGCTATCCACTCAAGATTTGCCCAAATTCAAGAGTAAAAATATCGATGTGCTTGCGGAATATCGGAAGGATAAAGGGAAAAATGCGGCAAATTTTGTAGTGATCGGTAAGCAATCCTTGCTCGATGGATTTTGGAAGTGCACTGATTTTTCAAGGCCATGTCGATGCAGGCAAAAGTACCCTCATGGGGAGGCTCCTTTTTGACTTGAAAGCGATCGATCGAAGAACCCTTGACAAATATCGACAAGAAGCGGAACGTATCGGCAAAGGTTCGTTTGCTTTTGCATGGGTTTTAGACCAAGGCTCGGAAGAAAGGGCTAGAGGCGTCACTATCGACATAGCCACCAACAAGTTTGAGACCGACAAAACCTCCTTTACTATCCTGGATGCCCCCGGCCACCGGGATTTTGTGCCGAATATGATTGCAGGAGCTAGTCAGGCAGATTTCGCAGTCCTCGTCATCGACGCCTCGACAGGAAATTTTGAGTCAGGATTGAAGGGACAGACCAAAGAACACGCTCTCCTGGTAAGATCGATTGGCGTCCAGCGGATAATAGTGGCCGTGAACAAGATGGATGTTGCAGAATGGTCCGAAGAACGATTCAACGAAATTCGCCAACAAATGGCCGCATTCTTGAGCAGCGTGGGTTTCCAGGCAAAGAATGTGACATTCGTCCCTTGCTCTGGCCTCGGAGGTGAGAACATTTTGACCAAACCTTCAGATCCGAGGTCGTCATGGTATACCGGCTCTACCTTGGTTGATGAGCTAGACAAAGCGGAGCCATCAACCCACGCACTAGACAAACCTTTGCGGATGACCATCAATGATGTTTTCAGAGGTGGCGTGCAGAATCCCCTGTCCGTGTCAGGACGATTGGACGCGGGCACCGTCCAAGTCGGGGAACAAGTGGTCATCATGCCGAGTGGTGATAAGGCCCAGATCCGGAGCTTAGAGGTCGACGAGGAACCTCGAGAGTGGGCAGTAGCTGGACAAAATGTGGTCCTCCATCTAACCGACATTGACCCCATACACCTCAAGTCAGGAGATGTTCTTTGCAGTCCCCTGTCGCCGATCCAGAACATCAGTGAATTCAAAGCAAAGATACTTGCATTCGATCACCTAACTCCAATGAGCGTTGACGTGCACAAAGGACGCCTGCATGTGCCGGGTCGAATCAGTCAGCTCGTTGGTGTCTTGGACAAATCATCTGGCTCAATGACGAAGAAGAAGCCCAAAATTGTTCAACCGGGAAGTGTTGTGCGAGTCACTGTGCACCTAGACCAGGTTGTCCCCTTGGAGCCGCCTTCAAGGATTGTGCTCAGAGCAAATGGCGAAACCGTAGGGGCGGGTCTAATCGAGTAGGCAATGCAAGCCGCCTCCAAAGTTGTTCCCAGATACGACGTCGCTAATGCATAAATTCAACTGTGCCTAGTTCTGGAGAACCTCATTCAAAACTGAAGACCAGGAAGTACGTTCAAGTTCACAAGGATTTGACAAAGCAGAACCCTGTCACCTGGGGTTGGCTGTTGCTCCCTTCCTATTCCGTCATGATCGGGGCCAAAATCGGTGGCGCATGGGATAATGTCCCGAAATCTCTGGCCTAGTGCAAATCTGAAACCGAACACTGAAATTCACGGGAGAATCGCCATCCTTTGGTCCCGCTCTGAAAGCCTTTTTATTCGCTGAGCGCTCGTGTGGATGGAGTCGAGGTTGAGCCGACCTGGCAGTTCGGTCGTTTATACCGGGGTCTTGACTACCTGAGACGTTGGCAGAGCCATGGGCTGCTTATTCTATCCTTGATTTCGCAAAACGGCAACTTATCCAGTGAACCATGTCTACCTCAAAGGAGCGGGAGGAGGCTCTCCCATTGAGTACAAAAAGAGCGTTCCTCCTACCCTCCCATGGTCTGCTTTCTTTCTCAAGGACTTCGTTTCCCTCGTCACAGGCTCTCAAAGAGTATTCCTTCGTTTTCTAAGTGGCGCCGTGCGCACGTCCATTCTTTCTCATCTATTCAGTCATTCGTTTCGTCCAGGCTTCGGATCTGAGTTTCGATAGCCGAAACCACTGAGATCTGCTGCTGCTACAGATACTGTCTCGAGTTATTCGTTCACGTTCCTGGCACGAGCTCTTTTCATCGACATGGCTGCAGCATTGATCCTTTCAGGGTTGACCCTTGCTGGAGTGGTCCAAGCCCACATTGCGGCTTTTGCGAAAGGGATGTACTGCGAGAACGGTACAGATCCTTCCAACCCGAATTTCAACTCGAACGCTCCCGTGTCGCCGTTGTACAACCTTACCCAGGACCAATGGTGGTTCCAACACGATCGAGGCTGCGATGGTGTCCCTCCTCCTCCCGGAGTCTTTCTTGAGTTACCTGCCGGCGGTTCCTTCGACGTGGATCTTGCGAACAACCAAGCATTCTCAAACCTATCCTACGGTGGCTCAAAGACTTCAGAATGGCCGGACGGTGGCTCTCACCCAGAAGACTGGAATGGTGGCGGTGTTGGTGAAGGCTGTATCCAAGATGGCGGTTATATGCACGTCCAGAACCAGAGCATGGCTCAGGGAACTGCTTTCGCTATTGCATATGAAAGCGATCTCGCCGCCATCACGTTGGAGGACTTAGTTGTGTTTACTGTGCTAGAGCACACTCCCTGGAAACGGGCAGCAACCTACCAGGTTCCAGCAGCCATGCCTGAATGCCCTGAAGGTGGATGCGTAAGTTGTCCTCGTCGTGCGTTTTGTCCTTGAGCGCATCTTTCATTCAGCTACATCAGCATGATTACAGGCTAACGCACGCTTTCCAGACTTGTGCTTGGCTCTGGGTGCCGAAGGGATGTGGTCAGCCCAACATCTATATGCAAGGCTTCAAATGCATTGTCACTGGTGCCACGTCCACAACTCCACTCGCGAAGGCTCAAGCACCCGTGATGTGTGACACGGACCCTTCCAAATGCGTTACAGGAGCAAAGCAAATGATCGTGTGGAACCAACTCACAGGAAACAACGTCGTGACAAGCGGCTCCCAGACGCCAGCCTATAATACACGTAACGGATTCACGCCAGGTCCGCAGGATGACATTTTTGAAGGCGGCCCTTCTGTACCTGAGGGACCGGCGTCCTCTATGACTTCTTCCAGTTCACTGTTCACCTCCACTACCGCGCCAGTAGGAACACAAGTACAACCCTCCTTGTGGACGACCAGCACTCCTCTCATCTCGGGCTCTGCAGTTCCATCCACAACCCTTCTCACCACAAGCTTCTCCCTGTCGCCGTGGACGACCTTGGCGACAGTGGTGAAGGCGGCCTCAACAACCGGCGACGCTGCTTCCGTTCCTGTTGCTCCGCAGTCTCCCAGCATCGTGAGCTGGGGAGTCCCTTCTGGTGAAACACCTGAAACTGTGACCGTGAGTGTGACCGTCACTGTTTCTGCCGCCGTTTCGACGCCTACAGGCTTCAAACATTACAAGGGATGCTGGGTTGAGGAAGAAGACGAGTTGAACGGCTGAGCATGGATTTTGTTTTCCTGAGAGTCCAGGGGTTGATGAAACGGGAGTACTGCCCTTGGTACAGCCACTAAGCCATGAGCGCGAGCCTTGACCTTTGTATATTTATGTTCATTTTAGTTCTTCCTCCTTATGCCCTTTTGAGGGAGACAGGAACTCCTTTTCTCGGTCCCAGAGGTACCAGTTGTTTTCTCGTGCTGGGCATTCCCTCGGCCTCGATGGTGTTTCCATGATTGCTCTGTGGCGTTCCCAGCATACCAAAGGTTCGGAACTGCCACCAGTTTCTTCAGTTCGGCTAAGGCGGATTCATGTTGGTTTGTTTCGACGTCGAACTTGCGTGCGTTGACATTGGCCATCGTGAGACCTTGCGCGCAGATTGGTGGTCATGATGCGGTCAAGGTCTCGTAATGCACTCAACATCTGCAAGGTCAAATCAAATGATCCAGTGAAGGGGTTCAGGAACGGATTCCTCCGGCCCTTCATGGGCCATGGACAACATTCCATTCCATCACCTGTGGTCTGTGCGCATCACAACGCGGTGCCAGGGATGAATTTCATGGACGCACGCAAGGTTGAAACCTCAGCATGTCTGTTTCTTACCGTTGTCGTTAGCTGTGAGCATCTTTCACGATGTCTCCGCTCCACTCATTTCTCATACTCGCGGGCGTTTTATTGCACACTTCAAACGGTTATGTTGATTTCGGATCATTGACCCTTCCCATTGAACCCATGTACCAACCAACCCCAAGACCCAACCAGCTGCCTGGTGGCATTGATCTCCGCTATGAAATTCTCCCATCGATGATCACGGCTGTGGCACCTTCAGTCACGATTGCAACCAATGGAACCCACCAAACGATGTACAGCCTTCATTATCATCACTATTTCAGCAAGACACGGCAGGGCAGAGGAGTCTTCGACAAGCGTGGAGTGTTTGCAAGCGACCCGCCCATCGCAACCTGCACCCCATGTGGCGGTGGCAGCGTTACCTCTACTCCCTCTGGCACAACTACGTCTACTGTGCCGTGCACGACCCTTACCTATCATGTGAGTCTGCTTAGGATCGTATCTTCAGGTGGTAGTACTGACGGCTCTCTTAGGGCGTGTTCGACTTCCCCCCAACCACGACAACTGCGTCTTGCTACGACACGAATTACAGTGGCGTTTTCCAATCCAGTACTGCATCGACCAGTGGCTTGCCCTGTTGTTTCACAATCCCTGCGTCATGCCGAATGAATAGCACAATGAGTGCCACCACCAGTACATCGTTCATGGCTTCGACTGGAGTCTTTAGATCGACGACCACGTCTACAACGACCACGATCAGCTCCACGATTGTAAGTTCTAGGTCTTCACTGACCATCCCAAGTAGCACCAGCGCAACTTCCTCTCAGTCTCAAGGCGCGATACTCAACAGTGGAAGCTCATCTACATCCACAAGCACCATAGTCACAATTATCAGTGGAACCACAGTGGTCATCACCACGACGTCCACTTCGACTCCGGTGTTCACACCCACTACAACAAGCATGGAAAGCTCTTCCATCGTTTCCAGTCAGCCTTATGCCTCGCCGTCACTGTCAACCTCCTCGAGCAGCGCCTCCAGCTTGTCCGTCATTGTCATTTCAAGCACGACAATTACAATCACAAACTCTGGGACTGCCATTTCAACTGGGGGAAGCGGAACATCATCTTCCTTATCTACGCTAACCATAATCACTGGCACTGCGTCGAGCGTCGCATCCACTTCGACATCAGCCTCGCTTATCACAACAACAGTGCCAAATACCATTGTAGGATGCGGGCAAGCCTCTGGTAGTGGTATCATCAGTATGTGCTTCGAATCCTTCTCACCCAGCTAGGTCTACAACTGACTCGATCACAGTTGGCACAGGCACGGTATACCTGGGAGACACGCGGATAGTTACATCAGGAACTGCAAGCGGTACGGATTTGCAAGCCTCCATCTCCAGCCTTCTTCCCCCTGTTCGTTTTAAATTGTCGGTCAAATTCTGACTGTCCCGATCCAGGCTTCGCAAGCAATGTCTATGGCTGTGGCACGATCATTGCTACGTCTGGGACGTTCACGGGATCCGCTGAAATAACGGGCTGTGCGTAGACCCCTCGATTTGACTGACCCAGGAGGAGGCTCAATAGCTGACAATGGTGCAGGTGGTTCGGGGTCCGGCACTGGGACATTGACTGGCACAGGAACCGTCTGGCCAGCATATGGAGGAGGACTGATCTCGCTGGTCACCTCGGGCACAGTCAGCGGCAGCGGCAACTTCAGCGGTTGCGGGATCTTGGTGCGTATCACACCGAATCACGCGTGACTGGATATCGTGTGCACGCACGCCTCGAAGCTAAATCTCTGATATTCTCGCAGACCGGTTCCGGCACTTTCATGGCTACCACGGGCTCACCCGTCGTGATCTCGCCCTCGACGACTCCGACTCCGACTACGACTTCCAGACCGATCAAGACAGTCAGCGTCTATTTATCCTACTGCCCGGACCCCATGGGCGCCAACGACATACTTCGGCTTGCCGGAGATTCCAACAAGACGTCCTCCTCGATGCCCAACGGCGCGGCCCAGATAGCTTCGAAAACGAACTCGCTCTATTCTTCCTCCTCCTCGAACTCGAACACGACCCTCCCCGCCAATAACTCCACTGACACCAACCCGCTGTGCCAGACGTGCCCCAACTCGGTCGGGGTCTGCTGTCCGCCGACAGTGCGCTGCGCGGCGGACGACGGCAAATGCCCGCTTTACGCTCTGGAGAACTCAGGCAACACCATAAACGGCTATCTGATTGCGCAGGTGATGAACAGCTCGGCGCCAGTGGCGGGGCGGAAGAAGGTCCGGGCGCTGGAGAAGAAGCAGCAGCAGCAGCAGCATCACAAGATCGGGTCTGCTGGGGAAGGTCAAGACGATACGGCCACGGCCAAGGGATTCGGAGGCAAGGATCTGCTAGATCTAGAGGCCGGGGTGGAGAGGCAATTGCAGCGACACAAGGAAAAGAAGAGGGCGCATAGGAAACAGTTTTAAGACCATGGACCGGGGAAAATGAGCCAGATAGTTATTTGATCATCGTGTTGGATTTTGACAGCTGGTATCGTTCCCGACCTCCTTTTTTTTCTTGTTGCATATTGAGAACTGCAAACTGGTGGTCTCCATGACTTGTGCTGCACTGCTGTAATCAGACAGCAGCAGGAGAACATCGATAGTACTGACCCTGCTTCCCCGTTCACCCTTTTTAGGGCCGTGATCTCTCTGTCTGATCTTGTTGTTATTTGCTCCCAATTTTTTGAGGCAAGAGCTCGATAAACGTACCGGAGAAGCTGCGCGTCTGTAGGATCTTATTTCTCAGGGTTGTCTGGGAAATTCATCCATGGTCCTGCTGCTCCTACCTGAGCGCTGTGTTGCCATGGGGAGGTGCCATGGTTGCTGGCTCAATCCTAGTCGACTCTCTCCAAACTGGAGCGAACGACGATCCAAGGCCTGTCACTGTTAATCGTCCGCTCGGGTAGCTCAATACAGGTCTCGAGAATGAAGTGTTGCTGTGAAATAGGCAGTTGATATCTGTCGACTCATTCCGTCCACCACGCGAGCCCGCGCAGGTCAGGCAGACCGTCGATCCTGATCCCATTCTTGTTCCAAATGACAACCACGTCCAGCCATTTCTCGAAAAGGACCTACGGTCCCATGCGTTGTGTCACTTCTTGAGCTCTTGCCCTGAGTCCGATCCGGTACGTTATTTCCACAACCAGATCGTAGTGTTTGACGAAGTCGTTGTATCGATCCATGAACGCCCGGCTGGTCGCCTCCATGGCGAATCTTGATTGGGATACCCCCAAGAGGTCATATGAGTCTCCATTCACAACGCCGTAATCTCGAGGGTCGATAAGCGATCCAAACAGTAGAAAGGGTATAAACACAAGCGGGCTCCGTGCTCGAGATAAAAATATGTAATTCTGGTACGAACACGGAGCTATTTGGGGGCTTTCACCATACGATTCGCAGATTTGGGCAAATATCGCGGTCGAGCCAACCGGTGCCCAATGTCATGCCAAACCTGCCAAAGTAGATATCATGCCCCTGGGCGATCAACTTGTAAATGCGCTGAAGGAGAGTTTGTGGGAAGCCGGGCGGAATCGGCGTGTCGGTAAGCAAATAAGATGTCACAATAACGGCGGCTGTATCGAAGACTAGTTTTGCCTCCGCGCGCACTTTGTGTAAGGTCAATAAGAGATCGAGGTAAGCCGTGGTTTAACAGATTTAACGCGGCGCAGTTGGATTGATGGAGGGAACGAGGGTGGTACGGTCGATCTCGATCTCGGGATAGAGGAATCCGTATATTTTCAGTCGAATTTCGTCAGGCAGACCAAGAAACGATTTGACTTGATGATGGTTTCGGGGCAGCGGTTGGACAGAGTTGCCGGCCATGGTGAAAAGGTGCAGTTGGGGGGGTGCTGTGATGACAGTTTTCACATGAGCTGGTAGGGAATCAAAGGGTATTTCAATCGTGTTCGAGTGTGTGAGAGGAGGGAGCGAGATCTTGTAATGTCCTAGGTCTCTTATTATCTCGTTGGAGACTTTTTTTTTAGGGAGCATCACCATGAAACAGTCATTCAAAGGCCTCTGGTCTTCGTCAAGCCCAATGATGTGGCAGGCCATGTTGGACAAGCAGCATGAGGCTCTTCAGGAATGTTGGGCTTTTCAACAACGGAGCTGCTCGATAAAAGGCTCTTCAAGACAAGAAAGTTTTAACCGATGGTTTTCACAGTTGTCAATATGCTATCTGAGAAGATCCTGGCATCCACAGAGCTCTTCAATTTCAAGGGGGCATTACGCCAGCAATTTCAGCCTCAGGCGTTAAGCAATCCTAACCTCGCCCTCGCCGACTCCGATAGTGCAGACATATCCAGTTATACACCACAGGAGGGAGAAAGTCGAGTAGATGGAACCGCTGATGGCAGTTCTTTGGTCAAGATCATCAAAAGAAGTCAGTCAGGAGATACACTGGGTGGCCCGGCGAGATGTGACTTGATCGGATAAACAGCGAGGCACACCTCAATCAAGCCGACACAGATCCGGCCTGTTGCCTTCCGGCCGTGTACTCTGAGCAGTTCTTCTGACGGAGAGATCTGGGTTGCCGTTGCAACCGCGCAGAGTTGGAATGTGCCGCTGAAATGCCTATGTGGAGTCTTTGTGAGTACATAACATTTTGATTTCGAGGCAGCATGTCAAAAGCAGGTGTACGAGTTCCGCGAGCACCATCGCTGCATCCAGCCTGGATGAACATAGGGGCCATTCAAGCGCAAGAATAGGTCGCGGCATGGAAGGGAATTTTATTCTTGACGAAAATGTCCTCAGTCGTTTGTAAATCGCCAATCACAAAAGCGAACCCCTTGCTGATTGAGGTCAGTGTTGCCTTTAGGCTCCGTGGTGAAGCAGGAGGTGATCAGCCTGGGCACAGGCACCTGGACTAGGGCGTCACGAATCGATGTAACCCTGTTATGTGGGGAGACGAAATCATACTTTCTCAAGGTAAGAGGTATCTATCCCAATTCGATGTCATTTCGGCTCACCAAAATCTGTCTCAGCGGGCAACCGAGAGTCAGGGGAAGGACATGATGCACGCAGAGTACCGCTCCATGATGGAAATCTCCTCGCACATGCCTGAGCTTGTCCCGAGACCGATAGCCTGGGACAAATTCAAGCAATCCTCTCCTGAAACCTATTTCTTCATCATGGATTTCGTCGACTTGGCCCGAAAATGGTCGAGCCTGAGGACTTCTGTCGCCTCATCGCCCAGCTTCATCAAACCAGTACATTTCCCACTGGAAAGTTTGGCTTCTTCCAAACTACCTACCACGGACCTAACCTAACCCGCAGAACATCGCCTGGGAGAGCAACTGGTGCGTCTACTTCACGAGGCTGTTGACTCAATTCTACGACCGAGAGATCGCCCAAAACGGGTCACAACCAGAGTATCAAGATGCCTATCAGAAACTTGTTTCTGATGTAGTGCCACAGCTTCTTGAACCTCTCCAAGCTGACGGCCGTGTCTTGAAGCCTTGCCTTACACATGGCGACTTGTGGGAAGAGAATGCCGGCCTCAACCTCGCTACTTGTTTACCTGTTGTGTTTGATGCCAGTGTGATGTACGCCCATAATGAAATGGAGCTCGGCATGTGGCGAGCCGACCCCATCCGTTTTGGAGAGCCGTTCTATAGTCAGTATCTGGAGCACATGCCTCCTAGCGAACCGAGCGAGCAGTTTGATGACCGCAATCGCTTGTATAGCATCAAATTCAAGATCGCCCACTGCTTGGGCTGGCCAGATTCCGCACCGAGTCACCGCCAGCTGTAAGTTTCCTGTCCGGAGAACCTCGATTTTTGGGTGCTGACGTTGCCTCAGGATCTTGAGTGACATGCGCTATTTGATCGACAAGTACTCACCACAGCAGTAGCCAGTGTCTGGTTATCGCGGATGGGTCTACAACAAAGTATCGGTGCAGAATGTTGGTGCCAACGTGGAGTTCTTTGCTTCTCAGGTTACTCGGCAAATTCTGCCTTGTTGGATATTACAAGATAATACTTTGCAAACAGCGCTCTGCAATTATCTGTTTCCAGTTAACATTCTCCGGTCAAGGAAATAGTCGAAGTGAGCTTGTACAGCACCCTAGCAAAAATATCCGTCCGCGGTCGATTCCAAAAAAGGATTGAAAAGTCCTCCTTTTGGTGTGGAATCGGTGGTGGACGGATATTTTTGCTAGGGTGCTGTATCTGTCAGAAACTCAAACTCTGACAGGAGCAGGTCTCCGCTCCAGTCCCAGACAGCGTGATCCTCGGTCTGGCGAGAAAGCTTTGGTCCTCCGATATTGGTTTCGTCTTGGCTAACACTCATGCTATTTGCTTGCCCCGCCCTCTTGTCCGTGTTCGCCTGGACGGCTGGCGCTCTTGCAACAGACTGCTCCAAGAGTTCTGGGCCTGCATCTGTACCGGAAGTGTCGTGTGGACCTAGCGTCGGAGTGAACAAATAATTATTCAAATTCAGATGAGCCGCCACTCCTCGCATGCGTTCCCAGAGATATTTGGAGTGGTGTGTGGTGTCAGCCAGGGTACGAAGAAGGTTCAGTGAGACCAAGGAACTCTGTCGCGCTTTGACCTGAGTGGCTTCCGTTATGACGATCTCCTTTCCATTGGCAGAGGGATTTCCGCGTTTTGAAGAGCCGAACGTGGTCGCGAAAAGCAGGACATCCAAAGCTGAGATGAGGAAATGGTTGAACAGGGCCTGGTGGAAGCGGAATTCCTTTTTCGAATTATCTAATCCTGTCACTATTTGCACCGTGTCTGCGGCCACGTCTACAGATGTGGTCCAGATATCTGATGGAGCCGCGTCACGGAGAGTTGAGCAGAGAAAGGCCCGGGAGATGAGGGTGCGAAGATGGTTTGCACGCAAGGAGAGGGTTGTGCGCACGAGATGGAGAGCTGCACTCGCCTCTTCACCGGCGCTACTGGTATGTTCCAAGTCGCTCGAGGTGTGTTGCGTCCATCGTTCAAGTTGGTACTGGAAAAATGCATACTTTTCTCGCCAGTTATGCAGTAGCTGAGGTCTAGTATCTCTTCTGTCACAAAAGAGATCATCAGTGGCTTGCTTCCCGATCCGTGCGTACTCGGCCATGGCTGTCAAGAAGACTGCCCCAACCTGACCACGTCATCAGTCAGCCGTTAAGAGCGGTTGGAAACGAATGGCTACAAAATTCAGGGACTTACAGGTCGGGGGAATGTTGGCTCGAGACGGAGCTCTTGAGCCGCGTTTGCCACTCCCAGCCCGTAGCTGAGCTGGCGTTCCAGGACGTAAATTGTCCAGATAGTGTTGATGGCCCACATACGAGTTGATGTATCAGGGAACGAGCGGACGAGCGCAATCTCTCGGTTCAACCCCAGCTCCAGGATGATTCGTGTGACGTTTCCCAGGAAGCGCCATCCGCGGCGCCATATTCCCCGACGGAGATAGAAAATGCTCTGGAAGAAAGGCACAAGTCAGTCTTCTTAAAGGTTGACCTCGAGGGAGGGCATCATCACCATCAATGTCATGGATACCAAATCCTTCAGGTCCATAGTATCGCTCCAGAGCATTGATTCCACCTCAGATTGGACGCTCTGGAAAAGTTTCAGCGCCATTGTGTTGTGCATGTCACCCTCTGTAAGCAGCCCTGTGGCTAAAATGAGTTTGAGAATAATCAGATCGCTCCGACATATTTCTAATGTCGGGAACTCGGGCGGCTTATGATTCGAGGAACGTGCCCGCACGTCTGCAAAACGTTCCGCTATTCGCATAATGTTGGCCGTGTCGACAATGGGATACATGAGTCCTTCCAGAAGCCCATACGATTCGATAGTTTGCATAATATGGTTGTCGTCTAGCTCTTCCAGCGGGTGGATCAAGCTCAAGGGAGAATGTATTTGGGGCAGGTGCACGTGTGATTCCGAGTTCGGAGTATCAGGCACATCGCTCTGGCTCATGTCGCTCCATTCCCCGTCGATGATCTCGCCCTGGATGATCCAGAAAGGAGACGGCGTGGATGTTGGCGACGAGGCAAGTTGTGAGGTTGGCTTTACAGACCTGTCGAACTTTTGGGGTCCAGAGTCAATCACATTTATGCAAAATAGAGAGCTCGTCTGGCTGTGGAGTAAGGGCAATGGCCTTTTATAAGGTGCCTCGAAGCCGTGTTCCCTCGAACCCAGTGGGTCAGGCAGCTTTTGAACGCCGGTCAACATTGCCATTTGTCCCGTCAGGAGGTCTAGCTTCTGGCCCTGTTGCTCAAGGAGCGCCAACAGCGACGCATGGAAGTGGTCTTCACCGTCCCTGTTGAAGTCAGTCCTTGCAGGACGCTTGACAGCTTCGAGGGTTGGTTGGGGTTGGTTGGCGTGCTCTTCCTGTCGTTCTTCCACCAAGAAACTGGGCAAATGCTGCTGTGCAATGTAGCGACACATCGATGGGTCACGCGCTGCGCAGTATGAACATGGAAGACGGCCATCACAACGAACTTTGGCGGTTTTGCATCGATTGCAGGCCTGGGTTGTGTAAGGCTCTCTCTTCCGACGGGCAGTGGCATGCTGTGTCCCCTTTTTGCCAATTCTGCCCCCAGACTTCGCGTTGACGGTAGGCTGAGAATCCGACGCAGCAGGCATGCTTTCAACTGCCCATAATGTACGTAGTCAATACAATGCTCGAAAGTGCCACAGACTCGAAGACGACGGGATAGAGAGTTGATTTGTCAGGAAGGGTGGCTCCTAGCGCGGAATCTGGGGAGTCGTGCCAAGTATCCAAGTCCGGGGGTGCGGAGGTTCTCCGTGCGGGGGGCATCTCGGCCTAGTAGCCTGGTAGCCTTGTGAGCTGTCCTGGATCCTATTCTGGTACGAGAGTGACTTGAGTCTCACTCCTACAGGCGAGTTTCTAGCACCGTTATTTGATGTGGTAGCATCCCGGGAAAGGGCGTCACAGCTGAGCATGTGTATACAACTAGGAAGACGAGATGAGATTGACCGACTGTTTTCAAAGGCACAAAATCTTCCTCATCACACCGAGCAACGTCGTGGTACAGTCCTCAACCATACTCATGCTTCTCCACGCCACAAAATTGTCGGGACGCACCAAGACACAGCCGTCTTCGTTGACTTCGCGGCGATGATACCAGTCGTTGTAGACGGCTTCATATTCCAAACCAAAGCCAACTGCAAATACTGCCACGTCCACAGCCAGGCTTTCTTTAACTTTGGCGGCAGCGTCCCTCCACATGTCTCCTCCGTGACCAATAAAGAGGGTGAATCGGCCTTTGCCGCTCAGATCTAATGTGGACACTGGCTTTTGAGGAATGCTCGTGTTCAGCCAGGCATGTGGCAGTCTCACTCCAGGGTATGTATGTGGCTCGTAATATAAGACCGGATCTGAAGGTGGCTTTGGAGGCTCTCCTGCGCCGTCAAGGAAGATGGCAGACGATTCATATCGCTGTCCCATGTCGGATCCTTGTGCCAGGAACTCGTGACACGTGTAATCAATCGAGTTGATAAGTTGCTGGCGGCGACTTCGGCCACGTTCGGATACCTCATCCAGAATGGCCAATTGTTGCTTCCGTTCTTGCAAAGAAGGATTGAGAAACCCAAGGGATTCAAAGATAGGTATATGTTCCCTCAGAGAAGAATTCGCCCTAGAATCGAAGCCGTTAGTCGCGGACGTCTCTACATTGCCAAAAGGGTCGAGGAGCCTACCGGGCAACCACACCAGCTCCTACTGGTGCGCGCTCGACGGTGTAACTATCCAGCAGGGATCGTCCCGCGACTCCTGTCGTGCGTCAATGAGCCAGCCGAGTATCTGGGGGGTAAAACATACCCTTTTCGACCAGAGCAATCTTCCACGCCAGGTTGGCAGCATCTTGGATGCAGGTGTTTGATCCAAGTCCATTCATTGGAGGATGCCGATGCACTGCGTCCCCAAGGCAAAATCTGTCCAACTCAGTAATGTTCTGCAGGTGACAAAGGGTATGACTCTTACACCTGTCCTTTGCTATAGCATTCCGCCACAGTCTCGTTGATAATCCACTTGTCTATTCTGAGGATGTCGACGGGTATCGACGCATCACCTATCACGGATTTGACTTGGTCCTCGACCTGCTTTTTCTCTGGCATGAAATCTGCCGCACAAGTTGGCTTGTACATCATGATCACCAGCCATTCATACCACGGCTTGACCATTCTCACGATTGACCACCCGGCAAAGTCAGGCTGCTCGACGTCAGGCTGGATGACATAGTGTAGATTCCCAACTCGCGATTTCATGATGTCCGATAGATCAGCTCGAAGCAAAACATTCAGGGCGATCCCTTGGCTCGGTTTGATGGACATTGGTAATCCAAGCAGTTGGACGACGATGCTTTTGGCACCATCGGCGCCATAAAGATACTTGCATCTGATTTTCTGTGTTGTGCCGTAGATCCGATCTTCGACTTCAGCAAGGACCGAGTCTGGTGCCGAAGTATCAAATCGAGTCAGTCGAGTGCCAAACCGACACGGGAAACCGTGTTGAGTGGCGTATCTGAGAAGTATTGGCTCTGCGAGGGTCTGAGGGAACTCCAGATGCGTGCAAGGACTGTGCAATTCGAAATCGCCCTATATGAAGCCATGCCCCGGTCAATGATCTTCACACACACATACCTCTAATGAAAGTTCAGATACTCATAACGCACCCCTCGCTTGGGACCACTGCCCCATGAACTGATCCGACCGAATTCCCTCCCTGCCATGGTGCTGCACCAACGTGTCAGCCCCTTCTCGGGGCCGGCGTGGCCAAGTTTCAGGAACTCGTTTTCCATATCCATGTCCAAGTCGCGGATGCATTCTTTGGATATTCCCAAAGACACGGTTTTAGAAAACGGAGTTCTGCATTAAACAGATGGCCAGCTTACCCATAGCAGGTTGATTGATGATATGAGCTCGAGGCGTATTCGCTGAAGATGGAGCAGAGCTTATGATCAACCCTTTGAATCCTATCATCCAAAACCTGTCGGTTAGATGATCCAGACTGTGAATCTAGGGCTCAATTGGGCCAAAACGTTGAGAAACTCACCATATTTGCCCAGAAAACAAGCCAGTGATGCCCCAGCAGGACCTGCTCCAACAATTAAGTGGTCAACCTCCAATATATCGGCGCTCATTCTGCGATGTTCACGGGTTGGTATGTCTGTCATAGTCTTTCGGTATGCTTGCAACTGAACGTATGAGCAACCTCAGAGGACGATAACCAAGCTTTAATCTTCAGAAAAACATCGAACAGCGGACATATGGCCATTTGCCAGAACCCAAGATGTTGGCAATGCTGTCGAGCAGCCTCAGGTCATTCTTGTCTCCAGGTTGTCTCGATGCTGACAGCTCCGGGTCTTGGTTCGGGAAAACCCCGACTTTCATCCACCTGTTGGCAGTTCCGTACTCAAGGTGTAAGGGGGCTATTTTCAATGTTGGTCGTCGAGCGCAGTGTACCTCGCACTCAGTACAGTTCACTCACCTTCTCCACATACTCGGGCGTCCCACTTCGAATTCGGAATCTTCCGAACTGGTGTTATATGTTCCGATTACCAATTAAGTGCCGAGGAAGATGGTCTTGGTTGTCGGCATGTTTCCGCCCGGATTACCAAGTCGCCAACCCATGATGCCCAGAGCCTCACCAGCTGTGACCACACCGAAGACTACGGGCAGTACTGATCAAAGAAGAGAAAAAGTAAATCCCACATATGCGGGCCATATATGAACTTGTAGGACTTCCACAACCTTGTCACCGAAAAGGTCTCAGGTGCCAGCAACTTTTGTTAAGCCACCAGATCTGCTCCTCCCCCGAACCCCTAATCATGTCGCCAAATACTGCAGATAGCCTCATTGCCGCGGTTGCGGAACGACGATCGGTCTACAAGCTCTCCGGTGAAAGCACCATCTCCAAGAAAAGGCTCGAGGAGATCGTCCAGAAAGTCCTCCTAGCTACTCCGTCAGCCTTCAACACCCAAAGCACCCGCATCATTGTCTTGCTGGGAGACGAACACCGAAAACTATGGGACATCGTCCGTGGCGCCGTGAAACCCCTCGTCGCAGCGGAACAGGCACAGGCAACCGAAGCCAAAATTGCTGGATTCCAGGGAGCTTACGGCACGATCCTCTTTTTCGAGGACCCGAGGCCCTTCGAACCTCTGCAAGCGTTCAAGATGTATGCCGATAAGTTTGCAGGCTGGCGGGAACAGACTAATGGCATGCACCAATTGCTGGTCTGGACGGCGCTGGAAGCAGAGGGGTTGGGAGCAAATGTGCAACACTATAATCCCATCATCGACGAGAAGGTGCAGGAGACGTGGGCCGAGAAAATCCCCCCTCAGTGGCAACTGCTGTCGCAGATGGTCATCGGGAAGCCAGTAGGAGACCTGCCGTCAGCGAAGGAAAAGAAGCCTCTTGAGGAGAGATTGGCCATTATCGGATGAGGCTGAGGAGAGGCGCATTAAATATCTTATGGTTTGTGCATTCAAGTTGGAGAACGGCAGAAATAGAAGAAAGGTTAGAAAACAGCTCACCTCGAAGCGGCAGTAAATAGTATGGATCATCTACAAAATGATAGATACTGGGGGAACGTGTTCCCTGTCGTTGAAAGCACCATTCCACAGGTACCACGAACCTGGTTTCGATATGGATGGCGAAGTTGGGACAGCCTTACACAGACAGACATATACACGTAGATATATCCACGAAGCGGCGGTCTACTCGTGGGAACGACAGATCACCCCCAGCTGGTGACCGATATCATCACCCTCATGAAGAGGCGACCGTCAACTGCAGCCATCTAATTGTCCAGAACGCGTGGTCCAGCGCAAAAGGGCTCGTTCGGAGTCTGAGAAGCGGCTACTACCACATTCCAGGTGTTAATTCAGCGAGGTAGTGACAAAAATCCTGGTACAGGACTCTTTCATGTCTCATAATTGGGGTACGGCGTGATGATGATCCGTCGTCTTGCGCAATTCTATCTAATCTTGACGCACCAGTCCGGCCCCAGACCCATCATACATGGTTCTTCTCCCTTCCATAACCTCAATCCATTCAGGAGTGCTCGTGGCTTTCTCTGCATATTCTTTCAAGGCATCTGGAATGATGCTGCCTCGTCCGACATCCTGTAGTCTTGCTATCATAACAACAAGATGCGCATCAAGAGCCGTGGGCCTCGGCTGTCCAAACATCCAAGGCCCAGCTTCAGGCTCAAGGTACGATGCTACCTCTTCCAGGTATGCAACGGCCTTGTTCACTTCGCTGTGAATTTTCTCGGGGTGGAGTGCATCGACCTTGTCCCTTTTCAGACTGGTAGACCACTTGTGATTAGCCTAGAGTATCAGGGATGACCGACAGTCGCAACGCCAAAATGACACTGAGACTGGGTAACGATGAAATACTTACATCATCAGCTTATACTCCAACGCTTTGCGATACTCTTCACTGATGTCGTTTCTGGCCAACCTTTTGAGTGCGACGTCCGCGAAGCCAGAAGCGAGCTTCGGGCTCTTTAGGAAAGAGAGGGTGAAGAAGTTAAGATCATGCATCTGCTTCAGGGATTTCTCGATGGTTTCGGCATGAGCTTTTGGAAGAAGAGCAGGATAACGTTCCGAAACGTAAGCGCTGATAGCAGTCGTCTGAGCAAGTGGAAAGGAGAAAGCGACAGGGCTTCCGAGCACCGGTACCTGGTGGAGTTAGAGAGATGGGTCAGCACTCTCCGCTGATAACACTTCTTCTAGCTCTGCTCTTCACCTCATCCGAGACGTACCTGGCCGTTCGGGTTCACCTTCAGCAAATAGTCCTCACTGAATTGCTCTTCACTGAAGATATCGACGTTGTGTTCCGTCACATCCATTTTGACGGCGGGACTGGCGGGATCACCGCGAATGCGCATCAGGTAACGCATCATAATCGAGCAGATGGAATAGTAATTGTGGTACAAGGTATAGGGTGTCCCATTGGGAGAGCCATTCGTATCCCGAGCCATGTCGTGTGTTCGCCAACGTAACTATCAAACTTTCGTATGCTTGGTGACCGAGACAAATATCGGCTCCAGCATGGCTACTGAAGGTATAAATGGTCTGACGAGGACTACAGGGGCAGAGGGCGGAATCCTTGCTGCGTTGGTATGAGCAATGTATCGTGTAAGTCACGTTGGTAATTGCACAACCTCACTTGTCGATATATCAAATTATAAATATGTTAAATGTGGTTCCGAAACAGACGGAACATTGTCTGGTCATTCCCGCCAATGCTTTCTGCCCCTTATGGTGTAGCCTTGTCGTCACCCCACGGGGTTTCGGGACTAGGGGGGAAAGTCTTCTTCGTGCCTCTCTCTCCCTTCTCCAACCTTATGTTTTACGACGCCTTCGTGTTCCGTTACCGAACACCCCCCCTCCGATTTATTATTAAGCTGGTGCTACCGAAATCTCGGAGAGGGACATGCATGGCGAGGAGGGGTTCGACCTTCCAGCGAGATGGCTACATCAAGGCGACCCTGAGAGGACGGAGCTGGAAACTGAAGTTCGGCTTGGATTGCGAAGTGCGGAAAAGCAGTGCGTAGAGCTGTTCGTTAAAAGGGCATCATATTGAAAAGTTGAGGGCCTTTGATTGTGCAGTCAGCGACTAATACTCCACACCGCTGTCTCTCTCGAGCGTTCCTCTGACAATCACTGGAACCATGTTTGAGTCAGCACTATCTGGAAATGGGTCTGCAAAGCTCATGCAGACCCTTTGGGCAATCCCTTTGGCTTGGAAACTGACATTGCCATTACTGTCTCTCGTCTTCTACGTATGACCATCCAGGTTCCACCGATCGTATCTTTTGCTAACGAGGGTTGAACAAGATTTTGGCCCTGATCGTGTACCGCCTTTATTTCCACCCGCTGGCCAAATACCCGGGGCCTTTGCTAGCCAGAATCACTAACTGGTATGCCGTGTACCATGCCTACAAAGGAGACAGACATCTAGATATGTACTATGCACATCAGAAATATGGTGAGCAGCCCAGGAAAGCTTTCGGTCGAGATCTTCTGCTTTCAAAGTTGACCCTGTCAGGCAAATTTGTACGGCTTGCTCCCAATCTGGTCACGGTCAATGATGCCGGGGCCATAAAGGGTACGTGTGTCGAGGTGCAGCATTCAGAATCATTCCCACAAGGGCGAATGCTCATTGACACTGTCATAGAAATATACGGGGTCAACCAGAATGTCATCAAGTCCGTCTTTTACCAACCGGCCATTGAGCATTCGGGGATCGAAAGCACATTCAATGCCCGTGATCGACAGCTCCATGCACGTAAACGACGTGTCCTGGCCCCAGCATTCACTGACCCCGCGCTGGCGACGATGGAGGACTACATGCAATTCCACATCCGCCGAATGTTCCATGCAGCCTCTGGAGAGGAAACTTTCCAGAGCGAGGCGCAATGTTGGACGGCCGACATGGGTAGATGGAGCAACTATCTGACCTTCGATGTCATGGCAGATCTAGTATTTGGGAAAGACTTCGGTATGCTTGCCGGGGATGAAAGCAGAGAACTCCCAGAGATTATCGATGGGGCCGTGCACCGTGAACTGATTGTATGAACCACATTATTCCCAAAAGATATCAGGTTAACCTTCATCGTCCTAGGCCGGCTCGAGTCCCTTTGTCAATAGATGGGGACTGGACAAGATTTTCTTTCCCGACATCGTCAAACGAGGGTCAGAACTGATCAAATACGCAAAGAAGCAGGCTGAAGACAGGCTCAAGGCCGATCCAAATCGCAGGGACTTCTTTTGGTATCTGAGCAACGCCAAAGAAAAGGATGGCCGCCAATCCTATTCCGATCCGCGAGAGATCTTCTCGGAGGCAAGGACATTGATTATTGGAGGTACGACACGCAAGAGGGTAGCGAGAGTAAGTGTAAAAGAAAAGACATGCTGACTATGTCTCTCCTTGTGGAAATAGGCTCGGATACCACTGCCACCCAACTTGCGGCCAACTTCTTCTACATCACTCAGAATCCCAAGACACTAGCAAAGCTCACCGCTGAGGTGCGGTCCACCTTCCCCAATGCCGATGCTATTCGACTAGGACCTGCTCTGGACTCGTGTCGATACCTGCACGCCGTGGTCAATGAGACTCTTCGCATTAGCCCCAGCCTGCCGGGAATCTTGCCTCGCGAGGTCCTGCCTGGCGGCCTCGACGTCTGCGGTGAACATTTCCCTCAAGGTGTCGACCTAGCCGTCCCTATTTACACTATCCACCACCATGCCACGATTTATCCTTGCCCGCACAAACACATCCCGGAGCGCTGGCTGCCCGGAGAGACGAGCGAGGAAGCCGTCAAGCAGTGCCACGAAGCGCTGACTCCATTCTCGTACGGAAGTAGAATGTGCATTGGATGGCGGCTGGCGCTGATGGAGCTGCGTCTCACCCTTGCCCGTGCGGTCTGGATGTTCGAATTGGAGTATCTGGGAGGCGGACGGGAAGACCGTTTGCTGGGCCCTGATTCGGACGCACTTGAGTACCAGCTCCTTGATCATATGGCAGCAGGACGAAATGGACCGATCATCCGCTTCAGGAAGAGAGAGGTGCTCTAGGCCCGAAACCAGCAGGAGAGCTGGGAGGTGATTGAGGGGGAATGGAAGCATATATAGCTCAGTTCGGGAACTCCAACGTCAAGGGAGGATTCAGGCACAATTTCTAACCCCCATAGGTGTATTCACTGCATCACAAGGGATAGTGGTGGTATGTACGAGGGCAGGCACCAAAAGCATTGTCCACGCTAAATTGTAGGTGTTTGACTAGTAACTTCGCCATCCTATTATAATAAGACTAGACTTCCTTTCCCTAGCCGATATACTAGGGGAATGGAAACATTCTAGTACGGCTGGATGCAACTTGCTCATCAATCACACCGCAGTCATGTCTGCGCTGGCAACAACGGTAGTCCCTCAAGATGGCAGCGATATAAAGGAAGGTTTGTCTCTTGCTTCTTGCGGTCAATCCCGTACGTTTTCCATGCCATTGACTGTTGAAGACGCAGATAAAGCCCGTGAGCGTGAAAGATCGCCGCCGCGAATACCTCATAACCACCGAGCTCAAAGACTTCTATCTCAGGAGCAAGCCTCTGGCCACACAGGCGTTCGATATTCACACGCTCAACGCGTTCAGACGCTCGCCTTGTTATCGATCGGTGTTACGCCACAGCAAGTTGAGACGTGGATTCAGGTGCCAGCCCACCAGGCCAGGAGGATTTTTCGCAAGGCACAGCAGCGTGGTTATCGTCCACAGGAAGATCTTCGCATTCTTGATCACTACGTCGAGTATGGCATCAAGACAGGAAGGCCCAGAGAGATATCTGAAGAAGTTGAAAAGCATGTTCCAGCGATCTTCGAAAAGGACAGATCAGATAGAGAGAAATCTAGCGACGTTCTAGCCTATGAATCAGATGTTAGTATATCGTCTGTGTCGCGAATTCTCGAAAAACATCGTCTCAACATCGTCAAACCAATCAGAAAACCTGGTTTATCGAAGAAACAGCGCTCAGTTCCATTGACGGTTTGTCTCATCTATCGACACTGAGGATTGGAAAGGCCTGATTAAGTAGTCAAAACACTAAAAATTAGCGTGGACAATACTTTTGTGGCATGCCTTGTATGGAGTAGTAAGTAATTGCTTTCCCTCTCACTTTTCAACATACCACAACCCCAATGTTACCACAGGCTCAAGAGGCGTCTTCGAACCACAAAGCCCGCTTATTGAGCACCGGGCTACAGGTTTATACATAAGTATCTTTTATATCTTTTCGTTCCTTGCTGCTACCCCAGCCGGATGGCAACGAGGATATGCCAGACAAACCCATACGAATCTCAGCTCTGGAAACTGACGAATCGTCAAGCACACCCAATGCCACCCCCCAAGCGACTGATAATGACAATCCATCACCTCAGCCGTACTCGCTTTGGGCAAAGTCACAAAAGCTGGGTATCGTATTGCTGGTGGCATCTGCCTCTTGCTTCTCCCCGCTGAGTAGCTTCATATACTATCCCGCCCTCACAGAGGTAGCGAAGAATTTGCACACTACTCTATCTAAGGTCAGTTTGACCATCACTTCCTACATGATCGTGTCCGGCGTGGCACCGACGTTGTTTGGCAGCATGGCGGACCAGGTGGGAAGACGGCCTGTTTACCTTCTCATGTTCACCCTCTACGTCGTCGCCAAAGTCGGCCTCGCTGTGCAGGGTACCTATCCTGGTCTGCTGCTGCTGCGCATGCTCCGGAGTGCGGGCGGCTCTGCCACGATCGGCCTTGGATACGGCGTCGTTGGTGATGTGGTTGCCGCTTTTCTTTGAAAGGGCCATATGGCCCGTGTACCAAGCCGAGGCCACGGTCTCCATCATGACGAAGGAATCTAACGGCGATTATCAGATCACCGAGTCTTCTGAGCGTGGATCATACATGGGCATCCTAGGCTGCGGCCCCAATGTCGCGCCTGGCCTCGGACCTGTGCTCGGTGGCGTCCTTGCTGAGAAGGCGGGATGGCGCCGGACTTTCTGGTTTTTGGCCATCTCAGGCGCCCTCAGCCTCATTCTCATTGCGGCCCTGCTGCCAGAAACGGCGCGCAACATCGTCGGCAACGGGTCCCAGCCTGCCCCTGTCGTGAACAAAAGTCTTGTGCTCTTCTGGCAGGAAAGAAGGCGAAAGCAGGTCAATGCGACACATGGAGCATATCGCAGCCCTGCATGAGAAGTCGTTCCTCGCATATCAAGTTGGAGGATACCTAATCCTCTAGGAAGCGTGCATATATTTCTGCAGAAAGAAAGCGCGCTCGTCATTCTCACCAATGGGGTCTTCTATAGCGCATACTGCTGCCTGCAAGCATCCCTGTCGTCTCTATTCATTGGGATATATGGATATAGGGAGCTCGAAGCCGGAGTGATCTATCTGCCATTTGGCGCGGGCTGCTTTGTTGCATCGCTATTGTCGAGTAAGTTGCGAGTACACTCTCTTAAAAATCGCCCTGTTCATATATCATATACTTAACTCGGTATTCTCCTTCCCAAGGAAACATTCTCACACAAGACTATCGAAGGCTTGCTCTTCGCCGTGGTCTCCAAAACGTCTGAGTCACAGAGACTGTCATTTCCGATCTTTCATGCCCGTCTACGGAGTATGGCTTACCTGCTTCCTCTTTCCATTCTCACCCTCCTCGCATATGGCTGGGTACTACAGTACCACCTGCACCCTTCCGTTCCTCTAGTCCTGCAGTTCTTTACAGGCGGCGCCATGACCGTCGTGTTCAACGCGTGCGGGACGCTCCTCGTCGACCTGCACCCGACGCGTCCGTTGACGGCCCAGGCAGCCTTGAACCTGCTACGCTGTGCCTTAGCCGCGGCAGGACTTGCTGCATTGCAACCGCTCATCGACGCCATCGGTCCTGGGTGGTGCTATACCGTGATCGCATTGGTCACTGGAGGTGTTGCCAGTACATGTGTTGTCATTGGCAGGATATGGGGCGACATTTGGAGAATACGAAGACATGATAAGCAGCGCAGCATCACGGAAGCAGGTTGAGATGCTCAAGCGTGACCACTATCAACAGATCGAGGAGCAGCTTGATCGAGATGAAGTACAGACCGGCAGTTTCCCTGGATCCTTCTGATGATTTTTTATCCGCCGCTGGCACCTGGATCTTCTCCTACCAAGCAACAAATATGGAGAGCTGTCGGTGATCCCTTTCATGTGCCACGCGGGCCGTTTAGGCTGACCGTCCCCTCCGGAGCAGCTCCATGCTTGGGATTCGCCAACGGTACTTCGCGGATACTCTGCTTTAGACCTTTTGTTTGGGCAAAATTGTACACTTTCTCCCGCATGAGAAGTCTCGTCGTTCCCTCTGTGGATCCTCGAATGCTGCTAAAGCAACTGATAATATCCTGCCGTGGCGGAGCGTTGTTGGACAGATTGTGCCGCGTTTGGTGTAGGCAAAGATAGAGGTCTTAGTTTTGGACGGCGTACATAAGGTTCTCATTTTGTGGACCGACGGTCGGCAGTAAGGTTCTTGTCAAGACAGAGAAGAACTCAAAATGTAAGGAAAACAAACCATAGCAGGGTTGTCGTATCTGTGAAGAGCCCAAATAGGACCTCCATTCCCATAGACCGCCCATAGAATCAGGGCGAAAGGGACAGCAAGATAGGGATTTTTGTTATGAAATGAAATTAAGAAGCCCTGGGTTAAAACTTTGATATTGAGAAAGGACTGTCAACCGAACAGTCGCCCAAGCATTAATTACCCTGCAGTCTGTTGAAATTCCCTTTCCATTCCAACAGAAGGACTCGTTCGTTCATTCGTGACCGCAGTTTCATCCTTTCATGAATCACCATAACGAAAAAAACTCAATCGCTCGAACGCATCGCAGAGAGCCCCCGTCTATTTGGTCTATGTCTATATTCTATATCTATTTTCGTCTTTGCTGAATCGTGTGACAATGAATAATCCTAACATTCAAAGTCCCACATGTCCAATAATTTGTCCATACCATCCTGTTGTCCCGTGGCATCATCTTCGCTGTCCTCTGCGGCGGCAAAGATCTTTTTGGGAATCTTGTACTCCACCACCGGTGGCTTCTTCTCCTTCTTCTTGAATTCACTCTCGAGCAGTGTAGCATATCCGTGGTCGAGGAAGTCCTCAAGGTTGTACTGCTGTTTCGTGAACTGCTCGGAGATAATCCGCGCGATGCTCGCCACGGTAGGGTGGTAGTGCGACTGGCATGTCTCCAGCTCCCAGAGCGAGGAGTCGATGGCGTTGGTGAGTTGTGGGTTGGGCTCGTTCGGATCAAAGGGGTCATTGCCCAGGTTGTGCTTGAATTTGGTATAAGGAGGGTACGGATTACGGTGGATCATGAAAGTTGTGGTGGGATGCTGCTTGAGAAGGTTGTAGATGAAGGGAATGATGGCCACGATGGCAGATGGAGGGGCAAAGAGGCACAGACGCGAAAGCCGCTTGATGAAACTGGCAATTGTTGCTGCCGGCAAATGGTTGGTTGGAGATAGGAAAATGTCGAGATGACGCAGCACCCGGCTGCGGTATTTGCTGTGTAGAAGATCTCTGTCGAGAAGTGCGTACAGTCGAGGGTAGAAGGAGGGGTAGTCGAGGTTCTTTGTGGTGATGAGGTGAAACAGCCCTGTGAGAGCCGGCACTGCGAGGCCCAAGTCTCTCATGTCAAGACTGTCGGTGAAGAAGTCCATGAGAATTTCTGGACGGCGGAGGCTGTCGATGGCTTCGTGTGATTGAAGCTGCTTGAGCAATTGCTTACGCTGCGGTGTGGTCATGGGAGAAGCAATCTGAGCAGCGTAGGAGTCCATGGCTGTGGACGACGGCATGGTGAGCAAGCTGCGAAAGAGAAGCGAAGGTAAAGGAGAGAGCGATAGAGAGCAGTCGCCCTCACAAACAGAGATATGAATATCACCACCCCTCCGTGCTGAATGTGGCCGTTATCCTCACTCATGCGCCTTTGCGGCTCCCCTAGCCCCTCGCCTCGAAATAATTTTTGATGGCGCAGGTGCATGCCAAGCACTAGTCCGCATGGGGATTAGCGCCACTCAGACCTCAATTGCAAGCTCTCGTCGCCGGACCGCCAAACTTCTATCATCAGGAGCTTTCAGGTCGACTGTTCAGGCTACAAACACCACAACAATGGCGTCTAGACTGGCCAGGAGTGCTGCTGGTGAGTGTCCCAGACGTTCCGGAGCTCCTCGTAGACAAAAACAGATCTGACATTGAACTTCCAGGAGCCAGCAAACTCCGCGCATCGACTTCTTTCCCAATTCGCGCCCTCCCATCTCTCGCTGCCAGCACGCCCTTGACCTCCATCCGTCACCAGTCCTCCTCGAACGTGCCCTCGCAAGATCCAAAAAAGACAGCTCAGTCTATTGTCGACGCCCTCCCCGGGTCCTCCATCGCTAGCAAAACTGCCATTCTCTCCGCCGGCGCTGGAATCTCCATTTGGGCAATCAGCAATGAGCTCTACGTCGTGAACGAGGAGAGCGTCATCGCTTTCTGTCTGCTGTCCGTCTTCTACGGCATCTTCAAATACACAGGGCCCATGTACAAGGACTGGGCGGATGGTCAGGTGCAGAAAATCAAGGATTTGTTGAACGAGGCCAGGACGAGTCACGCCAGTGCCATTAAAGAACGAATCGAGGATGTCAAGCCCTTGAGCAACGTGGTTGAGATTACGAAGCAGCTGTTTGATGTTTCCAAGGTAAAGAATCCAACCACCAGACTCGCTCACTCAATACATTTATTGATGGTTCGTTTCTAGGAAACCGCGAAACTCGAAGCCCAGGCCTTCGAACTTGAGCAAAAAACCGCCCTGGCTGCCGAAGCCAAGAACGTCCTAGACAGCTGGGTCCGTTATGAGGGCCAGGTCAAGCAGCGGCAGCAGAAGGAATTAGCCGACAGCATCATCGCCAAGGTCACAAAAGAGCTCGAGAACCCCAAGGTGCTGCAGCAGATTTTGAACCAGTCGGTGGCGGATATTGAGAAGTTGGTAGCTAGCAAGAGCCAGTAGATGCAGGGAGGAGATTGATGGGGCCTTCTGCAAGAGAGGCCAGGTTGTTGAAGGAGAACACAATGAGAGGGATGCCCCGAGGGTGTGGACATTGCCAGACGTGCCTTGGAACGGGGACGCGGTGGAATGGCATTCAATGTTGTACATAAAATACCTCTCTTTAGAAGTCTCGAGAAAAAGAGCACGTCGATTTCACCCAATCTATCTTCGCTGTTGGCCCGCAGTTCCCAATTGATGCCTGGTGGGTAGCGTCAAACCACCAAATATTTTTCTGTGACTTCTCTGGCCATCTCTGGGTTCCCGCTCAAAGCGTACATCGTCTGGATAGCATATGCTGCTTCCATTGTAAAGTCCGCGCGGCTCGCGTCCTTGTCCTTTCCGCTCTCAGCAGAGGCGGCGGGCCTAGGCGCAGAGAAGTCAGTGGAAGGGAGTGCGAGCGCAAGCATTTTCTCGTACGCCCGCACAGCCAAATCCGACAGGCCCAACATGTGCCAGCACCTTGCACGATTGAACGCGATCTCCCGCTCAATCAGCAATTCCAGACAATCTTGATCTTCTGTGCCCACCCTCACCATTTCTGCGTCCTGCCTTTTTCGGGTCTGCTGTTCCTGGAGCCGCTTTCGCATCCACCGCCTCCGTGCATCGGCGTACTCCTCGAAGAACGCCCACCCCTGCAACAAAAACATTTGACGATTTTCGCTGTGCTTTTTGAGCGTCTCATGCATGTAGCTCAGCGCAATGCTGAGCAGCAACGCGGGGTTTTCGGGGCTCAGAGACAGCGCGCGAAAAAAGTACGACAACGCACTGGCAAACCCACCGCCAGCGTACAAGACATGCCCGTAGAGCGTCAGAAGGTCGACATTCATTTCCTTTGGTCTCATGATGTTTGGGTGCCCATAGTGCTGGCCCTGCACGCCCTTATGATGAGGGACAGGCGCCTCTCCATCATTGTCTCTGTTGTGGGAGGTATTCTCTGCACCACTCTGACGCATGAAGGCCGGTACTGGCCCATAGCCTTCTGGTTCATAATCGACTGGTAGTTCCGCATCCATCTGCACAATCTGTTTGAAGAGAACCTGCTGGATGCCGCGACTGCGCAGCACCGTACCCGGACGTGCAAAGACCAAACTTAAGGCAGCGAAGAGACGATAGGCCTCGGAGTTGAATTGGAATGTGCGCAGAAACCATCGCAACACCACGTTCACAAGGGTTCTTTCATCCTGTAGGGCAAGAGTGCAGGCAAGATATGTAACATAAATCTGCAGGAGAGCTTGTTGATCTTGATTCCAAACCACACAGTCCAAGGCAGCGTTGATAACCGGGTAGCAGCGATGAAATGCGTCTGCCTCGGGAGACTGGGCGAGGAGAAGAGCATATTCGAGGAAAACATCCAGCCAGCTTGTGAAGGCGATTTCACGATATTCAGTAGGCACGGACGACTCGATGGTAGGGATGGGAAAGTCTTGATCCACTTCAACACCATCTCTCCCGTTTTCGTGATCTCTCTCCCACCTCTGGCGCGAGTCGACATTGGCGACTTCCCCGTAAAAGCTGTCCAAAGCCTGATTGCGCTCTTTAGTGTAAAGGAGGCGGTTGCTTCGGAAATCCGTAATGAGGGAGTCAGCACAATCCATCCAGGTATTCCTTGCAACTTCGTCGCCAGCTCTCATGGCGTCTGTGTTATACACCAAGTCGGTATAGAGCCTGTTGATCGTTTCGGTGCGGCGACCTTCTCTTTCTTCTGCTGACATTCGTTTCGTCCTCGTCTTGAGTTGCGCTCGTGAACGGGGTGGTTGCCGATCTTTTCGCTTGCGTGCCACGTTCTGAGCTGTCTGTTTGGCGATTTCACAATCCAATGTTCCGTGCCCAGCTTGATCGAATTGGGGCCCTCCATAAAATTGATCATCTAGGGCCTCGTCGTATTCATTGTCCAGTTCGGCTTCTGTCTCCTCTTCTCTTTGGGTCATGTCTTCCGGTAGCGGTAATGCTGCCTTCCGGGTCCTGTAGGTCTTTGTCCTGATTCTCTGGAGCTTACTCTCGATACGATCAACTGGGGTACCACCAACAACCTCGCCAGGGAGATAAAATGCTTCTTTGAGAGCTTTCTCTGCTTCTTCGCGAGCCAGGCGCTGTTCCTTGCGCTCATATTTACGTCGGTCAGTCTTAGGAAGCAAGCTGTCAGCGACACGAACCGCTTCCCGAGCATTCTCCATTGCCTTTTCCTTGTCTCCGAAGTTCGCGTAGAGCCTCGAAAGCTGAGTTCGTGCCTCAACACACTTCTCATCTCCGGCCTTAGCCTCCTCGTAGCACTCGATTGCTTGGAGCTTGTCGCCGGACATATAAGAGCTGGCTGCGATACCTAACCAAAATTCGGTATGAGAATATGCGTTGGTGTCCTTGAGAGCTTCATAATAACGCAGTGCCTGATTGGGTTCTTTGGCTTCCTGCAAGGCTTGGGCAACCTCGAGGAACAAATCCGGGTAATCATACACACTTGCGCCTTCATCCTTGGCTTCTGGTTCAAGCCATTCAAAATGTGCCAATGCCTCGTCCAACGCATCTCCACCCTGCCTTAGACGAAGAACCCCTAGCCTGACTCTCAGTTCCAAGGGAAGTCCAGGGCCGTAGGCATCGGGAGAATATTTGTCAGGGACAAACTGAGGCACGAGAGCTCGTCGAGGTTCATCTTCTGAGTCGAACTCTCGATCATCATCAGTGAATTGATCCCAGTAGTCTTCTCCTTCTCTGCCCAGAAGCCACCGTGACAGTTGTTTCAAAGCTTTCAGCGCGTTCATAATAGCTAGGTCAGGGGGCTCCTCCAGGGCAAGGATTTGCACGTAGACCAGGATGTCAGCCCAGGTGAAAGACTCTTCGCCCTCAAACCCATTCTCCCGGTAATAACTTAGGGTGTTCTCATAGACTTGTTTTGCTCGTTCCAGATCTCTCGTTTCAATACATATCTCTGCGATCTGCCTCAAAACACTAGAATTGCGGGGCATACGCTCGAGGATGGCCTCCAGGTCCTTCAGAGCTTTCGTGTAGTTTGAGAGCTCCCTACTGACCGCAGCTCGTTGAAAGCGGGCTTCCAAATGCTCCCGGTCCGTGTGGATAATTCGAGCATAGCAGTAACTAGCTTGTTGCAAGGCAGTCTCTCGGTTTCCCTTTGATCTCTCAAGACACGCATTGGCCGCTTGAATCCATACTTCTGGATCTGTTGGTATGGTGTGAGCACCGCTAAAAAGTGCCGCGATTGCCTTATCATCTTCGTCTCGAGAAAAGTATATCTCGGAGAGCAGGGCGTGAGCTGAATAAATTTCTGGATTGACTGCGATAGCCTGCAAAACCAATTCAAGTGCTTTCTCGGTATCTCGATCGTCGATGAAGGCAGTCGCCGCCTGGCCGTAGAGGTCATTGAATTCAGGCCCTGGATCGAGGGTTGGTCGAGGGCCAATTTTCAAGCCTTTACTCCAGCCACCCCGAGGCCCTGTGCCCTTCTTTCGTCGCTTCCTGGGTTGACTGGATGACACCTCCAACTTTGGGCGGCCTCGCTTCCTTGGTTTGGTGGCTAGGACGCCGCCGTTTTCAACAGGTTCTAGGGACGACCCTGGGACTCCGTGATCGTCAACAGAGGTGTCACTGTCTTCTTCAGCCGGTGCCGCCTCCAGCATCGACAGTTGCTCTTTATTCTGACTTGAGCCTTGGTTACGGCCGGTGTGGAAGTGGAGTACCTCGGCGGTGAACGGTATGTATCCCGTAGGATTATCCTCAGCTGCACTGGGGAGGAACGGGGACGCATTTTGTAGCTGGGTCAATGGCTGTTGAGGATAAAAGGGAGGATCCAGCACATATGATTCAGACGCGAGGAGTGGTCGAGAGAATGCAAAGCTGTAATTTGATGGCGGCGCTGGATGCTGCATTAACGATGTATGGTCGTGGAAAACCACTCGTCTTGCAGATAAGGTCTGGTGCAAGGACGCTGAGCTTGGCAGTGAGGGCTGTGGCGGCAATCCTCGAAGAGTTCTCGCAAGGCTAGGAACGTAGCCATCAAACGCGACCGGCACCGGTCCATGTGATGCGACTGGAGGGTTCTCGGCCATGGAGACAAATCGCGGCGCGGTGGAAGAGCCATCGCCTGCCGGATGTGATGCTTCCTGCGAGCTGAAGTTGTTCATCTCGCATGGCCAACTATCAACTGCCATCAGCCTTGTGTGGATCGGGAGACACGTAGGTTCGTTTGGTGGTGTTCAGATTTGTGCTAACTTTTTTACGGCAGTAAAGCCAGTAACCCCGATGGCCACCCAGCTTCATTTAACCTATTCGGGCAATTCTCTCCGAGGTCGGCCACTGCCAGGCGAACAAGGATGGATTAGGCATCTCGTAGAGAGCCATGAAGGCACTAGGGAGGGGCACCAGGGGTTGCTTCTGCTATTACTGCTGCTACCACCATAACCAGGGAGGGGTTTGTTTGTCATGATTTCCACATTCGGTTCATCGAATTGATCTGCAACAACATACCACCAAGACGGCACCAGGTTCGCAGGGACGGCCCAAAGGCTCCAACACATTTCGCCAGGATATAACGATAGTCCATGTCTTATCCAAAATAGCCGTATCTATACGAAAAGTGGCCGGGTGTGATCCCGGATGGTGCTCTGGCCCTCTCTCTTCTGCATATCCGATGGCTTCTCGCCGGCCCCTCTTCAGCAATATCATCATAGCTATGCGAACCCCACCTCAGACTGCTCACTTGAAAAATAACATTCTCCCCACACCCGGCATATTGATATCTTCTACTTCCTGACGATTCCGTCACTCCTCTGCATTCTTACTTTTAAACTGCGACCTTTGTTGAAATCAACTTTTTCCAACCAAATCCATCAAGATGTCTGCTGATACTGTTGGAAAGGTGACGTTCAATGCCCCTGGACATCCCATTCACGTGCTGACTCTGCGAACGGCCAGACCATTACTTGCAAGGTAAACAATGACCTCCTATTGCCCCCCAGCCGCTGACAACACCTGACTCTGTGCAGGCTGCCGTTGCCTGGGAGGCCGGCAAGGACCTTTCGATTGAGGATATCGAGGTTGCTCCTCCTAAAGCCCACGAAGTCCGCATCCAGATTTACTACACCGGAGTCTGTCACACGGGTATGCTGAACCTGCTGCGGGTAAGAATCGGGAACTGAAAGAGGAGCTAGATGCATATACGCTTTCCGGGAAGGACCCCGAGGGGGCATTCCCTATCGTTCTGGGACACGAGGGAGCTGGGATCGTGGAATCGGTGGGTGAGGGCGTCACCTCCGTAAAGCCTGGAGACCACGTTGTTGCACTCTAGTATGTCTAGCCCCTCCTCTGCACAGGTTGAGAACCAAATTGACGTTGGCAAGCACCCCGGAATGCAAGGAATGCAAATTTTGCATATCTGGCAAGACCAATTTGTGCGGGAAGATCCGAGCTACCCAGGGCAAAGGTGTGATGCCAGATGGCACCTCAAGGTTCAAGTGCAAAGGCAAAGATCTTCTGCACTTCATGGGCACGTCGACTTTCTCCCAGTACACCGTCGTCGCCGATATTTCCGTCGTGGCCATTACCGACAAGGCTCCCATGGATCGCACATGCTTACTTGGCTGCGGCATTACCACCGGCTACGGGGCAGCAGTGATTACGGCCAACGTGGAGCAAGGCTCCAACATCGCTGTTTTCGGCGCCGGCTGTGTTGGTCTTTCGGTCATCCAAGGTGCCGTGAAGAACAAGGCGGGCAAGATCATCGTGGTGGACGTCAACGACAAGAAGAAAGAATGGGCCGAAAAGTTTGGTGCGACAGACTTTGTCAACCCTACCCAGTTGAATGGCCAGACTATCCAAGACAAATTGATTGAGATGACGGATGGTGGATGCGACTACACCTTTGACTGCACTGGCAACGTCCAGGTCATGAGGGCTGCTCTTGAAGCATGCCACAAAGGCTGGGGCCAGTCCATCATCATCGGCGTTGCCCCTGCCGGCGCTGAAATCTCCACTAGACCCTTCCAATTGGTCACTGTAAGTTCTCGCTGTTCCACGCGTGCTCAAAACGCTACCGGTTCCGGCCTCAACAGACTGACAACCTTGTGCAGGGCCGTGTGTGGCGAGGCTGTGCTTTTGGCGGTGTGAAAGGTCGTTCTCAGCTCCCAGGACTCGTTAAAGATTACATGGATGGCAAGCTCAAGGTCAAGTAAGTATCTGGTGCTCATCTGTCCCCGCGCCTCTATTCGTTTCTGACTGTTTGCAAAGCGAGTTCATCACGCATCGCCAGCCTCTTGACAAGATCAACGATGCATTCCATGACATGCATGCCGGCGACTGCATCCGATGCGTGGTTGATATGGGCGCGAAACAAGAATGACCACACTCGGGGGAAAGCAAGCTATGAACTATGATAAGATTTCAGACCGTGGACTCCGTGTCGCAGTGCCGATGGCGGGAAAGAGACGTTAAGTATTGATGGCGTCGGAGGAAAAGAAAATACCTTCTCATGTATCGAGTATCGAACATAACAGACCGCCCTCTTTTAAGGGGAGATTCAAATCAAGCCTAGCATTGCTGCTTCGACCTTTGCTCCGAGCTACCACCACCAATAGCGCTCCTTTGAAGGGTGTGTAGGTCTAAAGTTATTCTCTCATGGTTGTTCAGATCTGCAGGACCGTGTTTGTGCAAAGACTTACTACTTCACCAGTGCCATGTTACATCCTCGAGATTATTGGGCACGAGCACGTCCTCTCGCGTTCATTTCCCCACGCAGTGTTTCCTGCAAACCGTGAGAAGGAAGATTCCTGCGCCACCGGAGCACAGAACAACCTGCCACAGTGACTGCAAGCCCCATGGTAAGACTTCCCGCTTCCGAGGCGGCTGATTGATTGCCACACCGGACCGACCTGCATCTTGCGCTTGGACTTCGGCAATTGGGAAAATTTGTGTCAACGGCAGATCGAAACAAAAAAAGCACGCAAGGCACCGAGTAAAGTACGTAGTTCAGCCCCTCCTTTGGGCGCGTGCCGACCTCAGCATCTCTCACTTTTGAATGCTGCTGTGATGAACCTAGGTCAAGGGATAAAACGTCTGCTTGTTATCTCGAGGTCATGCAATCATCTGGGGGAAGATGAAAGTGTGTGTGACAGAAAATACCTCGTACCCTCCTTGCTTAGTACTACTGTGAGACAAGCACACGTGGCAGTGGTGGGCAGTGGTAGCAGAGCCTTTCTCATCCCTTTGAAAAAGGGTCGTAACGGCACGACATGTCAAGGTCCTCTCAGATTGGTCGTCAAAGGGCGCTGAGGCAATAATTATCATCGGTAAATTAACGCCAGCAGGGGGGCTTAATTGAGCGGTTGTGCAGGCGCCCCCGGCTCCCCGGAACTCGTCAGTGGTGCTAAGATCGGAGCCTGTCAATGCCGAATTCATGGCCGTAGCCCTGGCTATTTGGTGGTCGTTGTAAGGCTACTAGGCCTCCATTCACCATTTGTTATTGGTAAACGTGGCGCTGAGTTCCACCAGCAGCTGGCCCCTGAGGCGATCAATATTCGGCGGTCTGCGATGTGCATGAGACGTGGAAGCTTGGAACGAGTTCTGGAGCATCGGGTTAGGCTAGTCTATAGCGCAAGTTGTTTCACCAGTCTTTTCATCAGGGAACTCGCATTTCTTTGACCTCGTCCTAATTCTTCTTCGGTTTGAACCACCTTCTGTTGATTGTGGTCGTGTACCTATCTTGGACTCGACGCAACATCTCAGTATCTGCTTTTGAAGCCACATCCTCTCCCTATCCGTTGACATGGCTCAATAGCAGCGACCCCTTCTGAAAACTTGGCGTTGGTCCAATGCCACCATCACTTTGACTAGCCGTTACTTTTTCCAAATCTCGCGGCATTCCCAAATCCTCATATAATTTTAGAGCAGTGTCCGCCTTCCGGCAGAGACGTCCCTTCAAGATGTGTCACGTTCCCGACGGTCAGGTCACAACGCCGCTGTTGGACAAAGAACTAGCCCAGCCGATGAATGTGGGATCAGACAATGGAACTCAGGATCCAAGTCGTAGTATAGCTTTGGATTTCCCCATGCGTTCGTCCGCCTTACATCTGCATCAGGATGACTTCTGATAATCAGCAGCAAACTGGACGAGGGCAAAACCGTACAGCAGCAAGCGGCTTCTGCCTCAAACCATTGCACACAGAGGATTCAAAGCCGAACACCCTGAAAATACCCTGAACGCTTTCAAGGGGGCCGTGGAAGTTGGAGCCCATGCCCTCGAGACTGACATCCACTTGTCCAAGGACAGTGTGGTTGTACTATCTCACGACCCCGACCTGAAACGGTGCTTTGGAAAGAAAGAAAAAATCATAGACTGTGACTGGGACTATCTGAGTACCATCCGCACCACCAAGGCCCCTCACGTACCCATGCCGCGTCTCCGAGATCTACTGGAATACGTTGCGCAACCGGGCCTGGAAAATGTTTGGCTGCTCCTCGATATCAAACTCGACAACAATTCAGACGACGTGATGAGACTAATAGCGAAGACGCTGGCCTCGGTCGACCCTGGTCAACGGGCCTGGGAGGAGAGGGTCGTGCTCGGTATCTGGGCGGCCAAATTCCTGCCTTTATGCATGAAATATTGTCCAGGTTACCCGATATCACATATTGGATTCTCGACCATTTACGCCAGGCAGTTCTTGAAGGTGCCGAATGTGTCGTTCAATATGCTGCAGAAGAGCCTCTTCGGTCCTTTGGGCGCTCGGTTCATCCGAGACGTTCACAGAGCCAAACGCCCACTCTATGCTTGGACGTAAGTCCTCCTCCTTCAGCAAGTCCCATGTGTGATGTTTCAGGGTTGGTGCATTAGCTACAACCCCCAGGCCGAGACTTCTCACGAGGACGTACACTGAAGAGCGACACTAACGTGATGGTGAAAATAGTGTTAATGACTCGAACCTCATGAAATGGTGCATTCAAAACAATCTCGATGGTGTCATTACAGACGACCCTAAAACATTCAAGAAGATTTGCGACGAATGGGACGACGAAAAGGAACCAGTAGCCAAAATGACTTGGGGCCAGTGTCTCTACACGCTGTGGGTTTGGATCATGATCGCAGTTTTTTCTAGGTTCTTCAGGCGCAAATTCCCAGAGACGGTGGAGCATTTTATCCAACAGAACAACTTGAGAGTGAAGGCGGTCGAAACCATGGAGGAGTGATGGCATAAAATGAGAAGGAAACCAATCCCCCGGGCAATGTGACATGGTAGACACAAAAGCGAGACGGGACCTCAGCCCATCTCGAACAGTTGAAGGTTTTTGTGTGTGAAGGATATCTCGAGTCGCCCGTGAATCGTGCCAAGAGATCCAGGTCTTAAGTGGCTTAGTGCAAAAGGCCTAGGTCCGACACAGCTGGCGGCGTTCTTCCGGGCAGGACTTGCAGGATTGTGCCCATGGCCTTTATACGTCTTATTTCTGGGAACGGGTGCTCTCAGTTTGAGCCATAAGTCTCAGAGAAGGCCACCGCGGGTCAATGCAAGCCTGCCTGTCAACGGCTTCACGGATATGTGGTAAGATCGGAATCCTTTTCGCACCTTAGAGCCATGGTCGGGAGAGAGCTCGATTGGCGGCGACATGCGAGTTGCACGTGGGCAACAGCACCGGGTAGCCCAGAGGACAAGCTCAACCAGAAATCCTGAGCACATCCGTATATCCCCGGCGCGCTTTTTGGCTATAATTAACATTACCAAATGCTTTCGTACGCTACAGGCATGTCTTGAGACCAGCTGTCTGAGGGGTGCTGTCCCGCAGAGGCGCTACACTGCTCAAAATGGCCGTCTGACTGCTCTTCAGCGACAGATATCAACGAGCAATTGAGAGGCTCGGATATTCTGGAACAGGCCTCTTTTGCCTCTACTAAACACAAGGTCTTCGACAAGCAAAGCACGACCCTGTGTTTCCGACCCACGTCCAAGCAGTGGGCCTTTTCGATGGCCGAGTCCTTTGAATACTCTGTCCCTCATGGGGGAGAAGGTATCCGGCTTGATATTGGTCTACAACGCTGTTTTCTACACGGCATTCTACGATGAGGCTGATTAAATAACGGTCCGCATGGAGTTTGATGCGCGATTGGCTGTGTTGCACGCGGTCGGATCATGGACAGGAATTTCGATCGCATCGGATGTACATTGTCTCCTCCTTGAAATCCTAGCTGAGGTACCGACCTTTGTCACTTTACGATCGAGCCAGCCAGGATCCAAAGCATCTGGCCTGCGTTTTACGTCGGGATTGCAGCAATCCTTGGTTGTGGCTGGGCTCTCTAATAACGTGCTAGCCTCGCCGTGACCCTGGTATTACAATTCATCATCGAGCTGTGTGCCACCGAGTCCTTTTACATCCTCGATAAGCTGCTTGTCAACTTACACATCCAGCCCGCCCATCTACCGCGACCGCGGCTTACAACCTCATCAGATGCTTGTTGAGCGCTGAACGCACTGGTGTCACCGCAACCATGATCAAGGGCATGGGTCGTGGGTAGTGCCTCGCCTGTATTGCATTGATATGCCTGGTGACGAGTCCGATGCTGTGGGCCGTGACAGAACTGGGTCCTGCATGGCGGGAGAAGACATACGTGAAGGGAGTCGAGGAGGAGGCAATGCATGGCGGGAGAAGACATACGTGAAGGGAGTCGAGGAGGAGGCAATGTAAACGTGAATGTGGAATGCAGGCAAAGCTGATGTAAGAGACACAAGCAGAGGTGGAGGCATTGAAGGATTTTTGATACTGAGCAAAGAAATTGGGCGACAGGACATCAAGCAGAGATACAAAGAGAGGGTCAAGGCCAATTTTCGTCCGCTCGTGGGATTGCACAAGTATTCGGGGGCATTTGATGGCTTTTTCTCCGATTGATTGACTCTAAATACGGCCGAATTTCTCTATCATATTGAGTGCACATTTGCGACGATCCGACTCGGAAAATGAATTCGGTCGAAGATATTCTATGGAAATGCCACTGTAATTGATTGTATTAAGGTGCAAGGAGAATGCTAACCTATTCAAGTTATGTAGTTCTCCACTAATTAGCCTATCCGGTAACGGCAATGGCTAGCCCATGACCAAGGCGAGGTCTTGGCGTTGGGGGTTGAACTTAACCCCTATTGATAATGCCTTTACCTTACACGTACGTCGACCTCGAGCTTTAGGAATACCCGCTAGAGGAATTTGAGCACAGTAGAGGAAAAATCGTTCCAGAGCTTGGTGACTCCAGCGCTATTCAGCAGCTCTCCCAGTCAAAGGCCTTCTCCCAAGCATGCCCAACACGGAGGACTTTATCGTCTCGCCACAAACCGCTCACAATTTGCATGCCTACAGGCAACATAACATTGCTGTCGTCCTCTGCACCAATTTTTCCGATAGGGATCGACATGGCAGGATGGCCAGTAGCATTGAACTGCACCGTGTTGGCCGTCAGCCCAAGAGTGGGCGCGATTTGTTCGATTGGCGGCGTTGTCCGGCTCCCATGCTTTCTGGCCACGAAGGAGGTTGTTGGAAGGATCAAAACGTCGTAACTTTGCAAGGCCGCTTCGTAGTCCTCTCTCAGCTTTCGGATGAGGTTCAGCGCCTTGCAATAAAGATCAGGACTGTGCTCCAAAAGATAAAGGCCATTCAAGAGGATGTTCTGCGTGGTGGCGAAGCTCTTGTCAAACTTGGCCTGGTCCCAATGGCATTTGGCTTTCTCTAGGCCGGGCAGTCCAACCCCTCGGCGACCATGGGCGCAACCCAGCAAGGTGAGACATCCTGAGAAGCGTTGTTGGATCGTCCAAATGGCATTGCCTGTTGGATGGAAAGGAATCGAAACCTCTTCGACGTGAGCACCCAGTTCTTTGAACTTGTTTGCTGCCGCCATTACTTTGTCCCGGACGTTGAGGTTGAGCAATGGCATTCCGAAGGCTTCTTGGAGAATGCCGATTCGCATGCCTTGAACGCCGAGTGACTCGCAAGCTTTCAGGTCTACAGCAAACTTTACCTTGTTTGGTGGCGGTGCGCCGCACTGCCGGTCGTCCAGGCCATCGTATCCAGCGGTCGCTTCCAAGCACTGTGCCACCTCCAACACAGTCCTTGCGAGGATGCCTGCGTGATCGTCGACTGCGTCATTGCTCGCGATTCCTGTATAGGGAATGAGTCCAAAGGTAGGTTTAAGCCCGACTAGTCCACAGAGCGATGCAGGGACTCGTACACTTCCCCCTTGATCGGCACCGAGGCCGATGTCAACGAGGCCAGCTCCGACGAGCGCGGCTGCCCCCGATGTGCTTCCTCCGGCAGAATAGCCATATGCTTTCGACCCTGGTTAGCAGCATACCATGAAGACATTGAGATGTCTCTTACCACGAGGGTTTTCGATAACGCCTTGGGCACTGGAGTTGGAACTGGTACTTTGACATAAATTCTCTGACTGCGCCGTGCCGACTATCTCCCCCCCTGCGTCGAGAACACGTGCTAAAAGTTTAGTGAGCAGTTAGCCGGTTGAGCGCACACGGAATCTACGTTGGGGAGAGTCTGACTCACTTACAATAGTAGCATCGCTAACGGGTACCCAAGGGTCAAAAACATCTGTGCCCATGACCTGCGGAATTTCTGGTATGGTCAGAAAGCCACCGGTTAATTACCGAACAACTCACCTGCTACTGCAATGCAGTCCTTCAAACAAATAGTCTTGCCTCGGAGAAGACTATTACACTCGAGCGTGTCCTTGATTGAGAATGTGTAGGACCATGCATGTCCCAACACGTTTTCCTCGAGGCTGGGTCGTTTGATGTTCAAGCGGGGAAACCGGTGGTAGTCGACACCAGGTTGGTAATCTGGCAAGCTTTCCACGACTTCCATACACCCATGGAATACTTGCAGCAATTTCGTGAAGTCGGATTCATCTGAGGTAGAGGGTTGTACGTCTATTTTCTCCAGCACCTTTCGAACATCTCTATTTGTGACTGGGTTGTCGCTAAACGCTGTCAGTATCCTATTCATACCTCTATTAATTCTCGTGGTGGGCAAAAATCTGACCTTGATATTGCCGTGAATAGAACCGACATCTTGGTAAGAACGAATGTAAAGCCGACGTCGATTTCTTCGAGCCCAGCTTGTCTCCTTCGATGAGCACAACTGCAGATATTGACGCTTTAGACCGACCAGGCAAAAGTGTCTTCAAACAACATATCAATAGAGGGATCTCCGTCATGTGGCACGATCGAAGATACAGGCGGGTCAAACATCGGCTTTCATCGCTATTGCTAATCGGCATTATACTCATCCTGAAATGCGCTCTTGGCCGCGGGCATCTGCCGTTTGCTCGATCGGATTCGAAGCTATGGGCCGCTACCACGCGCAAATCACAACAGACTTACTATAGAGGTGGATCACGGCAAAGGTCCGATATCTAACATTCTCCTACAAAAGAAGTAGGAGAAGTGTAACCAAAATTTGGACCCCAAATTCCTTATCGTACAGGCGCATATTCAATGAGTAGGAGAAGTGCTATCAAAGTCCTGGAAATAACATTCCTTATCGCAAGCTCATTTCTTGACCAATTCCCCGTTTGAGCCTATTCCAAGCTTTGGTGCAAGGACGCGGAGCAAATAAGGCTGCCTCTCGGGTGTCAAATAAGCCCTAACTGGGTAGAGTTGACATTATGGCTAGCTGTCGTATATATAGTTCTCTACGAACTAGACGGATAGAGGCCCCAAAGATATCTGTTTCCTTGCTACTGCTGCTGAATATCAATCTCAAACATGTCGGCATCCAAAGTCTTCCAGTGGAACGACCACGATGACTTCCCTCGCGACTTCAAAGGCTACGGTGAGCAGTCTTTCGACCCACAGTGGCCGAACAATGGGAAGATCGCCGTCTCTTTTGTGATCAACTATGAAGAAGTGAGCGACGATATGCTGCTGGGAAGAAAACGCTGCTAAGTTTGCCCAGGGGGCTGAAAATTCTGTGCTTTTGGGGGATCCAGGCTCGGAATGTCACCTCTGGGAGGTGGGTTCTCCAAACATCCATGCCCGATTCCAGGTCAGTGACAATATCAGGGTGTGGGCAACACTCCGCATATTGGCGAGCGTGCGGTCAACATTGAGTCCGAATATGAGTACGGCTCTCGCGTCGGAGTTTGGCGACTTTTCCGCCTTTTCAACAAGTACAACTTTAAATACACCTTGTATGCAGTGGGCAAGGCCATTGAAGAGAATCCAGAAGTTGCGATATCATCGGTGAGAAATGGCCATGATGTTGCTTCGCACGCCTACAGGTGAGTTTTTCTCCAGTCTGAAGAATTGTGACTGACAGGTGCACAGGTGGATTGACTACCACCACGTCTCTCGGGAGGCTGAGAAGGCGTACATCAAGAAAGGCATCGAGGTGATCCGCGACATATGTGGAAAACCACCATCAGGATGGTACTATGGTCGGCTGTCGCCGCGCTCGCGTGCTCTGGTCTGGGACGTCTACCAGGAGATGGGTATTCCCTTGCTCTGGCAGTCGGACACATATGCCGACGATGTCCCATACTGGGTCGATGTTCCTGCCGAGGTTAGCAGCCTTGATCCCAAGGGAATGCTTATGATTCCCTACTCTTATGACTGCAATGGTCTGTGATCCTCCCCTTCCCCCCTTCATGAGTTTCCGATTCCCTGTCGGCCCGTAAAAGCTTCCGAGCTTATCGATGGCAGACTACAAATTTACGACACCAACGGGTTTCAGCGGCAACAGCGACTTCTACGATCACATCAAAAGCGCCTTCGATGTTTTATACGACGAGGCATCATCAGGCCTTGGAGGTAAAATGATGACAATTGGTCTGCACTGCCGATGCGTCGGCAAGCCTGGCAGGATGACTCCCCTAATCAAATTTGTTGAGTACATCGCCGCCAAGCAGGGAGTTTGGGTAGCTACACGAACGCAAATTGCGGAACACTTCAGAGAGAAATTCCCGTACCAGAAGGGCAAGCTAGCAGAACCAAAGAGTGGCTGATATCATTGGTCGAGAGGCAACATACATAGCACAACAAGACAACATCAGACAACTCCGGAGTCGGACCGTGATGTAGTTATCAAGTATTGAGACGGAATCCCATGACTTTACAGCAGCCAAGAAGACCCAAACGTGGCTTACCAACGTTTTATCATTCACAAGTCCTTGAAATCGATATTCGGAAACCCTGCGAGAGTGAACTCCAGCAAGTGCTCTTGCAGAATCTGCTCTTTTATTGCCTCCAATTCTTCCACGTCCCAGTTCACCCATACCGTTATGACATTCAGAGAGTTCGCTTCTGGGCTAGCCACCCAGACGGCGAAGCTGCCTGCCAAATCCTTTACCAGGAACCGGTCCGAACCAGCAGCCCTTTTTTGCTTCTTTAGTCAAAGGAGAGGTGTGACAAGAACTTGGAATTACCTTCGTCAAATGGACCAGACATGTTGGCCGATTTCCTTCTCATAACCGTGTCATACACTCCCGGGTGAACACTGATGGTCCTGAGGTTTGGGACTTCGTGTTGTAACGCTTCCAATCACAAGGTGCCATTAGCTGGGGCCGGATCCTCTTATGCATACAACGCTTCCAAAGCGACCGCGAAGTACTACCGACCGCGACCTTGATCGAAGAGAACATGCTTAGGAGACCCGCCAAGTCTGTCACATGAGCCTAAAGATGTAGACTGTTGACCGACTCCTGAGCCTGTCGATGCTCGACTTGACCTCATGCAAGCTCGACAAGGTCTGGCCAAACATGATGATGTTGTCCGCGTTGGCTCGCGCAAAAGCCAGAGCTGCAAACATGCCTATTCAAGTACCTCCACCTGAGATGAGGACAGTCTTCCTGGCTGCAGATATGCTTCCATTTTTGGGATCAATGGCTGCATATGACTTGGGGTGGAAAGTTGAACTAAAGATGGAATTTCGCCATGAGGATTGATAAGCAAGGGCAGCAGTGTCTTCAGCGGTATCTTTGTGTTTCTCGCCATACCTATATATGATAGACCTAGTACTTGTAGGACAGCGAACTAGACAACAAAGCTTCGGCTGTGGAGCCAAATATGCAATCATACTGCGAAATCGCTGAATCAAGGCTGGAAGCGACCCGAAGTGGGCAAGCAACAACTTGCCCGCGGAACGTCCCTTATCATCACAGGTCTCGCAGCAGGTATCATCAGATGGGAACGATGTCATTAAGGATAGAATCTAGAGCGAAGAGAAAGAGGGATAAGTTCACCACCTTTAGTCACGTCGTGGCCAATACCCGACAGGACCCCCGTCATCCTCAGCCTTCCCATTATCCCTGAATAGGCGTCGTTATACGAAATCTTATCTGTTTACTACTCCCTACCAGCCGTCTTCGACAATGGGTCAACAACGCCCCGACTTTCCGAAGCTCAAAGCATCAAGATTAGCATCGGAGGAACCGAACGACCGCCCACTCCCTGCAATAATTGATATCCCTCTTCTTATTAACTGCCCTGCACATGTTCTAAACCTGATTCAGCGATATATGAGCCGTATTATAAACCCTTGCAGTTCCCTACGCGACCTCAGACTGAGCCTGCACCGACCTCCCCTCCAGTCTTTCACCCGCGTGCTTTTCTGCGCCAGCGTCTCGGTGAAGGTGCATTCAGCCTTGTTCATCAACTGGGGCAGGAAGTGCATGCTCCTGCTCCATGTACTCGTGGAGTATATGGTTTGGTGCCACGACGTGCTCCTCATTGAAGTACATTGTGTTCTCAATGTGGAAAATCCCCCTGTGGTGGGCAATCTTGGAAGCAGCGGTGTAAAAAGCAAAGATACCGCCGGCGTCCTTGATGTGAGGGATCTTGATAGAATCGAGGCCGAATCAGTGCGCCTCTCCGGCAGCAAGGACCTCTGTAGATACCTGCATGATGTGCAAGCATGATGAAGCCCCTGCTGATAGTACTTCCTGCTATACTGCCACAGGTGTCGAAGATTATCGGTCATGTCGGGAAATTGCTGCTCAATCGTGGGAGTCCTACCGTAGCCGCCCAGTTCAATATGAACAGGAAAAGGACGGCAACGAATTTTTTACCCGTCCAGTCGAGGAGCTGAACCACAGTCGGCGGATTGCTTCAGTTCCAATTTCTGGTCTGAACCTGTATTGCGCACGCCTGTCAGCGTGGATGGCTCGAGGCAGGGAACGATGGCTTTACGATCTCCCAGATTCAAGCTGCCCACAGTGGAAGAGACACAAATGTAAGACCGCTCAGCATCCGAACTCGCCGAGTCATTCTCTTCTCGTCGAGGATCCATTGCAGGAGCAGGCCGAATGGGATTTGTAGGATCACCATGATGAAGGAGAGCAAAGATCAGGTGCGCAAATTATTGCTAAATGCATTCTGATTGCAATCACCAGTGATGAATGGAGAGCCATCGGTGTTCAGCGGAGTTACTTAAGACGGAGCCGAGATAGACTAGAAAGCTTTCGGCGACAAGCAACCCGGGGACAAAAGAAGTTTTTAGCCCTTGAACGCCCTTCTTGGGTTATCTTCGGAAGGGGGTTCCCGGGCGTAGAGGTCTGAAGCACTCACAAGTTGGCAAGAATCTCTTCCTTAGCGGACCTAGGCGCTGCAACGGCTACTTTGGAACCATCATCTGGAGTAAGCTTCTTTCGGAGAAGCAGAAAGAGATTCAGTGTGGCAGCAAGGCCCATCAAGACCTCAGAGACGACGTAGACCACAGTAGGGACTCTTGAATATATCCGTCAATATCCCTTCAGACATCGTGAGGACTGGAAGAATCCATATCAGCAGAATATTTGGGCGTCTTTGTTCGAGAGGCCTGGAATGATGCCACCAATCACGGAGCCTAGTGCTTGCAGGTTGAGGATATCGTTGCGTAAAAGCCCTTTTCCTTCTCCTTAGGATACCTAAGGCAGTTGGAATAGTTCTCCGGCCCCAATTTGTAAGAGCACAGCCTTACGCAAACAGGATGTGATCGGCCGTGACAGAGACAATGCCAGCACCTATACCGATCAAGACATCCCCGAGGAGGGGGAACGCTATTCCACCGTGGGGATCAGAGTTCAACGGAGTTTAGATGTAGAGCGCAGCTTCCTCTCAGCACTCAATACCTTGATTCGAAATGGAGAGTAACTCTACCATATACTCAACGATGTCCAAAGACATGGTATACGCTGGACCCAGCTTGTTGAGTATGGTACCGCTAAATGCACTGTCAATTATTACCACAGAGCAGAAAGTTGCATTGACTGTCTCTACAACACTCGCAGAGTCTGGCTGGCCATCTCCTGCGCCCAAAAGATTCAAGGCGTCTGTACTTTCTCATGTGCCGGAGGAGGGCTCTGGAATCGCATAATTGGGGTTAGGAACAGCATTGACTAGTGTCGTTCAACTGGGTTGACGAGGGAAATCACTCAGTAGGGAAGAGGTGGGTTGGCCGGGCAAAAGCAAAGACGACAGAGGAATTGGCTAAATAGTATGTCGCGACTTGAACTGTCGAGAACCCGGGCATCATATCATAGGCCTACTTCGAGGTCCCTACCTTGGTCCGAGAAGCTCGAGGACTACATAGGACGAAATAGAGTGAAGCCATAAGTCATAATCCCCGACCCTGTAACTGCAGACGATTGCGGTCGTATTCGTGTTTCTGAGACGACAAGGCGGGGAAAATGGATAGTCATATGGAAGTGACACGTATCGCGTAGTGGTCAGCAACGAGAGGTGCGATACACAATACAGCTGTCATTGACCTTCTCCAACCATCCAAATGAAGCAAGAATGGCAATAATGGATGTGTGACGGTAATCGCCGGAATTCCTTCATCATATTATGGCGCATGCACAGTTGAATGTGTTAGCTCCGTCGACTTTTGGACAGCCTAAATATTCCGACTGTTAGATACATCTCCCGTTGACCAGGTTCAGGCTACTAGGCCCAGAAGGAAAAGAGCCGCGAGATCTTGGGAAACGAGCAGGCGAGATTCTGGTCGACTGCTGACACTGGATTCCTGTCTGGAGCCCAAGGAGAGATCGGTTCTCGAAGGGAGACAGGAGAGTCCTGCATGGGTCGAAGGGTCAAGGTGAGCGAAGTTGGAGTGTGAAGCTGGAGGCGAGTAGGTGTGATTTTAAAAGCAGCGCCAGGCCGAATCCCCAAACCCCCACATCCGGTGACGCGTGAATTTCACGCGTTAACGTCCAAATTGTTATTTTCCGTCCTCACTGCCAAACCTCTGCCTCCCTGCTGGACAAGTCGTGTCATAATGCCTCGCGAGATCATCACAATCCAGGCAGGCCAGTGCGGGAATGCTATCGGGTCTCGTTTCTGGCAACAATTATGTCAAGAACATGGGATTTCTCGTGATGGAAACCTCGAAGACTTCGCTACCGAAGGCGGTGACCGCAAAGATGTCTTCTTCTACCAGAGCGACGACACGCGCTACATTCCCCGAGCCATTCTCATCGACCTCGAGCCGCGAGTCATCAACAGCATTCAAAGCGGCCCTTACAAGAACATTTACAACCCCGAGAATTTCTTTATTGGCGAACATGGCATGGGCGCAGGGAACAATTGGGCGGCAGGATACGCCGCGGGCGAGAGGGTCCAAGAAGAGATTTTTGATATGATTGATCGAGAGGCCGACGGCAGTGACTCGCTTGAGGGATTCATGCTCCTCCATTCTATTGCTGGCGGCACTGGATCGGGCCTGGGATCGTACCTGCTCGAGCGCATGAATGATCGGTTTCCCAAGAAGATCATCCAGACATACTCGGTTTTTCCAGATACTGCGACTGGTGATGTAGTGGTAAATCCCTACAACAGCCTGCTCACCATGCGGCGGTTGACACAGAACGCTGATTGTGTCGTGGTTCTGGATAACGGCGCGTTATCGAGTATTGCTTCCGAACGACTTCACGTTCAAGAGCCCTCTTTTCAACAAACAAACCAATTGGTCTCGACGGTCATGTCGGCTTCCACGACGACACTGAGGTATCCCGGTTACATGCACAATGATCTGGTGGGAATTATTGCATCTCTGATACCCACACCACGATGCCACTTCCTGATGACCGCTTATACCCCTTTCACCGGGGACAATGTGGATCAGGCTAAAACCGTGCGCAAGACCACCGTGCTTGACGTGATGCGCCGCCTCCTTCAACCGAAGAATCGAATGGTTTCCATTACACCCTCCAAATCTTCTTGCTACATTTCAATCCTCAACATCATCCAGGGGGAAGCCGACCCGACTGATGTTCACAAGTCTCTTCTGCGCATTCGAGAGCGGCGAATGGCAAATTTCATACCCTGGGGCCCAGCCTCAATTCAAGTGGCTCTGACCAAGAAATCCCCATACCTGCCAAACACGCACCGAGTCTCAGGTCTCATGCTCGCGAATCACACCAGCGTTGCTACCCTTTTCCGGAGGATAGTGGTACAGTACGAGAAAATGCGGAAACGAAATGCCTACTTGGAGCAGTACAAGAAGGAAGCCCCATTCGCTGAAGGGCTAGCTGAATTCGATGAAGCGAAAGAGGTTGTGATGGGCTTGATTGGTGAATATGAGGCGGCGGAGAAGGATGATTACCTTGATCCCGACGCTGGAGAAAAGAAAGTTGATGGTGCTGCCTGAAGTGGCTAGTTCGGGTTGAAAACGTTTCATGGTCAACGCCGGTGAACAACAGCACGAGGGCGAGAAGGGTTGGCATATATGACGACTACAACCGCTGACTGACATGACGGCAACATGTGGGACAGACACCTGTAACCGGATATCGGTACGCGTGTCGTGGTGTTTGATGCATGGTTAACCAGGATGTTTCCAATGCGGTGGAGTTTGCAGTGGTGGGCCGATGTCGCATGTCTGAGTCGCTGGGTGGGCGAGACTCCAGCTTACGGACATTTTCCCTTCAATCGTGTGGGATTGGACCAACCAGGTAAACGCCGCAGCCAGGAGGTTGGGAAATATGCAGGGTCCAGATGAGGTGCAGATCGAGCATGGCCAGGAACTTCCGAGCAGTCCCTTCCAGCACATGACCTGAAAATTGACAGATGCGAGAAAGGTCAGCTTGCGACTGTTGAGAAGGTTATTTCACGATAACGGGAGATGCCGTTCGCATAGAAGGTCTGGAGTCCAAAGTGTGGCAGCCACAGATACGACGTTCGTCTCGTATGCAGCCACACAGACCCAATCTGAATGGGCGAGCCGAAGCTATGGTCGCACGCCGCATTCGGAGGAAGCCAACCAGACTGCTTTGACAGAGGCCAAGACTAGTGACAGCTGCATCCCAAGTGAGGAAAGCCGCGTCGCAGCCCGCTACAGGTGCCAACAATGCAGTTGAGTTGAGGCAGGCTGGTGGTTGGTCATACTCGCAACGTTTTTGTTGCCCATGTGGGAAGCCGTTCTGCTGGTTGAGCGGACTCAGGTATCTGGAAGGTCAAAGGGAACGGGTCAGCATCGACCGTGACGAGAGCACGGGCAGGCCAGAGACCCAAGCGCTGAGACCGACGATCTGGACCCCCAAGGGGAAAGGCCGCTGAACGAATTGAGTTGACCGATTCCGTCACCACCGTCCGAGTCTGGCGGGCTGCAAGGAGGATAAGGAACAGACTCAAGGAAGACAATCCAAGGGGGATCCCAGGTCGTGTAGAGCAGAACGAGACGATGGCATTACAGTTCCCTAGATAAAGTACTGTAGATGGTCGATTGATTCACTTGTGTTTGGCTCTGTGACTTGGTCGCCAGTATTCTGGGCTTGTGGCTCTGCCGAACGGAACAACCTCGCGACCACCGCGGAGCTTATATGCGCCACCACCACCACCACCACCCACCAGCTCGGACTGAACGCCTCGTTGAGAGTTTTGGCGCGTCTCCATCTATTACATGTACTGTACCATCCCCATCCCCGTCTCTCTTTCCGGTTGCGCCTTTTCCCGGCTGCACTGCCTTCTTCGCCTCTCGCCCCCTTCCGGCTCTTCGTTGTCTGTCATCGCCCGCATCTTGGATTTATCTCGCACTTCTTCGGCTTTGTTGCTTCTTGGACCTGCGACTGTCTTCTACAAGTTCCACTTATTTGGCTCTCATCTGGTCTCTTAGAGGGGTTCCCCCAGTAGTCGGTCCTCCCTTGCGCTTTTAGGTTGCTGGGTCGCCGGTGGCTCAAACTTGGGTTAAAGTCCCTTCTCCTCCATCCCATCCCATCCGCCATCCACTCGTTGTCAAACTCCGAACCACTGGATCCCGTCATCCCATATCCACATCGACACCCACACCCCTCTGCCGTGGGCCGTGGCCATCGCCTTCAAATCCCAAGACAGCCACCTTTGTCACTAGTTCAACATGCGAACTAACCACGAGTAGCCACGCCTCATCTTGTGGCCTTGTCCCCTGGCTTGATTGTCCATCTGACTAGCAAACTCGCTACCACCCAGGCAGTACATTACCACGACTCATCTACACCCAACGCACTATCTTGCTTCTTCTGTCTTCTTTACCACCACTCTCACTCCAGCCGCCCCTGCAACGGCAACCTTATAATCAGACTATCATCTGCCTTCTATCCTCTCAGCTCTAACCACTATCACGCTATCTCTTACACCCGAATCACCCTCGATACGACCTTGTTCGCCCTTCGTCATCGGTCACGAGCCTGGTTACCTGCGCCGAATCTTCCACACCCGCAACGTCCAAGTCTCCTCCAGATAAAATCCCCTCTGTCTCCTCAACATACCCCTTCTTTGATACCGAACCCCATATTCAACATGAATCGCTCACGATCTGGCTCTGCAACCTCCAACACCAGCAAAGAGCTCCCCGCTGATAACATGGCTATTCAGGTGCAAATCAGCGACGAAAAGAGTAAGCATGGTCTCGGGAGGTGATCCTGTTTGTTTGGTGGTGGAAACTAACAGGTTCTCTTCGCAGCAATCAAATTGAATGTCCGGCCCGTTCACACCGTCTCCAACGTCCTGGAATTCCTCTCTGCCTCCACGAATCTACCAGCGAACGTTCAGCTCATGCTTGACGGGAAACCTCTGGAACCATCAACCACGGTGGGAGAGCTCAAGCTCCAAGAATCATCAACACTCAAGCTATCTTCGCCACCACGAAGTACAACTCCAACTGATCCGTCACAACCATCACCTCCTGCGCTGCCAACGGATCTGAGCACCGCTCAACCCTCAGCGTCTACGTCAGCGTCATCAACACCGATACCTTCGGGTGCGGCAACACCCACAAAGAGGAAGTCAAACAAACCCAGGTGTTCCAAAGACGGATGCAAATCGCCAGCTCAGCCGATTGTGGGAGACTGTGGTTTTTGCCAGAAGCGTTTCTGCGGAAAGCACCGTATGCTGGAGTCTCACAACTGCGAAGGGCTTGAGGACGCCAGAAAAGCAGACAAGGATCGCAATGCGGCCAAGTTAGAAGGAGAGCGGACCGTCATGCTTCGCGGCCTCTAGAGAAGGGATCACGACTCCGAATGATTTGGGGCAGCACCCTAAACTTGGAGGGAAATGACATGTGTGACGGACTTGCAGTATCTTTGACGTTTGTTTCTCTGAACTGGGCTGTAGCGTTGCTACGTGGAGTTCTCAGAGCCTGCATGCGGCGGTTTGCTGAACTTTCTCATGGGAAGGGAAAGGGTATGGAAATCATCACCCCGTCTCGGGGTAGGGTCTGGGTCTGGGCTTGGGCTTGGGCTTGGGCTTGGGCTTATCGGATCTGGAACCGGGAAATATCACCACGGGCCATGAATATGGAAACAGACAATGTGGTTTTTGAATGGGATTTTTTTTGTCCTGAAGTCATCGAACTCGTGCTGCCTGCGTTTGTCCCGCTCCTTCTGGGCTTGCTGTCATCGATCTTATCTGCGCAAATGGAATGGGGCAGTGAATTACTCGTGTGACATCTACATATACAGAAGTAGATCAACGGTCACCTTCGCATTTGCAATCAAGACGATTCAAACAAAAAAGTCCCCTTGTACAAGCATAGCATACAATGCTTCACGGATACCGTGCTTGATGCAGAGCAACGGTTGACCTGGTTGACTTAGTAGTTCGACTCCTGCGGCCTAACGAACTGGCGTGGCCGCCTCACGCGAATTCCACTGCCTGCTCGGTCCGAGATTCGGTGCCTATCCAGCTAATGCGATACCTTAGTAGGCCTCCTTACCGGAGACAAGCATGGGAGATGCATGTTAAAAGCTTGAAACCGTGGCAGGACAGCGGAGGTCCATGAATAAGCACTGTGATTGCCAGGTGTGTTCTTCTGCCCTACCTGCTACGGGGATGTTTGTGCTCGAGCTACATTCATCTTTACGTCGGCGGAGCGATACATATAAAAGTCGTGTGGCTGTCTTTTGAAGACTCTACTATACATCCTGTAATCTGCAAATCACACCATCGTGCTCAGCGCGCTGGTGTCGAACGCTGGAGGTGCATTGCTATCTCCAATAAGCTGAGCTCGCGTTTTCATACGGATACGGATATGTATAAAGGGTGTCCTGTGTTTGAAATTTCCAGGGATTCTGTACGTCTTGCTTGACAATCGGCTGTGGCTATGGTGGCTTTTCCGATTCAATGAATGACTGTCAACAACATCTGAAAATCTCTACAGGCGACCCGCTTGCAGGCAGTGATGCGACCCTCTGGTCGCCAACTCACAAAACGCCAAAATGTGGTGATTCCCAAAACTTGTAATATCATTAGGCTAGCCGTGTGTTTTGTGTCTCGAGAGACTTAAGTCAAATTGTAGGGCAGTCTCTTCTAGTAGTGGCGCGAGCTCCGTTTCGCCCGTCATCTTCCCTCTATCTTGCGTTCTGACTGCCCCGAACACGAATGTTCTCCCTGCGCCTAGGCAGTCGTCTCACGATTTTCCCAGAAATTGAAGGTACTGATCTTGTCCACACTCCAGGCTGCGTCGCCGCCATTGTTGTTAAGAAGAGCGTTACCTTCTTGAAACCTACCCGCATCTCTCTTCCGCTTGCAGTACTTCCGGGCGCACGTCTCCACGGCTTGCCAATCGTCTGCGTTGAGATAACTCTTTATAGACTTCCCATCCTCGTGGAGTCTGCAGAATGCTTCGCGGACCCAGGTGAGACAATTGAATGCCGAGTCGTCGGCTGGGATTGGGAGATCTCGAAGAATCGAGTGAAGGCGCTCTTCATCTGTGACCTTGCACACGGCGACGCGAACCAGCGCGCTTTGGGCAATCGGGTTCGAAGGGATGTCTTGCTCCTCGTAGAAGTGCTTGTGAGTGTTGTGGTCGAGATGAGCTACATGATAGCGAACTCCTTGGTCAGTTCGCCGAGCCGTCTGAGGACCGACAATGATAGACCAGTGGTAGGAGTCGCAGCTGAGGGCGTTGCGAAAGGAAGAATTCGTGGACGAGGCACTCCGCGGATAGAGGACGATATAGAGTCGAGGCTTGTCCTTTGCCGGCTTGAGGGAGGAGGTGGACTGGAGAGAGCGAAGGAATTGGGGCTTCGTCGAGGATGGACTCATTGCTCTAGCAACCCACTCTGGTGTCAAAGTCAATTATCCTCAGTCAAGGGGAAGAGGGGCAGATCCAAAAGGGAAGACATAACAGCCCGCGGTCTGCCCTAGCAACGAGCTTGGAGAACCATACGGTCGGCACCACAGGCACAAGCCATTCTTTATGAGTGGGCTGGAGCCGAAAGAGAAAGATGGAAGAAGCGAGGGAGACATTTGCTTCGCTTCTAGCCCCCTCGGCTAAACCATTGTTGGTCCGGTCTGAACCCACCGCGAAAGAACATTTGTGGTTGGGACGACGGTCCATCATGTATGCTGGTGAGCGTTTTCTAAATCTGCACGGATTAACTGCCGTTGATATCATCCCGAAGTATGCCTCAAAAATGCCTTGATAAACTTCTTTCACGACCCGACCGGCCCGGATTGGTGATGAGATCAGACAGATGCTTCACGTGAAGACTGAACATGTTCTCGGTGGGTTCCTTGTTACTCAATATAGAACTAGACGCCCGCCCGCCCTTACCACCCTCCTCTTCCACGATGACGAAATGTGTCGTTGTTGATGTCCTACACTTTGGTATCGCATTTCGCCCGTCTTCAGCCTGCCGTGGCTGCCGTGAGCGAGAACAGATCTGATCAGCTGCAGGGCCTCCTGATACGACGTGCTTGAAGATTGACCTTACCACGATGAAATGGGTCGCGTGAGCGCTTCATGCCGAAGTCTTCGTCGCATGAGCCACAACATTCCACGTCAAGTCGACTGCGAGGTGACGGAGTGGCGGCAATGAAGAGGAAAGGAGTGGCAGGGCGACGGAGATCGCGGCTGGTCAAGCCACAGTTCGTGGCTGTGCATAGATGACAATACACGAGGCCGGGGTACCTACGGGTACATACTGTAGCCAATCTCCTGATACGGGTGTTTATTGGCTAAAATGGGGCTGCGGTGGAGAGAGAAGGAGGGAAAAAAGCTCGCCAAGGAATGATTGGCGCTGAATCAGACGTCATGGGTGGCTGCAATCAAGGACGTGAATTGCAGGGACGGTGCCTAGAAGGGACCCAGGTTAAACAAGGTTAGGAGGCTGGCATCAGCCGAAATGGCAGGCAGGATGATGTGCCCTGTTCGTAATCCGAGTCCCTGTGCCAGGTGCCCAGTGAAGTGACTGCCTCCGCCTCCCCAGCCATCCGCAGGAGTCATCTAAAAGCGTCTTGTATCCTCCTTCGCTCGCGCAATCTTCCTTCTTCACCATCCCCTGTGTTCTCCAAAGACTGTCGATTTTTGCTCGCAAGCTTCGCATTTTACGCCCATCAACCATTCCAATCGTGTCTTACCCAGACCTCTCTAATTGAGCCAACATGCCTTTCACAGCATCGTAAGTCTCTCATTCCAACTTCCGTCTCCTTCCGCGCAGTGCGCCAGCAGAGCGCTGACCCGCCGATTCCAGCGACATCTGCAAGATCATTCTTGCCATCATCCTCCCTCCTCTTGGTGTCTTCCTCGAGCGCGGTTGCAATGCCGACTTCTTCATCAATATCCTGTTGACTATCCTGGGTTATATTCCGGGTATCATTCATGCTCTGTACGTTGAAAATGCGCCAGGCAACCCTCACTCGAAGCCGAAGTTAACAATTTTGCAACAGCTACATTATCCTGAAGTACTGAGTCATGAAAACCTAATGTCGTATCATCAAACTTCGACACCCTTCCACTTCTGTCGAGGACCGACATCACCTCGCCGTATTTTGATATTCCCCACCTTGCTTTTGATTCTCCGAGCATGATACACAAGACAATCGCCATTATGCTCACAAACTCATTTCGGAACGAGATCAATCTCACGGGGGAAAACACAAAAGATTGAGCCGGCATGGGCCCGGGCATTGAGACTGGATAGGGTGGTGTGACCTGGAGCATTGCACCGACTTGTTTGCTGGACGGATGGGAACTTTTTCGTCCCGCTTCGGCGCACAGAGGTCGATTTTGCTGTACGTGGTTCAGACGCAGAAGTCTTAATTCATCATAATGAGACAGATTCTACATCCCATACATTCCGGGATTTCTCATGCTCATTCCTTGTGAACGAGTTCGCTCCCGGCTAGTTTACCAGCTTCCTGAGAGATGGTGAAACTGAAAGCGAACCTCGGAGCTGCCATATCCGAGCCTCCTAGATTGTGAGAGCCTGGTGGCCCAATCTTAGCCCCATTTCCAACAGTTGATATGCGTCATCTAGGGCTGGATCAGATTGACTGGCAATCTTAACTCGTACACAACAGGGAATATACCCTTGTTGTCCTGTAGCAGGATGACAAAATCCCGTTTGTGGGGACGTGCTGTGGTAGCGTGAACCGCCCTGGCAAGATGAAGTCTCGCCGACGGAGGGTGCTGGTCCCGAGTCCAGAAAGAAAGGAGGTCCTACGTCAACTTGAAAAGGGATACGCTGCAAGCAGAAAGGATACTGTGAGGGTGATATACGCCCACAGACAGACCGAGATCATTACGCAGAAATCACTTTGCCAAATCATCCCAACTGCATCGAAGCGCCCTGTAGCCGCCGCTCATATCCGAGCTTTACGCCGATTACTCCATGCGGCCTTTGCCAGGGAACGAAGTGTCACGTGATTGCACTCTCTTTCGGTTAGAAGTATCCCTAACCGCTGGCTCAGCGACTATGCTTCATCCAATGCTTCACATTCGACCACATCCACCATGATGCTCTCCGGGTTTCAGGCTATACGACCTATCGCAATCCAATATCCCAGCCGCCATCGTCATGCGTCTGTCGGAAGGTCCTTTTCCAGGGACAAAAAATTCTACATGCGCCCTGTTCGAGGGGTGAGGTAAGATCAAAGGGCAAACTGAACATTAAAAGAAGCCCGGTCCCCGTTCGAACCGCGTGTCTCTCGCGAAGTTCACGGGCTGCCCATTGCCATCGAATATTGATATCCCGTTCTCTCTGGATGCTGCTACCTGCTCGCGTGTTGTCTAGCCGCCGTTCACAGAAATATTTCCGCAAACAGCTTCCACAAAAAATATGTTGCCTCAACGATGACAAAGGCGAATCCGTCGACATGGGTAACCATATACGGATTTGGCCCAGGGCGTTGTCGAATCCTCACGATGGCGAACAACTCTATACCCGGCAGGCATCGGCAGACACCTGCCTTCCTCCCTCCCTTCTCTCTGTTGTTCCTCCCTGCGCAGTCCAGTGCATTCAACAGTTCGCGAGCCACAACTACTCAGGGGCCACATGCGCAAATACCTCAGACATTGAATACCTCTGCACAAAATCTAATATCTCAAGGCTTACAATCGGTGAGGGTTCCGTACAGTGCGTGGTCTCGGCTTGTACGGGGCAGGACCAGGAGAACGTGGTTGTCTACGGCATCTGCAATTCTATACCAGGAGCCCAGCCGAGAACCGCTCAAACTATCACAGCTACAATCATCGGGCCTTCCACGACCACATCTAACACCATGGAGAACCTCCCCGCGACGATAGGGAGTCCAACCTCGACTGAGGAGGTCAGCACCATTGTGATGGCAACGGATATCCCACCATGGGCTATAGCAACCTCAATAGCATCCGCAAAATCTAGCGGTCTGCCTTTAGCAACAGATGCTCCAACAAACACTATGATAGGCCAAACCACTAGCGGATCTGCCGGATCGGATGGGACATCAGGAGCCGTTGCTGCGCCGGGACGGGGCACACCTAGAACTAGTCTCACCACGCCTCAAATTACAGGAATAGCTATCGGCGGCGCCGCCACCATTATTGTCGCGGTTGGATTGCTCTTTCTCCAGTGTTGGATACGGGAGCGACAACGAGAGCGGCGGCATAGCCAAAGACGCTCACGGTTGATTGCATCGTCACCGCCCGTAAACAGGCGCAGTTCTGAGAAAAAGGCTTCACGCACTCTTCAAAACGTTGAAACGGCACTTACATTGCCGAGTAACCAGGGTCGCTTCTATGCTCCACAGCAACCCCCGGAAGAAAAGAGGAGAAGCTTCTGGCGCAAAAGCATCAGACCAGAAGAAATAGGTATTGCCGTCTCTCCTAGGGTGCCAGGCGACCACTCTCCTGTGAGCGCGTCTTCTCAGCAGAGCTTCTCTCGGCTACTACCCAAGCCGCTTCCTACAGTTCTGTGGCCCGCCCCCCTTGACATCGAAGCCACCCGGGAACGAAGGAGATATACGCAGCGACCCGTTAGTGACGCCACCGAGTTCGACGATGAGCCAGAAACGAAACCACAAGAGCCCGAGCGAGTTTTTGTCGACAATCAGACATTCATACTGGAGAAGCCACCTCTGTCAAAACGGCCACGGGGTCCGCCTCCGAATCTGAGATTGACGGCGTTGCCTGAGAGCCCCGCCAAGTCTGCAGGACAGAGAGCAAGGATTCCCCTGACTCCCACTTACGACAATGGGAACGTCGACTTATCATCGTCGCCCATCAAGATCCGATCGTCTACCTCTTCACAGTCGGGCCTCCCAGTACTTGAACACAGGCTGCCCGCGTCATCAATGTATGCGAACAGAAGTGTCCTAAGAAAGAAGCCTCCAGCAAGGCTCCCTCTTCGCGTTATCAACACTCCGCCTGTGGAGCCTCTCATGCAGCCAAGGAATCCGCCAATCCCACCACATTCATTGCCGCTATCTCCTGGAAGCAGAGTAAATGTACCTGCCAGCCGTCCTTTAGATAGACAGAGTTCTGCCAGCTCCATTTACACAGAGATCGAGGAAGATACCACGCCTGAAGAAGCACAAAAGCAACTTGGAATGAAAGCAAACCCAGCGAGAGTCTCCGCCACCCCTCTCAACATTCGTAACGTCTCGCCTGCGCAAGAGAGTCCCATCAAGGATTTGAGGTATCCTCGGGTTCCTCGTTCAGCCGCCATATCCAGACAAGCAGAAAGACCTGCTCAACCTCGAGCAAGCCTCAATCAATCCCCCATCTCAGCTTTTGTACCAGCATCATCTTCGACTCTTCGACCATCCAGGGATCAGCTTGTCCGTGCTGAACTAAGCTTTGTGCAAACAGACACCACCTCCTCAGACGGATACCTGTCCGATGAGATTGTCGAGTTTCCCACTCCCCCTACAGCGAAGGTTCACATACCAAGCCTGACCAAAATCAGGAGCAATCCTCCAAGTGGTAACAAGGGGCCTCCTCTTCCACAGCGTCCATCTTTGAACGAAGTTATGAATTCCAGTACGAGAACAGTGAACTTCGTCGTTCCACAGCGGTCGCCAACTTCGAAGGCTCGCTTGACGCCAAGTAAATCGAGCAGCGGTGATTTGTATCTGACTGTTGAAATTTGAGAAGTGTACGTAAGGATTGTCATTCAAGAATTGTATTATGCTAGGATTTCCTGTCCCGGACATGAGGACGCTGGTGCATGATGTCCTTTGCATCTACTTTATGTATATTATGAGAAGCCCAAAGTGCTATGAAAAAAGATCTACGGAACAGAGGCATGATTTGATCTTCCAAAATTGTCTCACAACCACTTCTGCTTATCGCAAATATCTGCTGCACAACTAACTCAGTAATTTGGAATTAATAATGCTAGGCTCGCTTGACCCCTTTTTTGAATTGGCCCTAAAGCTTCGAAAGCTGTGCGTCTGACAGAACGATATATTGGAAGTCACCGCAAGCAGCCAACGACAACTGTATTGTCAGACATGGCATTTGACGGCCCAAAAACAGCTTCAATGAACTTCGTCACCGTCCCAGATTTCCGGCAAGTTCTTTGCCCTCAGGACACATTCCTCTACCATCGGAATTCTTCGTTCTAATATCGTCCCCCTCTCCGTTTAGTCCTCAGATAATTTTCCTCGCCCATTTTGATAGCATTAACTGATATGCTAAATGTGCTAGTTCCCTCCCGAAATAGGGTGTCATTTCGTGGCACCTGGGACGGTCTGGTCCCCTTCAGACGATGTCTGAGCGCCGACACTGCACGACCGATTAGCTGGCGAAGAATAAAATTGAACAACTATGCATTTTCAAGGGTACGACTAGCAAGACCGTCAGTCGAAACTGTCAAGTCTTCATCCAAGAAAAATTCTCCGACTCAATATCCTTCGCTCAACAGCCCGAGACCGCCCAGGAATATAAATAGCTCCGTTCGAGCAGGTGTGACCTGGTTGACTAGGGATCTGGCCCTTGTGGTGAGTAGCAGACTAGTCTTTCCACTGGAGATTTCATCTCCTAGTGTCCCTCACTCTTTCTGATGTAGACAGGATCAAGAAGAGATACGTGCGAAGCTCGCCAGTTGTTGCGACAACAAGTCTTTAGTTAAGATCTTGGTCCTGCTCGTGACGCCGTCTTTGGCTTCTCTTCTCGGGCCAGGCACCCTCCTTCAAGACGTGCTGCCTTCGCTGTACGCTGGCCGCCGAACCTTTCAAAAGGGAAAACACGTTAGGAAGACTATAACATGCATCAGCGCTGTGGTTGATGCTCTTCCAGTACCCCCTGAAATCCCCGGCAGTTCAAATGGGAATCCAGCAGGCGCCGAAGGAGTTGCACTCTTTATGAGTTCTGAGAATATAGACGCCAGATCGTTTCCTGCCCCGATGGAACTACTTGACGATGTGGACAGTAATGCCATCGCAACAGTGAAATTCTGCTCCGCCACCGAAGTGAGCTCACCAACTCGGACATCAGACCCGCCGTCTCCTGTGCGGCACGTCACATTACCTACCGCCAACACCGTTTTTGTCAATGGACAACGAACAACCCTTTTCCAGGATTTGTGGAGACTGGAACTCTCTGATTCCGAGGAACCGGCCATCAGGCATTTTGGCAGAAACAATCTCAAATCGTTTCGGTTGAACCTTCAGTGCTCAGGAGACAGTTTTGTGAACGGCGGATCTGCTCCGCTTCAAGCACTAACAAAGCCGAGAAAGATAATACAATCTATGGGTAATGTGCTTCGTCAGATTGAAGTTGATGATGAGGCTGTTCCTGCTTCACGAGAGCTCGAGAAAGCGGTTTCAGCATATATCAAGTCGAATCCCGCTAGCACTACTCGGGGCCCTCTTCTTGTGTTTGCTTTGATCCGTTCCTCTAGGACATCCTCGTCTGATGCGGCGGCGGACATGAGCAGCGAGACTCAGGGATCGGGCCCACTAAAGTCTCTATGGGACGGTGCAAGGCTCTTTAAAGTGTCGGGCGGCGGAGGAGGTTGGGGTAAAAGGCAAGGTCTCCTATCCCTGGAAGCAGCTGTGGACTTTGAGACAAGTGAAGTTGGACCATCGTTCGCGTTACCCAATTTGGATAGCGATCAAGGCGACCTCCAAGAGCTGGACTCGCGTGGCATAGTCCCAGCGGACAGTACCGTCGAGTTCCTAGTTCGTACGTGGGAGGACAACTCAAGAGTTTCCCGTGCGAAGCCAGCGTCTCTCTCTCCGCCATCCGACAGCACGACCGTCGTCCTGGGCACCGCCACAGAGCCTGATTCGCAGGATTGTCAAGAAGACCCAAACATTGCCAACATAGGGATAGTCTTGTTACCGGATTACTTCGGTATGGTCTCCTACGGAGGTGCTGCTCTCGGTACCGATTGCGCAATGTCATCTACGCAAAAACCATCAGCGACTTCGCGGACGCGCTGTGATGTGCCAAACACTCGCTTCATTATTCGTGGCGTGGGAGGTGGTCGACAGGGCCCACTGAGAGAATACGAGTAGATGTCGACCACGGAAAAGGGAAAGACCATGTCTCAACTACGAAAGACAGTCTGCCTTATTCTGAACTATGGACCTCTCTCCGTGGTCATGGCACCACTTGGCCGCAAGACGGGTATCATTGCGATTGCTTCGCATAGACTGAAGTCCCCACGCCAACCCAGGGGAGCATCGAGGGCACGATCATGGACGCCATGTACTCAGATCACGACCCCTTCGGCTGAAGTCAACCATGTGAACACAATTCCGGATGACCAAAAACAGATGAGAATTTTCGTCAGATTGCGTCACGACCCCGAGTGAAGAATATCCTCGTCCAGTTCTCCCACGACCTGAAGGACGACCCCTAAAGACTCTATGAAGCCATTGACGGCAACCCGAAGCATGCGATTGGTAGTTGCATGATATTGGGTACGAAGGACAGTCTTGTGGATATCTTGGAATCCATCATCACCTTCGATTGTTTGACCATTGACAGCACCGGGGCTGACCAAAGCGAACTCTCGACGAACCAGCGGCGACAACTCAGCGTCGACTTGTAGGGCGCGCATGGCGATGGAGGCAAGCCGTTGGTCTAGAAGAGGGACGTGGATGACTCTGCAAATGGAGGGTTAGCACCTGCGTCGGGACTGAGGGAGGAACATCGCTACGCACAAGGAGCAGGGAAAGTCGGACTGCGAAGCGTCGATCGCCATGTCGACTGAGACCGGAAAAGAGCACCTCGATGCATGCGGCGAGGCTGCGCAGTCCTGGACAGTCAAGGGAGTTTCAGTCGAGGCTGAAAACCAGAGAAAATATTGAATCGATGTTTGGGTGCGGAGACATACCTGGTTGGGTGAGGCAAGATGGTGTGAAACCCGATCAGCCGTTGCTGGGATACCATAATGCAGGGGGTCCAAAGTAAACATGACGCTGGAGACCTTGGAACCTTGGGGCTGCAACCCCTTCCCCGTTTCATTCATTACCCATACTTTGCTCGGATTTCGCATCTTTCCAATACATACCCATTGCTTCCTCTTACGAAGCACTACATCTTTACCTTGGGTCGCCTTCTTCGTCTACCTCTTGTCGCGTCCACGCTGCTTAGCTGTATCCTTGCTACTGCCTTTGCCTCGTGATATGCTGCAAAGTTAGAGACATTCCCATCTCCACCGAACTGTTGACGTCGATCCAGCAACGAGCACCTAAGCGTGTCTGCATTTGTTCGTTGTGACAGTGAATACTTTGTCAGCGATTCCTCGTCATCTGTGAGCAGTGATGGCGCCCTCGCTGGTGCATCCTGCCAGCTACGGCCAGGTCATCGAATACATCCAAGGTAAATAGACCTGAAACAAAACAATGCCCCTCACCGCGATGCGCATCACTGACTTTCATCTCAACCACAGATCGCCTCTACCTCGCGTCCTACACTCACGCACCTGACGAGCATACTCCTTTCCCATATCCCACCCAGGCAAAGAAATCGCCACAGAAGAAGTCCTCGAAAGCGCAGTCGGGTGCCATTCCTGCCATTCTCCGACCCCCCCCGGTCTACTTCACCATCGACGACACTCTTCTGTACAATGCATTTCATGCCGACTTCGGTCCGTTGCACATTGGCCACCTGTATAGGTTCGCCGTCCAGTTCCATGAAATCCTCGGGGACCCAGCCAACAACGACAAGGCCGTCGTCTTTTGGAGCAGAGCCGATGCGAGGAGTCGAGCAAACGCTGCGTGTCTGGTCGCATGCTATATGGTCCTGATCCAAGCATGGCCTCCTCACCTTGCCCTGGCCCCCATCGCGCAGGCCGATCCTCCCTATATGCCATTCAGAGATGCAGGCTACAGTCAGGCAGATTTTATTCTCAACATCCAAGATGTGGTGTACGGCGTCTGGAAAGCCAAAGAGGAGAATTTGTGTCAGCTTAAGGAGTTTAATTTAGAAGAGTACGTGGGCCAAGTCGCCTCTGATGAGCAACGTTAACGCGCACAGGTACGAGCGATTCGAACGAGTTGATCAAGGGGATTTCAACTGGATCTGTCCCCAATTTGTGGCCTTCGCATCTCCTCAATCTGAGCCAACAGCGCCCATTCCCATCTCATCCCCAGCCTATGCAACACTGCCATCTTGCATCCCAGACATCCAGCATGCCAGAATACCCCAACCCTTCAAGAACGTCCTCGCTCATTTCGTCCAACGTGATGTTGGTTTGGTCGTTCGGCTCAACTCGGAGCTCTACTGTCCAACATATTTTACTGCCCTCGGTATTCAACACATTGATATGATTTTCGAAGATGGAACCTGTCCCGCCATTCCCATTGTCCGCAAGTTCATTAAGTTAGCCCACAACGCCATTGCAAAGAGCAAAGCCATCGCCGTCCATTGCAAGGCCGGTCTCGGGAGGACTGGGTGCTTGATCGGGGCTTATTTGATCTATCGCCATGGCTTCACTGCAAACGAGGTTATTTCCTTCATGCGATTCATGCGTCCTGGAATGGTGGTCGGACCACAACAACACTGGCTTCACCTAAACCAGGGACAGTTCCGAGAATGGTATTTGGAAGACCAGTTGAAGGCGAAGCTGGAGCTGAACAAGCCCTCGACGCCTCGCATGATGTCAGCGAAGACACCCATACGTGTTCCCAGCGGGGCACAGGCTGCGACTCCAGATCGTTCCAGCGCCCAGAGAACTGCTCTTGGTGAGATTGATGGTAATGACGTCTCGAACGCTGGAGTTTATCAGGACGAAAACCTTCCAGCGCCGACGCCAGGCCAGCCTCGAAAGTATGCGCGAATGGATCCTCGAACTCACCCTTATGCGCGATCTACTTCCGGCACCATGCGCGTCAATGGCAACAAGTCTGAGAGCGAAGTCGCGACGGTCGAGACACATAGAGTCAGTACGAACGGTGCGGAAAGCGAAGAGGAGCTCATTCTCCAACGAGCAGCATCTCGCCGAAGCCAAAGCAAGAGTCCTGCTAGTAAAGGCAAGGCTCGCAGTGTTTCGTACACTACCACCACGACAACAATGACAAAGACCTTCGATGTGGGTGACACCATGGGCATCTATGAGGACGAAGGTGATATCAATTTCCAGATAGAGGACACCAATGCCATATGGGATGAGCTCGCACAAGAACAAGAGAATCTTAAACTCAGTACAATGAGTGAGAAGAGTCCAAACGGGGCTGCTCGACCAAAGACTCCACGGTCTGCCAGTGGAATGGGTGCCATGGGTGTCCCGAAGACGCGGTCGCTCAGGGAATCACCACGCCGCGGCGGGGTCGAGGATAAGATGAAGGTCAGGAAGACAAGTGGACGAGTAGGCAGTGCCAGTCACGGACCAGTTGGTGTGAAGCGGTAGTGTTGCGAATTTCACGACCAGCTGAGCATTTCTTTATGACCAAGAATGCAATGACACGGTGGTGGATAGTCACGTCCTCGGTGGAGACCGGCAACAACCACACAGGAGAGGCATCGGCGAATTATGGAGTCACTCAGTGCGACGGGAGACATGTACATTGACATCTGGACTGCTACGAAATGGCGTGGTTATGGTGCAACCGCGCTCGGAGCATGAATCTTGACGTTCATGAAAATATCGTGTGTTTTCTGGACCGCATGAATTGGACTCAGCATGACATGGCAATGGAGCAGATAGGAGCAAAGAGGAGTCAAAACTGGGTGGTTTCTGCCCAGCAACGACAATGGACGGTTGGCTGGTTGATACTGTGTGATGTGTGGGCGTCCTTTGCGACCGTCGGGCCTTGTACTTTATGGTTCAACTTGAAACCGTTACGCACATGATATCGATCTTGTTCACTGTCAACTGGACTGCCTGTTCGCCTGGCGTGCCTGGGCCCTTGATATTGCCAAGACCAAAACCCAGAGTAGGAAGGTAGTGCGATTTTTTAATCCACAAACCCAAAATTTCTCAATGAGCTGCCCACTCAAATTTCCTCGTCAGCCGCAGCATCACTCTAAAAGGCGCAGGATATCGATCTCTTTGCGACCTTCCGTTGAATCAACAGAGGAATTCAGAAATGGCACCATCCGTGAAAGTAAGTGCGCAGCCAGTCGACCAGACCGATCCAACCGAAACGCTTTGCTGGTCCTCATGTTATACAGAATGAGATGCAGTAGGCTAAGGTTTTCCTCTTCCCCTCCTTTGGGGGAGATTGTTTCAATATAGGCTCGTGGTACTGCGCAAAAGGTCGCAATGAAGGGAAAAACCGGCGCGAAGGGTGGAAAGGTCACGAACAAGGTACGTACCGCAGTCCTGCCATGAACAAGAATGCAACAACACACACACCGGTCAAAGGTACTCACATGCGCAATGTGACTGTCAACTGTTGTGCGAACAACCGTGTCCACTTGTCTAACAAAGATGTGGGAGCGCCATGCTGACGTCGACGACGCGAATAGTACACGATCAACTGCTCGCAACCGGTCTCCGATAAGATCTTTGACCTCTCCGCCTTTGAAAAGTTCCTGCACGAGCGCATCAAGGTCGAAGGCCGCACGGGAAACCTGGGCGATAACGTGGCAATCAGCCAGGTCGGCGATGGCAAGATTGAGGTCGTCACCCACATTCCTTTCTCCGGCCGCTACTTGAAATACCTGTAAGCACAAAGAGAAAGCAAAGCTGTCCTACCAAACACAACCCACGCCGACCTGTTCTCCCTCCTACCCCATCTATACGCGTATCCCCAACCGAGAAAGCTACACAATCACATGACTCGAAATATGCTGAGAGGGGATGTGGGCGTTGTGTGGTGCTTCCTTCGCTCCTGGGAAATCCCATACTTTTGGAACGGTTAATGCTGACGAGAATTGCGTGACCCTCAACTAGGACCAAGAAGTTCCTTAAGAAGCAACAACTCCGCGACTGGCTACGTGTGGTCTCGACATCCAGGGCCGTCTACGAGTTGCGCTTCTTCAACGTTGTCAATGACGAGGGCGATGAGGACGAGGATTAAACCCATGATCCCCCCCAAGGCGAGTCGGCAGGGAATAATGGCCATGCTGTCAAGATGCGGACACCTGGGGTCAACGCGCCATTCATTGCTACCTCGGTCTGGGAACAAGGATAGAAATGTCTGGGGGATCTGAAGTCAAAGCAGAATGTCCTCTGGTTCGAGCCTTCGCCTTCGTGGGCAGTGTTGCCTTCGCTCCTACAAGACGATCAAGAGAGGACAATGGCTTCCGTTTCGACTCACTCGAGCGTGCATGTCAAGAATCGTACCGACGAATGATAAACAATGGTTCTTCTCCTGTCCGCATACGGTGAAAAAAGTCATACCATAGCCTCATGTCGGCGCGATGGAAGAATTCAAATCCCGTTTCTTTGGGCGCTGTGCCTATTCAGTACATATTTCCAGCGCCGGCTCCTAGCCATTCCCTTTACCTGGCCGTATCCGTTGATAGAGATGAATCTGGTACCTCATATTCTCGAGCTCCACGGGGTATTTCAGCGGCTGTTGCTGGCTTAACCTAAACCATCTCGAATCATCAGAGACACATTTCCTCCACTTGACTTCACCCCCTTTCTTCCCGGCAACTTCCAAAAGCGTATGATCAAGCAGCCACTTCATAGGGTAGCGCCTTGTCTTGGTACTTGCATTCCCAACGTTTCCTCCCTGACCCTGAGCAGCACCAGATACAGATCCTAGCCTCACTTCAGAGTAACTCCCCGGGCTATCTACGACCAGCAGCCATGAGCCTGGTGATAATGTATCTGTAAGCGCCAGGAGAAATGCCGTCGTGCGTCCGATGGACGCTGTGAAGAGCTCGTTTAGGGTGAACATGATGGTACAGAGAGCCGCTCCACTCATGATGCTTTGCAAGTCAGCCTCATCCATGGCGAGGATGTCATGTTGAGAAAATCGGACAGAGAATTGGTCACTTGTTGTGAAAGGCTCTTTTGCCACCTTGGCAATATCAGCTGCGAAAAGTGACAAGGATGGCGGCCGGCACAGTGTGCTCTCTAATCTTGAAAGGCAGGCCGACCAGTCTGCAATATCAACGACATGAACAGCCAGTCTGGCTGTTGTTTGTTGGAGTGTTCGTGCCGTAGCTGCACAGGCAGCCACCTCTGCGCCTCCGCCACCTCCAACGCAGACTATGCTATAAGCGCCCGTCGCATGTGAAAGGTGTGCTCCTCTTGACGCCGGACTTGCATTCGTACTGGTCGCAGTTTCGGCGAGTCCCTTCCAAACTCTTTGCAAATCGTTGTGCAGGAAAATGCTCGTGTACCCTAGAGCACGGCTAGCACTCCACCTAAGTGCATATGCATCGAGGTACTCTAGCTTGGCGAATGCACCAACAAAGTCACGCCGGAATAGGTGGCCCTTGACCTCCTGGATGGTGGCGTCCAACTCAGCATGGTTGTGGTTAAATGGAAATGCCTGGCGAAACGCGTCTAGAATCAGCTGTTGCAATTCGACCGGCAAAATCAAGCCACAGGGTTCGGGACATTGTTGCGTTGTGATACCGGTGCTGCCGCTGGCCCCGCCGCGACCGCGTGGCTGAGAAGTCTGACGTGTCCGTCTGTCTACCCCTTGCTGCTTCCTTGCAGGCGTCATTGTACCAGTTCGTGGGGCAGAGACGACGATGCTAGATGAGTCAGAGTTGCTTTGCTCCTCCTCCCAGCTCCTCAGACATGAAGTGTTACCAGACGATTGATGCACTGGTTGCACAGTTTGAGCGGGTATTTGGAGAAAAATCCGAGATTGAGCGGCCTCTTGTGTCTCCAAAGGACCTGATAAGTATTTTGGCGTGCAACGAGAGGACTAACTCCCGTTTGATATTGGTTATTTCTGGATTCACGGAAACGAAAAAGGTCTGCTTCGATAGCGCCGACTTTTAAGGTGTCATCGGAAAGCAGGTGCCGCTTTTGGACGTACGGATTGGGTTAAGTTTGAGGAGATTTTCTTGCGGTGAGCTTGACAGGATGAGGCGAGCTTGGCCCATCGTGCGCTGTGCGAGTAATGTACCTCATACGGCCTGCAGGACACGCATGCGAGAGAAAAAAATTCCCCTTGCTTTGCCCGATTTCTCAAAGCAGTGTGCCCTTGCAGGATGCTTCCGTGTCGCCAGCAGAGCGTGCATGAGCCCTCACCAGCTCGCTGCATCCGCAGCGGATATCGACCAGAGGCTTCTGCCCGGCTTAGCTCGAAGGTGTGGTTCGAGACCATTTTTGGGATTCATTGGTTGTCGAGATTTCAGCTCTGGCGGTCAGCTCTTCTAGCCCCAGAGTTCCAACCACATTCTGATGTCGGTAAAGCACGAGGGCATCTGTGTGGGGTTTCCTTGATGAAGTGAGCCTTATCTATTATCCACCAGCAATCGAGTTTCTAAGTGTTGTCCAGGAGACGGGTACCAAGCGAGTTTCAGTGTGCATCTCTCAGGATTGTACCCTTTACCAGATTCTGGAGAGAGAAGACTTTTTGTAGGCGTTGCAGGATCGTGAGCCGGTCGAGCAGATTCCACGGCTATACCCGGTGAAGAACTCGTTGGAGTACGGGATGACTTGGCTTGTGGGATACGAGGATGGCGCATCAAAGGACTTGTCGGGATAGGAAGTCTCTTTTCTGCTGTTGGCCAGTGACCTGGGTCCGGGGTCGAGAGTTCCTGCATAAGCGCAGGAGCTTAGACTCCACACAGGAACAGGTACGCAGTACTAGTGCTCGTAGTGCAAGAAGCCGGGGCCATGCTGCTCGGGTTTTGCGCCGATCCTGGAAGATCTTTGAGCTTCTGGCAGAACGCAAAGGTATGCAGTAATCGCAGTCGGAACGAACTGACACCGAGCAGTTAGCGGTATACATGGATCCTATACACCTCAGGGCATAGCCAACATGCAAGGAGGGCGACAAATTACACAAGGCGAGGGAGTAAGGTGCGAAGGTGGACAGCAGCTGCAGGGGCAGGCAATCTCGTAAAGATTGGGCTCATTAGACGGGGCACAGGTGTTGGGGACTTCTCCGGTCATGGGCTTCAATCAAGTCTTCTTGCCTGCCCCAACCCATGAGGCGGTGGGCATTCTACAGCCAGGCGATCAAGCTGACAGTTGCCCATGAAGGATTCGGCAGGTGGGCAAGATAATTGTGAATTATGTGGGTGGGCATCGTGCTTGAATCTGGGGACTCGAGAAAGATAGGCGAAGGGGGCTTTGCGAGAGACGGGCGCAGCCGCTATCTCATACCGCGCATGAAGTCCTTGTACTCGTAGAGATATTTCTCCACCACGACAATGGGATACATCAGATTCCGGGGGGCCGTATACTCACGTTCCTGGTTAGTGTCAGATGCGAAGGCAGCTTCATCAATGCCCTTTCTCCTCGTTACCATTCAGTTTGTGGGCAGATGAGTTCGTCCACCATATTACTTGTAAGCAAGAAAGGACCCAGTGGTGCCAGGCCGAAAAGGGACTGGCGACCTGCCGCTACGGTTACTGAAGCCACCAAAAGCTCGCTTGACCAGGGCCAACATCTGCGTCTAAGCCCAATTGTTCACCCAGCAGCTGGCTAGGCACTTAACCTGACTGGCCTAGCGACCCAGTTTCCCAGTGGACCACGCCCACAGTCCAATGTGAGCAGCTGGCCACACGCACGTCGCCTCCGTCCCCTTCAATTCCACCACCTCCCACCTCCCATCTTCCGTCCTCTTTTCGCACTTGTACTTCACCACTCTCTCCTTCTTGCTCACACCTAACGTTCCCGCTCCCTCAAAGGGCCTCATCAGCCTCCTGGCTCCTGTTCGAAGAAAGATCCTTTACCGATCTTTCTTCCAGGTAGCCGTCCACTCCTTCATCTGAATCAAGCACCAATTTCCCATCCCTTGGACCAACGGATCTCCAATTTCATTTCAACTGCGACCTTGAATCTGTGCTCAGGACTTGTTTTTCAGGTACCACCTACCGCTGGAAAACAACCCGACGCAGAGTTTCTCTGATCCTGCCAGATACCTTTGTACAGGTCATTCATTTTATGGACACACTGTTGCTGCGATAATAGCCTCTTCTGATGGTGGCAGTCCCTCACTTACAAGCACGCCGCATCCACAATATCAGCAGGTGTCCGGACGCCTTTGACTTTCCCTTCCTTGCGCCTTCCTGCTGGCCAGAGCACGCATCTTGGTATTGTTGGGCGGTTCGCTACCAAAATTGAACTATGACTTCCATCTCCCTACCTGCTTCGGTACCGGCCTTCTCGCCTTTCGATACGACGCCTGCTTCTCCTCCGCGATCGCCTCAAGCCCACAGACGACGACCTTCTCGAAACCCGAATGCTCTTCCCCCTCTACCGATCTTCTCCTTCAATCCTGGTGCAGATGAAAATGCTACAGATATAGAAGAGATGGATTCGCCCATCCAGCGTGCTAACCGCATGGCTGGTGATATGAATCGTCGCTCTACCAGGCCTCCGCCGCTCCCTGACTTCAAGTTCAATCCAGGCGCCAATCTACCGCCCGAGACAAGCCCAAATCCGACTCATCCTGTTCTTCAAGAGATGGCCCTCAACAAGCAGCGGGTTGTTCGTTCTGCCAAAGCTGCCCCTTTGCCCGCCTTCACATTTGCTCCCGCCGCAACACCTACGCAAACCTCTCCCAGTCCAACGAAAGCAAGCTTTGTGGACGCTCAACAGCCTTCCCGCAGTGGTCATAGAAGAGGCGGAAGTGAGTTTGTAGGTGGTGGGACTGATGGACCTCAGCTGGTTAGCACAAGCCCTGAAAAGCCGGAGTATCGTCCACACCCGCCAATATCTGGAGTGAGGGGCCACGTCCACCGTCGCTCGCAGGCCGTTTCAATCTCTGACATTGATACGTCCGAGCTAATCAAGGCAAATGCTGTGGCCAAAGCGCGAGCGGGTTCGACACCAACCACCACATCCGACTGTCCACAAGCATTTTCGTTCTCGCGGGCTAGTCCGTCGACCCGGCAGATGATGTCAAATGTTGTTAAAACGCCTCCATCCTCTCCTCGCCGCAGGGGGAGTCTCCCTGGAGTGCGACCCCGTGTGGGCTTTTCCGACCATGTCGATGTCATACCCAGACCATTGTCCATGATATCCTCTGAGACCGAAGGTAGTAACTCAACTGTTCGGGGAGGGCATTCATTGTCTGGCAGCATCAATTCAATCGCTAGTCCTATCCCGCGCCCGACATTCGTTGTCAGCCCGTCACAAGACACGACGACTTCGCCAGAGAGACCACAAACAGCAGATGCGCTGTCTACACTTTCTCCAGGAATGGCATCTGAAAAGACAAAGAATTTGTCTCTGATCAATCTGCCAAAACGCCCTCTCTCTGCCTCGGGATCGCCTGGAACGCTCAGCTCATGCAGTCCTCCCAACAAGAAGAAATACTTTTGGTTCAGCCACTCCGGCAGCAGCTCACCTTCAATCACGCCGAAAATGGAGCGGAGCGATCCTATGGATGTTTTCGAGTCTCCCTCTTCCACTTTGCGTACAACGGGCGGTGAGATGAGACCTCGAACTTCCTCAGGCGAATCAATCACGAAGAAGCGGAAATATCATACTTGGACATCAGGCATCTTCTCCAGAAAATCAGAAAAGCGATCCAGCAAAACCAAATCGCAAGACCGCCCGGCGCCGCCCCCTCTCTCGAGGACCCCCAGTGATCGATTAAACGAGATCTTCGATGCAGACGATACAATCGTGATTCGCGATCCCTCCCCCGTTGCAACCAGAATTCGAGCTGCTGCAGAAACATTCGCAACACTGAAAGACTGGAGATCAGGTCACCATCAAGAACAGACCACCAGCCCTGCCATCGACCTGGACGCTGCCCTTGGCCCATTCGGAAGCGAAGAGAAGTTTGGCCAAGATGGGAATGTCAAACACTCTTCGAAGTTGGCAAAACTGCACAGCAGTGAACGTAGGGGAGCAATGGATGCTTTTGGTACGATCCATAGGAGGACCGAGTCAGCACCAATTATGCCTGCCGTCAATCGCAACATCTTCGGCTTACATCATTTTGGCAGTAATGCTTCCCTTTCGGAAGATGTCTTTGATGAAGAGGAAGAAGACAATTTCCTGGCTGAGGAGAATGCGGCACAAACCACCCCTGTGGACGGAAGAAGCCTGGAAGAATCTTCAGCCTCCCTCCCATTGGGATCTCCTAATGCCGCGGCTGCAGACGGTCTCGGTCTGTTCATTCGTGACAGCCCAAGCGACGGAGTTATTATCGTTGACTCTGATGATGACCTTGCCCGAGTCGACGCCAGGTCCTCCAACTCAACTATTGAAGCCCCAGTATTCCAGGACTTCGAACCTCGGAAGCGACCATTGTCTTCACCTATGAGTTTCGCATATCCGGCACCGCAGTCCCATTACGCCTCCTCCACAGACGGACGCACAACTTCAGCGTCAATTATGTCTTCACCCGATGCGGACCATATCTCCTTCGATACCCTTTCCCGACCATCCAGATTGCTGGGAGAGTCAAGCCCTGACCTAATCCTTCGGGCCTCCAACGACGATCTTCCCTCATTAAGTGACAGCATTTCCACTGGTGCCGTGCCAAGGTTCTCCAGCAGTGCAGCTACAAGATCTTCTGTCGAGCAACGTTCAGCATCCATGATCGACCCATCTACTTCCAGATCGAACAATCAACAGGCATGGAAACGTTCGAGCCTGGCCAGTCTCAATCGATTCATTCCTGGATCTTCGCACGGTAGCAAACTCAAGTTTGAGAGCATTCCAGACAATAGCGACGCAGACGAACAAAACAGGAAGAAATCGAACAGGCTGAGCAAGCTCATGCTTTTCTGGCGATCGAAGGAGAAGGCAGAGAAATGATTAAACGTGGCATTTACCCTTTTAATGGCTTTATGAACAGCACCGAGGCGTTGGAAGCGCTGACGAATTATGTGGCTTGGCCATGTTGTTACCACGCCTGCGAATTGCGCGGCTTTATGACATTTGCACGGAAGGGGGTCCAAATGACCGGCATGCCTTTTTTCAGCAGGTCAATCATGCAAAAACTGTTGTCACTCGATGCAGCCACATGAAAACAGGCGTCTCAGGCCTCCATGACCCGCCCGGATTATCACTTTTCCTGCTGAACACTGCGAGAGCTACATAACAAATTTTCAACGGAGTTGACATGCTGTCTGATAAAGCTTTACACTTCTACAGTACTGCAAATAAGACTTGCTCACGTTCATATGAACAAGCAGACAGATGTGGATGAGTCCAATTAAGCTGGCACTGATGGAATGAGCTTGGCACGGGCGTCTTTCTAGCATAAAGTGGAAGAGACAAGAGTTCACTTGGACGGCATTATGTGACAGGCCCATTCTCCGTGTGGTCAGGCGAAGTACAACATCAGCGAATGTCGATCAGAGAACCTTTTGATTGAATATAGTGTTATCGAGGCAAACAAGAAACAATCGTTAACTTTCACACAGTAATACTTCGCAGACCATCAGTTCTTTTTTAATTCACGCCTTTCTATTTTTGAACATGGAAGTTCTTGTTATGAGCTGCACAAAACCTGGCTCCAGTAGTCGCCCTTCCGCTCCTCGCGGAAGCATATTCCGAAATGAATTCTATCTACATACGTGTGACTCAATGGAGGAACATAGTGAATTCTACCAGGTCCTGGGGACCGTCTGACTATATACCTTCAAGTAATTTATAGGGTCCTGTCGACGCTAGTCCGAAGGCCTTCGGCCGAGGACCTAGCGTGATAGTTATTATATTAGCTTGATAACCCTATCAGTTATAGTCTCCCCTACTTAACTTCGAAGGCCCTCCTTCGACGGCATCGAGAATAAGGCTATCGTCCCGGGTCCTCCCTATAGATATTCACCTTATAGACAAAAGAAATAGATCGGTCGGGTATCTTCTATAGGAGCTCCGTGTTACGGCACCACCCCGAAGCCCTCGGATGGCGCCGAACAGGAGAGATCTGACCAGATTCCACGAGATCTGGCCAGATTCCACAATAGGAGAGATCTAGCCAGATCCCACAACTCCGACACGTGACGACCCCACTAATATCGAACCTCTTATAGTCCACGAAGTCCTTATATCCGACTATTGAAATACCCTCGTATTATACTAGACTACTTTGCGATAATCGAAGAGTCTAGACTACTAAGTAAGGAGGAATATTTCACCTAAAAGGATATATAGAACTCAAGAAGAGCCCGAATCTCCCTTCGAGCTCTTTATCTCTCGTCTTATACTCTATAGTAT